CTCCCCAATGTAAACCCAAACCTGTTTACAAGGTATACCCTCCACCTTGGGGTTTTCTCCATCCGCAAGTCGTTTAACATTATAAACCCAAAGTCGTTTACAAGTACTCTATTCCAGGACGTCGAGTAGATCATTATTATCCTAAATGACGCTGGCGACGATGTACTTACAGGTCCAAAACCAGATTCTTTTTCTCAACCTCATTGATACAGCTTCCGGGAACCACACTCCAGTCTATCATGCTGTAATTTCTGGCGTAGAGCCAATCGTTTATCTTCTTGAAGTGTTTGTTGCCAAAAAACCCTCTACTGGCAGATAGAGGTGACGGATGCACGGAGCTCAGCACCAAAAAATTATCAGGAACCTGGCCAAGTAATCCTTTCACGAGATTCGATGCGTTATTCCCCCAAAGAAGAAAAACCAAGGGCTCTTGAGATTGTTTGCGGTCCTCTATTATAAGTTGAACCACACGTTTGGTGAATTGCTCCCAGCCTCTCTTGGAATGCGAATTCGCATTGTGTGCCTTGACTGTGAGACACGTATTCAGTAGTAACACGCCCTGCTGGGCCCAGTGGGTCAGATCGCCAACCTTGCCGTCAACTTGAAAGTCTGGATAGTTGTTTTCGCGCAGTTCTTTGTAGATGTTTTTGAGCGAAGGCGGTGCTGGTATGGGCGACCGCACGCTGAAGGCCAACCCGTGGGCCTGGTTGTGATTGTGGTACGGGTCTTGTCCTATAATGACAACGCGGACTTGATCGAACTTCGTGAGTCTGGTCCACGAATAAACGTCTGTAGCTGGCGGAAAAACCGTAAAATTTCTCTGCTGTTCGCACACGAATTCTTTAAGCTTCAGAAAGTAGCTCTTACGAAACTCGGACCCTAATTTGGCGAACCAAGCATCGTCAAGTGTATCGAGCTCCAGCTGCAATAGCTCGATTTCTCGATCTGACAGCTTCTCACGGAATTCAGTTTTACCAACAGTCTTTTTCCCGTTTTCTTCACCCAAACTACTGTTTTTGCCATTCACCTCCTTCTTTTTCGAGACCTCACCATCTGTAGAAGCTGCAACACTCTTGTTCGGTGTACGTGCAAAGTCCATCAACGTTTTTTGCCTCTTTGTAGTGCCAATTCCGCCAATTGCATCGGTTCTCGAGCGTTTACTCTCTATCATAAATATCTATAAAACTACTTGATGTTCCAAAACGTTTGCAAGGCGAACGAGGTTGTTTCCTGTGTGTTGAAACTTTTCTGTCAACGTTTACAGATTTCACGATGAGATGGCCTTGACTATCTTGTCTAATTTAATATTAATCTAATGTAATTGTATAAATCATCTCATCATCAAATCGTTAAAACCAAGTTCAACAAGCAATAGACACCTTTCTTAAAGCGTATTTGACCTTTGAGGTTTGGCTTTTGTGAAGCTGTGAAAAATCCCGATTTTTTCGTGCTGCTTCCATTAAAAACGGCTCGAGCTAACGGTATTCAACGCTTCTGTCGGGCCTGTGGGCGAAATTACGCTATCCCTTTAATAAGTAAGACCACAGGACAGCCGATGGGATCAGGAGGATCTAGTGGGAAATCATCCAGCTCGTCTGTGAAATCAAACAGCAATAACAACAAAAGTAGGGTTGTGCCAGAAGATCCGCTAAGTTCGCAAGGGTATGGGAACGATAATAGTCCAGAAAATAGACCTGCCAGCTCTACAACGACTGCATGGGCAATTTGGGGGAGCAAGACCGGGAACAAAAACATAGACGCTCCAGATGGTACGGAAATAGAAGATTTGAAAAGTGGTGAGCCTACCGGGAATGAAGCGGGCTGGTGGAAAAAGACCTCTATAAGCTCTCTGCGAGCTTTTTCAAGAGGCGATAACACCACCACTCCGCTAGAAAACCCGAAAGAGACCAATCCAATAACAACGAAAACCGCAACCGCAGCTAATACTGCAGTACCGGCTGAATTAGCGAATTTGTCGGAGCCTAGAAGACGGGCATGGTCGTTTTGGAACCGGAAAAGTGCAGAAAGTGAAGAGAGCCCCGCAGCAACGGAGGTGATAGATTCGTCCTCAAATAATAATGGCAGTGGCGGTGTTGGTGCATTAAAACCAATCATAAACGAACTGATAACCGGTGGGATCGATGATGCTATTTTGTTCAAAAAGAAGGCCTCAGACGAAACCGCTACGGAGCAAAATCTGGAGAACAAAAATGAAGAACAAGGTCATTTGCAAAATATACTGACCCCAGAATTTGAAATACTACCGCAACACACAGCGATGGCTTCTGTTTATTCTAACATGGGCAAGTATGGGCGTAAATGGCATTTCTTGTCTGAAAACACGCTAAAGCAGAAATCATTGTACCGGAGGAAGGCTGCTACCACCCTTTACAGCTTGAGAGCAGACGAAAAACAGCCCGTCAGGGTACTTTTGATAGGCATTCATGGGTTTTTCCCAACCAGAATGATTCGACCTCTGATAGGCGAGCCCACGGGCACATCCACCAAGTTTATCACCGAGGCCGAAAAGTCGGTTATTCGTTGGTTTCGGGAGCAAAACACACCCGTAGAAATTAGCAAAATAGCTCTGGAACGGGAGGGGAAAGTAATGGACCGTGTGGAGTTTTTTCTAGAGGTCATCAAGAAATGGGTTGACGAGATGAACAAAGCAGACTTCATTTATTTTGTGGCACACTCACAGGGATGTCCCGTATCTATAATTTTGCTGGCAAAATTGATAGAGGAAGGTATATTACAGCTGGATCAGACAACACTAGTATCACCGGAATCAGAGGTCGCGACAGGCACAGTCAAAAAGAAAGTGGTCAGCATTTTAGCGATGGCGGGAGTTAATAATGGACCCTTCTACGGGGTTGATCAGACATTATTTGTAAGGGCATATTCTACTATCGAAAACGACTCCCTAAGGGAGCTTTTCCAGTTTCAAAATTTTGATTCTTTCTTGGCGAGAAAATATATTCAAAGTCTCAAAATTATCATAGCAAGCAATGTCAAAATCACATTTGTGGGTTCAATCAATGATCAACTGGTGCCTCTTTATTCATCGACTTGTCTGTTTGCTCACCATCCTAATTTGTTTAGAGCGACTTTTATCGACAAGGACTCCAAAACTCCAGATTTCATTACACGCATTGTTGGGATCGCAAATCACCTCAACAACCTAGGTTATGATGATCACGGAATAATTAAAGAAATCAGCGCCTCTCTGGCTGGAACGTTGACTGGCGGTGGCCATTCTAAGATCTACAATGAGGGTCAAGTGTACGATCTGGGAATAAAGTTTGCTCTAGAAACATCTAATGCTCCGGACGATCAAGCAGTAAGATATGAAACATACAATGTGGATGAGTTGGGCTCCAACCCATATCATTTGCCATGGTGCATGAGAGGTTTATTGTTCGAGACTGGTTCTCATATCGGTCGCCAACAGATCATGGATTTATTTCGTGAGTTTGAAGAATGGGATCCTCAAACTAAGTTGCTGAAAGACGTCAAGTATAGATTAAATGGTCTTCGGTCGAAGTTGTGAATCGGGGTTTTGGAAAAATTCTTGAGATTGTATAGTTTAGGCAATTCAGTCGATGAATAATTTTTAGAGATTCTCGCTGTCGGTATCGACATTTTGGATCCGCTTCTTGATCAATCGGCGCTTCCTTTGTGGACTCTGCTGATTTTTCTGAGGAACAGGGTTAGCGCCGACTTTATCATCCGAGTCACCGGAAGATGCCGAAAGATGATTGTCCTTCGGGAGTACAATGTCTGCCAGCTTGAATTTATCTTTTACTGAAGTGAGAAACGATGTTTCCTGCGAGTTTTCTGCCATTTCGTTTGTGTCTTCGTCAAAGAGGGTTCCTCTATTCTTGCTTATGGCTTGTCGAAGTCCACCATTCAGGTCAGCGGGTGCATTTTTAACAGCCCTTGCCAAGGCCTTCCCTATATTACGCGGTTCAGGTGGATTTTTCGCCTGCTGTTTATCTTTACCCAATGGACTTAAAAGATGTACTTTATCGCTGCCCCCGTTAACTGTCTCTGCTAAAGCTCCCTCTTTCGATTTAGCCGAATTTTTTCTAGCGTTATCTAACTTGGACTCTAGAAGTGCTATCTGAGTTTTGTGTATCTGCCTTTGGCGCTCGTTCTCCTGTTTTAGCACGTTGCATTCGTGGATGGATTGTGCAACCTGGCGTTGTAAACTGATTGTTTCTTTGACCAGCATGGAGTCTCTATTTTCAGGATCGACAGATCTCTTCGTAAGCGGATGGTCATCGTGGCTATGTTCGTTGTAGATTCTTTCGCTTTCAAGGACTGCTTCATAGTAGTTAGCCAGAAGCTGTAAAGAAGTGCTCATGTCCAGAGAGAGAAGTCAGACCAGAGGCCAAAGTCGCAACTTACTCGAGAAACTAGTATCTCGCGTTAATCAATTGACAAAATGTGACCTTAAAAGGAAGATTAACCATAGAGTGAGTACTCTAAACCTAAAGTGTTTCAATGACTTGATCTAGTTGTGCCAAGAAGTGTTTAAAACATTAAATTGTCGCTCTAATTTGCAACGTCACGAAAATAGAGAGAGACACTATTTCTTTCAAGGAAAGAGAAAAACCCGTTCTCAAGCTTATTTTCCCAATGAAAACGATTATAACGTACCACAACGTTTAACTTAGATGTTGAACAGTTTCGGGACCTTGAATCATCGCACATTCATAGCATTTCGATCACAATAAATATCACTTTGAACGGGTGTATCGCCCGCCAATGTGTCTACACCATCAAAATTGATTTGACTACCAGAACTGTCGCTCTTAGCATTCTCCTATCCTTGTAAAGACTGTCATCAATCGATCTCGCTTTTCCCTGGCAACTCTATAGTCGGTCCTCAGAAGGCATGATTGTTCTAATTCCTGTAATAACATGACCAAAACTATGGGTATCGAGTTGGCCAGAAGGATATTTTCACAAAAAGTGACCCGATTTTGGTGAAGAAAGATCCACTGCTGCCAACACACAATTCTAGAACTGATAAAAACTCAACGTATATCAAAGTATTATAATGAGTTACTGATCCTACCCTAATCCGAAATTCATGTGTTTCGAAGCGTCAATGATGATGTGAATAATATCATCAGGGTCTGCTGCCTACTACAGGTAGAAAATACAGGTAAGCCAGACCTGACCGTTCAACGCTGGCCAAGAGAAGTCTATCATCGCTCGTTGATAAGGGCAACGGATGAGAGTCTCAATAGCCGTCTGGCTGGTGTCGCTGATCCAGGTGATCCAATGTTTAAAATGGCAAGATATCGTCCAATTGAGAGACCAGGACGGACTGATAGAAGTCAGCGATGACAACTATCACAAATTATCGCAAGGCTCGAGATCTTTTTACTCAATTGTGTATGTCACCACCTCCCAAACGAATAGCAACGGCGACAAATGTGAATTGTGCGAGGATTTTGAAATCAGTGTTCGCAAAGTCTCTCGAGCAATGCTAGATCAACTGTCTGAAGAAATAAACCAGGAAGCGTTCTTCTTCAAACTGGACATTTCACGGTGCAAAGATTTTGTGAACGATATAGGCTTGAAAACGATACCGCATATGCTAGTATTCCCTCCTCACGCCCAGGATGAGAACTTTTCATGGTCAAAAAATCAGTTTTTCCAATACAAAATCACCCCAGGAAGCGCTACAGATTCGCTCTTATTTGCTGACTTTCTGGCTAAGATCTTGAGCGTCTACATTCAGATGGCGCAGGATTTCGATGCAAATGAGTTCTTATACTACTTTGCAGCTTCCTTAATCGCATTTTACATTTTGAAGAAAAAGATTCTGCCGCGTATATCCCACAAGGGATTGTTTTTCTCGCTGTGCTTTTCATTAGCTTGCATTCTCATATCCATCACCGGCTATAAGTTCACACAAATGAATAATATCCCGCTTATAGCCAGAGACAATAGTGGAAGAATAATGTTTTTTAGTGGCGGTATGGGTTGGCAATTTGGGATTGAGATTTTGACCGTGTCGGGCATGTATATCTTGTTAGGCGGATGCACCGTTTTCTTGGTTCTGTTACCTCGATTGAAACTGAAACCTGTATTTTCCAATTTTGCCACATTCGCTTTACTGGCATCGGGTGCGTACGGGTTTTTCTACTTCGTTGAATGCTTCAGAGTTAAGCAGCCTGATTATCCGTTCGGATTATAAAGCCCTGAACATAGGTTTAAATGTATATAAAGATAATGCATTAATTTGTGGATTCTATCAATGTGAATGACGCGTAATTTCTAATACATGCAAGGGGTCTGTCTCTGCAATAACCGATTTAGGTTGTCTCATGATTGAATTCTTCTTCTGCTTCTGAATCCCTGTTTACAATGAAAAAGCTGCCACATATAAGAACGGCACCCAACAAGTAGATGAATGACATGGGTCTATCTTTGAAAAGGAAGTCGCCCATCATAGCGAAAGGAATGGTCGTACTTAGACCAACGGTAACGGTTAAGGGCGAAGTCAAAAGCATTGCTTTGGCCCAACAAAAATCGCTGATGAATGTGATCAAACAATTGAAAACCACAATGGACACAATTCTCGGTGTCTTTGGCAATTCAAAGGTTTCCCAACCCATGACGTGCAAGAAAATGATGGTGGGCCATAGTAGAACAAGGGTGAGCAAGCCAACGAAGCCGAAGAAGATTTTCATGTTGACCCTGCTTTCATCCTTAATACGCCACTTTAGAAGTGTACAGTAAAGACCGTAACAGAGAGCGCCCGAAAGAGCTAGTAAATTCCCACAAAAAGTCACAAACGCATCGGGGTTGGACTTGTCGTCGTGAAATCTAAAAGGAATTGCCAAATGAACCTGATCAGTTTTAGCCGAGCTCTGAGCGTCAGACTTGGTAACCAGCACAATTCCCACGAAGGAAACCAAAGAGCCGAGGATCTTGATGCGGTTAATACTTTCAACGTGAAACAAGGACCCAACTAGGAGAGTGAAGAAAGACGACGTAGATGAAAGGATGGTCTGGGAGGCCACAGACGTGTAGGATAAAGATGCGTTTGTGACGAGATTGGCCAGGAACCACAGAATACAAAATTGGGCGCTGAGCTGTATCGTGGCGGGCAAAGAAAGTTTGGCACCTGTGAATGCATCTGCAAGAACCGAGTCGCTGTCCTTAGGGACCAGAGGCGATGTAGAAGTCGTTAGCTCGGTAGTTGCGGAATGTGTTCGCAGGGGCACGTGAGCCTCTTCATCGTCAGATGGTCGCAGTCCTTCTTCTTCAATGACAAGCTCACGATGTATTTGAAACTTCCCAGTTTTCCAGTAATTAGAGCACACTGCTTTGAATGTGGGTAGGAGGTAGAATACGAACGATGCCGTATTAATATATGTGAGGAAAAACGGTTTTCTGTAGGATCCGTCTTCGAAAATGAGGTTTATCAGAAAAGATGAAAGAATCCAAAGGACAACAACAATGCCAAGGAAAATCAAGCCCAACGTCCATTTTTTATTGGCCGTTCCAGCCATCTTGTGTGTATAGGTAAACGTAGAAAAAAAAAAGCGAAGTTTTCGAATGCGCCAAAGTTCGATTCGGGTTCCAAAAGAAAAATCCAGGGGACGGACTAGTACACCGGACAGATAGTTCCCTAATCGAAACCTGTTTTCTGATCTTGTTGGCTCTTTTCTGCAGCTGAAATTTGCCAAAAAAAATGTACCACACTAATTACGGTGAAATGGAATCTCTATTGCACCAACTAGGCATCAATATTATCGATGGGTAGAAAATCCACAACGGTGTTTGACAGTGTGAGTTGACCAGAATCAATCTAACAGCTAAAGCTTGCCGAATGTGATGAGCTCTTGGGAGCGAAGAGCATCGATCCATGAGAAGTTCTATCTGACGAGTGAAAAACATCCCAAATCGTGATGATGCTCATCGTTAACGAAAAGGCGCCACAGTAAGATACGGCGAGGTGATTAAATCAATAATTGCAGATAATTACTGGATTGATAATCGCATGAAATGGTAAACTGACCCGTAACAATCACGTTCAATCGAGAATGAAACTTGGGCGCGAGTTGGACGAGGTTAGGCACAAAAGAATGTCGGATTCGAGGAAAAAGATCGCTGTTTGAACGGTGATAAACGTCATCACTTTTGACGAAATACGAATTAACAGTGATGGAAGCCCGACCGGTGTCAAATACTTGCCCGGAGAATTCCTTTGATTCGGATTTTACCAAGGCTGACGATTTCGGACAACTTTAGTGTTGCGTTTGGGGATGAAAAGCTTTTGTTGTATGCAATGGTGTTTAGACTCGGCTTGGGGAAGTATGAAAATGAAGAAAACAGCAGGAGCAGGACTCTCGCTACTAAAGTTAGAAATGGGGTGGGGGGAGGGGGGTGAAGTCTCAGCTGTGGTACAGAAAATTCACTCTGATAATAACAAGCTTGATCACTCGGGTGGGAAATAACTCCAAGCTGAATTGGGGATAACAATTGTGCTTCAGACGCGATCGACTCGAGTCGTTCACTTTCTCTCTAATAACGCGTATATCACCTTTCCTTAACCTGTCGCTGACGCAGGTCACGTGTTTTGTCGATTCTTCGAAACATAATAGCGTATAATTCGTCACTGATCCCAGCCAAGATGGCTGCAAGCTCTAAGAGACCTTCCACTTTTTTCCCACTAGGCTCACACACTTTCACAGGAAACACTGCTGAATCCTACAATTTTTTTATTCTGATTTTCAGAGGAAGATGGCAGTTTTCGTGAAGCAACTAGCATAGAGACTTGAAATGGAGGCACAGCTTGTGTGATAGTTTTCAGGTTATCTGATCAGTGCTAGGTCTACTACTAACCTTATCACTATTGTTTTCGCTGTCGTCGCCCTCTCAACGTGTATAATGATGTAAGGGAAACTTTCATTTTCAGTGTATTCAGTCTGATACTCACTAAAGTTCATCAATCTTCAGCATTAAGTTTCTTACTTCTCTCGGCAAACAATCCGACAGCTTGACGCTTACCAACGTCTCAATCTGGATAAAATAGAATGGGTATGTTAAGCACGATACAAATTTAACCTATGTGGGAATTTCAAGCCAGTTTTTAGCGTCATTTTCGGCGAAACTTTTGAATCAAAATGCTAACATGTTATTTAATCACATTATGGTAGCCTCTGCAGCAAATGGTAACTCCAATAAGAAGAAAATGTCTCTAGAGGAGTTCTTCAACGATAGTTCGTTGGGGGACTCTGTGTGGGACGAGGAAGATATAAATTTGGAGGCGATTTCGTCGCCTCTCACCAATACCACTAGCATTGATGTTCTAAAGCACACTCCCGTAAGACTGGCAACGCGCGGACCGGACGATCCATTTGGACACCAACATCCAAGTGCACCCATTGGGAATGCAGGTGGGTCCCAAACCATGGGACCGCCATACATTGTGAAATTTTCGCATCTTCCATCTCAATTCACCGGGCCAGAAATCGAGGATCTTTTCCAAACGAAATGTACGAAATTTATCAAATTCAAATTGTTTTGGGAGCTGAATAAGAAGCCAGCCATGGGACTTGCATTGAAAAACTCAGATTTTTTTGACGCGAATTTCACGCGTGATTCCAAGGTTTCCTTCACAGAGTTGTACTCTGCAAGGGATATGGACAAAATCTTGAGCCATTGGACTCAACCTCTTAAAGAGCTTTATGACATCACTGTCACAGCAGCGGATCGTTTGGACTTCAAAAACTACGTGGAGAAAACAAAACTTTTGAATGAATTAGACGATCCAACCAGGCCTTTTGTACCCAAGAAGGAACCTGTTAGACCTTCCAAAACCAAAGCTAATCCTTTTGGTAGTGCTAAGCCAGCTGATACTCAAACACTTACGAACGATATTGAGGACAAATTCAGCAAACTCCACGTCGAAGACACAAGGACCCTCAGAAGACTTTCCAACGAAAGTGAACCAATGGCTAACCCTAAACCATTGAGTTATTCGGCGATCTTGAAGAAATCTGTAGATGCTGCGGCAAGTCAGTCTCCTAGCCCTCAGTTGCCACCGCCCTTGCCAAAGGAGGATGCTGAACCTGAGGAAACGACACATGAAGTTTTTGAAGACGAGAAGAAACCAAGCGACGAACTGGACGATGACGAAAATCACAACAATCAAACTCAGCAATCGTTCGATAGCTTCACGTTCAAAGATACGGACTCAAGAGGACACGGCGGATATCGTGGCGGCCGTGGCAGCGGTAGAGGAGGCCGGGGTGGCCGTGGTGGCAGGGGTGACCGCAGTGATCGTGGTGGCGACAGGGGAAACTACCGTGGTCGTGGAGGATACTCAAGGGACGGCGAAGCCGGTCGTAAGTATGAAGATTCTCGTTCCAGAGGAGGAAAGTTCCAAAGCCCTAGAGACGACAATCCTTATTCTGTGTTCCGTCCGGCCAGCGGTTTTCTAAGAGAAAACGCCAATTCCAATAGCCCAAGAGGAAGAGGAGGAAGAGGAGGAAGAGGCGGCGGTGGCCGCGGTTTTTCTGGTGCGGATCGCGGCAGAGGAGCTTACCGTGGGAATCGCGGCGGCTTCACGCCAGTTTAACGACAATCGAACGGCAAGGAGGAAGCATAACGTTAATTACAGCTGCTCAGCTTTTCGATTTCGCATGTATGTACATTAGTGGTAAAAAAGCAAATTCTTCTGATTTAGTTTCGTCTTTCGTACAGCAGCTTACACACTTCGGTGATCGGCAGATCCAACACACCACTAGTCTCTTTATGTGCGTACTGATCTAAAAATTCCTGATATGTTGACGTTTCTGCAACATTTGCACGGGTGTCTGTAAGTGTTCGAATGTCGTTGAGCGGTACCGTTAAGACATCTTCATTATAAGCCAAAATACCCAAATACGTGAAAAGCATCCCCATCAATACAGTGCATTCTATCACCGCTATCCAGTAGCGTTGCGGCAAAACATCCACAACTTCTTGTACAAATGAGATTACATCGTTTTTAAGACAAGGTTGCTCACTTTTATATATACTTAAGTCCGGAAGTATGGACCAAGTTATTACAAACCATAGAAGAAATGTGACGGCGAAAAATTGAGAGAACCCAAGGTATTCGCGTGGGGAAGAGTTCCTTAACATACTTAATGATTTATTTCTAGAAGCATCAACTTTTGGGCTCGATGCTTATGCTAGTGAACTTTGTTAATTATTCAAGGCCTCTCTTTCGATCATCCGTCTACACGAAAAATTTAGGCGGGCACGAATGAATCTATAAAGACAACTTTGTATATCCTGAGTATAATGAATTGACCATCTCAACCATCACGATTTCATTCTAGAGATAGCTGCTGTTGATTAGCTAGTTTTCTTTCCTGTCGACCTTTTTTCATGACTTGCTTTATAGCAGCGCTATCCAAGGGATCCAGCAATTCAAAACTGCAAAGTAATCCTTCACTGACGCTCATGACAGCCCCCCAATTATCAAATTCACCACAGTAGTTTGGAGCTGAAAACACTGTTACCAAACTCCTATCGTTGAAAAATTCGTAGCCATCTTCAACGACCATATGTGCCCTGCACACCAAATCGAAACCGAACTTATTCAAAAATTTGTTGATGGCGACTTTGTTGTAACAATAACTTACGCCACGTTCATTGTCCTCCCACTCGTTCGGCGAATCGGTGGGGTCGGACCATAGAAGGTCATTGATCAGACCAAAATCTGGGACGTCAGTTGGCCTGCTGACGTGACGAATTTCGTCCATAGAATTCAGCACCGGTGACAACCCGCCGTGCACGCAGAAAATTTTACCAGCAACAATAGCTGCCAATGGCAAAGTGTTGAAAGTGTCGATGAATATCTTCCAGGTTTTGATATTGCATCGACGTTTGCACTCATCGTAAAACCCATAGACTCTAGTGACGTTTGCACATTCGTGATTGCCCCTCAGTAAGAAAAAATTCTCTGGATATTTGATCTTGTAACACAGTAGAAGCAGGATGGTTTCTAACGACTGTTTGCCCCTATCGACGTAATCGCCAAGTAGTAGATAATTCGCCGCTGGTGGGAAACCACATTTCGTGAACAGTCTCAAAAGGTCAGCGTACTGACCATGCACATCTCCAACGATTTTTACAGGCGGCGAAAGCTCGAGAAGTGATGGTTGAGATAGGAAAATTTCGCGCACTTGGTTGCAGATTTGAGCAATTTCGGAATTCTTTAAACAAACGTTCTTGGTACGCTTACCAGAATAACCGGCATCTAAAAGCTTTTGAATAGTTTCATCGATATCGATAGGCCTTATTGATTTTTTACGTTTTGTAGTCTTCGTGGTAATCGACGTGTTGGTGTCGTCGTCAACATCGGCACTATGCGAAACGTCGTGCGGGTATTCATCAATGGAATTTCGCCTCGATCTTGAACGCAATACTTGAGGACTACCGTTGTGAGTATCCGATTGTTTATCGGCGAAATATTCGTCTTGAGAGTTTTTGAAAACTCCAGGAGAATTCAGTGGGGTGCTATATGCAGTGTTGCCCATCGAGCTACCAAAAGACGATTTTCGGCTGTGATTGCCCGCGGATGAATGCGACGATGTACGTGTCGGTTGTACCGGTATGGAACCATCGGGCACGTCCAAATGGGAGCCGGTTTTCCGCCTGGAACTGGAAGACGCGCTATTACTCCTGCTAGCTGCAGAAGGCGACTTTTGAGAATATCGTCTGGAATCGTTGCTTTTGCGACGATGGTGGTGAATTTCGTTTTCGTCATTTTCATCGTCCGTTACTGCAGACTCATGGTACGTCGTACTATTACCGGCGCCGCCACCGCCGAGACTGGAAATTGTGGTTGAATTTTTCAAAATCGGCGATTTGGGTTCCATTTGTATCATTGACGGAGGCAGGTCTCCACTCACCACCTGAGACTGAAATTTGCTGTAGGTGTTGGCCACACTATTGGAGCTTCCACGATGCGAAAGAGGCGGCTGAGATCCGGAAATGGCACTATTTCGCCTGGAGAAAGATGCTGTGGCTTTGAGCATTTCAGGCTGTGTTTCCAAGTTTGGGTCTGAATCGTAAGCAGCACCAGCAGGAACACCAGAAGACGACTGTGATCGTTTGGATTTCGCCGATTTCACAGATCGTGAGGATTTCACAGACTTTCCAGATTGTGCAGTATCTGTGCGTGTAAATGCCGTTGTGGTATCACTCCCGCTTTTTTTTTTCCTTGAAGATGGTTTCGAGCTAGTGTTCCCCATGATGTGAAGTTAGGTTGACGTTGCGTCCTGCCGTGTTGATCCTGTAACTACTTTTCAAGTTACTTTGGGTTCGATCTTAGAGTTGGTCAAGGTTCCCTCCTCAGCAACAATTTTATGAATATCCTGTATATTCCCTTAAAGAATATCGCCATGTACGTCTCCAGATCTACAAGAGCATTTCCCAGGTTGACGATTGAGAAAGTCGATTTAAGGCTTGGATTCAAACCAATTGAGTGTGATAAGAGTGCTGGAAATTGTCGGTTTAGTCGGGGGAGAGATTGGCGCGATTGTAAGAGCTCAAAAACTCGCGAGAATAGAGTTAATTTCGATCTCGGAGATTTAACACTTTGGTGTTCGTTAGGAAGGCGCGGGTTTAGAATTCGTGCAATGACAGGAGGAGTTCATTGTGGTTTTGATGTTTTGGGCGAATCCGTTGGTCTTTGCAGTGGGTGGGAGGGGAAAGGTTTCGTGAGAAAAATATGAGAAATTTAGTGTTAAAGGAGGAGAATAGGAGGGGAAGTTAAAAGTTTCTTAAGCAAGCAGTTGAATGTGCTCTGCAAAGGAGTGAGGCTAGTTCTTCTTATAGTAGACGTGTCTGTGTGCATGTGTGTGGTTTTCACATTAACAGTAGGATTATTCGACATCTATAAAGTAATCTAATACAACGCGATGAGGTAGTTAAACATTGAGAATTGGTGACATTGAAAAGGATAAGAGAATCAACCCCAAGGTGGGTGATGCATGATATTTGGAACGTTGCTTATAACAAGAGGAAGAATTTGGAATAAAAATTTATGGATTAGGCCAGGATACCATTGAAAAATTGGGAATTGGGTGTATAATTTCGTGACGTTGTTGCCTAACCCCGCTGAAGCTCAAAATCGATATTTCAGCATGAAGACTGTTTAAAACATCAGGATTAGGATAGTAGGGTTTCTTCTGGAAGGTGCCACATTAGAAGTAAGTGACAATTCCACAATTTCCACGGAATAGGGCGTAAATTGTATGACAAGCACGATAAAAGTGTTGCAACGTGTCGGAAACACTCTTGTATTCCACCTGGTGCATTATTAGCCTGTGGAAATTGTTCTCTACCGCCAACTCTAATGATGAAGGAAGATCACGCGATATAGAATTTTGCTCTAACCGATAAAAACCGATCTGCAATGGAACGACACGATATAATGGTTCACAACAATATTACCTTTGAAGACGAATTTGAGGGCAAAAGTGAGAACAAATCTGGAGGGTGCCGAGTGGCACTTAAAATCTTGATATTACATGTACAACTGATGCAATTGCACTCGAACAAGAAGAAATATTTTATTCAGCCTACAGGCTAATCTGTATCGAGAGGTAACCATAAACTAGAACGATAATTTACACTTTACAGTAATGGGAAAAATCACCAAGGGAAAGGGACGTTTACCGTGCAGCGACACTCCACAGATAGAGTCTCAACACGAGTGTAAAGAAAAAGCGACACGCAGAGCGACTTGAAAGTGGATCGAAACGAGGACGCAAGTGAAGTCCAGCTTGCTTGTGGAATGAGTTCACTAGATGGTTTTTCCAATAGAGGCAAGACACCGTATATGGTGGAGGTTTCGAGCGGAAAATAACTCCTAAACTCGTGTCAAATCTGCTTCTTTTGTCCGGTTTCATTTCCGTGCACGTGACACAATGTCAACGACAGAATTGACCGCGTTTTTTAGTAGTCCCGTCATTGCACACATATTGAGTAAGAGCTGGATAGAACTTGTGTTCACCTTACTGTAGCGGCGTCCATTTTGGAATCTTAAGTAGCAGAAGCAAGGCGTCTTTTACTACACACTACTTAGGCGTTTCATCATGACTGATCGCTAGCGCTTCGTAGCTGCATAATTGTCGGAACATCTGTATGTCTAGTCACGCACACGTGATACAATGACAGCGACAGAATTGACAACATATCTCAAGAATCTAAAACAAGTACTGATTTCACAGGAACTAAACTGATTGAACCGAGTGATACCACTTGCATTGTTGAACAGATCCTAGATTGGCCCATTTTCACCATTTGTACTCAGAATGCTTGAACTTTTTTACACCCGGGGACGGAACATTTCCAAGAATTTGTATAAGAAGAAACGATTTATCGACCCCACAAGCTAATTCCATTTATGCCCGGTGAAGTGACTCTAAGTCGATAAATAAGTAGTTTGAATCCTATAATAATGAATAGAATTACCCAAGAAATGGAACTTTTTATTGAGGCTCGGCAGTGTTCGAGTTGTTAAACTGATTAGTTTGCCCAGTCATGATTTGCTCTAAGTGAATGGCTAAAGTTATGGATTCGAATTATCTCTCCGTGGTTCATTTGGTTACAAGTTTGATACATTCTGTTTGACCAAACCACGGACATTTAAACGATTTTTGGAGCAGCAATAGCAAACAATCGGTAACGCCCTGGAACCCAGCCATTAGCAAAGATTGCTTGATAAAAGTCCCGGATTGATTGCAAATTCTGCATAGATTGACGTATGGTTGCTTCATATTTTTATGGTTGGTACATTTCACATTAGCGCTTAATGTGTCATTACCTGATTACGCAATTTGGCACATTCCCATGTAGTTTGCCAATCCTAATGGTACTCCAGAGAGCATCAGCACGAGTATGAACAGTTCACAATTGATCGCTGAAGCTCTCAATTGGCTTACTGTAATTGTTGCATTCTGCTACTCACAATTGATTGCTGAAGCTTTCAATTGATCTACTATACTTGTGGTGTTCTATGTTCATGTGCTCGCTGAGGCTCTCAATTGTTTTACTGTATTAGTTGCCACGCTGTTGCTCCCAATTATAGTCACCACTTTTATTTTCAACAGATCGCTGTCGCTTTTAATTGTTAGACTATGCTGATACTCATCACATTTATTCACAAGTAATCACTGACGATCTCAATTGTTCAAATATACTTGTAGTCTTACTCACAACCGATCGCTGACGATCTCAATTGTCTAATAGCCATCAAGTTTATTCACAACTGATCGCTGTCGCTCTCAATTGTTCAAATATACTTGTAGTCTTCTTAATTCGCAATTGATCGCTGACGCTCTCAATTGTTCAAATATACTTGTAGTCTTTTACTCACAAGTGATCGCTGTCGCTCTCAATTGTCTAATAGACATCACATTTATTCACAACTGATCGCTGATGCTCTCAATTGTTCAAATACACTAATAGTCATCACATTTATTCACAACTGATCGCTGACGCTCTCAATTGTTCAAATATACTTGCAGTCTTTTACTCACAACTGATCGCTGACGCTCTCAATTGTTCAAATATACTTGCAGTCTTTTACTCACAATTGATCGCTGACGCTCTCAATTGTTCAAACACACTGATAGTCAAAATTCCCAAGGTGTTAACTACAGAAGAAATGAACCCACTAGTTAGTGGTAGCAATTTGAAAGCCTAGTTTAAGTCCTGGTTATCCATCGGTGTGAAACTTCAGGTGTGCAAATTGCACTGCAATACCGAGTACATGAATCGAATTTTACCTGGTGTTGTTCCACCATAGTCAAACACCCATCTTGTAGTGCTGAACCTTCCCTGGCTATCGCTAGTATCTTTTGTGTCTGATGTCCTCCACTCTCTTGACTCTGTTTCTTGATGCTGTTGCCTCAAGGTCCGATAAGATAAATGCCGCCCAATATCACACGTGACATCCACAAAAACTAAACCCTGGTTGGGCCCGCCGCCCCCTTTTTTTTGTCATTTCTTTTCTCTCTCTTTTTTTTTCGGGTCTTTTCTTTTCGGGGTAAAACACTCCCTCCCCTTTTCGAGCACGTGATTATTTTCTGCTTACCTAAGAATCTCAGAGTTTATGGATTACCTAAGCATCACCGTCATCTTTCATTTCTTGACATTGTCGTGGAAAATGACACACTCTGAAAAACTATGTATATATGTATATATATCTCTCTCTATAGATTATACGTAATTTCAACTATCATGTTAAAAAACCCATCAAGAACACCGTACAACCCGTGAAAAACAATCCCAAAGTTGTACTCACACGACGGCTCAGCAAGCTTTATATAATCTACCCAAGCTTGCCGAGTTTCTCAACCTACCCAAACCACACGTTTCTTTGGTTTCCAAGTCGTGGCACTTCCAGAATACGTCTTCTCATATCGGCCTTTTCCTTAACTCGTCTTCTCGCAAGCAGAGCTAGGTCCCACCGAAATTGAATCGGTCCACATCGCCAGAAGCTCACCAGTGGGAAACGAAGAAGACCGGCCTGAGTGCCAGGAATAGACAGAGAGAGAAAACCAGAGGCAAAGAACAAGAAGATAAAGCGAAGGGGAAGATCCATAATAAGAGAGAGAAAGCAGTGTGTAGTGGCAATAGCGATCGTAACAAACAATGGAACACACTCGCACACAGACTAACACACCCCCTGCAGAAGCAGTAGGGCTGCATGGAGATCGCAGAAGAGGATCCAGCGGGAACGCTGCCGTGGTAACGGCAGCAGTAGGAGTAGGAGTGGCAGGCCGATCAGGGCCAGGTTCAGGGTCAGAATCAGGACCGGCATCCTCGTCGTCGTCGTCCTCTTCGACCTCAGTGTCGCCTCCGGCTGGTGGCAATGGTGGTAGTGGCACAACCAGAACGATGGCGTCGACAACCACAGAGTCACATCGTACGGCGAACGGCGATTACGTGGGTGACGTAAGGGCATCGTCAGACCATGGAACAATCACACCGTCTCAACATGTGGGAAGTGAACCTTCCAGCCAACCACAACAGGAACAACACAACGAAGAACTGCCACAAGACCCGCATCAGGTATATTTTCAACCACCTGCGCTTTTCAAACCGTTTGATGGAAAAACCGGCCGGTTCTTAGGGTCCCCCAATCGGATCGATCCTGCAGTTGCGACGGCAGATTCTCTGGCACCACAGACTGTATCTGCAGACTTGGACGACGAAATGAGATCCGGGATTAGCGACAGGCCTGATTTGGCGGCTTTGGCGTCTCTCAAGGCCTCTGCAGGCAAAAGCAACAAGTTCAGATCACTTTCGGTGCCTTCGATCCTGCATTCATCGTTGCGGACCATGGGGCTTTCTACCACAGGCGGTCTCTTCACTCTGCAACAGCAGCAGCACCAACAACAACGACAAGAACAACAACAACAGCAGCTTCTACTTCTACAGCAACAACAACAGCTCGAAGATCGCCAGAAATTGGGCAACGAACACATCAACGTGCATCCACAGCTGCCGGCACAGCAATCTGCGCTGCACTTGAACCGCGGAATCAAAAAGAAAAGACAAAGTAAGCATTCGGCGTCCTTACGCCATGCTCTTCTCATGCACCAGGGCATGCAGTCTTCAAACCACAAAGTCAGTCTCACAGACCGAATCAAGTACATGAAATCGTACCCTGGGCCAATGCCCTTGCCACCGATAAATTTGCAATGTTTGAAAGAAATTGACCTTCAAGAAATCGTGAAAAATCCTCAATTGCGGCACGACATAATATTTGATCCTCTACTGCAGTTCAGACCCAACTTGGACGGTGAAAGAGGCTTCAAGAAAAAACAAGTTTCTGAGAAATATTGGTACGACGTGGAAAATGAAATCTTTGTTTACAAATGGAAACCAGAAACGTTCAAAATGAATCAAACTCGATTGGTTCCTCTATTCAATAGTCTGAAAGAAGTTTTGACCACAATAGTTCCACAAAAGGAGGTACACACAGTGGAAAATGTTTTGGACACAGAGTTACTCGTTCAAGAGCTGCTTAAGGGTTCTTTGATGATGTCTAGTTTTGCTGACTGGCTTGCTCAATTGTTCAAACATCACTGTGCACCCATGCGAGATCCCTGGGTTGACAAGATGAGTTCCAAATTTAAAGAATCAGAAGATGAAAAATCTGTACCCAAACTTGTGGAAGGTCTGAGACTGGTGTTCCAGATACTTGAAGCCATGAAACTCGATATTGCTAACCATCAAATCAGGATTTTGAGACCCGCACTGTTGAGCAATGCGGTAGAGTTTGAAAAACAGTATTTCCAATCGCTGATGACCACCAATAGGGTTGACCTCAAATCTTCTTTTAAGTGGTTCCAAGATAAATGTGTGGAATACCAACAGTCGGCACTTGAATCTAATCAACGTTATCAAGCGCCTGAGGTGTACCGGTTTTGCATAAGAAGCATTATTAGTCTGCTTTCCTGCAGAAAGATGGTGCGGGACTATCCTACATCTTTGTCGTTCGACCATGCTCGCCTTGTCCTTCTCAGAGCAGATATACGGCAGATTGTATGTCTTTTGGTTTGTCGGTTGCTTTTTAAGCAACTGGTAACCAATGACACCACCATGGACAAACCCATGAAGGAGCACATACTGAACTCTTACACCAACAGAAAGTTAAAAGACGAGATTGTCAGCATTATAACGGACGAACATGGCAATTGTAGGTGGACTAAGAATACCATGGCTATTGCCATTCATTTTTGCAAAACGATAAGCGATTTGAGACAGGATTATCTGCTACAGAGAACGATGCAGGACGTCACACTGGCGCGGTCCACTTCGGAATCTCACCCCATTGTTCAAGCCCCTAGTTTGAACAATGCACAGATCGATTTCTCCAAGTCCTGGCTCTCGAAACAGACACAGCCTTTGAGTGAAGTTTATGGCGTGTTAGAGACCCGCGTGTTGCAGCAGTTAGAAAACAGCATTTTTTCACGTTCCGGCTGTACCCAGGATGGTACTATCAAACAGAACTTCGTTCATCTCTGCAGCACCATGACGGCGAACAACGGATCTACGAAGTCTGCTGCCGCTAGCTCACGGACAAGACCTAATACCAGCTCTTCTACAACCTTCAAAGAGGTATTTGCCCTTCAGCAACAGCAGCAGCAACAACAAGAACAAGAACAACAACAACAGCATAAGCAACAGCCTGTATCCGCACAGGGATCATCTGGTGGCCTTGCCACAGTTGACATGGAAGAGTTCGAAAGTCTTTTCTGTCATTTATATACGTTAGTGAACTTCCACTGGTCGGTTTTTGGGTGTCTCTACATGGATTATTTGGGAGACAAAATGGAAGCGGTTCACTAGCCAGACATTCAGAATAAATAGCATTTCAATCAGACTTTAGTATCGTTTAAAACTGTCATTGGCTTCTACTGACGACAGCTCTCGAGATTTGTCTTATGCCACCACACGGCTGCGTCATGTAACCGTTCGACAAATATGTCCTTGTACGAAATGCTAAATCTCGACATATTCAATAACATACGTTGAACCTCACATATCAACCATAAAAGAGTGCGTAAAATAGGAGCAAGCACTTGCCATTGAGCTTCGACAGTGCTCGAGTCTTGGTTAACTGCACAAGCTGTTCGTTTTGAAATTTGTTATCATATATTTTCGCTTAAAAAAACGCTGTTGGGGAGGTGGTAGACGAGGATAAAACGTAGGTGGAAAAACTAGCATTATAGAAAGTCGTGGGAAGCTCATCGTATCAATGAGTCTCTCCACTAGAAAGGTTTCGCCGCTAGAGGGGTTAAGAAGCAATGGAGACAAAAAATCCGAGGTTTTGGTCTTGCGGGAAAGAGGAAATAGCACTGCGTCTTTCGAAAGTGTGAAAACCACGGAAAGATTGCTGGACCGTCTTGATTTGAGTGAAGACGACGAAGCATTGCTGCAACAAGCCCTCAAGGAAGCACACGCTCAAAACTTGGCTGGTGTCACTCTCAAAAATTATGAAAATCGTGCAGTTTGCGTTCCAGCGTCAGCATTCCCATCTTTGAGGAAAAGTAGCGGATCAAGTGTTCAATCTGATGGAAGTGAATACAAGCCACTTATGCATATATTGAAAGAGCTATCTGAAAAGGAGAAAATTACGGTCTCGAAGAAAAAACAGGTGGAGCTGCATTTGCCTAGAAGCAGATATTCGTATTTTGTTGAAGAAGACAGTGATGAGGAACAGAACGGGGCAGTTTTGGACACCCAGGCCGGCACAGTAAACTTTGAGCGCTTTAGATCTAAGACTGCGACCGGGCCAACATTGTCAAAATCAGTATCTCATACCTCGGAACCCGATATTATCAATAATTTTTCATCCACACCTCAACGGCTCACATCAAAGAACACGGGTCTCAATTCGAAGGATTATCACTTGGCTCATATACAGGGAACGGGCAGTTCTACTTCATTAGAAACTAAAGGTCTCATAAAGCGCAGTACCCAGTCTTCAATAGACAGTGACGTATCCGGAGAGAGCGATAAGAAATCCCAACATGTAGATGAAGCGCCACGTTGGATATTTACGACTCCCATGAAACCAGGCTCCGCTTCTTCTTCACAACAAAATTCACTATCGCCTTCAAAACGGTCGAGCCAACAGAAAGGGCATAAGAAAACGCCATCATCTTTTTTCAAAAATTTCTTCAAGTCTCCCAAGATCACTGATTCGCGACCTGAGATGGTAAAGGTTAAATCCACAGGCTCGACACCTAATTCGACACCAAGCTCGACTCCAACGAGTGCGAAATTCAAGTTCCCATCTATTCAAACGGAGGCACTTCGTTCCTCAGAGTCACGTAACAGTCCTCCACTAACAGCATCATCAGACTTAACTCCACGATTCCCTCCTCGTGCCAAAAATTCGCATTTTGACCACAATAGAGCTTCATCGGATCCCAATGTTCTAGTTTCACGCAGAAATGAGATGGAGGGAACTAAAGGCGGTGGTCGCCGTAACAAACCCGACACGCACATTTATGGTCTGGTGCGGCCTAGGACACACGAAACGACAATACGACAATCACAAAACGACGTACCGCCGAACGCTGACGCCAGGATCAAGATGGTGATAGAGCTCAGAAACCGTGGTAACCTAAAGGCATCGACGGAGCATTTGAAAGCGCTATGCGGGATGCAAAACCCGACCGGATATCTTCTTTTTGGACTAGCGCTGAGGTATGGCTCAGGCGTCGACAAAGATTACTCGCAATCACTCATGTATCTCAAAAGGGCCGCTGATATCCGTTCAGAAGAGGACGAGATATTTTCTCTGGACATGGATCCCCTCAAGCTCACAGATGTCCCACACGTGCCGCCAGAACCCCAGGCTCCTGCACTCTACGAGTGCGGCATGTCCTATCTCAAGGGCTACGGTGTAGACGAAATGGACGAGATCAAAGGAATCAAGTACCTCGAAAAGGCTGCGTCTTTGGGCCATCTTGATTCCATGTGCTTGAGTGGCACGCTGTGGTCCAAAAGCTCCGCAAAAAGGGCCAAAGACAAATCCCGCGCCGCGGCGTGGTTCCGATTGGCTGATAGAAGAGGAGCAGATCTCATAGGTGCCGATTGGATATACAAAGACAAGTACCAGAGTCGAAGCATCGACAGTTTGTAATATTTTTAATTTCTGCATTTGCGCATAATAGAAAAAGCCACTCATCAAACAGCCAAGAGCTAGAAACAGGCCCTTATAAACCTGGAAACATTGGTCTTGACCTCCGTCTTTCTTAATTGTCGTCTAATCATTGGACATTATTGAATTAAGAGTATTAGTTATAACTTACCAACTTGCCTTACAGAGAAGACAAAAGAGTAGCAACAAAGCTCAAAATTTAGGAATATACGTTCCTACTATAAACTCAAATGGTCAAAACCATAGCTAGGAGAACAAATAAAGGCCATATTCTCAACTTTATTCAAAAGCGTCGAGTTCGTTGATGTCACTTCGAACGGGGCATCGCGACATTAAATATGGTAAATTACGTATATTATTTAAGTTGAACATTCCACGAGGGAAACAACGTTATCGGAAACTTTAACTACCAACGGTAGCTACAGATTGAAGCCTTTTAGTCGAGTTCCGTTGCATTCAGAAGAGTTCAATTACTCGAAAGGAAAGCAGCTATGAAAGTATGAACTTTTTTGTTGTCTTGTTGCAATGATAAGACAGATAAAAGAGACGAACACGAAGATATTACGAGTTTGAGCTCCTTTTCGGCCCGATTTAGTAGTACTAACGATGGAATTTACAATTTTTGAAAGTTCATTGACGAGCTGGACATCGAACTTGTGAACCAAACGCTTAACTTTGACACCAGCGATTGCAGTGTAAATGGTGGATGCGATATTTTTACCACCAAGGCAGTAGCGTCTGATAAGAAACTTTACAAGACTATCGATAGACACTTGGATTCACTTCTGGTGGAAAATGAGGGTTTCAACAGTGCTGTGCAGCAGCAACTTGCGCTGGAGAACTTGGAAACTGTGTCGTCCTCACCGTCAGAACAAGCACAACATTTGTATAACACACGTGGAGAGTCCGGATCGCCATCTTCTTCATTTTGGGAACAAAAACGACGTATTTCTGTGAGTGAAAACAACGGTGCGAATGGCTCGTCTAAGACTCATAAACTGAACGATCAGAACCTGAAAGATCTTGTCAATGCTGAATCAGGGTACGTAAGCTCTTCATCCACGGAGTCTCATTCCCGCCCAGCGGCAGCTAACGGTGGTCTGAGGCGTAGCAGTAGCTCCCAAAGTATGGCCTTCGGCTCCAATCTGCAAAGAAGAAGGTCTTCAACTCATAAAGAAAGTGTTAATATCGGTCCGTTTGGACCGATAAACGAAACCGCAAGCAGAAGAACTTTTGCCTACTTGATAGCCATTTTGAATGCGTCTTATCCGGATCACGATTTTGCGTCTTTAGAGCCTACCGATTTTGTCAAGAGTTCCATGAAGTCTTTGATATCTAAATTTGAAAATACTCTGATTTCCTTTGGCAAGCAGCCTCAGGAGTGGATATGGGAAACCATAAATTCTCATATGGATGTTTCAGACTGCGCCATTTACCGCTATAAGCCCTCAAAATCCTTTTTAGATGATGAACCAGGGCATTTGTGGAGTTTGATGTGGTTCTTGTTCAATAAGAAGAGAAAGAGAGTGGCATACCTTTATCTCAATGTTTTCAGGTTGAAAAGTGCTTCCTCTGAAAATATTATACGGCCGGGAGTCTCCGAGGAATACGAGGATGATCAAGAGAAGGAACAAGCAGGCACACGGCGTAGGCGGAAACTGACGATCGATCATGAAACCAATGCCTTTGAAGGTGAATATGACCTAACGTGTAACTCAAACGATGAAGTGGCTATTGAGGAAGAAGATGAGGCCATGGAACAATAAGCATAGCAGAGCTAATGCTTTATTTTCTGTCACCTTACCACTAATGTCTCTGATGGATTCAGCAGATCATTTTTTTAAAGCCCATCGCTATCGATTGATTAACCCAAGACACATATTTTGTGCCCACAATACGCTAGATTTTACCTACGATTTGTAAAATGTCTAAACTCGCACTTCAACCTAGAAGTCGTTGTACTATAGAATGTTAATGTTTAATCCACTTTTTTGTCTGGATCTTTCTATGTGTCCTGTTCAACTTGTTTGATACTTGCAATTCCTTGCGATGAGATGATGAAATCGACATCTGGCCTCTTGGAATATTCTGATAAAACCACTCGTAACGTTCTATGAACTTGCCAAAAATTATTTGTATCCGTCATTTCATTGATATCCAGTTGCCCTTTTTTGATCAAAGGACTTGCCTTGTAGATCTTAGAAAGCATGATTCTTACCGAGATGTGATTAGCCCACGACAATCCGAGATTGGGGATCTTTGTTTCCACCTTACGCCTGCGTCCCATCGGCATTAACGGCAGGCGCGGAGAAGGTGAGTTGGATCTTCCAGAGCGAGCTGATGATGAAAGCTGCTGTGATGAGGAGCTTTTAGAGCTTTCTTTGCTGGTGTTGCTTTCGTCCCGCGGTCGTTTCCTGGCAAATGCTGCTTCTGCAACTATTTTGTAGTCCTCATCCTCAGAAAGAATATTTTCGATGTTGCTTCGTGGCTGAGTTCGTAGCGTATTGACACTGTCGGTCAGAAGCCCTTCTCGCACTTGGCGATAGTAAATGCTAGAGTCTTTCCAACCAACGGTCCAACCAACTTGGTAACTATAACCAGTGAAATCGCCGTTCGTAGAGGGATTAGGCACGGGCGTTTCAGGAACTGGTTTATCACCAACTTGATTAGCGACTACCACGGCCAATGAGTGATCATTTGCCAGCTTCAAGAGGTTTTGGGCCATCTTATCGATGTATTGTCGATTATCGTGAGAATCTCGAAAGGTTTTTCTTTCGAGCTCCACTCGAAGATGATGCGAAATCGAGTCCACTATGACAAGCTTGATGTCCGGATTTCTCTCGATAAGAACAGGGAGCTGAACCTGGAGCGTGTGCTCTTGATTGGCAAGATCGTTGCAATTGACAGTAAAAATATTGTCTTGAGAAACATGCTCAAAACCTGGCAGTAGCCTTGATTTCTGTGTAATGAGCTCCTCAAGCCTCTTTGTCGAGATACCGCCTTCCGTGGTGATGAAAACGCATTTTCCATTCAAACCTCCATTCTCAACAGGAACTTGAACAGTTAAAGCCAATTGCATGAGAAATTGAGACTTTCCCGTAGAGCTTCCGCCAAAAACTTCAGTTATACCATGCGTACGTATTCCACCACGTAAAACTTCGTCTATCCCAGCATCTCCAGATGTGAATGTTTTAACGCAATTTTGAACCACCGACAAACGGGATCGATTACGCCCAAATATAAGATCTTTATACTCATCTTTGAGAGCCCGTTGGAAACTTGTGATTTCATTAATAGAACGTGGTACTATTCTCGCGAGTTCTGCCGCTTTCAGAGTCAACAGATCCGTTACTGTAACTCGTTTCTCTATCAAACATTCCAGCACAACGGCATACTCTGCTAGAAAGGCCAATTTGCTGTTCGGCAGCTGATCATAGAGGTCCATGAAGGTGTAACGGCCAAGATCGTCAAGTTTCTTGTAAAACCGATACTTGCAAGATTTTGTTTAAGTTTGATGATACCTTGACAGAGATGACTCAAAGTGACATTAGAATTGAAATTTTGGCATATAGACGTATAAACACTAGAATTAAAGCCCAGCTCTTTGCCAAAACCGAGGATATGATTGAAGAACTTTTGTGCTCACATTCGTCAAGACACAGTGTCCTTCACAAACGGTTGGGCAACCCACCAATGACAGTAGTTTTGATGACAGTGTAGTCCTCTAGCCCGTGCAGAGAACCCTCTCTGCCGAAACCCGATTCTTTGACACCTCCGAAAGGTACCGTGCAATCACTGAACACTCCTGTGTTGACTGAAACCATACCAGTCTCAAGAGCCTCAGAAACTGTGAAAACGGTGTCAACGTTTTGGGTGAACACATAAGCTGCTAGGCCGACATCGCTATCGTTGGCGTACTTGACAACCTCTTCAGTGGTGCTGAAGGGAATGATCGCACATAGAGGTCCAAAAGTCTCCTGGGAACTCACGTCAGCGTTCTGAGGAACCCGGGTCAGAACGGTAGGAGCATAGAACGCAGGTCCCAGATCTGGTCTACGACCACCCTCAACAACCACCTTAGCTCCCTTCTCAACGGCATCTTTGACGTGTGCTTCAACTTTTTCAATCGCTTTTGGATTGATCATGGGCCCGTGCGTTACGCCGTCTTTGAGTCCGTGTCCAATAACGAATTTATTCACATGAGAGGCCAGTCTCGACGAAAATTCGTCAATAACACTTTCGTGTGCGTAGAGCCTGTTGGCACAAACGCAGGTTTGACCCAGACCTCTGAATTTCGAAGCAATGGCCTGTTCCACGGCTTTGTCAAGATCAGCATCGTCGAAAATAATAAGCGGGGCGTTACCACCGAGTTCAAACGACAATTTTTTGAGGGTAGATGCAGACTGTTTCATCAAGATCTTGCCCACATTGGTAGAGCCCGTGAAAGATACTTTTTTAACCTTTGGCGATTCACACAATTTCAAACCGAATGCCGGGGTGTCCTTGTGCGTCAATACAATGTTGAAGACACCAGCTGGGATGCCTGCCTTTTCAGCCAAGTAGGCTAGCGCAAGGGCAGACAATGGGGTTTGAGAGTCGGGTTTCAAAACAACGGTGCAACCGGCAGCGATAGCAGCAGCAGCCTTTCTGGTGATCATGGCGCTGGGGAAATTCCAGGGAGTGATAATACCGCACACACCAACAGGCTCACGACGAGTGAAAGCTCTGTTAGATGTAATGCCCGGGTTGATGGCTGTGCCGTAGATACGAGGAGCCTCTTCGGCGAACCATTCAAAAAAGGACGCAGCATATTTGACCTCTCCAATCCCCTCGGCCAAAGGCTTACCGTTTTCCCAGCTGAGCAGTTTCCCCAAATCTTCCATATTTTCAATCATCAGATTGTACAGGTTTCTGAGCCATGTGGCTCTTTGTCTGCCAGAAGTGTTTTTGAACGTTTTGAAAGCCTCGTAAGCAGCATCGATAGCTTCGTCCACGATCGCCACGTCTTGTTCTGGCAATTTGGCGATGGTTTCTCCGTTTGCAGGGTCCGTCACTTCGAAAAACTTGTCGGTTTTTTTAACCCATTGTCCGTTCACATACGCAGCGTCTCTTAGCAACTCGCTATTGTTGAAGGTTGGTCTGTACGATGTCATTGTCAAAACGATATTGATACTTGTTTTTTTTGGTTTTTGGCAACTTCGACAGGGTTCTAGTGATGAGCTTGTCGAAAAGAAGTGCGATGTGATGATCTGTTGAGATAGAACCAATTCAACCAGTTTAATCAACTCAGAATAGTAGAACTATAAATACCCTTCTGATATTTGCTTCTAATCGTACTTCCACTCACAAACTTGAGTTTTTAAATGTTTTCGGTATGTCAGCCTTGGAATCATGAATCAATCCTTCCAAACCCGCGCGCAAACCTTATTAATTGAATATTGAGATAAACGCAAGTGAGAATTAGACGATGTCTTATCATGTTACAGTTTTGGTGACGCTTGCGTGACATCGGTGTGACAACTGCGTGACGAGAATAACCATGGTAGTTGTTATTCACCCATGCTTTGCGGGCGGTGGGCCCGATGGTCTTTGGAATTGTGCATTTGCAGTAGGCGTGGTGGGTGTGGTCGAGCCTGTAGTGTCAGTTACCTCTGTTGTAGTTGGAGGCGGTACGTTTGGTCTCTGGAATTGATGAGCTGCTTCAGAATAATAGTCGTCATCGTCACGAACTACTGCAGGTGGAGGTTGCGAAGGCGAAGAGACGTTGCCGTACTGTTGCTGTTGGTCTGCATTGGGTGGTGGACCCTGCATCGAAGCATCCTGGGTGCGGTGAAATTTGCCGTTTTGGTCGAAAAACCCTGCATCGTTCACGTTGGCCGTGGCAGAATACTCAGGAACCGGGTTTTGGTCGGTAGGAAGATTGTACTGGTTCTGCGATACACCGTACGACGGAGGAGCCAGCCACGCAGTTCCTCTGATGGGGTTTACACCGTTTCTGCGTCGTCTCACGTTGATCATGAAAATCCACAGCACAATACCAACACCCAGCACGATAAACAGCAGCCACCGGCCCCACACCCAGCTGCTACTGCTGTAGCTAGTGCCGTAGTAGCCGACTAAGCCAAAGTTAGTAATCGTTCAAACCCGCCTTTTTCATGAGTTTTTCGTTTCGATACATACATCTCTTGTTCAGTATCACAGCCATCTTAGAGGTAATGGTGGAAAATTTGGAAATGCTCGGAAAGATGTCCCTGAAGAAAGGTGTTTCTCGAAACAGTGATGAAATTGGGCTGCAAGAGGCTTTCAAACGGTAGTCCGAACCGAAACAAGTTGAGTTGTCTGCGTCTTGTTTTCGCAGATTTCACTTTCTTTAATAACATTTTTTTCCAGCCCATTTCAGGTGGCCGAAAACTGACGGGGAAGGCTGGAGAAACCTTGCGACTGTTTAGATGCAGGGACCACCCTTGGAAGGGCTTAGTTTGAGGAATAAAGAACAAACTGAAAACGGATGGCAAGAAGGAGATAACGGAAGAACACCGTAAATGCGGCTTGTGTGTTGGTCGCAATCGTTTCTTGCTTTTCTTCTAACAACGAATACTTCATGCTGGCGATAATTGACGATGATCATGGGCTTGGCAGATGGAGGTACTGAGGAGGCACTGACGAGGCACTGTAAAAATCGACCCGAAGCTGCGCCAAAAATGCATGGAAGCGTGGATCAGGGAGTTGAAGGCTCGTTTTTTATTTGTCATACTTGTCAGTGGAGGTACGGATAAGATCTTGTAACTCTCTTGGCGTGGTAGTACACCGAGTTCATGTAGTGAATGTTAAAATGACCATGTAGGCTCTTGTGGCGGTGGAAAGGTCCCCCTTTTTTTTTTTTTTGGTTTCTGAGACTATGAAACAAGTGCAAGCACGACAGTTGGAAATATACATTTCCCACAGCTCTCGCTGTTTGCAAGTATCCACAATTTTAACTCACCCCACATTTCGTTTTGTCTATCTAGCGGACCACAAACTCCTGCTCCATCATCAAATCCTGGTCATCGCTCAACCCTGGCGGTTGTGCGTGGATCAAAAGCTTGGCCAATCGGTCCATTTGACATTCGTTGATGGCCACTCCTCGTTTCAACGAAAACGGTTGCCTGCACATCGGACACAATCCTTTGGCGGTCGAGGTATCAAGCCACTGCTGTATGCAATGAACATGGAAATTGTGGTTGCAATCGCCAACAACAAGCGGGCAATCATCGCCGGGAAACTTACAGCTGGGACATGTACCGTTGTAGCTGACTCGGCAGATCCCACACACGTCTTCTTCACCGCCCTCATTCTCCTTTGGCGGATTGTCGTCGCCACAAATATCCCAAGACCATGAAAACACTGGATACACTTTTGTGAACTCCAAGAGCATTGTTCGATAGTGCAATTTAAGCACTCTCAAATGACACACGAGTGATTCAAATCCAAAGCGATTGACCGTTGACTTGCCCCACAAAAGATGGGCATCAGATCTCAGAATGACACTTTTATCGCACGTACTCTTCCACGAAATGAGACGCAAATCACGTTCGTATGAAGTTATGTATAGCACGTGATCGCACCACTGAACATTTCATTGATCCTACATACAGCAACGAAATACCTGGTCTTTCAATGAGACCGACTCCAAAGCCCACTTGATGGGCTCAAATTACGAAAACAAAGCGCACCAGAGTTGTGTAACCCACCAAACTCTATCTTGGTGCTGTTAGTGTTGACTCGGCACGTGACGAGAAAATAATATCAAATCAAGAGGTCTTTTCTTCAACCCGAGAAATTCTAATTATTAGAAGGCTTCTCCTTTTTAGAAATCGTGAAATCCTTGCCTGCCCATTCCTTGAGCGACTCTAGCAAAAGACCCTCGTCGTGCAGAGCTTTGAAATCGTCGAACCCACCACGTGACTTACCGTTGATCACCACATTGGGCACCGTTGAACGCCCTGTTTGCAAGCCAATGTACGATTGTAGCGCCGCCATGTGCTCGTGTTTGTCTAGTTCCACCACACGGTACTCTGGCGTGAAAGAAAATTCCTTGGCAAGTAGGTTTTTCATGTTTTTGCTGAACGGACACCCGGTCTTAGAAAAGACGATCATCGGAGACGACGTCAAAATCATCTGGTATTCCTTTGCGGGATCGAACTCGGCGTCCTGCGCGTTGGTCTGTGGTCTGGGCAGTTTGTGCTCGATTTCGTCCTTCATGCCGATCTCCTGCTTGATACTTTCTATTTCTTGTTGAACTTTTGCATCTGTCTTGACACTTTCCTCGGGTCTGGGCTTTGCTTTGCCCGATTTGCCGTTCACTGTTGTGACCACACTTTTGACCGTAGTACTACTTCTATCGCTTGCGCTGCTGTCACTTTCAAGGTTTGTAGATGTGATATTGGCGTGTTCAACAACGAAGTAGACCAACGCAAAGAGGATCCCGGTGAAAAAGAGAACTCTTATGTTCTTCTTGGGCGCCATCCTTCAGTATTCGTACTGACCTACACGACTATGCACTGTGAGGGAGTCCTATGAAGCGTTATAGACCTCGTAGAAAGGCCTCAAACTCAACTGCTATTGTAAATCAAACGTCTTCAAAACAAATCCAAATTCGATGGTATCATATCTTCTTACTTATAAATGATTTGCACAATTAGCGATATCATTGTGTACGAACGTGTTCGAGGAAATGTAAAACGTCATTATAGGCAGCTTTCTCGAAAAACTAGAGAACGTCAGTTAATACAGAACCCCACATCTCACTGGTAATAATAGTATCCAGAATATTGTCATGAATTTTGCTCGCATTGTTGGACGGTTAGAGACGTATTCTGGGTGAAAAAATTGGGATCTAGGTAATATATATGACGTGCAAGTAATTAGTTGTCGCTCGACAAACCGTGTACACGGCCTCCAAAACTAATGACACAATTTTTTGAGATCGAGTCCTGTAACAATTGAAATCACTTATGAAGAACCAACTGATCCGTAAAATACATGAACAGCATCATTCGTTGAAATGAGGGAAATTTCGTGTGTGGCACAAGGTCGTTTCTTTGGATATTCTGTATTTTTTGGGGCCATATGCCCACGTTCAGTCCATTCCAGACCGAAAGGTAGACAGACAAGATATGAAAAGAACCATAAATCGTGAGATTTGGCCATACCCACATGGAAGAGTTGCAATGCGCGATTTAAGATGAACCGATCGCCTTCAGGTGAGTTTTCTCCAAAAACTGCAGTCTATCAGAGATGTAGGAGCACATCTGATGCCATTTTCTACGATCGTTGCCCAGTTTATCGTCCAGGTATTTGAAGTGGAAACGCTGGGTGCACAGATAATGTTTGAAAGCACGGAAATTCTCCAGCTCCAGATCGTAGCCGTTGAGCCGTTTCAAGTTCGTGTACGAACGAATATGTTCTCCTTCCACAATAAGGTCCTGATCAGACCACAACGTGAAGGGATCGAACTTTGGAAGATTCGAATGAACAAACATGATGTCGACTTCTTTGCGGTCTTCGGGCTCGAAATACGTCTTGTAGACTGTCTCTGGTGAGTAATTGGGATCCAGTTTGATGGCTGCGTCCGACTTGTCAGAATATCTGCTATTAATTTCGTTGGAGGCCCACCTATAGCGCTGGTGGTCTTGTACAAAGTCGTGCTGCAACATGGCAACACCTCTGAACCCCGTGGGTTGATGGTAGCCGTCCACAGCGGTCACAGACTTTACTTGATATGAAGGCAACCCGTAGTAATTGGCAGCGGCAATGAAAGTCTCTTTATCACCTTCACCAGAAGCCTTCTGCGAGAAAATAGGGTAGTACCACGAGGGCCCGTTGACGTTGTAGTACAACGAGAGCAGCACAGTAGGTAAATGCTTATTTTTGCTGATCATGAGTTGGCCTGATTCGGTCGACACGTCAGGTATCGTACACTCCAGGTCGTGAAGTGGGACGTCCGACAAATCCGACATATCAGGAGTGTATGCTCGTGGAGGAGTAATATCATCCATACAGTTCCGTACCCTTTTCTTGTAGTTGACTGCAATATCTGCAATATCATAGTAAGCTGGATTGGTTGTGCGTCTCCAGAAATCGGGCCACAGCACCATACCGGTGCTTGTGTAAGGTTCTCCTTCGAAGATGTCATCCAATGGCTTGATAGGGAAATTATCCGCATCCAAAAGTAAGAGGTTTTCGAAACTCGACGCAATTATCGAGATAGACTTAAATTGGTACCCTTTGAAGTCGAAATTGTCAATTACATCATCAGGCAGCACATCTGAGATGAAAATACATTTGGCGTTGTACTTTGGCAGCAAGATGTTACAAAACTCTTCTTCGCCTTCGTCCTTAGGAGGGATGAACACTTCCACTGGTAGTGTGGTGCCTAAGTTTCGTAATGTTTTGATGATTAAGAACGAAAGCATCGAAAACTTGCCGCCACCCACGGTGACGATCCCGTCGCCTTTGTAAGTTCCCTTAGGCAGCACCAGCTGCTCCAGGCTTTCTACGTAGTCGCGATGCTTTGTTTTGAGCAACTGTTTTTCCTTCGGCGAAATGATCAAACACTCGCCCAAGTTCTTGCTCGTCAATTTCGACCAGTTGTCGTAGTCATCGGGACGAGCACCAATGTCGCCATTGAGCTTGCATCTTGTGTCGTATTGGCGTGCAGACTTACCCATGGGCGAATTCATTCGCAGACTGTGGAAAACCTGTTTGAAGAACTGCTGCATGTCCTCTTTGTGCTTTTTGGCCGCTGTAGCCTCGGCTGCTACCGGATCTGTGGTATCTTTGGCAAACGAAGATCCCACATTTTTAGCCCCACGCTCGTCGCCAAAAATCTGTTTGCTGGCTTTGGTGGCAAATGCCAAATTCTTGCCCTTTTCAGAGCCCTTATCTTCTGCCCCACCATTGCCTCCCGTGTATGTGTCGATGTAGTCCTGCAAGTATTTGCGGTACTCTCGCGATGATATGTCCCTGTCTACATATCTGCTGGATAGCACAAAAGCAATGCAGAATAAAGCAGCCACCAGAGACACCTTGAAGACCTTGGAAAACCTTTTTGTTAGCAGAACCATCCTAAAATTCCGGAAACTGATCAATCAATTAAACGCGACAGCTCTATCTTGTTTCTTGGCCAATTCGCCCCGTTTCAAAGCCTCCCAATAGAACAAGCCACGCTGGATAATCTCCAATGCAACGCAAGAGTGGAACAGTTGACCTTTCCAAGCTTTTGCAATGATCCAACTCGATTCTTCGCCCTTGGTTAAGATCTATAAACAGTTGTCTTCCGGGCACACTCAAAGTTTCCAGGTAGTCCTAAAAAAAATGTTCATTAAGATCACACTCGACGAAAATCGACAATTTTAAAAGGGTGCGTTGACTCACGTGTCCTTGGTATAGTCATTTGAGAACAACGATAATGCTATCGAAATAGCCGCTGACGGGAAACTCAGAGGTTTCTAGCGACTTTGAATATTGTCCGAACGGAGTTGGCAATATCAAGATCATGCTGCTGCAGTCCCAGCTTGTCAACGATAGTATTGGTGGGTGTAGACGCGGAAATCGTAGAGATGTAATCTTGGAACAAAAGTGGGCCCTTTTCACGCAACAGACAGAGCTGCGACTTGATGAAATGTTTGCATTCCGGGTCCTTCATCCGCTTGAGCTGGTCTAGCGATTTCAGGGTCGCCAGCTGTGTATGATAGTCATGACACAGGCGCCAGCCGTTTGTCTGGATGTCAGGTCTGGAACGCAATTTAGCAAGTAGATTGGCTGACTTAGTGCTGTTGAGTTGCGATTCGTAAACGAGTTGCGCCACTTCAAGGCCCCACGCCTCGCTTGCGGTCATTTGCGCCGTCAAATTAGTGCCATGTTGCTGTATAAACTGATCAATGGAAGTGTTTCGTTCGACAAGGCCCATCATCATCTCTCGCAAGTTCCCACCAAGTACAGCAGCGTTATCCTGTCGTAGGTAGCTCGTAACTACGGTGCAGCTCTTTGCCATGGGGCCTAGTACCGAGAAATCGCGGTTATCGTTCAGTTCAACAGGCATATTCTTGTCAACGGATATTCCGTGGTTGAGATTGTACAAACATAGATGACGCCAGGAGTCGTTCAACTTTCTTAACAGTCCACCGCGTTTGTCGTTAAATAGACGCGCCTGCAACAAGCGCTCGCCCTGCTTAGACCACCGCCCTGTCGACCGCGCTATTTTATCGTGTAGTTCGAGCATGCCTAGAATTTTCCCATAGCTTTGTCGCTCAAACGCAATCTGAATGAATCGGGGAAGGTTATCAATCGACTCGTAAACGTTGTCGCTGGCCTCAACTTGCTCAAAGAAAGTATGGCCCTTAACGGGGAAAAGTGAAGCGTATCTTGTGGTCATCAGGAAGTCCATGGTATCTACCTGTAAGTTTTTGACCTTGAGTTGTGCGTAGTGGCTGAAGGCCAGAGAGGGACACCCCAGATGATTATAAAGAACGACCAACCAAACTCTGGTATCGAAGTTGTATGGATCGAGAGTTTGATATTGCTCTAAAATGACAATGCTAGCCAACAAATTCTGGAATGTAATGTTTGTATCGTTGATCAGCGACTCAACAATTTTCAGTATGAAATACGAGCAAGGAGAGTAATCTGTCTTGAGTTTTGCATCAAGATCCCCTTTGTATTTCCTAAAAAGCGTTATGAAATGCTCTGAATCTTGGATCTCGGTGAGTCGAGAGTAGTTGCAGTCGTGCATGATCCCACTTTCGAATTTTTTAAAGCTTTGTTCAATCGCTTCCGATGTAAGCTTCTCTCCATAACTCTTTAAATCGGAAACGCAACAAGGCTTGTCGTGGAACCTTTCAAGGTACTGCTCTAGGCTCTTTTCGGAGATGGATTCACAGTACACTGAGTCCATATGCAAATACGCCAGACGATGATTTCTGGAATCGCGTGCTTTTATGATAATCTCTACTTCTTTGCGCGGTATCTGGCGTATTTTCGCGCTCTCGATGAGTTGCGTCAATAGCCCGAAATCGTCAAGTAGTGTCAAAAGACGCCTACACACCTCTATTAGGTTGGCATGATCCTCCAGGGCCTTCAGATGCGTTAAAAGGAAGTTTTTGAGATACAGGTCAACGGAAAACTCATTGTCCGTGTCATTCAAAAAGAGTGGAAGCAATTCATCCACGATTGCCCGAGACTTATCCCCGCAGACCTCGCAAACGTGACAGAAAATGACCCTTTCCTGATCTGAACGGAAAGGTCTGAGCGTCTCGATGGTTTTGTAAGCCAACATGGCATTCAGCTGGCGTTCTTTCGTACTGAACTGGTCAGCCTGGAGTTTCAAGGATACAACCGTGGAAAGCGCGTACCAAAATTGTACCATACGTGGGTCCTGAGCCCAGCGACGCAGCTGGAACGACGATTGCGCCATATTTCGATAGTTGGAGTCCTCAATGGCTTTACAAAACCACGCGTAGCCAATATCTGCGCTTGGATACTTTTGCATTGCCAGTTTGTACGCTTCCAACGCACGATCTGGCTGGCCCAATTCGAGACGAAATCGATGCAGCAGTGCCAGCGACCGAAGGTCGCTTGGCACGCCGCAATTTGCCAGTGTTTGTTCCAGCGATGTAACCTCATTACCCTTATTACTATTCAACCGGAACCGCACGTATTGTTCCAAGATCTTGGCATAGCTTGCCTTTGGAAACTTAGCACACAGTTTCCCACTCAATCGCACCGCCAGTTTACCGTTTTCGCTGTTTAAAGCGTCCAGAATTTCATCACCGGCAGCCTCCATCACTAACGCTGGTCCCAAATGTAGAAAACAACACTTACGGTCCTGGTTTAACGGTTTTTCAACGGTCAGTTTTGTTAAACTTCCTAAATTTCACTATGAATTTCGTTAAACGCTCTATAATTCAAGAAAATCGAATCATTTTGCACGTCCTCAATAGTGAAAAATTTTAGTATTGGAATATAGTGAAAGAAAATAAGATGAGATGAGATGAGATGAGCTAGCGATGAGGTAGGAAGTGAAGAATTGAACTCGTTAAACAGAGCCTGTTTGTGAGGTTTTTTTAGTGAGACTGTAATCGTTGAATACCGATAAGTACAAGCAAAAATGTCGTCGATTCACAAAGTTCTTGCGGGCAAAAAAAGTGGGAAATCAAGCTCAAAAGAGGAAAACATTTCTCACATGAATAAGCAGCGTACGCTACTCATTTCATCAAGAGGTGTTACTTACAGACACAGACACCTAATCCAGGATCTTCACAGTTTGCTTCCACAATCTCGTAAGGAGCCTAAACTGGACACGAAGAAAGATCTGGGCCAACTCAATGAAATCGCAGAATTGTACAACTGCAATAACGTGGTTTTTTTCGAGGCCCGTAAGCACCAGGACCTCTACATGTGGTTGTCCAAGCCTCCCAACGGACCCACCATCAAGTTCTACCTCCAAAACCTGCATACGATGGACGAACTGAATTTCACCGGTAACTGTCTAAAGGGCTCGAGACCCGTGCTGTCGTTCGACGCCCGTTTCGACACCAGTCCACACTATAAGCTTATCAAGGAGATGTTCATTCACAACTTTGGTGTTCCACCCAACGCACGTAAGTCTAAGCCGTTCATAGACCACGTCATGTCGTTCAGCATCGTGGACGACAAGATCTGGGTCAGAACTTACGAGATTGCGCACAAGGCCAGAAACCAGGACGAATACGAAGAAGGTGACTCGCGGGATGCCAAAGAAGACGTTTCTTTGGTCGAAATAGGGCCCCGTTTCGTGATGACTGTGATTTTGATACTCGAGGGCTCGTTTGGAGGCCCCAAGATCTACGAAAACAGACAATACGTGTCGCCCAACGTGGTGAGGGCCCAGGCAAAGCAACAGGCCGCCCAAGACGCCCGTAGTAGGTCCGATGCGGCCGAGCAGCGCAAAATCCGCAGACGTGAAAACGTGCTAGCTGCAGACCCATTGTCCAACGATGTGGTGTTCAAGAACTGAGGGCCACATTTTGGAACACCGGAAGGCCCAAAGAAAGAAAAAAAAAGGAAGAATATTAGCCTATGTACATTAAATCGAAAAGAAACTTAGTTTTTCCCAGTGCGCTGGTTCCACTTTTGGGTTGATTCATTTTTTTCTGCCCTTAGCCTGAGGCAGCTAAACACAGCTGTATATTTCATTTCATGGATCTATTCAGATACTCACAACAGATCTTGCTTCTATCTAATGTTTCTTCTCGGCGTTCTCAGTGTGCTTCGCAAGATACTCAGCAATGAATTTCTCCTCTTCCTTCGAGCCAGCTTTGATGTCAACCTGTTTAGCGGACGAGGCGAAAGGGTTTGGCAATGCCACCAAAGAAACGGCAGCGATGGTCGCCAAAGCAAGCTGGTGTGGTAGAACAGTTCTACCCAAGATATGGTACGCAGCACCCATGTTTCGAGAGTTCGTGATTCGTTGGATACGGCTATTGTTTTAGACACTTTCAATCCTTCAATAGGATAACACGAATTTATTGCCTCGAGATTTTTCAATATTCGATATTTGATCAACGATCGCTGTGAACGAAGCTCGAAATTCAAATTATAGTTCGAACTCATTGGTGAATATAACAGATCAAAGATGAGCGTTTGATACCTGATTTGGTCGGCAAGATAGCATGTATGCGGCGTTTAGAGTAGCACGACGTGAATCCTGGGTTCTAAAAGGTGTGAAAGACAAGAAGAATTGGGTGTCGTTGGTAGTATGGATGGGAAATGATTGAGCAATGAAGGGTGCAGAATTTCTTGTGGCACACACGGCGTCATTTTGTGAGATTTGTTTCTCGGAGGTGAATCAATGATTGATGACTATGTTAATGCTGATGTGTGTGTGCGCAAGCTTGCTGCGGTGGTATCATTGTGCTTTTGTGCAATTACGACACCAGTTGCACTCTTCATGAATATGGAAAGTTTGAAATTTAACGTTTTCTCCGTAACTACAGTTTCCATTAGCATTGCGCCTCCGTGCAGTAAACATGTCTTTGATGAGAATTAACCCAGAATATCCACAATTTTAATATTTGGGATCTCCACCGGGGTTCGAACCCGAGAACTCGGAGATTTCGTCGTGGGAAATGAGTGAAACTTATCCAGGGTCTAATCTCATAACCAAAATGACATTAACACAGGTGCACTCACACAACCTTTACGGTTAGCAGACACTCATATCTTCTTCCCCCTGCTCTATTATCCACTGAAATTCCTCGATAAACTATCAACTACACACGATGGGATCCCCTCTCTGGCTTTTCGCCATATTTGTGTCTTCAGTCAGAGCGTTCTCCCTCTGGGAAGCCTTCGTTGGGTCAGATCCCTTCCATGGTCCCAGAAATCAAATTCAAAAGCTTTTAGACCGCCCTAGCTTGACAGAAACAGGCTTCAGCGTTTACCGTTCCGATATCGACCGCGATTATGCAATGAGAATCAAAGAAGTAGACCCTTCCAAGCTTGGAATTGACTCTACAAAGCAGTATTCTGGATACCTTGACTACCAAGATTCGAAGCACTTCTTCTACTGGAGTTTTGAGTCGAGAAACGATCCTAAAAATGACCCCGTTATCCTGTGGCTCAATGGTGGTCCCGGGTGTTCTTCACTTACCGGTCTGTTCTTCGAGCTAGGTCCATCGTCTATCGGCCCAGATCTCAAACCGATTCACAATCCTTATTCTTGGAATAACAACGCGACTGTCATCTTTTTGGACCAACCAATTGGCGTGGGCTTTTCTTGGGGCAATGATAGAATCGCTACCACAAATGCAGCAGGAAAAGACGTTTACATTTTCTTGGAACTTTTCTTCCAAAAATTCCCTCACTTGAGATCTAATGATTTCCACATTGCAGGTGAGTCCTATGCTGGTCACTATATTCCAGATATTGCCCACGAAATTGCAGTCGTTCATGAGCACGACAAAACTTTTAAGTTAACGTCGGTGTTGATTGGCAACGGATTCACCGATCCTCTGGTGCAATACGACTATTATGAGCCCATGGCTTGTGGTAAAGGTGGACACCAAGCTGTGATTTCAAAAGAAGAATGTGCAAAAATGCGTACTGACATGCCACGCTGCGCTATCCTAAACCAAGCTTGTTATTCCACCGGATCGACATTCGCCTGTATTGCTGCAGCGACATATTGTGAACAAATGGCGATGAGTGCCTACAGCAAAACAAATCTCAACGTTTATGATATCCGCAGTAAATGTGAGGACGAGGAGGGTGATACTTGTTACAAGGGAATAGGATATGTTGAAGATTACATGAACCTTCCATATGTGCAGACAGCGGTAGGGTCAGACATTTCAAAGTTCAAAGGTTGTGATAACGATGTTTTTCTTTCGTTTGCGTTGACTGGAGACTCCAATCGTCCTTTTCAACAATACGTTGCCGAATTAGTCAACAGAGACGTTCCCGTTTTGATATACGCCGGAGATAAGGATTTCATCTGTAATTGGCTTGGTAACAAGGCCTGGATTGAGTCCCTAGAGTGGAAACATCAAGAAGAGTTTGGCCCACTGCCTTTGAAGCCATGGCTTTCTAAGCATACAAAAGAAAGTTTAGGCGAAGTCAAAAGTTTTGGTTCTCTCACCTTTTTGAGAGTATTTGACGCAGGCCACATGGTGCCATACGATCAGCCAGAAAGCAGTTTGGAAATGATAAACAGATGGGTAGCAGGTGAGTACAAACTTGGCTATAAACATTAACCATTTTTTAAAGCCTTTATTTACAGATTTTTACCTCTATGATCCATTTTGTATGCCGACAAAAGAGAATGTATGCGACTTACTATTTCCACGCACTCTGCCGGGTTAACTGCTTCAAAATAGTAACGCTTCAGTCCAGTGGGCCGGTTGACGAAAATTTTGAAGTATTCTGGGATACGCTTCGACTTCCGAACAAGGACGACCTGGCTCATGTGAAAACATTTGGTCTTACCGTGGTCTTGGTGCCAGTTAAACCCGTTCTCAGGAGGTATGATGTAAATGTAATCCCCATCAATAGCGAGTGTTCTTTCATGTTTGTTTATGAAAGAAATTTGTTGTCGTCTCCAAACTCTGTACTTATAGTAAGCACCGACAAAAGCATCTTTATAACTTGTATCGAGGTTCATCGCCGATCGGTCAGAGGAAGATGGTCGATTACTTGCGTTAGCACTATTGCGTAGCGAGGATTTCGAATTATTTTTGAGCTTGAAAAAGCCACCAGCGCCTGTGTTGAAGTCGTTGCTATGGGACGATTTGTGATGTAGTCCACGCTTGGATTTGATAGACCCCCTCTTGCTGGGAGCCGATGATGGTTTATTAGGTGTCGTGTCTGTATGCCCCGCACCATCGGCCGCTTTCAACGTATCCACTGCGGCCAAATACTGATCTCTGCTGTCCATCGCCACTGGAGTAAGGTCCGCACTTTGAATTGTGGGAAGAGCGGGCTTTCCGAAAGTAGCTTTACTCATTTTTTTAAGACCCGAAGCCTTCACTTCTTTTTTCGATATCAATTCCAGGTCGAAGTTCCCATCCAACTCACCGAGGCTATCGTCCAGGTCCACAATTGTTCGCCTGCCGCTAAGCTTCAATGTATAATCCGAAGAATCCATTGATTTCATAGAGCAATACTTTGCTAATATCGTTCGCAGAGGCGTAGAGATGGGCACTTTAATTGTCGTAAAATTGTAAGCAGGATTTAAGTTAGGAAAGAGAAAAATCTTGACATCTATTAGTTTACCTTCCTGATTACTCGAGTCTTTGAACTTGGTCTGTAGAATAGGTTTGTAATAACTTAATTGATTGAGAGAGTCGCTGTGTATTGTTGTGGGAGGATCTTCCGCTTCTTTTCTATCGTCGTTTTCTTCTTCTTCATATGGTAATGGCGTTTCTCTTTCGTTCTGTTTAAACTCTGACTCATCTTTTACTTTGCATAGTACGATTTCGTTGTCAAAAACACTGGATATCTTGCTTTTCCTATTAATAGTCCCAAAGTTGTCTTCGAATGGTTCTCCATCTTCATCCACTATTTTGAGATTGAACATGTTGGGGTTCCTGCTTTCTTTTCTTGTAAGAACGTCACCGTCGTCAAGCGCTTTCAACTGAGAAAAGTAATGATACAGTATGTATCCGATCACTTCGAAAACTGTGGCCGATTTTCTGACGGCCAAGTCTAGCGGGTGGTTTCTGTACTTGAATGAGTCTTGAATGTAGACATGATATAATGTTGATTCTGACTTGGCAACTTGCTTTCCTGACACAAATGAGAAATAATCCATTGTATCGACGTTTTTATTTTTTTTCTGTTTGAGGATACTGGTTAGTTGTGAAGTGCCCTGATTAGTAGAACCTAGAAGTGGAGCTTTTGCAAAAATAGTTGAATCAAGAATAGGTTTCGAAGTTCGAACGTTTTTGGTGTAATCACTTGTCGTTCTCCGGTGTCTATTCCAATTTTTGACAGAACCGTTCATGCCGTTTGGTACGTTAACTTGTAGAGAACCTCTCGACCACCTAGAGGGGCTCGAAGGTGTTGGGTTGCCTCTCCTGTCCGCCGAGGCACTTTGGAGCGAGTTTCGGACAGAGGAGCTGTTCGAACTGTCGGCTTTCTTGTACCCGTTGAGGTTCAATGGAGTGCCATCATTGATAAAAGTAGATCGCTGGCTTGCTTCCATTAATTTGAAAGCATGAGAACGGGGAACAGAATGTTCTGGCATGGAGTTTGAAGCTAGCAGTTCATCAGCTATCATTGAATCTTCTAGTAATGATCCTCCGGTTATATGTGCACGGGTATAGCTAGAGTCGTCTAAATTGTCGATATCCGAATCTAGCAGAGACTTTCCATAGGAAGAAAGCTCCGAAGATGTAAAGCTGCCTTCATCAGAAAGCGAATTGGTGTCACTATTAAGCCTTCGAGTGGCAGATGCGTTTTGTCTATTCTCGTCACTTTCGTCTCCAGCGGACGTCCTTAATTTTCCTTCATCAAGATCGAGCTCCTTCAGATCATTTTCATCCATGTATGAGTCTAGATCTGAGTCATGACCTTTTTCAGAAGAACGACCCAAGTGGTTGCCATCTTCGGCTGATTTCGCTACTTTGCGATCTATAAGATTGAGCACTGAACTGCTTTTTCCACCGGAGGATGTTCCAAGGACATTTTGACCATAGCGCGGTAGATGTCCCAATTTTGAAAGCTTGTTGTTCTTTGCATCATCGCTCTTTGGTAAGCCACCAAGGAAAAACTCGTCATTTCGATAAGCATCATCATCATCGTCTTCGTCATCTTCGTCGTCATCCAAAGTTTCGTCATAGTTGAATGCACCGTCATAAAATCGCAAATTTGTGTTTTGTACTCCAGAAGGTTTTTGACGTGGAGTTTTTGAGTTGCTGTGGGCACGAATGGTGTTGCGCTCATCCAAATCGGTATTATTGTGCGCTTTGAAAATTCTGGAAAACAAGGCTCCTTTTTTGGATTTGGGATCCTGGGGAGGACGTGGTGTTGAGCGACTCAAAGAAGGGTTCCTCTGTTTGATAGAGCCACGCGGGCTTCTTTTGATTGTTGGGGCCACTCCGTCTGACTGCTTCGATGTGATCGAACTGGTGGTGCTTATTAACGTTTCTTTCTTATCATCCGTAAAATTTTCAGCCAAGAGATCATCAGTTGTACCATTAGCGTTGGAAAGACGCCTCTCCGTCCCATGGATATCCCGGGCAGATGGTTTTTTTTGGTTGAATCTTGTCCTTTGGAGAGATTCCAAATTCGCCATATAGTTCTGAGAAATTGGCGGCGACTCCAAAGTCAACAAAAGATCAGCCCCGCTATCTCCACAGTACAGTTTTTTAACATCAGCAGGCAGCCCATCGTAATCGTCTTCATTGCCCAAAAAGGGTTTAATTATACGTTTTGCTTGTTGCTCGTCTGACGAGTTACGCAGAAAGGATACTCTCAGTTGGTTGATTGATCGCACGGTATCCATAGCACTATCGTGGTCATGGCAGAGAGATGGGGGTCAAAAAATATTGTCTTATTCCCACACTTTGTCTTCTTGATGTAGGTGAAGCTGATGATGGGCACCCCATAGTAATCTCAAGTGGCCTAATAAATTATAATCTTTAGTCGTCAATAGCGATGTATCAGTATCTTAGGCGAGAACTAAACATTAAGCTTTCTAGGAGTTGTCCTAGTATCTCTGTGAATAAAGAAGACTGATATGGAATGGTTAAGCTTGGTTCAATATTGCCCAAATGCCGACTGCTGATGAAAAGGTAACTGAGATGACTATTCTATTATTATCCCTTCGTACGATTGTGACGTTGATTTGATAGTCGACCATTTTCGAAAGGGCTGTTCCTCTTAGGTCAGAGTGAAATATCGCATTGTATTAAAGTATGTATAATGTTTGCTGGTATAGGCACTAGTTCCGGTTTGTCAATTTGTGGATAAAATACTGAGAAGCAAGTTTAGACAAATCAATCCAAAAATGCAAATAGATTTACTAAACGTCATAAGAAGAGCACACTTCTTCGATGCAAAAATTGCCCAAATCCCAATTAATCATCCATCATAATTAAGATTCTTCAACCTCTTCTTTAAGCTATGATGTCAGGTTTCTTGTGGTACGTTTACTTAAACTGACGTCTGTCTCTAATTTTGTTAGTGAAAATTAATGAACCTCGAGATGAGATGAGATGAGATGAGATGTGAGATGAGATAAGTTGAAGTTAACTCAAAATTGAAGATATACATACAAAACGGTAAGCCTACACCTGTCTTAACCTTGTTTCGAGTAGTTTTGAGATAGTGAAGTGTGGTTCTTTCCTTTCGGTTCTTTTTCGTAACCATCAACCTCAGGAAGCTGGAATCAATCATTGAAGCGAACCGTCATCATGGTATTGTCGTCAAACTGGCTGAAACTTCAGGCCACCCAGAGCTCTAAGACTCCCACAAAGCACGTTACGAATTCTAAGAAAAACGATACAACAAATGCTGCCTTCAAAAAAGTCAAGAAGGCAACGAAAAAAGCAGCCAAATTCGGGGATGACGGCGTTGTGAGCTCTCGAGATATTAAGACAGTCGCGAAGGCCAAAGACGCGAGGACACCCGTCAGAAGCAAAAAAAATCTCATGAAGATGGTGAATTCCATGACCGAGGAAATCAACAGACTAGAGGATCAGAAAGTAAAGGCCAATAATACCGGAGACTCCTATGCTCTTGCTGCTGAACTCGAACATTCACTAAAAGCCGATACCCAGGACAGAAGCTCTCATAGATCTGCCGAAGTGGGTAAGTACGTTTCCCTAGATTGTGAGTTTGTGGGTGTAGGGCCTGAAGGAAAAGACTCAGCTCTTGCTAGAGCGACGGTGGTTAATTTCTTTGGCCACGTTGTGCTAGATGTTCTCGTTAAACCGCGCGAAAAAGTCACCGACTGGAGGACGTGGGTTAGTGGTATACGGCCTCAGGATATGCACAGAGCGGTTTCGTTCCCTTTAGCGCAGACACAGGTTGCTGAAACCCTCAAAGATAGAATACTAGTAGGACATGCCATAAATCACGATCTCCAGGCGCTGTTTCTTTCGCACCCACGTAGTATGATTAGGGATACTTCCAGACACATACCATTCAGGAAGAAGTACGCAGGTGGCAAAACTCCCAGCTTAAAGAAGCTGGCCAAAGAGGTACTAGGAGTCGACATTCAAGGCGCAGAGCACTCACCGATTGAAGATGCTAGAGCCACGATGCTTATCTACAAAGCTGATCGGAAGGAGTTTGAGCGACTCCATCAGATAAAATTTGCTTCTAACACCTAGAGCTACATCATTCCGACGTAAATGCGATTAAAAGAATAAGTAAAAGTTACAAATGTACATTAAAACTCTAAAGTCTTTACATAGAATGATTAAACTAGAAACCTGTCATTCAGTCTCCTCAAGTGATTTCATCATGCGCGACATAATTTGAACGGTCAACTTCTTCCTCTCGTAAGTCGCATAAGGGTTCATTCTAATAGTACCCATGGTTTCATTTGAATTGGAGGACATATCAATCCGATCAATACCTGATAGATTCCTAGATTTCAAAAGGGCCCTTGTCTTAGCCAAATGAGCATCACAATTGGCGTATTCCCTCTCTCTTATTATCTGTTGAACAATCGAGAATACTAATTGCGGGAAATCTGACTGAGCGTCGAAGGTAGCTATGCGGTTGACCTCCGTACGAATCAGCGAATAGATCTGAATGACTTTCATGGGATTTATCTTCACCAGGTGCTGTATTAACAGCAGATATCGAGTCTTGCTTAACTCATCAGAAGAACCAGTGGCGAAGTACACGGAAGCTTGGTACAGAGCTATCAAAGAAGTCTCAGAGTCAGACTCTATCCATTCCAAAAGACTCTTTGTCACGAAATTATGCTCATCAAAATAACAAAGCTCATCATCAACTTTCAGTTCTGCGAGAACTGTACTCAATTTTGAGGGACGTGATACTTGATAAACGATCAAAAGGTAGCAGAGATGACTGTCGCCGATTGAGTACTTTAGATCTTGGTAAGCTAATGTTAGCATCAAGTTCAAACACTCGACGGACGTGGGCTTTACATGAGGAATAATCATTCCCTTGCTTATCAGATTCAAGAAAATGTGTGGAAAATTTTCCTCCGTCCACTTCAATTCGCTCATTGCCTCAAGTTCAATGAGTAGCGGCTCAGCAAAACCCCGACTAGCGAAAAGCAAGGTTCTTAATGAAACTCTTTCGGTGCTTCGATCAGCATCCGATATGCGTTTGACGGCGTTTGCCATGAAAAGTAGACCACCATGGTAGAACACAGTGTTGGGCGACTGAATAAAAGTGGTCGCTAGCCAGAAGAGCCTTTTAAGTAAAGTCGAATGTGGTTGAAGGCCTAGCACAACTTTACTATAAGTGAAACAGTGCGATATCATCAGAAACACAAGTTCATCACTGATGTATGGTTCTGCAACAGTCTTGATAGTTTGGAGCAGCATATTTCTGCATAGGAACTCGGACATCCCGTGCTGACCGATTATTCCGATTATCATGGCTGCTCTTGCGGACAAGAAAGAACCCACGTTGAACACGGCATCCATTATGTACTTGTTGTACTTTGCTTTCCACTGTACGCTATCCGTCTCCGATGCGTTTTCCATGACCGACATGATGCTGGTCACAAACTGCTCCAAAGCAGTGAACTTGCTCAAAAAGGATGACGCGCTGAAACTCTGCAAAATACGACCTTTGTCTTGGCTAAATCCAGACATGAATCTCATCTTTTGACGAGAAAAAGTCTCTTTAAGCACATCTAAGTTGCTCTTCTTCTCTGCCGACATATACTCATTAGTTGAAAGCGATTGGCACACGTTCATCAGCAGTTTATGGAGAGCCAGTCTCATTTCGGAGGGACCTACATCGATCAAAAGTGATACGATGTACAATACCTCTGGCAAAAACAATTGGGAAAGTAGCAGTGAGTCAAAAAAAAGCGCCACAGTAATGTTGACGAGTATAATTAGTTCAGACCAGCTGTTCATCGAGGCCTCCATCTTAAGAGATGGTAAAAAAGACCTCGAAAGCTTTAAAATTCTGTTCACAACCTCACTGCACATCTCTACCGTAGCCACTCTAGTTAAAAGTGAGACAGAGTTCTTCCAGTCACCCCCCTCAGAGTCCCTGTCAATAGAGTGATTCACAATTTCATCAACAATGACAGGCACAAGATTAGCTTCCAAGATCAAAACTGACCAAATACTCTGGCTATACACCATCGTCAATCTTTCATCTCTAACACTGAGCTTTATCAGCGTTCGAATGATGAAGGAAACATTATCTGGACCATTTTCATCATCAGCCAGATATACGTATTTGTACAAGTTGGCTGCCCATGGGGATAGCGCACTCACGACATGAGGCGCATGTATGACATCGAAGACTCCCGATAGGCCCTCAAGAAGCAGCTTCCACACTACCAACGATAGCTCAGGAGCTGTTTTGGATAAGCTTTGAAATAAAGAGTCGCAAAAGGCCGAAGTGTCGTGTGGCACGTACGTCTCAGGAGATATACGGAGCTTGCATCCGAAGTCTAGACCGAAAGCCTCCTGAGTTGCCGCCAAGACATTATAAGAAACGTTTTTAACCTCCTCGTCGTTGCTGCAGAACCCAGCGTAAACAACAAGTAGAAGGCTTCCAAGAATTTCATTGTGCTCCTTTTCTTCGTTCTGAATAACCTCACTTTGTTTTTGACTTTCAACGTCACCACCATCATACTCTTCTTCGATCCTAGCTTGCGCGTAATAAAAAATCTTAATGATTTCGAGATACTTCGAGCTGCAAAGGACCAGCTTCGTCCCATTGTCGAAATGAACTGTGAACTCTGAGGGAACACCGGTCTCAAATGAAACCACTGTTGATGAGACCACGGCGACCTCGTAGACACTGTTGAAATTGATCTCTACGACATCATCAATCCCAGCTACCTTAAAGCGGTAAGGAGTCTCGGAGATCATTTGAATGTACCTATTTCCAATTTTCATTGTAACGGGGGTAAAGCGGCCCCTTTGAGCATCGTAAAGAGAAACATCTCGTAGGGTGACTCTAACGTCCGAAAATACATCATTTGAAAAAGAGCTTAGCCTTAGGTCCTTGATGAGCCCTGAGTTTGAGTCGCTGTTGATGAATTGGTGGGGAGTCTTGTGTGGTTGGAGAAAAGGATTGTGTCCTTTGAAAACGGGAAGCCACCAACCCAGAAACTCTTCTGTCATGTTCAAATAAAAAAATGTGGTACAATTTTTTGCTGCTTCATCGGGTATAAGATTGAAGAAAAAAGTCGTGAGCTTTTTCCCAGCAGCGGAATTAGAGTTGAAACCTGTGCAGTCAACAACGATATAATGCTTTGAGCTCCAGATTTTCGCATAAACCTGGAACGTACGGTAAGTCATGGCCTCTATATCACATGATTGCTTCTGAAGCAACTCAAATGTGATAACAATTATGGGTAGGCCGTCAGACGAAACCGCTTCATGTATGAAAGGAAAATCGTCTTTAAAGTCAAACGTTCTCAAAGAATGCCGAGACATAAAGTCGTAAAGTTCTGGATGTTCATCCATATTATTTCTAATCCAGGGTGGTATTTCGTTTCTAAACTCCATGCGAGGTTGGCCTAAAGTCCACAGCAGTCGATCAGTGGTCCTTGCCGCACCTTTTAAGGATTCAAAATCCTCAGGGGACTTTATCTCCCTGATGATCTCACTTCTTATATCAAGCCCATGCTGATAAATATAACGGTGCAGGTAATTGAACTCATTGAGGGTGACTTTTTCTTCCATCTGAAGTTTTATAGACACATCACGGTCGGGGCGCGCTACTTCGGTTAGATACACCGAAACTCTTTCTGAGCAACTTTTTAGAAAATCTGATCTAGAGTTGAGAAGAGGCCATTTCATGGAATTAATGGAGCCATTAGCAATGTTTTGAATCACCTTAGCTAAAATGACAAATGCTCGCTTTTGCTTGGGAGTTACAGTATCAATGAGGTTTTCAGAATCGGGACTGACCAAGGCTGGACAAAAAAATCTCAAGAATACAAATGATCCTACAGCAGCAGTTTCGTAGCCTGGAAATCTTTCCCGGACGCTCATGTAAATAGCCTGACATATCAAAAAAAACTCCGGTGGAAATGATGGTACTGAGCTTACGATAGAGTCGATGAGTAATCCAAGGTACTTGATGAATAGTGTAACATTCTTTTCTGCGTTAGGGTCCTCTGGTGTTATCTTCTCGATCTCGAAGTCTTCGTTGTTCGCAATGATTTCATTTATGATGGGCATGAGCGTCTGCACTAGATATGACGTTCCTTTCAATCTCGAAAACATCGAGAGCGTTCTTGTAGCACAGCTGTTCCTCCGTAAAACATCGGCGTATCGTGAAGCATTTTGTATCTCGTCCTTCATTAGTTCGACAACAATGATATGTGAGGCACTTTTAACCCCATATATGGTCAGCATGCTGCTTGCCATAGAGTCGATGTCATTTGCAGGACATACCCTGGCAGCAAACGGAATTAATTGAGAGCAAGCTAAAGATTGCTGAACAAATTCTTCCACAAGTTTATTTTTTGTCTCTATTAATTTCGACGTTTGGAAATCAAAGTTTGATATGATCTTCACGAAAACCTTGAGGAAAGCCACTTTAATTCTTTGATTTTTGGAATATCCAATTGGAAGTGCGTATTTCAGACCTACATCCACATTCGCGTTGAGGAGATTTGTTAGGGAAGTGATAATATTATCGTTCAAAACTCCTATCTTATGGCGTAACGTTGATGGGTAAACGTCAACAGTGGATGTTTTTTCCAAACCTTTAAGCAAAATGCTGAAGTAATTACCAAAAGTTACCGCTTTCGATCTTTTCAGTTCACCTTCTGAAATTGAAAGAGGAACCTCAAGCATAAGGTCCTTTGTGATGTATGCAAGTGCCCTGGAGGACTCGATAGAAGTGTCGACATAGAGATAGTCGAGATCTCTGCGCATTAGGCTCATTTCTCGGTGAGGTTTACTCAGGTTCTCTAGGTCCAGCTCCTTAAAGATGGCTGATTTGAACCACGCAATAGTTGACCGCAGCCACTGATTTTTCACTAACAGGTATCCCGAAACACAAAGATTTTGCTCCGTAGTTTCAAATGACTTGAGCATCTTCGACAAATGAATAATAGCTTTATAGTATCTAGTCGATTCATGACTAACATTTTCGACTATTTTGAAGAGTTGGTCGGTGAGAGTTAAAACCTGAACAGAAATTAGTATGAGCTCCTGCTTGGCGTCTTCCCGTTCCAAGATAGTTCGCACAATTAAAACAATCTGCTCTAGAAGTAAAACAGAAGGCTCATTTTGCGCGTGAGCAAGATCCAAAGTCTCAAGCTCATCCGTCCTTTTCTTCAAATGTTGAAAAAGGTATTTGAAGGCAAGGGGATGCAGCTCCGTGCTCACTATGTCTTTAGAATTTTCACGCGTCATCAAGTCTGGATCGTTTAGCCACGAGCACTGCATCGAGATGAAAAAGTCAACCATTTCAATCACCTCAGCTTGCATACCAGAATATACCTGATCCTTTGTCAAGGTTTTCTGATCGATGGTAAGAAAAGCTCCACAGGATGATGCAATAAACCCTGCAATGTTCCTGAATTGGTTCGCGTCCCTAAGGTTGGTTTTAGAACTGCGCGTAAAACTGAGCCATTGACCGTACATCAGCTTCAATGTATCGAATAACATTCGGTCAGGAAATTCGACATATTTCAGAATGTCGCTTCTCATACGCCGCTGAAACGCCACCGCTCCCGTAGAAACGTAATTGTCCTTGCACATTGAGCTAAAAAAACGCTTGTTAAGCTTTTCAGTCAACCCTGAGCTGCCCAGGATCTTATCGTGAGAGTCCAGCTCTTTCAAAAGGCCTTTAAAGCAAGCCCTCAGGAGTTTGTGAATTTTTGGCTCGTGAGAAACTAATGAAGTTAAAAGAGCCCTGCCAATGGAGCCATGCAGTAAGTGGTGAGTATCCTTCTCTGAGGTTTCCAACTTGGTGACATCTATCTTGGTCATGAGTTCGAGGCGGAGATTCATGTATTTTAGAGAAATGTCTAGCAATTGTTCCCGCTTGATATCGTCCAAGTCTAAGTTGAAAAGTGCTGCGGATACCAGTGTCACGAAATACGCGGATCCCTTATACATGACCAGGCGAATTCGGTTCGCTTCGTTAGTATCTCCCAACTTCATTACCCAAGCGGTGATGAATGCAGAAAGAGAGCGCGCCGTGGCCTGCATGACAGGGTGTTCGTCGACCAATCCGACAAATAGAGGTTTTATCAACAGGTTATAATCATCAATCACTTTTATCGAACCTTGGTCAGATTTGGTCACGAAATAATCGCGGACAGTTCTTTTGTAAACGGACATGATATTGATCATTGCTGCTCTTGCATCAGCGAGATCTGCGATCGAAATGTTCTGAGATATTAGAAGAAGGCCCTCGTTGCTCAACTTTTGACCACTTGACTGTGTGAGCAAGGAAGGCAGGTTGAACTCTGATAGCTCCTTTGATCGAGAGAATCTAAGAGGAGATGTCATATTTCTGTTTGAGCTTTCGAACTGAGTTTTCGTCCCATGAGAGTACTTATCAGTCTCGTGAGGTTGTGCGAGTTTTACGTTGGTCCTACCACTCGCTGCAAGCGATGATCCTGAGGGCCTTCTGGCTCGTGGAGCAAGTATTGCTGGCCTTTCATTAGTGCTTTTCTCGTTGTATGAGCTCGCGCCAGACGATACAGACGATGAAGATGCTGTCCTAGCAATATCCGTCTGATTATTCGTTTGTTGAGGAGATGAGGTCGACGCGGGTCTGAGGGGGAAAGGTGGTGAGAAACATCTGCCAATCTTAGAAAAATCTGTTCCGTCTTTCAGAGTTCCTTCTAAAATGCCCTCCACCATCGACGAAAAGCCATCTGAGAAATGGTCAAGTGCCGCAAGTACAACGTCGGACATTTCGGCAAGTGCTACTCTTAAAAAGTCAATGGACTTGAGCACGGTCTCAAGATTAGATCTCGTAACATTTGGAATACCAAAAAAAATTTTAAATCCACCAGTGAGAGTCCTCAGATGCTTATACCCGGTATGTTTGTTTTGAGCAAATTGACCCAAGTGCAAGATAAAAGTATCAGGATCAAGTATCAGAGCAGGAGCAAAAAACGCAATCTGAAGCTTTGTATGAGAAGTTGGATTGCGAGATAGACATCTTGCAATGACAGGGTTTTTTTTTGCTTGAGATGGTTCACACAATTGCAACGCATCCCCAACAACAAACAGCAGTCGTTTGCAAAACGTTACAACCGGAGATTCTTCATCAGCAAATTTGATAGAAGAGCACGCTCTAAACGTCAAAACCAAGGTTCTCAATGTATCAAGCAGCGAAGTATCGGATACTATTTGTGACCCGTTAATATTTTTGACTAGCGTCGTCAAAAATTTAACCTTCTTGCTTGTAGGAGTAAACGAAGGAAACTTAAAATTTTGTAATTTCTTGTGGTTTGAAGGCTTTAATTTGATGAGCTGATTCTGGGGTTTTTTTTTCTCATCTTCGGAACTAGATTTCGAGAATTCTTCTAAACTTGAGCCGCCTTCATCAGGAATATGCTTGAAACTCGCTGTGTTCATTTCCTCAAAGGCGTTGGGTTGAAATAAGAGCATGACCACTAAAAACCTCAAAATTGACAGGTTGGCTACATCTTCTACCTGGAATAATGATCCTGATAGTACTGAAGACGTGAGAAAATCCCACCCTAAGGATTGCATTTGCGAATCTAAATCGGATTTTGAATACGTGAACGACCGTCTTAGATCTGAGGCATCAGATTGGAAATAGCACGCACTTCCCGAAGAGCTTATCGGTGACGACACATCAGACGATGGAGGAGAGCTTTTAAACTCTGAAATGGCAGCATTCGAGGAGGCGGTTGTCGTGAGAACATAAGAAACATTAAAGCTTGAGTAGATATCGTCAAAGAGCGTCGATGAATATTTGCACGTAGTATGGGCGGGTGCATCCTTGGGATAATTCTTCATCTCGTTGATCACTTTAACGTACTCTAAAGGCCGTGAAAGAACCCACGTCATAATTGCTTGCGATGCGTACATTAGCATCAATTCTTGATGAGGGCTTTTTTTCAAGCTCTCTAGCACTTTCGATACATTTTGGAGAAAACTCGGCAGGCTCGTGTTTGTGATGTAAAACGTCGAAAACATATCCATATAAGGCACGATGTCATTCTCATTACTGCGTGTGTTGGTCAGAGGCGCAATGATGGTGGAGTCCATGAAATCTGAAAACTCAGTAGGATTAGCAGAAGCAACGAACCGACCTAAATAGTCCAGGTTCGTGTCAATGATCTTGAAAAGTGGCGAAACCTCCTGATCTTCGGTGACACCGCCCGCTTCGAACTTACTGCTGGAAGCCGGGGGGTTGGACTGGCTAGAGTAGTGTGATGATGATGAGATTCTTCGCAAAGCGCGCTTGGTGGTGGAATTGTACTTCAGCCGACTCAGCACTTTTATAAGCCGTAGAGCAATTGCAGATTCAAGCGGTTTGGGACGTGACGTGTGAAAACACGATTTCTGCGTTGCAAAGCCCACGTCGGTTTTCGACATTGTTTCTTCTTCGTCCATCGCGTACTCCTGTGTTTCGGGCTCCCACTGCAGCTCTTGGTGCTTCCAACATAGCTCTGCCGTGTCACTGAGAAGCCGAAGCAGAACTATCAAGGAACACAGCGCTTTTTCCGACAAACTACTGGTTTTTTGCTGCTTCGTAATGATCTCGATGAGCCGCATACTTTCTTCCAGCACGGCGTCGATTCCGTACGTGGTGGCCAGATTAAAAAGAATCAAACGGCAGCTGGCGAAGGACGGTTCACTCTCCACTTCCACATATCCTCCAGTACCAGACTTTATCGGCAGTGAATTGAAGATCAATTCGTATGTAAACCTCGCTGTATTCACCGTCATTGTCGCATCAAAATTTTCGTCTCAAAAGCTTACAACCTGAAACAATTCGTACTTAGATGTAAAAAGAATTCCTTCAGTTCACGATACAGTCTAGTTCGAGTATTTGAAAGCCTGAGCTTGTTCAGCTTTACCGATGTATGCTTGTCTTGTGTTACTAGCGATAGAACATTGATCCTATATTCATGTGTATATATTACTATAAAATATCCATTAATTTACCCCGTATAAAGGGCGTAAAATTAGAAAGTCGGGAAAAGAGCTCTGACTCGGATCATGTGACCTGTGATTTGGGTTGGCGTTTTAAGCCAGAAGCATGATGGTCAAGGCTAAATGTGCGGTACGAGAAAGGATTTGAGAAGATTGAATAGCGTTTATTAGAATATTGCGATGAAACAGTGAGTTTCACCTCTTCTTTCGTAGTTTTCCTGCAATTGACTTTAAAGAAGATTTGAGAAATTTGGTACTGAAAGCTTGGTATCCAAGGCAATTAGTGGTCGCAATGGCCGACTGTTTGAGGACGTGAGAAAACTTTTCAAGTTTTCTGAATTGAACGACTCTTTTTTCCCTTCAGAACGTTTTTCGGTTTTTCAAAGGCTTATTCAACATTACATTCAAAAGTGTCAGATTCATGGGAAACGTCACGATAGTTAAAAAAATAAAGAAACCTCATCTTTTACATGATGCGTACGACCACTTTCACAATTTTGTTCTATTTGTTGTGAATCTGCCAAATCTGCTTCCAAGATATAGACCCATTTTTTGCAGTTACCAATGCAGTGCCAGCGTATTGACGTATCACTCAACGCATAGGCTGTTGCCTATAGCACAAATCACAGAAGAACGCTGAAATTATTCATGCCTGCATGGTCTCGAAGTATCTTCTTTTTGGTGAAATGCAGTGTCTTTCCGCCGGAGTTTGAGCGGTCCTGCGATTTTTCACGCTCGAACAGCAGGTATATGATCTTAGGGGATTTGTGCTCGTTGATCATTCTGTAGCCCAGATAGTTCATCATGGCACATAATGTATCCTGTGTCATATATCGAGAGTTATCCACGCATGGAAGCGGCAATACTAAGAAGACATATGTTGACGCAACATCCAATCGCAGAAAACTCTCGAATCTTTTGAGCATGGCCCCTCGAAGCTCTGGGCTTGGCACAAAATTCAGTACCAGCGAGCAAGAAATTAAATCAAACCGCTCTAAATCATCTTTCGGTATTGGGCGCTCCATAAAATCCTGGCGTTCTATGTTAGCAGGATCGTTCGAGTTCAAATCTATTCTGACCACTGGATTGAACATTCCGCTGGTGGAAATTGCATTACGAGCACTTAAAGACCCTAGCTCCAAAGCTCTATATGTTTTTCGTGAGTCCCTAATCTTCTGGAACCATTTGATCAAAATCTTCGATGAGTCCCCACCACGGTTCTTGTCCTGTCCGATTGTGCTCGCTAATTGGTAGTTCTGTAGGCCGCCACGGTCGTGAATTTCGCCCATTATGTAGCCGAGTACACGAGCAAGAGTTTGAGATTCTTTGATACCTTGTGCTTTGAGCATCTGTTCTTCCAATTGGGCGTCCGGGTGGGAAGCTTTCCAGCCTTCGCGATACTGAGACATGAGCCCTAACAGCTCAAGTTTTTTATTTACGGTTTTCGCCGTACCAGCCTCATCGTTTTCAGCAAGCTTGAACTTCAGTTTAACTGCGATGATTCGCCTTTTGTTAATCAGCAAATGGAATCGTCTTATAATTCGTCTTGCTCGCTCAGGTTTAATTTTGGGTGCTTGTTGTAACACTGGCCTTCCAGTAACGGTCTTGCGCCGTTTCAGTAACATTAATACTCTCGTTACAGCTGTTGGAGCGATATCAGTCGACAACAATGAGTCTTTGTTGGCCTGCTCTTATAGTCCATGTTCTCCAGATTTTTTAGCTCATCGCATCTCATCTCATCTCATCCCATCGTCAATATCCAAAAATTTTCAGATACTCATCGGGCATCCAAAAAACCAACTACTAAACAACAAAGAGAACTAGCTGTGTATGTACCTAGTATGACTAGCAAGCTTGTTCAAAGGCTACTTAAAGGCCGGAACCTTGATAAGAAGAATTCTGGCGCTAAAAATGGTGGTAAATCAAGACCAAAGAAAGTCGTAAAGCCATCTAAGAAGAAACCAAGTAAAAATGTCAAATCTGGCAATGAAAAGGGTGTGGCTGTAGATGTTTCCGATCTGAACTGGAAAACAGTTCAAATTCCTGATACTATGGATGATTATGGCGGATTTTATGGCTTAGAAGAAATCGATGGTGTTGACGTCAAAATAGTGGACGGAAAGGCTCAGTTCATCGCTAAAGATCCCAAGAAAGCCGTCAAGAGCCCAAGTGAGTCAGGAAAGCTGGATGACGATATAGAGGAACAAGATGATGGAGATGATGAGAATCCAATGCAAGATCTGATAGAATTCAAGAACATGGATGATCTAGAAGAAGGTGAATTGGGCGCCCCGTCATCTGACGGATCTGAGGAAGAAGCAGGCCAGGATGACGACATGGAAGACGACATAAAAGATGTCAATGTTGATGAAGAGCCACAGCAGAGAAGTGAGGAAAAAGAAGAAGACGAAGTTTCTAGCCAGCTTGGAATTGAGGCAGCGGACGGCGAACCCGAGCAGCCGGCTGACGACGATGAACTTGAGGTAAACGTTTTCGGCGATGAAGTTGATATCGAAGACCTGGAAGGCCTCCCAGAGTGGACCAGTCGAATGAAGCTTTCCATGACCACTTTACAAGGCCTTTCAAAGCAATATTTCGTAAGGCCTACCGAAATCCAAGCCGCGGCTATTCCACTGGCCTTAGATGGTCATGATATAATGGGGAAGGCTTCTACTGGTTCAGGTAAGACTTTAGCTTATGGAATACCAATATTGGAAAAACTGGTTGCAGACCAGTCTGGAAGTAAGCCAATCGGGATCATTTTCACCCCTACACGAGAGCTTGCTCATCAAGTCACCCAGCATATGCAGAAACAGGCGTTTTCCATCAATAAAAAAAACCCGTATGCCATTGTTTCGCTAACCGGCGGCCTGTCCATTCATAAACAGGAACGTTTACTCAAATATGATGGCTGTGCCAGAATCATTATCGCCACCCCAGGAAGATTTTTAGAGATTATTGAAAGAGACCCAAAATTGATAGACCGGTTTTCTCAGATAGACTACTTAGTACTTGACGAGGCGGACAGATTATTGCAAGATGGACATTTTGATGAATTTGATAAGATTCTCAAGCACCTAGGGAAGGCCAGAAATATGAAAAGGAAGGTCAAAAGTGAGTATGCCGGAACAGGATGGCAAACCATGATTTTTTCTGCCACATTCTCGATGGATTTATTCAATAAGCTTGTAACTACAAATTGGAAGAAACTGGGTAAGGACAAAGATACGAACGAAATGGAGCAGGCGTTAAAACATTTGATGACCAAAATTAATTTTAGATCCAAACCTGTCATTGTTGATGTTAACCCAGACAACAAAATACATTCCAAGATTGCTGAAGCGCTCATAGAGTGTCTACCAACAGAAAGAGATCTCTACACGTACTACTTTCTGACGGTCTACCCAGGTACAACATTAGTATTTTGCAATGCTATTGATTCCGTCAAGAAACTCAATTCCTACCTAACTTTTTTGGGAATATCATCTTTCCAGATTCATTCATCCATGACTCAAAAGAATCGGTTGAAAAACCTCGAGAAATTTCGGCAAGAAGCCTCTTCCAACAAAACTCATGGCAAGCCCACTGTTCTGATAGCTAGTGATGTTGCAGCCAGAGGTCTAGACATTCCAGACATAAAGCATGTCCTGAACTACCATTTGCCAAGAAGTGCGGATGTATACATTCATAGGTCAGGGAGAACTGCTCGTGGTGACAATGAAGGTGTTTCAGTCATGATCTGTTCTCCTCAAGAGGCTATGGGGCCGCTCAGAAAATTGAGAAAGGTTCTTTCTTCGAAGTCGGAAGCCGCCCACGGTAAGAAGTGGCAGAAAGATGTTCCAGTTTTCCCAATTGAGCCTGGCGTCCTTTCACAGTTACGCGATAGAGGTGCAATAGCGAACGAACTTGCTGAGGATCAGCTCGCTACGCGGTCTTTGACTAAGGATGCGAACTGGTTGAAAAAAGCAGCCGATGATTTAGGAATTGAACTAGACTCCGAAGATGAATCTAAAGACATTATTCTGGCTAAGAATAAAGTCAAAAAGCAAGGCAAACAGCTGGGAAAACAGGAAGTAAAAGATCTGCAGTTTCAACTCAAACAGATGTTGAAGAAGCCTATTCGTAAAGACTTGCGAAAAAGCTATTTAACGGGTGGTTCCACAAACTTGGCTGACGACTTGGTTAAAAATACTGGACACGCATCAATCATTGGACACAAAAAAACCGACGCATTGGAATTTTTGAAGAAAAACAAGAAGAACCGTAAGTGATTTCGCATAGTTCATACCTCACTTGGGCAGCACGTCAAATACGAACTAGTTGGAAAAAAAAATGAGCTTCTGTAGGATGAAGTTTATATTAAGTTTACAAAATGTATCTCGTATACACTATTTTACCCAACGAGACGACCTCCTCACTGCTAGAAATTCAGATTTAAATCGTAATCCAGCCTAATGCTATTAGATGAAATCGTAGTCGGATCCCTCGTCCTCTTCGTAGTACTCATCATCAGACTCATCCACCAGTTGTTCAAAGTTGACTTTGTAACGTAGCATGGCACCAAATCCACCGAACCCTGTGACGAATTGTGCACCTTCGGAGGATCTGTCAGTCACAAACTCCAAGTTAGCACCGTAATTTTTGTAGTTTTCCGCCAACCACTCGACTAGAGGCTGCTCTTCCACAACATCCATCTCCAAGCCTGTGGCTTTGTCAATGCTGTAAGATTTATCTTCTTGCTCAGGTTCTGCAAATCTGATGATCTCACTGTCCTCAGCATCGTGGAAGATATATCTGATGGTCTCGAGGTTTTCGAAGATGATTAGAGTCTCAACAGCGCCCAAGTCTAAAGCCTTCAAAGTGTCGTCAATACCGTAACAAAACTTACCCGTATCTTGGGAAATTTCATCAAAGTAGCTTGTTATCAGTTTCTTCTCTTGAATGAATTTGACGTTGGCCAAGGCCTCTGCAGATTGTTCGATAGCCTGGTTGAAACCATTTTCACCACCGTACGAAACATCGACAATCTTGACGACTCTTGTCGCCAATCTTTGGTCGAAGAGCTCTGACTTGGCAAGATCGGTCTTGAAATCGGCAGAACCAGCCAAAATCAAACCCTTGACATTGGGCTTATCGTTGGTGATAAAGTTCTGGACTGCCACCTCTGCTACCTTTCTGACGTAGTTGTGTCTTTTCTCCTCTCTTAAACGGGCAAAACGAAGCGCGGATTGACCACCTCTTCCGTGTTTCTTTGGCAAGTCCACCGAAAATTTATGCAGCACAGTTCTGGTGTTACCGGACAGCAGACCGAACAAAGAACCTTGACCATCCATGACGATGAAACCGAACTTATCGTCGGCCTCTAGCAGTTCTGACAGCACATCTGTGTGGAATTTGTTGTCGCACAAATACAGAGATGTGTTGATTGGTTTGTATGGCTCGATATCGATAGTGACCTTCTTTTCTTTACCCTCCTCTGTGATAATGTCACCGCAGTACAGTACAAGACCATTGGGGGGTACTCTGGTGTATAATTTCAGTTTTTGCTGGGTCGATGTGATTGCACCCAACACCGATAGACGATTCACCCTGGACTTGATGTTTGATGCCGTACCGTATTCATCCGTAAGCATCCGTTGTATCATCGATATTTGGCCCTTAGGCGGGATAACAAGTGAAATCATCGATGTACCATTACCTCTAGCTTTTTCCAAAGACTTGATCAGTTTCTTGACCTTCCAGATCGCAATGTTCTTCTCAGCTTCAGTTTCCATCTTGACTATTTTACACTTTTCTAGACCAAAAAACTAGCAGATTCTATTGCAAGTCTCAGCCGGTATTGAATCGGTCTTGGTATTTGTGGGGAGACGACTTTATGGAATGAAAGCGGGAAACCTCGAAGTATCAAGACATGAATGGATATATTAAAATTTTTCATTGGAAGCGATGAGCTACTAAAATTTCATGAACAGCAGTCATGTGATCTCGAAGGCTTTAAAGTTTCTTAACTTTAGGAACTTTGACTACACCGAATAAGATGAGAAAGAGGCAAGAAATGTGACAGCAATTGAAGTCAAAACTGATGGTGTGGTACCGATCAAGGTTGAGGGAAATGTGCAACCTAGGTTGAGCGCGTAGGAAATCGGAAAAAAAATGTAGAAACTTAAACTTCAGTAGCATACATATACTGTAGTATCCAGCAAGCCATGAAATTGAGCAGGTCTGTTTGTTTGTTGCTCTAGATAGAAAAAACGAGGGGAAAGAGATAAAGGGCCTTCAACTGCCTCCAGGGCGATATCGGACTTTGTGTCACGCATCTAAATGTCGCTGTCACTGAGAAAATCGTATTCCTCCAAATCGGAATAGTATTTCGCATTCTCGTCGTTACTGACTGTGTTGCTGATGATATCGTGGTCGTCACTGTCGTCATGTACAGTAGTCACCAGACTTGTGTCATCCTCGCGTGCCTCGGCATACACAGACTCTTGGATTCCCATCAGCACCAGCGGTCTCAAGCAAATGGTGGGCTCGCCCTGCGAGCAACCCGTGTACACCACCTGGTCTTCATGGTCGACTAAGTCGACCTGGTATGTGTTTTGCATCAGGAAGTGGTCGATCATACCACGGCAATTAAAGTTCAGGGTCTTGTAATGGCCCATTTGGAACTCATGAGGGCCCATGTGCAAAGTGCACTTGATGGGAACAGTGCTGGGGGGCTCAAAACACCGGAACACCAGTTTTAACCCACTGGGCACCGAATCGGGCCCCTTATTCCACAGCCGGAACGAGATAACATGCTCACGTTTGCTTACCTCGACTACGATCAGATTGTCATCCTCACGCGCGGTAGCCACTGAAGCATCCAGCGAACCGGACGAAGCGTCACTGTACTTGGGTTCGAGAAACTGGTCGATGGCATCATCCAACTTGCTTTTATCACCACCAACTTTGTGCAAGAGCTCCTGATAGTTCTCATGGTTCTGGATCAATTCGACCAGCTCACTTTCTGTCTCTACTTTGGAGAAATAGTTGAAAACTGCCGCATTGCGTTCAGGAATATCGATGATAACGTCCCTGTCGGTGTTAGAAACCGAAAACTTGCTGTTTTTGTATATCTCGGGCTCTGACCATGGCTTCGTTTTGGTCGTATTGTTTAAAGCCGAGCAAAGCTTGTTCAGGTCGGGATCAGGACTGTTGATTTGGATCATATTGTGATACTTCTTATGAGTTCCAATTTCGACGCCCCTCGCCACACACGTCGAGCACAGATCAAAATTGTAGCAATAAACGCACTTGTATCTTGGGCCCTTGATGAAGCCGGACTCGTTACAAGAGGGAGATGTGGTGTTGGATCCCTGCAAAGGTTCAGGAAAGCACCCATCACAAACCACTTCCTCGTGCAATGTGTCACATTGGGAGGGCAAATGGTGATCTTCAGCGTGAGAAGCAGTTTCTTGTTTATTCGCCAGAGAAATCTCTAGCTTTTGAATGGAGTCGATCAGCGTCTGAATTTGTTCTGCTGGAATGGAAACTAGTCCTTGAGAGCTGTTCTCCTCAATTTTTTTTTGGTCTACTTTGGGATTTCCAGCCCTTTCAACCCTGATCGAAGCTGTTCGAGCCCACTGGAAGCATGATTTGAACCATGTTACTTCTGCGTCAGTTGTCAAAAGTCCACGGTGTGTTTCGTTGGGTGGACCTGTGGTTTCGAAGCGTAAGATTCCAGCGTCCACAGAATTTGGTCCCAGTTGTGGTGCAAATAACGCGTTCAAATAACTTTTGGAGATAGACCCAGGAGCAACCCTGTAACACACCCCATCCGCATTGGAGTTTCCATAAAAAAACAATGGGTAAAGCCCGTAGATTCCGGGACTTTCCATGATAGATTTGATGAGTCAAAATTCGCTTGTCTAGATGCCGAAAAAACCAGCAGTCAAAGTGTTCAACAGTGGGTTGTTGGGTTCAATGTTGTTAAGAGAAGCACTTGGTACACCTTCAAGTACCCCAAGGCTTTGATTTGTTTCAAATCTAGGAAGGAGGTAACAATTCGTTATCTAGGGGAACATTTTGGTCATATCCTTATTTCTTATAAATTCGATATCACTTTGTAGGTTTCTGACACAGCGACAGAGAATAGAGCCTAACGTCGGAAACCTACGATTTGGACGGCAAAACCTAGGAGGCCTTGCCTCGAGAAATTGAGGGTGACATAAGATCGAGGAATAGAGTTTGAGATGGTCGGGTGTGGGTCTACATTCTGTACGCTTGATTCAAAGAGACACGGTGCTCATTGAAAACATAAGTTGTTTTAAGAAAAAATTGGCCGTTGCTGAAGGATTTTTAGTTCCGTGGGGTGCTAAACATTCACATTTGCCCCTTCGTTGGTACCTGACGTCGTTTTGGAATCCAACGCGCCAGTAAAATAACCAACACGTGATCTGATGACAGCGACAGAATGGTCTAAAGAAACCATTCGTGGGAGAATCTCTGGTATAACAGTAGTGTTCGATCATATAAGATGCAATGAAGGCCTGGGGAGTCAAAATGTTGCTCAGGGAAGAGATATTGTGCCGTATTGGCCTCAGACATTGAAATTATAAGCGATCCCACAAACACGAATACTAGCTTAAATCTACTCATGATGCTGCAAGAGAGGCGTCCGGAAAAACTGTAATCTCGCCATATCAGCATATACAAGAGATATAGACGATGGCTGGAGAAAAATGGTAATATATCAGTATTCCGTCTGAAAATAAGAATTTTGTAGGAACACGGTAGCCTTGTAGACGCATCACCAGAAGACAGGCGTTTCCATTGAAAAGGCTGTTATTTTTGGTGGTTTTCGCTACTTGTGATCCGTTTGAGGATCCGTTCCGTACCACACTACGATCCGTTTGGGATGCACTTCCAGAATACCGGTTCGACCCATTTGTACCTGCTTTCGGTCCTCGAGCTTCCTACAGCCTACAGAAGGTGCTCTCATATGTGTCTCGTAGAACAACTATCATCTATGCAGCAACAGTGCTCAGAGAGGAAGGTCCGGGGTTTTAAGGTCCAACAACACCCCCCGTACTGAACCCTCGCAGTAAAAATTTCGACATTACAAGCGTGCTAGAGGAGAAAAGTCTCGGTAGCCCAACCGTAACAAAGATCATTCCGTAAGTCCGGCTTGGGACATAAGAACACGACTACCAGTTTTCTACTCATATGCATCAGATAGCACAGCCAAGAAACTTCGGTCTGTGTGTCTGAGTGTGTGTGTGTTTGCTCTGCCCTGCAAGTGTCCACGTACATACCTGATTTTAGAGAGAAACAATGCCTTCTATGTCTGAAAATCGTCATTCATTTGGATAATCAGTAGTATGTAGTTCTCGCAGCCCTGGTTTTCACAACACGCACCCATCGTAGCTCATCTGTCCAACGCCAAGATGTAGGTAACTTCTTTTCCATGCAAGAACAACATAATATGCAGAGAAATTCCAGTGGAGGAAAACGACAACCCTCACCTGATGTTACAGAGAAAGCACCATTTGGACGCCGCTCCGCTCCGCACCGCACCGCACTCGGACTGAGGACCGAGTATCTACCGTCAAGTCCGCTCTCCCTCTGGACCTGTATTTCACGACACGTATCCTGTAATATGTACTCGACGGCCGAGACTACTTCATTGCAGCTGCAGCCAAAAAAAAGAACCATGAACTACGAGTACGTTCTGCAAGCACCAGGCAATAATAGGCAAACACCCTTCATCGTAGAAACACACGCAAAACTTGAGCCGGAGAACAGAGTGTTGCTTTCCCTACCCAGACAACAGATGGGCCCTTATTGAGAGGCACGGCCGCTGCCTCTAAAGCATTCACATAGCCAATTTACGACCACGGCGATACCAAGGAGCCTCGACGATAGATGGCCCCGGCCGATGATGACAACACCATTGACCTCTTGGCTCTCGCGAACTGTACAAAAGCGCCGATTAATTCACAGAAAATGTGTTGCCTCTTGGAAACTTTTCTTGGTAAGCTTAAACCACCAGTACATCAATTATGAGTAAGAACTCAACTCTGGCGCCAGCGGATACGTCGCTAACAGACATTCCCAAGGTAGAATCGCTGGAAGTCAAGAATTACAGCTTGGAAGGAAAAGTAACAAACCCAAGCGATGCAAGACAGTCTTTGTCTTTGGGAGATCAGGAAATTGAAATCATTGACGAGGAGGAGCAGCAGCAGACGCAGCAAGAACAGGCAATTGCCCCGTTGACGGGCACCCAGTTTTACGTCTGTTTTGCAGCACTGGCGCTGTCGCTTTTTTTGGCAGCATTGGATATTTTGATCGTAGGAACAATTTTGGAAACCGTCGCTGCCAGGTTCAACGGCTACAGTCTGACTGGATGGCTTGTCACCGGCTACAATCTGCCCAATGCGCTGCTGAGTCTTCTGTGGGGCCGGTATGCCACAGTGGTGGGCTTCAAGTCCTCCATGCTTTGTTCAATCGTGATTTTCGAGATCGGCTCTCTCATCTCCGCACTAGCAACGTCCATGAACATGCTCATAGCCGGAAGAGTTATCGCTGGTTTTGGCGGCAGTGGAATCCAAACCCTGTGTTTTGTGGTAACCTCAACGCTGGTAACAGATCGCACCAGAGGAGCTGCAGTGTCTATATTGAGCTGCGCCTTTGCAGTTGCCTCGGTCGTGGGGCCATTTTTGGGCGGCGCTTTTGCTACCCACGTAACATGGAGATGGTGCTTCTACATTAATCTGCCAATCGGCGCAGTGACCTTTTTTGTTTTCCTGTTTTCCTACAATCCTGATCGCGAAAGCACCCTTCAAAACTGCAGAGACTTTTTTAAGAAGGTGAGAAAAACCCCATATGGTCAAGTTCTGAAGCCCGAGTTCTATCCTAAGCTGTTTCGCGTCGTGGTCTTCAAATTTGATTTCATTGAGTTCGCACTATGTTCTATCGGTTTCACACTTATTCTGGTAGGACTGACTTTTGGCGGTAACAAGTATAAATGGAGTTCCGGATCCATTATCACCTATTTGGTTGTTGGCATTTTACTCGTAATTGCTAGTTTGGTCTACGACTTTGTCATTTTCGACAAGATCAAACCCAAATCGGACCAAGTGCCATACATGCCGCTGCTTTCATGGAGAGTGGTCTCCAAACCAGGTGTTTTGCTCCCTAACGTTGCCACCTTTAGCACATGCTTGGCTTACAACTGTCAACTTGTGTACATTGTGCAGTATTTTCAGCTTGTTTGGGGTGAGACACCTTGGAAAGCCAGTATTCACCTGATTGCCCCGGTCATTGCCACTGTTGTATCCCTAGTGTTCTGTGGTGGTATTATGAAGAAAACGGGCCAAATCAAACCTGTTTTGGTTTTCGGCGGAATAGCTGGGGCTGTGGGCTCAGGAATTCTGACATTACTCAGTCCAAGTTCTAACAGTTCAGCAAAAATCGGCCTACTTATTCTGCCTGGCGCGGCTTTTGGAATCGTTAACAATAGTGGTATGCTAAGTGCGCAGCTCCAAATTCCCAAAGACCACCCATTTTTTAAGCTCGATTTCGTCTCAGTAACGACTCTCAACGCTTTTACCAAAATGCTGGCCGCTGCTTTTGGTGGTATTATATCAAACACGGTCTTCACAACCTCAGCGCATAACCAGCTTTCAAAAATTGATCCGCCACTACCTCATAGCGGCTCCGTTAACGAACTTATCAGCTACTGGTATTCAAATTTTGGAGGTAGAGGTTCGACTGAAGTGCGCATATTCATGAAGTCCATTAGGAATGTTTTCTGGATGTCTCTCGGGCTTTCCGGCTTGGCAACAATCGCGTGTATTTTTTGTTCAAACAAAAAGATGGGGCTCAATCAACCTAAGCCTGATAAGGAGGCTAATGAGAAATAGTTGGATACCTCTTCGAGTACAGTTGTGTTGGAGGGAGATTTTTTATCAACTACTCATCCACTGACATGGGGTTCGAGACTAGATAGGTTATTTTTTATGATCGTTCGTAAAGTTCACTGTAATTATTGCTGGCTTGGCATACTCGACTGAAGTTCATGAGGTGGCCTCGAGCTCTAACATCTGGACTCCTTGATGTAGTTTCTACAAGGACGGTTATTTTCAATCATTATGAGCTCTAAGTATTCGACGCCATTAAGTAGCCCAGCAATGAGAACCTTCTCATCTCATTGAAATCTGTATAGCTCATCTGAAAAGTAGTGCCGATCGCGAGCTGCATGCACCATGGCTTCGTACAATCACTTTGGCAGGCATCAGTAAACCTTTGATATTCCAAATATTTGGACTCGCCGGTTCTTATGAGAGGCACTTAACAGTACGTCATCTTGCTCACCTTTCGTGTACCTAAGGTTTCAGCGCTCTTGTCGTACAACGAGTTGGTCCAAGGGAATCGTGGGAATTTCTGGTCCTGAAGGATTTTTTTACCTTCAATCATATAGTTCGATTTCAGCAGAGGACTCCGGTTCAAGCTGTTGAACTTCTCACAGGGGTGGTGTGGGGTACACAGCGTCCAGGTACACTCAGGGAAGTCTTTTCATGAGATTCTCGTTATTGTTCACTGGGCGCTCGAGTCACTCACATTCAGCGCTTGATAGCGCAACACTATTCAAGACGATTAGTATAACGTCAAAGTATAAGGAAAATTAAGTCTGCTATAGAATAAGCTTTAGAAGAGAAACAATGTAAATTAGTCGAGTATTGCAACATCAAAAAAATATCGCAAAGAAAATAAAATTCATGGTGGGTTGTGATTAGCACACATCAGCGTTTGGCCACAGGCTCATAATCAGGTGGATGGAAGTTGAACGTCGTTCTGCTCTTTTCATCGTAGCCGGTAAATTCATCGCTAACTTCAACTCCATTAGTTCTTGCGAGAAGTATCTGCTGAGTCGATAATCCAAGAGGATCACGAGCGATCCACAGCTTGGGCGCCGGGTCTGTGACAGAGGGGTCTGTGTATGCAGTCTCCAAAAAGTCCTTGTCATATTTCACAGTTGAGTTTAGCACATATGGAAGACTCTTGCGCACACTGGAAAATTCATAACTTTTGTGTGGCTGGAACAGGTAAGCGATTCTCTCCTTCCATCCCCTGTGGTAAGATACATCTGGTGGGAAAGCGCGAGGATCTTTAGTAACAGCGTTAGCATCGGAAAACACATTGCCTGCGTCCGCATTCGTCACCACAGCACCGTTGGCATCAATGTCATGCTTGGTCTGGTCGTTGGTATTCAGGTTTTGCACGTCCTTATAACTGTACTTGTGGAACTCTTCATCTTCAGGAACAAAATTGGGTTCTTCCGGATCAGCGTTATCTTTACTCGAGTTGGAAGATTGGCGTTTTCTCTCTGAGTCGAACTCCTTCTCCGCCTCTCCGTCGTCATCGTCTGAAAGAATGCCAGCCTTCTTGAGATCGGCAGACGTTGCGGGTTGGATGGCACCACCGGTTTCGCTTTCATCTAGTTTGCGTTTGAGCTCCTCACCGGTACCGTTGATTTCACTGAGACCTTGGTCCTTGGCGGGATAGAAAAACGTGCTTTCGCCTCTAGAATATTTGATGGCGCTCAAAGGAACAGCATCGAAAAGTGGAATAAACCTTCTTTGGAAATACAAGTGGCACAACACGGTGAACCCAATGAACACAGCCTCAATGACCAGTGGTCCCCAAGTTTTTGCCATGATGAAAAGCCCTAACAGGCAAACTTCTGACAAGTAAAGACCGAGAAAAACCTGAAATAAGGCTCTTGCGTATGCTCTCCCCTTCATATCAAATGAAAAACCGAGGACATAGTTCAAATTGTAGGTGTAGGCGAGGTAAAATAACGCAAGGGCCACGGTGGAGAAAATCATCAGAATAGGTGCTATGATGGAATAGCAGATGAAGATGCAAACCATAAATTCGATGCTAGGGAAAATAACACCCCAACTTGGCTTTGCCAAGGTATTGTACCTAGCCCATTTCTGTCTAGGCGTTGAGTCCAAAATTCTTCCTAACACTTTGCTGAGAATGAGACCCACAATTTGCAGCAAGGCTCCACTAGGAAAAACGAGACCTTGAAGTAAAAAGTAGGCAATGTAGAAGTTCGAGGCCTTAGGCAAATTTTGTGACAAAAGTGTCATTGCAGAACTTGGATCATCTATAATTGACGTTATAGTAGAGGAAGCTGAGGAGGCCAAAGTAACAACGATGAACACTTGCACGACAAGAAAAGCATAGTACCATACTTGACAGTATAACTCTCGCTCCTGTAAACTACTGCAACCGCTAATGGCACCCATTTTTTTGATGAAAACGGGCACCAAAGACATCAATAAAGCGAGTAAAACAGTGGGTAAAATGGATGTGATCAAACCGAGAAGAACCTTGGGCAAGTTGTTGATGAATTTGAGAAATGTCAGGGTTTTAATCAAGAAGTTGATGTTTGAAACGAAACCCACAAAAGCCACGGGAATAGCCCAGAAAATGATCATCAGAGTCAATACCGTGTTGGCCACACCACGCTTAGAACGTCTGACATGTTTGGACATGCCAAGAGTGTCCCACGCAATATCGTCGGGCGAGGTTCCAATCAAGCATTTGTCGTAAGAGCCCTTGTCTAGGATATATTTCACGGACTGGAACGCACGTTGAGCATCCAATTGACCCTTAAACTCCATGAAGCAAGCACCAACTTTGTCACGGGTGTCCCATGCTTGTTGTTGCTTCTCGATTTCTTCATTGAGCTCCCCGATGCGCTTGCTGCAATATTCCAAAGTGTCCACTTTCTGACCACCAATGATCGGCAAAGGAATTTTGCCTAAGCGGAATGTTGGTCTCTTTTTTTGAGGAATGTAAGTTTGTAGGTCATCTTCTGGTTTGCTACCAATGAGCTCATCCAGCTTTCCTTTTTTCTCAGCCTTTCTTCTGATTTTCAAGGATTTTCTAATCACCTTGTTCATAGCACCTTCATATTTGGAGGCTAGCTTAGAACGCTCGGCAACGAGCTGCTGTAGCTCAGTGTTGTCGTGAGCAAAAGTGACCCTATTGCAGTTTTCGAATCTACGCTGAATCTCCGACTCGTTACGCAAATCCGATGAAAGGTCAGTGAGCACCACGGTTTTTGAGGAAATAAGTCCGTCGTAATATGGACTTGTTTGAACTGCGTGCCTGAGAGAGACGTAGTAGTACAATTCACGGTAAATGGTATAGATCACAAGGCCAAAGAAAATCCACGACAAAAACACATGAGCGTAAAACCGGTTTTTGTTTGTAACGTTTGCAAATGCAAGCAACTCGAATCCCTTGTAGTTTTTTCCGTTTGTTGCGTTGACTGGTAGCAAAATGGGCAAGATGATGATACAGCCGACGAGGGAGATCGATCCAAACACGGCGAGGTAGCGCAAAAACAGATACCCGTCGAGTCCTGCGTGCTGGATGATGAAGGAGTGGGGTTTTGACATGAGGTAGCGGACCCAGGTGAAATACCCATCTGGGACCGATTCTGTACGTTCTTCTTCACGGACTGTGATGATCTCCTTGATGGAACGGGGTTGGTACACCCGTGGCTGGCGGGGTCTCAAATTCACGAAAGCCGCTAGATACACCACAAACAGGATACCGTACAAGATCAGCGCCGTGACGAAACCCGATGTGGAGTTGGCTGCGTCAGCACTGCTTCCTGCCATTTTTTAGGGGAGGTGGGGGGAAAAACCGGTGCGTTCGAACAAACACTAGATCGTCTAATTTTCCAAATGGATGTTGATATTTGAATATCTATGGTTGAACTTTTTTTTTTATACCTTGTCCAAAACACGGCTAAAAGTACCAAACAGCTATGGAGGAAACGAATTTGCTTTACCAGTTTGAGGTTGGCGATGGCTGCTTTTTCGTAACGCTTAAAGAGAGACCTTCAAGAAGCTAGTTGTTTCAGGAATTGATTCGATTGAACTAAGTCGCTGGAGGAGATGCCCAATAAACAAGGATGAGCTTTCACATCTGGAACGTATTTATACAACATATTTATACTACATTTTGATGTACGTCCTACCAGTCTAGCCCCGAAGGGGCCTAGCAATGATGACGGAAACAGACGTTGTACGTTCAGTTCTGAGAGTTTTGCTTTCTGCGTCATAGAATGCAGAGAACGTGTCGTCACTTTACCAACCCCGCTCAGATACTGCGCAGAGAATTACCTCCCTGCATTGAGCTCTTGTCATCGTGCATGTAAAAGACGCATGCTTACGTCATTGAGAGCTGGGTTCTAGAATGTTAGCGAGGAGAGGATCGACGAGAGGAACGGGTAGGGAATTATGTGAAGGGCTGGACTCTTAAGACTAGAGTCTTTTAGTTCTTGTACAAAGGGAAAGAACAGCGGTGATGAACTAATGTGCAAGGGGAGTAGTATGGGGATGGCTTTGAGTTTTCATTTTCCACGACTAAAGATACTCGAACATGTTTGAGGGACGTGATGGGACACAAATGAGAGAGTGCAGAAATTAGGGGAGAGGAAGTAGAGAATAAAAAGTGGTATCAATTCGTGAGACGCCTTGAAAAAACATGAGGATGACAGGAAAAGAAGTTGTGTCACGTGACGTTAGTTGTTATTACATAGTGTACAAATACGATAGTTTTGGGTAGTTTTTTAAGCAGAGCTGTAACTGAATTTGAGTATCCAGTTATTACTGTGTTCCTGTATTATCCCTCATTGATTCTACTGCTCATGCGTTACACTCGAAAGTTGTTTACATTGCGTGTGACATTGATAATCATCTGAAGTAACAATACAAGAACCAAACATTAATATTTTCCACTGTGTAATTACAGACGTTGAGCGGTGCTTCCAGAAGTGAGGCACCTGAACAAGACGCCAGTGATATTTTTAAGCCTTTTAAGCCTTTTAAGCCTAGAAACCTCATTTTGTTGTCCGTGGCGACTTCAACACCAAGTTCTTGGTTTCATATGATCACAGGTTCTCGACTAGCTCAATATAGCTCCTTTGTAAGGGCCTTCATCTCTCTACAGTCAAGACTCTTCTCTCAAAAGGTACTCGCAAAATCGTCAGTTCATTATAAAAAAAGGCGTATGTAAGATTCTAAACGTAGAGAGGATATCTAATTCCGTCCCGCTTAAGCCTTGGTGACGTGTTCAACCAAGTCGACAACTCTGGTGGAGTAACCGTACTCGTTGTCGTACCAGGAAACCAACTTGACGAACTTTGGAGACAACTGGATACCGGCAGCAGCGTCGAAGATGGAGGAGTGAGAGTCACCCAAGAAGTCGGTGGAGACAACGTCTTCGTCAGTGTAACCCAACACACCCTTCATGGAGCCTTCGGCAGCCTTCTTGACGGCAGCCTTGATCTCGTCGTAGGTGGTGGCCTTGTTCAACTTGACGGTCAAGTCGACAACGGAAACATCCACGGTTGGGACTCTGAAAGCCATACCGGTCAACTTACCCTGCAAGACAGGCAAGACCTTACCGACAGCCTTGGCGGCACCGGTGGAGGATGGGATGATGTTACCGGAAGCGGTACGACCACCTCTCCAGTCCTTCTGGGATGGACCGTCAACGGTCTTCTGGGTGGCAGTCAAAGAGTGGACAGTGGTCATCAAACCTTCTTCGATACCGAATTCGTCGTTGATGACCTTGGCCAATGGAGCCAAACAGTTGGTGGTGCACGAGGCGTTGGACACAATGGTCTGGCCCTTGTACTCCTTCTCGTTAACACCCATGACGAACATTGGGGCGGTACCGGATGGAGCGGTGATGACAACCTTCTTGGCACCAGCGTCAATGTGCTTCTGGGCGGAGTCCAACTCCTTGAAGACACCGGTGGAGTCGATGGCGACATCGACACCTAGCTTACCCCATGGCAATTGAGCTGGGTCTCTTTCTTGGAAGACAGCGATCTTCTGGCCAGAGATGACTAGAGAGTTCTCTTCGTAAGAGACCTCACCGTCGTATCTACCGTGGGTGGAGTCGTACTTGAACATGTAAGCAGCGTAGTCCACGGAGATGAAAGGGTCGTTGATGGCGACAACCTTCAAGTCCTTTCTGGCCAAGGCGATTCTCAAGACGATTCTTCCGATTCTGCCGAATCCGTTGATAGAAACAGTGGTGACCATTTTTGATTTTTTGGGAAATGTGTTTAGATGGTTAAATCTATTGTGAGATGTTCTCTGGAGAATTAAGAGAGAATAAGCCAAACCCAATTCCAATTCACTTCTTCAACATCCTGCTTCCTTATATACAAAATCTCTGCCGTGAGAGCCCACGCTGTGAAACTTTTTCTGATGACGAATTTCTGTAGTTGCTGCCACGGGTCGTCATACGTTCCTCTTTTTTTTTTGCGTGGGCTATGCTAATAGGGTGGTGGCACCACCCACAATGAACCCATTTTCCCAACATTGCAAACCGCAACCATCACCGTAATCGTCAACCTAACCATCAACATCGTCCAGGGCACTACTAACACCACCTACACGCACACCGTTAGCATCACCTATTGACCTGGGATGGTGGACTCGTGAGTTTCTTGGACTGGGCAGCGAGTACTGCTGCCGGAGTAATTACCAGGCTCGAGCGCAACAATAGGAAGCCGGAGGCGAGAGCTACGCGTTTTCTGACTGGCCGCTGGAGGAAGCTTCGCGTCTGGTGATAAAAAGGCAGGTTCTCGTTTAAAGGTACAGGAAGCGAACGGAAGCCGCAGGGGAAGCGCAAAAAGAAAGCGGCGATTCGGGTGTGTGGGTGTTAGGGGCGGTCGCTATTCACGGAAGGAGACTCGAAATGAGAGATCATCATCGGAAAACGACTGTGGTGGGCAAAAGTGATCTGGGAACGCATCTGTCACAGACCCAGGCCTTGAACTGGACATGTCATGTAGTTAAGCGACAGATTACACTCTACGTGGTTTGAACTACGTACGTTTAGTCCTCCGTGTTTAACTAGACACGGGTCAAGACACCGCACATGGCCGGCGGTTTATTTTTTTTACTTGGCACCCTCGCGCCACACATGCGTTCCCTGTATGTAACCTTTCATGTCCGGGTTTTCAACCGTAGTACTACGCATGCGCTAGGGTCTTTCTCTCTCTTAAACTTGATTCCCAATTCCTCTTGGCTTTCCCCATGCTTCTCGCCGTTTAGCGCTTTTCCACATACATATTTGTAACCGATAACCATTCAAGTCCGAGACTCAAAACCACACATGACCTGTGAGGTAGCCGGGACGTACATATGAAGGTATCTGTATATAATAAAGACGTGTGTGGGCTCTCGGGCGGTTCAGCGTTCAAAGAAAGTTGAGAACCGACCAATTGATCCCCCCCAAAGTTGTCTTTCTAGCTGAGATACTACTCTCTTCTAGTAGAGCGCTACAACGTCGCCAACCAGCAACGTGATCTCGGACCACAACATCCGTACACCCGGTTATCACATGTAAGGTTCGTCCACCCACACACCATTCATCGTAATATCCATCGGGTGACGTGTATCGTTTCGAACGTGGGCGTCGTCTCATCTCGTTTCGTTTCGTCTCGCCATATCCAAATGGCACCACCTAAGCAAGCAAAAGCTTCGCTCACCCATTCATTCTTCGTCCTCACTCACTCCTCTCGCGTATCCGTCTAGCACACAAATATATTTTGGTGGTGTGGTTTGTGGGCTGTATCGCCGCCGTTGATGGGTCCAAGACTCCGGCTCAAACCAAGCCGTACAGTACCTTTAATTTTTTTCCCCAGTGGGTCTTGGATCGTACCATCTCATCGTTCACACGCCAGTCGGAGTGAAAAAAGAATATAGTGGTGTGTGTGTGTGTATGTGGTATGTTGTATGCGGTGCACAGATGTTTGGCGAAGTGGAGTGGTGGTATGTGTGCTGTGAATGGGTAGATTCTTCATAGACATTACCAGAAATGTTCGGAAAAACCCGGAAAAACGGAAAAACTGATGATGCATGGACACCAACACCGGTGTCAAGAAAGCCCGGCCACCAGCTCGAGCCTTGTTGAAAAATGATGTATATAAGGGCGGGCAGGATGCATCAAACAACTAGAGAGCTTCTTTCTTCTCTTGTTTATTCTTTTTTTTATTTCCCCAGAATTCAGCAAGGTTTACTCTCACCAGTATAACACTACTACAGCTCTTCCCAAACTTTCAATAATCTCGAAAAACGAAAAATGTCTGCTCATCAAATCCCAAAGACCCAGAAAGGTGTTATTTTCTACAAGAACGGTGGTGCTCTTGAATACAAGGACATCGATGTGCCAACCCCAAAGGCCAACGAGCTTTTGGTCAACATCAAGTACTCCGGTGTGTGTCACACCGATTTGCACGCCTGGAAAGGTGACTGGCCTCTAGACGTCAAGTTGCCTCTAGTCGGTGGCCACGAAGGTGCCGGTGTGGTTGTTGCCATGGGTGAAAACGTCAAAAACTGGAAAGTCGGCGATTACGCCGGTGTTAAGTGGCTCAACGGCTCTTGCATGAACTGTGAGTCATGTGAATTGGGTAACGAGTCCAACTGTCCTCAAGCCGATCTTTCTGGTTACACTCACGACGGTTCGTTCCAACAGTACTGCACAGCCGACGCCGTGCAGGCCGCCAAGATCCCTGTGGGTACCGATCTAGCCGAAGTGGCTCCTATCTTGTGTGCCGGTGTCACCGTGTACAAGGCTTTGAAGTCCGCTGAATTGGCTGCCGGCCACTGGGTCGCCATCTCCGGTGCTTGTGGTGGTCTAGGTTCCCTAGCCGTCCAGTTCGCCAAGGCCATGGGTTACCGTGTTCTCGGAATTGACGGTGGTGAAGGCAAAGAAGAACTTTTCAGACAGCTAGGTGGTGAAATTTTCATCGATTTCCGTACCACCAAGGACATTGTTGCTGAAGTCAACAAGCTCACCGACGGTGGTGCCCACGGTGTCATCAACGTGTCTGTGTCTGAGGCTGCCATCAGCGCCTCCACCGAATACGTCAGAAACAACGGTACCGTTGTTTTGGTCGGTTTGCCCGCCAACGCCTACTGCAAATCCGAAGTTTTCAGCCAAGTCGTCAAGTCCTACAAGATTGTCGGTTCTTACGTTGGTAACAGAGCTGACACCAGAGAAGCTTTGGACTTCTTCGCCCGTGGCTTGGTTAAGTCGCCAATTAAGATCTGTGGCTTGTCTGAACTACCAGAGGTTTTCGAATTGATGGAACAGGGTAAGATCATCGGTAGATACGTTGTCGACACCAGCAAATAATTTGTCAATTTGCCTGTTTCGCATATCGACTGCGTTTCCCCTTCCCTTTATGTAATGTAAACGTTATTTTTAATGAACTAAATGCTATGATAAACCTTTAAGGATTAATATTTGCTTGAATACGACAGTACTAACACGACCATCAACGAGGTAGAAAGTATCAAAAAGCTTTGTCATAAGCTGTGTGACAGTGCCATAACCTAAGTATTTTCGTTTCCTGTCGCTACGCCAGTAAGGTAGGACACAATAGTAACTAAATACGAGACGGCTGTCAGCTTTGGTTTGACTGTTCGATCAAAGGACTTGCGGAAAAGAGTAGTAGTAGCAGCAACTTCCCTTTCACTTCTTCAAAGTCACTCATAGCCTTCGAGAAGCATGTATTCTCTTCGCCAAAGACGCTACTTATCGCTCGACGAGCTTCATATCACTTTATCCTTTTCCGTCACCATATTTATCCCATTACCACAAGATCGCCCAGCACGAACGGAAATTTTTCAATTTCTCTCAAGAACTACATATATCAAATTCATCATGTAGTGCGATCGCGAACGAGCAGATTGTTCGAATCCTACCGCTCACTCCAACTTTCTCTCCGCGTCGCCCACTGCTATGCTAAGTCGGCTGTGCACTAGCGCAACTAGGCTGCTTTCGGGCCGCAACTCTAGGTGCCGAACCTTTACTAATCTCTCACATTTGAATAAAGACTATTCCCTGCAACAGACCAGAATTGTTCCTAAACTCACCACCTTCTACTCTGCCAATCCCCACCATGAGGATCGTATTGATAGGCTAGAAGCTCTTCTGCGCAAATACGTCAAGTTGCCAACAATTCAGGTGGCGCCAAGCGAGAGACCAGCATGGTTGTCATTTGGCGAATACGCTTTGATCGGCGGTGGTACACGTCTGAAGCCCACCCAATACCAGCAGCTGCTTACACTCCTGAATAGACTGCATACCATCGAGCCAGAATTGATTAATGACGAAATTACATTTGAGTTGTCGCAGTATTTCAAAAAGACGAAGCTCCAAGCGTCGCAGGTGTCTGTGAAAACTCTTGACGAGTTTGGTAGAAGTATTGCCGTGGGACGCAGAAAGACTTCTACTTCAAAAGTACAGGTGGTGAGGGGAGCCGGAGAAATCCTCGTCAATGGCAGACAATTGAACGACTATTTTGTGAAGATGAAGGACCGTGAGTCCGTGGCGTATCCACTCAAGGTCGTCGATAGTCTCGGAAAATACAACGTTTTCGTGACCACCTCTGGAGGCGGTGTCACGGGGCAGGCCGAGGCCACCATGCATGCGATTGCCAAAGCGTTGTTGGTGTTCAATCCTTTGCTGAAACCAAGACTGCACAAAGCCGGTGTTCTCACCAGAGACTATAGACAGGTAGAAAGGAAGAAGCCTGGTAAAAAGAAGGCCAGAAAGATGCCTACGTGGGTCAAGAGATGAAGCCGCGCTTCGCACCACACCCCTTTCCGCATCATACGAACGAGCGAACTTGTACGAGCGAACTTGTCCATTCACCCACATATACAACATCTCATATCGTATCCACACTCCGGCATGCATTTTCCACGATAGTTCTTGTACATAGTCTATTCAACGAACAGTAGCGAATTCCATTCAAACCCCATACAGTAGCAGATTACTTATCTACCGTTTGCTTGCTCTTGCTGCCGCTACAGGCCCTCCGGACGCATCTTTTTCCAGTTTCTGTAGCAGCAGAGACTGCAATTCTGGTGATTTTCGCAGCATTAGCATCATATCGTCTACCACAATCGTTTCCCGTCCTGCATGTCTCGCGAAAGCCTCTAAATCCCCACCAATTTCCACCAATTGCGTGAATGTCAGTTCTACTAGTGCATTGATAAATTTGGGCGAATAGTTCACGCCAGCAGGAAGTTCGTTTTTGACCTGTTGTTCCAGACAGTACCAAAGTTTACCCTTGAGTTGAGGTACTAGTTTCTCACGCAAGTCTTCATTGTTTCCCTCTCTCTCACTCATCTCGAGCTCTCGATTTCGAAAGATGTTCTCCCTCGAGCCTCTCTTCTTACTCGAGATAGGTGGTAAATTAACTCAACTTTTCTGAACTTAACACCCTGCTAAGGGTAGAACTTATTCTCGAGAAAGAGCGGGGAAAAACGAACCTCGAAACGAAGGGCACGAGGGACACGAAGGAGTACTTCTGTGACATTAAAGATTTTTTGGAAATTGCTTATAAGAAGCTTCTACAAACTTTTGTAAGTTGGCTAAAAGCCTAAGTTTACTGCGCCAAAAAATCGTAACTAGTTGGCCGTTGCTGGTAGTTTGTTGCGTCACATAAGCCGTAAGAGGTCATTATGAGCAAGTACACCGTGTCATACGGACTAATACCACCACGATCTGCTAACATACATGAATCCCACATTTTGCCAATTACTAAGATCATTCACTCGCGGAGTATTCCCGATCTGCTCCTTACATGTGGCAGAGATGGCACTGTGATCAGACATACCCAGAACAATGGAGAATGGCGACGGGTAAGAATGCAGACTAACAGTGATTGGGTAAGTGATATGGTTGAACTAGACGACGGCAGATTCGTTACTGTCAGTCATGATTTTTTTCTGTGTTTGCTGACAGTGAACCCGGAAAACGATGATTGGACTAGTAGAATGTTGGGCTACCACGACGATTATGTCAAATGCGTAGCGGCTGTAGGCAAAAACGTTGCTGGCGACTGGGAACTAGCCACATGTGGTCTGGATATGAAGGCCAAGATCTGGAAAGTGCGACAAGACGGAACCTCTATTCTAACGCACACTATAGACAATACACAGCCAGAAGAAACCGGGTCTCTGTACGCCCTGATATCGGTTAGTATCGATGGATTGCCGTTCAATTTAGTGGCGGGTGATAATAATGGGAATTTAGTGCTGATGTCAAGCAAGACAGGAGAAAAAGTGGGTCAGGTTAAGTCGGCTCACAAGACAAATATTAAGTTACTGCATTTAATGGGCACAAGACTTATGAGCACAAGCTCAGATGGTATGATCAGTTTGTGGGAGGTTGCGAAACTGGGGATGAATGAAGGAGCAGACGCACTGATACACTCGTGGAAATGGGCTTCTCCAGTGTGGTGCATCCAAGGTACGTCGTTAGAACAGTTTTTGCTTGGCGATTCGCGTGGTGCGATAACGCGAGTCAGTATAACAGAAGGCGCATGGGAATCGCCAAGACTAACAGCTGTCCTGCCGCCCGACCAGGATTCTAAAGGACTGTTAGCTATGCTCGAGCTTGACAATGGGGACATTTGGTATTCTTCATCTGGTGACTCAAGCCTCCACACGCTCAACACCGAGTCAGGCGAAGTGGTAACGCTTGAGGGCGGCGATGCTTTGCTGAAAAGTTCTTTACTGACCAACAGGAGGCATGTCATAACGCAAAACACTAAAGGTGTCGTCCAAAGGTGGGACATAGTATCTTGCGAGCTGCTGGACACTTTTGATGATACAATGGGGAATTTTGACGATCTTGTGAATCAACACAATACCAAAGAAACTTTGGCGCATTGGTGTTCCGTGTCTATCAAGACAGGAAAGCTTTTCATAAAAATATCGCCAAAATTCGTGAACACCGAAGTTTATGGTAGTGCACTGGAACACTACAAAATTATTAACGACATAAAAGTCGAGATAGACGAACGCTACAATGTGGGGAGGATAGCTGTGAATTCAATTTTGAACGAATTCATCGAATGGACGATTGCGAGAGACGAATCGTTCCGCAAAGATCTTGTCGCCAAAAAGAGCTCGGTTCCAGGCTCGCCTTCTCAGGCTCCGGCGGATACCACGTCGAGTGAGCTTAATAGGCCCGGATTGAAAGACAAAAGAAAACTTTCTTTGTTTACCAAACTCTCAAAGGGTCGGCAATCTCCATCTCCAGCCTCCCTGCCCAGCACGCCCGTACCGGAAGATAGCTTACCGTTGGTGGCAGAAGATTCCTTTATTCTTCCTCCGCCAGCGAGTTCACATTTGGATGGCCAATCCACAAAAGGCAGTAAAAGTGACGTATTTCAAACCCCAGTTCTTGAGAGGAGGTCTTTGAGCACGGGGTCGCTCATAGCTCAAAGGCTAAAGCTTTTGTCTACCGCCAATAATACCAACTCAGGTTCCAACCCCAGTGAGGTGGATGATAGTGGTACAGGAGAGGAAAAAGGACCTCAAAAAAGCTTCCACGCAGCAATAGACGCTGATGAAGAAGTCTCCAAGCCAAACTTCTTCATGCACCATGAGGTTGCTAACAGTGACAGTTCCGGAACTGTCAAGAATAGCGAAAGTTCAAACCCCGAACCTACGAAGAAGCAGAAGTTCATGTGCGATCTTGTTGCAGAATTGCGGAACGAGTACATTAAAGAATTTGATGCAAACGCTTCAAGCTTTAAAATCTTGGGCCGGAAACCGCCATACTCCAAGATTACGAGGGAAGATGAGTCACCAATCATTGAGATAAAAGCAGGCGTTCTGCTTCTTGTCAATTGCTGGAAAGAAGGGTTAAGCGGTGATACGGTCTGTTTTTCAACTTATGTTCCTCCCCCACGTTACGATACTCCGCTCCTTTCAAGCAAAGGAACCAATCAACAAGTCTTCGAATCTTTGGAGCGGAACTTGCCCTATTGGATGGGGAAAGCTTTGATCAAAGATGAGAAAACTGCAAAGAATTACCCCAAATTGACATTCATACTTGAGCCATGGCACGATCCTGATTCAGCTGAGGATTCAACAACCACTCTTAACTCAGAGCACTCCCAACACACGCATCACCACCATCTGCCGTTTCACCGCAACAAGCACAGCGAACGTGATGGCGATCGAAAGCCGAAACCACTTCCAAAAGTGGCTGAAGCGTACACAAAACTACACGCACCCACTGTAGTCAAAGTGAAAAAGATTCTCAATTATGTGGTGGATCGGTTTGATTCTAAAACCCCAGAAATGCGGTCCCGCACACCCGCCAGTGAGTGGCTTGAGCTTTTATGCAAGAATCAACTGCTGGACAACGAAATGGCACTGGGCAGCGTAAAGACGTCGTACTGGAAGTCCCAAGGCGATATAGTAATGCAATACCGAAGAAAAACTACGTCGTCAAGTGAAGTCTAGCTCGACGGGGGCTCTAGAGCCAGCTGAAGCAGGCAAGGCAGGAACCGAGAAAAAAAAAATAAACCAGGAACCCCATGCCGTTTTCCTTGATCAGAAGGGTATTGAATTCACAATAGAGAGCATAGAGCAAAGCCAGAAGAGCGATACAAATTCAATGGATATCTGACGTTCTGGAGCACTGACGCTCTGATGTTGTATTTTAAACCAAGATATTTGGCGATGGCACTATGAACGAAGGGTCTAAGTTCTAAAATTTTCATTATAATGTGGTCCATCTCAGCTCGAAATCTAGTTCAAGATGGGCTCTAGAAGGTGGATAAGAAGGCTTGAAGAGGTTGATCAAGGTGGTAATAATGGATCAAGAAAACGAGAGAAATGTGTCCAGACTTTGGAGAGCTTTTAGAACTGTGAAAGAGATGGTCAAAGACCGTGGGTACTTCATTACACAGGAAGAAATTGATCTTTCACTGGAAGATTTCAAAACGAAATACTGTGATTCGATGGGCCGTCCACAGCGTAAGATGATGTCTTTTCAATCAAACCCCGTGGAGGAGTCGATCGAGAAATTCCCCAATATGGGGTCGCTGTGGGTTGAGTTTTGTGATGAAGCTTCTGTTGGTATCAAGACAATGAAAAACTTCGTCATTCACATTAGCGAAAAGAACTTCCAAACTGGGATTTTCGTTTACCAAAATGGTGTGACGCCCAGTGCGATGAAATTGCTGCCCTCGGTAGCGCCAGCAACTATAGAAACGTTCCACGAAGCGTCGCTGGTTGTAAACATCACGCACCATGAGTTGGTGCCCAAGCATATAAAATTGAGCGACGAGGAGAAGAAAGAGTTGCTCAGAAGATACAGACTCAAGGAATCCCAATTACCCAGAATCCAGCGGATGGATCCGGTTGCATTATATTTAGGTTTGAAAAGAGGCGATGTTGTCAAAATCATCAGGAAGAGTGAGACTTCTGGACGTTACGCGAGTTACAGGGTGTGTTTGTAAAATACTGGAAATAGAATGAAGACCCCTCCAAAAAAAGAAAGAAGAGTTTGTTGATCTTGTAAAGTCAAAAAATCCGCCCTGGAAGTGGGTTTTACGCTGTCTTACAATCTTTTTTGTAGAATATAAAATAATGAGTTCTATGTCCTGTGTAACCTGGCAGCAACGACTGCGTCTTTGGAGCCCTTCCACCAAGCTACATCATCCATCTCTATTTCACCCGCTGGTGGACTCACTTCCACTCCTTGTATCCCTAGATACTTTGCTCCTATGGTGACAATTATACTGTCCACAATGTCTGGTCTGGAAAGCAGCTCGTTTATGACCACAGCTCCACCCTCTACCATTATCGAATTGAGTTGAAATTGTCTTTTGAGCAGCAGAAACAAAGGAAGCCAATCGAATTTTCCATCTGGACCAACTGGTGCCTCTACGTACGTAACTGCTTTCGCTTTAGTAGTCCATGCCGGTAACTTGTTTACGACAACAACTGGTGGTTTCCCTAGATTCTGAGCGGCCAATTCTTGCAATTTGGATCCTTCGTACCGCCATTTGCATTGTGGATCTAAGATAATTGGCCGTGGAGAACACTGCATGTCAGCGATCTTGTCTACTGGGCTCCATTTGCAGTTCAGCCCAGGATCATCGGCCAGTGCTGTGCCAACGCCAATAAGAATTCCATCGTGATGGAAACGCAAGTAATGGGTCATGGTTTTAGTTTCCAAGTGTGAAATCACTGTTCGAACTCCCTTACCCTTTGATATTCGCGAGTCCATCGATTGTGCATATGTTAAAGTAACAAATGGTTTTAGACCTGGTCTTTGTTCCTCATTCGAAGGAAGGTATGATTTCAAGAAAGGAACCAGATCATCTCTCAACGGAACCAAAGACATTCTATACCTTCATTGACAAAGGGTTCTCTGTGGATAAGCTTGCATGGACTTCTTCCTCATCGACAATCCTACGAGGACTTAATGGAAACTCAGCGATGAGCTAGATCGTCATTAACGTCGAGACGGGTTGACTTCGTAGTTACGATTCGAAAGGTCCCAGCTAAATCACCGAGTATTCATTCTGTTCATCTTGAGCTTGTGCTTGAAAGGGTCCCGACTGCAGTTTCGCTTCTGTCCTACGTAAAGGCTGAGGATTGTATTTCCGTGATTTCTTCACTTTATGCCGTTGTTGATCGGCCTTGCGCTTCTCAGCCTCGCTATTGTGAAGTACTGTAGAACTCGAGGCATTGAGAATGGCAGGATTTGTTTTAAGAGCACTTTTCGTTGGCTTATTGGCTCTTTCTATACTTTCAGAGTCAAAAACAGAGGCATTGGCCAATTTGGCACTTTCATAATCCTCAAGCTCTGCCTGTTTCTTTTCTTCCAGACGCCGCTGTCTCAAAGCTCGCTGCTTCTGTCTTTCTTCCCATAATAGATGTTCTTTGTCCGGTTCCTGACTGTCATCATCGTCGAGAGCCAGAATGTTTGCCAGTAAGTCTTGATTAGAAGTAATATTGTCTTTTCTCAAAGAGATCAGTTCTTTGTTCTTGTCAACTCTCTTGTGGTCCTCCTGTATCTTGGCTAAGAGGACGTCTTTATCGGTGTTCAACGCTCGAACTGAAGCTGTGGATACATTGCCGGTCTTTCCTTGAGGCCGTTTTAAAAATACAGGCTTGTGAAGGACGTACTCGTCATCACTGGATGAAGATTCTTCAGTCTCGTCACTGCCTTCTACTTTTTGGTCATCGGAATTATTTCCCGGTGAGTCTGACGTTTCTTCCGGGATGACGAATCTCGCAGCAGATTCGGTGCTGCCAGAACCAACGCCAACTTCCGGTGAGGATATTCCTGGATTATGTGACGATTGAACGGAGACCGGCCCAGTTTGAAATTCCTTTTCATGAAGTTTTCTTTGATTATGCGCATTGTCGTGCTCATCGTTGTGCTCATCATTATGCTCATCGGTATGCTCATCGGTATGCTCATCGCTCTGGTCTTCAGGCTGTTCATCGCCCGAAGATTCGCTTGAAGAGCTAGCTACCTCCTCAGGAATATCTCTTCGCCTAAAATGCCGTATTGCCATGGCTTAACTTGCTCCACGTACTGCCCTCAACGTTTATTTTAACAGGCAGTAGGTAGTAGTGGTAGTTTTGGCCATTGATCTAATAGACTTGCTCAACTACGTGTAAAAGTATGATGGGATCTTTACGAGTCAAGTAAACTTTTTAAGCTTCAAGTTGTGATCCCGATGCTGTGCAGCCTGCTATCTTCTGAGCAGTCCTGAGAAGCGTTGTCGGAACTGTCTGTGTGTCTGGAAAAGTCATAAATGGATATAAAAGTATAAAAACGGTTGACATGAAGCTGCCCTAAATAGCCAATTCCAGTTTAGCTACACTCAGAAATCAAGAGCGACCTTCATGGTGCCACATTTCACTCTTGAATTGGGCTTCTTCTTTGAGTCTCTCATCTTGCCCGATTTGTCAGTGGACTTATCACCGGAAGTAATAGACTTGTCTTTAGTGTGGCGATCAACTTGGAAATAGACTTCTTCGTGATCTGAAACTTGTGGTGATAAGAGTTTGCGTCCAGCAGGTCTAGTTTCACCCTTTTCACCCTTTTCACCCTTTTCACCTCTCTCACTACCTTCCCTGTCTTCATGTTCATTTCCAAATGGGTTGTGGGGTGGATGATGTGGTGGACGATGGGGATGCGAACCGTTGAAAGCTCCCTGGTAGTCTTCACCGCTGATAGTTCCAATATACGCAGAATCACCAAACCCACCGATGAAACGCACTTCGCTGACATCAAACTCGAACCATTGGCCATCGTGAACCTGGTCATGGTCCCCGCCGGGAATCCACCAACGGGCATCTGGATGCCGTTTTAGAAAACAACGTTCTAGAGCCTTAGAGGCCTCTAAAGGCTTCAACTCCCCAAAGTAGTTGGCGCGTGGCGTGGCCATTGCAGGCTTGTGCAGTTTCCAATGGTTTGACTTTTCTATCGACACCGAAAACTTAGAATCGTTGTACCAGTTCTTGGACGTTGAGCTCATGTTGAGAAGTAGCAATATAATGCTGCCATTACTGGAGGTCTCGACACCGTGGCAAACGTCGGATCCTACAAAATACTCGATAAACGAAACTGGCGTGCCTGATTCCCGATCGATGGTGTTGGCATGCAAGGTATGCTCAAAAGCTGCCATTTTTCGAGCCACCATAGCGGCTTCATTAGGTCCCATGTAGCGGGCTAGTTCCTCGTCATGACCGTCCGGATGGTCTCCATTGCCAAACACGAACGATAGCCCTTCTAAGAGCGCAGTGCTCAAAGTACCAAATCTCATCACAGAATTTATCAGCAAAAGCCGTGGTGTTTGAAGGTACGTTGCAAGAGATGAAGTAAGTCTTGGCAAGTTTCTTATAACTCCCTGATTTACCTCTTATAAGAACCGGGTGTAGTTTGTCTGGTATCCCTCATACGTGGCTAAGCCCTCTCGTGACTGCGTTCGATCAAACGTAGAATTAACGTAGTTCTGAATAAAAGAAGTCTTGTTCGGGTAAAATTGGCGTCATACGGATCTTGGGTGCGCCAAGTATTTTTAGTCGCTGTCAAAAGAGTCGGGACGATGATTTTCATGGTACGACGACAGTAAGTGAAATGACAGTTCATTTTAATATACAGGCGACCGTTATTATCGTGACATCTGCGACATTGATACCAGAGTTGAGGCAAGCGACTTCAAACGTTGTGAAAATTACCTAGGAAGTTCAAATGTGATGAGGGTCGTCTGTAAATGGTGTTCTCTTGATTTTGGTCTCGCTTTGTATGATATTCTTTCTTGAATCAGACGTTGACTATGTCTAGTTTTCGCAGGATTGCAGAGCCGCAACATCAAAAGTAAGGTTGGTTCATGAATTTAAGTTTCCATCAAATCAGTGCTGTGGGTGTAAGTATCATGTCGGCTATATTCTGGCGATAAGCTGAACCGTCTTTTCCAGCTATGTTTTCTCTGATTTCTATGTCTTTTCAAGTATTAGATGCTCATCAACTTCATGACGGTAGTTTATATTAGAACTTTAAAGAGAAAGAGAGACAGAAGGAGCACCGTTTTGTTGGCTCGTTAACGCTCTGTCCCCCATACCAATCACCTTTGGTCTGCATTTCACAAATATACACCTCAACATGTTGGTTACAGATCTTGATCACCAAATTACCTTTCAATATGGCATTTTTAACGCTTGAAATGCCCTTAAAAAGATCCTGGACACGAGACTTGAAAGTCTAGAAGATTCAGGCATTTGGACCATCAATACAGGCCTTCTTTTGATGTTTACAGATGATTTGAAGCTGTACTAGTACAATTCTCAAATGCTAGCCTTTCACACGACAGTGGTCGTTAAATTGTTATATCAAAATATACGTGTTCAACCAGACGAGCAGAGAGTCTAGTTCGTCTTCAAGACCATATACGCTTCACCTGCAATGATCAAGTCTACGTTGATATTCAGAGACGATGGTACGTTTTGCCCGCTATGACCCATTCCCTTGTGTGCCCAACTTGAAGCTCATCACTAACAATTAATCACAGGTCTCCCACTATGCTCGTCAGTCGATGACGACACCGATCCGCTTCTTTCTGAACAGAGGAAAAAAGTCAAAGTCCTGGTATCGAAACTCACGCCGAATAGTGCCGACGAGGCAACTTTGGAGAGTGGGAACTTCGAGATTCACTACGTGCGTGTAAACACGATTGCCTATTTTGTCATTGTAGACAAAGGATTCTCGCGTAGTCTAGCCTTCTCGTACCTCAAAGAGATATCCCAGGAGTTTGAGCATTCTTACGGGAATGAGTATGGCAAGCCTTCGATTCGTCCCTACGCTTTTGTCACATTTGACAATTTTTTGCAGAAAACCAAAAAGCTCTATAGTGACAAACGGGTTCAGAACAATCTAGATCAGCTCAACCAGGATTTAAGCGGTGTCAAGCAGATTATGACCAAGAATATTGAGGACCTACTGTACCGTGGGGACTCCTTGGACAAGATGAGCGATCTGAGCGCGTCGCTGAAACAGAATTCCAAGAAGTACCGGAAGTCCGCTCAGAAGATCAACTTCGACCTGCTCATCAGCCAGTACGCGCCGATAGCAGTCGTGGCGTTTATTTTTGTATTTCTGATTTGGTGGGTATTCTTGAGATGAGAGGTGAGGGGAGATAAGGAGACATCCTCTACCGTTCTGTGCCGGGCGTCAGCATGCTCACCAACCGCATACCGCAGCGCATGTCACTATCATCCTGCCACGTTACTTACCGCAGAACATGGCCATAGGACATCTGTCATCCTTCCAGTATGTGGGCGACGCAATAGTACAAAGTGACCGAAAAAATCAAACTTGTCGACAAATATCTAATTTTATCACTATTAGGACTGTCTAAAGTCGTTCGGTTACAATATCGATGCGGAAACAGAAAATCCGGCTCTGCAACTCTCTAATTTACTTCTCCATTAACTACAGTGCGCTTTACCCCGGATTATTTTTGTCTTGTCCATTTTTTTTTTTTTTGGGAAGTCCTCCCAATTTGACCACCACAAGTCCTGGTTGCCGAACCTACAAAAACTAAAGCTACCCCACACATCTACACTCAAATGCAGAGCAATTACAATCCGACTTCCGCCTCTAATTCCCTTCTTAAAAGATACTGACTCTCTTGACACATTCAAATGATCTATGATCACTTTAGACGTGAAGCTAGATCATTGTTTAAATACTTATCACTACCCACGAAAACTCCCTTTGATGAAAAAAAATTAGGGCTTACTGAGATGATAAAAAGATCCCTTGCTTGTTCCTGCTTCTGGGAAAGTGATGAGCATTACCAACCGGAAACGAAAACAGTAATCAATAGCACTTGTAAGGCTTTACTAAGCGTTGATCTTTTGTAGTTTCAACGGTAATAGGTGTAAAAAAACCGGAGCTTTAGACGGTCTTTTGGACCCTATCCCCTAAAAATTGATCTCGAATTCTACTTTTTTTGTTTTTGAGACAGATGAACTATACTCCGGCAACTTCGTCATCAAATGGGTCATCCCAAAACATTGCGTTGCAGGAATTAATCGGCAAGTTCAAATTCGTGCGAATTTTGGACTCCAATCCGCAAATAAAAGTGATTTCGCTTCTGGGAAAAATCGATGCACAGGACGCCATTGTGACCATGGAAAAAATGCATTTTGTTTATGACACTAATGTGCTGAAAAAGGAGAACGGACGCAATACGCCCGTTCTTCACAACTGCGAAGACGAATTTTCTTGTCTGAAATCGATTCAAGAATTGCGGGAAATTGCTTCGAACGACATTTATTACTGGGGAGCCGGCCTTTTGAAGCAAGACTTGGACCGCAATCCGACCGCAAAAATCAATCTCATTTGGCCTGCTACCCCGGTGCACATCCGTAAATATGAGGTCCAGGACTATCATATGCTGCGGGAAACGCCTGAGATTTACGAGAGAGTTGTTAAGCCTTATATCGAGGAGATGAGCAGCGAATCACGTCTGAGGTGGGTTAACAATATTCTCTACAACGGTGCAGAGTCGGAACGTGTGGTGTACAAAGACTTTGTAGAAGAAAACTTGCCCAAGGGCTTCCTTGTTTTGCCCGATATGAAATGGGATGGCGTGAACCTAGATTCGTTGTATTTGGTGGCATTGGTATTCCGTAATGATATCCGCTCTCTAAGAGACCTCAGGCCAGAACACAAGCCCTGGCTCGTCGAATTACTCACGAAAATCAAAACCGTCATTCCAGCTTGCTACAATTATGCTATCCATCCAGATGAGTTAAGAGTTTTTATCCATTACCAGCCTTCTTATTACCATTTCCACATCCACATCGTGAATGTGAAACACGGCGGTCTGGGTGACGGAATCTCATCCGGCAAAGCATTCTTACTGGAAGAGGTGATTGAACAGTTAAACTACCTAGGCAAAGATGGCTTCGCAGGACGAACGATCACTTACGTCTTGGGCGAAAACCACGATCTTTGGAATCGTGGCATGAAACATGAAATTCCTCGGCAGTTGAGAGAAGATGGTATTCCCAAGGCACCCAAAGTCATCAATGACTTTGAATAATGCCAATCCACAGAATAAGTGGGATATCATAGGAAAAAGGTGAATTTTTCTGAGAAAACATTATTTTGTTATACTAGTTATTTCTACAAAAGCTTGGACGACCCTTGCCAAAGGAGAACGGGACTAATGCCTGCCATATTTGCGGGTTTATTTGTAACGGTCGATTTCTATGATCAAAAGTAAGTAGAGGATTAAGTTTGTTGATAATTACTGCTAGCGAAGGAGCTTGATACTTTAAAGGCCTTTCTTGGGAGAAAGAATCGGTTTTGATACAGCAAGAGTTACAAACTATGAGTTCCGATGAAGGCCGTGCTTCAACAAATAAACGTTCAATGGATTCAGAAGAATCAAAGCAGGAAGAAGAGGATGATTATATGACTATGTTGCTACCCAACGAAAATGCGGTAGTGGAGCCCTCAAAGCCCAAGACCAAACTGCGAAAAGTAGACAGTAAGCAACAAGAAGCATCAGAGATTCTTCCGAAAGGCTTCGCCATGATGAGCAAAATGGGATTTAATATTGGTGAGACTCTTGGCCGAAATACAGAAAAGGGCTTGAAAAACCCTATATGGGTCGCTCGAAGAGACACTCCGATTGGAGCAAACACTTTACATCAGCCATTGTCCCTCAACAGAAAAGAGAATGCGGCCGATGAAGAGGGCTACCAGAGGTGGATTCAAGAGAAACGTCAGCGTACAACTGAAATGCGCACGCTACACGCAATGCAAAAAAAAGCTTTCGAGCTGAGCGGCGATGTGGATGTGTTCGACATCAAAAGTGATCCAAGGGATTACAACTGTCTCTGGAGGCGATACGTCATGGAGCTACAAGAAAAACTACGATCGAAGGAGCAAAATACGGAACTTCGATCGGAGGACTCTGATTCTGCGAAATCAGATGACATCGATGACGAGCTAGTCATTTTTGAAGAACTCAGTCCCGTACAGCAAATACGGGGCGTGCATGTACACATGAGAACCGAATTTTTCTACTGTTTTTATTGTGGAGCCCAGTTCACCACTGAAGAAGAGCTACTCCAGAAATGTCCAGGGCCTACAGAAGACGATCACTACTGAGATCTCAAGGTTAAGCTGAGATACAGAGCTTACTGGCAAGAAACATTGGAGTTCCTGGTAACGAGGCAAAGAGAACTCCAACACACACTCGACAATCATAACTACTCGCCAGGCGTAATGGAGCGTGAAGAGTTCATACTGTCTTTTATAGTTCTAGCGCCGCTGCTAGCGAGTTTGATAATAATAACTCCATACGTGAATACCCAATCAATTACCCGTTTAGTATATCAGTATGTACTCATAAGCAACCGGATTTTTCCCAAAATTCTGTACTCGAGTACCTCTATGAGCACGTGATTATATTTTCATAAGAAGCATCTTGAAATCTCTAACTCACCTACCTCATCGCTTGATTGAGAATCCTCACTTTAGCAGACCCTTTGACGCTCATTCTAACCAATCAGGCGTCTGAGGTGCCCAGTATGAGTACATCATTTGTCTCAAAAACATCTGGCCCTGAAAGATCAGGATCAGATCGTCCAAATTCGAGCGAAAATCAGCTGGGAAAGGCTCAAATATACAACGATATTTGCGAGTATGAGGAGACGCTGGGACGCCTTGTTACGTCTGTGGATAAATTTCATCCCGACATACAGAGTGCTAGAGATCTAATTGAGGCAGATAAAAAGCTCTCGGATACATTAAAGTCGCTTCAGAGTTATGATGAAATCGACAGTCGAGCAAGGCGTCTTGACGAAGAACACTCAAAAACTGATACAAAAATCGCACGAATATTGCAAACGCTCACAGAGTGCCACCGGGATCTGAATTCCTTACCCATGCTTGAGCAAGTGGAGTTCGAGCGCAACACTATGCTCAAGCAGCGCGAAAAAGTATTCACAGACGTGCTGCTCGATTATGCCATGAAACTCGCAAAATTCACACATGTACCGCCAACGTTTGATAAAGGCTCGGTAGGACCAAACAATTTTGTGTGGCCTGCGGAAGACGCTATGAGAAGAGGTATGCTGGCCATAGCCTCTCTGAGAGCGTCGGAGAACGGAAATGAGAAACTCACGACACAAGATAGCTCAATTCTTCAACAAGACGCTCCAAACGAGACTGGTGAAGAATACACGGGTGCACCGGATGCTGATACAGAAGTAAGGGATCGTAGACCTTCGTTTGAGTTTACTGGTGCGGCCGTCAAGGACGTGGAAGAAGAAAAGCAAGAGGACGATATTGATCTTGATCTTGACCTCTTCAATGCTGAGGAGTTTTGATGTTACCTATCGACAGTCACAAGATATGCTACAGAAATGTATATTTGGTTCGAAGAAATTTAGTCTTCTTTGCGAATGGGTCGAGGCGAGTACACACTGAAGCTCGCTCGTCTTTCCTGACCAGACGACAATTCCCTTTTGAAATTTTCAAAGGCTCGTTGCAGGTTGTGTTCTTCAATTTCCAGGCCCTTCTCAGCTCTCCATTTCTCATAGGATTCGAAGAACTCTGAAAAGTCGCGTTTAGCCTCTTCAAAATCGAACTTGTCAAAATCTGCATCTGGAATTCCAAGTTGCATGTCACGAATAGCTTCAGTTTCTTCATATAGCCGTTTGGCTTTGGCAATCTCGCCTAGGGGCCCTGCCTCCTCAAGTTTCTCTTTCTGCTCCTTTTTAGCAACAGTGGCGGCCTGATGAGCCTGAAGGAATTTTATCACAGATTTAGCGTATGGTCCCTTGAATATCAGGAAAGTTACCAGAATGCCTAGATGCAAGTAAAAGTAAACAGAGCTCCAGCATTTCAAAGAAGAAGGTAATTCCAAGAGCACGAACGGCTGTACCAAGTATCCAAAAGCAAGTTTCATGACATAAAAGCAGACCACATCGTAGAGTATCTTCGACGGAAGTGCCTTCCCCTCAGCATTCAAGAATAGAGGACGCAAATTGCGTCTGAATATCTTGCCACAGGATTGATATAACGCACCGGTTGCAAAGCTGAGGTAATAGCCGGGTCTAGTGCCATGCCAAAACGCGGACGTGAGGAAAGTGAATAGTGTACTGCGAAAACCTGGTTTAGATCCCGGTCTTGCAATTCTCAAATAAACGTAATGTTTCAACCATTTGTTAGTATTCATGTTCCACGCCTCAAGGCCCTCATGGGTATTGCTAGCGGTCTCAAACTTCCAAATGTCGATATTGCGCACTCTGTCCCACTTTATTTGCTTTGTAAGTGGATCATAACCATTGTAGCCAAGCCCACACAATATGCACGAAGCTTCCGATACGGTCCAGGCGGCATAGTATTTGAGTCTGAACAAGAAGCTGAGGATGTAGAGGTAGTGGATTTTGTACAGGAAAGACTTTTGTCCAAACGCTTTTGTGAACATAAACTCCTTTGAGATGTAATTGGGCAGGATTGTTGATAGTACGATCCAGAAAATGCCCTGCGCAACACGCCATAGTACCAAGAGTCCACATTTTGGGATCTGTCTGCGGAGGTTAGGATCTGAGGTTGTCCACCGACGTCTGGGTTTTTTCGTATCGGGCAGATCACGGAAAACCTCGCAGTTGAGCCATGACTCAAAATCGGCAAAATCAAAACTTGGTCCAGTGAATAAGGAAGGATAAAAAAAAGTGTACGCCATAAAACTCAAGAGATTAGGGTGGTTTTTGATAGCGCGTGCTTTTTGAAATTCTGAAAGTTTGGTTTGATCTGCTTGGTTACCATCGTGGTACGACCATGCAAATGCCGTCAGCTTCATGACCAGGACCATCTGGGCTCCTGTGATATCGAGTTTGGATTCATCAGCATTGCTGAAAAATTGAACGCTGAAATGGTTGATGGCCAAATGAGACATAACAACCACGAAGTTAACGAAGGGCATGAATCTAGAGCTGTAGAACCTGGAGATCACATATGTGAACATACTACTCAAAAACAGGGTACGAAATCCGGTGAAAATGTTGAGGACCCCAAACAAATAGAATGCCGAGACAGCCACAATATACCAGCATTTCAGAGAGGTTTTGTGGTCTGGTAAACGTTTCAAAACTGCGTTGAAGGGGAAAGATGAAAAAAGGCAGATTGCCAGTTTCAGTGTCAATTCGTCTACTCCAGTTTTATCAGAAAGCTCCAGGATTCTGGACTCAATGAAGTTGCCCATGATGAATAGAGTGCCGAAAAAAGACGAAGCTGGCTACAACTCACGAAAGGGCTTGAATGGTTCGAAGCTGGTCGTGTAAAAAAAAGAGGATTAAGTGCACATTGAAAACATGATCCAGGTTCAAAATCGTACAGAGAGGGTCGGGCTCGAGATGAGATCAATTTACAGGAGCGAGAGTTGGATATTTCGTGCAACATGACAAAGAAACTCACGTTGAAGAAAGTACCAGGGAATCTCGGGAGAGATGACACCATGAGACTACATGCTCTACAAATTTCATGCGGGCATTCGGTCACTAACAGATGTAACTTCTTACTTAAACTTTTCGTTGTTCGCTCTGATGACCACATGTTTTCCTTTTGGAGTTTTTGGTATTCCTGATAAAACCCATATGTGTGAGTTGGATACCAACAGGTATGCAAGCAAAACTCCGAAGTTTTATAGGCGGAAACACCTCGACAGTCAAAATGAGGGAAAAAGATGACGATGTCACGTGTACAAATAGATATTTATCTAGGTGATTTCCTTGAGTCGAAGCGCGCAACTGGGTCAATAAATGACTCCATGAAAGTGTGTACGTAATCGAATATTTTTTATGGGTGCACATGATTAGGCGCCAATTATTATTCTTTCGTGCTAAACGAATATGCATCGAACACATCATGACGCATCGGTTAGCACACGAAGCCAAATTGGTCGCAGAAACACATCACCGGTGGCCTATCTTGATCGAGCTCCACTCCATTTCCTACACCCTTGCGAATGTAGTCTTCTCTTTGCTGTAAGTTTGAAATTGTCTTCTTTTCAGCAGTGTACTCTTGACAAAAAACGGAAGAAGCTAGTCTTTCGAGTCGGCTCTTGAGACCATGCTACATGTTTCTGAGATCCAACAATCTCGAGTATATCGTACGTCTCTAGCAACAAATTCAATTCCCGTGTGCTTTGTGCAACACTCGTATAACTACAACTTGGCCTAAAAACAAGCGTTTCAACTCGTTCGAAAACTCACATAGAGCTTGAAAATAGCGGTTTTCAACGGTATCGTGAATAGCTAAACATCTTCATGAAATAAATAATGTTTTGCTGACGTCTTTATATATGGATAGCAACTTCGACTCGAATGACTTTAATTACAGCTATATATACAGCTAATTAAATAGTCACCGGAAATTTGATTTGAATATTGACACGATGAAGAACCCTCAGATAAAAACCGTCGGTTTGGGTTCAGTATTCACCTCTTAAGTAGACTATCACTATATAGCCAACAATGCTGTCTAGATGTTCAATAGTGAGCAAGCGGCTCTTCTCGACTACGAGAGTTTCCCTTGAAAAAAGTCCTACTGGAGTGGTCTTCATGAACATGGGAGGACCCTCAACGGTACCCGAGACAAGAGACTTTTTATACCAGCTTTTCTCAGATAACGACCTCATTCCTATCAGTAAGAAATACCAACCATTGATAGCCAAGTATATCAGCAAATTTCGCACTCCCAAAATCGAGAAGCAATACGAGCAAATCGGAGGATCACCAATCCGTAAATGGTCCGAATATCAAGCGAAAAAGGTGTGTGAGATTTTGGACAAATCCTGTCCTGAATCCGCACCGCACAAGCCGTATGTGGCTTTCCGATACGCTAGGCCCCTCACCAATGAAACCTACCAACAAATGCTCAAAGACGGTGTGCAGAAAGCAGTGGCCTTTTCACAATATCCACAGTTCTCGTATTCGACTACTGGATCCTCCATCAACGAGCTGTGGAGACAGATCAAGAAACTAGACCCCGAAAGATCCATCTCTTGGTCTGTGATCGACCGTTGGCCAACCCATAAGGGCCTTGTCAAGGCCTTTGCCACGAACATTCAAAAAAGACTTGAGGATTTCCCAGAGGAAGTGCGGAAAGACGTGGTTCTACTGTTTTCTGCACATTCTTTGCCCATGGATGTTATCAACACCGGTGATGCTTACCCAGCCGAAGTAGGTGCCACTGTCTACAGCGTAATGAGCGAGCTGAAATTCTCCAACCCTTACAGACTCGTTTGGCAATCACAGGTCGGGCCCAAACCATGGTTGGGTGCTCAAACCGCAGATGTTACAGAGTGGCTGGCTCCTTCACAAAAGGGCTTGATTTTGATACCCATCGCTTTCACTTCAGACCACATTGAGACCTTATTTGAGCTGGATTTGGAAGTCATTGGCGAATCCGAGTATAAAGATAAAATAAAACGTTGTGAGTCACTCAACGGCAGTGAAATTTTCATTGAAGGGTTGGCAGATTTGGTTAAGGACCATTTACAGAAGGGTGAACTCTACTCTAAACAATTACCGCTAGACTTCCAATTAGGAAAGTCAAATGACACTTTTGAACATCCATCACAAGTGTTCGGTGATCATTCCAATAAAAGCTCTTCCCCTCAATGATAAAAATACGGAAAGCTTGATACTACTTATAAAATTAGGCCTTGTGTCAATTCACCGTGGCAACAGCAAATTTATTCTCTAGCCGCTACAAGCTTGAAACCATCTGCTAAAATAGCGAGAGCCTTTTCACTTTTATAAGGAATACTGTTTAGCACAAAAGCAACGTCATCCCACTGCTTTTGTGTTTCGGATCTCTGCAAACGCATTAACAGCTTCTCGCTTAACTGCTTTTGATGTTTTTCCTTGTCGATGAAAGTGAGCAAAAACTTAAGTATCCTCTTAAAAGAGTTTCGCTCGAGATGCTCATCATTCGACATGCCACTGAATATGTCAATAAATCCATTGTAAATAGCATTGTCTTTAGTCGCTAGCTCGGTAAAAAACAGCTTGCACATGTCACTTACACCTTGGTCGGGGTTTTCAAGACATCTGGCCATTTGTCCTAGCTGCCCTTTGACCTTGACTTGACCAGCAAGAATTAGAAACGTCACTGTCATTAAGCAAGTCTTTTGAACCATTAAATCATCATCGTGCAAATGACGATATAAAAACTCGGTGTTTTCATCAACAAGATTATTGAAGCACACTGCCATGTCCCCAAGGCCCAATATCACATTGGAACGTATGATAGGGTCGGGAGACTTTTCCAGAATGGTGATTAGTAGAGGCAGATTGTTTTCGCAATACTTCGACGATACGCACATAAACTTCTCAAGGCATAGGACCGCCGTTCTTTGCAACATGCAGTCCGCAAATTTCACGTTATTCGATAAAATCTCCTCCACCAGGGGACCAAACCTTGCCAGCAGGGAGGATTCCCCAAATAAAAGCTCGTTTTCCTTGACAAAGTTCACGGCATCAGCAAAGTCATCTTCATTAGTACCGCCAATCATCTCAAGTTCCTGTTGTCGTTCAGCAGCCTGATCAGCTCTGTCAGCATCACCTGCCGAAGAATTCTTACTCTCAGCTTCGATCTTGCGTTTCTTAAATTCGGCTTCACATTTTTCCACATATATTGTCGTATTGATAGCAACATGGCCAACAATGAACAAAAGCTGAGCCAGGGACACTATCCTGGAGGACGTATGACTTGACTGATCTTCAAATTCATTTCTGCCGAATGTCATCATAGTTTTTTCTCGTACAATCTCGGTGGCCACAGTGTCTGGCGATGATGATATCACAAAAAGGGCTTTCAAAGCTTCTTCGCAAGCGGGATAGTACTCCGGATCTTCCACATATTCTATTATCCTAGCATGTAGTTTCTTAACAGCGTCTGTTTCCTGTACAAGGGATCCTGCTACGGTACTTGCAGTTTTTGGGACAGTCCGCTGCAGGGCAACACATGAATATTTTAGTAGAACAATATCTTTTCTACCAGCTTCACCTAATCCTATCGTAAGCAGTGAATCAAGCCCTTTCAATGCAACGTTATTATCGGCCAGAGAGAGCATACTGAGGACAATAACTGCCCCGCGGATTTGTTTAGTATCACTAGCGCTGCTATCCTGGGCGCCTGAGTTGTAGATAGCCCAAAGAACATTTACAGCGTCCTGATTTATATAGTCTGCCTCGTAAATGAGACCCAGAAGCTTTTCTAAAGAAGCCAAATCTGCAGCAGACGTGTTTTCCGTCAAATGAATCAAGTTTTTGGCAATGTAGACAGCTTTATCTCGGAAATTTGACCCATCAGGAGGTGTGAGAAATAGTTGATTGTAGCAAGATATGAGATGTGATACAATGCTCGTACCTTCGTCGTTAGTTCCCTTCATCCAAACGAGATGTAGCATCTTGCGAACGCCAAGATAGCTAATCTCAACTTCATAAGCATCCGTTAACACTAAAAAGTCCATGACCTCCAGAACTTCATTTCTGTTTCGAGACAACAGAAGCTGACATGCTCTCTGAATACCTTCGTGGATACCCTTGATGAATGCTAAAGCATCTTTGTAATATTGAATGGTTAATTTCATTTTGAATGCAGCGTTTGAGTTGGTGGTTGGCAAACTTTCTGCTTCCCTCTCGAGCCTAGACATCCGCACATCATCACCTTCATTTGATGACTCGTCATCCTGGTGTATGCTCCTCTCAATAGCGTCGTCTAGTCCTGCTGTGTTGCTTTCGGCTGCTGCCAACGTATTAGCATATACGGCCTCGGCATCTTCGTACCGACTGCGCCATTGCGACAGTTTCAGTTGCGATCCATGGAGAGCGTCAAACTGATGAGTTAGTATGAGTTTGGTGAGAAGCTTAACAGCGTTTCTTCGAACCAGAGAAGACCTATCCTGTAGAGAACGAACGGCTAGGTCGACCATGTTAGACCTGTTTCTCTTCAGCTTAACAGGTAGATCACATATCTTCAAACAGCCCTGTATTGCTTTTGTTCTAACATAAGGGTTCGAGTCAGTAAACCTTTCTTCCAAGAGCTCGATAAGGACTTCTGCAGATTGTTTGTATAGGTCGAAATCTTCACGTTTGGACGAAATTTCGATAACTATATTACCACAAGCTTCCACAACAGCACACCTTAATGTAAATGAACTATTATTGAGTAGTTTGACGATTAAAGTCATTTGACGTAGCACTATCCGTGGTATGAGCTCGGATAATTTCACCAAGAATAAGGCTATTGTTTTTGGCCCCTTTACATCCTTACTGTTGAACTCTTTGTTGCTGATATCTCGTAGTATATCTTCGGTTAGCTGTGGATAATCGAAGTCGTTGTTGATGGTGCGAAGCAACTCAGCTGTGAACGTATTCAGATGAGCAAAATAAGTCAAAGAAGTGAGGATTGCGTTCTGCGTGCTTGAGCTTTGCGCATGATTTTTGACAGCTGTTCCAATGATTTTCAATATGAAAAGCTTGATTGCTGGCATTTTGAGAATCTGCTCAGTTTCAATAAGAACATAGATCGGTTTGGTGAACAGGCCAAGGAAAAGATCTCTCTCTGGAGTAGTTTGGAAAATGCGCGACAAGTTCAGCCCTAAAACCTTCAAAATGCCTTCTAGCAAATTTTCAATCTGTCCCGATGTCTTTTTGGTAGCATTGGCGTTAACTTCTGATGCTTTTTGACTTCTTCCGCTGGCCTTAGCTGCGTTTGTTTGCGATGCAGAACTTGAAATTTCCTGCTCCAAAAAGTAGAGCAGAACATGCACCAAATATCCATATTCTTCGAGCTGTCGTTTCCATTGTGGAACACTGCTCGCCACTTCAGAATTAATAGCACCTTCTAGCAAACTGGACTCAACGTTTTGCGCGTAATTGCCCAAAGATGAACTTATGAGATACGTCAACTGAATCTTATGCTGGGTCGGGAGGTGCCGGAAACCGTGTGCCAAATCGATCAAACTCTCTAGCGTCTCTTCGTTGTCATCTATAAGCTCTGGTGATACCGCGAGAACGTCAATAGCTGTGTTAAGCTCGACGGCTGAATTTTCCACCGCAGGAAAGCTTTCTTTGTCACCCGTTTGGAACTTGGTGAGCCAGTCTGAGAGACAAAACTCCTGCATTCTTATAGTAGACTGTTACTTGGTGACACGCGACGAGGTTGTATGTATCAATTGTGTTATTTCAGTGATATATATAACAACAGAGCTTTCAACTCACTTACCTTAGGACCAAAAGATAACACGTGGAGCTCGAAAACCTGTGGCCGAAGTTGAGTGCACGTAAAGCGCTAGTTAAGATTGGCAATGACGGTGGTGATGAAATTGCCAGTCTACACTTGTAGCCTTTGTCAACTTTGTTTTTATTTCGTTAGTGCGACTAAAGCTCATCTCTATACTAACGAGATTGGTGGATTGATAAAGTGACAAAATTTAAAAAAATATGATTTCGCCCAGGATCGAACTGGGGACGTTCTGCGTGTTAAGCAGATGCCATAACCGACTAGACCACGAAACCATTCTTTAAGAAAATGATGAAATTTAAAGAATACAATGTTCAAGAAATATCATGTTACCTTATGTGCTTGTGCCAGCTGCTTATAGCGGATGTAATCATCGTTCATGTACTTCATTGCGGTAGTCTCGGCACAACCGTTTATCTTCAATGTTTTAGTAAGACTGAACTTTATTCTCAGGCATTTAAATGATGGAAAACAGTCCTTGTTCTTGGACGACAGTATATAGACACGATGACGAAGCTAGCAAGCGTCAACGCGATTTGTAACTATACGTAAAGGCCGATGTTTCTTGATGCTTTTATGTCCTAGCGGTGAAACAGGTGTTTTGAATAAGCTTCTTGTTTCCTCGAAGAGCTTTTTCGTCTTTTCCAATTCTATCATAAGATTGTGGTTTTCAGTATCCTTCATCTCGTATTGGTCAATAATTTCGTTCAGCTGAGACCGTAACAGCTTTTCTTCGCTTTGTATCTCTCCGTTTCGTTTTTTTAATGCCAGCTTTGAAGTCTTCAGTGACATAATTCGAGCTTTTGCCTTCTCTTTGAACTCTAATAGATTTTCAACCTGAGCTGACGTCGTGGCTATTTTAGCTGAATAATCTGAGAATTTAGCCTCGAGTTCTTGAACCCGCTTTCGGGACGCATGCAGCATAATTAAAGACTCAGCGGTTTTCAGTTTATATTTCTCCATGTCTTCTTTCGATGTTTGTAAGTCGAGTTTTAGGTTTTGGGACTGCGTGTTAAGTTTCTCACATTCGTTGTGCATACGAGAATATTTTTCCTGCCAGATCTTTTCGATATTTTCGCATTTTAGCATTAGTTGGTCACAATGGTGGGTTTTCCGCTCCAGTATCTTATCTGTTTCAGTTTGACTTTGAGAAATCGTTCGCTCTAAACGTCGTACTTGATTTTGGCACTTTGCTAGCTCGTGTTCACGCGTCACAAGGTCTTCTCTAATCTCAGAATTTTCTCTCAACAAAGCTTCGCTCTTCAGAGATTTTTCTTCCAGATCCAATTCCATTTTACTCACCCTGGTACATGCGTCGTGGTACTTTACACTATGTTCATCGTACAACCGTGTCAACTCATGCAATTTTGCAACGTGATCCTCAAATTCGCTTTCCTTCCTGGATTGAAGTTCCAATTGAGACTCCAAATATTTGACACGGTCTTCCAGAATTGCATTTTGAGCTTTCTGCTCAGCGTTTATTTTGAATTGGCCTGATAGTTCGGCGCTTAGCGTTTCCACTTGTTCTTCCGATTGCAGTGCTTCCAAAAGATCCAACCAACACTCCTCAAAATCTTCGGAGATCTCTTCAATCTCAACTTCCCTAACTAGCTTACTGACCGCCCCTTGGTTCGCCAATGCCTGTAAGATCCCATAGCTGAGTTTTTGCACCGTCATGACTAAGTCTGTAGGGTCAAACTCGGAATCAGGTATACCACAAGCTTCCCAGCAGCGAAGCATGCCTTCCAAAATTATTGGATTCTCAATTTCAATGGTTTCATCCCATCCAGCATTGAAGCTGTCATCTACGCCGCTCAGTTCCTGTTCCTTGACAACTAATATGGAGCTGATCTCACTTGCTTGGAAGGAGTCTTTTTTCATCGAACAACCAAGTATTGCGTCTTCGTCAAAAAACTTGGTCTGATTAGACCCGAACCGTATAGTGCTAGCAACTTTAGGCTCTACCTTGACCCTCGCTGCCACAAATTCTTCGACCAAAGGATTCACGTTTTTCACCTCATGAACATCGGTCGTAGATGTAGCAGAAGGATTATTTTTATACGTTTTACCTTGGTATCGTAAATGGCCTTTACTCCCATTCACGACATTTGAATTCAAGTGGCTTTCAGTTCTGTGCAAAAAGTCTCTTAGTTTAGAACTGGCGCTCTTCTCCTCAGAACGAAGATCAACGCTACTTCGTGAATGTGGTGATGAATTCATTTTGTTCTGCTACTTATGAGCTCCTGGGGACCCAAATTATCCCTCCAATGCTGAAGAGAGTGCTCTGAAATGGTACAAACTCAAATAACTTCATGTAAATATGACATCTTTATTTTAGCGTCGTCAAATAGATCAATGACAGCACCGATGAAAGATGACAGACATCCCGATTTAACGTCAATCACAAAATAGCCATATCCAACTCTAGAATACAACTAACCAAACTAATTGAAAGTGTGTTCTTTACCGATACATATATAAGTATACATATACATAATGTACATTTTATCTAAAGCCAAATTAAAACATAAAAGAGCCTTGCTCAAAAGACCAGCTGTGAGACAAAGCCAAAATCGCGGGTTAATAAAAGTAGTCCATCTTAATCAGTACCAAAATTCCTGCCAGCAGAGAATAATGGGAAATGGAACCCTTGCCAAAGAAAAAGAAAAGAATGAAGCTTCCCGCGATATCTGTAAATTCCGTGGTTCTGTTTTCAAAACATTAGTCGATGCAGCAGAAGATGGGGTCATAAAACTATGGATCTTATAGCATCCAATCGTGTCTCTCACTCGGAGATAGAATTGGAGGTGTGTTCGAGGAGATTTGATTTGACCAAAATGAAGGTGTAATGGTTTTTGGACCCGAAGCGTTTTCCTTGGAGTCATAAAAACAATAGGACTGTATTAACATATTGTAGTCGATGGCTGTAGCAGACGGTTCTTGAGGCGGTCTAGGTTCGACGGAAATGGCAGATGAAAGGAAGAGATCCCGCTTGAGCTTACAAGAGGACAAACCTGTGAGAGAGCGTGGCTTTCGACCCGAAATGGACGAAGAAGAGTTATCGGTCGTGAAAGCGGTATCAACAGCAGAGTCAGAGGGCGAAAAAGGAGTGTCTGCTAAAGGATCACGGTGAGTACTGAAGGAAGAAAACTCCGAGGTGTCTCTTTGCACAGAAGGATCGATGTTTTCCTTTGAAAGTGAAGCATCAGGGATGCTGGATTGATCTATAAGGGATGATATTGCGGGTGCCGCCACATGTTCACCATTTTGGGAAGGGGGTGGTGTGTGTGTGTAATTTGAGCCCTCACGGTCGAAAAAAACATGCATTGGAGAAGTAGGAGTAGTGTCATAATCAAAGGTGACTTCGTTAATGCGTGACGGTTTGGCCAGTGTTGTATCGTTGTGAAATAAATGTTTGAGCGGTGAGGTATTGTAATAGTCGGTATTGTCCGAAAATTTCCTACCAGACGTAGTCGCCTGTTTTGGTGCGATTTTCGAGGCACTAGGCGACAAAGTCGTAGATGCCAGGAAATCAGAATTAAAGGATCTAGAAGTGTTGTTGACAAATGCATCTGTAGAATGGCGGGGCGACTCAACAGATGACGCCAAGGCGGTTAAATTGGGCGCGGAAACGGCACTTCTTTGAATTACCGGATGCGTAAAAGCCTGGAGCTCAACGTGGTAATTGTTGTAGTTATTGTTGTCATAATAGGTTTCTCCGTTCACGTCATACCGACAGCACAACTCCATGTTGATTTGACAAGAAGTTTCTGGGATGTGAGAGTTGCAATGAAGAATATTTTTGGATTGCATGAAGAAAGAGAGACCTGCCAAGTCTATGGTGAATTTAAATTCGTCAATGCCACGAGTCACGGTACGGTGGTAGTACGCGGATACATAATGCACGTCTTGCCACGCGTTAAAAGTGAATTTGATTTCGAGCGTTTTTTCGAAATTGAGGTTTGCCACGTAGATAAGGCCCTGGATCTTGTGAGAGTCCAAACACGACGCAACTTTGTTAAGCTTGATATTGTGACCCTTAAGGTGCGCAAGAATGTGGGATTGCAAATCGAGGGCCCGCCGCGTGATCACGGGCTGAATGTCCGAGGACAGCAGCCGCCACTTGTCCACCACAAATCTTTGGGTGGACGAAGCTGCAGAAATGCCATTTGCGTTGGTTTTGTTGTTCGTCGCTGTCGCTACGGGGGTTACTGCAGCGGCCGTTTGGCTCGACAGATGTAGCATTGGGTCCAAGTCGCTGCTGTCACTGTCCTCGTCGCTTTCACTGTAGAGCGTTGGGTCGAACAAACTAAAACTGGAGGACGAAGACCTGTGGGGCAAAGCCAACGGGAGTTTGGCACGTGACAGTGCCGTTCCAAACCAAAACTCGTCTGAAGTGACTTTGATGCTGTCGCTGCAGATTTCGTCAATCGGTACGGCAACGGGTTCCGGTGAATTTTCGGTTGAGATCGAGATGGGTTCCGATCTGGTGTCAAAACGTTTGACGGTTGTGAGTTGGTGAGCAAATCGCACATTTTTCAGTGATGAGCTAGACCGCGACGGCGTCGCAGACGCCGCTCGCGGTTTAAGCGAAGGCCGCAAAAGCGGCGACGACGCTAGCTGCTCGTACGCAGCGGTTGAGGGCAACACAGGGTGCAGAATGATGGCGGCTTGAATGAAATATGCAAGGACAAAACTGAGCTGCTGGTGTAGCTGCTGAAACCTAAGGACCAGCACCAAGAAAAGAGCCAAGCCAGCAAACGAGAATTTAGAAATTATTTTTTTTTTTTTGGAAAGCGGAGAAGAACACAAGACTCTTTTTTTCTTAGAAAACTCTATCTGTCTCTCCGTCTCTCTCTCTTTCTCTCTCTAATACGGTTTGCCACCGCCCCAAAGCGTAGTGTTCTGGTCTTGTTAATCTTAACTTTCAAGACCTTCCATCTGTGGGATTCCATCCATATAACTACCTATTCAACCCGGATCGCTCGATCCGTGGCTCCTTATATACTCCTTGCTTTTGAGTTATATTAATTTTTTTTTGGGCTATTTTTTTTTTTTTTTTTTGTGGGGCCCCTTATCGTTGCTGCACCTTCTTAGCCCGGGGCCCCGGAAACGCGGTTGGAGTTTTTTCCGTTGCCCCTGGCCGTTTGTGGTTTTTGTGTATTTTAGGGGAGACGGATACACGATATGGCTTCGGGGTGTTTGGGTGTTGGGTGCTGGGTGATGGGGGCTCCAACATAATTTGTAGCAGGTGATCTTTTGGAGAATGTTAGCAGTGGTGTGTAAAGAGACGATGGGGATGGAACAAGAAGCAGAACGTTGAGGTTTGGCGAAACGGTGTTACGGTGGTGAATAACTTTGGCTTAGAGGTACTGTTGGTTTGCGGATTCCGCCTGTAAGGATGGCGGGTTTACGAGTTGGCAAGGTTCCCATTTGCAACTGGCGCCCAGTGATCGGCGCTTGTGTTGGATGCCTAGAACAAAGGTTGTGGGGTACTTATAATTCAATGCACCCCGCACTTTATTTTCAACAAAAAAAAATAGAGGAAAAAATCAAAAATTAACGACTCCGATACGGGGAGTCGAACCCCGGTCTCCACGGTGAAAGCGTGATGTGATAGCCGTTACACTATATCGGACAATGCGATGAAGGAAGAGGGGAGCTGAGGATCTGGTGGTGGGAAAGACGTCACTTGGAGCGGCGGAAGCCGACATTATTAGGTGGAACATAGCGGGGACATATCATTAAGGTCTGCCCGATGTGATATTGATATCTCGTTCTTTTGGCTGTCCCATCGGTAAGCTTTGCACGAGTAGTATCGCGAGTAGCTTTGTAGAATATGGAAGCTATCTTAACAAATAAAACGACTTGCCACCTTCTTCCTTATATACGAACGTAATTATCAAGTCTTTGGGTGCTGTAGTATGTATTGTGGAACAAGAGGGCCGCGTTTTGCGTTTACGGAAGCGACATGCACTTGGTCAAAGAAGAGGCATGTACTCTAATCAAGATGCATATTTTACCAGCATAACGTCTTCAAACGTCTTCAAAACTTACTCAATTGCAGAACCATCATCTGCGTTTTACACTCGGAGATACGTCCAAGGGTCAAGATCTTGCTAGATGTTATGTCTGCGATTCTGGCGATTTTCTGCCCGAATTTCAAATACCGAGACGAACACTCTACGAAAAGGCCTTTCTGTGCATCAAATATTCCTGTGTCCATATTATCGGCTTTCATGACATCAGCAATTCACGTCGCACAAAAGTGAGGTCTTCTCTGAAAGGTAAAAGATATGATTATTGAGGCTCGACTACGTCGGCAGTGTTCGAGTTGTTAATCTGCTTCGTTTGCTCAGTCATGATTTGCTCTAAGTGAATGGTTTTGGTTATGGATTTTACTTATCTCTCCGTGGCTCTTTTGGTTATAAGTTTGGTCATTTGGTTTGACCAAACCACGGATATTTAAACGATTTTTGGAGCAACAATAGCAAACAGTAGGTAATGTTCTAGACCCTAGCCATTGGTAAGGATGCTTAATAAAGGTTCTGGATTGTTTGCAAATCCTGCATAGCGTTGACGTATTGTTGCTTCATATCTTTACGATTGGTCCAATTCACCTTAGCGCTTAAGATGTCATTTTAGACTAATATGTCACTTTCGGATTACGCAATTGGCACTATACCATATAGTTCACCAATCCCAACAATGATACAGGTTGATACCGCCCGCAACAACGTGGCCATGCTAGATGCTCGGCAACCCCAACTAACAAGGAATGTTTTCCACATTGATGAGCTATTTTCAAGAGTATGGTGCTCGAACTGTCGTAACCTATGTCCGTCTAGCGTCAGATTCGTGACGAAAAGATCACACACGTGATACAACGACAGCGACAGATATTCTAGGAAACTAGAACCACTACTTATCAAACAGGGACGATATTGATTGCACTTGATCGTATAAACATGAACCTTGTCTTGAGCTTTCTTTGCAAAACAGGCTTCATAAAAATTTAAGTTCGAGCTCAATATCCCCCAAAGTATTTTTTTATATTTTACGGATATAAGTTAACATTCGCGTTTTAGCAGATCAATGAGACCTAAAGTGGCACTTGGATTCGGTTTGACTAAGTTATGCTCTACGTAAACGATTAGAATATTTGAGTATTTCAAAGAAGTAAAACCCGTCACCTCTGCCTTGTCCTGGACAAAGAAAACGGCAATCTTCAGTCATCACGTTGAACGACATACGATCGTTCAATCGCGCTCGCCCATTGTTCCAAGGTCTTCATTATCACACTCAGAGTTCTCAAGTTGTAACAGAGCATTAAAATTGACAGCAGACGTAGACGAAACACACGAGAATGATTCATGTAGCATATTTTGAAGGCCTTGAACTCCCAGATACGAAATCTCTGTGACCTTCTTTTAGTAAGCGACGCAAATAATCTGCGGTCGTCACCAACCACTCTTTTAACGAGTGCTGACCTCTTGGGTATCAGGAGAAGAGCTTTTTGACTCTATAAACTTGCCATAATCGTTTCGGTGCCTATACATATTCCTTCTTAATCTCTGACAGATCTTTCGTATTTGTGTCAGTGTAATATCATCGTGAGAAACCCGTACAATTTCCATATTGGAATACGCTCATCTCAGCAAATATATCTTCATGAACTCTAATTTAGCAAGTAACAAGCATTCAACGTAACAAAACTTGAGAAAACAGAGTCAATATATACCAGAATGAGAGAAAGAATGCCAATTCACAGTTAACACTCCTCCTTGAGAATCTCAGATTGATCTTACGTGCCTATTAGTTTTTGTTGAGACTCTTTCAGTTAGGCACGACCTCCAAACCAAAATACACCCAAGATAAGTAAGAATAATGTCAGCCATTTTATAATTTTTGTTTCTTGAAAATACGATCCCGTAAATTTGCACGTAATGTCACAAAAGAGCTAGTATTCTCTTTCAGAGGGACACCCTCATTTTATTATTCCAACAAGCATCGTAGTGCGATCACCGTTACGAGGTATCTGTTTTCCTCAAAAAAGATACTTGTGACAATAAGCCGACGAGGAAGCATTAGAATTGTGTCCTAGTTTGATCGCTCAACATTCTTTCACTAACCGAGATCAGTGATTGGTATTTGAAATATTCCGCCCATACCAGTTTCCTGATTTAAACTCGAGACGTAACGACACACTTCTCACAATGTGTTAGAAATGTTCCTGAAGCTCATCTAATTCTGTACAGTGACGGAACAAAGCTCATCAATTGTATCTACGGCAAGAGAATCCGGTAGCGCCGACCAGCGTGGTGCCAGTAATCAACAACAACAGCAGTTGTCACATTTGCTTGGTCAGTCGCCATGTCTATGCACGTGATCGAGCACCGCGATGTGTTTGACGCTGTGTGAATACGTCTGTGGATGCATTCCCTGCTCTGGAGTTGAAGTAAAAACTCTCCCGGTGAGTGGAATCGTCTTGGAGAGTTTATCATCTACCGGAATTCACAAACTATGGTTCAAGACTTCGCGTTTGCTGGGCTGGAATATCCATTTGCCTACCGTCAAGCTGTGCAAACTACTAGTGCCCAAAGAAAAAACATCTGAGTGCTATTCAACAACTAGCAGTCTGAGCACTGCAGTGCGAACATTTCGCAAAACATGAGCAAGGCTACCATTGCCGGCACTCTTTGCAAACATTCTTTCAATGTTACTTTATTTTTATAATATACATTTTACTTAAGGCAACCTAACGCAACCTGGCGTGAAGCCCAGTACTTCCCATGTCCGGGATCCATTAGACTACTCCAAAGCGTATTCCAAATAATAACCGCTGGAAACTTCAACAGCTTCGCCAAGAACGGCCCAAGGATCCTCCTCGTATGTAGTGTATAGCGTAGAGTTCTCAGGAATAATGTACGTGTTGCCCGAACTGTCCTTAATTGTGAGACTACCGTCATCCTCCCAAATGATGGCATTGGGGTAAAGTCCCACAAAGTCGTCCACAGTAACACTAGTGTTGTAGGGACCGGTGCTGTCAGCGGCAGCCAACGACAGGAAGGTGGCTAGAAGAACTTTGGCAAACTTCATTTTTGGTTACGATAGTTTTTGGTGTTGTCTTCAGTAGCAGTTGCTTGAGGAGTACAACTAAAAAGGAGATAAAGTAGAATCAACTCGTCGAAATGCGGAATGTCCGAAGATATTGTTCTCTTTTTATACCTTTTTGGCTTTGGAATCAAGACCTTACGTTGTTATTTCTACACATTTGCGATTGTCCAACATGAGCCTGTGCCTTTCAAGCTCACAGAAAGGAGGTAAGCACATTATGCATGGACTGAAGCTCTGCCGTTCTATCTATTGTTCCTTGTAGACCATCTAACTTGGAACCTGTTCAGACCTGTAATTAAATTTGGTACAGATTATTATTAACGATGGTCTCGAGTAGTAACGGCCAAGATGATTTTCGCAACGCGCGGGCACGAAAGCCAAGATCCGTTGGAGGGAGGGAGCGGAATTTAGCTGAAAATACGTTTGCGGAATTAAGCTGATAGCTGAGTTAGAACGCACGCAAGGGTTCAACTGGAGATCCCTATATGCAACACTCCTAGCTTCGGATTTTAGGATAAGCATTACATGATGCAAGTTTACCCAGTGGGTTAAACTATTTTTTCCACATTGAGAACAAATTCGGGTTTCATTAGGATAATCCGGCTATTATGTGCAGGGCTGGTGTGAGAAAAGTGTAAAAGAAAAGGCCAAGAGCGAGTCAAAAAATACTCTTAGAGAGCTCTGGGTTTGAACTTGGCACGGGTATGCGAGGATTATACGACCTGCGATCGTAATTTCAGTGTGTATCTTGGGCACGTAATGCAAAGGCCATTTGGTGTTCGTATTGGAAAGCTCAGGTGAGAGGGAACACCTCGTTATCCTCGGCTCAAGGTCTTTGCTGTTAGCTTCATTTGTGGGCTGAAGGGTGGTTCACCACTGTTCGTAAAAATGCAGGAGGGTTGTTGGTCCATTCGTCTTATATGCACATTTTACAAAGGTGCATTATTGCCAAGGCAAACAAGGATCTACATATGTGGGTCTAATTCGTGCATTTCCAGATAAATTTCGAGCCAATACTAATCTTGAAAATAGATGACGTTGGCATCACCTCATGAGTAAAGCCGTGGTTCGTACACTAAGGATACGACCCACGCCAAGCAACACGCAAAGTCTTGTTTCCTGAAGTCCAATCCACCAGGATCGACAGTCACTTACTCGTCTTTAAACAGAACCACGATGCTTGTTGGCGGTGGTCATGTGACATCAAGGCTAAGGTAAGTTTACTTATGGAAAAACGCGGAGCATTCCAATCGCTCGAGGAAGTACGTTGAGGAATAGCTAGAAGTCTGAGCTAGACAGCTTCTACAGCTCGTGCTCAAACTTCACGTGAATAATGTGCCAGTTAACATTGATATTGTTTCCAGCAAGCCAATCACGTCAAACGTGATAAGACGTCCGCCTCATATGTCATATGTTATCGAAATTCATGGTCGACGATGAGACAGACGCTCTAGTTCGACTGAAGAGAAGAGAACTAGAGTTCCGTGAGACTTAAACCAGTACCAGCATTGATTGCCTGCTATGTCTTATGATCGTACAGAGGTTTATGCAGCACCGGTTTTGGCCGGCGAGGAAATTGGCGAAAACGATAATTCAGAGATCATCAAATCCTTCCACAACTTTATTTTAGAATTCCGTTTGGATGCACATTTTGTGTACCGAGAGCAGCTCAGAAGTAATCTGCTTTTGAAAAGATACTGCATAACGATCGACACAGCGCATTTGATTGGCTACAATGAAGATCTTTACAAAAAGCTGTGCGACGAACCCACAGATGTGTTGCCGTTGTTCGAACACGCCGTGACACTCGTGGCAAAAAGAATCGCGCTTTTGTCCCGCGATATCTCTTCTGATCTCAATGGCTCAACAGAAAACCCTGACGAAAACACTGCAAATAACGGCTCTGACACAGCGGCCTTAGGTTTTGAAATTCCGGTGTGCCAAGTGCTGATCAAATCAGATGCCTCTGAGATCTCGTTACGAGCACTAGGGTCAGAAAATGTCTCCAAATTTATTCGTGTAAGCGGAATTGTGGTCTCTGCTTCCGTGCTATCATCAAAAGCCACTTTTCTCACACTTATGTGCCGAACTTGTCGACATGTCACCACATTGCGCCTTAACAGTTTTGGATCATTGGGTGGGGCTAGTGTCAGCCTTCCAAAGGTGTGTTTAGCTGACCATTCGCGTGATACTGGCGCTAATCCATGTGGTCAGGACCCATACATGGTGGTGCACGAGTCTTCTCGTTTTGTAGACCAGCAGTTTCTCAAACTGCAAGAAATTCCGGAATTGGTTCCAGTTGGTGAAATGCCTCGTAACATATTGATGTCCGCAGATCGTTACTTGACTAATAAGATAGTGCCCGGTACTAGGGCCACGATAATCGGAGTCTACTCGATCTACCAGGCTAAAAATCGTGGTACAGGAGCAGCTGCTAGTGGGGGGAAAGCTGTGGCCATCAGGAATCCATACATCAAAATTTTGGGGATTCAAACAGCACTGGACGGAAATTCTATTAGCAGTGGGGTGCATTTTTCTGAGAAAGAAGAGGAACAATTTTTGACTTTAAGCAGACGTCCCGATTTGTATGAAGTGTTCTCAAAGTCCATCGCACCCAGCATTTACGGCAACGATGACATCAAGAAGTCCATTGTGTGTCTACTTATGGGTGGATCTAAAAAGCTTCTACCGGATGGAATGCGCTTGAGAGGTGACATCAACGTACTTCTTTTGGGTGATCCTGGTACCGCCAAATCGCAGCTTTTGAAATTTGTCGAAAAAGTTAGCCCAATTGCAGTTTACACCTCCGGTAAGGGTTCTTCGGCAGCAGGTCTTACGGCTTCTGTTCAGCGTGATCCTGCTACTCGTGAATTTTACCTTGAGGGTGGTGCAATGGTCTTGGCTGATGGTGGCGTTGTCTGTATTGATGAATTTGACAAGATGAGAGACGAAGACAGAGTTGCTATCCACGAAGCCATGGAGCAACAGACCATTTCCATTGCGAAAGCTGGTATCACAACGGTTTTGAATTCGAGAACCAGTGTCATGGCTGCGGCCAATCCCATTTACGGACGTTACGATGACTTGAAATCCCCTGGAGAAAACATAGACTTTCAATCGACCATTCTTTCTAGATTCGACATGATTTTTATCGTCAAGGACCACCACAACGAGGAAAGAGATATCTCTATTGCAAATCACGTCATGAACATACATACCGGACGCACAGCGATCCAAGAGGGGGAAGAGGAGCTTGATGGTGCGGAAATACCGATTGACCAAATGAAAAGATATATCACTTACTGCCGCATGAAATGTGCACCTAGGCTGTCATCACAAGCGGCCGAAAAGCTCTCATCGCATTTTGTCGGCATTCGCAAAAAACTACTCATCAACGAGCTTCAGAGTGAGCAGCGTTCGTCCATTCCGATCACAGTTCGGCAACTGGAGGCCATAATCCGTATATCTGAGTCGCTTGCCAAGCTGGAACTCAGTCCCGTTGCTCATGAAAAGCATGTTGACGAGGCTATCCGTCTCTTCCAAGCGTCCACAATGGATGCGGCCTCACAGGACCCGATAGGAGGCCTTGGGCAAAACCCAGATCAAGTTCAAGACGTGAGACGTATTGAGGAAGAACTCAAGAGACGTTTGCCCGTTGGCTGGTCCACGAGCTACCAGACTTTACGTCGTGAATTTTGCGAGCAGAAGAATCATTCCGCCCCAGCACTTGACAGAGCACTCTATATTCTCGAGCGTCATGGAACTATTCAACTACGTTACCAAGGTCAAAACATTTACAGGAGCGGCGCTTAGAACTGGGCCCCTGGACTTGAACCAGCTTCCATCCATCTTCACCGCACGTTCAGGATGACCTTTTGAAATTTCGAGCTTGTCCACTTTAAGTGAGATGTATACACTAATCTCAAATTCAAATGCAGGATGAAAGAAAACACTTTCGATGTCAAACAGGTGAGGACTTATAGCTTTGAAGTAGGATTTGATGTCGTATGTGTCTTTTTGCAATTTAGTTGATAACGGGTGGTTTTTTCTAGCGTCAAAAAGCTTTACTAACGGTGAAATATGGATAGAGAACTAGTGGATCGTCAGCGGTCTGATTTAACACAGGATGAGCTCCAGCAGTTGGAAGAATTCGAGTTTAAGCATGGTCCTATGTCTTTGATAAACGATGCTATGCTATCCAAAGTACCAGTGATAATCTCACTGAGAAATAACCACAAAATTATAGCCCGTGTAAAAGCCTTCGATAGACACTGCAATATGGTACTTGAGAATGTAAAAGAGCTATGGACCGAAAAAGTGAATAAAAAGACGATTAATAGGGAACGCTTCGTTAGCAAGCTCTTTTTGCGGGGGGATTCTGTCATCGTTGTTTTACGAGCGCCGATTTGACAAAGGATCTCGTTCTCGTGGGATGTAAGTAATGTGTATTATTGGGTAATGTTAAAATAAGATAAGTGAACAATTATACTACTGTACAGGGATGACAGGTTGGAGTTTCATATCCTTCTCTATCCGTTTATCACAAATGCAAATTATAAGCCATTCTAAACTATTTGAAGTTCTTAAGCGGATCTGACTTGCCACCGCGTTTGCTGTTGTTCTTGTAAACCTTGCCTTTGCGTTTCAAGCTCTTGGCAGTGTGAAAGGGTACAAAACCAATTTTTTGTTTGTTTTGTCTAGCAGCTTCTGGAAGAAGATAGTCCGGTACCCTTTTGAGATGTTGCTGCACTCTTGCCGGGTGTAGTTCCTTGTCATGCCTCAGACTTTGCAAATCCTGTGGGTTTTCTTCGAAATGCCTTTTTAGCTTGTCACTGGTTAAAATTTCTTGCTTCAGTTCCTTGACACGAGCCTCTCTGACCGCAACTTGAGTCACAGCACGAAAACCATCCTCCATTCTATAGCGGAAACCTTCCACTTGATTTATATCAAAAGAGTAAGGCAAAATTTCGAAACCTAGTTTGCTTTGTTGTTTGACGATCCTCGATAGAATCTTTTCGTCCCTTTTCGCAGTGGCGCACATTGATGGTTTGTGTTTTCCAAATTCTTTGAGAGGAACCACAAATGAAATGGCGGCACCCGATTTGCCTGCACGCGCAGTTCTGCCAATCCTGTGGACATATGACTTCGCGGTCGATGGTAAGTCGAAGTTCAAAACGCAGGCCACATTCTGGAAATCGACGCCCCGAGATACACCGTAGTCTCTGTCTTTTTTGAAATTTTTACCGTCTTTTCTACTCTTGTTACCGCTGTCGCTTGACGCGGGTTGTTCCGTACTTTCAACTTCTACCGCTTTCTGGCCCTCACCATCCTCTTCTTCTTCTTCTTCTTCTTCCTTGATGTACTCAGTGTCATCCGTGGCAATGAGCAACTGATAAACATTTTTATTGAATTCTGCCACGATGTGCTGTCTTGAGTTAGCTGGCAACTCGCTATTCAAAATGCATGATCTGATGCCAAACTGTTCCAGCACTAATTTGAGCCTGTATCCTCTGTCTATATTATTGACAAAGATGAGCGTCTTGCCCTTGATCAAACCCAGTTTGAAGATAACGTAGCACAGTAAAAATTTGTCAAACTCACTGACTTTGACATAGTACTGCAGCAACTTACTTTGGTCTTTGTTGATTTCGTCCTCGTTGAGTTTCAAGATAGCTGGAGATCGGCAAAATTTCGCTTTCAGTTCTTGGATGTCCTCATTCAAAGTAGCACTCATCAGGAAAGTCTGTAAATTCTTTTTGAGAGGTAAGTAGCGAGCGATTTGGTCAAGATCGTCTTGATAGCCAAACGTCAAAACGAGGTCGACTTCGTCAATGACTAGGAATTTGAGGTCGTCCATGACCAACGCGTTGGATTTGGTTTCAAGAACTGCTAGCAGCCTGGAAGGTGTCGAGATTAAAACTTCCGGGCCGTCCAGTAACAGAGACGTTAGCACATTGTCGGCCAGTTGGGACGATAAGTTTAAAGAATGCACGTCTTTGGAACAAAAAAGAACCAGTTTTGCCAATACTGCTTGCACCTGTTGTGCCAGTTCTCTTGTAGGAACCAAAATTATTCCCAGTGTCTTGGGACTGCCAGTTTGATCTGCTGGTGTTGTCTGCTTGTATTGCAAAATAGTCTGTACGACTGGTATCAAATAGGCTAAAGTTTTCCCCGAACCTGTAGCAGCTTTTGCGATTACGTCTCTTTTCTGTTCCAGAGCCAAAGGAATAGCGTTGGACTGAATTAGTGTAGGCTTTTCAAATCCATTATGCTTGATGGCTTGCAAGAGTCTTGCATCCAAATGAAAGGATTCGAAATCCGCTGAATCGTCCAAATATGTGCTGACGCTACTCTGTTCACTCATATTGCTCAAATATCAGAGTGTCAGGGACCAAACAACTAGCTGTTTCGAAATACAAGGACTTTTCTGGAGATGCGATGAGCAGCGATGAGCAGCGATGAGCAGCGATGAGCCTAATATAAAAATTTGACTATATGGATGCCTAACAACGTATGTTATGATATGAATTCGACTTCAAGCAGAGTTCTCCCGCAATCCTAATTTCAACACAATGGTGCTATCAGATCGCTAGCGATGGTGAGTATACTTTCTATCCTTCCTCTCAATGGGTTCGAATCACATTCCGCGACCTTCATCTGTGAAAGGTTTATGGAAGCCTTTGTTTTCCCTATGGTTATATTGCCGATAATATCGGCTGTTGTGTCCTTTTCATCGAGTTTGTAACTGAAACAGTCGCCAAACTGCTCTGTGCACAGACGTGCGACTTGCTTGATCTTCCATATGTCATCGTGGTCGGCACCAATGGGCTCGTGAATGTGTTCTGCATGATCATCTTCGCTATTGGTGTGATGGTCATGATTGCAGCTTTTACTACTCATTTTGACGCTCACAGGCGCGGAATCCACGCTCAGAAGTATGGCCATGACACTGTCGGCAACGGTATCGTTCATTATCCCTTGCGACCACTCCAAAGTGGCGACATTTTTGATTATATTGAGCTTCACGTCACCCATGATTTTGAGTTCAAGTTCACCAACGTTGGTGCTTGTTTTGTGAGCAGCTTTCGACTCCTGTATTTTGCCTGTGATTTCATCATCGTCGATAATCACCTCCATATCGCCGAACATTTGGCACAAATGCCAGTAGATTAGCTCTTTTTTGCAACCAATATGAATGGTCTGTCTCTCTCTCAAGACAGTGGTCGACAAATCCATGTGGTAGTCCCTTAGATCCGATAAAGATACTAAATTCAAATCAAAATTCTTTTCGTCCGAAACCAAAATCCCTGAAACTATAGTTCCCTCGTCATTCTCCTTCTTTATGTCCAGTAGATCCTCCCTCTTCGCGTCATCACTCGACGTATTGATGGAACCAAGTTTACCCTGGTTCAATGTGCCAAAAACCTCGTCCACAATGTTTCCTATGGCTCTAGCCACTTTTATGCCCGAAAACTCCAACTCGACGGCAACACAATTACGAGGATTGAAAACATGAACTTCATCTTCTGTGCCCTTTAAAGACGAGAAATTGGACAAAAGGGCCGATTTAAGACGTCCCATGGGATTAGATTCTCCGTGCACCAATATAACGTTCTTCGCGCCAATTTTCTCTATGAAATCTAGATTCTCGCGGAAATCAACATGAGCTGCAAACGAAATTTCCTCCACCTGACATCGCCTGGGTATATTGACTTCTGGATTGTTGATGGAAGGAATAGTGTCAGGGTCTAGCATGATATATTTTGCCATTGTCCCTTCTACCGAATAGCCTGTGATTAAAACCAAATTTTTGTCGTCAGGGCACCATTTCTCGAGGAGGTCTCGGGAAATACCATTCTGTAGCATACCGGGAGACGCCAGCATAACACTGGGTCCAAAATCTTGAAACTCTTCAAGATTTTTGAGATATGAAATGTTCTTGAAAATGAAGGGATTGGACTGCGAGTCCCGAAACTTTTTCCTGATATCATCATTCATCATATTCACATACGTCTGGAACACACTCATACATTTTCTTGCGAGGTTAGAGGCATAAAAAATTGGAACTTGGCCATTGCCCAACTCCTCTGGATGCTTAGACCAAAACTCGTCCAATATCAGCATGATTTCCTGGGCCCTCCCCAAGGCAAATAAAGGTAACAGGACCCTTCCTCCACGTAAGACCGTTGAATGTATTAGCTGCGTCAGCTTTTTCTCTCTACTGACCCTAGGTTCATGAGTTGCTGTACCGAATGTTGATTCAACAATCAAAATGTCTGAAGATGAAGGTGGGACTTCTGCTGAATTTAAATGACGGTCAATTTCTCGAGAATAGTCACCCGTGAACAGTGTCTTGAGGCCCGCAATTTCGACTTGAAACATCGCTGCGCCCAGAACGTGCCCAGCATGGAAAGCAGTGAACTTGATACCGTTGACGTCGATAGTGGAGTGAAAGTCTATCGTTTCTATGCGATCGAAAGATTCTGCTAAGTCTTCGTCCGAATACAAATTTTCGTCTTTATCTAGAGATCTAGAAGACCCAATGCTGGTAACTTTCACAAAATCACTTAAAAGCCATCGATAAATGGCTTTGGTAGGGTGCGTCATGAAAACTCGTCCTCGAAATTTTGTCCGCTGCATAACGTATGGCAGGGATGCCGCGTGGTCCAAATGGAAGTGCGAAATAAGTAGAACGTCAACTGTTGAAAGATCAAACTCATCGTAATAGGGTAAAGATGCCAAGCCCTGGTGAGCAGGATGAATTCCTGCATCAAGCATCACCGTCTTGCCCTTATATTGGAGAATATGGCAAGATCTGCCGACTTCATTACTTCCGCCAAGTCCGAAGAACTTAAACGACGTTTTACTTAGCGACTGACTTTGTTCTGAAGACATGATAATCGATAGTGAAGATCAAAATAATGAACGAATGGAGATTTTCAACTTTTCTGTTTTGAGCTGACTGTTGCTGGTAGGGTCAAAGAATAACAGGGTAGAATGGGGGTTTGTGAAGTGCTCTAGAAGTAACGTACAGGCTGGAGAAAAAAAATCTATGGAAAAAGGGAGTGAAGACCTGGGATCCTAGGTTCAGAATTTAGGTATTTTTTCAAGTTAGTAAAGTGAATAACTTGACTTTAGTACTTGGCAAAAGTGGTCTAGCGCAAAACTTGTAATACTAACTTCTTTTCGTCCCAGAAATGTGTCCGGCACACCGCAAACAGATCAAACCAAGCGCTTGATAGCTCCCGAATTGCGAGAATCTCTCAGATAGTCGATGAGTTGGCTAGAACCTTGAACAAATGAACTTGGAAATTTAGAGTATGCATCGTCGCTAGTGACACACAGAACACACACAGACTCTATCACGAGTGATAGAAACCATGCTAGGAAAGCTCTCGGTAGTTTGTATTATAGCGAACGGTATTTTCTCTTATGTATTGTTTGGCATAGCCTGCTGGGCCTCGAAGTCAGTCGAATAGTCTTCGTACTCGTGACGACTGAATAGTACAAAGTGATATGACTTGTCAGGTAAGAACGACTGACTACTACAGCTTCAACTTCCTAAGAAATATTACGCAAATGGGTGGCCAGCCTTTGATCAAGACTCAAAAGTTATTCCATAAAACCCAATTGTTGAAAAAATATTATTTGAGATCCCGCGAACACTGTATTTAATTAACGTGTTTCCATAGTTGAATAACACTAGAGAGTCTGACATCAAAATGCCTCCATAAAACCTATAATGTTACAAGTGTTTGAAATATCCGGTTAAACAATTGCAGAAGCCGGCCGCCGATATCAAGTGTATCAAGCAAGAAATCCGTAATCGTCGTTTACTGTCCAAAACTCCTCTACCGGCGTACCAAACAATAAATCAGACTGAAAGTGTTTTCTCACAGGCTGAGGATTGGGCCTTCCAAGAGGAAACTGTTGATGTAGACGTTGATGCTGCATTGACCTCTGTTGGTGCTGCTGCTGCTGCTGTTGATGGGGATGTTGTCGTTGAGGCTGCTGTTGCGGAATACGTTCCTGCTGCCGAGCATGGTCCGATGGGGTCTGGGCTATTTGATGTTGCGTCGGCATCAGCGGTTTATCCACTGGTGGAATAGGGTGCATTTGCGATACTGGAGTAGCAAATCTGGATGTATTTGAACAAGGGTTCATAGCGTTAAAACGAAGAGATGGATCTGATGAAGTATTAACGTTGAAGGGCGAATTATGATCCGCCTGGTAATTATTCATAAGATCCACAACCGAATCGTTCGTCCACGTCGAAATATTGTTGATCATATTATGAGTTCCATTGTTAAAAAGAATCCCACTAAAATCTGCATCTGTGTTGGCATAACCGTTGATAGGCCTAGACTGGATTGACATAGCTGCAGGACTTGAAAGCGAGGTCCGCATCGTTTCGGCCGTTCCTATTGGTGTGATACCACTGCCATTTCTTGGCAATGCAGCTCCGGTGGGTTTAGACCAGTGTGGGTTACTAACTATTGAAGAATCCGTTGCAACTGGCTCAGCTGTACGATTATTGGGTGTTCCAGCGGAATATCCAGTTGTCGCAGAATCTTCCAGTTGATTTTTTGGATCTGAAGTAGACTCGACGTTACGATCACCAAGCTTTCCATGTAACGAGTCCAAATACGCTTGAAGAGTTTGCTGAGCGTGGTGTTGTTGCAAAAAAGCTTGCTGCTGAAATGCTTGCCAATCTGATTCCGTGATATGCGCCGGTTTTTTTACAAAATACTTGTCCTTCTCAGATTGATACTTGGCACTTCCACTTGACTTGCGCCTCGGAGAACTTGATCTAGTGCTTTTACTGACTTCTTCATCAATATCCGGTGCCAAAAGGTATGAAAGTTTTTGCGGTACAGTGGCTTTTTGTAAATCGCCTTGTTTTTTCTTCAACACCTTCTGCTCTTCAAGATCAACCTGAGGAGTCTCCACAAACCCAACATGAGCATCATTGGAAGCCGTACCAAACGTACGTCTGATTGCAGGTGGCATGCCACCTTCAACCATTTGCGAGCTTACGTCGGCCCCAGTGTTATCAGAATTTTCTGACCGCCCACCAACAGAGTACTCGCTTTCACTTCTGTCCTCATTGATGTAAATCAGCTCCGATGAATCGGGCCCGCAACGTTCTATGAGGTTCCCAATCGTAGCATTCATTAACTGATCAAAAGTGTCTCTGAATGTTATTGCGAACTTCGATCTTTCTGCCATAACATAGAGGCACGCTGAACAAGCTCTAAGATCGTCCATGGTAGAGAATAAGCTTGCACTGACCAGTGGTCTAGTGTGCTTTGAGATGTCGCCCAATTTTCTTCGCCTCTCATCATCCCAGTTTCTCATCAGCCACATACAATAAATTAAAGTTACGCCAGCGACAAACACCGTATGCACGGCAGGCGTAGAATGACCATAAACCGTCTTCTGATGGAAAATTTTATAAAGTTGGCAAATCTGACCAGCAGCTGCCTGGCATTCGCGGAAAAGTCTATTCTCGGGCTCGAGAAGCTCCAAGTAGGGTTGGATCAATAGTCTGACGGATCTGAAATAGTATAGCTTCAAAGTTTCATTCTCGAAATTGGGAACGCGAGAAGTAGAACAGTTTGATCGCCATATTTCTAGCTCATGGAAAAATTCTTTCACATGTGGTAGCTGTTTAGCAAGTTCAACCGTACCTTTATAGTTTTCCATTGTGCTGTTGGACTTTTGTGGAATAATTTGCAGACATTCCACAAACTGAGACTCAATTCTTCTCAGCTTCAAAGACTGATTGATGAAGTTTAGTCCTCGTTCATGCCTTTTTTCATCGTTCATCGAGCTATTATTGAAACTGGCTTCATCGAATAATGGGAGATCAATTTCAGATTCTGGTATTGTGTAGGGTTTACCGACCGCCACACATATCATCCTCTCCAACAAATAGACACACCAAAATAGCCGAAGTTTCTTGCCTGCAAAAATGTCTTGAGCATTCCACTTATTGAGATGCAATTTGTTCTTGCATATTGAGGTAACGTCCTTTATAATCTCATAAAGACCACTCGAATCTCGGTCTGTCCGTATCATGTATAATACCAGTAAAGTGAGAATCTCCACTTGCTGAACGTACGTCAATTTTTCACCACACTTGGTTATGTGACGAATGGCGGTGGAAAAATATCTATTAGGTGGCAGGCCTTGGTATTTGCCGGCTGACATATGGAGGCAGGCACTTATGCTAAAAATAAGCCACATTCTGCCACATGCAAAATGAAACTCTTGTGTCGAATAAGAATGAACATTATTACCAATGTAACCATCGTGAAAGCTGTAAATTTCTTGTTTATCCAGCAAAGGATATTTGAACTGGAGCCTCGTGAAATAGGTATCTAAGAAGGCCCGAGATAATTGCTCCTCAAACTCAAAGGCTGGATCGTACGATAAAAAATCGCGAAGGTTGTATTTCGCGAAGATGCAACGAGAGAAATCGATAGAGTCCAGTGAATCTGAACTCAATGCAGCTAGTGAGCTAGTCACACGGTTGTTGATGCGAGTCTCACCTCTGGAATGAGACTCAGGTTGTAGAGGGAAAAATTTGACAGTTTGAGGTGGTGGTAGAATTGGAGACGACCCAGTAGACGACAATGGTGGGGGAATGGCAAACTGAGTAGTTGAAGCTCCAGCACAACTAAGGTGAGTTCTTCCGTTTATATCCGTCGCTTCCTCTGGTGCCGGACTGTCGATGAGGTGAGCGATTCGTCTGTAATTGGCAAGTCTTTTCTTGAATGGCTCGCCCGTGGGTGGCATGTCAAGCATTTTCTCAAGATATCTCAATTTCTTTTCCAAGAACTTGGTGTATTCATCTTGTTTGGGGGCTTTTGTAGCCGTTGTAACTGCTCCAACAGAGTTAATAGGCCCTGATGCCCGCTGTGTGATATTAGATGCGGGAGTCTGAGAAGGCGATTCTGAAGGTGTAGCTCGCGGCGATGGGCTGCTCACGTATTTGCTAGGCTGCACACAACGTACACCAGCCTTCAGACACGCCGTACAGCTTGGTACCTTATGGTCACACTTTCTTTTCCGTCGCTGACATAGCAGACATGATCTCGAGCGTCCTTTCTTGTCCTTCAGCAGTAACTCTGGGTCTTGACCAGCCATTTCCAGCTCCAGCTGGAACTGCTCTATTTTCTCCTGACTCACAATCTTCGGCGGACGTCCCATCCTAGCGAAGTTTACTGCTTACACACTAGCGATACCAGATGGAGTTGACATCTAGAGCGATGAACCTGACTTCGATGCCCGTTACATTTTTAATGTACCGGAAAGTTTAAAAATACTACATGTGACTTGTCTCACGTGTAGACTTGAAATATATTACGTAATCGTCTGTTATTATTTTCGTGGAATAGCACTTATTAAATCACGTTTGGCCTGACAGCGTGCATGATGAGATAGATGGTGACAAAGGTTGTTGCTCCTTGACTGGTACTTCCAATAGCAGTGATCCATGGGTTCATGAGTGGCTTGGATATTATGGATATCTTGTAGCTTTCGAACGCCGGTTTCAGCTTTAATTTAGGACATCGGGTGGTCTTTTTCACACACTTTTTTGAGGTCGTTCGTAGCTCGGAGTTGTCTGGACGGTGTGAGTATACGGCATGGTGAAGTTCAGCTTTTCGTCGAAATTCAAATGACCCCAACCATAAATTTGCCTCGGTCTTGATTTCAGGTCGTCAAAAGCTGTTGAAGATCTTGACATAACCCAGGCGATCTATTAGCTGGCTGAAATCAGATCAGGACTATATCAGCCGGCGTAGTGGAAAGCTCTGCCAACCACAATGGCCTATTGCGAACTGCTAAATATCCACTGAGTTCTTTCATTTCCGGGACCTCTAGTCTCGGAAAAGACTCTCCACCAGCTGTTGCTCCTCTTGCATATCTCGCAGACGCTCTTCCCGTCTCGATTCCTCGTGTCTGTCATGTTTATTCTTGCTTTTTCGCTCGCGACTACGCTTGCCTTGCTTCTCCCACTCATGTAATGCGGTCTGGCGTTCTATCGGGTTGCCTCCATTTGTCCAAACGGCGAGCTGAAACGCCATTTTCTCGCGTGCAATCTTCCTATTGTGTTCGCGGGACCGGGTTTCCTGACATTCCACAACCAAACCACTTGGAACGTGCTTCAGCTGTACTTTACTGTTGGATTTGTTGATCTTCTGACCTCCAGGTCCTCGTCCTCCATGCAGAAACTTCTCTTCAAGCTCTTTCTCCATTTCGGGGGTCCATTTTGGCCTGGGAGGTAGTTTATTCTTTTTAACAAGGCTAGTGCAACAAGAATGGAGTCGACGGCGCACTATTGGCGCTATTTGAATGATCCATGGTGTCATTGTAGTGTTAAATATGCTTGCAATAGGTATTAAATTAAGTCAATTTCAATACTACCTTTTAAGATCTAAACCGGCGATGAGCTCTAGATCCTGAAAAGAAGAGACTACAATTTGTCTCCTTAATATCCACTTGTTATCCGAGTTTGATGTGCATTTTGTTAGCCTCCTCAGCTCATCCTCGGTATTCCTTGATATTGATATCCAATAGGGATGAGTTCTACGAAAGAGAGACTCAGCATACTACTTTGGACAAGGATGAGTTTATACTGTGTCCCATAGATCTAGCCCTAAATAGTGAGGGTACCAGTAAACGGGGTACGTGGTGTGGAGTAAACAAGGATGGTAAAATTTCAGTGGTTTTGAATCTTCGACACAATAGGCCACGTCAGGCCGGTTCTAGCGCTAATCCAGTTTTTTCCAGAGGAAGTGTGCCAATGAAGTTTCTAAGTGAACGTACTCCATTTAGCGAATGGGACACTTTCGAAAAATTCGCACACAAGTTCCCAGCTTTGCGAAATGGTGATTTGAACCTGTTCGTGGGCGATTGTAAAGCAGGAAAATTCACGGCAATGGATTCATTCGGTCTAAGTATGCCGGTTTTGACCAGTGAGAACCGGTCGTTTGTTATGTCTAATGATTTTGTGGGCTCTTCTGAAAAATGGCCTAAAGTCAAGACAGCAGAAACCCTATTGCTTCAGCTCGTTCGAAATTCTACAACCGCTACCGAAGACCAACTAATCGAGCAGTGTCTTCAAATAGCTTCCTATAGCGAGTGCGATGAAAGTTCTGCCATTTCCAAAGAGCAACTGACGACGAGAAACATTTTTGTTCCTCCTCTTTCCGCTAATTCCAAAACAAATGTTGGAGCGACACTAGCATGTGGCAGATATTACGGAACACGTTCACAGATTGTGGTATTGGTATCGAGAACCGAGCCAGTGGTGACGTTTGTAGAACAGGTTTTGCATGACTCGGATAGCGATGCCACTACGTTTTCACCATCCAATCCAAAGCAGCGAGTAAAGTTCAAGTTGAATCTCGAATCTCGACTTTGAGTTCGGGTAGTATCGAAAGATTGTGCGACGTATTCGAGTTTCCCACCCTTTGGAGCATAAATCGGATTATATGGCTATCATGGGACTGTGAAGTCGCAGTCACAGTTTCGAATATCAAAACAAAAAGTTTATCCGTTGCGTCATTCTGAGGCTTACAACCCAACCCATTGAAATAAGTGACTGAATTACATCATGCTTCTGCTTTGCACACATTTACCGTGTAGCGCAATTACAACACTACTGTTAAAACCGTTTTACCGAAATTAAACTAACAAGGCTTTGTTCGACCTTTCCGACGGTCAGTTTAGGAAAACTAACAGAACCCTTGCGTTAAGATCAGAGTTTTAACGTTATAGTTGTTGGGTAGATTATTCAATCGGACGAGGCTGTAGTTTCTTCCCATTAAGTTTGAGCAAATACACATATGCTCATCAGAGCTTGCCAATACTTCCAAGAAAAGAGGCGAATGCCCGCTGTCTTTGGAAAACATTAATCATTCACCGTTCCAGCAACGTACAGCTGGATTGACCACTCAACTATTACAACATCAATTCAAGAAGTCGTTCAGACACGAAAAGCGTACACTTATCTGATCGTAAAGACACAGTATTGCACAAAAAAACCACAATTTTCGTACCAAAACTTGCAATCAACGCTGTTTAGTCGCTGTCCCGTCCGAACCCATCTTTGAAGCTCACCCGCACTAAGTTGGGAAACTCCGAGGGTATCATTTCGGGTCTTATTATGTAGCTTACTTGATATTTGTTCAACTTGCATAATATATATCGTCAATTGATTATCAGCTCAAGAATACTTCGCCAGACCAACAAAAAATCAAGAATTTATTATTCACAGAGGCTCTTCGCACTCTAAAACTGCCTTCATCCCTATGTATCATCTCTCCCGATGTGCGAAACACGCTAGAAAGCTCCCCTTACCTATACAACGAACGCATGTTCGTTACCAGACTGTAAGCACATCGAATGAAGACAAAACAAACTCTAATCTAAAACTACAACAATCGCTGTCTGATGACACCATTGGCGACCTCCCCAAACAGTTGGTATCTGAACTAAACGAATTCCCATCTACTTCAGCAGAAAACCAAATCGACACCTTGAGATGTTACGAAAAGCTACTGCGAAGTGGCTTTAGTCCTAGGCAGAGCTCACTGGCAATCGAACTACTTCTTCAAACGCTGAACAACGATTTCTTCGATAGCTACAACGATAGATTTTTGCGCAGAACGGAACTGGAAACGCAATCACACCTGTTCGATGCTGCAGAGTCAGAACTAAGATATACTATTCAGATTTCTAGGGAATCTGCACTCAGTGAACAAAATCTAAAGCTTTTGCAGCTAAACCGCAGTCTGCATTTACTCCACGATGAACTTAATGAAATGATGATAAATTTGCTGAAGAAGGACTCGAAGGTAGACTTTAACGACCGCAAGATTGAAAACACCCTATTGCATCGAAATATCCATTTACAACTCAAAGACTGTAACAACAAAATCGCTACTCGTATTATTGGCGATACAAAGTCTGACATCGAGAATCTCAGATGGCAAACGACACGCAGCGGTCTCTTTGCGGTGTTAGGGCTGGTGTTCTTCATCATGAGCGGGGTCAGCATATCCAAACGGATAACCTCGGAAAACGACAAACCTGCAGAGGTTATTTTGCACACTATTGAGCGGGAAGAAGCAAGTGATGAAGAGGATGACAGGGATAATGGCGATGTTGGTGGTGACAATAGTGGCAACAATCTGCTTCGCGGATGAATACATAAAATGGCGGTGGTGGCGGCGGGGAGCAGCCATAGTGTTTTTTATTGCAACGAGGAACGGAGGAAGACCAAAAAGAAAAGAATTGTTTTGTTATGCCATTTTCCCTTACTTATTGCTTAAAACTTGTGCTTGCGTTTTTTGGATCCTATCTCCTGGAAACGCTGCTGTGGGAGACTTTGGACCCAATACTTCATAGCATCGGCAACTTCGTCGATATTGGCACGCTTGAGCTCCGACAAAAGAGGCCGTTTAAGCAACTCTTTCATATTGAGGAAACTGTCGTGGTGAAGTCCCTCTGTTTTTTCATGAAGATCGGAAATCACCTGTGTATTGAAGGTTTCCGGGTCTGAAAAATTGTAGTTGCGCACAATCACTTTATCAATGAGCTGCTGGTAAGTCACCGGTTTAGAAAACATCAGAATTTCGTGTGCCACGTTGTAGCCCAGCTTGAGAGGCAGTGTCAAGGAAAGAGCTCCTTCTGTCACCAGCGCTAGATTAGCAAACGGAAACAGCAGGTAAACGTCGTCGTTCATGCTGTAAACAATGTCGCACAGCATTACGAGCGCTGCAGTTAGTCCAACGGCCGGTCCGTTCAAACAGCACACCAGAATTTTAGAATGCGTTGCAAATGTGTGGGTCACGAAGACGTTACGGCTAGCAAACTCCGAAAGCCATTTTCCCAGCATACCGCTGGCTTCCTTGTTTGCAGCAGCTTGAACTTGTTCTATATGCGAGATATCAGCTCCAGCAGAGAAAAATCGGCCAGTACTTTGTAGCACGGTGAAGCTAACAGACTGCATCGAGTCTGCTATTTGTAAAAGACGGGCCAGATACAAATAATCGGTACCTGAAAGCGAATTGAGTGCTTTAGGGTCCACAAATGTGATGATGAAGAATTCACCATCCACGCGGTACGTCATCTTTCGACTTTCCATCTTGTTCAGATCTGACGACATGTTCGAAACTCTATTTAGATAACTTACACAACGATACTATAGTCAGCACTAACTACAAAAACCCACAAAACGGTTGATCTATTGACAAGTAACAGCCTCTAATTCGCAAAAGCGAGATGGTTTAGGATAGCTTTGAAGCCTTAGGTCTTCCGTGACAAACCAGTTATTGTGCCCTTTATATACCTTTATATTCAACATGACATACAAGTCACAACACACCCTTTGGAGAAAAATCGTGAATTCTCACTCGAACCTCAATAGTCAAGGTAAGCGGGCCCAATTTACAATTAACATGGGACAGATGTTACGCCAAGAGATCTCTAGGTTTAGCCATTGATGTTACGATTATATGAGATTGAATATCAGGGGTTATGGACGATAAACAGGGTTAAGTAGCAGTCATTTTGCCATTTCGAGAGATATCAAAGTCCTATCGGTGAGAGAGGCACCTCTAAACGAGACAAAAAGTGTAGGAAGGAAGATAAGAATAAGAAAGATGAACGCGAAGCATTTTCTGGCTTCCAATAACGAAGACTTAGCTGGTTTTTACTTATGGTCGAAGTTTATGGTAAAATCGATGTGTGCTCTAGCTCTATACAATGGTATTTATTGAATGACAGCGTCACAGACGTAGATAGTGACGCATCTCTCTTTCAGAAAACAAAACTCAACTTCACGAATTGTTCTCTTGCTTAAGTTCTTGTAGGATCGTGAAGATTCGAGGGACACTCTTTGATAGCGAGTTGTATTGGCCGAATGTGTTTTATTCTACACTCTAGCTCGATATATCTGGAAAATTCGAGAAAAGAGCGTCTTTTTTTTGACGAGCTTTGAAAGGAAACAATTCCAAGCTGAGAATCTTGTCTGCGATATTTAATACACCAATAGCGTAGAAGAGGTACACATTGGCCAATGTGTCAAAAATGATGTCTCACATTTTACGTCGTAATTTGACCGTGTAAAACGACATATTTTCTTATTCGATATAGACTGGTTTTGTCGAGGCTCGATGCGATGCCCGATGAGCTCTCTCCAAACACCAACTCAACCACTTGGTGACGCTCCACTGACGCCATTTCCATCACACTGATAGAAGATACACTTAAGGAATTTGCCTCAATGTCTGACACCGAGTCCTTCATACAGTCCGATCTGTTCGCAGATCCAGAAGGCTACTACCAAGCAGCTCCAGAAGCGCATTTTGCCAATTATGAAAGAACGGATATCCCAGAAAGCTCTCAAAACAAGTCTGAAAGCGTCAAACTGCGGCTAGTAGGATCATCGCCGCTTTGGGGCCACTTACTTTGGAACGCTGGTATCTACACTGCCAAACACCTCGACAAGCATCCTGAGCTTGTACTCGACAAATACGTCTTGGAGCTAGGTGCAGCAGCAGCACTGCCATCTATTGTGGCAGGCCTCATAGGTGCGAAAAAATGCGTCTCCACAGACTATCCTGACGTCGACTTAATTGAGAATATTAAGTACAATGTGAATCATGCTCTTTATGAAGGACAATCAAATGATTCCGATCCAACCACAAGGGCTGTTGTCGTGGAGGGCTACATTTGGGGTAATAGCTACGATCCAATCATCAAACATCTCCCCGTTACACAATCCAAATTCGATCTCATCATTTTAAGCGATCTCGTCTTTAACCACACAGAACATTTGAAACTTCTGCAAACAACTAAGGATCTTTTAGCTCCGAACGGAAAAGCGCTGGTGGTGTTTTCACCTCACAGACCTTGGCTTCTCGAGAGCGATCTTCAGTTTTTCGAGACCGCTAAAGAGTTTGACCTCATTCCAGAAAAGATCGACATGGTCAACTGGAAACCCATGTTTGAGGAAGACGAGGAAACCAGCGAGGTAAGATCGCGGGTTTACTCATTTTATTTAACGCACAAGGCTTAATTGTTCTTTCATGTTACTATTAGTATATATTACAGATCTTTAATGTCTCCGACGGATAAATCATGCTGGAAGATGGCTGAGGTGTCACTCAATGCAATGGGGTTTGAAATAAGGCGATTGGAGCTGCCTTACACGAAGCTGCTTTTCAAAGTCGAGAAATTGCAGCTGCTGTAGACAGTGTTGTCATAATCGTAAGCGAAACAAGTTGTTCCGGCAGCACATTCGGTGTAAACCCAAGCTCCATGGTCGCAAATAGTGATACGACCATCTGCTGAGCAAGCTATTTCGCCGTCGGAACATGAGGATTTTCCGTTAAGCTGGCCGGCAGCGTATTGGGCATTTAGTTCAATAGCTCTGGTATGAGCCCATGAAGTGGAAGTAGGAGCTGTTGTTGATGGGGTAGTGCTTGAAGCGAATGTTGGGACGCTTGTGGGAGCCAAGATTGTCCTGCTTTGTTGCGACGCAGACGAGGAGGTGGATAATGACTCCGAGGAGCTTGACGAGAGAGTGATCACTGAACCAGTAGAAAATGACTCCCAAGAGCTTGGCGATGGAGTGATCACCGGGCCGGTGGAAGATGACGCCGAAAAGCTCGACGATAGAGTAGTCACAGGACTGGTGGAAGATGACTCCAAAGAGCTTGACAATAGACTGGTCACTGGACCGGATGGTTCGGCGCCTGCAGATGAGCCGGTAGCAGAAGCCTCAGGACTGATCGGATCAGACGCAGAAAAACTTGAAGAGGCGGTAGAAGTGCTGTAGATGACAATAGGGGCACTTGATGAGGACGCTTGTGTATGAACATGAGAAACCGGAGTAGAAGAAGTCAAAGAGCTTGTCTGAATGGTTAAAGTTGCCGACGATTCCGACGCAAAACTTACATCAGATGAGGATGATGCAGAGGCAACGAAAAGAGAGCTTTCAGCAGATTTGGCAAAGAAATTTGAAGTCGTTGAAGGAGCAACAGTGGCGGAGATCAAGTCGGTTGTCGAAGTCACAAAGCTTACAACGCGAGACGTAGCTGCGGATGATTTAGCAAAGAAGGTCGACGAAGTAATTGAGGAGGAGGCGCTAGGGGATGTGGACAATGTAATTGAGAAGGAAGCACTGGTGGATGTGGAGGCGATTGACTGAGAACTAGCGTCAGCCACACTTTCGGAATTCACAGAACCCAAAATCTTTTTCATTTGAGCCGCGTAAGTGTCACCGTCAACCTTGTTGGTAAAGCTTTGAGAAGCATCCCATAACATGATACCACCGAAATTAGAACTGCTGCTTATCTGGTTGACAGTAGATTGAACCAAGCTCAAGTCGGAAAGGTAACCAGAACCAGCAGCGGAGGAGGAACCTGGTAAACCCAAATAAAGCTTGATGTTTGGATTTGGAGCACCTGCTGCAAATTGAGTCCAAGTGTCCCAGTTGAAATGTGAGTCGACGTTGCAGTAATTGTTATAGAACTGAATAAAGGCGAAATCAATTTCTGCGTTGTTCAGCAAATCACCAACGGACGCATCTGGGTAGAAGCATTGTGGGGCAGCAGACAGGTAGTAATCGCGGGAGCTTGAGTTGAAGTATTCTCTGAGCTTTTTTGCTAGAGCTGCGTAGCCAGTAGGGTTTTGATTTTCGATATCGAAATCGAAACCGTCAATGATCGCGTCGTTGAATGGTCTTTCAGAGGCAGATCCACCGGCAAAAGTGTTCCACAATGTTGTAGCAAAATCTTCGGCTTGAGAATCGCTTGTGAATCCGTAAGAGCCAACGGCACCACCCATTGAAAGTAGAATTTTTTTGCCCTGGCTTTGGCAAGTTTTGATATCTTCGGCAATCTGGTCGCAGTGCAACAGACCATCTCCAAAAGAAGAAGAGCAAGCGCTGCTAAAGTCAAGACCAATGGTGTTAGGAAAGGTGTATAGGAAGGATAGCAGCACAATGTCAACATCGGAAGATTGACAGTATGATGCTAGCGATCCTTGAGACCCAGCAGAGGCTTGGCCCCAGTATACAGCAACGTTGGATTTAGAAGAGGCTTCAAATCCAAGGACGACAGCCAACTTCAGTATAAGGGCTGTAATGATGATGAGCATTGCACTTAAAGGACTGGATATTTTTCGGTGTGTAAGTGAGTGGAGAAGAGAAAAGATTTGTGGCACAGAAGAAGAGCCTTTTCACAATTTCCAGGGTTTATCAGTTTTGGGGTACTTATGAAACAGCAGACACACCCTGAGCTTTATTTGCCTGAAGTCTCCTCAACACCCTTTTTATACATCCTGAGTGTCTCAAGATGACTTGAGAGACCCGGGCATTTGAAAAGCTGGCCAAGGTGAACTACGCATTGCTTGTGTTGTCACTGAAAGCCTTTGCTGGCCAGCTCACGCAAAACAAACAGTTCTACGCGAATCTTGTTCGTTCAATATGGTCCGTTTCAACCACGAAAACAGAGTTCGCCGCGAATACCACAGGCATGAGAACAGAATGTTCTGAACGAAAAAAAAATACAAACACGACAAACACAACGAAATGCTCGGAATGCTGAACTCTTCAACCTTTTTCGGTGTATGTGAGAAATCCAGTTGTGTACATCATGAGGCGGTGCTCGTAGGTTGTTCGACAAACTGGGACCCAGCCATTCGAATTCCGACGAGCGCGTTCATAGTGATATCCTGCTGGTGAAAACTTTGGAAGGCATGATTAGCGCTGCTTACTCCCACTCAACTGGTTTAGACCAGCTTTCTATAACCAGTGCTATGTTTTTGGTTTATTGTTGACAGTTCCAGCGGCTTGTTTTGCAAACACTGGACTTTGCTTGTCTGAAGGGTCCTGAAGTTCCGTTGGCATTGGCATTGTTTTGGCCAGTAAGCTGTAGCGCCACGCATCCAAAGGCACAGGTTGCTGGTCTGCAAACAGTCGGTTTTTTCTGCTGTAGTACTTGCTCAAAAGTTATTACATCATTGTTTGAAGACTTCAGATTTTCCAGAACCGCCAAGAAACGAGATAGTTCAGAAAGAAATCATCACAGCTCCATCGAACTGGAACACTAGCAATTGTGAGAGCCCTCTGCAACACTCTTTCTTTCTTGGGTAGGGTTTATAGTGTTGCGCGCTTAATTCAACGGGTTCAATTGTTGTTGCGTAGTCCTGTAGCGTAAAGTGGGACGATTCCTCGGGAATAAGTCAACCACAGTTGAGCTTCATTTTGTAATGGAAAAGCTTGCTATTTGCTCAGAGTGCTAGGAAGCACATATCTTGTCAAGTCTTTGTGAATTTACATGTACAGACCGCTCTGTTTGGGAGGTGAGATCATTTATATGGTGATTTGTGGATCTGCATGACATTATTGTATAAAGTGATAGTAGGAGCTTCAAGGGAATACGCACAGCGACGCTGTCAAACGTTTCGATGATAAAAGGATTATCATAATCGTTAAAGAAACAGGTCCAGGACCTCCTTTGGAACTCCGTGGTCGCTTTGACATCTGATAACTTGTAGAATCATTGAAGGTAGCATCGTTTGGCACGTGACTAATGGCAGCGACACATCAACTAGAACTGCTAACCCAACGTGCAGCGTGTTCCGCCAGATGTTCCGAAGTGCATCCGCTGGGAGACCTTTCTCATTTACTCCAGCTATCAGAGTTCAATTATCAATGTCTAAAAAAACATGCATTTTGTCACAAATGTGTGACGCCAAGTGCTTCATGATATAAAGAATACGGCTGCTCCAAACATAAATGAGTGGAATAACCACCATTTCACGACGTTGAGGTCTCATTGTTGAAAGGCGAGGCATGTCAAGAGAACTTGCCTGTTAGTATATGATGCTAAAATGCAAGTTCTCTTGACATGCCTCGCCTTTCAACAATGAGACCTCGACTTCGGTTCAGTGTAAATTTGATTTCGAGTCAGTAATTACCTTTAGGGTGTCAACTATTCTCTTTCTTCCAGTAGAAGCGAACAGAAACTGTCATAAAAAGTTAGTTCAACGTAACTGGTAGAATGCTATATCCTTTTAAATCTTGAAATGATAATACAAAATTCTCGAAAACAGTAGAGCCACATTTCAGGAACAACGACTTCATCTTAAAGCTCAGATGAGTAAAAGCACTTAAAACCTCAGTGACAATTGAGTAAAAAATATCCAAAAAACGTCGTTTTGGGAAAAAGTGATAGAAGTCATCTCGAAAAATTTTAGTATTAAAGATATCTGCAGTAAGATGATGAGTTGACATGAATCAAAGTCAAGAAGTATTGTAGCACCAAGTCCAGCCCTTTTTGGCCCAGAGCATTGTTCAATATGGATCAGGACGATCTATTTGATGTTTTTGACGAGAAAAATACTGACCTGGCTCTGCCGGAAGAGGTAACAGACGTGCCCGAAAGCAAACCAAGTGTTGAAGTTTCAAAGTCAGTCGATACTGACTCGAAAAAGCGTTCCCTGGACAGTGAAAGCAACGAGGTCTCGGCAACAGACCGCGAAGATAATAGTGACGCAACACTAGAAGCAAATAAACGGATCAAGGGTGGTAAGAAACTACTGGATAAGAAAAAGAAGTCTGATGTTGTTCCTGTAGTTGCAGATTCCTTTGAGCAAGAAGCCTCTCGTGAGGTTAATGCATCAAATGGACTAGGAGCTGGTGATGCCTTACAGCTTGAAGAAGATGGGAAAGTGAAGCTTTCGCATCAAGTCAGACATCAAGTTGCTTTACCGCCGAACTATAACTACCTCCCCATCGGTGAGCACAAACGTACCAACGAAGCCAGAACGTACCCATTCACTTTGGATCCTTTCCAAGATACTGCTATCTCCTGTATCGATAGAGGAGAGTCTGTTTTGGTATCAGCCCATACTTCTGCAGGTAAAACTGTAGTTGCAGAGTATGCCATAGCACAGTCTATGCGTGAAAAGCAAAGGGTAATCTATACATCACCCATAAAAGCTCTTTCAAATCAAAAATATAGAGAACTGCTCGCTGATTTCGGAGATGTAGGTTTAATGACAGGTGATATAACCATCAATCCGGATGCTGGATGTTTAGTTATGACTACAGAGATTCTGAGAAGCATGCTTTACAGAGGTAGTGAAGTCATGAGAGAAGTTGCGTGGGTGGTATTTGACGAGGTTCACTATATGAGAGACAAAGAACGTGGTGTCGTATGGGAAGAAACCATTATACTTTTACCGGACAAGGTCCGCTATGTTTTCCTCTCTGCCACAATTCCCAATGCCATGGAATTTGCAGAATGGATTTGCAAGATTCATTCACAACCTTGTCATATTGTTTACACAGATTTTCGCCCGACCCCACTTCAACACTATCTATTCCCTGCTCATGGTGACGGTATTCACTTGGTTGTCGATGAGAAAAGTACATTTAGGGAAGAAAATTTTCAGAAAGCAATGGCGTCCATAAGTAATCAGATAGGGGACAGTTCGGACTCTGTAAACTCGAGAGGCAAGAAGGGTCAAACTTTCAAAGGGGGGTCACCGAAATCTGACTCCAAAGGTGACATTTACAAGATTGTCAGAATGATCTGGAAGAAAAAATACAATCCAGTCATCGTATTTTCCTTCAGCAAAAGAGACTGTGAAGAGCTTGCTCTAAAAATGTCCAAGTTAGACTTCAACACTGAGGAAGAGAAAGACGCTCTCACAAAGATATTCACCAACGCTATTGATCTTCTTCCAGAAATTGATCGCGATCTACCTCAAATTAAGCATATCCTTCCTCTTCTGAGGAGAGGAATTGGTATCCACCATTCCGGACTCCTGCCCATCCTCAAAGAGGTAATTGAAATTCTCTTTCAAGAAGGTTTTCTTAAAGTTTTATTTGCTACTGAGACTTTTTCCATTGGGCTGAATATGCCCGCAAAAACTGTTGTATTTACTAGTGTCAGAAAATGGGATGGTAAACAGTTCCGTTGGGTTTCTGGCGGTGAATATATTCAAATGTCGGGACGTGCCGGTCGTCGTGGTTTAGATGACCGTGGTATTGTGATTATGATGATTGATGAGAAAATGGAACCACAAGTCGCTAAAGGTATGGTTAAGGGTCAGGCTGATAGACTCGACTCTGCCTTCCACTTGGGTTACAACATGATTTTGAACTTAATGAGAGTAGAGGGCATATCGCCAGAGTTTATGTTGGAACACTCGTTCTTTCAATTTCAAAATGTGACTTCTGTACCTGTCATGGAGAAGAAACTGAGCGAGTTAGTCAAAAAATCGGACCAAATCGTTATCGAAGACGAGCAGAACATCAAAGACTACCACGAAATTCAAAAGACATTGAACGATTACGCCGAAGACATTCGTCATATCATAACCCACCCGGCCAACATTCTAAGCTTCCTACAACCTGGGAGATTAATCGAGGTGGAAATTGATGGAAGGACGAATTACGGATGGGCTGCGGTTATCGATTTTGCAAAAAGAACAAACAAGCGTGACCCTATGGCTACGTATACGGACCATGAATCGTACATCGTGAATGTGGTAGTCAACTCAATGTACGCCGATGCTCCGGTGAATTTACTCAAACCATTTAATCCATCTTTTCCCGAAGGAATAAGACCCGCCCACGCTGGCGAGAAATCCATTGCAGCAATATTACCCATTACTTTGAGCTCGATAAAGAGTGTTGGTAATTTAAGATTGTACATGCCAAGTGACATTCGTGCAAGTGGCCAACGGGAAGTTGTGGGGAAATCTCTAAAAGAAGTCAGACGCAGATTTCCGGAAGCTGTTCCACTCATTGATCCCATCAAGAATATGAAGATTGAGGATGATGATTTCAAAAAACTACTACAGAAAAGCGCAGTTCTAAAGGCAAAACAGGGAATGAATCCACTCGCAGGATCTGTCAAGTTAGATGACATGTATCGCAAATACAGCGAAAAAGCTGATTTGAACAACGAAGCCAAGAAGCTAACAAAGCAGATCAATGAGGCGCAAGCCGTAATTCAACTGGACGATTTACGTCGCCGCAAAAGAGTTCTGCGTCGCCTTGGCTTCTCAACCCAGAATGATGTAATTGAACTCAAGGGTAGAGTCGCCTGTGAAATATCGAGTGGTGACGAACTGCTTCTTACTGAGCTTATATTCAACGGTAACTTTAACGATTTAACTCCCGAACAAGCAGCCGCCTTACTGTCGTGTTTTGCTTTCCAGGAACGTTGTAAAGAATCACCAAGATTAAAACCCGAGCTTGCAGAGCCTTTGAAAAACATGAGAGAGGTCGCGGCGAAGATCGCCAAAATCGTTAAAGACTCCAAGATCGAGATTGTTGAGAAGGATTACGTGGAAAGCTTTAGGCATGAACTTATGGAGGTCGTTTTCGAATGGTGCAAAGGAGCCACTTTCACCCAGATTTGCAAAATGACAGACGTTTACGAGGGCTCTTTGATAAGAATGTTCAAGCGTTTGGAAGAACTCATCAAGGAGCTGGTGGATGTCGCTAACACCATCGGTAATGCCACGCTCAAGGACAAAATGGAATCTGCTCTCAACTTGATTCATAGAGACATTGTATCAGCGGGTTCGTTATACTTATAGTGTTTAAATAGATAAATTGATCTGCATACCAGTACAAGTCATAAGTAGACGTCTGCTACCTGCGCAGCCCCGCCATCATTCCTGACCCCCGATATAATGGCCCGGTACGAGTTCAATACTGGCGATTTCCAAACATTCAATGTTTCGTCACTTACGTTTAGTAAGTTTTCGAAAATTTGCCTTCTCAGTATTACTGTTTCGGTTTCTCTTATGTTCCCATCTTTGTCATCTAAGAGGTCCGACATGACTTTCGATAGGTTGTTGATGAGAAATAACATAGAATATTCATAGCTTGTTAATTTCTCTAAAAGGACCATACGCTCGTAATAGGGCAAACTTAAAATTCGATCTGGCATCAGTTGCTCTTTTATTTCATTGAAAGAGTGCTCATTGGAAATGAGGTTTCTCAGTTCAGCCAAGTGCGACGGATCAACTCGAAGCTGGTCAAGAACAAGGCTTTTCTTTTCAGATATCAAATACAGTGGATTGATGAACTTTCGAAATTCAATAAAATCAGGATTGGACTCAGTAAGTTTGAGATATTGGTTGTCTAGCTGCTTAAAATGTTCTTGATCTTCCAGCATTGATATTTGTGCAAAAAGACGAAAGATGTAGCGTCTTGCATAAACACGCAAAACAGAATCGTTCTGTGCATTAGCGTACAAATTCCCGTAAGCCGGTATTACGACCTCCAGCGCATGCGTCACAAGCCACGCGCTGGCTTTGTCGTATTGCAGCTGTGGCCCACACAAGCACAGCAGATCCGTGTAATAGTTTGTAATGGCAATAAAACAGAAAATGTCTAATTCGATGCTCTTGACGATTTCCTGTTCACTAAACAGGAAAAGTTTCAGGTTCAATTCGCTGCAATCGACAAAAGGAATCATCAAACCCAACAGATCCACCAATCTTGCCAAAATAATGGAATTAAGTTCACTTTTGACACGAATTAGATACTTACCGTTGTGACCCAAAAGTCTCCTGCGGACCAAACTATCACTTCTCAATGCCTTGAATACATTTTCAATTTCTGTTACGGTTCCTGTTTCCGTTGTGGGGTCAAAGAACAGAGATAGTATTGAATCCAAAATTCCCAATCCAGCAAAAATCCCCTTAGGCTCAGATCGCTGCACAACTCTGCAAGCGAGTTTAACAAGTCCAGGAACGCCACTTTCGATGCTAAGTCTCAAATCTTGTGGAGAATACTGTTCCATTAACTGGTCAAAAGGGACCAGAGAAATCATTTTGCCTACAACATCTATAAGCAAATCGTAGTTCAGCTGAGGCAACTCTTCTTGCATCAAAAGCTCCTTACTTTCTGTCAAAAATTCTGAAGTTCCCACAACTCGCGAAAGAGATGCGTTTCCACCAAGCTCGAGTTGTGCCCTGTTCAGCACGCTATTGAGTTCCACAGTGTTCCTCAAAGTTAGGCTAGCATTCAAGCGTTCAATCAAGGCTTGAAAGCCTGGGCTATGGTTGGATTCGTCCATTGCTTACTTGTTTGTCAAGAGATGTTTAAGGTTAGAGTGAGCTTGTAAGTTCATATATATATTCATCATATGTGGTCAAGTTCATATCTCATCTGATCTAGTCAAATAACCTTTCAGAGTCTTGTAAAAGCTTGAAGTGTCTCGAAGTAGAGGCCTATTGCTGATGAAAAGCAAGCTACTGCCCGAATCGAGGATAAATTCGCTTTATTCCGACTTCCGGAACCTTAAAGAGTTGAATACAGAAGGATATGAAGCTAACATCAGGAACTGGAGACAAGTTCTTCTGGAAGAGTTGCTGGCAGGGGAAGTGATACTCGAGACTGGGCCTGCGCTTTTGGAAGCACTAAGTGACCCACAGGTAGGGCAGCCAAGAAGCCTCGATGCCGTGTTGGACTTCATGATCGCAGAAGGATCTTTGGTCCCATTAGACAAGTTTAAGACAGGAGCAAAAGTGAGTTTGATCTCTACGGTGCTGGATTGGACTTTTGGTTCTTTCTTACCCATTCCCCAACGTTCAAGGGGAACCAGGATTTCGAATTCAAAGGGCAATTCATATCTGCGACGGGGACAATATGCGGTGCTTCCTACTATCGAGAAAAAGTACGGTCCATTGCATTTGGCCATCGTGGAACGGATCTGTAAGAAGGCAGTAAGATATTCGGATCTGGTCTTTTCCAGAGGCAACTTTTGCAAGAAAGTAGGTTTTGCTGGTCATTTAAAAGATTGGGCAGCCTACGAGACCATGCTTGCGTACATGGATCACTACAAAAGCATTATAGTCACAGATCTAACGACAGTCAAAGTGCGAGGATTTGAAGTCAGTGGCATCATTTCAAAATTTGAGGCATCGACCATCAGTGTCGACGACCAAGAGATTGCGTCTGTAAAAGATGCACGACAACAGTTGAAAACCCAGATCTCGCACCTGGAAAGCAGGATCAAAGACTCCAAAAGCCTGCTACGTGAAAATATCAAAGATGAAAAGCCCAAAGATCTCCTCAAGATGCGATTGCAGACCCACAAACTCTTGGAAAAAAATCTCAATGTGGCGTCTAAAAACCTCGCCAACGTTGAAGCATTACTGCTGGATATTGAGGCCGCAATCGACAGGGTGCAATTGAAACATGTTTTCGAACGATCTAGAGATGTTTTGATGAGCCTTTCTTCCCAACTAGGGAGCTTGGACGAGGTCGAAAAGCTGGTTGATGATATCAATACTGAGAAGTTGAAGGGCAAAGACATTGACAGAGTATTTGAAGCAGAACTTAATGGCAGGCATGACGACGAAATAGAGGAGGAATTACAGAGAATGGATGCAGAAATGAAGCTGGAGGAGCAGGTTCTCCAAAAACTCTCGGGATTGAAAGTTTCTACGGACATAGCACCGCACAATGCGAAAGAAGACGAGCAAACAGCAATAAATCGGGATGAACAATCATCAGTTAAAGAAGAGGAGCAGGCAGCATCGGCAGAGCTTGACCAGTCGGCGACTGAGCACGAAGAGCGAACCCATGAACAACAACCACTTGCGATATAAGTAATATATAATTTTAATTAATGTCCTCACCACATTCGTCCTTCTTATCCTCTAGTTTGACGCTATTGCCATTGAAAGTTTTACGATGGGAATCATCGTCCTTGCTATCGTCGGCGTTTACGAACTGAAAAACGTTGGGAGACACTGGCCTCGACGGGAGGCTCAGTTCGGATGGATTACGCCCAAGTTGATGTTTAATGCGAGGGGAATTGGCGGGTGAGACGTATTTCGAAGACGATAAAGAAACTGAATCCTCGATTTGGGCACTGGTCGCCTTGGAACTTGGTCGCGTGCTGTGTGTGTCATCCAAGTCTCGCCTCTCTGCTGGCCTCCACAAGCCGGAAATCGAGATGAAGATTTTGCCCAAGAGACCTGGTCCTTGAGCGTCTATTGTACGAGGACCATTTGTGCGACTTTCAACAGCCTTCAAAATCAATGCGGATCGTGGCGTTAACTGCAAAGCGAAAAGTGTCTTCAATTCGTCTGACTCTAGTAACACTTCACGCGGTATTCCTCTTAAGAATACGTATGGCGCGTCACCGTCGTTTCTATTTGAATCAACCCATTTTCTCACCGTATCGAGGCTTGTGGAAGACTCAAATTGGTGCGTTATGGAGTGACCGTTGAGCAGCCTGATCTGAAGGGTACATTTTTTTGCTAGCAGTTGTTGGGTGTTTTTGATGTTATCATGAATATTGTCTAAGCTTTTCACGGGCAGTTCGGTCTGGGATGGCTCTACACTTGCTCGCCTCTTTGCTTGAAACTCTTCACGGTCCGCTTTGACCAATTGAATGATTCTTTCCCGTTCTTCCTTGTCAATGATCCGTCGTTTCCTAATAGAATCTTGGTAAAGTTGTGCCGCTCTTAATGCTGCTTGATCCTGAGGATCAGTCGCATCCGGCCCTGCATTTGTCTCATCTAATTCTTCTTCGTTCTCTTCTTCTTCCTCTTCTTCAGATTTTGGCTCTAATTTCAAGCACTTTAATAGCGTTCTTTTATTATCTACAGCGTTGTCATCCGTTAAAACTGCCGCTATTTCACCCTCCACAATACAAGAGACGCTTGGAAACGTCACATTTGGGCAAATCTGCTTGAAAAATGGGAAATCCGAAGCCTCAGGGACCAACTTCAAAGCTATACATCTGTTTTTGATAGTATCGCTCAGAGTTGTTGTAAACCAATTTTTTAGCCATATATCATCGCCTGGAGTACAATAGACTACCAGGGGCTTACTCTCCTTTAAGGATCTTTCAACAGCACGGGCCACAGAGTTCTCAAACACCAATCCAAGCCCTGACATCGCTACTTGTTCGACCTGGACGTGAGGGATTCCTGTTTTGAAGCTAATTATCTATCGCTTTATTGAAGATATGTCAATAATTTGGTACGATACCTGGTGGAAGAAAGAGACGTTTACAGACATTGTTTTGGGGAAAGAACGTCTTATCTCTCATGCTATTTTCTTGTAGGTAGGATTTGAGCGCTAAGTCTAGTGCTTCACTCCAAAAGTGGCAAGTTATTCCAGACTTAATTCGTATTCTCAGTTATGGATGATTTCAGCGTAGATATGAAAATATATGTCGATAACAATTTGTTATGCTAGGGAAAAGCCGCCGAAAAACATGGAAATGCTGTTATCACAAATCTGGCGGCTTGATTCGTGCTGTTCGTCGTGTTGTAGGCCCGCGAACCATGAATTTGAATATAAATGTCAATTAACTGTCGCAGAAAAATGACAAAATGGTATAAAGTGATGCGGAGAGGAACAGTAAAACAGGACAGTCAAACCAGCGGGATCGAGATAGACGCCTGTTGACAATACTTTGGCTGTACTTTTTTCTGCTGATTTCTTTGCTCGCATGCGCGAACAAATTCTTTAAAGAGCGAGGCTAGTTGTTGATAATAACTTGTTAAAGTTAGTGTGTCACTACGGAATATCAAACAAGAATGAATAGATCGATGTGGATTTCTCAAGATGTAACTAGAAGTGTCTCTTTCCACTTCCGTTCATTGAAAAAAAATAGCGGTGATTCCTTCTCTCCCAGCGAGTTTTAACGTTCTCGTGCCACTCGTAGTATCGCATCGCCGTTCATCATTAATTCATATCCAGACATCACCACTTTAACCCATCTTACACCACACATCAAGAGAGAGGACCCCCATGTCCGTCAACTTCTCACAAAGATCACCACTACCACGGATCAAGCATTTGAAACTGGGTACAACGGTGGGACAAGGTTCGTTCGCATTGTAAGTCCAAGTAACTGATTTGTCGTCTGTCTTTTCGAAATAAACTGTTACTAACTATCTACATCTATGGAAAAAGTGTCAAAACAGCGTGTTTAGAATCGGATCCTAAGACTGTTGTGGCGGTGAAGTTTGTACATTTGCCGACGTGTGCAAAATATGGATTGAGTGAAAAAGATGTTACTCAAGAAGTCATTTTGCAATCAAAATGCAGCGGACACCCAAATGTTCTTAGAGTCATCGATTGCAACCTGACACAGGACTTTTTATGGATTGTGATGGAAATGGCCAGTGGAGGAGATCTGTTCGATAAAATTGAGCCTGATGTGGGTGTGGACCCTGAAGTTGCCCGATTTTACTTCAAGCAGATGGTTAATGCTTTGCAATACTTACATCGAGACTGTGGTATAGCCCATCGCGATGTAAAGCCCGAAAATGTGCTTTTAGACAAGAATGGGAATTTAAAGCTAGCCGATTTTGGCCTGGCTTCACGATTCAGACGGAAGGATGGTACTAAAAGAGTTTGTTCAGATAGACGCGGTACTTTGCCCTACATGGCTCCTGAAATTGTGTATTCGCGCGGATACTACGCTGATATGACCGACATATGGTCTTGTGGCATCCTGTTGTTTGTTCTGTTGGTTGGAGAGACGCCTTGGAGCTTACCTAGCGAAGATGATGATGACTTTAAAGAGTTTTGGGTCAATAGTGGGAAACTGGCCTGTGGACGATGGGCCAGGCTTGATCTGACCGAATTGAATTTGTTACGCAAGATCTTACATCCCAACCCAACCGAAAGATATACCTTAGAGCAACTGAAACTGCACAGTTGGTATTCCAGTTCAGTATCTTTCGCTGACGATTCGGGCATTTGCAAGGATCCTCAAACACTGTCAATTAAGTTAATGAGCAGGCTCCAAGACCCTCTTAACGAGGAGGCTACCAACCCCAAAGCCCCTCATCTTTACGAAAGGGATCTCTACACTTCAACTCAACCTACAGGCCCCCATGGCGCATCCCTTCAACGAGAATGCACAAAAATCGAGAAGTTTGCTGCTAGTCAATTTGACTTATCACATCGGGCCGACCAGGACATTGATTGGAGTCAGAATCTACAGCAAGATACTTACAGTCAGCAGTTTGACAATTACGGTGAATACAGCAGTTCCTTCCTGAATCCCGCGAAAATGACCAACTTTTTGTCCAAAAAAGACATTGGCACCATCTTAGATACCCTAGAGTACGCACTACGAGAATTGAAGATCCCGGTCAGCTCACGATTGAGCAAATCATTTCGAAAACTGGCTGAGACTGTTGACCGCGGAGAAATCTTCCCTCTTACAGTTCAGATGAAAACCTCAGACAGAAAGGGCTGGGATCTGTCCGGGAATATAACGCTAACTTCATTTGAAGGTGGCATCATACTACTGTACTTTAATAGAAGAAAGGGAGATCCATTGGAGTGGAGAAGGATATTCCGTTCAATCCGTTTCCTTTGTCGTGAAATTATTTACAGGCGTTAGAGACGGCTCGTTTTGATAAAACTAATTTCGACTGCTTTGCTTTCCCTGAAATTGTTTTAGTCTTCAAAAAACTATTAACTACCTACCCTTCGATTCGCCCGATCCTAGTTTAGCAACAAACTTTACGACAGCATCTTTAAGATAGGATTTCTGCGCTTGTGTCAACTGACTAAATTCTTCCTTCCCAAATTGCTTAACGATTTGAACGATCATCTTCGTCTGCTTATCTGAGGGCAACACGCCATTTAAAATGCTTAAGTCGTCGACGTCAGTATTGGGGGCCTGATTGGTTTTTGAAACCGCACTCAAAGTTCTTTCCGATGTGTCATCTCTTGCATCTGAGGACGGTAAAGGCGCTCGAAAAGCTTCCAATGTGGTTTTGCAGTTGGATGTTGTTTCTTTAGTTGCACTCATCTTGTATATCGGTAACTTCAAATCACTCTGACGCTTCATTTGGCGTACATCATCGGTGACATTGAATTGAATAGGGTCTTGAAGACTCGATTCAGAAAGCTTCCAATCACTTTGAAGGGTACTTAAATTTCTCACATCTCTAACGGAGGATAGATCTCTCCCGTCCTCCTCCACTTTTGTTTCAGCTTCATGAAGACTCCTCTCATCAGAGACTGAATTTTTGACGGCTGAGGAAGAGCATCTTTTATGAGCCGACTGAGGACTCGAAGAACGATCACAGTTCACGCTTACCAATAGCCTTTCTTCGGAAGCAGAGGACAAGTTCTCGGTAGAATCAAGAGGCTTTGAGTACTCAGAGGAGGACAGCCTCTTCTGGCCATTCGTGATTTGTTCTTTTTTGTTGCGCAATCCATGCTCGGTAGGTTGGTCACTGACTTTGTCAGCACAACGATTAGGTGCCTCCTCCGATGTATGAGCCTCGGAAATGTTTTCAGATTCATTATGGATCTCGTCGGACGTCTTCAAGGGCTCAGGAGTGGCACATTTCTTGGGTACAGCCTTGAAATGGTATAATCGTGGACTTTTTGACTTTGGGGCCAATCCATCATAGGGTTGCAAAGTAAGGTCGGGGGCCCCAGAGTCGAGTAGCTCTCGAATTTTATCGAGATCTCTATTCTCATTTTTAAAGGAGGAACAGACGATAGCTAACTGCTCGTATGCCAATGTCCCTTCCCTTGCGGGTAAAGATCGGAAGAGCATCTGCAAAGCTGGATCTATAGCTTTGTTATCAGGGACTATCAATATCGGAGAGGCTTTTTTGAGAGCGTCCTTGACTCGAAGTTCACTGTTTTTAAGTTTTCCAGTGCAATCGAGCAGAAGCGCCGCAAAATTCTCCTTGAGTTCAATCAAAATCTGATCTTTGCGATATTTCAAAGCCGCCTCAATAACACTCAAAGCGAAGTCGTAAGACTGGTTCAAACGATTCTTGACAACCTTGTAATCCATGCGGTCGTCTCCCCCAACGTCGCTAACCAAAAGAACTAACGCTTCAGCATCTAAAACATTTGCGTCCTTTTCAGAGCTGTCGCGCCAGAACCGCACCACAGGAAGCAGTAGACCCGAGAGTATAAACCTTTTTATAGCTTCGTTCAAAAGCGAAAAGCTTTGCGTATCATAACATTTCTGAAGGAACTGAAATTCAAGTGTGTTTGAGTCGGAAGAATTCCTTTGTCCGTCTAAGGGTAAACTCATAAACTTCTCTTTCAAACAAGAAGAAAGTGTTGAGTTATGAATAATGTCCGTTTCCAAGGCGCGCAAAATAAAGCATAATCCAAAATCAACGGCTAACTCCTCAACCTGTTTCAATGCGTTGTCCAGTTCGCTCAGCGGATAATTTGAAAGCACGGGTCTCCATGCCTCTATGTAGGCACCGGCTGTGCCTGCGTACCTGCGACTTTCAAGAATTAAAGCTTGCAAGACCAGACTGGTATAGTGCTTATTATCTAGAGCTCTGTGCAGTTCAAACTTCAATTGATTGTGGTTCTTCAAAACTGCCGTAAATTGGGTTATGAAGGTCGGATCAATAGTTTCAGTTTGCAAGCTGAGACGAAGTCTAAGATATTTGAATAAAGTAGGAAGATCGCAAGCCATCATGATTTGATGTTCCTCGTAACCCAAATCCCGCCTTAGTTTATCGCAGATCCCCATCACGTTTTCCGCTAAATGTTCATCAGAAATGCTTTCCGCAATGTTGAGTAGTGCATTAAATGTACTATTCGACATCTCAGACGAACGTATTTTCGAACAAACAGAATTTGAGATATAGGTTTCGACATACTTGTCTTCGAAACTCAAAAAATAATCGTAAATTTCCAAATCAGGCACTAGTCCTTTCGTAGATTCCACTACGCCCTTAAGAATTTCCAAAATGCTCAAATCATTATGTCGCACCACTTGCTTCACAACCTTTTTGAGATTAACGTTACTTTTAAATCCCATCCACATATTGTCGTTGAATGCTATCATGCTGCAACTCAAAGCGTGAATAACGCGACAATGAATATTCTGATTAGAACATTCCAATGCATCTGATAGTGATTTCAAGCACATATCTATTACTTCCTTGCGTATTAATTGCTTCGGGGTATTTCTGATAGTTGAAGCAAGGAAATTGAATGAACTTTCGAGAGAACCCACATCCGCCAACCGATTTAGTTTGAGCGCAGTTTTGAAAAGCATGTCCCAATGAAGATCAAATATTTGAGATGAAAAATGAAGAAAGTCATCCATACCTAACCCTGGAGATGCAATTACCTTTAGCGAGTTGAAATCTCTCTGAAAGTCATTCTCGATTTTTGAAGGTTGGCAAAGAGAGCTTAGCATTTGTAGAGTATAGAAGCCGACTCCAGCTGTTTCGTGAGAGTCTGATATTCTCAAAAGAAGTGGCTTTATGATATTTTTAAAATTGTGGGAGAAGGCATCTGGCTGATGATTACACAGAGCCAAATACAGAATTCCACGCAGAAGAAATATATCATCATCGCCATCATCAAGGGTTCTACTTTCAAATTGTGCCGGGCTGAATGGTTCCAGCAAAACGTCCACTTGGCGGGCGTTCTTCGGAGAAGGTACACTCTTTGTGCAAATCACGTAGGTTACTATTCTCCACGAGCGTAATGCCAGGCCGGAAACACTATGAACGCCCGCGTTTTGGTGTTTCAGATTTAACAGTAACCATTCATTCATAGGATCTGAGCAAAGTTCATCCAGCTCAGAAGTTGAATTGAAAAGAAGTCCGACCATCGAAAGCCAAAGATCGAATGCTAACTTATGTTCGGATTTTTCAGTGAGAAGGTATTCCACACTTTGCAATAGCAGTTGAGACACCGTTGACTTTTGACCCATTTTGGAACGCTTCTGTGAGTTTTTATATTCAGAATCGAGAGAAACTTCCAAATCTTTGATTGGTTTCGTGAGCGCGCTATACACATTCGGATGTGTTGACTCCGTCAACGACCTCTTTAAAAGATCAAGTAGAATCGAAACACAAATGCTGGCAATTTTCGATGAATAGAACTGTTGATTAGGAAGAAGCCGTGATAAAACTTCAGTTGTAAGCCAAATGTCGACTGTTTCAAACATAACATCTGTGTATCTTGAAACAAACTTTTTTAGTAACAGAAGCTTTTCACAAATGAGGTTTGAACTTTCTATCTTTTTCATTTTAATCAAAGCCTGGATTACCGACGACACATTTAACTCAGAATTTCTTAGCAAACCCACTTGCTCGTCGCGCAGGAAGGCAAGCTGGGCTGTGATCATAACTTTGTTTGAATATGAGTGACCCATTGTCTCGATGCAGCATGCCACAACCTTCTGATATGAGGATTGGAAAAGTGATTTATCTTTGCAGGCCTCTACTATCCTGAAGCTGGAAAATATGAAGCTTAGAAAACGAACGATCTGCACGTAAGTTCGGGACACAAAAGGATCTTTCTTTTGGGTTTCTAGAAGAGCTGATTGGTGCTCGATCAAATGAGGCGTACACGTTGATAGTACAAGATCAATATTGTTGATAACAATCGAGAGTTTTTTGTCCTTGACATCAAAATGCGTGTGATGAACATAGGCTGGCATGATGTTGTTTAAAGTAGCGTAGAGCTCGAAGAGCCGTTCATGAGCGGTGGGTAAGGCACTAGACATGAAATATAGGCCTCCAGTTAGTAGCGCTTTGAATTCAGCAACGCTGTTGATATCATGAAGGCTGTGGACTTCGCCACAAACCCAAAAGTCGATATTCAACGGATTTGATCCTCCATTTTCGCTGGAGTCCAGCTCCAAATGCTCACTTGCGGGTCTCGCGTGAGCTTTTCTGTTACGACGGGGACTGACTTTCATCACGGGCGAATCGGTAAGTTTAAGTATGGATTTTGATGGGCGAGCCTGAGAAAATGAGCGGGGACTGGAATCCAGCTGTTCTTGTGGCGGAGATGATTCAATATTATCAGAAAATGTCACAGATTTTCTTAATGGCGAAGACCGCAGTTTCCGAGTATCCTTAGCCTCCAAAGGGTCTGTGGGGGTCAAAAACACATATTTTTCGTGTTTTCTCGAAGGCGAGCTATCTCTCGATTGCCTCAATGTCTTTTTGGGCGAAGTTGTGATTCGTGAAGAGTCCGATATCGTCTGCCACATCGATGACAGTGCACCATAATTGCTAGTTTTTGCGCGTTTGTTATGTTGAGAAATGTGTTTTTCAAGCACGTCAAGCGCTCTACCGTTTTTGTTCAGGTTTCCAGCACTTTGATCCATGATTCATAGGTGCATTGTAAGTCAATAACGATGTAAATTCTGGTGGTTTCTTGCTGTTTGTTTTAGTTCATCCGATGACATCTCTCGTGTTTAAACCTGTAATTGATGTATGCATAGCCAATACTTTTGATCTCATCGCGTAATCCATCCTCGTTCAAGAGGAGAAGAGCGCTAGAGAACCCACATGACAGAGAATAGGTCCCGACGTAATGGTCGAACAAGTGAGAGCATCAACGATCGTTGTTTGTTTGCGGTGAAGATTGCTCGAGTTACATCGAAACGCTCATTAATTGCAGTGAAACTGGAGTCTGTTTCTACACGTTAACAGCGAATGCAATTTACGATCGTTTCGTAGGGATCCAGGGGAGAGAAAACAACGCCTTAATCTGAGCCGCGAATTCCCCCAACCTGCGGAGTTTTTCCGGTTTGATATGGTAGCAAAAGTGGCCGAGAAGCTGAGGTAAAAAAAAAAGGAGTATTAAAATGGCATCGGGGTAATCCTTTATCAAGCTTATAATCGAAGTAATGTGTCAACCACAGGATTGTTACACAGCATTCGATACCTAGCTGTAAGGCATTCGCGAAGAAAATTCAATCAGTATACACAATTCCGGAACCCACTCCAAAACGCTCCATAATCTAGTATTTATCTTAATATTTTTTTGACGTGACAGCGACTGATATGATCCTGGGGTTCACAAGCAGATTATATCAATTTGCGGATTATTCACTCTATTAAGCTGATGCTCTGCCAAGAAAAGGAACTAGGCGGTGTCCTCTCCATGTCTTGTCTCACTGCCAATAGCCATCAGCTTACATCACTTTTGTTCTAGTTGTCGCTGACACCAGATTATCTTACACGGAGAAAAATCAGATATTCATTTTAGATGGACAAGTCTTCGTCTCACTTCGATCTCAGAAATTAGAATCACAATCAGATGAGTCTTCGGCAAGCTGAGAGCTCTTATGATGTCTGCTATATCCACAGCCAACTCGATGTACCCTACAACAGTGTCACATAGAATTATTCTTTGGATTGCACGTGACCATTTCTCAGAGGTTTCAAGATAATTAACGAATTAGACCCAGACACCCATTGGTAAACTTGACTAGCTCATCTCTACAACTCAGGATAACTCAGCAAGGTCTCCAGGTCCACCTTGAAGTCCTGTGCTGAATGTGTTACAAGCTGCAATAGTCGACATTCCAGCTATGACCACCACCACTACTAAACGTATACATACAGCAGAGGTAAAACTGGTTTTGCTAGGCGAGTCTTCGGTAGGCAAATCGGCTCTAATTACACGCTACACTACAGGAACTTTCCGTAGAAACAACGCAACTATTGGCGCTGCGTTCACAACAAAGACCGTTGCATGGGAAGATGGCTCTGACCGTTGGCAAGTAAAATTCGAAATATGGGACACAGCTGGTCAGGAACGATATCGGTCTTTGGCACCCATGTATTACCGCAAAACCGATGTGGCGCTTGTGGTTTTCGATGTCGCTGAAGAATACACTCGTACCAAGGCTGGGACTTGGATCGAAGAGCTTCAATCGTACATGCATGACCGTGACGAATCAAACCCCATTCTGATAAAACTAGTTGGCAATAAAATAGATTTACTGGACACACAGCCGTCTTCAGCCATAGACTGGGTACCAGTAAGCGCCAAAACTGGGTCTGGAGTCTCAGAGCTCTTTGAGTCCGTGGCCAAAGGTGTTCCTGCGTCGAAATTCACCTCTTCTGATCCTTCCACAGCAGCACTTGTCGACTTGGAATCACGGCAGAATAAAACTACGAGTTGCGGATGCTAATTAAGGTTACAGCCCTCTTCTCATCTAAATACACATTTGGCTTCTCTGAGCTTCGAAAATCACTCCGAAACGCTCAGAGTTCACCGGGAACTGGATAGGTGCCAACCCATTGGGAAATTTCTTCTGCCAGAGCTTTAACTTCATCACTCTCTTCGCAGAGTTTTCTGAAATTGGCTAGCTTGCTCCTGGCGTCCTTTGCATCCGTAGGTTCTTGAGATTGTAAACCAATGGCCATTTTCGAGGCGCGGTCAATATATTCGGCGACTTTCGCAAATTCCTCAGGTCCAAAGCCTCTTGTGGTCATTGCAGGAGTTCCCAATCTCAAGCCAGAGGGGAAAAGAGCAGATTTGTCACCTGGAACTGTGTTTTTGTTAGCAGCGATGTTGATCTTCTCCAAGACAGTCTCCAACCGTGCACCATCAGTGCCAATGTTAGATAAATCTATTAAAATCAAATGATTGTCAGTGCCCCCAGAAACCAATTGAAAACCACACTTGGTCAATTCTTCGCCAAAAATCTTGGCGTTTTTCACAATGGCTTCCTGGTATTCTTTGAATTCTGGGGAAGCTGCCTGTTTAAGTGCCACAGCTAGAGCAGAAATGGTGTGGTTGTGAGGACCACCTTGATGGCCTGGGAATACCGAAAAATTGATTTTTTTATCAAGGTCGTACAAAACCTCTTTACCCTTCTTAGTGACCTTACGAACACCTTTTCTGTAGAAAATCATAGCTCCTCTAGGACCTCTCAAAGATTTGTGAGTGGTTGTTGTTACGATATCGGAAAACTCAAAGGGCGAAGGAATGACGCCAGCCGCTACAAGACCAGAGATATGGGCCATGTCACTCAACAAATACGCACCGCATGCATCAGAGATCTCTTTGAAGCGTTTGTAATCGATAATTCTCGAATAAGCAGAGGTTCCTGCCACGATCACTTTTGGTCTGAACAGTTTTGAGGTCTGTGACAACGTTTCGTAGTCGATATGACCTGTTTGCACGTTAACATGGTACGGCATGGTTTGGAAATATTTGGAAATGTAAGAAATCTTAGTTCCGCTGGCCAATTGGTACCCGTGAGACAAGTGACCCCCGTGAGGCAAGTCCAAACCCATCAAACGGTCATTAACGTCCATGACTGCAGAGTAAGCGTACAAATTAGCAGGTGCACCACTCAAAGGCTGTACATTAACCCCCCACTTAGCAGGGTCGAGGCCATAAAGTTCCAGGGCTCTTTTTTGACAAAGAGACTCGGCCTGGTCAATGAATTGATTACCACCATAGTAACGTTCCGATGGGTACCCTTCAGAGTACTTGTTTTGCATTTCGGAGCCAAGCAGATCCATTACAGATTTGGATGTAAAGTTTTCGCTTGGAATCAGCGTCACAGAGTGCTTCTGTCTGTGACGTTCCTTGGTTAAGATGTCGTGCATCTCAGGGTCCACATCTTGCACACGTTTGGACACTAAAATCTGGTTTGCAGAAGCTTGACCAGTGGCATATAGCCTTTTGGCAAGCGCAATGCTTTTGAAGTGACGTGCTGAAACCTTAGACAGCATCTGTAATGGCTCTGTTGCGACTTTAAGCTGTTTTTCGTCGATCAGTTTTTCTTATCAAATTCGTCGACCTGATTGATGTATCGTCAGTTTTTCACTACTATATAAATACAGGAACATTTCGGGCATTGTAAGTACCCAAAGGTTACCTTCAGGAGGAGAGAAGGACAAGTCGCTCACGACAATATTTCTTGGCTAAGCGTGAAGTCCTACTTATTTTCGAGTCGAAATTTGGCATTCTGTAGCGAATTCTATGGGTTCATACTGATCACCTAGTTAACTAAAATTTGACTCGGGAAGTTTATCGTCAGTGTGTTCAAACCGTAAACAAAAACCGTCCAGACCTTCTAGTGTGAGCCTTTGACGTTCTGCTTCTGCTGCTGTTGGACAAGCTAGTTCCTTAAGAACCAACGACCCTTGAACGGGCGTGACGCAATTTTTCCTTTTCCCACATAAAAATATTTGCCTTAAACAGACATCATAGTCGATCTTCACGCTTTACACAACTTTCATTAGCTCTACAGTTCAGAGTTTTAAGCTTGGAAGCTAGTGTGGTTTTCAATTAAACATAATCCATAATGGTGTCAGCATCCCAAAACGATGTTCTGATTGTGCCTCATCAAAGAGAAGGTAAATCAGGATGGCTCTGCAGGTTTCAGTGCGACTCTATAGCTTGGTCATTCTCAAATGACAGCGTTTCCCTCACCGGAAAGTCACACTTTCTAGCCGTTCAATTAAACAGTAGTAGGCAAAAATAAAACCAAGCTTGCACTCAGGTTCGAACTAAGGACCAACAGATTTGCAATCTGCTGCGCTACCACTGCGCCATACAAGCTTGTTGAGTAAAGAAAGCGATTTGAATTCTAGATACAGTTCGTAAGCTGCCGCGGTATTTGAGATTCGTATGCTCACCTACACGGTTAAAACAATACACCATGGTAAAACTACAGCTAGAGGAGTGTTGGAATTCATCAAATTGTGGGACAAGCTTACGATACGGAGTTTTATACGTCAAACCATTCTTCAAAACAATTCTTTTGATATTGGGACACTGTGGGATCAATTCAATCAGTGTCAGCTACTTTCCAGATCTGTCGAGCATCTAAGGTTTTGAGAGATGTTTAACAACACAGTTTCAGGCTTGAAATCAAAAGTTGGGCGAATTTTCCCGCTATTCTTTGACCGAATTTGAGCCGGTGCTAATTATGCATCCTGAAAGTGAGGTGTCTTTTTCTTGTCGTAAATCAAGCCAAATGACGTTTTTAGAGTTTTGACACATGCCACTATCTTGAATGCTGCAAAAGCGGTCTCAAACACATCTTTTCGAGTTCAACATGTAACTTTATCGCTGGTTAGGTTAGTTCTCTTTTTCGTGTCGTCGATGACAGCTTTATATTGTCCGTCATTAACTCTAAGCTCACTTAAAAATCGCAACCCAGAACGTAAAAGAGCACTTTGAACAGAGGGGGAAAACATCGCTTTAGCTACTTATTATTCTTGTTAAGAGTCATTCACTTGCTAGTTAATACTGATACGGCCTGTAATAATCGTTCTAGTGGCCTTCTCCCGGTAAGGGAACAACGGAATCTTCAATAACAATTAGGGGCACGCTGTTTATGTTGAACTAAGTTCGACAATCTAGATCAATGACGGCCACTTTTGAAAATAATAGACGACCATCCCTTCTGCTTGATGCCGAGGATGAGCCCACGGGTGCGAGAAAATTCCGGTCCCCTAGCGGAACGGTGGGACATTCGCTGGATAACACTGACATGGTTGCGCTCACCACTTCTTTCGATAAACAGATATCTGAGGGCCATCCTATGTTCTTTGAGCAAAGTGAAACCTTCGCTGGTGTAAGAAGCCTAGGCGCTCCCGGTGTTTCGCATCAATGGACAAATTTTTATAGCGAAGGAAAAGCAGGGTTCGAATTCATGCAAAATTTGCGTGTGAAGTACATACAGGAAAGTGCACAGGACGCTCAATCCAACATGAAAAATGATACAATCGATTGGTTTCTGTATCCGAAACCGCTTCCCAAATTCTGGAAATTTGAAAGCGACAAACGCCTGTACGATGGGGCCCAAAGTGCCAACGGTGAGGATATGCAAGGCTATTTCTATACACGGACCAATGACGACAATTTTCAAAAGCAAGACAGGGTCCAACTTCACTATACAGGACAGTTTTTCAAGCTTTCTCATTATGCGAAAGAGCTGACGAAATTTTACACCGAGCGTGGGCTGCCGATGGCAATGGCGACAGATTATCCTGCAGTTGTTGCAAACGTACCGCCCATAACTCAATTCGGACAGCATTTTGAAAAGTGCTTGGATCTCGTCACATCGGAACAAATGGACTCGCAAGCAGTGAAAAGAACTGAATATTTGTTGCACAGATACGAGCTATTCCAGCAACTCCAAGGACGCTCTGAAGTTCGCGAAAGCAGACTAGTTCCCCACCGTGATTTTTATAATATCCGGAAAGTGGATCAAAATTACCTTCTCAGTGGATGTCTCTCTCAAAGACAGCTAAACGATTTTATTTGGGAGAAACTGAATCTCGAGCCCAACCGGATCGTTTACCTTGATGCTAACGGTAAACAATTCACATTGCGACAAATATTTTGTCAAGGATCCGATGACTCGTCAATTGGCCTCAAAGCAGTGGATGATTTGTTTCTGGACTGGTATCGGACTGTGTATCTTTCCGGCGATCATCTAACCCGTACTGATATTTGGCAACAGAATCCAAAGTATCTCGCCATAGCACGTACGTTCTTGGAATTTGATAATGTTATTGATGGGGAATACTTTGCTGAAATGGTTGTGAAATACGTGATTCAATCCTTTGAGAAAAGTAAGTACCAAGTGGCGCAGCTTTCAGTTGACTTCCAATTTGGTGATTCTTGGTGGACAAAATTCAGCGATTGGGTAACGAGGTGGAAGCTTGTTTCTTACAATATCCGATGGAATATTCGACTCAACAGGTGTTTTTCAAAACTGTATGCTGCGAATCGCGTACAAAATTTCCAGGATTACTTGGACCACATTTTTCGTCCGCTCTTAGAACTAGAGGGTTCTCAGAACGTTAAGTTACAATTCGTTTTGTCCACCGTGTGCTGTTTTGACCTCGTTGTCAGTGAAACTGATGATTACGTATGGAAATCGTTTCTCGAGCCGCAACGTACTTCACCAGCGGATTGGTCGGGATGTGGTGATAACCCGCCTGTGGCCTATTACATGTTCTACATTTATCAGTATCTGAAGGTCCTAAATGAGAAGAGAAAGAGCAGGGGCCGGAACACAATAGCTTTGCGGAATTATTGCCCAATCAACGCGAGTCGTGTTTCGCAGTTTCGTAAGAAATTGAGTATAACGGAACAATTTGAATCGCTGATCTGCAACTTTTTATTGTGCGAAGGAGGACTCCTTCAAGCGGAGCCCTTGTGGCGTGTTTCCCCTACGATTTTGTATTTATACTACCTGTTCCAAATACCGGTGGTTGTATCGCCATTATCTTCGGTCTCACTTCTTTTAGAGCATGGACACTCTGAGGCAGGAAGAGTACCAATAAAGGATCGAGATGTTACCACTCCCTCCACAAGAACTTACACAGGAAATCCTTTCATGAGTATGCATCAAATGGGTTTAAAAGTCCTGTTATCGAGCAGTTCTGTTCTTCTCAACTGTTCTTACACCATGGAACCTATCATTGAAGAATATAGCGTTGCCGCAAGTATTTACTTGCTTACTAGCGCCGACATGTGTGAACTAGTTAGGGACAGCGTATTGACCAGTGGTTACGAAGGTTTCTACAAAGCTCACTGGAATGGTGTGCGATTAAATAAAACTGATTTCTTCAATGAGAGAATCGGATTAACTGACACCTGGTATGACCAAGAGCTCGATACCTGCTATAAACATAATGTTCCGAACGCACGTAGGCTCTATCGTCGAAACTGCTTGGAGAGGGAATGGCAATTCATAAGTGGATAACACAAACACGTCAATTTGTGGGAAAAGCTTTCATCTGTCAATTGCCTTTGCAGAACTTTAAGCGCCTGGCAAGAACGGTTATCCTTGGACGTTCCTCGAGTCAAAGGCTCTTTGGAGACATTAAATCATCTGCAGCCGTGGCACCTAAGAAGATAATGAGGAAAGCAATAGCGCACTGGTACCTCAGATGGTTGTTCTGTAAATCACACTGGTCGCACTAACAACACTTCTTTTAGTACAATATATAAATATGCATTGGAAATGACAGTAACATTAAGAGCGGGTTGGCTCAGTCGCATAACTCGGTATTTTAATTTTCCCAGCTAGGTTCTATGTCCCTTGTATAAGTAGAATAAACCTGTAGGCGCTGTGGGTTGTTGAATTGAGCATCATGGCTATCTCCATGGAAAAACAGCTTGAAAATACTGGGCTTTGCGTCACCGCCTCCCAAGTCTGTCGCAAGATCCAGTACACCTATACTACGCTGGAAGTACCATTTATTCACCACGTTATCCTTTCGGCTTCTCCAGACAAGCTCACGAGGAAACTTTCGAAACATTAGGTTGAAAATGATATCAGAGATCCCTAGGGAGCCTTTTAAATGGGGCAACACGGCGAACTTGTCGAGATACGGGAAACTTCCATTCTCTGGACCTTCATATGTTATTATTGCAACGCCTTCATATTCTCCGATGACTATTATTGAGGCGATTTTCCCATTTATTCGTTCAAGATAGTGGTTGAGATCCAGTTTGCGTCCGAAACTTGAGTCGATGATGTGCTTTAGCTTGATTAAATCGACTTTAGGGAAAGACGCATTCGAGTAATTAGTGGTTTGTGGTTCAAACATTCCAATGGAATTACTTCTGTCAAGTGTCCTGTAATCGAAAACTTTGATGTCTACTCCTTTTTTGACAACGGTTGTGACCAATGCCGCATCTTTCAAGTCCTCAGTTGCCTCATCGTCTGTCGGTAGCTCATACCATGCAAAAGCCGGAAGTTGCTCTTTTTTGAAGCGCGGCAAAGACGATGAAATAAGGGAACGGTCCGTCAAAACATTGTACAGAAGCGGGTTGTTCTTGTCCCGGTTTGATGCTGCATCTAAATCGGTGATGAGACCTGTTGATGAGATTGGTAGCCTTGAAAGTACACGATTCATTATTTCGAGGTTGTCCAAATGGCTCTGTTGGAGTTCTATGCTGCGTTGTAGTTGTTCTATAATGTGAACTGGTGTCAAAATATCAGTGGAAAACTCCGCCTCTCTACATGCTTGAGAACGCAATATATCCAATGATTGATTCAAAGATTGTGAAAGCGAATCAAACTCTTGCGACAAGTTGATAAAAACATGTGCGTTGTCGTGACGCTCACCGGAAGTAATACCACCCAGATTACTTAAAAGGACCACTTTGTCGAAACGACAATCCACATGCTGTACAAACTTGTCAGTGAGATTAACAATATCTAAATTCGTAGTGAAACTGCAAGACTTTTCGTCAAAAACTCGAGGCTTCACGATTGGAATCAGATCTTTCAAATGTTCAAATAGAAGTGTGGACTTATAAGTGCCGTCAGCAGCCCGCGTGAGGGCCTCAGGAAGAATTAACGACCGCATAGAGTTTTTCCTCAAACAAGCGTCCAGCAATTCCGTTTGTTTTTCCACATTTCGATGCGGACACAACAAGAACATGGGCTTCAATCCCAGAATTTGCAATTGTCTGATGGTGACAGCAAACCGGTCCAGTTTTGCGAGTTTCTGATCCAGCAGATCGCGAATTATCAGCAAACAATGGTTTGACGTTGAATTTTCGGCATATTTTCTCATATAATTCTGGGCTTCTCTCTTGGTAGCTGTGGACTTCAAGACGGATAAAATCAACTCTTTGTTAAAGCTGTTGGGTTGGTAATAACCACTTTTTTGGTAGCATCTTGTGAAGCTAAATCGGTAGCTATTGAGGCGGAACATGCAATTGAACGGGACCGGCCCTTAAACGATGTGTATGTTCCCGAATGGGTATGATTTTTCCACCTGCGATGAGTTAGCCTTTGAGATCTAATTTAATACTGGATGTCTAAATTCGTTATATTCGCTGAATATCATCATCGCATCAGTTAAAGATCTAAAAACAGGGCATTTGAGTGGTCTAAAGAAGATTTTGAAGACGCTCTTTGGTCGATGTCGCTACCGTGGAAACTTCAAGAGACTTTTTCGCCAGAAGAAATCCAGTTTATAGTAGAAAATGAACCTATAAAGATCTTCCCACGGTTCACCACCAAACAGCCGGTAAGAGGTAACCAGCAGAGCAATTCATCGGTCCAAACACGCTGGAAGCTGCTCACGGCGAAAGATGAGCCGTTGAATAATTTGGTAGCGATCCAGACGACGGAAGTGGCGTTGTGGATAGCTCTGTTGTTGAAGCAGCAGGGCAAGTGCAGTATCGTAGCGCCCGGATGGTTGCGATTGGCACAATTACAAAAATATATCGACTACGAGTTGAAGAATACAGGCCGTTTCAGTGAACTGCCGTGGAATTGGCTGGTGGTAGCTCAATTGTTGTTTTCGAAAGCGGCAGACGATTTGCACGACCCAGTACATCTGCTGCGGGGCAAAGTGCAGGATTTACGTGAAATCCGGCTGAGTAAAATCGGACAGGGTTTGAAGCATTTGAACGAGTCGCATTTGCAATTGGACAATTTGAGTCTTTTAGAGATCAACGAGTTGCGTCCGTTTGTGCTGGGGGTTATGAATAAGCTGAAAGACATTCACAATAGTATATCGGAGGATCAAGAGGAGGATTAGACGAGGGGAGGTGAAACGGGTATGAGAGAGGGAAGGAAACCCTCCTCAATGATGACACGTGCCTTTCGCGTGTTTATCTCGTGACCAAATTTTTCTGATTTGGTAAGCGTTATCATCCTAATTACACGTGTTTATCACGCGATCATGATATTGTTTAGGTAATCAGCTGCTTACCCACGTGATCCTCTATTATCATTATCATTGTTGATAATAATGATAATAATAATAATAATACACGCACTCCGCCCGCGTTACTATGGGTTGAGTCAATTTCCATCGGGCCCCCGATAGAATTTCCTAACCCCTTATTTTTTGAACACGTAAACCGAAACGAGTATAAATACTCGAGGTGTTTACAAAGGTTGGACATCCCCACTAAACAAAACTTCGATACACTTCTTGTGGTGTAACAAGGAGTTCAAACAACTCCTATTGGGCGTTAAACTAAAGCACAGAGGGCGGGCTCTTTGTAATACAAAACAAAGACAACACCTAGACTAGACTAACTACTCGAAAAAAGCGAACGAATATGTCGTTTTTGAGGAAGTTTTTTGGAAGGAGCAAGCAGCCTTCGCAAAGGGAAGTACAGGCTAACAAAGTGTGTGATTTGGACTCTGGATACGTCTTTGTGGATGGTGGAACTCAAATCGGAGAACACGATGCGGTGTTGGACGACATGTTGGTATCAACAACATGTAGAACGCGTGCAGAAGAAGACCCAGCAGAAGTGGACGTTTCTGCGTGGGAAATGGCCCGTCAATGGACGGCCAACACGAAAAATAAGGCACTGTCACAAGCGGCGGTGGTGACACCAGCGGTCAACTCAAAACAGCAACGGCTAGCACACCGGGTGGAAAACATTCGCAAAAGGTCGCTTCCGGGACTCAATGTTGGAAAAAGCGGCCACAAAACGAGCGTTGTGGTGGATTACGTTGACACACCAATGGATGAGGACATTGAATATTTGTACGACGACAAATGGAACCGCAAAAGCAAGGTGGAATCTCGTCGTGACAGAAACAACAGGCTTGGGACGTGACCGGAAAAAACAAAATTTACGGAAATTCAAGGAAAAGGAAAAAGGCGAGTGTGGGGTTGTGAGGGTGGGCATCTTGGATTTGGTCTGGTCGAAAAGAAAGCGACCGCGTTCTCTCCCGCCCCACCAAAAAAGAAAAAAAAACCGAAATTCAACAGCGCTGTTGCACCACGCACGAAATATTATCTCATATGATATACTATATAATCAAATCTATTCAATCTTAATGAAAAGCGCAATAATCTTACCAACCAAGGCCTCGTCTCATTGTTCACCCCACCCCCACGTCTAAACCACAGATCTATCAACTAGAACATTATTTCAAGATACTCAACAGTTATGGATATGCTCACGTGTTGACAATTCTGATGCATCACATGGTGTTACTCTAGCTATATATATTTTCATGTTTTACAGTTATCCAACAAATTCCGATATAGTGTAGGGGCTATCACATCACGCTCTCACCGTGGAAACCCGGGTTCGATTCCCGGTATCGGAGGTTAAAGATTGAAAGATCTTAATTTATTTTTTTGTAAGCTCTGAACAGCGCAATATTCAGCCCACTCTCAATGTTAAGATAGCAGGCTTAGTTGAATAACTTCTGGGCTTCAACGCAACCGGTTACTTAGATTAGAATCCATTCTAACCAATGATATTTACTGTCACTCTGTACTTATGTGTCTCCCAAAGCCCTAAGTTAGGTAGCCCTAATCCCTAATTAACCTTTCCATAGGAATGAAATTGAACTACTTGCCCTGAAGCATTAGTGAAATATCGCAGCTCCAAAACGAATAAAAGCAAGAGAAATGAGGTCCTCCACGCTCATTGCAGCAACCCTAAGCTGTGCACAAGCTTTTGTTCTACCACAGACTTTTCTGGACGCTTTCCAGCTTCCTTCAACGTCCGATATCAATGTTGAATCTTTCTGGCCTCATAAACCCTATTTCCTCAAGCACCAAGTGGACCCTCAGAGTTTCCCCGATGATATCGAGCTTGCTGAACTTAACTCGACTGCGTGGGATTTATACCAAATCGCGCAAACTTCCAACAAGTCGTATGGCAACCCAACACGTGTTATTGGTTCAGCAGGCCATTGGAACACCATCCGCTACATTTTGCGCCAGTTCGACGACTTGAGGGACTACTACGAAATTTCAACCCAAAGCTTTAAAGCCCTCAGTGGCAAAGTGCTCTCCTACAACTTGAATTACACCTCCGGTGGTAAAGTGCCCACCTCGCAGGCCTTTAGCTTGTCGCCTCCTGTGAAACCCTTTATTGGGAAATTGGTTGAAATTCCCAACTTGGGATGTTCTGACGCGGATTTTGAAGCTTTGGACGTCAGCAAAGGCTCTATTGCCCTTATCGAAAGAGGTGAGTGTCCTTTCGGCAAAAAAAGTGACCTTGCCGGTAAGCACGGTTTCAAAGCCGCTGTTATCTACGACAACAATCCAAAATCCACCGAGGGTGTGAGTGGCTCTTTGGAAAAGCCTACCAAACATACCGTTTCCACTATCGGTGTCTCTTTCGCCGTGGGTCAAGAACTTATCCTAGGAATCACTTTGGACCCAGACTATTCCTTGTACTTTGGTATGGACTCGTATGTCAAAGAGATTAAAACTAAAAACGTTATCGCTGACACCAAGCACGGTGACCCAGAGAATATTGTTGCTCTTGGTGCTCACAGTGACTCTGTGGCTGCCGGACCAGGTCTCAACGATGATGGTTCAGGTACAATTTCGCTTCTCACCGTCGCAAAACACTTGTCAAACTACAAGATCAACAACAAAGTTCGCTTCGCTTTCTGGTCTGCTGAAGAAGAAGGATTGGTGGGATCTAACTACTACGTGGACCAACTCTCTGAAGAGGAAAATTTGAAAATCAGACTGTTCATGGATTACGACATGATGGCGTCACCTAACTACCAGTATCAAATCTACAATGCAAGCAACTCGGTGAACCCAAGAGGCTCAGAAGAGCTCAGAGACTTGTACATCGATTACTACACCAAGTATGGGCATAACTACACTCTGATTCCCTTCGATGGGAGATCTGACTACGTCGGATTCATCGAAAATGGAATCCCAGGTGGTGGTATTGCTGCTGGTGCCGAAGGAGTCAACACTGACAACGGCGAGGTATTGGACGCATGCTATCATGCGCTTTGCGATGACGTCAGCAATTTGAACTGGGATGCCTTTTTGACCAACACTCAGCTTATTGCTTACTCTGTAGCGCATTTCGCCGACTCTTTGGAGGACTTCCCAGAGAGAAACGCTAATGAAACCAAATCATTTGCAAGTACAGAGAACATGCCCAAGTATGCTTACAAAGGCGGTGCGTTAATTCTTTAAAGAGAGACTCGCGGCCTTTTAGAAGCTCCTGGCAAAGCGAAAAAATGACTTAAACTGAACTATATAAAAGTATATGATACAGCCCACCTTATGTCACCTTATCATCAAAACTGCCCAAAGTTCATCTTGAAATTGCCAGCACCGAAGGGGAATCCGCCGTTTCTTCCTTGACCAAATGGAGACTGTTGTCTTTGAGAGCCTGGGTTTGCTCTTTGGTCGTCATAATCTTTGCGTTTCTCCTGGTCGCCTAAAATCTCGTAGGCCTCATTTATCTTAGACATCTTCTCTTCGTTTTCTTGCTTCTCTGCATCTGACATCTGCCCTTGTTTATCTGGATGAAACTTCCTAGTCATGGTCAAGTAAGCCTTGCGGATGTCTTTACTCGAGGCGTCCTTAGCAACACCCAAAACTTTGTAGAAATTTTTCTTGGTAAGATCGTTGGGAGGAGGAGGAGGGGAGTTTTGTTGATGCCTAAAAAACTGTTGCTGCTGATGTCGCTGTTGTTGTTGTTGCTTTTGGAACCTTTCCTGGCTCTCTTGCCTCTTCTTGGCGCTAACACTTTTTATAATTCGATAAGCTTTCGCAATTGCTTCGTTTCGGGACCCTTCCCATCCGTGCTCCTGTACAAATGATTCGAGCAAAGTCCAAACGGGGCTTGTGTCCATACCATTGCGGGCCTTATCTTTGGAGGATAGAACGCTTATGCAATTCCGGATAGCGTGTAGGGCAAGTGACGGAGCATCTAGCCAGACGCTATTAAGAGTATCCTTGGCATTGTCGACGTTATTCAACTTCTGTGAAAAGGCTGTGAGAGTTGTGACTACTTCTGGAGTAAGCTTGCCTTGAGCAGCTCTTTTACAAAACGTTTCGGCAATTTTGGGTTTGGAGGTTTGGTCATATGCCTCACATAATGTAAGATCTCTTATGATAGAGAAAGCTGACACAGTAGAATCACTGATGATCCACTGCTTGGAGACTGACGAAAGCGGTCTTTGCTGCAGCAAATTGTGTAAAAGAGTCTTTTCAACTGCTTGCAAACGATTTAGATTAGTTGCAGCTGATACATCAGCGAATTTGATTGGTTTGGCATTTCCAAGATAGAAATCCAGCACTTTATTCCAATCAAAATCATGCAATGACAGAAACTGGTCCGGGTGCGTCAAGGCCGTAAAAGAAGGGCTAACTTTATTGATTCGACTGGAGATTTTCGACAAATCCCGACACGGTTTGTACTCCATATCTAGAGCGAGACAGTTCATAAGTCCGGTGGGAGGCGTGGCTAGAACAAACAATTGCAAAATTGCAATTGCATGGTGGATTTTAAGTTTATCGGAAACACTGATGAGTTTCTTATGCTTGGTCAAAGCGGTCTTGTAGTTGTCGAGGATCGATTGGCCAGCATTGATGCTCAAAGACTGCGACAAATCGAAGTAAAGGGCATCGTTAGCCAATATGAGAGTCTCCAGTGAAAATGGTGATAATTTTTGAAACTCTTCGCGCAAGGGTACGGGGACCGGTTTACCATGCTCCAAATGTGCCAACATACTTTTTTTGAGAGTTTCGTAATGCTGGGATAGCTTGTGATCGTCAATTGCATGCCATAACCCAAACTTTTGATAAATTTCCTGCAATCGGGTGTGAGCTAGAGATGCAAAAGTGGATGACGAGCCTAGTGGCGAGTCTTGGACGGTTTTAAACGTCTCTAAAGCGGCCAATTCGTTGCCGCTCGACACCTGGATAAGCCCGCTCTTATACAGCAGCTGGCCTCGCAGATGCTGTGCTTCATTGCCCCTACAATGCTGATCGAGTTGAGCGATGAGCTGGGAGTACTCCGGAAGCGCAGCCTCCTCATAACGCAGCTGTTCGCCGCGTCTTGAAAGTTCGTTCAGATCACAATCATTCTCTGCAATTGCCAAAGTTGTCCATAGCAGTGTAAGCCAAAGCCACTGCCACCGCCAGTAATTTATTCCAATCAGCATCTCGATCAAACTAACCGGGATTTTGATGAAAAGAAAAGGGTGGGGCACACAGCTAGATGATAACCTACTATGTAGTAATGGGTATGGTGGTTTCAAATAACCCTATATATGGCCTACAAAGGGGAGCATAGAACTATGCTTGTCAAACGGTATCTCTCTTTTTAATCTTATGCTGTCCTCTTTACTATAGTGAGAGATGTATAGTAGTATTTGGATATTCTGCCACGTGATCTGCTTATATAATCAATTTTTTTCAAAATTTAAAACTGATCGCTTTGAACGAAACCAAACATGTGACCAAATTCCAAATTCGTCGTTAATGATATTCTCTATCACTATGTACGCACTCTATTCCACGTGACTCTGTGGATTTTCGTTAATAGTTATCTATCCCTTCTCTAGTCACTTTAAACGGGATGTTCACCTTTTTTTTATCTATAATGTACTCACACGCATTATATATTAATCTCAAATTAACACTATAGGAATGCACAATAAATTTACAAGATAGCATCAAAGCCACCGTTACTAAGAAATAGGGCTATCTCACGAATATATAAAGAGCAAGGATAGACAGTAACGAATCTGAAGTTTATCTCTTGTATTTGGGCAACTCTGTACAGCTTGGCTATACTTTTGTGCGCTCCATTTGGTTATAGAACAGATCGGTTCATTTGGGTATATTAACCTAGTCTTTAAATCCTCGTTACTTGCCAAACAGATTTTTTTTTTGTTGTTTTCTTCTTGAATCATATGGACGGACCATCTAGTGTTTCATTCAGCCACATCGCGTACTTGACGTTTGAGTCGGTATTGCAGGTGGTTATTGTGGCATTTTCCGGGTTTTGGTGTGCATACACAGGGCTGCTGCCTAAACAGGGTCAAAAAGTGATCTCCAGACTAAATGTGGACCTTTTCACACCATGTTTGATTTTTAGCAAACTGGCCCGGAGTTTGTCCGTGGCAAAGATTCTGGAAATCGGGGTGATTCCGTTGTTCTACGCGCTCACCACAGGTGTGTCGTTTGGGTCTGGAAAACTGTTGAGTCGTCTGCTCAAATTAGACCCCGACGAAACAAACTTTGTGGTGGCCAACTCCATTTTCGGAAACAGTAACTCGCTCCCAGTCTCGTTAACCGTTTCGCTGGCTTACACGCTGCCGGGTCTGCTGTGGGACGAAATTGCCAACGATAACTCTGATAACGTGGCCAGTAGAGGTATCCTTTACTTGCTGATCTTTCAACAGATCGGCCATGTGCTCCGCTGGTCCTACGGTTACAACACTTTGATGAGATGGAGAGGCGACCGGGGCCATTCCACGACGGTCAGCGTCTCTGAGCAGTTGGAAGTGCCCGATTTATCGGCTACAGACGCTGCAGAGGCCAGCAGCACGCTTTCGGGCCGCACCTCCAGCAGTTTCTTGAAATTCCGCTCCAAGACGTCTCAAATTTTTAACAGAATAATAGCTGCCATGAACCCTCCTCTGTGGTCCATGGTGTTCAGTGTTTTGGTGGCCACCATCCATCCTATCCAGCATGAGTTTTTCAGCAAGGATGGTTTTGTCAACAATACCCTTTCAGACGCCATAACACAGCTTGGAGGCATCTCTATTCCGTTGATTTTGGTCGTTTTGGGATCCAACCTGTACCCATCGCAAGACACTCCGCAGGCGACCCGTAACTACAAAAAATTGGTTTTCGGATCGATCGTCGGCCGTATGATTCTACCGTCGATGGTCATGCTTCCAATCATCGCTCTAGCTGTGAAATACATCAAAGTGAGCATTTTAGATGACCCTATCTTCTTGGTGTGCGGCTTCATCTTGACAATTTCGCCTCCTGCCATTCAACTAACTCAGATCACACAGCTAAACGAATTTTTCGAAAGCGAAATGGCCGGTGTGCTGTTTTGGGGTTACGTGGTGCTTTCGCTGCCCATTAGTATTTTCGGTGTCAGCGCTGCAATGGGCGTATTGAAGTGGGCTCAAGAAACGCAGTAAAAATGCTGAACAGCTGTTGCACACGTAATCAAACTGATTGTGTTACAATCCGATGGTGGACAATCTGACAACTCAAGTGGCTCATTCACTTACTGACCAGCGGGCTTGACGGTTAAGAATCTCATCTTTGAAAGACACAAACAATAGGCCAGAATAGCCAAAGATCACAGCCAGTCGCCAAAGAATGCAGTGTCGTCACAGCTGCATCGCTAGACGGAACGTCCTCAAGCGAACAAAATTGGCATGCTAATGAGGACACTATACATTAACCAACATCAAATAATGAATCAATAGTAAGTGAAATAAAAGCTAGGACTTGAAGATAATGAAAGTTCTGAACAAGCTTTAGATAAAGACTAAATGGTTCAGGTCCACCGCTAATGCCGTCATTTTTTTTGAACATCTCATGTGATGTTATTCTTACCTTGTTCAATTGTAGTAGGACATCTATTCCCAATAACGGTTGTTTGGCCGAGCGGTCTAAGGCGCCTGATTCAAGAATTACCCTCTTAACGCTGATATACAGTGGAATCCTCAGGTATCGTAAGATGCAAGAGTTCGAATCTCTTAGCAACCATCATTTTTTAAATTCTTAAGTTGTTCATGATGTTGCTCCTATTACATGCACAGTATAGCAAATGGGCAGAGCTGTTTGAGCGTCCATTAATCTGTCGCACTTGCTACCATCAGCATCCTACTGTCAAAGGAGAAAGCTCTCCTTGCACCCATGTGAAGACGAATTGATGGATTTTTGAACTGCAGACAATAACCTTCATCGATTTAGATCAAAGTGTGTTACAAAGCTGAATTGACACTTTCTGCGGTAACCATTGCTTCGTTTTGCTGGAGAATTTAGTGTGCTATTTTCCTTCTGATTGTCCTTTTTCTACAACAATACATGAAAAATCAAAACCTAACATACTTCAAGCTTTCAAATATCTACTTAGCTTAAAAGGCACGCCAAACGCCAATTCAAACTAGTTCTTGCAGGATGATGAACACTGTGCCAAAAAGATGGTACATGGAAGTCTCGGCCCACATAGCCAAAATGAAATATAAAGTGATCTCTTAAATAGCCGAGCCCACCCAGCGATCTACTCATATATTCAAAATACAGACGTATGCCACGCTCCAAAGTGCTCAATCCTACGTGGTATAGTTTTATACTGCAATGGTCACTCGTTGCTGTGAGTTTGAACGATTGAAGGTATAGATGCACCAATTTCTTCAGAACTGAACATACTTATGAAAATATCTCTTGACTAAATACCAAGGTCGATTGAAAGGAACTTATTGATGCTTTGAAAGCTCATGAATCTTTCATCGCGCTTTAAAATGCTTGCCAGAAATACAAAGAAGATTTCAGTGTCCATTCGTTACATCAATGTCAGCTTAGGATAAAGTGATATGAAAACGACGCGTCAAGTTTATCAATTTAAAAACTGAAACGCGCTCTAACTTCATCTCTTCAACTCCCCATTTCGAGCAACAATCCAAGCGCCAATGTACATCAAAAGCGTTGTAATCCAGGGATTCAAAACATATAAAAATACTACCGTGGTTGAGGACCTTTCGCCGCGTTTTAATGTTGTAATAGGTAGCAATGGATCAGGTAAATCGAACTTCTTTGCCGCTGTGAGGTTTGTGCTCAGTGATGATTTCAGCAACTTGAGGAGGGAAGAAAGACAAGGTCTTATTCATCAAGGAACAGGATCTGTAATGAGTGCATATGTTGAGATTGTTTTCCATGATCCAAATGGGCAAATGATGGTGACATCAGGCATACCTATCACGGAGGAAAAGCTAGTTCGTGTTAGAAGGACGATCGGACTGAAAAAAGATGAATATTCTGTGAACGGAAAGACCTGTCATAAGAGTGATGTCATGCGGATGTTTGAAAGCGTAGGGTTTTCCTCGTCCAACCCATATAATATTGTTCCACAGGGTCGTATCGTGGCAGTAACTAACGCCAAGGACAAAGAACGTCTGGCATTATTAGAAGAAGTGGTGGGAGCCAAATCTTTCGAAATCAAGTTGAGAGAATCCACCAAGAAAATGGAAGCCACAAACAGGGATCGTGCCAAGATTGATGCAGAATTGACAGAGTTGAGAACGAGACTGGGAGAACTAGACGAAGAGCGTCAAGAGCTAGAGAAATACCAAGAACTTGAACGTGACAAACGTATTTTCCAATTTGTTCTGTACGATCGAGAGTTGAATGAAGTAACGAGCGAAATAGAACACCTTGAAGATGAATATAATCAAATTGTACAATCATCAGAGGAGTTCGTTCAAGAGCTGTCAAAACGCGAAAATCTTATTGCTAACGTCACAAAAAATATGGATATCATTGACGCTGAACTCAAGGTCAAGGAACATACCGATTTGCTGCAGGAAAAGTCGCGTCTGTCAGAGATATCGAAAAAGAAAGCGGATCTGGAAGTCCGCCTCGAAGAAATCAAACGGCAAATCGATTCTCATCGTGGACAAACTGAAACTGACGCTCAAAATATGGCAATAGTGGAAGATGAGATCAAGAAAGCTCACGTACAGCTAGATCGACTCACGCCGCGATACGATCAGCTTCGCGACGAAGCTAAAAGGTACGAGAACGACATGTCAGATCTGAATCGAAGACAGAGGGAAATCGCCTCAAAAAGAGGGATATACGCACGGTTTGATAATCAAGAAAATAGGGATGAGTGGCTAAACGAGGAACTCAAGTCCCTCGATGTCCAACTCACAGAATCTAAATGCCAGCTCTTAACGCTCAGCAAAGAAAAGGAACAGCTCGAGATTGATTATAAGAGAGTTGAAGAAGAAATTACCGAACTGAATGACCACACGCGGGGCCCCGGTGTAGTCGCAGAATTAGAAGATCTTGCAATACAGCACATTGACACAAAGCGGCAATACCTCGAGAAGATTGATGGGCGTAAGGAGCTCTGGAGATCTGAGCAAAAGCTACAATCAGTCTCAGAGTCCCTTGAAGATGCTGTGAGACGAGCCGAGAGATCTTTAACAGAAACCATGGACCGCGGTCTGGCGAATGGACTTGGCGCAGTTAAAGAGATTACAGAGCGCTTGAAGCTCCCTGAAGATTCTGTCCATGGCCCTCTTGGGGAATTGATAAAAGTTAACGAAAAGTACAAGGTTTGCGCAGAGGCTGTCGGCGGTAATTCATTATTGCATGTCGTTGTCGACACTGACGAAACTGCTAGTATTCTAATGCAAGAACTCCAGCGAACCAAATCGGGGAGAGTGACATTTATGCCCCTCAACAGGTTGACTACGAGCGCCGTAAATTCTTATCCTGATACCTCCGTGGTGGAGTGTACGCCATTAATAGGCAAGATAAAATACGAAAAAAGGTTTGAATCTGCGGTAAAACATGTTTACGGCAGGACATTGGTTGTGCGCGATCTCGCAGCAACTGCTAAGTTAGCCAGGGATCGCAAGCTTGATGCAGTGACTCTCGATGGCGACCGCGCAAATAATAAGGGCTTGATCACCGGTGGCTATCGTGACTATCGAAATAAGATGAAAATCGATGCACTCAAAGACATAAAAACTGCCAATCTTCAGCTTGCAGAAACTCTTAAGAACCTCGAAAATGTGAGGGAACAGATCGCTCGCGCTGACGTTGAGGTTGATCAACTGAACAGCGCTTTGAAGAAACAATCCCTTAGAAAGGAAGCCATTCTCACCAACGTCGAGCTGCTAAGAGCAAAGCTAAACCAGCGTTCCGCGGAAGCTACTTTCAAGAAAGAGCTTTTGGAAAACATAAATGTTAAGGCTGAGAACAGTAAAGCTTCTATTGCGCTTGCGGAGGAGAAATTCACGCGCTACCAAATGGACTTGCAAAAGCCCTTCGAAAAGAATATATCACCCGAGGAGGAAGAGAACTTGCAATCGCTGGTGCGGCAAATGAAAAACCTAGCAGATCCATTGAGTACTACAAGAGAGGCACTCGACGATATCACGACAAGAATTGAATTGCTCAAAACGGAATTGAAGCTTAAACTATATGCACAGAAGAGAGAGCTTGCAGATAGAATATCGTCTGCCGAAAAGACCAACCAATTCGCTCGAGACGAGGAGGTTCAGGTTTTTGAGGAGGAGCTGAAGAATTTAACGTCAAGAAGGCACCAGCTATCGACTTCGATCGCAGCTCTTTTGGAGGAGATTGTAACACTTAATGATGAGAGGGCGAACAACGAGAGACTACGAGAGAAAGCAAATGCACAGCAACGAGTTCTTTTGAAAAAGCTGGATGGCTTTCAAAAAACAGCAGAGAAATCTGTCGTTAAAAAAACTAGTCTTGTAAGTCGACGAGACGAAGTTCAGCAAAAGATCAGTGAACTAGGCTTGCTTTCAGAGGACTCCCTAGAAAAGCATCAAAATCTGAACAGCGAGGAGACCCTACGGCACTTGAATGCGGTGAACGACAAGATAGCAAAGATGAGCAACGTCAATCGTCGTGCCATCGAAAACTTCAGAAAGTTCAACGAGAAGCGGCAAGAGATGGAAACTAGGGCACATGAGCTAGCAGAGTCTAAGTTGTCCATCGAAAAGTTGATCGAGTCTCTCAAGAAACAAAAAGTGGAGGCTGTTGATGCAACTTTCAAGAAAGTATCTCATAATTTCAGCACCATTTTTGAAAAGCTAGTGCCAAGCGGTGCAGGGAAATTGATAATTCACCGAAGCGCAAATGGGAATATTACTCCGAGCAGCTCCGAAGAAATCCCTCTCAGCACTGTGTACACCGGTGTTTCGATTTCTGTCTCCTTCAACTCAAAAAATAATGAACAACTATATGTGGAGCAGTTGTCAGGAGGACAGAAGACGGTTTGCGCAATAGCATTAATCCTAGCTATTCAAGTCGTTGACCCAGCCCCGTTTTATCTATTTGATGAGATTGACGCGGCTTTAGACAAGCAATACAGAACATCAGTTGCGAGCATAATGAAAGAGCTTTCTGTTCATGCCCAGTTCATCTGCACCACATTTAGAACAGACATGCTACAGCTGGCAGATTCATTCTACAGGGTGAAGTTTGACAACAAGATATCTGAGATACAAGAGGTTACCCAGCAGGACGCGATGAGATTCATCAAAAGAAGGAGCAAGATGGGCGCCGTTTGACTTAAGTTTCTCAAGACCAAACCGGGTTCAAATGTAGTCAGTGTAGGAGTCATTGCAATGCTAATGTGTTTTTTAGAAGTTAGGAAGAGGTTATAGTACAATTATTTTTTTCGCGAGTCTTTGACCAGCGAAGCAAACCCGCTGCCTGAATTTTTGTGTCGTCCTAAAGCTTTACTCGCAGACTTAGCACTAATAAAATTAGAGCTATCGTCATCATCAGAGGAATCGTCACTGCTATCACTAGATTCCTCACTCTCGCTTTTGTCAGAATCATCTCGACTTTGATCATCACCAGAGTCATCTTTCCCGGGCGCGACCTGCGATGGAAAATGGTCTTTGACTGATTTTTCTTTGACTTCTGGAACTCCACGAGAAACTAGGTCAGACAACGAGCTCAAAGACCGGCTTGGCTTCGCTTGAGGTTTTGAAGAATTGGCTGTCGAAGATGAGCTCTTTCCACTAGCTATAGGAGACGACATTTCCATCATTCTGGTGACTGGAACCTTGGTAGCGCTACGGGGAGTAGTTTGATGGCCAGGAATCTGTTGTGTTGATTGGGGGGCATGTTCTAAATCAGAGATGTCGCTGTGCTTGACGTTCTTCGGAATCGAAATAATGGCACCTTTTGGTGTGTCCACAATGCCCCTTCTGGATTTTCTACTGGCTGTTGAGGCATCATCTGAAGAAGATTCCGATGATTCGTTGTCGTCCGATGAACTTTCATCATCGGGCAGTTCCTCATCTGAGCTACCAGAGTGAAAATCTTTCGGAGCTTGACTTGTGTCTCCTACCTTGACGCCTTGTTGTTGCGCTGGAGCTCCCGAAATAAATTGAGTTTTCAATTGCTGCAGCTTTGGTGTTTTGTCACCACTAGAAAGATCAGCGGATGCTTCCTTTTGGATTTCTGTCTGCTTGTCTCCTGTATTGAAATACTGAGAGAGATCTTTGGGTTCAAGAGAGACAGATTCAGCGCTGTTTTTGCCTATTTCCTTACTGCTATTGTCTGTTTCCTTACTGCTATTGTCATTCCCTTCACTAACTTGACTTGGTTCGGATGCATCTTCATCATTAATGCGCATCCCATCAGCAGTTCTGTCAACATTTCCGCGGTTTTCTTTGTTTGAATCGGGATTCTCTTTTTCTGGTACCACCGATTGCGCAGAGCTAATATCACTTTTAGAGTCCTTAGAATCCTTAGAATCCTTAGATTTCTTTGTAGTTTGTTGAGCTCCGCGTTTCCTGGCTGCTTCCTCCTGCTTAACTTTTTTCTTGACCTCACGTTCGGCTTTCTTTCTGGCGACAGCCTCATCTCTTTCCCTTCTTCTGTCTTCTTTTTCCGCTTTTTTCCTAGCACTTTCCTCCTCCCGTGCTTTCTTCAAAATCTCTCGCTCCTTCCGCCTCTTTTCAGCTTCTTCCTTTCGTTTTAAAACCGAGGGCGGAGGCGCTTTAGTTACAGACTTCTGCTTTGTCTCTTCGGAACTAGGTGCAGAAGAAACATTGGTCGAGTCATTATCGGAATCTTCAACAAATTCCTGGCTTTGAAATGATTTAGGTTGGCGATTGGCTGCGCCTGAGGAGACCCTCTTGGCTTTCTTGGCCACTTTAGTGTCTACATCTTCCTTGGAAGATGTCTTTGCTGGCTCTGTCGCAGCCTTGCTCTTCAGCTCAGAAACATCTGTCGTTTGCGGAGCCGCAGTGGATGAGGACTGCGAAGTTGCTGACTCCTGGGGTTGTATGACGCCTCTTTCTTCTTGCAGATCATGCTTAGCATAGCTTTCTTTATCACCTTGAATTTGAGGTGTCTTTCCGTTCAACATTAGTCCCTTACCATCAAAATTAGCACCGGAATCAGAGTTCGCAAGCTTTTCCTTACCGACGCCCTTACTAACGTCTTCGGCTGGACTTTTGCCGACTCTTGTTCCACCATTCTGTGGAGTTCTAGACCTTTTACCTATCACTTGCTCCTTAAGAGGATGAATATTCAGCTTCCTCAATTCTCGATTTTCAAGCACAGTGACTCTTCCGTCGCTCCGATCAGTTTCAATGTCGCTTTCGTCTTCCTCGCTTTCAGAACTTGGCTGTTGATTTCTAGATTTTCCTGAGGAAAGAAGTTCTGCAGCTTTTACTGCAGCACTCCTTTGCAGCCTCTGGTTTATAATGTCCTTCGAAGAGGTTTTGGAGTTTTTCGGGGAATCGTCAAAATATCCACCTTTAAGCTTCAAAGATCTTTTACTGAAATTAGAAGGAATATCGAACTTGTTACCCCTCAGCATGGACAGTAGCTCTGATTTTTGAAAGCTGCTGTTCCCAGCATCCGCATGATTGACTCGTACGGTGTCATTGGGGTCCTGATCTAATTGCTGACCGTCTGCTTCATCGTCGTCGGAAAAAGACACTTTTCTAGCAGCCGTAATAGGTTCGTCGTTGTTTTCGTTGAGTTTTCTCCCACTACGCTCTGTTATAGTATCAGAGTTGCGAACGAGAGATTCGACCTTATTTTCCAGAGAAGACTTACGAGTAATCCTCCTATTAGGAATAGGAATTTTTGCTAAGTTAACATTTAGGTTCCTGGTAGCATCCTTGATAGGTGACCCATTGTTATCGGCGATAGAAGTTTGACGAGATGCTGGGGGCTTTGTTAAAGGTTCAAGAGCTCCATCCGTGCGCTTGTTTATGAGAATTCGATCTTCTTCAAAAGATGATTGACTCAGTTCTTCATCATCCGAAGTGGGTGCATCGTGTTTTTTCATCGGTATACGATGTGGACGGGCTGGTAAGACAGCAGATGGACTTTCCGGTCCTTGCTTGAGTTCCTTTTCGATCTCTGAGATTTTGGGTTCCGGTATGCGCAGCATTCCTGAAGTTATTCTCTTATTGGTATTGATTGGCGTTGCAGAGCCATCGAGTTCTGCTTGATCGACCAGTAACATTTGATCCTGAGCCTTCTTTCCATTGGGAGTTCTAGCTTTCTTTGGGAGCTCGCGCTTGGGCGTACCTGAGGGCAAACGATGTTGTCTGGATTTATCTGGATCAACGGCTTCGGATCTCGATATAGCGTTTTCACTAAAATTGACCTTTTTTGCGCTATCAACAGCAGAACTAATGCGAATAGGTTGCGACTGCGGTTGAGGTGGTGGCAGAATTGAGCGATCAGCAATGTCGTCGTCTTCATAATCCGAATTCAATTGTGTTGTGGAAGCTGGAGGATATATCTGGTTGGCCAAAGGAGTTGATACACGCATGGCGCTAGAGTTGCGCAATATATGTGGCCGTTTCTTTGCAATGTGGAGTACGTTGGCTTGAGGACCCAAAGAACCATTGCTGGCAGCGGATGGTCTACTGTCAATATTGCTGTTGAGCCGACGACGTTTGACTGAATACAATGTCTGGGCCTGATCATCAGCCACATCAATATCACGACTCAGTACGGCCCGAACAACGTTATCCACGTTGAAAACGTCTTTAACCACAAAATCTGGGTCCAGATCGCATTCATTGGAGTCCTGTAGGCTCAAGAGCTCGACAGATTCGGCCAAATGCGGGTATATTTTGTCGCATTTCGCAACGATCTCTTCTGCCAAAGTCAAAAGTGAGTTGTTAGGCTGCGTGAAAAGCAGGAACCTTTTTAATCTTTGTGGTGGGATATGGCTAGACGCAAAACTTGACATGAATAAGTTGTTGTTAGAGCCAACAGAAGTTGGTAGTTCAGGGCGATTGTTCCCTGTCAGGATCGCCGATCCATTCGCACCTATGCTGGACGGAAGAAGTTGCGAGTTTTCATTGGTAGCAGGATGAAATGGATATTGAAAACCCGCATTGGCCGCACTAGGGGGGACCAGTACCACTTGAAGCTTGTACATGCCTCCCGGAAGTGATACTAACGCGATCTGAAGCGCTTTTTTGGATGTGAAGTTGAAGATTCCTTTAAAGATTGAAACTTTTCAATATTAATGATCTTTATTCAAAATTTTGATGAAATGATATCGAAAGACGATGAGTATATAAAAAGGGCAATTGAACGTAGTTGAAGGCTTTGTTTAGATATCAAATGTTGTGTATTTCTAGTGTAGTATCAATTGGCTATACTGGCCTTTTTTCAGAACCATTTTGGAGTAACTGGGGGCCTTAAAGGGTATGAAGGGTGTGTAACAAGTGTCTATGGGAGGTGAAGGGCGGCGTTAGAGGATACAAGTTTCAGTGGTTTAAGAAATCTGATAAGCTTTTTTGAGAATAATTATGACTGCTTTGATAGCTTAAATCGGATCTTCTTGTTAACTCATTTTTATCACAATCCATGCTACGCCACAGCGGATCGTTAGGTTGGGTGTTTTTCAAGTATGCTACTGGTTATCTCTACGTTTTTCACGAGCGATCGTTGAAATCGGTCATATAACCATACTTAAAGCCATCCCTGCTATGAGCTGCACTCAAATACTCATCGTTGCTCTCCTGTTGTAATCTCGATTCGCAATTGATAATTGACGCACTGACGCTGAAACTTGTCCAACTGTACTTGTAGTTACTCGACAAAATGCACGATTGGCCGCTGACACTCTCAATTGCTCAGGCATTCTAATAGCCCTATTCACAGGTATGCTCATAGTTCTCTTCAATGCTCACAATTAATCGCTGACGCTCCCCTCACTGACACCCCCGTCTCTGAGGCTACCAGTTGCTCAACTATACTTGTAACTGTGCTTATTCAAAACTAACTGTTACGTGAAACCAGCAACAAAACTGCGGTATTCAAGACATAAAGGCTCGTTTTTTACACCCTCTCTGGTAACGCAAGATCAGAAAGCCGTCAACCCCTATTGTACACTATGCGACCAGAGTTACGCTGACACCGCCTGTGAACTGATGGAAGAGAGCCCTCCGTGAATCTATGAGGCTTTATCGAGCATTAGAGAGCTTGGCAATGACACTATCAAGCTCACACGACCATTCTTCCATCAGGAATCTGGGTCTTGGCGAACCACCATAATTATCATGACTCATAAGGAGCTCATCGCATATATATAAAAGCCCTCCAACTGGGCAGTAGTGTTACATTCTTGAATATACAGTTTGAACATCAGCAGCACCGTAATCTCGATCTGGCATGTCCACAAGAGTTCCCTTCAAACAAGTTGACGTCTTCACCTCCTGTCCTTACAAAGGAAACCCGGTAGCAGTGGTGAACTGCTGGGATGTGGAAGAAAAAACAATCCAGCAAGCTACGCTCCAGAACATCGCCAATTGGACCAATCTATCCGAAACGACCTTCTTGTTCAAGCCCACAGACGACCAATGCGACTACAAGGTCAGAATCTTCACACCAATGATGGAACTCCCATTTGCAGGCCATCCAACGCTGGGAACTTGCCACGCATACTTGGAATTTACAGGAAGACAAAATGTGGACAAAATATATCAGCAGTGTGGTCTTGGAGTGATCGAACTTAGTGTTTTGGGCAAAACTATCTCTTTCAAGGGCGCAAAGGCAGAAGTCCGGCAAGTTCAATCGGATTTGGCCCGACAATACGACACTTCCCTCTCTACAACGTTCATAACCCAGCCACTTCTATTGGAAGTGGGCCCACAATGGGTCGTGGCCCTGGTGGAAAACGCACAAACCTGCTTCGACATGAATGTGGATATGGCGTTGCTGAAGGAAACTATCACGAAACACAAGGACGCCACGGGTCTTATTGTAGCTGGGAAGTACCCCGGTGCCGAGAAATACGAAATGCGTGCTTTTGCGCCCACTCACGGAGTCCCAGAAGACCCAGTGTGTGGTAGCGGTTCTTTGGCCTTAGCCAGATACTTGCAAGAGCTTTACGGGTTTACGTCGAATTATGCGTTTGAAATTAGTCAGGGCGGACGTTTGGGTCGCCAGGGCAAAATCTCAGCTCAGGTCTTGCATGCTGGTCGCGACATTACGTACCATGTTGGTGGGGAATGCATCTCTGTGATCAACGGAGAGTTTCTATTGTAGAATAAGAACTTTGGGTTCATCAAGTCTTACTGGGCCACTGGTTTGGCTACTACAGAATCCCTATTCACCGCTTTATAGTTACTTCCTAGATCGTAGTCTTTATCTTCTTTCACTTTTACTCACTAGTGGACCGCTCTGCAAGCTCTACAAGCTCTACAAGCTCTATTATTCTAATACTACTGTGTCTATTTATCTTTGGTGCTCTTTACTGCAGCAAACCCGAGTTACATTTGACTACTTCCCTTAGAGTATCATCACCTTTACTTCCACGTCAAGAGTTCTATATAAGTTAGCCTAACTCGAACGACTACAACTTTAGCCTACCTCCGGGTATTTAAACAATCACATCTGGGTTGCTCAACTTTACCTACGTGCTCACTTGCTTCAGCAAAGGTATCATCTTGCTATTGCTCTCGTAAACCTTTCAACGAACCAAGACCTTCAAAAAGTTTAAAAAAACAAGAACTTTGACAAACTTGTCCATCGTGTACTTATCAATTCGTTCAGGATCATCAAACACCTTTTTAGAATGCCACCCAAACGTACGCTGTCACCGTCACCAGGCTTGACCAAGAAACTCAAGCTTACAGACAACTTTGAGGAATACTATAGACCGGATCCACGGTACTACCCTAATCCTATCACTTGGAAACAGGCGAATGTGTTCAACACTGGCAAAAGACCCAAGCCTATCGATCTGTTGAATCAAGGTATCGAAAAATCGCAAAAAGTGGATTCTAAAGTAGGCATCGATACCGTGGTGCACTGGTTCAGGTCTGACCTCAGAATAAGCGACAATGTCGGACTTTTCCATGCAGTAAAGAAGCTCCAAGAACAGCAGAAAAAATCCAGCGGCCATGATGCACCACGACTAGTGGCCCTTTACACCATCAATGAACATGACTTTAGAGCTCATCTGGATAGTGGCTGGAAACTGCAGTTTGCATTGGATGCTGTGAACAGTTTGAAAAATGAGCTGCGTAAACTGAACGTAGCACTAGTGGTTCGTGTTTTCGAAACAAAGGACCCTTTGCTGTCACGGTCTTTGCAATATGCAAAATGGTTCAAGGACCAATGTGTTGGACTCGCCCGTAACGCTAACGACGCAGTCTTCGTGACAGCCAACGCCCAGTACGAAACTGACGAGTTGTACAGGGACGTGAAAATTCTGGGACTCAACGACTCCCAATTCCATTTTCAGGTCCATCACGACCAGTGCACGGTGATTCCAGGTGCTCTTACCTCGGGCAAAGGCACTCAGTATACGGTTTTCACGCCCTGGTACAAGAAATGGGTCGAGTATCTCAAGACGCACCAGAAATCGGGTAAAGATGCAGTAGCAACGTTCAGTTTCGATACTTCCAAGCCTATCAACGTAGACCTTGAAGAGTTAGAGTCATACGATTACACATTGTCAGACGAATTTCTCTCTTATTTGCCCAACCAGCCTCTCGACGTCCCGGAGGCAACGGAGAAACAAGCTCATGAAGTACTACGGCAATTTTTCCACACTAAAAAGGCTCACGAATACAACGAAAAGAAGGACTTCGTGGCTCTCAGTAGTACTTCTCGTCTCAGCTGTTACATCACCAGTGGTGTTATCAGTACGCGTGCGGTGGTAAACTACTGCTATCATGAAAACGGGAATAGTTTGATGCGTAAGGATATCAAGCAAAACAACTCGGTTGAGAATTTTGCCAAAGAGGTCGCATGGAGAGATTTCTACAAGCACATAATGTGCAATTGGCCCTATATCTCTATGGACTTGGCCTTCAAGTTTGAGACGATGGACATCAAGTGGGAAAATGACACGGAAAAGTTCCACAAGTGGTGCTCAGGCGAAACTGGCCTGCCCATAGTGGATGCTATAATGCGCAAGCTTTTACACACGGGGTACATCAGTAATCGTTGCCGCATGATAACGGCTTCCTTCTTGTCCAAAAACCTCCTGGTAGATTGGCGTTGGGGGGAGCGCTGGTTCCGCAAGCACTTGATTGACGCAGATTTGGCTTCCAACTCTGGCGGATGGGGGTTTTCTTCGAGCACTGGTGTAGACTGCCAACCTTACTTCCGTATCTTCAACATGAAGCTGCAAAGTGAAAAATATGATCCCAAGGGAGTTTTCATCAAAGAATGGATTCCAGAGCTGAAGGACGTTGATAATTTGAAAATTCTTAGAGAGGGCATCTCTAATGCCCAGATGGCGAACGGTTACTCACAGCCTATCGTCGATTTAAAGGAAAGCAGAGAAAGGGCCCTCGAGGCCTTTAGAGAAGCTATGTAAATTGGATGTAACAATATTCGATATGAGTATGCGAAACTTTTCCAGGCCTCCGTAATCCCGGACAATAATGAGGCCAGTAGTATGGTTTGAGATATGTCATGTACTATTCTTCAGTTGAGATGCGAAGGATCAAGCTCTCAACCCTTTCGAATCGGATTTGCTGTTCTTGACAGGCTTACCAACTTTCCAGTTACGGATCGTCCGTGGCGCACTTTTTTGTACGTCAAACGTTTCGAAAGTCTCAGCTATGCCTTTAAAATGTTTATTGAAATTAGTCATGAGCTGCCGTGAAGATATGGCATACTCGTCGTCCATCGGAGAGCCAGATTTGAATGAAGTATCCGAAGAAATAGATGCTTCTCGACTGCCACGACCCTGCTGGTCTTTCAAGGCTCCAACCCCCATGCTATCGTCTTGAAGGGCCCGCATACGTTTATCGTATGCTTGCAATTCTGCCTGAAGCAGCTTTTTGCTGGATTGAACTTTGCTTTTGAGTACTGCCATGGTAATGAGACTTTTGTATTGTAAGGGAGAGACCAGCTCGAGATAGTGATGCAGATTTTGCGATTTTGGGTACTTTTCCTCAACTTCAAACTCAATCGATCGGTCTAGTTCGTCTAGGAAAACGTCAAAATCAAAAGAGGCACCTTGCCAATCCACGTTCAGTTTCTGCAAAGTTTCGATCAAAAAGGGTTGGTCGTGTTTGGAGGAAATTTGAGATGCTTTGAAATATGATTGCAATTTTGCCAGATTTAGTTTTATTTTCGACTTGCAAGTGGGACGCGGAGCCAGAAAACGCGCCAATGTGGTACCCAGTGCCCATTCACCGGTTGTTGACTTCCAGAGCGCATAGTTTTGCGCGTTTTGATCATATTCGAGAATATACAACGGGCAAGTTTTGCATGTTCCATGCGACACACAGCTCATTTTGAGATTTTGGGTAATGGTTTCACAGCTTTCCAGTTCCACAGAGAACGTATCCTGAATCGAACTGAAATATTTCCAAACTTGAGAGATTCCTTGAAATGCGCTGACAAGAGTCAATCTTACACAGGTATCTTCGCCATTGGGAACAAGAATATCTTGCATTTAGACTGGTTCCAGAGATCGAGGGCAAAAAGTCAGAGCTTGAAAAAGGTGAGTATCAAACTAGAACCTCAAAAAGAATTGAATACCCACTGATCTTGCTTCAAACACTACAGTTTATACCGTGAAAGAACTCATAAGTTGTACTTCGACACGTAGTTAGTAGTTCCTTTAATTAATCACAGCTCCGAGAAAGCTGGAGTTCAAGATCACGTATGTGGTGATGATGATGGTGGGCATGAAACGTCAGTGAAAGTTGTCAAGAATGAGGCTTTGGAGAGTATCCATGTATTCTTTCTGAAGTGTGATCGGGATACGCTTATAAGTGTGCGCTAGCATAATTTTCTGATGTTTGTTTGGTGCTCAGGTTGCTTTGGGAGAATGTAAAATAGCAATTAGAACTTAGATCAAATTTCCAACAGGGTATCGTCACTTGCATTGGAGGAGACGTGCTTCGAAACCTTAATCATGAGATTTTTGGACAGCTTAGTGCGATCTTCGCTTATTGAATCAAAAGGGGATTAATGAAGCATTCGTTTGGGACGCTAAAGAAAAAAGAGCTGTTCTCCTCGAAAGGGGTCTATGCTCCCTTTTGAAGTCTGCAAGCGTAACAAAAACGTATGGACATTTGGAGGAGTACATAAGGGAATGTGGCCGGAAGGCTAGACACTCACTTCATATTTATCCAGTAGTTGTCTCAAGGACCATTGTAATTTACTTGAGAACTGATATCATTATGCAGAGATAAATGCTACTCGTTTCCATACGCAACGTAGATCCAATTCACTCATCTGTTCTGCCCTGTCACCTAGCCTTAGTGCATGTGTGGACCTTACCGATGTTGATAATGTATCTTTTAATATATTCAATCATTGTCTTTAGTTTTTCAAAAAATATGGACGAGACCGGAGTCGAACCGATGACCTCTCCCATGCTAAGGGAGCGCGCTACCAACTACGCCACACGCCCAAGTTGATGTAAAGGAAACCGTAAGGGAAGGTTATATAGTCAGAGTATAGTGTCCTGATACTTTAAACATCAGGTTCAACTACATACACCTTTTTGACAAGAAATGTTGAGACGCAGAACACCCTATGCATTGAAGCACGCCAAGCTGCTCAGTATAATGGTTCGAAATTAGATTCGAAATTGGATTCGAAATTGGATTCGAAATTGGATTCGAGTCTATATTCATCGGTATCGTAAAAAGGACCAAATCCGTGCAAACAAGTAGAATCAAGGATGACTGCTAGTCACTTATCTACTCGACGACAAGAAGAAGACCTACGTGGCACCGGGATTTCAGATACAAACAAAGAAGCACAGTTCGACGCCAATTTGGCTGGAATTCGAGTCATTCCATCGCTTTAAATACAAACCGTTGTATATCGATTACCATTTTTGAGATAAGCGTGTCAAGTTGCGGTTATCAAAATCCGAATGCTATGAATTGAAATTATTAAGTAGTCATCATGGGCGGGGCTAAATAGCACAGTTTTTTTCCATCTACTCATCTAAGTAGAAGTGGTTGACGACCAAACGGGTGGTGACATCTTTTCAAATCACTATAAAGTGATCTGAGCGTGCTATGCATTACTTGCCAACAGACTACCTATGCTCATGGAGTGCAAATTGCCGGATTGCTATTATTGGCAGAAAACTATTCAGTCACAGTTGATCTGCAACGTTTCCAAACTCGCCAGGAGTTTTTTGACGATCTTCCATTAGCGATGCAAAAAGGTCCCAGCTCATCAAATCATTATTTGTAACTGCACCCGAGACATTAGCCACCATGTCTAGCAACCCACTAGTGAGGGACTCAATGGTAGTTTTGGCGGAGACAGCTGTGGTGCTGGCAGAGGAAAACAGTTCGAAAATTGTTTGAGCACGCGAGAGCGAGTCAAGCGCTTCTGGTACCATTATACTCAACGAATTTGCGTAAACATAAGCCATTATCGTTAATGCAGCATTCCACAGAGGTTGCAAGATCTCTGACCACCCGTACAAAAGATCAGACGTAGAGCACACTGTGTATATTGTGTTGACTATCTTAGTTGCATGACGAAGAGAGCTGTTAATGTGAGACTCAATAGCCTCTGAGTCGTTGGATGCAATGTTGCGGAGACGAATGAAGGGGCGCTGTACCAGGGTATATGTATTGTGATACTGGAGCTCCAAAAGAATTGCTACTCGTTGAATAGAAACAGGCAAAAGACAGCAGTTTTGAAAAGCAGCGGCTCGAGCAGTGTCTAAATCACCTTCACTCGGAAGCCACCGTAATTCCGCTGGTAACGCATCGCGCCATCCTTCAAGGTTGCCAAGAGCAGAGGATAAAAGAAGAGCGTGATCTTCGAGATGCGTTGAAGAAGGACCGTTGATGTCTTCGTTATCGTCAACAATGTCTGCAGTCGAGCCACCTTCGCTGATATCGGCTATAATCACACAAAGCTGAACGAGATGAACTGTGTACGAGTTTACATCACGATGGGGGTCACGATGGCTAGTAGACAAAACGTAGCGACGAAGTGCATCTTCACTAGGTGGAGGACATTTGACAAGGCCCTTCTGGCTGGCAGCGGGCATGTCAAGTTGTAGGGAGCAGCAGAGGTCCAGCGAAAAGAGGTTCCACCACAATTGTACGCGTGCGGTCCTCTCAGCCTCAGGTAAATGACTAGGCGGTATCCGATGGAATTTGGCAATGTATGCTTTCCGCACAGTAATACCGACGAGGTTGTATGCTTTGCGAAAAGCACTGCCCTTCATGAGATAGAGAGCCAACAGGACGTGACATCGAAGAGCATTGATGGTTACTTCGGCGCTTGATCTCATGCACTCACAGCTACGGCTGAAATATTCGAAACCTGGCCAAGGTGTTTCCACTGAATATAGTTGTGGGAGGCCCAAGACGCGTCCAGAAAGTCTTGTAGTATGACTGTGCTGAATTCCTAACGCGATCATTGAATCGACTAAAGCATGCTGAGCGGAGTAGTTTTCATTGGTTGTTGATGGTGGTAACGTGCTGAGCTCTGCAAAGTCCTTCTCGCTCACAATTTGCAAAAAAGGGTGGCAATCGCTCCAGAACAGCTGAAGATAATGATTTCGCTCGCTGACTGGTAGTGAAATGGATGCGATTGTCCAATTTTCCGAAGGCAACACAGGGTGCGGGAGCTGTGGGAATGCACCTTCAGTGTGTGGCTCGCCATTCGGAGACGAATCGAAAGCTTGCTGGCCCGTGCCGAAAAAGCCCTCGACATGCGATGCAAGATCCACTTGGTTCTTGGATACGTCGTTGGCTGTTGTTCTAGCAACTCCAGGACTTTTTTGACTTGTGCTCATATGAGGTGAAGGGTCGGTAGGACTTATCGACGGAAGGTCACGTCTTGCGTGATCCGAGCAATCGCTACTGAGGACGGTCTGTGGTGATGACTGGTTACGTGCTGGATGCGAAACAGAAAAGTTTGTATTGGTTTCGAGACATTGCGAACACGGCCTTTGTTCATCACAATCGATACGTAGCTCTCGACACCGGTCACAAGCTTTAGCTGTCTTTTGTCGCTTGGAAAGTGTGTCCAACGGTTGTTCAACAATTATATTATTGTTGACGTTGCTGTTGCCGCTATTCTTGTTGTTTGTGCGATTACGCACTTTGACCGCAGGCGTGGCATAAAATTTGTGAAACATCAAAGTTGCCCACTTTTTGGGTAAAGCATCCACTGAAGTAATCAAAAAACAGTGAGATCTGACCCTATAGACCGCTATTTACGCAGAATTCAAAATTTAAGTTCTGCCAAGAATCTTCGAGCCTTTTGAATGCAGGGTATACTGCCCGAGCGCCAGCTGTCGTCAAAATTTAGTTGGAGATCGCGTCAAACCTGAAGTTTTGAAGACTTAGCTGATATTTCAGCCTAATCAGCAGATTTTTGACGTTTAAGCAGTTTTCAATCACAGCTTTTAGCTATTACTAAAGCCGATTGATGTTGGAAGGAAAGACCGCTCTAAGGTATAAGTGGAACAGTCCAATTGGTTGGCGATGATGTATTTAAGATCTTCCCTACTTAAAAACTGAGTAAACGATAATGTGCATTCTGAGAACGTCGTTTTGCGGGCGTCAAAAGTGCTGAGCAGAGGGAGAGGTTAACGTCAGTGCATAAAGAATTATTCATTATATTGATTTATCATGTGGTGACATTAGTGTCGTCGCTCACGTGATATAGATTATACTTTATAATGGCCAAATGACGAAGATGAAAGTGTCCAGTGTGATGATGAAAGTTGGGATCATACTGCTACCCTTCTAAGTTCATTTCTATCAGTTCTCGTAGTTTTAAAGACTCTTGATGAGAAAAGAATGATTCATTTACAGGATCACGTGACCATACAGACACACTACCAAACATTTCATGTAACGCTAACAAGACAGATAAGCTCTAGCACCATGTCCTACGATTATAAGTGCATATATATCAATTTGAAGAATTACTACCATACTAATCTATTCAATCACCGTCCTGGCTTCGAAATCCCTTCTCTCGGAAGTTGCGTTCAGATCTTGGCCCCGAAAACCTGTAGTCTTTCGTCGACAGGAAGTTTCTGCGCCTTCGCAGGTAGCGGTGGGCCCTCCTTGGGGGTGCCGAACACCAATTGGGCTTTTAGTTTCCAGGTTTCAGGAACGTTCCAGGTTTTTTGCACATGTGCATCGATTAGTGGGTTGTAGTGTTGCAAGTTTGCACCAAGTCCCAGAGCTTCCAGCGCCGTCCACAAGTAGAATTGATGCATACCGTTGCTCTGATGCACCCATTCGTACGTCTTGTCCTTGTAGATGTCTGGGGCGTTCTGGTTCATTGCCGAAGCGGGTGCTTCGTCATCCCAGAACAAAATGGTGCCGTAAGCGTTGGCGAAATTTGCAATCCGATCCTTGGTTCCACCTAGCCATCTTTCTTCGCCAATCTTGGCAAGCAATGCATCTGCCGTGATCGACCATAGTTTCTTATGGTCGTCTCCGAAAAGTACCGTCAAACGGGTAGTTTGACTGTCGAACGCCGATGGAACTGTGAGAATGGCATCTTCTGCGAGTTTGACAATTGTGCTATCAGGAACAGTGCTTTTAGGTTCAAGAGCACGAAATGTGCGCCGTTTATGAGCTGCTTCAGTCAAAGTCAATTTTATCAATGAAGATGTCATGTTGGTTGTGTAAGTCTATGATGTGTTGTTCTACAGCTAGATAGAATTGGTCGTCAAAAGACAAAGAGAGTTTACCCCCGTATGCAGATCCTCGAACACAAAACGACTGCTATTTTATAGTTTTGTTATGAGATAGAGCAACCATTGACTCTTCGCAACGATTTGTAATGGATAAGACATCGATAGCCTCTTAGTCAATCTTATTCATGTATTATTGATCAGAGAAACGCACTACATGCAGCGAACTATTCCTCGAGCCATCAGGAAAAGAAGCCACTACCTAATCCGGTAATAGATGTACCCTTAAACGGTTAGTAAAACACAAGTCACTATGTACGTGACATTTCCCGGAACGACCATATCTACACGTGACTGATTACTCTTTTGGGATGAAATGCCAAGCTATTGTCTGTTCCTGTAGTGTCAGCATAGCATCGATGTCACCAAGCATTGAACACTAAGCACACACACACACGGTTTCTAGAGCTATCCAATACCGATTGGCATTGCTACTGCTCCTATTGCAACAATTTCTATCTTAGAACACGATTTGCCACAATAGAGCGAATCTACCTGTTGGGAAAAGACGTCGTTGTCGCTAATATTTAAGAAACAGGTATGAGACCTTAAACAGGCCCAGGCGGTCTATAGTGCGATTGAAACTGATGCCAATACTACAATTTCTCACGTATTGGCTATTCTACACACGGGCTATCACTATCAACTACTCGATTACTATATGGACTGGGCCAGACGAATTTTCGCACTATCGCCGTCTCCGGAGCACCAAAACGATGACAAACTATGCCTCGACAAAGATGGACTCCTAGAGTTCAGTGCCGAAGACTTAGAAAATCCCAAAAACTACTCGTTCGCTCGCAAATGCTACATCACAGGTGTCGCCATCTCGTTGGTGATGAATGCTACGTTCTCGTCATCGGCGCCCTCCGGGTCCTTCCAGGGCGTCAGCGACGAGCTGCACGTGTCGCCAGAAGCAGCAGGTCTTGTAACCACCCTGTTCCTGCTAGGATATTGTGCCGGACCATTGTTTTGGGCACCGCTATCTGAGTTCTACGGCCGTCGTTTGATATTCTACATATCATTCACGCTTTATCTCGCTTTCGGATTTCTGTGTGCCTTTACACCAAATTTTGCAGGTTTGATTGTTGGCCGTTTTCTGGCCGGAACGGCCGCTAGCGCAGCGTTAACAAACGCACCAGGTATTTTGGCCGATATCTGGAGGCCAGCGGAGCGTGGAAATGCCATGATACTCTTCGCAACAATGACATTTGTGGGTCCAGCATTGGGTCCTGTAGTAAGTGGGTTCTTGCAAGTGACAGAAAATTGGCGATGGACGTTCTATGTGCTTTTATGGATGGCTGGGATCACCGAGTGTCTTCTTGTGACACTACCAGAAACGCTACCAATGATTGTTTTGCGTAACAAAGCCCGTCGTCTGCGGAAAATTCCCGGAAATGAGCATGTGTATGCGCCAGTGGAGGCATCAGATCGGTCTTTGGTACGAATTTTCAAAGTGGCCCTGACACGGCCCTGGAAACTTCTCATTGATCCAATCAGTTTTTTCGTCGCCATATACTATTCCGTTGTCTACACTATGCTGTACATGCTTTTTGCTATCTATCCGATCGTTTTCCAGCAAAAACGCGGTTGGAACGCCGGCGTGGGGGAGCTGCCATTGATTGGTGCTGTCATTGGAGCCTGTGTCGGTGGATTAGCGCTTTACATTCATAGTCAGTTCCAGCAGAGAAAACTCGCCCGCCGGAAACCGGTTCCAGAAGACAGGCTTGAAGGTGCAATGGCCGGCGGGGTGTTGTTTGTGGTGACAATATTCTGGTTTGCGTGGACTGCGGAATACAATTCGGTACACTGGGCAGTACCTACAGTTGCGGGCACATTTCTTGCAACATCAATCTTGCTCATTTTCGTCACCTTCATCAACTACATCATAGACTCTTACTTGATGTTTGCTGCATCCGCAGTTGCAGCGAACACAGTGTTGAGATCAGCTACTGCTGCAGCATCACCGCTCTTCACACAATATATGTTTGATGCGCTTGGTGTGGGAGGTGCTGGCTCACTCATTGGTGGAATTGGGGTGCTGTTGATGCCTATACCTTTCGTATTTTACAAGTACGGTGCGGTGATTCGGGCGAGATCTAAATTCGCACCCACCGACGACACGGATTGAATCATACATGGGTAAAAAAAATTCGAAGGAAGCTGAAATCGTGGTGCTATCACCTATCCAACGCTCAGCTACGGTGATCTAAAATTGTCTTTGGGTCCGATAGGGTCTCTACATAATGCTATAATATGTCAGAAGCGAGAAAATGGTGACCTCGTTGTTACAAATGCCCTCTGCTCTTTGAAGAAATATGTGCTTGCCAACGCCAAAGGACGCTTTAGGTCGGTTCATGGAGGTTCGTTGAACTTAAGCTCTATGGTAATAGGTCATTTTACTGTCGTCAGTCACGTGTATGAAGGTCACTGTGACTACAACTGCGCAAAAGAAGTACAGACCCATGAAATCAAAGTTTCGAACAGTGTTGATATCAAGTGGAGCTCTGTAGCACATCATGCTTATTGACATGTATGTATGTATATATCACTTCCTGAGATCTATAAGCGAGATCATGTGACACCCTCCATGAGGTCAAGCCATATCGCGAAAGTTTTCGACATGGTACTAACTATGGCCCATAAATTAGCCATGGTTATCAGAAGCCTTTCCAAGGTCTCGTCTCATTGCTTACCTCGTGGAATGAAGAGCCGCTCTTTGTAGTTTGAGTTTTTTCGCGCTTCCCATAAATACAAATGAACGACACCGAGTCATATCTCGACTTGCCCAATCAAAAAAAACCTCTAGTCGTTTTCAATTCCGACTAAAAGGCGCACTACAACGAAAAGGAAAAAAACATAAGTGGACAGATCGACCGCTCGAGCTCGAGCTCGAGCTTGAGCTTTGCAAAAATGACGGAATGCATGTTCCTCCCAGCCAAAACAACGTCCCAATTCTGGACTCGTAACGGAACGTCATGTAACATTTTCTACGCATTGTTCGACTCTGATTCACTTGTCAGTTTTCATCTTGAATTGTTCGAGCCAACTACCTTTGCATGGAGGCTCAACGCATTCGCACCAAGAAACACACTATTATCTCAAACGTCATTCGCATCGGCTAAACAAATGGCACGGTTCATTTACTTTCTTGATTCCAGAATCGCACTGTAGCACCTTCATTGCCCTTTAATTCTGCATCCTCTGCTGATCTCTTAGCCCCATTCGTCGAAAGCCGTGCACACCCAGCCCGTCTTGCAAATGTCGTCTAAGGCACCAGACCTGTGTTTGAATGATTCTTGATATTGTTATAGTTTGACATTATTCTGTCGTCGAAGACCAGACGTTGGTGATTTTTTTTTCGCGTTTTCCGTTGTCGTTTCCTGCTTAGAGAAAGTCTGAGGTATGCCTCGATGATCAACTAGATCTGGCAAAAATTGATGAAACCAGCTATCGACAGCCACGATACACTGTTCGAGCCCAAATCGAGAGTTTTACAGTTCCAACTACGCATTCGAGCTACGAAAATGTGCAGTGGGCCATTAATTCTCGGAACTTTCGCGACAGAAAGGCTCCCAGTATCGCAGTAGTCGGTGTGTAGTCAGTCAGTAGTTGAAATGAGTATATAAGAAAGCACTCTGAGACAAGTAGATGCAGATTATCAGAGAGGTAAGATAGCCACAGTCGAAACAACCTTCTACTGCAAGCCCCCACGTTCCTTTACCCACCCGAAACACCTTTGTTTCAAGTCATTCCTTTGAAATCTTATCTAACCTCATCACCCACACTCCTTTTACGATGAAGTTGTCTCAAATCGCTCTAGTTTCCATCGCGGCCGCTCCCGTCGCTCTTGCTGCTCCTGCAGAAGCTACAGTGACCCAGCACGTCCATTCCCAGGCCACTGCAGTCGTCAAGGGCAGTCTCTACACCGAGAACGGATCGGTGCTCACTGCATGGACTACAGAGCTGGACGAAGCATCTTCTCCAGCCTCTAGTGCTGCGTCTTCGGTCGAGACACCATCCGTTGCATCTTCTGCTGCATCTTCTGCTGCATCGTCTGTTGCCCCAGTCCAAAACAACGTTGTAGTGTCGACCATTGTCTACACCTCGAAGTTTGCCCCTGCGCCAACTTCCAACTACGTTGCATCATCTGCATCCTCTTCTTCAGCAGCTGCTTCATCCAGCGTGTATGTGGCTACATCGTCCTCTGAAACTGTGTCATCATCTACTAGCTCCTCGAGCTCTGCTGTAGCACCTGTTTCCGCTTCCAGTTCCGCTGCTGCTACTTCAGTGGCAGCCCAAAGCATCGATCCAGTCTCCACCAGTGCTACTCAGACCTCTTCCGCTTCTGTTACCACTTTGGCACCATCCAGCTCTGTTGCACCATCAACTTCTTCCTCTTCCGCTGCTGCTTCTTCTTCCTCTTCGTCATCTGCTTCGTCTGGGTTCGCTTCAACCGTTTTGAACGTTCACAACGCAAAGAGAGCTTTGCACCAGGACACTTCCAGTCTATCTTGGTCCGATGAGCTAGCTACATACGCGCAAAATTACGCGGACAACTACGACTGCTCTGGCTCTTTGACCCATTCAGGTGGGCCTTACGGTGAAAACTTAGCATGCGGTTACTCTGCCGAAGGTTCTGTTGAGGCCTGGTACGATGAGATTAAATCCTACGACTACTCCAACCCTGGCTTTTCCTCCGCTACTGGTCATTTCACCCAGGTGGTCTGGAAATCAACTAGCCAGGTTGGTTGCGGTATCAAGCAATGTGGTGGAAGCACTGGTGACTACGTTATCTGCTCCTACAAAGCTGCAGGTAACTTCATTGGTCAATTTCCAGAAAACGTTGAGCCCACCAAGTAAGCTGTTGATGATGCCTTGGCTAGGAATCCGTGCGCCATAGCGATCTTAGTCAAGAAAGAGAAAAACTCCCTCTCCCCTCCATTACCACAACCATATGCATCAAGATGGTTTCGAGCACTGTTATGATCGTCGAGTGTCTCGAATTTTATACCCGGTTTCAGTTCTAAAATGTACGATAGGTTTTATGTGTAGTGAAACGTAACTCAAAATGTTTTACCAGGTCTTACAAGAGCGTTGTAGTCATGCATATAAAGAGTGCTGTGCGCACCTCACCGGTATGCCTACATAAACCCAACAATGTTGTGGTATGGCGGATGAATGTGGCTCTATGTTCATAGCTTTTTAGCCCTGGCTTGTCAGGTATCAGGTGTAGCGATTTCGCTGATCGATAGTGATCCAGGACAAAAAGTAACACCCGTCGCTACTACGACCGGTGTTACATTGTCCCCCAAATCTGCATGGACAACGCTACGAACCACTGTTTATCGATCTCGAACCATATATCCCATTTCCACGACCTCCAGTTTTTCTTCAAGGGAAACCTCATCCACAGGTAGCAGTGTCAGTGCCAGTGTCAGTGCCAGTGTCAGTATTGCGTTTTCTTCTTCTTCTTCTTCGTCCTTGTCACAGTTTCAATCGCAGGTTCTGCACGAGCACAATGCCTATCGCAGACTGCACAATGCTCCGGATCTGCAGTGGTCTTCGACGCTTCAAAACTTCGCTGCAAACTACGCAAACAGATACAACTGCAACGGCACACTGATCCACTCCAATTCGCCCTACGGCGAAAACCTGGCACTTGGTTTCAACACCTCAAGCGCAGTTGCTGCCTGGTACAACGAATTCAAGCTCTATAACTACAACAAGCCCGGATTTTCAGAGAAAACAGGTCATTTTACCCAACTCGTGTGGAAATCGACAACGCAAATGGGATGCGCATATGTGGATTGTGGCGATTACTACGGTCAATACACTATATGCAATTACGACCCTCCAGGAAACGTAGCTGGTCAGTACCAACTGAACGTGCTGGAAAGTTAGTTTCAAAAAAAATGTCAAGATCGAATCTTCAAGCAGGTCAAGAGTCGAAGAACAAGACAGAAGACACCAGGACCAGTCAGAGCACGATACAGCACCCACCACGATTGTTTCCGCCATCATGTGACAGGTGACAACCGTTCGAATTACTGAATGACTCCAGGACACGTACACCGGAGTGGGTAGTGGTATCATTCGAAAATTTTCAGTGCAATATTAATGCTTTGACATAGGCTGTGTGTGGTTGGTAAGGTAAATATTTCAGGCGGAATATGATGACGCTCGAAAAGCCAAAAAAAATAAGGTTAAAAGTATCGAACTTTGTTCAGTTTTAAAAGTACGAATAGAGGATCAAATCACTCATCTACGGAGCGAAAACGTTCTCTAATCGCAATTCTGCTAACTACAAGAGACTGGCGTCATTCGATAGTATCAATTCTCTTTTCCAGATTGAAAGTAGCTTACAAAATTGCTGTTTTTTCATTTGTCCCACCACACATTTATCTTTGATTTTCTGGCTTTTTGGTAACCTGTTGCACTTCAATCATGTCTTATCCCGAATCTGAGTTGAACAGTTCGATCGTGGACGCGGAACCCGTCCCTGAGACCCCTCCCACATCGGGAGAGGCCATTTCCGAGTCAAACGGTGCAGAAACTGCAGCGGACGAACCTGTTGCCCAAAAACCACTACCAACTAAAAAGGACTTCCCTACTTTGGGTTCTGGTGCGTTTTTGGCCGCTTCTAGTAAAGTTTCGTGGGGCCCCAACATGAAGTCTGGTGCGTCTACCTCGTCGTCTGCTGTCACGTCCGCTCCACAATCGCGCTCCACCACTCCAACTGCGCTACACGCCAAACCGGCTCGTTCGCAAACTATCCAGGAGGCCTTTTCGCTAGATTTGCAATCGCAAGTGGCAATCGCCAAGCCAGATTTTTCCAAAATCGTTCAAAAAGTCAAGCAAACTCAAAGCGTTTCTATCGAGTCTACTTTGTCCAAACAAAGTCGTACTTTTTTGATTTCTGGTAAACCCGAAAATGTGAAGGCTGCAAGAAGGGAAATCGTCAAGAAATTGACGAAACCCGTCACTGCCGTTCTGCAGGTGCCTTCCAAGACAAGATCCGTCATCATTGGAGCTGGTGGTAAAACTATTCGTTCGATTTCAGAACCATTGGAGGTCAGAATTGATATTGGGAAAGAATTGAACGAGGGATCTTACGACGAGGATCTGGATGATTCGTTGGTGGATGTTACAATTCATGGCGATCTAGAATCCGTTAGAATTGCTCAAGAAAAGATTCAAGCAATTGTCAAAGAAGACAACAAGAGCGCCGCCATCAAAGTTAACATTGCTGACAAGAACTTGACGCCTTTCATCAACCTCAAGTTCATAAACCAAAATGTTGCGTCCAAGATCGATGAACAAGAGGGCAAGATCCAGCTTTCTGGTTTGCGGGATGATGTGCTCTCTGCCAAAGCTTCCGTTTTGCAGTACCTGTCGGAACTGAGCTCCCAGATCAGAACACTTAAGGTGAATATCCCAACTAAATTTCAGTTCTTGATCAACAGTGATTTGATCAAGGAGAACTACAATGTTATTGTCAAGCTGTCTGAAGGTAGTGGTGAGGAAGTTGCATTCGTGGGTGCAGCATCGAAATTGGACGAGGCTGTCACCTTCGCTAGGGAAAGCTCAAAGAAATACAAGGTTGAAGCTTTGGAGATCTCAAAGGCTCACGGCAAAGATTTGCAACATGCCAAGAACATTGCTCTTTACTTCGCAAAGTATGACGTTTTGGGACCTATCAAAAAAGAGCACTCAGACGTGCGCATTGCATTACCTTCCCCACAAGAGTTGCAAGAAGCGGAATCCGTCCTAATTAGGATCTCCTCAACTGTTGAGCATGCTGAACTACTCAAAATCGTTCGCAAAGAGATTATCAATCTTGTGAATGAGCTGCCAACTTCTCAGATCTTGACCATAGACGACGTGGACTACGAGTTGTTTAGCAAAGACATTAAGCATTTGCTAACGCAGGAAGAAAAGAGGGCTGGATTTGTTCAGTTCGGTGACTTTTACGCAGATGACGATAGAATTATCATTGTTGCGAGAACCTCAGACGAGGACTTTAGACCTTCCGACGAGGAGTTGCAGCAGACACTTAAAGAAGTCAGTTCCAGTCTTGATTCCTTGCGCAGAAAACAGGAAAATCTATCCCAGGAAGTAATCGATATTCCTTATCCAAAGCAGGAGCAATATTTAGGACAAGGAACTTTCACGCGCGGACTGATTGAAGAAGAGATTGCGCTTCAAAGCGGACATGCACAATTCAAACTGCATCGCCCCAAGGCCGATCTCCTCACTGTTAGAGGTGATTCAAAGGCTGTCACTGCCACAATCAATGCGATTGAATCTATCTTAAGCGAAGAAGACGAGAAGTTTCAAATCAAGTTCGGTGTCTCTACAAATGCTGTTCCAAGACTAATTGGATCGAAAGGCTCAAACCTGAACGCCATAAGAGAGAAGTACCAATGCAACATCGATGTTGCTGCGGATTCAAATGACAACGTCACTGAGGTTACTGTGGTAGGGTTGAAGTACGCTGCGGAACACGCCAAAACTTATTTGGTCGCTGAATCCAAGAAATGGGCCGATGTTGTCACCAAAGAGCTAAATGTTTTACCAAAATTCCGTGGTAAGTTGATTGGCTCGCAAGGTGCCTATCGTACACGTCTACAAACAAAATACAATGTTTTCATTCATTTTCCTAGCGAAAACGAAACCAAGGGCGTTACTATCAACGGTCCTTCGCGCGGGGTCGCCAAGGCCTACGACGAACTCAAAGCGTTATTAGACTTCGAAATTGAAAACGGGCACACATCAATCATTAAAGTTCCAACTGAACATGTAGCTCGTGTCATTGGTAAGGGTGGTGATATGATCAATGACATCAGAGCTGATTTTGGCGTGGAGCTGGACTTTCTTCAAAAAACTACCGATGTCAAAGCTACTTCCACTGGTGAGGTAGAGCTCGAAATCACCGGGTCAAGACAGGCCATCAAGGGTGCCACCGAAAGAGTTCAGGCCATTGTAAAGGAGGCTGCCGACATTGAAAGTCAATCGTTCGAAGTTAACCCTGATTATATCAAGGACATTGTTGGTAGTGGTGGCCGTGTGCTAAAGGAGCTAATTTCCAAGGCAGGAGGTGACGACATTAGAAGCAAGTCGGTGGACATTCCCGATGCTAAATCTCAGGACAAGAAAATTGTGGTACAAGGTCCTAAGTCTTTTGTAAAGGCTCTCGTGAAAGAAATTCAGGCCATTGTTGAGGAAAGAGAAAACTCGGTTTCGAAAGAGTTGAATATTCCTGCTGAAAGAATCGGCGCATTGATCGGTCCTGGAGGCTCCGTGCGCCGCCAATTAGAGAACGAGTTCCATGTTAGATTGTCGCTTCCTGATATTGGCGACAAAGATCGCAAAGTAGAAATCTCAGGTCTTCCTAAGAGCATCGAAGCATGCGAAAAGAAGATTTATTCTGAGATCATCAGAGAAAACTGGGACGCTGAAATTGACGTACCCGCCTCTTATCACGAATTTGTCTCTGAGAGAGGAGCTTTTATTCAAAAATTGAGATCTGACTTTTCTGTCAATGTCAAGTTTGGCAATGCTAATAGCAAAGCCAGCAAGCTAGCTCGTTCTGATCTGTCAATTCCTGTCGAACGTGTTTCGGGCTCCGAAGAGGAAACTTTAAAATTCACTCAGGAACAAAAGCCAATTCAGTTGAACGAAGCTCAAGGTTCGATCCCATGGAGATTATCTTACGAACCTGTTGATCTATCTGACATTCTGACACCAGAGGAGCAAGCGAATGAGAATCAACCTAAGAAAGAAGATGTTTTGACCAAGGTTCGCGGATTGATAGAAGCACGCATCAATCTTGCTCCAAAGGCCTCTGTTGTTGGTTACGTGTGGTCTAAAAATTCACAAGATTTCAGAAAAGTTGTGGGTTCTATGGGTTCCAACATAAAGAAGATCAGAGAAGCTACGGACACTTTGATCAACGTTCCTAAAAAGACTGACAAAGTCCCAGATGTCATTTTTATTAGAGGTACCGAAGCCGGTGTCACTAAGGCTGCCGACTTGATCACCAAAAAGTTGAAGAACTAAGTTTTGCATTTTATAAAAGTTTTCATCGTTATGTTGGTTACTCTTTACTATAAAAAAGATTGATTCCAAGTATTGACTGTTTGGATGGGGTGTACTTAGATTTGTTGGCTGCTAGGATTCAGGTCGTGCTCAGAGCTGACTCACCTTTGGAAAGGTTCACGGTGAGCTATGACCATGTAAAAAAAAAAAGCGACTGGCAGAATACTTAGCCCAAGACTTGGGATCCAAAATACCACATGAATGAGGGGTCTGCAAACTTTCACGTTTCTTTCATTATTTTCCCTTTTGTGTGAGTGTGTGCGTGTCTGTAATATGGGCCCTTTCTAGACACAACAAGAAGTACTATCGTTTGTAGAAGGTCTCTGTAGCTCCACATTCAAAGGTTTACGGGATTGGTGAGCAGTAGACGCAGCAGACTCGGTAGCTTTCCGTTCGTAAACCTTTTCACCTATTTCCTGGAAAATCTGCGCCACGCCTGCTCCTGTCTTGGCACTCACCTCGTGGAATAGCAGTTTTTGTTCCTGTGCGTATATCTGTGCGTCTCCCATATCTACTTGACGCACGGTGTCGTTGTCTTCGCACAAATCCAGTTTGTTGCCCACAAGACATATGACTAGATCCTGATCTCCGACTTTGTGCTTCAATTCGTCAACCCAGCTTTGAGCCTTGACCAAAGATCCAGGTTGTGTCACATCGTAGACTACCAAGGCAGCATTTGCATTTCGGTAGTACATGGGTGCCAAAGACTTGTACCGCTCCTGGCCAGCTGTATCCCATATTTCAAACTTTATTGTCACATCCTCATGTTTCTCCAGTTTCAACGTCTGTGAAAGGAATGCGGCTCCGATCGTACTTTCTCGAAACTCATCGAAAGAGTCCTTGACGAACCGGTGAACGATTGATGATTTTCCCACGGACGAGTCGCCCAAAAGAACCAGTTTAAATTGTAGCATTGGAAGCTGTAGTTCTGCAATAATTTCGGAGGCCACTAGGGCTGGTATTGAAGCCTTATTGGTTCTAAAGTTGGTGAGTTTTGAACCTAGGTATGAATTCAGGGAACATACATTGGTTCTTGATATATTCACAGTTGGTTGAGGACGAGTACATTTTTCAATACAGACGAGTACTTTGAAAAAGTACGACGAGATGACAGAAGGGTCAAAATGACAAGCGAAGTTAGCCATTTGCATCATACTTACAAGTTCGATTAATTAAGCGTATTTATGCTGGCTTTTAGTTTGTGACATAGCGTGGATCGTAGTGTAACATTAGCTATTGTGGTATATCATCACTTTGTACGTTGAGTACGAGTCTGGGCTGAAGCAGTGGTAGCACGTTGAGTAACCCTGGTACACTTGATACCACTGAATCCTCGCCGATAGCTAGACGTTCTTCATCTCATGTTACTGCACTTGATATTCTGTTGCTGCTGGGCCCTTAGGTTTTGGTTGTGGAGATTTGAGGAAAGCCAAAAAAATGGTTCGAGAACCATTCTTGTCGACGACTAGACAGTTAGCAGATGTACGTTATGTCTCCCCGAGCTCGATAAAGATCTCTTTTTGGTAGTGCATACATTGATTGCTGGTCCCCACCTTGTAGTGATGACACTGTTTGGTAGTCGCTGCAGGTGTCAGTACATTGGAAAAGGGTACTTTAAAAGGAGTTTGCAAACTACACAGCAGCGAATGCTAGAGCTCAGCTTGTAAGACAGTCGTAGCTTGCAGAACAGGTTACGAGAGAACCTGATCAAATAACATTAGTTGAAAATCATTCGCTGACAATCATGCCGGCAGGTTTGTAGTGATTACGCCTAACTGATCAAGCCTTCGTATCGCGGCCATGATTCGTTCGGCCTCTTCTATTCGGTCCTCTTCGGTCCACGAATCGTTGGAATCTGCAGAATGACCGGTGCAAGCCGTATTCACCGACGTGCACGACATATTCGGTTGTTGCCACAAGTTAGACTTTGGTTTGACATCAGTTCCAATGATGGTTTCAGTGGAGTCACTAATTCTCGTAGGTGCGGCTGGTCGCACAACCGGTAAGATTTCTTCAGGACCTTCTGTTGTTGCTGCACAAAATTGCAAGTTCAGCGTGTGTAGGATAGCATCTAAAATGTCGCGAATATCTGACCCGGAAATGGGCGATTTGTACAATGCTACGATCTGGAACTTGAGATTCACGGGTGCCTCTGGATGGCCTGTGATGCAAGGTTCGAGACGGTCGCGAACTTTGGTGGGTGATCTCAACAGGTAGATGTGCAGAACATGCAGTATCTGTGGGATCTTGTAGTCAGACAGGGACGAGTACAGTTGTTGTGCTGCTTCCTGTTGCCACAGGACGATGCTACGCTTCAGGATGAGAACTAGGTTCAAAACCATATCGAGAGTGGCGAGCATTTTTTGGTTTTCGGGTGCCAAAAGCAGCAGCGAGCACAACTGCAGCAATGCTCCTGAGTATTGGGACAGCAGTTGGCCTTGATCTCTACGCAAGACGTGGTTCAACTGTTTTAAAGTGCTCCAAAATGTGCGGTTGTAAGTGTTAGTCTGCACTCCATAATTGTAGCTCAAAGCGTACCAAAATTTTCCCATTTCTTCGAGCACCACCGACAAATAGTGGCCATGAGCTTCTTCCGTGTCCAAAAGGTCCACAAGATGCGCAAACTTGACGAGCGCAAGCTTTCTGTCGAATATGTTACCATTGGGAGGATTCCAAGCGCTGTGGGTTAGCAGAAAGAGCACACGCCATAACGGCACTTCCCATTCTCTTTCAAACGTCGGTTGCTGAGAATCTTGTAGCAATCTGGTCTGTATGTCCCGCACAAGGTCCAGATCTTCCTGCAACGTCTGAATGCGAAAATCAGCGCTTTTCAGTAGTATATTGGCCACACACACCGTCACACTGTGTAGTTGTGAGTTATAAGGCTGACATTGCAGCTCGTGGCCCCATTTGCTCAGTTTGCGCAGCGATTCGAAATCATTCACCTGTGTTCGTCTTGAATACTCTTTCAGCTGTGAACTCTGTTCCAGCAAGCCTTGACTGGTACCTATATTATCGATAAATGAGTCCATTTTACGTTGATATCTACAAACTCGAGTTTCCAACGGACTACTGTCTTTTCTTGATACTTGCTATATATATGCCGGTCTGTATCCTGTGTGTGGTCTTCAAAAATGAGTAGCTCAACGAGTTCTCACTACTGTTAGCCTCAGAGATGGTCCTTCAGTATGCACCGTTTGCAGTATTTGGCAAGTGATGTCAGCCTCATTTAAGCTTTATAACTCAACCGAACAACTACCTAACTAAACACTTTTTTTTCCCGAGTTGTCCGAGCACGTCAACGATCTCGATAAGTTCTTGTCAATATGCACTCAAATCTGCATCGAACACGCTTTCGGTGGATTTAGGAATACTTCATTGGGTCACTTGAGATTACACCATGATCGGCCACCCACCTATGTAATATTTCAGTGCATCATGGCTTCTGGCCATAACGAGTCTGTCCGGCAGTTGCTGTGTGATTTGTAAAACTCACCTTATGTGGAGAAAATGTACTAGAAACGTTGCTATGAGCTAAGCTGCAAAGAAGAATGTAGCTGGTGAATTTTTCGTGGTAGGAGTTCGACTGTTGGCATCGAAAAACGAGAGGAAGTGTCGTACTATAATCTGCAAAATGTGTGGAAAACGACACAGGTACTACATCCTGAGAAAAACTCGGGAGAAACCAACGGTACAGTGCCGGACGACTGACGATTGTGCAGGAGGTTATAAAAAAGCCAAGAAGTCGTATGGTGTGGCATGTTGTGGTGGTGGCTGCTACCAAAGATGTTAGGCGGGCGCGCCAAGAAAGTATGAAGTGATCTGGCGCGGTATGTATTTGAGGCGTCAAATACACAACAAGACTGGATGCTCCTACCACATGCCAGTGCACTGACATACACACGCTGGAACTACCGTGGCATGCTCTGTTTGGACACTACGCTGCCTGGAAAAGAACTCCAGAAACCGCCCGTCAGAATAATATATGGTGATCTGATTGCCAATTTCAAGATCTCATAATTAATATACTCAATGTAATTGGGCCATTGAGAAAGAGACAACGTCAAACGATCTGTAAACCGCATCTGCGTAGTGAACGATTGCGTGATTGCGTGTATATTTGCTGTGCAATTCCGAAAATATAAGGATGTGTGGATGTGAATGGGTAAGCGTGTCTTGATTTCTTGTCTTTTTTTTTGATGTGAAAAATCTGGAATTCATGGGTAAAAATGCTCAAAAAAAAGCCATTGAGATCAGAAAATACACGGAAAAATCGCATTTCGCCATCGAAACACATACAAGTAATTCACTTGCCATTAACTGGCTTCTCAGTCAATGTAGAATACAGTATCACCTGGTACGAGGAGAGCCATATTGTATTACTTGCAAAATTTATTATGGCCCAATAAACATCGAAAATCAGGCCTCATGTATCGGACAAAATCTCTTGAACAAGTATCACAAGATCCAATTGTAGCCTTAATTGACATCCTTTCAGCTTTTGAATAGCGATGCTAAGAATACGTAATGGTGTTAGTTGTGCTAGACTTGTCAAAACGGCTCGTTTGAGCCCAGTTTCACGCAAAATGGCTACTTTTCAAGGCGAACCTGCTCAAAAATCCAACTGGCTGGGACGCTTTGTTTTGCGTGCAGGATTAGCTGTCACTGCATTTTATGTTGGTGGTGTGGCTCTTTCTGTCTCTAACGACCAGTTTGGTGAATTATTCTGCGATAACGTCCCGTTGGCCGAAGCATTAGTCGAAACGTACGAATCTTATAGAGACGAGTCCTACCAGGCTTCCCGGATGTCATTGGACGATTTGAAACAAAAATTCGGTGAGTTGGGCACCAAGACAGACCTCATTCCAGCGCGTGGCGCCGATTCTACTTTGACCTCCAACGCAGTTGCCGCACTGCCAACATCTACCGAAGTCAAAGTTGAAGACGAGTCATTTGTGAAGTTAAGACTACCGCTGCTTGCCGTAAACAACACCTCAAACCCCAAGTTTGAAGAATTGACAAATGGTGTCAACGTGCAAATCAACAGCATCAATGAGCAATCGTTGATTTTACCAGAGCCCACTTACAATGCTGTGACCGATGCGTATTCCAAGCTGAATAGCGCGCTACAGGAATTGGAACGTGATTTCCAAACCGATCTCTCAGGTGGCTTGGCCAAGCGCTACGGTGAAGTCTCGGAAGAGCTACGCTCCAAATACGAACTTCGGTTAAAAACCCGTGAAGTTGAGCTAACACAACAATTCTTGAACGAATTTAATGTCTTCAAGGCACAACTGGAAACGAGATCATCAGAAGAGCTCTCCACAGCCCTAAGGGCCAACGAGCAGGCCCTTTTGGCCAAGCAGGCTAACGAGGTGGCTCTTCTGTCCATCAAACAGGTCGAAGAGTTCAACAAAATTTTGTCCGAAAAATTGGACAAAGAAAGACAAGGCAGACTTGCTAAATTGGAAGATCTGGACAACTCTGTTCGCGGTTTAACAGACGCCATCGACCAAGCCGACTCTCTCGTCATGAGAAGTGAAGCGGTGAGTCAATTGACGTTGCTAATCACGCTACTGAAGGGAAAATTGCAATCTGGCTCTGAGCAAAGCTTGAAGCTTGATACCGAATTGCAAAGACTAAAGACACTCTGGGATATTTTACCAGGAAAGCCTGCCAAATGCTGCAAGTCCAAAAATCCTCCTCAGCTACTGGACGTGGTGATCCCGCAGCTGGAAACCTTGATCTCGAAGCAGCAAATTTTGTCCAATGAGCAACTTGTCAACAGATGGAATCTGTTGCAAAAGGACCTCGAAGCAGCATCGTTGCTGCCTCCCAACGCAGGTATTTTGGGACACGCTGCTGCCAAATTTTTCAGCTTTTTCTTGTTCCAAAAGACAGGCGTTTCCCCGGAAAATGACATAGACAGCATATTGGCTCGTGTGGGCTCGAACCTCACACTTTCGAAACTGGACGAGGCCGTGGAAGAAGTCGTTGCATTGAAGGGTTGGCCACGCGTGCTGTGTGACGAGTGGATCCAAGATGCCAGAAGAAAACTTGAAATCGAAACTTTAGTTGATGTTCTCGATTGTGAGGTTAGAACTCTGTGAAAAACCTCTAAAAAAATTCCACAACCACCCGACGTCCTGTCAATACAATATCACACATCACTCAAAATCCGCCCAAGGGCATGATTTAGAAAACACAACCGACACAACCACTACCATCCATGAATATTCCCACGTATTAAAACTGTTAGGTCAAGTTCCCGAATATCATCTCAGACGAAGGCCTTACAGAGTATTTAGAATATCTTAAATATCTAAAGCACATACTTCAAAGTTGACGTTCTTCTTGTCATCTTTGAGGAGCCTTGAATAGCTAAGCTTTAGCTTCAGCCATTACTGTCTGTATGTCTAACCCAGCATTGCAAGTTTACGGTGGTGATGAGATATCTGCGGTTGTGATCGATCCTGGCTCTTACAGCACAAATATTGGGTATTCTGGCACTGACAATCCACAACTTAACATTCCTTCAAGCTATGGGCTATATACCGATGGTTCCAAAAAAGGTCACAAATCTTTTAATGACCAATTCATGACATTGCCCCGGCCCGATTTTGAAGTCAAACCGATTCTGGAAAATGGGTGCGTAGTGGACTGGGATGCAGCCCAAGAACAATGGACATGGGCTGTGGCAGAACAGCTAAAATTTGGATCGCTTGATGGTGTCCCGGCATTTTTAACAGAGGCAATTTGGAACTCGGAAACGAACCGCAAGAAATCCTTGGAAGTGCTTCTGGAGGGTATGGATTTCGAGGCCTGTTATATCGCCCCCACTGCAACGTGTGTTTCGTTTGCAATGGGTAGACCCACATGTTTGGTTGTGGATATCGGCCACGATGCATCCAGTGTATGTCCCGTAATAGACGGAATGACCCTCTCCAAGAGTTCCACAAGAAACTTCTTAGCAGGCAAGTTTCTCAATACTCTGATAGAAAAGCATCTAAAACCTCGTGAAATTATTCCTCTTTTCAGAGTCGCGCAAAGAAGACCTGAGTTTAAGCCCAGAAGTTTTGATTTTACAGTGGATCGATCCGTTGATAACTTCGTTAACAGCAGAGGTTTTTTGCAAGAGTGCAAGGAAACAATGCTGCAAACAGCACCTTCAGATTCACCCAAATTCGAGACCGAGCTGGATTCCATGTCCAAAAGATCTATAGAGGCTCCCTGGGGTGAAAATATCATTTTCGATAGCAGAACAAGATTTTCATTTGCTGAACAACTCTTTAATCCTTCGGAAAGCCTTATGCCCGAGGGTTGGCCCAGATCAAATGGCATAATTGAAACGTGGCACAACGATTACATACCAATGAAAAGAGCAAAACCTAATGTCGGCAACAAGGACAAAGAAAGTACTGTTGATCCTACACCTGTTGCTGAAGGTACTAAATCTGGAGATTCAGCTCCAGCAATAAACGAAAATGGCAAAAGATCACTAGAGAGCACATCTGAGAGTGAAAATTCACTGGCCGGTTTAAACGATCTAGTGGCCACTTCTATCATGGCTACGGATGTTGATTTAAGAGCAACTCTGGCCCATAACCTTGTTGTTACTGGTGGCACTTCCTCAATACCAGGACTTACAGATCGGTTAGTCGCAGAACTGAACAAGAAACTGCCGGCACTAAAATTTCGCATATTGACTTCGGGCCACTCCAAGGAAAGACAGACGAGAGCATGGTTAGGTGGGAGCATTTTATCAAGTCTCGGTACATTTCACCAGCTTTGGGTTGGAAAGCAAGAATATGAGGAAGTTGGTGCCGATAGGTTGTTGAAGGACAGATTCAGATGAAGAGACGAATTCATGTATCATATTAAGTAAAACAACTTTTCTAACCTACCCATCCAACAGTAACTCCTATTATGATTGTACCTATACATCGATTATTTGAAAGGTACGCATATTCCTTTGCACAAAAGATCCCGCCCACAACCAGCTAATGCTTTGCCCCGAGTTTGAACAAAACGGGCTCGGTTATAAAATTCGAGTTTCTTATCGATGATATTTTGTGGCTCTTTGATCTGTAATAGCTTTGACAGATCCTCTACGGCACTGACCAATAAAGCCTGATTATCAACAAAAATCTTGGTCAGGTTGTGGGAGGGATCTGCGTAATATGCCACTGGAAAAGACCATTTCAAAACTGTTCTTCCATCGATCAGGGCTCTAATGCTTTCCGATAAAAATTGGGTTTCGATCCAGGAAATGCCCATATTTTCTTGTAGCGCTTTCACCTTTTGCTCAACGGTCAAGCCCAAAGTCCAATCCAGCTTTACAGAATTTTCATGCTCACTGAAAAGCTTATAGTAGAAAGTGTATTTTCTCAAAGAGTTTTTAGTATCCGCTGAACCCTGTTTGTCGTCCTTTTTGAAATGAGTGCATTCATAAAATCCACCCCCATGACCAGTCCAGCATTGCTCACAGATCCAACAAAATTGGTATCCACAGCTTTGACAAGTCATATGGTTACACCCCCCATTTTTTTCGATGTTAACACCACACTTCGGACATTCTTTGGTGTTTTTGAGAACCCAATTAAGATTTGCACACTCCAACTGTGCTAGCTTGACCCATTGCTCTGCTACATGACAATCACCAGGAGCGTGAACCTCAAGGCCGCATTTAAAACAGAACCGGTGCTGATTTTCGCACACCACGTAAGGCGACAAGTGCAAACGCGGGAATTCCGCCAGAGAAGATATATTACTAATTTGGATGATGCAGTTACAATCCACAAACGGACACCATCTGTAATGCTTACTATGTTTCTGAATGAAGCCTTTGATAGAGGATTTCATTAGCGTCAAACTCGAACTATCGCCGAGAATATCGTCTATGTCAGAATTCTTCAAAGCCAGTGAGCAGCTCATACATGTTATGATTTTGCCTTCGGGTACTTTGTCTTTGATGTAATGTTCGTAGCACTCTACACAGTACTCATGGCCGCACTCCAAACGGAATGTTTTTTGCTTATTGGACTCGCAACAAATGTGACAAAGAAAATCAGAGTGAGTTTGAATGCCTCGAGGTCCATCCAACACTTTTTCCACTTTCAAGCCGCACGCAATAAGCACATTTTCTTGATCTTCAGTCCAGTCTTCCAGCAGCCTTTCTTCGCTCCAGGCGTATTTCTGAAGCATCACAATGATGTCTCCGTGCGACAGCTGAAAAATGGGCTGTATTCGATCCAGTCTCGCCACCATCAAGCCATATATTTGATCCGTGGTTAGACAATTATACTGCAATTTTGGTATGCCGTCACTGTCATATGTGCCGTCCCCAGAACTGGGATTGAAGTTGTCCATTTTGGAATCATATTCCAGAAAAGTACTCCGTGTTACATCGTTTCCGAAGCTAGAGGTATCACTTGAGTCGTTAACGTCCGAACCACAATCCGGTGAGAAGCTTTGATCGTCTAGATCGTCAACCACGTCGGAGTCACTCTCAAAATCTAAATCCAACGATTCATCGTCGTCTTCGTCAGTGTCTGCTCCCAGCGTATCCGTGTAGCCCATCTTAGAGCGCTAGTATTCCAAAGGCTGCTTATTCTCCGTTGGTCAGGTTTGGTTGATCAAAGGTGTGAATTGAAGGGAGTCCATCGAGTAATCTTACATATTGGACTCTTTAAAGTTTCTTGGCCTCGTTTTCAGTGATGTATAGTATTCATAGGCGATGAGCATGGAACGGAAGCGTAACTTGCTTAGAGAGATCAAACGTCTACCCTGTCGAGAGCAGCTTTGATCTTCATTCCTATCCGTGTACTCAGTTCGTAGTCATCTGCGTAGTTTTGGGCTCTAGTCAACCAAGTTCGGCATTCATCAATGCCATCAAGTCTCTTGAGCTTCCAAGTGAAAAGAGCACGCTCATAGAGGGCCGTTGGGTATGCCCACGGATCCTCTGTCTTTTTGATGTATTTGACTTTATCAGGGGCTTCTATGGTGATCAGTGCAGGCAAAACGTTGGTGTCCAAAAGTGCACAACCTTCTTCCACCTTGCCCAACCTACGCAAAGTGAGAGAAGTAAGCAAATTTCTGATCAACTCCTGATCTGGGTCTTTGGTTTCCAGCATCGGATTGGTGTACTCAGTAAGCAGCTTGTGAGACACAACCAGTGCCTCTTCGCTCATCCGATTGTAGCCGTTGTAAAAATACATCAGTTCGTGTACAGGAGAAACCCCAATAGCGTCAAGAGGATCGGACACATTCAAGGCAGCTTGGTTTTTCTTGAACTGGTCCACTTTCCGTAGCATGAATCTTTCCAATGGCGTGATCTTCGCCATAAATCTTTTCTTGCCCGCCATCTCCGGTGATTCAAAGATCAGACTGGCCGCACGCTCTTTATAGAAATTTTTACGAGGATCGTCAAGCACACCCATCTCGCACATCCGGTATTTCTCCAAGTAGCAACATCCTGCAAAGTATGTATACAACGCAGGTGACCATTCACTCATGTCTAAAAGCAAAATTAGTTCCTTTGCTGCTCTTTCGAACTCGTGAAGATGAACGAGAGTCATAGCACGATCGAAAACCATTAAAGATTTCACCTGTCTCATCTCTATTTCATTAACATCAATAGAATCCATTAAATCCACAGCTTCCTGGGATCTTCCCTGGGAGGAAAGCATCCGAGCCTCTTGCAGAAGCCATAACGCACTGTTGGGGAATACAGCCCTAGCCCGAAGAAGAGAGTCCTCTAATAATTTACCGGGGTGAAGCAGCGTTGCTGTGGGTAGCTCATCGGATTTAGCATCTGTGGCATCCCCGTTGGCAGCAGGAACATCAAAATCCACATCGGTAAACTGGAATGGGCCATCGTGGTAAAAAAGCAGCGAAAGAAGACCTATTCCACCATGAATGTTGCGGTCTTTTGTTGAGCGCCAGATCATGCGCAACCCATCCTCTCGGGAGCCATGAAATCCCACAACTGAGAGGACAGCGCCAATTGCAGGAGGAATGAGTGATAGAACCACTTGTAAGATTCCGAAGCACAAATTGACGCCGGAATGGATGAATTCATCGATGGTTGCCTGGTCTTGTTCTATTTCATCTTCGGATAGCACCACGGGCTTCTTCGTACTCTTTGATTTCGAAAGGTCTTTCAAAGACTGAAGGCCCAAATCTGTTCTTAATCTCTCTGCAGCTGGAGAATTGCCGATATGGGCTCCGTCAAGCCTTCTTTTACGCATTTTGTAAACGTCCTCCGCTAGCTGCATGAGTTCTCGGTCTTGCTGTTCCTGTGGCGTTAGCTGGTATGGAATATCGACCGAAGTAAAGGTTGTGCTATCGGCTGTGGCAAAGGAGGCAAACGATCCGTTGGCGTCCTGTGTGTAGAGAGACCCTTTGTTCTTCTCTTTTGCCGCTTTGATTTCATTAAGTACCTCCTGTAGCATATGATACGCCTTTCTGAGCTTGAACAGTGCTTTGGCACTCTCTACCATGCTTTCGCTGAAAAGCATCAATAAAGCGTGCAACAGACAGGCTTCTGTGAAAGTAACAGCATATTCAGTACCAGGTGGATACAAAGAGCTGGTTTTAAGCTTGATTTTCTGGAAATATTGTCTTCTTTTCTGTGACAACTGCTGTGCTTCTGCCAACGTAGCTGCGGCTTTTTTCATTGCATTGGCTTCAAACCCTAAAGTGGCTTCTAGAAACTCAATGACTCCACGGGCAAGCACGCGAACACTACGATCGTCATCCTCTTTGTCGCTATCTTGATCGTCTTGCAGCAGGTCCATTCCCCGTCTTGGATGGTCATCCAAGACATAATCCATCGCTTGCAAAGCCAGTTCAAAATCGTGCGCCTGATTGAGAATCTTCTGGCTTTGGTCTTCGTTATCCAATGCTTTAGAGCTCCTAGAGCCTGTAAGAGCTCCTAGCACTCTGAACATGATTGTTGGCAGAAGTAAAGCTCGAAATTGTGGTAGGTTTTGGTGATTTTAGCTGGCTTTTTGAGTATTCAGATCCTTACGATGGTAGCTTATTAGATCACTAGATTAAGTTCTTGGCAATGTGCTGACGTAATCACTGATCTTAGAGTACTCGGTAACACGAGTACTTTCGGATCACGTTGTTTGATAAACTCCAGGTTGGAAATCGGTTACCACAAGATAGCATCGTCCTTTATCCATGTCCTTCTTCATGAAGTGTCTTTTCATGCTCAATTAATTAATTAAAAGTCTATCATAATTCTCTGTCATGTCTGGGCACGCTTGACATCCTTTTTTAGCTGCTTGAGCTCCTGTTTCATTTGCTTCTGCTTGCTTTCGTGGTTTAATCCCAATTGGGCCTCGTTGGGCACATTTATCACGTATCTATCAACACTTTCCCATACCCGAGGTAAAATTCTGGCCGGCAGTTTTCGGCCATACAGACTTTGGTCGACAAGCCACATGCCGACCAAAAAAGATTTTCTGTCTAAGGTCCCATCGACTCGTGTGTCAACCATATCATATATTGCAGCCAGCTTGTCCTGTGGCAGGTTACTTCTGCTCCATATAGCCAGAACCACCAAGTTCAATATCAAACCTTCATCGTCTACGACGGCCTGGACAGCTTCGGCCCCGGGCTCGTCCCACCATGGTAAAAGCTCCAAGTAGCAGTTGCGGTTTGTTAGCCAGATTCCCTCGTAGCGTTTCCGCTCGGCTTGTGTGACAAACCCAATGTCAATATGGCTTTTCCAAGGCTTGTCCTCATTGAAAGAATGTTTGTGTGAATGGTTGTGACCCGATGCCTTTTGAATATGTTTCCGAATCCGCACTCTGCGTTTCTTGGGTTTTTTCTTCTTGGTCGTCGTAGCAGGATCCTCATTTTCGGAACTGCTATCGTACTCGCTGCTGAGTTCCTCCGAGTTGTGTTCCTCGTCATCGCGACTTGTCGTTCTCATCGTAGTCTTCAGACGTGTGGGCTGATTGTTCTTGTTTGAAGAAGGATCAACATTGTTACCAATATTCTGAGCATCCGATGTCTTAAGCTTGCGGCCAAATATGGAGCTTAATCGTCCCTTCTTTTTATCACGGGTGTGGTTCGGTATTAGATCCGGCAAAGTCCCATGATACTTGGTGTTATGTGTGCCCTTTCCCCACCCGTCTACAGATGTGCGATCGGAGTACAGATCTGCATTCAAACTGGTCTGGTCAATCGATGAACGTGCCAGTTCTTGCCGGTAGGGACCTGCCCGTGGAGAAATGCTGAATTCGGATAGATTCTGGTCGCTTGGTGCCTCGCCAGCCGCTGTTGGCATACCAGAATAGGAAGAGGATTGTGCAGATGAAACTGAAAGGCTGTCGCTGATATCCTCTCTGGTTTGGTTTCTGGATGTCGGACGCCTTATGGTAATCGTCCTGCTGGAGTTTGCTTTGGGACAAAGATAAGCCGGATTTTCTGATGGTGTGTTTGGAGATAGGTTATCGCTGGAGTTGAACCCATTTACTCGACTCCCGCTTTGTGGATCTTGTCGGGACAAAAGCGGAGGTCCATTGCTATGCATTTGTTGGTGAAGTCGCGCGAGATCTTCGCAGCTTGTATTAAGAGAAGAAGTGCTGCCTGTGGATAGATTGTTCCGTTGTGAACTGCAGTCTGACTTGTCCGGTCTTCCTGTTCTACTTGACAGATTGTTGTCCCTTGTGGCCTGTAGTTTTGCGATGATGTCTACGAAGTCATCATCACCTTGATCTTTCTTGGTAGCATTCAAACTATTTAGGGTCTGGTCCGGAACGGATGTTCCTGTTGTTGATGCGGGAGACATGGTAATGTTATGCTTTGAGTTTTTCGAGGACGACTTCCACAATTGACCAAATTTACTGGGTTTCGATTTGACTCGCGGCTCGACCGTTAGATTGCTCATTTGAGCCTTAGCGGCAGCCACCGCAGCCGCTGTCGCTCGAGGTTTTGGAGAATTCGAAGACGTAGCTAGCGGAGGCGACTTGACAGCTGTTCTTGGCCTCTGGATGGACGGTTGCTTTTTGTGGGACCCGTTGGACGACGGGACTACAATTCTGCGGCGTACTTGCGGGGTGGAACGAGTTGCAGTGACTACATCGTTTGCTGTTTGCGATTTGGATATCTCATTTTTCCTAAAGATGGCTTGGGCCGCTTTCAACGAGGCATCGCTTGACAAGTAGTCATCGTTTCCAGCTTGTGAGCTCTTGACTCCCAAACTTTGCCGCTTGTGGCCCCAAGTGAACACCATTCGTTTCTGAGCCAAGTAAAAAATGGACTAAAGAAGGAGGGACACACACACAAGTGAGCAACAAGAAATAGCAATGTGTTCCTAGCCAGTTGTCGTGTTTTCTGTCCCCGTATTCTAACAACTTTAACTTTTTGAATACCTATTCTAAACCTTTTGAGGTCGCCAAACGCGGTGGGATTGGTGGTTATGGTGTTCTTGACCGAAGCTTTTGTATAAATTTCAACTATCGAAGATGTCAATGGGTTCTATTTAGATTGATTATAGATGAGATGTCTAATTTGATGAACTGAAGTGAAATGAACCGAACAATCAGCGTAAGTTTAGAGAACTTGACAGCCTTCTACGATGGCCGAGCAGATCACACACAAACGCCCGTTGCGAATCAAAGTGGACAAGGAAAGAAGGAAACAATTGCATGACTTTTACAAGTTGAAGGAAACAGCGGAAGCTGGATCAGAAGTGGACGCCAAGGATGAGTCTGAAGTTGAGACGGACAGCATTGATACAGAGACAACGGATCAGCATGGTGTGAGGTTGCCGAAGGTGAGTGAGGCTCGATTGGCTCAGCTGGTTCACGCCCATAACGAGCTTTCCAGTCAGAAAGCCGCAATGAACAACACTGTGAAAAATACCATCTACGAAAACTACTACGACCTCATAAAAGTGAACGAATTGCTGCACAGCGTTAGCGTAGGAGAAAACGAACATCTGGAGAAGCTGAAACAGGTGCTTAAGATGCTAGAAGGATGAGTCAACACTGCTCACGTGCATATCACGAGCTTCTTTGTCACTCTCGAATTTTCCGTCATTCATTCAATTAACGATTATCATTATTATTAAGTGGATGAGTCTAACTCAACCTACTAATAATTTCTTGGCCAGCCCTTTTCCCACCCAGCTCATTCATCCTCCAACTAGTGGACAATACACACTCACGCACCCATTACAAGTATATTCTTAACGGTGGGGTTCATTAAGGACTTGCTGGACACACTAATCTTTCTCCGATCCGTTGTCTCTAGAAATTCCACGCTGTGCTTGGAACATCATCCTTTTTTTCCGTTTCCGTCAGAGGGCTGTCTTTCACGCATATACATACAAAAACAGTTAAACTGAAAATCGTATCTTAGTTAAACTTCGATCTTTTTTTTGTCAGTAACTTTTCGACCAGAATAGCCCGCAAAATGATGGGTGGAGACCTAGATTCGATCAATTCGCCGGTTTTTCCGGCAGAAAAGGATCTAGATATTCCGGAAAACGCTCATCCGTTGACCCAAACAACCACCATCCAGGTTTATGTCCAGCTGGCTGAGCCAGCAGTGTTTTTGCAAGGGTTTGAAAATCACCAGTGGGAAGAAAGACCGCCGGGTTTGCTACGTGGGTCTTTGATTCTCAGAGTGCTCAAACCCAGTAAAATCAAGTCCATAGACCTCACATTCCGCGGAGTCTCCAAAACCGAGTGGCCAGAAGGCATTCCGCCCAAAAGACAAGAATTTCTGGAGTCTCTGGACATCGTGAACCATACGTGGCCCTTCTTCCAGCTGGAAAATAATCATGTGCTCAACAGCAGCTCAACGGACCCGGACCATTTGCTAAAGGGCAGCTGGGCTTCTGTGTACCGTCCGTTGAAGAAGAAACACGACAGTGTGAGTGCCATAAATCTCAACGCTACCACTAGTCCTAGTTCTCCCAAGGCACAGGGTTCCAATTTCCTGCCCATCACCGGAATGTTGCGCAAAGTCACCTCTCCGGACGGTCATAGCAGCCGGCAGCGAGCACGATCGAGCGCTAACGCGCTATCTGACCTACTGGGAGCTCCCCAGTCCAACAATAGCGACAGCGGTTCTATTTTTTCCAAATCTTCTTCGCCAGGGACTGAACCTTTCATATTTCAGCCTGGCGAATACGTTTACGGATTTGAGCAAACCATACCGCTTTCATGTCCAGAAAGTATAATTGCCTCTTTTGGGTCTGTGGAATATTCTTTAATGGCGTCTATTGAACGATCAGGTGCCTTCAAGTCAAATATTCATGCAAGGATGCCTCTCGAAGTTATCAGATCGCCATCCGATTCTTCCGTTGAGGAAACAGAGCCAATAGCGATTTCTCGCGATTGGGAAGATCAGCTCCATTACGATATCGTCATTGCCTCAAAGGATATTGTACTAGACGCATTTCTACCTATTGCTTTCAACATCACACCTTTGGATAAAGTCACGCTTCACAGAGTAAGAATCTACCTTACAGAGACAATGGAATACTACTGCAAGAACAAGAAGGTTCACCGATTGGAGCCAACCAAGAAATTTTTGCTTGCTGAGCACAAAGCACCACCGCTCGAAAACTTACCAACAGGAGCTAGCGCAGTAAAGGCGAAAAATCTGGGGAACATGCTATTGGATGAATACGGGGACTTAGTATCACGGGAATTTGAGTATCAAGTGTTTATTCCTGAGAGATTAAATGTACAACAGAAAATCCATCCTGATACATCGTACCAAAACATAAAGGCCAACCATTGGATCAAAATTTGCCTGCGACTCTCTCGTTTAGTTGATGGCAAGCGTAAGCACTATGAGATCAGCATTGATTCTCCAATTCACGTTCTGAACAAATTATGTTCTCACGCCAACACTTTACTCCCCAGTTATGATACTCACGTCTTAATACCTGGCACTGACTGCTCCAAATTTGGGGACCTTAATGTAAATGTCTACCATGTCTCAAATCTTTATTTTCCAAAGGAAGTGTTGAATTCACCAATATTGTCCCCAGAAGTCCAACCCTTAGAAGAACGTGGAGCATTTTCACCGCGCTCACTTACTCCTGTCAGACATGGAAGCTCAGGTTTCAGTCTTCACCAAAAAAAAAGCGATGAACATCAAAAAACTGTTGACGATTTTCTTTTAAATTCTCCAGAGCTAAAGTCTAATGTGTATCAGCCCGGAAATTTGAAGCCTGAACTTCTCTCTCCGCAGGCGATTCCACTTTCACCAATAACCTCTCCTCTTACAAGACCGATCCACATGCTTCGGAATCCTAGTTTTGAACCACCCGCCTTTGACGCTAATCTCCCGCCCCCTCCTCAGTTCAGTCACAAGGACCCTTACTCTGACGCCCCCATGGACCCACCAACTTATGACGAATCTTTGAAAGCAAAGACTCGTCGAACAAAGGCGTCGAAGCCCACATTTACCATTACTGGCGCCGATGGACATAGAGTGGAAGACGAGAGAGCGAACCATGGGGAGAACAGAAGTTCTGAAAAGTTAGATGGCGACATCGCCGCATCTTTTTCATTTAGTGGAGTGCCTCCGGGGTCGCCAGAGCTTCCTAATGCAGTTTGGAAATCCCAGCCTCCCAAGGTGAAACCTTCGAGCTTCGTACTGAGCGCTAGTAGGCGAGGCAGTATTCAAGACGCTTTACCTTCTACTGTAAAGAACTCTAGCGAGTCATTTAACGATATGAGTAATATATTCAGTCCGTCGCAGAAAATTGAAGACAACAATCCATCTAGAAGCCAGTCGTCTTCAGTGGCTGCGTCTCCCAGATCTTCTGTGGACACTGCCAGGGGGTACGTTTCTCAGGAAGGAACGTCAAATAATATGGCCCCATTGCTGAATTACCAAACAAATCAAACTATGGACACTTTATTACAGTCCAAAGAGTCTGTCACTGGTTTGGAGGACACATCAACCGAGGCTTCAGTGGATATCACCGCTTTATATGATAGAAATTCGAATAGCTGGCACCCACTTCAAAATGATGTACCTGGCTCACCAGATACCTCCCGAGAATACAACTTAGGATTTGTCGAAGGGAATAACGTTTTTGAAGATTTTAGGTCTGCTTTCAAAATTCCTGCTGGATCGGGGAAGTTGAAATCGACTCACAAACAGTTGCAGGAAATAGCCAGTACTAGTTTCAACAATGGATCTGATACGAGTCCAGGGACTTCTACAATGAGCAGCTCCGATAAAACTAGGAATACTGACCCTCCCTTCACGTAATCTGTTTAATAAACTCGAGCGTACAAACTTGACTAGTATCTAACAATAGCACTTTTTACTAGAAGAGAAACTGCGTTGAAAAGCTTATCGATCTATTGAATTGAGAACAGAAGCCAGCTCCGTTGGTGTGTACTTGATGTGTTTTCTAGGGTTCTTGAAAGAGTCTTTATAACGTCCATGAAATCTTTCGTAAAGCGGTAAAACTAAGGAGTTAACCTCACTTTTCAGAAGCTTTCTCATTGTAGGATCGGATATTTTGAAATGCTTGAAGCTAGACACCAATTCCTCGAAGCCATCGTTGAATTTTTTGAATTTCTCTTTTATTTGGTCTTTATCTTTGGATGAGACCTTACCTGAGCTATCTACGAAGACAGCGTCGAGTAGATTTGAAGTCAAGCTTCTCCAGTCAGAAATAAAGTACCCGACGTATCGTTTTTTGAGCTTTTCCAGACGAGCATTCCCTTGCTCGCCAAGAATCGAGGTTAGCTCTGATCTCAGCACGATTTGCTCTATTAGTGTGATATTGGTAATCAGGAAAAAACCAATACGCTGTTTATGAGTGTTGCGAACACTGTTTGGGTTAGCAATATCTGGTTCTTGGTTGGGCATGAGGATCTGTTGGGCGCGTCTATCGAGTGAAACAACCAGACAGTCAATGCAGTCGCTGAAGAAACATGACAGTAAATCATTTGGCTGGTCTATGGCGCGGCGTTCTTGAAGTGTGTATTCTTTTTCATGAAAGTTTTTAGGCAACCACTCATTTCTTCTCATTCCAGAAATGCTGCTCAAACATCCTTGCTTATATTCGCTGAATTTGCGCAATCGAGACATCACATCTATCGTCGGCTCGATCACACCATTATCACTTGGTAGCTGAGAAAGCTGCGAAGCTTTTCCATCAATGTAACTCATCAGATCCCTGAATAACGAGTGCAAAATGGATGTTGTTTCCTGATGGCAATTCAAAATAGCAGGATAGTCAGCTAGACGAGTATTTTTGAGCATCTTTAAAACGTGAGTGATGCATTCGGCAAGTTCAAATGTGAAGAGACCCACATTAGACAGGTTTGCTTTGACTAAGTCAATATTGGTTTTTAAAAGTTTGATGTATTTTCCCATTACCGGTAACAATATCTGTGCTAAAACCTCGTTTCTGGTTTCAACGCTTTTGGCATAAAGGTCTTCAGTAAAATTGGACTCATTGGCAATGAATCCTAAAAGGGCCTCGTTATAATTCAGGAATCCACTGCTTCCCTTCCTGTAGGGAACGTTAGGATTACTTGTGATTTCCTTCGAAAAAGGCTCGAGGAACGCTAAGCTTTTGAGAATCAGCTGAGAACGGTTGCTGGTGACCACCGAAGTCAGAGACAAAGAATCTCCTGTACCGAAATAAGCTACTATATTGCTGAGTTCACTGATGTCCTCATCTCCGTAGTAGGGAAAGGGGATCTTTTTGTTCAACATGATCTGAGGGTCGAAGGGTTCGATTTTCCGTAAGATAGAACCGAAATAAGTACGCAATTCGGTCTCACTAGAGTGAACTACTTTCGACAAATGAGTCCTGACACCTTGAAACTCTTGTGAATCTGGTGAACTCTGTTTTTGGAAATCCATGCTGTCCTGTATATTTCGCAGCTTCCAGATTGCCTTGATGTAGTGTCTCAATCCAACTTTATCAATCTTTTGCGTCAAGACTAATTCATGCTTGGAAGCATCGTTAGCCAAGTCTTTGATGGATGAGATAGCATCAAGGCTGCTCTCAATGTTTTGTTGTAGGGTTCCCAGTCTCAGATTTGATTCCATAATAGGCGTGAAAAGCTCATTGGACTGTGCAGTCGTCTTACTGATACTCCTTAGAGACACATTGATCCTGTGAGTAATATGTGATACCTTGTCCAGTTTATCTCTCAATATCAGCACATCAGCACCGTCCACATCGTACTTTGCCATGGACATTTTAAAATTAAGTTTCTGCTTCGAATCTCAACGCTTTTTTAGCCAGAAAAGTGTGAAAACGCCGATTCAACAAGTTTCACTGCAATTGCGGACAGCCGAAATAGTTCCAAACCAACGCTATTGGCAATTGCGGTGGTATTTTCAACGTTCGGTTGTTCTTCATGTTGGTGATCTTTGAGTCTAATTTATTAGTTGACCGTCATCATCATCATCATCATCATCATCACCATCAAGATCAGTCTATTTCACATCATAACACAGCTCAACCATAGCCATTGAGTTGAATAGAGTCGTGATATGGCAACTGTGGATCTAGAAGACTGTAAGCGACTGGTGCAAGAACTCGAGGCCGCTGCCGAGCTGCCTAAAAGAGGGAAAGCCTACAGAACAATTTGCCAGATTTCGAATTCTGACCGAAAAGTGGCCAGCTGGAAGTTCAACGAATGGGATTATGGTAAAAATAATATTAAACTCCCGATAAATGCAAGAGGTTTGTTCATTTTAGAAGATCAGCAGGCTCCAAGAATCATAGTTCGAGGTTATGATAAATTCTTCAACATCGACGAAGTGGCCTCCACATCGTGGCAGTGGCTAAGTTCAAACACAGTTGGCCCATACGAGGTCACAGTGAAGGAAAATGGATGTATCATTTTCATTTCTGGCCTGCAAGATGGAACTTTAGTGATCTGTTCAAAGCACTCCACAGGCAACAGAGATGATACGGATCGAAATCATTCTATTGCTGGTGAAAAGTATTTGTTGAAGCAGCTTCAAGCGCAGAAAATAGATCCCAAAATACTAGGACAAGAGCTTCACGGAATGAATGCCACCGCTGTTGCTGAATATTGCGACGACAGCTTCGAAGAACACATTCTTGAATACTCCAGAGATGCCGCGGGTCTTTACCTGCACGGAATTAACCAAAATCAACGTGTCTTCAAGACTTTGCCAGCTCAAGAGGTGACCGGTTTTGCTGAAAAATATGGATTCAACAAGGTCCAGCACTTCACACATCACGATATTTCAAGTCTTCGTAAGTTTCTCGAGCAGTGTGCGACGGCAGGTACATTCCATGATAAAGAAATCGAAGGATTCGTAATTAGATGCAAGACAATCAGTGCGCACGACTTTTTCTTCAAGTTCAAATTTGAAGAGCCTTACTTGATGTACCGCCAATGGAGAGAGGCGACCAAGAAATATATCGAGACCAATTCTCGGGTCTTTGGTTTCAAGAAACATCGTTTCATCACTAATAAGTACTTGGACTTTGTCATACCGCTTCTCGACGCAGACTCAAGTCTTCGCGACGACTACATGAAAGACTTTGGCATTATCAAGTTGCGTAAAATGTTTTTACTCGATTATGGTTTGTCGGGCGTTGAAATTCTGAATAGCGAAAAGGTCAAACGGCTAGAAGCACAAAATGCTATTGATTATCAAGTGGTAGATGAAAAGACCAAATTTCTGCTAATTCCTGTAGCAACCATTGGCTGTGGCAAGACAACAGCTGCATTGACCTTGACCAATCTATACCCAGAATCTTGGGCTCATGTACAAAACGATGACATAACAGGAAGAGACAAATCTTTACTGATGAAAAAGTCTTTGGAGCTTCTCGGTCAGAAAAATGTGAAGGCTGTCATTGTTGACAGGAACAACCATCAATTTAGGGAGCGGAAGCAACTATTCGAGTGGTTCGCTGAACTCAAGGAAAAATATATGCCTTATGACAGTAATGTGAAGATCATTGCATTGTCGTTTCTTCCTTACGAGGACATTGAAGCCACTACCCAACTCACAATCCAGAGGGTACTAGCTCGAGGGGACCGGCATCAAAGCATTAAAGTGGTCACGGATGGAGAGAAAAAGGTCTTAGGGATAATGAAGGGCTTTTTGAATAGATATCAGCCAATCGTTAGAGATCGGTCCCCTGATAGCATGTTTGATAACGTCATAACCCTCAATGTGCGTGAGACCGATTCGTCCCTGATCAATGTTCACAAAATTCTGACGGTGCTGCACAAAAAGTATCCAGTTCTTGTTCCCGAAATACCGGCTACAGATGCTATACAATCAGCATTCAGAAAAAGTCTCGATTACAAACCCAAGATCACAAAAGTCATCGGAGGAGGAAACAGACGTGATAGAGATAGTCTGAAGTTCAAGCCTGTCTACTTTAGTGCTCAACTTCGAGATTCAAGCGCATTCTTGGAATTTATTTGTCGTCGTTGCTTTGAACGCCAAGACTTGTTGGATACATCTATCCTTCGAAAGAGCCTGAAAAATAATGCTCAGCCAGAGTTCCATATCACCTTGAGTCATGTCATCGGCGGCAAGAAAGGCAGCAAAAAGCAACGCGATTTGTGGTGTGAATATAACAAACGCTACTCTCAGGATTTACTTAAATCGGGGTTACCGCCCACAAAAATCAGTGTGATCAAGACGAAAGACACGGTCAAGTTTAGAGTAAAGAAACTTCTCTGGGATGACAAAATAGTTACTGCTTTAGTCGAAGTAGCAGAAGAATGCGTATCGGATGGCAGTTCGGGCAGCGTTGTTCCTGGTTTGGGGTGTGCAAACGAGTATGCGCACATAACACTTGCCGTTCTTCAACCAGACGTTAAGCCTGTTTACTCCAACACTCTCTGCCAAACTATATTTGACAAACACAAGTTTGAGGCTGGCTGTTTCACAGACGGATTAAACTGTATGGATATGGGAGATACGCAAAGCATGGAAGCCGATTTGTGGATAAATCTATAATATCTATGAAGAGTATTTATGTGAGCATTTCATCACACATACGGAAGCAAACACTGTTCAATTCAGAACTGAATCAGGTCCAGCGCTAAAATCGCCCTTATTGATTACGAAGACGTCCATCACCGCCATGGCAGCATACAGTCTATTTTCTGCTTCCTCGAACACGATAGAGTGATCGCCATAAAAGATATCGTCCGTAACTTCTTCATGGTGTCTTGGGAGGCAGTGCATGAATTTATAATTGGGCTTCGCAAGGGAAGATAGCTCTGAGTTAACTTGGAAACCTCTGAACTGTTTTAGTTTGGCCACCTTTGCGAATTCTTCACCCATTGATATGAAAGTGTCGGTAACCAGAACGTCTGCGTTCGTGGCAGCCTCTTTAGAGTTGTGTGTGCATTCGAGTTTCGTACCATTACCTTTGGAAATTTCTAGGCCAGCATTTATGATCTCAGGGTCCATTTCAATGCCGGGCGGCGTGGAAATGGCAACGTCCATACCCATCTTTAGACATGCTATGGCCATGTCGTTGATAACGTTGTTGGCATCACCGATCCAGGCAATCTTCAGTTTGTTCTTGGTGTAGTCAAGATGCTCCTTGATGGTTAGAACGTCACATACTGCCTGCAGAGGGTGAAACTTGTCGCAAAGCGAGTTAATAATGGGAACCTGCGAGTGCTCTACCAGCTGTTGAATTTCAGAATGTTTGTTAACACGCGCGAATATGCATGACACCATGGACGATATGACTTTGGTGGTATCGTGAAAGCTCTCGTTGACACCCAGCTGGATGTCATCTTTACCAAGAAACATGGGCTGGGCCCCGAAGAATGCAGCAGCACCTTCAGTTGAGATTCTTGTTCTGGTGGATCTTTTAGAGAACACCAATGCAACAGTCTTGCCAATCAATTTTACATGGTTTTTTTGGTTCTCAGTCAAATTTCCAGCTTTAACAACCTTTTTGTAGTGTTCTGCTCTGTCAACCAGTACAGAAAACTCCTCGTTTGATAGATCTTTGATGGAGACGAGGTGGCGCATATTGTAATTTTTAAGCCCGAAGTAGTTGTTGATGTTACGTTGATGGGGCTGTCGAGACCAAATGCAAAAATATCTGGGGTAACGAAGAATAGAGACCTTTTTCGTTAACCGAGCTCGTTGTCACCTGTACTTAGCGGACACTTGGAAAAATAGTCCTGTTCCTGATGCCGTTTATATATCCCCGTGAACGCCAATTTCGCATCGAAGCCTATCTCTCTGACTCAAAATGTCGGTGGAATAATGAGTCAGTCAGTTGACGTGGTTGAAAAAAATGTGAAAAACTCTGAAAACCTAGTGCCGTTCAGTTGTATTTGCGGTAAAAGGCGGGGCCGTGACGAAAAGGGCAGCGTTGGGCGAGAGACGATAATTTAATGAAAATGGCAAGCTGCTATTCACATTAGGAACTCCAGAGAATCATGGAGTGCGATAAAGGACTTTTGGTAAAGTAATGTAAATCCACGGCACACGGACAAACGACAAAGATACTCTATTCGTGACCAGCAGGGGAAGCCGTCACTAAAAGTTCACATTTGAGCTGCTTCTTTTGCCATTCAGCATTGTCTCTTGCTGGAATCCTTCGATGCACCAATGATTAGCGTAGGATGAGTGAGATGAGGGCTTGCAAAGTAGGGCTAAAACCTTGAAAAAAAAAGAAGCGATGAGAAGTAGATCGTGTGGGGTGATGTTGAGTACTGTGTTAAGTGCAGCGAACTAAGAAGAACGAAAGTAGATCGATCCAACATCTCCTGAATGCTTATTTCTCATCAATGAAATGCATTTTAATCGCTGGCAATACTGAATAACAGGTAAAATAAGAAGACAGTCATCTTGTACGGCTGTGTCTCAGAAATAGATTCTTAAAGTCTCCGGGATTCTGAATCGTATCAATTGTGTCATGATAATTTTGGTGTGGGGCTCTCTGTTTCAATGACCGATAGTTTAGTTCGTTACCATCACCGCATTTGCTTATCTTCTCTTTTCGCTAGTCCCTCTTTCCTCAAATACTTGTAATTTAAGCTCATAGCAGATTGAAACAAATTGGGAGCCTGAATCAATTCGTTTCATCGCCACGAACAGCATCGTTTCAACACATCGTTTCGTTTCCTGTTGCATTAGAACCCTCAGTCTTGAAAGCTTGCAATTTTCAGTCTTGAACCCCTGTACCTCAAGCCAATGGTATGTGTGCCAAACCAACGGTCCAAGACGCTACCTCATACTAACGCTCTTGAGATGTGTAGCTGAAACTCCGGCAATTGCAGAAAAAGAAACAAGAGGATCTGGCCAACCCAAAAAACAGCACCTCTACTGGCCTCTTGTCCCAGACCACCGCATCTCAGCTCAGACTGCGCAAAGATCTTCAATCTCTGGATCTTCCGCCTAATGTGAAAATCGATGCAAGTTCTCTAGAAAGTGACCAAATTCTACACATCCAAATTACACCAGATGAGGGCTACTACGAAGGCGGCACTTTCAAGTTCCAGGCCGTTTTCAAGGATACGTACCCGATAGAACCTCCCAAGGTGACACTACTTCCCGTTGTGTACCACCCAAATATCGACCTTCAAGGCAACATATGTTTGAATATTTTGCGGGAGGACTGGTCCCCGGTGCTTGACGTTCAAAGCGTCATAATCGGGCTTCTCATGCTTCTTCTTGAACCTAATGCCACAGATCCACTAAACAAGACGGCCGCAGAGTCTCTTCGCACGAGTCCGTCGGTGTTCAAAGATCAGGTCGCATCATCCATGCGTGGCGGATCGCTGCAAGGACGCCGGTACGATCGTATTGTGTGTTGAACCATCCACAATGGATGTATTTCCATTCAAACTGTTACCAACCTACTTATCGCTCGTACAACTATAAAGGACTTAGACGCGCACGTGATCACCTACCGTTTCCACTTCTTCGTTATCAGAACTTATGACAACAGACGGTCTTGTTTGGTTGCAGTTTGGAGATGCAACAGTATCTTTTTGGCGGCTCGTCAACACTGTGGATTTCCAAGCGGTCGTGGGGGCCAATTGCTTCCCCAGAAGTTTTGCAAAACCGCTATTGGAAATGGTGACAGTGAAATATGACAAAGTTTTGGAAGACATTTTTGAGTATTTTCGACTTGGCAAATCAAATATTGCGCTCTTAAGATGTGGGTTACAATAATTGTATTTTAAAGAACTGATTTTTGGTATTGTCAAGAACTCAGATTGTGTGTCTTTTATATCTGACCTTTCTTCGCGAAATGCTCAGAATTCGGACAAATTGTACTCCATTGCAACGAAACCGAATGTCCCGGAGGAAAGCTCACAGTCTAGGACGGTTTGTGAGTTAAAAAGGCTCATTAATGGAGGTCGTCGATTGATTGAAGTCGAGATCGTACTTCTGAACTAAAAGGAAGGGTACTTGCTTGCTGCTTTGGTGAACTAACCACACACTGTCCCATTCATCCCAATGAGTAGTAATTGAGGATGACATAAGCAAACATTTTTTGAGATTCATGGATTCATGGGTCACGTGCGTGAAGTGTTTCTACTAGTGTGCTGGTTTGTGCGTGGCAATCTAAGGCGCCAGTTGGTAGGGCTCATTAGAAGTGTCTGAGAGGAAAACGTCAGCGTCAGGAAAATGTTTGTGATGCTAGCGATAGAGACAAATGCGACTCGAATAAGACAATAGTATAAAAGCCGCGACGTTTTTTTTTTCATCCTTTGGTACTCTCTTTGTCCTTCATCACCGTTCAACTTCTTATCTAGTCAACAAGGATATTATGAAGTCCTCAATTTTCTTTCGCCTGCAGGCGCTTCACGCATTTCATCTAGCTTTGGCTTACACTGAGAGCAGTCAAAACGAGTCAACTTTACCTCAATCTGTCGGTCAGCCAGTGGGCCAACCGGTGGGTGGATTTGTGTCGGTGCGAGCGGGTCGCAAACAAACACCCTTCCCACAGTGGCTTTCTGATTTTACAGGTTTGAAAGAATGGCCGGGAATCGATCCTCCCTATATCCCCATGGATTTCATCAATTTCAGTGAGATTCCAGACTACAAGCGCTACGAACAGGGCGTGTGTGGGGTGAATCCCCGCGAGTCGTGCTCATTCGACTGCGATCGCTGTCTGGCCCCCGACGACATCTTCACTTGTCACAAGCTTTCGCAAACCTTCGATGACGGCCCGTCATTGGCTACCGAAAGATTGCTAAACAGTTTAAACCACAAGACAACGTTTTTCAATTTGGGTATCAACATTGTCAACTTTCCAGATATGTACCAGAAAATTCTCGACAATGGGCATCTTGTTGGCACCCATACTTGGTCTCATCCATTCATGCCCAGTTTGACGAATGAACAAATCATTGCTCAACTTCAATGGTCGATTTGGGCGATGAATGCAACAGGCAACCATTTACCTAAATGGTTTAGACCTCCGTATGGAGCTATTGACAATAGAGTGCGGTCCATATCCAGGATGTTCGGTCTGCAGGCCGTCTTGTGGGACCACGATACGTTCGATTGGCAGCTATTGACCGAAGATCAAACGGCACGAACAGAGGAAGATATATACAGAGAGATTCAAGATTGGAAGAGGCGCGGCACGGGACTCATTCTTGAGCATGATGGGAGCTTCAGGACGGTCCAAGTGGGAATCAACGTTGACAAGATTCTGGGCGATGATCAATTAACAGTTGCCGAATGCGTTGAGGGAATCGATTATATCAAAACATTTCCTTCTACGAAGAAGTCAAGTGTGGCCATAGAATGACACTTAATCTCTTATACTTTTGCTCCCACGAATTTTTGACCTATAGAGTGGATGACTGTCATCAGCGATAAAATGGTGTAATTTTCTATAATTGCAATCAACAGTACGACCCTTATAGCGGGCAGCTTTCAGCTACTTGAGTCTCTGTTCATCCATAAACTAGGAAAGTTACTTGCTTTTCAAAACTCCAACAGACCACGAATAATAAACCACTGTCTAAATATCGTCGATTCTTTTGCCTTTGAAAAAAAAATGCCCTACAACTCATTTTCTCTCTTCAAGTCGCATTGCTTATGATAAATGTACACCCTATTTGTTATCGACCATTTCATCGCAAAGACGATCCTTACAATGTCAAAAAGGTGCACAAAAAACCGATGAACCTTATGTTGAATATCACTTCAAAGAAAAGTCGTTCATCGTATAGACACCAAAAGCCTCTTCTCGTCGCTGCTGTCCAGTTGCAACAGCGTGGAGACCACGGGTAGCAGCATCTCCCGCTGTTCCTTATGTTCCAGGAAACCTAACAAGACGTTTTTGATGTATGCAATTTTATCGTTGGTATCAGATTGTGACTGCTTCCCCCGATCGTCAGAGTATGACGCGCGACGAGATGTGTCATTCGTATTTTGATCAGGAATCGACAACACCGAATTGGATCTGCTCGGTCTTCTAGAGGCACTTTTCTCTTTTGCAGCAGCAAGCTGGTTTGAAATCTGTTTATAATTTTTTGATATTCTATCAAGTTTCTGGGTCAAGTCACTATTCAACTCCTTGAAATTTCCATTGGCGACCTCTAATTCACGCAACTTTTTCTCGGAGCTAGATAAAGTGTTACGCATCTCGAGTAACGATCGCTCTAATTCATGTGCTTTTCCAGACCCTGCGCTACTTGCCTTTTGTACCTCTTCTTTTGAAGACTTGAGCTTGGCAATTTCAGTCACGTAACTCTTTTCTTTCGACTGAAGCTCCTGGTAGTGGAGTTTGAGCGTCTCATTAGTCTGCTTTAACTCCTGTGTTCTTTGCTTCAGCATTGTGGTTTGTAAGGCAAAATCACTTTCCAATCTCTCTTTATCTTCCAGCGCAGCAGCCAGACTGTTTTCCAGTTTTTGAATTTTCAACTCTTCATTCGATTGGCCTTCGGCTATTACGCGACGTATGCTGGTGAGCTCTTTGGTCTTTTCATGTGAGGCAAGGACGGACTCTTCAAGTTCATCTTCCAAGAATCCGATGCGCTTGTTGGCCTCCTTTAATTTAATGTTGAGTTCATCGCATTGTCTTCTTATTACTCCGACTTGTTCATGCGACACGCTCTTGACATTCTTTAACGTCTCGTATTTCTCGTTCAAAACCTCGAGTTTTTCGCTCAGGCTTCCGTTATTCTTTATGAACTTTTCCATTGACTGCTCGCTCTTTTTTACCTCGTTAGTCATTTCTTCGTTAAGTTTCGTAAGTTGATCCACTTTTGCGGTAAGCTTGGTGCTTTCGGCCTTTGATTCACGAAGCAATTTATTTGTCTGGGCTTCTTTAGCACTGTACTCCTTCACTTGCTGTTCGAGATAGACAATCGTCTTCTCCTTCTGAAGCAAAGATGACCTGAGATTACTCTCAGATTTTCTCAAAGCAGGAACTTCCCTCACCCCCTCTGTGAGAGACTCGTTTTCCCTTCTTAGCTTGGCATTTGTGTTTTCACTTTTCTTCAACTTCGATGACAATTCTTCGTATTCCTTTTGAGAAACATCAAGGGCCGCCCCCAACTTTTGAATTTCTTCCGTTAACGTGGCCATTTCAGCCTCCAGGGAGCTTACTTTCTCTACGAGCTCGTTCTGTTTTATTTCATAGGATTGGTTGTTCTCAGAATGTTTCTGCTGAATGGATTCCAGTTCAGACTTTAGGGCGTCTACCTTGACTTTATCTCCAGAATCGAGCTTTTTAAGTTGATCTTTAGCGGACACTAGTTCATTCCCTACACTTTTTAAGATTTCTTTATTATTATCCAGCTCCTCTTTTTTAAATTTCAACTGTTCTTTTGTATCCTGTAGCTGTTTGTGGTAGTCCTCTTTTTCATTGCGCAGTTCTTCAATTCCTGCATTAGTCTCCTTCAGACTCTGAAGTTCTTGTCTAGAGGTGTCGAGATCGTTGAGTGAAACGTCATACTTAACCTGCAGAGCATCAAACTCTTGTTGCAGATCGGTCAGTTGCCTTATTTCAGCTGGAGTGCCTCTCTCCCTCTCGTCATTTGTTACTTCCTGTTGATGTTCAACCCTGTATGCATTATTTTTGCCCTTCCTCTTTTTATTCTTTGTTTTCGAAGCGCCTTTCGAAACTCCACTCTCGGTGGAGCGGTTTGAGTCTAATTTTGATACCGCTTGGCTGAGTTCCATTGTCTTTTGCTCAAGCAAACGCCTAACACTGTCCAATTCTGATGTGATCTCAAGATGGGCCTTCTCTTTGTTTATAAACATCTGTTCGCTATCAGTAAGCTTCGCTTTAGCAGTTTCAAGTTCCGCCCTTATGGTGACTGACTCACCGATGTTCTTTTTCGAAGATGCCAAATCAGCAGTGGTCCTTTCAAGTTCTTTATCTTTGGTCTCAAGCTCTCTTCGAAGAGACTCATTCACTTTTTCCTGTTCTTCCAGCCTATGTTGGAATTCAGAGCTGTGGCCCTCCACTGCCTCCACCGATCTGTCTGCGTCACCTGAACCTTGAGAACCGCTTAATTTTGCGTTCAACGCTTCTATCTCAACTTGTTTCTCATTCTTTTCTGAAGTGAGCCGCTTAACCTCACCATTGAGCATCTCAACCTTCAGATTTGTATTCTGAAAGAAGCTTGTCAGTGAATCTAAGTCGTCCAGCGACGATACCGGAGTGTTTTCACATATTATTTTTTGCAAAACAACCACTTTTTCCAGCTTAGCTTTCTCCGCCTTGTATGCATTAAGAAGTAATGGATATTTCTGTTCGTATTTCTCAAACTTTCTCAACTTAGCCTGAATTTCTACCGGTAAATCACTGTTTTTGTCAAACAGTTCTTGACCTTCATTTAGCTCATCTGTTAAGCCTTTCGCTAGCTCATCGGTGAAGTTTTTACCCAACTGCGATAGCTGTTTGAACATTGCATAAAAACAGCAAAATATATCAACTCAATGACTTCTCAGGGCTTATTTGTGGCTGGAGCTTTGGCTTTCTTTGAGTGTAGAAACTCGAGAGAGATGAGACTATGAATTATTCATTATAGTTCACTGGATCTAAATTACGCTGGAAAGACAGCTTTACCCGGATTCGATCTAACGTCAGCGACGGAGGTGAACCAACTAGCAATACCCAGGTCTGGGATATGCCAATAGGCTTCATATTACAGGCGTTCGTTGCCCTAGATTAAAAATGTTTTTAGCCATATACAATGAAATGCGTATTATTTGACGAGTCTTTTCCTATTTTTGATAAATCGAGGCCTTTTCTCAAGCTTTCTCCCGACGTTGGTCTTGGAGATATTACTCGCACCGCTCAGACCAGCTGAGACTTCAGCACGAGGCTCAATTTGCAATGACTGCTCATATTGCTTCTCGATGCTAGGAACGTTCTTTACGGATTCCTCGATGAATGCCTGGACGTCGTCGTACCGTTTAAATTTGTAACGGATGTTTTGATAGCTGGCTATCTCCTTTAGAATACCAACTATGCGTGTTCGCTTACTAAAGTTAATGGTTTCCATGGATCGGTGCAGATAGTCTGGGTTTCCCTCTGCAACGAACGTTAGGTCAGATAAATATACGCCGAAAAATGGAACGCATGGAACGTCTTTGATATTTTTCAGCCAGTTTCTGTAAGTGAAAAAGTTCTTTGCGGGATCCATTAGTGTGTTTAGGTTTTCTAGCGCCTTTTTCGTGGTGTGCGGCACGAGGTCCCAAGATTTCTTCAATCGAAAGATGGGCGATGAATACAAAGCCGAGATAATTGCCGTCATGGATGAAAAATTGTTCAACTCATATGACTGTTCAGCAATGTAAATAAAGTGCTGAATTATTTTGGCTCTCTTCTTGATATTGGTTTGTTTGACAATGGAAAAAGACACAAAGTTTGTCAGAGTGTTTGCAACGCAAATAAAATTGGAAATATCATCCGAGCCACCAAACTTACAATACCTCCTACCCCAAATTCGATCAAGGCATCCGAAGGGTGTGATTTTTGAGTAAAGGTAGTGTTCTTTGGTTGTCAACTGTTTCGCAAACGTCTGAGGATCGATATCCAATAGTTTGAGCTTTCTCATTCTGAATCCATAGCCGGCACCGAGCTCTACCGAAGCCGTGGTTGGTGTCTTCGGGTTCAGAGCGTTCCCTCCGTAATTGTGGCCGCTCTCATCGAACTTGATAACCTCAGGAACAAAATTCTTCAAATTGCCCTTCAAAGACAAACGATTTTTGAGCTCTATCAATAGTGCAGGTGCTCCACTAATGCTTTGCGCAGTTGCCAGTTGAGCAAAACTAACCAGGTCGTCAATGCCCGGTTCATAATAAGCAGGAGTCCAGTAGTGAGAAAACAAGGTCTTCATGATGTTTATAACCCTTGTTTTCACAGGGTTTGATTTCTTGTCAATCCATGTAGTGTATTCCTCGTAACTCAAGCCTTCTGGTGGGTACAAATGATATCGCTCCACCAAGGCATGGAGAAATTCTGAAGTAGTGAATATACTCCGAAAAGAGAGAAGCATGGCTATGTTGAAGGACGCGTCTATGGTTTGGTTGCTTGTCAGATGCTCTAACAAGGCGGCTTTGCTGCCTCCTTTGATGGCACCTTGATTATCGTAAATTAGTGAGTACTCATATTCTGAATCCAAGTACCACGGAATATCCATTGTAAAACTCTTAACAAAATCTCGTGGGCCGACATGTTCGATTTCCGAGTCCGCCAAATTCCCCTCTGCATCTGTGTAGATGTTTTCCTGTTCTCCCCTCATCAACTCCCCTATCAAGTCATATTTCATCACACGGGCGGCGTAGTTCAACACGTTTTCGCGCTCCTGCATGAGTTGCTCGACGACTTGATATGCTGAATCAAGGACCCCTAAGAATGCTGTCTGAGTTGCCTTGAGTTCGGCGTCAGCATCAAAAAAGCTGAGATTGTTCAGTTCAACATCTTCTGATACAAATTTGGTGTAGTATGCTTCGGCCAGCTTTTCGGTTTTCAAAACATTACCTCCGTCCTTCACTTGTGCCTCTCCGCTAGCAAAGAATTGATCACCCGCAATCGAACAGAACACAAAGGGATCCTCTAGAGTCAACCCTTGAATATCCATCAGCTTTTTGGCTGTGACATCGTAAAGTGCTTGCTTCACGCTAAAAAACTCCATAAGAATGGACCCACATGCGGTCATTACGTGTTGTCGTAACTCCTCACTGTCCTCATTTAAATCAGTCTTGAGGCCTAGGTTCTTTATATTCAAAAAAAATCTCAAATCCAAATTCTCGAACAAGTCAATGACACCAACGCACTGGTTTAGTTCGCGATGACAAGCAGCACTAATCTCAAGATTTCGTTTCTTAGTGGGCTTTTGTTCTAACAACACTTCGTAAGTTTGAAGCGATACCGATGTAAAATAGTCGATTTTCTTCTTGATGTAACTAAGAGATTCCTCTGAAAGAGGAAACTTACTTTTCCTCATTGGTTTGAACTTTGCCAATTCTCGTTGAGAGATTCCTTTTTCGCCATCCATCGAGCCTTTCGATATTAAAGAACTTTCCATTGTGTTTGCTTTGCTGCTGACGCTCCCAAAGACATTTCCCGCCTTGGTATACGGATCCTGCATAGATCCAAAAGCAGCAAAGGAGTTTTTTGCGCTCGTATCAGCTGGATCATCCTGGAACGCACTGGTCCAAGCTCCTCCAGTGAAACACTCGCGGAAAAACCTTGCGAGTAATTGAGGAAGTAACCCATCGGGGCAGCAAGAGTTCATGATGACATGTAACTCCTTGATGCATTTCATAAACTCACTGAAGTCAGCATCAATTGATCTAAACATGGCCTGAATGGACATATTGGAATTCTCATCAATAGCTGAACTATGTGCTTGAATAGTGTAAGCACTGACATTCGACCCCAATCTTTTGCCACCCCCACTTTTTTTCTCAGGGTATAACACCTCATCATTGAAAGAAAAATCTTCACTTCCGAACCTCGCATTTGGTTCACTCCCCTGTCTCAATGGGTTGATAGTCGAGATTGACACCCTAAGTTGGTCTTGTACAGCGGTTCCAACACTTGCGACACTGGATTTATGCGAATCGTCCAGGGTCCTTGAGAATGAAATGTCGTACCTCTGAGGAGAGCAGAAAAACAAACCGCCGCTAATACTGATTGCAGACGCTGCTTCAAGCATTTTCTTCAGAAGGCGTTTCACTTCTTTCTTCGAGTTGTTCTTTTTTAGCTCACCTTTTAAGAGCCTACATGCATTGTGGTGATAGATCATGTACTTTGAAGTTATTTCAAAGCTGCTGTTGAATCCACTACAATCATTGCTGAGAAAACAGGCATAGGCTTTACGAGCGAAAAATAAAGTCGTATCACGAAGCTCTGCCCACGAGCGAATATCAGACCTATGATGAAAAAAAAGGTCATCTTTAGACCAAAGGGTAGCAGAAGCATTCCCTTGCCACCAGTCTGTAGTGATGTCGTTCCCAGTATTGAGATTGTTATTGTTGCTGTTTTTGTCAGTCCTGTTTTCATTCTCATCTTGTCTATCATGTTCTTCTTCATGTTCATTGCCAACTTCATTTTGTGGTGACAAACCTTCACTCCTTTTGGAATTATCATTCGATGCGCTGTTCCCGCCGTTAGTGCCAGCACTATTTTCAGGCGAAAAGGTTGCAGCTAGGAAATTTTTACTCTTTTCTTCCACGCTTGCCCTGCGACTTTGTGAAGAACGAACATAATTTGACATGCTCCGTGGATTGGCCGACTGCCTGGGTTCTGTACCTTGAACTTGAACCTTCTGGCCATTTTCAATACTGCTTCTTCTAGATTGACCTATAATTTTCCGGTCTTGCCCAATAGATCTTTCACTCAAGTCCACATACCAGTCATGGTCTGAGAATGTGCTTTTTATGCTTAGCTCCGGAAACTGCAAAAATGGTAATGAGCTGCAATAGATGTCGTAATCGCGATTGTAGTAAACCACTTTTCCCTCAGTTGTCGCCACAGGGGTCCACAAGGGAGGTGAGTTGTCATCAACGTTATTAAAAATCATCTCAACCTCTTCAGGGCTTAGTAAAGTCATCTTGTCCGGTCCCACTTGGGACTGTCTTCTACGGTCATCTTCGAAACCGTTGAGTCTTTGCAGCGGGTCTATCTGTGGTTGCGGTCGAGAAATCGACGATTGGTTCTGATCTGAACTGGAAGCGGTGGCAGCTGATGGTGTGACTGATACATGCGTCCGTGAAGGCGATTTGGACCGTGGGAATGAATTCGCAGAACTGGCACCTGCAATCTCACTAGCTGTGGGTCCACTTCCTGCACTTGTTGACGACAAGCTCTCTCTTCTAGAAGAAGCCCTATTTTGGGAATCATTTGGACGCATGTCTAGCTTGTAATCGGGCTTTAGATGTGGTGGTGGGGACGGCGAATGCGAATGTGAAACTATTTGCGACAAAGCCGGTTCACTCATGGCCGCTGTAGCGATATTTTTACTCTGAACTAGAGGCCTACCTTCGTTTTTCTCATGAGCCTGGCCACGGTTTTGCTGAGAAGCTATTACAGAAGTGGCAACGCTGCCACGCCTGCTACTCCCACCAGACCGATTCGTTTGTCGCTGACCACCAGTTTTGCCAGATAACGTAAGTCTGCGATCACGGCAGGATTTGGTAAAATTGTGCGGAAACCAACCACGTAAACATCGTAGTGTAGGTCTATTGGAGACGGTGACACCATCCCACCAGCCAGATTCGTGTTTGCTCATTACATAGATAACGTCTCCAGCGTTTAAACGTAGCTGCGATTTTCTGCTGGGCAGATAGTCGTAGCTGGCAACCACCACGTCGATTGGTTTCGTGTTCCCACCTATACTTCCACTGAAGCTTCCGGCTCTACTCCCATACTTGATACTTGGATTCCCATTGCTTCCATCGTCAGCTGCACTATCTATCACCTCACTGCTTCCGCCGTTGGTCTTCCCACTTGACTCTTGGGATAGCCCGTGTTCGTCCGGTATTGTGCGCGGCAAACTCATGATTCTCTAAGGGATTGAACGAGGTCCAACCCTGCTATGGAATTAATTTTTGAGCCTACTGAAGACACGAACGTTGGCTTTTGCCACTACTTTTTTTGGATTTGTTCCCGAATTCAGAGCATTGCATATGTTCATCTGAGTTGAATAATTTTAATGATGTCGAAAAAACCCCTGTCATAAAGTACGAGGTCTGGGGAGCTGTGTATTTACATATATGTACTGAATGTAGAGACACTGATCTTTAAAGTTATCAGGATTTCGACCATGGTTAAAGCGATTATTTTGTCGTGCTAACAATTCTTTCATCTGTGAGTAGGAACGGGTTTTGGTTGAGGTAGATATTTTTTCTATGATTGATGATTGTTCCGGACAAAAATCTGGGAATTCAGGTAAAAAGACGCAACAATGGGGAGATGTAGCTCGGCAAGGATGTATCAGTGGGGTATTTAAAGTTTCTTGAGGTATTTTGTTTGTGCATTAGGGTTTACTTCTTCGCTTTTGATAGGTGCTGACAGCGCGATAGATGACAGAATATTAATTCGACGATTTTGAAAAAGAGTAGCAAGATGGAATGGCTCATTTGTAGATGGACGAAGGGCGATGGTGGGGGGTAGTAGATATTTTGAAGCACGTATAAGTGACGACTGTGGGGTTAGCTTTGAAGTGGGCTTTGACAAGAAAGGGACCATGATACACTAGGCTGAACCGGTAGCTTTTCATTGCTGTTTCTACTCGTTGCGAGATTCAGAATGGATATTCTGGGACGCCATCCAGAACACATCCAGGTTATATAACTGGGAGTCTACGCAAGTTGTGGTTCAGGTTCATTCCTTAACTCATTGTATTCTGTCGCTGTCATCTCGTCACGTACATGTGATCACTTTGTAATGAAATTGACTGATGTTTATAAGCAATGTAGCTGAAAATGGGAGACCACTGTAGTACGGAGCTTTAAATGGCTCAACTGTTCATGAAAGTATCGCAGAGCAGTAGCACAGGCGAAATGTCTCTAATTGCGTAAGTAACTGATCGAGTATGTAGTATTATAACCTTCATCACTTTTCACGTTGCTGTCATCGCGTCATGAAAATACCAACAACGTTCAGACTCAATCTGAGCTTGATTGCTTCTAGGAGTGTCCACAATATTCTCGATCGAAATGATGGGATCACTTGCCTAACAAATTTTTGTTATTAGCTTGTTTTACGTCTATTCGCTGAATCATGTTTTGGGACTATGTAATGACATTTCGATTGTCTTACTTGATAATCACCCGTTCAAAAACACATGTACAAATATCAATCCATCATTCTCCCGTACCCTTCTCATGTCAACAACAAAGTCGGCATACTACCACTAGCATTTGGTTTTGAAGCTCACTCTCTAGTTCACTACAAGTACCCGTAGCTCCTCAAGCGCTCTACACTGAAATAAACTTGTACCGAGTAAAAAAGTGAAAATCACCCCGGGTAGCCAAACCTTGACCCAAAATTCTGATACAACATCCAGCAAACCGTGGGAAATCCTCGAATCGCTGTGACAATTGTTCATAACCGTTGATGTTCCATTGTCGATAGCTGGTCTGTACATCACGTGAATTGCGTCATTGACTACTAAAAATTTAACATTAAGCTCTCTCAAGATGAGTGATGTAATTGAAGATTGAACAAGTTAGTCAAGAACAGTGCTCACCACTTGCAAATCAAACTAGACTAGTCCCACACGATGTCCGAACAACTTGGTAAAGCCGTGGAAACGGTCAAGGAGTCTGTTGAAAAGGCCACAGAACAAGTGAAAAACCTTACAACACAGGAACAAAGCTCAGAACCGGTCGTTTTGGGCGAAGATGGTCAACCACTCTCGAAGAAAGCTTTGAAAAAGCTGCAGAAAGAACAAGAGAAACAGAAAAAGAAGGAGGAGAAAGCTCGCCAGCTAGCAGAGGAAAAGGAGGCCCGCGAGCGTGAGGCGGCTGCCAACGACACCGCCAAGGAAAACTACGGACGTTTGCCCTTGATTCAGTCCACTACAAAGTCTGGTATCCCCCGTATCCAGCTCGAAAACCTCACCGAAGGCGACAATGGCAAAGAGGTCACTCTCAGAGCTCGTGTGCACAATTCTAGACAGCAGGGTGCCACTTTGGTTTTCTTGACCTTGAGACAGCAGTCTCAATTGATCCAAGCGCTAGTGAAATCCAATGCAGAGGGCACGGTTTCGAAGCAAATGGTCAAATGGGCCGGATCGGTGAACCCTGAAAGTATCGTATTGGTTAAGGGTATCGTCAAGTCCGTGCAGGAACCTATCAAGTCTGCGACAGTCCAGAACCTAGAGATTCACATCACTCAGATCCACACCATCTCCGAAACCCCACAACAGCTGCCTATTTTGATTGAGGACGCTTCTCGCTCTGATGCCGAAGCTGAAGCTGCTGGTCTTCCCGTCGTCAACTTGGACACCAGGTTGGACGCTCGTGTCATCGATCTCAGAACTGCAACCAACCAAGCGATTTTCAAAATCCAATCCGGTGTCTGCGAACTGTTCAGAGAATTCTTGTCGAAGAGAAAGTTTGTGGAAATTCACACTCCTAAATTGTTAGGTGCACCATCCGAAGGTGGCGCCAACGTATTCGAAGTCACTTACTTCAAGGGCAAGTCCTATTTGGCTCAAAGCCCTCAGTTCTACAAGCAAGAGTTGATTGCCGCCGATTTCGAACGTGTATTTGAAGTGGCGCCAGTCTTCAGAGCTGAAAATTCCAATACTCATCGCCATATGACCGAGTTTATCGGTTTAGATTTGGAAATGGCTTTTGAAGAGCATTACGACGAAGTTGTCGATGTGCTAGCTGACCTGTTCGTCTTTATTTTCACTGAGCTTAAGATTCGCTATGCCAAGGAAATTGCTTTAGTCCGTAAGCAGTACCCAGTTGAGGAGTTCAAGCTACCTAAAGATGGGAAAATGGTTCGCCTCGCATACAAAGACGGTATTGCAATGCTGAGGGCCGCTGGTAAAGAGATTGCCGACTTGGAAGATTTGTCAACTGAGAATGAAAAGCATTTGGGTGCTCTGGTTAGAGAGAAGTATGACACCGATTTCTACATTTTGGACAAATTCCCTCTTGAGATTCGTCCCTTCTACACTATGCCAGATGCTACCGACGCACGCTACTCCAACTCTTACGATTTTTTCATGAGAGGAGAGGAAATTCTGTCTGGTGCTCAGCGTGTGCATGACGCCGAATTCTTGAAAGAAAGAATGGCTCATCACGGTCTATCAACCGATGACCCTGGGCTAAAAGACTATGTCGACTCCTTTACTTATGGCTGTCCTCCTCATGCTGGTGGTGGTATTGGTCTAGAACGTGTTGTGATGTTTTTCTTGGACTTGAAAAATATCAGAAGAGCGTCGCTATTCCCAAGGGACCCCAAGAGATTGAGACCATGAACTAGTCGATGGTATATACAAATCATTGAATTGATGTCCACGCTTGCAATGGGCCCCGTCATGTCCACATTTTGTTTACTCTTGTATACGTACATCATGATACAGAACGGCAGCGATCGAGATGGATGAGTTTATTATACGTACAATGAAGAGAATCAAGAGATGGCCAAGTCATTCCGGAGAACACATCCAGCGCAATCCCTCTAGATTGCCAAAAGCCACATTAATGTCTGCAAACCCAGGAAACGCATTAAAGGCCTTATCGCCTACTCCTCCAGAACGTGGGTCCTTTCCGCTGGATCATGATGGTGAGTGCACCAAGCAAATGCAGGAGTATCTACAATGCATCAAGCTAGTGAGAGGTGAAAATGCTCCCAACTGCAGACTATTGGCCAAAGAGTACCTAAATTGTCGTATGGAACACCAACTGATGGAACGAGACGAGTGGAAAAATCTGGGATTGCCTGGCGACCCCAAGAAGCCGGAAAGCAGCGAGAAGCAGGCTTAATAAGAGTTTCACGATGTAAATATTAATACGAATGAATTCATGCATGGATGGCAATGAGATGGAAAATTGCCTTGCAATGAGTACCAAAAGGAGTAGATGCTTTTTTTTTCCAAATTATCTATACAAGGAGCTATACTAGCGTCGATGATTAGCTAATTTCGTCTTGTACACCTCGCTTAAGCCAAGGTGGTCAAGATGTCGGAGTCACCGGCGTCCAAAATGGAAACGACACCAACTCTGAAAAGCTTACCGACAGCGGTACCCAACTCGTTGTTACCACCCTGGAAGTAGTACACCTTGGTCTTGGACAACATGGCGTAGTATTCCAACTCGGACTTTCTCAACACTGGGGTGTTGGAAGCGACGATGATCAACTTGGACTTGCCCTGTCTCAAGGACTTGACAGTCGACTTGTAACCAAGGGTGTATTTACCGGACTTGATGACCAAGGCCAACTTTTGGTTGATAGATTCTTGGGACTTAACTGGGGCCTGTAAAGATACGGGTATGCTGTTAGTAACAAGGCCATATTGTGAAAAGCGGGGGAAAGATGCCCCAAATTCTAAATTATACTGACCATCTCTGTGTATTCTTATTGATGCTATGCAAACACTCCGGTCTTAGCTGAGGTTCTTTTAAAAAAGCTATCTTAATCCTCTCTTGACTAGATGGCTCGAGTTCATCTTCGATTTTTCACCAGGGCCCAACCACTAATTGGTTGATCAAATTTCACTCTGCGTGGGTCACAACCGCTTGGAACACATTGGTAAACAGGTTGTGACTGCTAATATCGCTCATGCTATCCTATGTATGGGAGATTCACCCATACACCGCGTACTTTATCCAATATTTTTCACAAAAAATTAATTTATGCGGAAAAATTGGGAAAGCGTGGACTTCAGAACGCTAGGCGGACCGCCTAGGAGCAGCCTAGTAGGACTACGGTACCACCAGCTGGGCGGAGCCAGCCCAGGAATGTTGCATCTGTCGGCCTAGCGTTCCGCAGTCCTGTCAAGCAGCCTTTGCCTAGCGCTTTCTCTTCCACCGTACTGGCGTAGGGTAGCTAGCTGCTAGGTGCTCACATCTTAGATTATTCAACTGAGTTGAATTTCCCAACTTCGACGACAGTTCAACAGTAAGAGCGGAAAACCAGCTGAAAGTATGTGAACAATGTGCACTAAGAGATGAACAGTACGAGAATGAGAGAGGTTTTGACCTGAGCTTGGTGGTGCCAGACGCTACTTCCAAATCCGTGGTGACAAACAGTTTCAGTCTGCATTCCGAGCAATATGATTCGAAATGGGTCTACTACCTGCTGATTGGGCATCAAAATTATTTGAATTGAAAAATCGTCCTATTCCATGGAAGACCATCGCACTTTCTTCCTTTGATAGAAACCAGCTCCTCGCAACGAATTTTTTTGTAGCCATTTTGTTTGTGCTAAACGATCTTACCTCTCGTACGGTCGTCTTCAGAGAACCAAGCGCTTTTTTGCAAGTTCTTATTTACTAACGCTCTGTCTTACAGCTCGAAAATGAAGGTTGAAATTGACTCCTTTTCCGGTGCTAAGATTTACCCAGGTAGAGGTACCTTGTTTGTCCGTGGTGACTCCAAGATCTTCAGATTCCAAAACTCCAAGAGCTCTTCTTTGTTCAAGCAGAGAAAGAACCCAAGAAGAATCGCATGGACCGTCCTTTACAGAAGACACCACAAGAAGGGTATCACTGAGGAAGTCGCCAAGAAGAGATCCAGAAAGACTGTCAAGTCCCAGAGAGCCATCGTTGGTGCTTCTTTGGAATTCATCAAGGAGAGAAGATCCTTGAAAACCGAAGTCAGAAAGGCTCAGAGAGAGGACAAGAAACAGGCCGACAAGGAAAAGAAGAAGGCTGACAAGGAAAAGAGAAAGTCTGAGAAGGCTAAGTCTGCCGGTGCTCAGGGCTCCAAGGTTTCTAAGCAACAAGCCAAGGGTGCTTTCCAGAAGGTCGCTGCCTCTTCTCGTTAAGAGAAGTTAAGATATCTTGTACGAAAAATGCAAATCTGACTGAACCAGTACCAGTAAGTAGTTCCCCACTTTCTAAGTTTTTTCTTCTGTGTACTTGTAATCTCGAACATCAATTACATCATAAAGTAGTCCGTCAAGGGTCCCGCACAGTTTCTTGTGGTTTCCGGTTCGAAAGCTTCATTTACATGGCTCAATCTGGATATTTTCCAGCACACCACACAGGCTGACTTGTTTTCGATGAAAACCACAACTTACTCTGTCGCCAAACTCAGGTTTTTATAGCTTTGCCCGATCTGGTACTGTGAATGAAATTAGATGAGCACCTCGACATTTCGATGTCCTTACACCGTGGGAAGTAAGTAGCGGAACAGATAGCATAGTACTAGCGCTGTTGAAGTAAGACTTGACATGATGGTAGTGCGAACCACAATTGGGCGTGGCAAAATTGTATAAAATGCTCCCACGACTGGGGTCATGGTTCCAACGAACAGTTTTCTAGAGAAGTTTTGTTGGACACCAGTAGACCTAGAATTATGAAACTGATAACGGGCACTTTGGTGCTATTTTTTTACACTGCCACTGCATTGGTAAAGGCAGCGGTAAGTAGCCAGACCATTGTATCTTGCGGTAAGGTTTCCACAGGCGGAACGTTGGAGAGCACGCCTTATAGCTCCTCAACAGCTTCCATTTTGGCTCGAGGCACTCCTGCAGTCGGTGTTTATCATTTCTACCGCTCTGTCACCTATGTCAGCGATTGCAATCCCAGCACACGGACCGCGACGGACGTCAACCCAACTATCACTATATACTAGAGAAGCGTTTTAGAAAGAAGCAGCAAATCGGGAGCATGTACCCACAATGCTGTGCAAATGGATCATATTTTCGTTACCATGAAACGTTACTGTTGCCGCAGTTTGCAGATATACGTATGGGTATAACATCTCAAAATAGTCGTTCAACTATGCCAGGTAATGACATTAATTGTAATAATTATGTACTAGACCTATTATGACAGTAACCAAAATCTTTACTTACAGCTACCCGAAAACAGTAAGAAACCACTTCGTAGCATACTTTAAACTTCGTAAAATCTTACCAGATGAGTTTTTACTGTTTCACGGATTCAAACACGTTCCGGAAACTAGTAAAAACCACTTTTCTCACGAATTGAATACTATCATTTTATTTACCTGAAGGTTTCCTTTAATTCTTGTTTCACCAAAACAACTGGTTTATCGTTGACACCACATACAGATCGAGACAATGCTTTCGAAACTGCTACTTCCTCGAGCGTTGTTCGAACATATGCGTGTTACGACCGTTTAACGATATTCTAAATTTAATATTAGTTGCATTATCGACCTTGACTCTCTGCCTCGACAAGACAAAAGTTCCAAATCTTGACCCAGCATGTTCGGCAGCAACTTGAGATATGCCACAACCGTTTTCCCGCTCTATAGAGCACTTTCCAGACAGTCTTTGAAAAGAACAGCGTTGCGTTTCAACACCACAGCAGCGAAAAGCAAGGAAAGACCCTCTTTAAAGAAGCTTATGCAAACTTACGGATATTCAGCTCTAGCAGTGTATTTGGGACTCTCTGCTGTTGATTTCCCCATCTGCTTTTTTGCGGTGCACTCTCTCGGCGAAGAGACCATCAAAGTTTACATCAATAAGGCCAAACAGATCGTGGGTTATGGTCGTGACGAACAGGAATTGATTCAAGAGGTTAGAGCACAGATTTCTGAAAAAGAGCGCAAGCAACAGCTTGGTGAAAAGGAGCACACCACATTGTGGACAAGAATGAAAGAAAGCACGCTTTTAACGGAGGCATTGATTGCGTATGGGATACACAAAAGTTTGATCGTGTTTAGACTACCGATTACAGCAGCCATTACACCGGCCACGGTCAAAATCTTGCAAAAATGGGGATTCAATTTGAACCGATTCAACAAAGGCTTCAAAACTGCTGGTGAAGGTGCGAAAATCAAGTACAAGACTGGCGATCCTAAAGATTTTGTAAGCGGCAAGAATATTCCCAAACAGGACCAGAAGAAAAGTAGAAAATGGTTTGACGGGATGATGTAGGTTGAAGAAGAAGAAGAAGAAGAAGAAGAAGAAGAAGAAGAAGCTCCTGGTTATGACCACTATTCTAAGTCATGTATTTGTTTTCAGTGGCAAGCATATCTTGGTGTTTGGTGCTTTGTAGTGCACACTCCCCTCCCTGTATATAATTAATAGACTATCCTAAAAACCAGCAAACACTCAAAGTTTGGCTTGGTTGCGACCCACCTTACACTTGATCAAACCGTTAGGATGTGGCGAAGGGTAGAACAGCTCGTTGTCGTTTTCGAGCCCTTCGAACCATTTCAGGTCAAACAAAAAGTAGTGTTTGTTTGGTAATTCGTAAGAGACGTAGGCCACTTGGGGAACATCTTTCAAGATGGCTGTTGCCATATTAAACATCGTGGCCTGCACGGATGGTGAGTTTTCCTTAGCAAAGATATCGAGAGTAATATCGCGCGCGTTAACGTAAGCGTTGTTGAAAATTGAGTCCTTCGCGCCTGACGCCACGCTGTTTAGGCAGCCAAGTTTCTTGTTACACCAGTCTAGGGTAGCGAAAATATCTGTCGATAAGACACGATCGGTTGTTGGTTTCAATGTCGTGTAGTCACACACGTTGTATCCGTAAAACATGGAGTTTGTAGACTTCAAGACCGTGAGATCCTTGATGGAAGTAGTCAAGGTGTAGTCTCTAGGGCCATTTTTCTTATCATAATCCAAAAAGACGACCTTTTTCTCAGGGCCCTGATGCACAAACGAGTGTTGAGAGGTTTTACCGTCAACGTCGTATTTGACCCAACGATCTTGAGTAATCTTAATGGTTAATCCTGACACATGTTCATATTTGGAGGTGAAGTGAAGAGCCAATCTCGCAGCGAATTTTTCAAGGGGGAAAGTGTCGTATTTCTTGGCCAATATCAAGATCGTGTTTTTAACCGTGTCGGTTGGAACAATAGGCGCATTGTCGGCCTCGGTGTACGAAACGTCAAAGTCACCCTTAAGCAACACACACACGGTGGCCTCCATTACTTCATGGAACTTATTGTTCTGCTTGTCCTTCTTAACTTTCAAGAACTTGACATTATCTTTCCCGTAGGTGGAATCAGCTAGGTAGGAGTAAGACATTGACTGGGTTTTCTGGGTTTTCGAGATGCTTCTTTAATCTGAAGCTGGTGTCTGTTCAATTCTTCATTTGGATTAACAACTTTCCCCCACGCTGTGTTTGGTGGTGTTTAAATACCTTTGCGGACTCTATTTCTCTGCCGCTCCCTTCCTTATTTCAGTTTTATCGAGATAACGAACGGGCTTGCCCGTTTTTGTCGATAATCCAAGGGTGGTGGTCAGAGATCATGATATCTTTCTTCACGACTTTGATATGCGATAAAATGCAATGAAAAACTAGGCATCGCGCATGCCCGATAGAAACCAGATCGTGTGATCTCACGGTCTATTTTCGTTCGGGGTTGCGCGGTCTGTAGATCAAACGGATATAACTGAGAAAACATGAAAAGGATCGATAGGACAACCTAAAGCGGCTGAAACGGCCAAAATTAAATGTGACCCTTGGCTGGTCATCTGCGTGTCGAGCGAATGAATAAGCATTACTCAGTCCACTTTTTCAACCCCGAGTGCCTCCTTTTCTCAATGTTTGACTTGTTAGTAGAAGGCTGATTGACATGCTGGCTTCAAAATATAACTTACAAGAAACTCATCAAGGTTTTTGATTGCCAATGCTTCTTTGACCAGCAAAAGAGCTGCAGCCCACATTTTCTTCCTTGCGTTAACTTGCTTATCGATTTTTTGCTCATAATCCTTGATACGCGTGATAATTTGTTCATCTTCTGGTTTCCACTGTAGCTTAAGGTCTTTTAAATGCTGCTCTATGCCTTCCATTTCCTTGATTGTTGCATCGATTGAAACTTTTAGTTCTGCGTTGGACGGCGTTTTTAAAATGCTTTGCAACTGTGCTGTAACTTCATTTCTGTCCTTCTCAACTCGAATCAACTCCTCTCGTAACTCCATCAGAGCTTCAAAAGAAACTTCTTCCGATCCTAACTCCTCGTTTTTTTCAAGTTCTTGTTCATTACACACGTAGATCGCAATCTTACCGAACATTTTACAGGTTATGCGGTTTTCTTTCACCAAAGTCTCTAACGCTTTGATGACGCTTGTTTTCGGCATGCTTTTGTGCAGGTTTTGCACAATATCATTAACCGCGTATGGTCGGTATTGCTCTGTAAGGTACACTTCAACAATGTTTTCGGCTGCTCAGGAATTTTCGACAGTTAGTTTCTGAATCTTGTAACAACGTTAACGTACCCTATTTCTGAACAATGGTTACTTTATATATCCATACCTTCCTTTCCTTTGACTTGGCCGCCCTTTTTTGTAGACATCTTGTGTTTTTGAGTAATGGGCTTTTTCTCAAAAGTGATTGTCGACAAGGAGAAACGATTAGCCGCCGAACTCTTTTTTTTATTTACATAATTTATATTGTTTTCAACGAAAGGAAAAATCCAATGCTCCTCCTAGCAAGCTTATCGCATTCAGCTGTTACTGGAGCAATACATGGCCAAACAAAACTTTTGATGGTGTATCAAGGGTATTACTAGATAGTATATGAATGGTAGGGATTTGACAGCCATTTACTGACGTCTAGAGGTGAAAAAGAACTAAAGTCGAGGGGCGTCAATCTTGAAGGTTATGAATCCCCAGTCACTTCAAGGCCGACCTCCTCAAATCGTGGTTGCACGACGCACAACGCGAAAACATGTTTGAAAGCTTTGAAAGGGAAAAATAAACGAATTGCGTGAAGCTATGCAAATGAACTACCGACTTCTCGGAGAGAAACGCCAAAGCTTTTTTTTCAAATCAGAATGGATGAACTTAGGAGGAGAATAAATGCGGTGAGGAACATCTTCTGAACAAACTTGATGGGGTTCAGGTTTGCGGTTTGTGCGCTGTTGGAAATCTGTATTGAACCGCCAGGGATTGATGACACAGATACAGTGGCGTAAGTTGAGACAAACTCAGTGTTAGAGTAGACAGTGGATGCTGCGTGCGCGCCACTGGTTGTCAGATAAGATGTCGATTCAACGGGGGTGGAAGACATCGCATAAACCGTGGTGGCACCAGGAATCACACTCTCGCTGTAATCGACAGAGAAACTCGCCGTGTATGCTGTTCCAAACGAAGGGCTACATCCGAAGGTTTGAGTTGATGGAACATATGAGGTTGCCGTCACGTAGCTTGTGGACACAGGGACGATCTCGTAGCTATAGAGGACCGCAGACGTGCCTTCGGTCAAGGTTCTGGTAGATGTGTAAGTTGTAACGCTGGTAGCCACCGATGTAACGTATGCCGGCGTCGTGAAGGTGGTCACAGTTGTGTATTCCGTTTCGTGTAGTAGCACGTAATCGGTGGTCAATGTTGAGTAACTGGTTTGGACTTCGTAGCTTACTGCAGTAGTTGGCGCATGAACGATGTTGATGCTTGTAGACGCCGTACAAGAGATGATGTCTTCATATATGACAGTTTGATAAACGGTCTTAGGCAGTAGCTCGCAATCAGGACACCGCTTATTCAGCGTCAAAACATCTGGGGAAATAGGCGCCACATGTGTCACTTGTTGGCCCGTTATCGTTACAGTCTCAAGGGATGTCGCTTGAGAAGTAGACGTAGTCACAGCCGTAACGTCGGAGCTGTATGTGGTCGTATCTAGGGTGACAAGCGTCACTGCTTCGTAAACCACTAGAGTCTGGAGGGAACTGGAATTCGAGTACAAGACACTTGGCGTAATAGTTGAAGTTGACAATTGGACATTTGTAAGCGTTGTTAGGAACTCACTGGTGATTGTCGTTGGAAGAGCAGTTTGGAAAGTGGTTTCGACGTTGCTCACATGTGTCAATGTATATGTGGAGTCAGGCAACGTTACGACATAAGTGGTGTATGCAGATGAGGGACTTGGCTGAGGAGTATTGCCGATGGCAGCAGGAGCACTAGTAATGGCGGCAGTTAGAGTAGATGTGTAAACTGTCGAAGTAGTAACGCCGTTGGTCACAAGCGCCACAGAGGTTACAGCGGCACTTGTTGTAATCGTAACTGTTGAAGTGGTCACAATGGGTGAGACAATCTCCGTGATACCTGAAATTGTCGAGTAAGAAGTAACGACACTTGAAGACGAAGTGGTGACAACGGTTGGAATTGATGTAGTGTACACAGTGGATTCTGTGACACTCTCGGTAACAACCTGTTGACTGTTGACGACAGTGGTGGTTGGTGAGCTAAACGTAGAGTAAATGACCGAGCCCTCAGTTTGCACAATGGGAGACGAGGTCACAACGGTTGAACACTGAAGTGTTGATGGCGTCGTGATAAATTGAGTCGCGACAGTCGTTAGTGCGACTGATACCGTTGATTCGGCTATAGTCTCAGTAGTGTAGACTGGTAAGTTGCTCAGAACCGTGACTATCGTAGAGGTGTACAAATCAGTTACAATCACAGTGCTTACAGGAATTGCAGCAGTGGTAGTAATAGTCTTAGTGAGAGTTGTGGATGTAAATTCCTGGCCTGGGATGGATGATGTAGAGAAAACTGGCGATTGGGGCAAGGAAGAGACTGCAGGTGAAGAGAAAGATTCTGGTGACGTGCCGGAATTGGGGGGTAGAGAAACTGGAGTAGTGGTGGCCACGGTTGTTTGAGAGCTCTGTGGAATTGAGGTTGATGACGTGATTGCTGCAGTGGGGGTGGTGGTGGTCAACGCAGCCGTGACGCTTGTCTCTGGAGTATTCGGAAAAGTTGTCACCGTAGTTTGGGTACCCTGAGGGGAAAGTGTTGTAGTCACTCCTGACGCTGGAGTTTGCGGTGGATTGGGTGTCGTGGCAGGTGGTTCTGGAACAGTTGTTTCTGGTGTTGAGGTGGTTTCGAATGTCGTTGAAACCTGAGCAGGAGGTGGGGAATTAGAAGTGACCTGCGTGGCCGGTTCGCCTGCGTTGATGGTGGTGATCTGCGAAACGGTAGATATGACGCCATTTGGCTCAGTAGTCACTATAACTTCAGTCCCTGCCAAACTATCTTGGGTGGTGATAGGCGTGAAGCCCACGGTGTCGATGGGAGCTGTGGTAATTTGTACGTATGGTGTAGTAGTTACAGCTGTAGTACCGCCTCCAAATGAAGTTGCAGTCGTTGCACCACCTCCGACGTTGAAAGTGCTGAACGCAGTCGTCGCACCATTTCCGACGTTGAAGGTGCTTGTTGGGACAATAACTTGCGTTCCGGCAAGACTCGCCGCGGTGGTGATCTCCGCTCCGTTAGGGAAATCGGAGTTTGTCTGTTGCTGGATGGTTAGTGGGCCGTGCAAAAGTACCGGATATGAAGCGTGACAATAAAACATACCTCTGGGATGAAGTCCGGAATGTAGTCTGTGGCATCAGTAGCAAATTGGGCTATCACTTGGTGTGCTAGTGCTGGGATCAGGGCCCATGTAATCAAGCGTGAAGGCATATCGAAATAAAAGGAGTATTCGTATCCAGTGATTGAACTCCAGAAATAAACCAACCTTGGGCGGCTAATCTATTATCTCTCTTTTTCTTTGTTTCTCTCTCAATTCCACTGTTGACCTGCAAAATAGTAGCTGACAGTAAGTGATGGAAATATTGGATGACAAAACTAGCAGCTCTATATGTATAGATAAATACGCGTTTTCTAATTTGGTTATTTTAATAAAGTCGCTCACCAGACGTTTTGGTGCAGCTTACACGGAAGATCTGGGAATAGAACGACTGACTGTTTGTTTTGATGGGCTAGAAAGAAACAAAAATTAAGCAGATCGTTCTTCTTCTTCCCATTAGCTAGCTTATTCCTGCCTCTTATATACCATTATTTCAGGGTTCTCCTTTTGCCACATATGGCCTTTTTGTGGCAGAATGATAGGGCGGTTACGAGCGGCTTTGCGCGGGTTAATTAGGATACTTTACGCGTTCTGCGTGAAGTTAAGAAGCGCTGTAGCTCCTTTACGCTGACACTAACTTAAGCGCAGTATGCACGATGCGCAAGAGAACATGCGGAGCTGCACGCCGTGGCACAATTAAAAAGGTACGTAGCATTCTGAAAACAAGGGTAAGATTTACAGGTCTTGAGGCACATCGATGCATACAAGACGCCGAAAACAATTGTGAGTGGTCACCGATTTACGCTGTGAGGGGTAACATTTTTGGTGCATGATGCATGAGATATGTCTTCCCGCATCAAATTTGCATGCATTTATGCACAGCGCGTAAAGACTGCATACATTTATGCACAAAGAGCCTCGGAGCTTTTTTTCGTTGGGGAAGAAGAGTCATGACGCGAGGCAGGGTATAAATAGAGCATGAAACAAGGATACTCAAAGACAATCACTTTATGGTTACTACACCTACTGATGAAAACCATGGTTGAAACGTTGCACTGTGAGTCAGAAGCTGGATGCAATCACCTAGCGATGTGCAAACGCTAGCCGCCGAGGTCCAAATCTGAATTTCAATATGGGTAAACAGAGATGGCTACAAGTATATTTGAACAATTGAGAGCATCAGCGATCAGATGTGAATAAATCTACGGCTATTAGTATAATCGAACAATTGAGACCGTCAGAGATCAATTTTGAAACACAGTGATGGCTGTCAGTATAATCGAACAGCTGAGAGCGTCAGCGTTCAGTTGCGGTAAGTCATATCATATGTTGAAACACGTCTTCAACTCACCATGTTGACGAGTCCATTTTACACACTCTCAGCGGCATAATTTGGGCGGGGGGAGGACGGAAAAAAAACGAAAATATAAAAGCACCCAGACACCCTAGCTTCTTCGCGCACGTGATTCACATGTCTTTTTGAAAACGTGATCTTGGTGATGCTCTTTTTTTTTGGTGTTTCCCCGGCTCACCCCGCACGGATTTCTCAGCTTCTCGGGCTCTGGCCAATTTAATTTGAATCTAATGGGAGTTGCACAAGTTCCCATGCCATCTACAACGCATATTCCAGTACCCCATCCATCTCACACGCCTTTGAACTCCAACCATACGAATGGACGACGCCGAGGCGAAGAAAAAGCGAAAATCTCCTAACTCGGGTCCAGACTCTCCAAGGCCGTATATCTGTCCTATATGTTCGCGGGCTTTCCATCGTCTGGAGCACCAGACAAGGCACGTTCGGACACACACAGGAGAAAAACCACACGTTTGCGACTTTGCAGGGTGTACCAAACGCTTCAGTCGAAGTGACGAACTCACACGACACAAACGCATACATACAAACCCGCATCCCAAGGGTAAAAGAGGTCGTAAGAAGAAAACGGATGTTGCACTTGGCATTGACAACAACAACAACAATAGTGCGGAATCTGTAGCGACTAAAAGCGGCAGAGATCGCAAGCCACGGGGTGCGACCACTTTTCAGCTGGGCGACGCAGATGAAGACGACGTATCAGACGTCAACAACGCAGCAAGCTCGTCCGAAGAGCAAAGTATGGGTCTACTTGTCAACGCGGCGCTGGGCAGTCTGCCCACCACTGGCAACAACGCATCTCAAAATGGGTCTAGTGGGCTACACACGGTGCGCTCTCTCCCGTCGATGAAATCGTGGGATCCTTCGCAGGCCAGAAATTCTCCTCCGGGACAGACCCCTGGAGGAAGCCATTCTTACTACTCGTCAGCCGTCAATCTCCAGCAACAAGATGGCCTGCCTACCAAGCCGGTGCCGACACGTCTCAAATTGAATGTACTTTCATCCCTACAAAAGATGACACCATTGGCTCCGGTTGGGAGTCCCGAACGCACTCTGAACCTACCGAACCCCGCAATCGTGAAACCTGGGTTTACATCACAAGAAGGCTACACAACGGTTATACCACGCGCAAGAAGCACACTAGGCTCATTTCCCACGCATGGTTCCTCAACTTCGCTCACTAGCATTTCTAATTTGATAACAGCGGATGACGGTGACGACGAATTGGACGACGATGAGCTGGGCCGGGCCCGGAAAAAATCGAGAACCACCACTCCTACCATGAGTCGCAGTCACAGCAGGACAAACTTATTGTCGAGCGCAGGCTCTTTCACGAATCTGTACCACTTACAGCAACCTCCGGGCATCGCGGGTATGCTTTCGTCCAAATCTTCCACAACAGATTTCAGCCGAGAGCTGGATCAAAAACTACAAAACGTGCAAAAGACACATTCGGGTCAATTCATGGATCATTACATTTCCTCACCTTCGGCAGCCCTTTCGTCTGCAACGTCTGCCAAATACACACCGTTAGGGACACCGCCCCGAATACCGAGCCCCTCGGATGCCAAGATCCGTTCGGATTTGAAGACTGCCGCTGAAAGTGCCAGTCGTTCTGGTGAAGAACCCGTGTCAGATCTTCCTCCGATCAGAAGTTTGCATTTACAGTTTCCTACTGGGTAAGTGCGAGGTGATTTTAATTAAACAAATTTGTAATAATAATTGATAGATACTAGACTGATGAGCGGGACTGAAGATGTTGATTGATCGATGAAATGTGTTCGCTGTGCTATTATCACGTTGGGTGGAGCAACAAAACGTTTCTCAGCCAAGAAGTATGGCGCTATGTTCCGGATGATCTGAAATTACACTGAAATTTGATTGTAGTTTGGTACGAGCTGCGCTGTTTTCAGGTTGCTGTAATGACTATTGTGAATATTTCAGCGAATGTTAGAGAGATTCAGATATCTTCACTGATGAGCATGTTTGACCAGCGTTTCCAAGCATAGTTCCACCTCGCCTAAGTTCACGTCGAATTAGGAAAACCCAAAAAAAAAAGGCTTCGATCTAATCTTTTTCGAACATTCGGAAACAGTCAAGTTCGGTTGCAAATAAATCGCAGGCCATCAACAAAAACGCGTACCTCTAGGAGCTTCAATGAGAAGAGCAAGCGTCCTTCAGGAATTCTTGCACATCGCTAAATCAATTGTGGCGAGATCACTTTGTACTCTCCTGGCTCCGCGTCAGCACATTATAAAGTGATCTCAACGTCTTTCCTCTCTCGTATGTGCAAATGATCATCGTTCAAAAGTAATGGTCGGTCGGTTGACATAGGGTGTCGCACCCTTGTGTTCCGTCTGCTTTGTTCTAGAAACACCCCGAAAAATGAACCGAGGAAATTCACCATTTCATTGATACATGCTCTTTCCCTTCTGGTCTTCACGGTGTCTATGATCCAACGCTACAACCAAAAACGTGGCAAAAAATGTTACCGTATGACGCCGCACTCGACGCTTAACCTCAAAGCTCGTTGTTTTGTTGTTAGTTAATTCAAATCTGGGCCCCAAAACACCTGTGTCATTGTCTTTGATTTTTTTTTTTGGGTTTTTCGCGGAAACAACGATCGTCTCTGCGCACAACACCGTGGGGTTTCCGGCTCGTCTTGTTGGACCTGTCACCACCGCTGTAACCCTACAAATTGATCTTTGATTCCTTACAAAAGTATGTTGTGTTAGAAAAGGCAAATTTTTTTTTCCCACACACTGTTATTGCGATGCGATGCGATGAGATGCGACGTTGTCCGTAGTTTCGGAAGTATCTCCCGAATTCTACCCATCTTGCGCCTTGCTGAACCTTGTAGGCTGTGTATGTGTATTTTACAGGAAAAAAACGTTCCTGAGCCAAATCCGGACCTAGAAGCGGCACTCTTGTCGCCATGTAACAAACTATCTTATTTACCGAGCTATACCTACATGTTTCAGATAAAAAAAAAAAAAAAAGAGGATTAAGACTGGACTTCAAACACCTTGGGCATAAGGAATGTGAGGCTGCTACTCAATGCTCATTCCATACACACATGATCCATTATTCTTGTCCTTAATCCAGTACTTTCCCACTCCCTCTTGAATATGTTGAAAAATACTTGTCCGTCAAGTTCTTGTTACTTACTGCTATATTTGACTCGTTAATATAAATTTAGACTAGAACTTCGCCCGTCATGTCGAAAAACTGAACCGGAATGATACACTGTACGAACGGACCAAGCGCCGTAGAGACGTCTAGAAGAATTGGGCCAAGCCAGTGTCATCATCGCATAAAAATTTGGCACGCGGCAAGAGGGATCAAAGATAAAAACTCATCGAAAGGATATATAAATACTAGAAAGCTAGTCTTTAGTTAGTTACACATAGAAGAACAGTCAGAGATAGAATTGCACATAGAAGCAATAAGGCGTGGCTTGATCAAGACTACAAGCTAAAACAATCGGAGAGGGTCAAAGAGGGTCAAAAAAAGACACACACAAAATCGCATGGATATCGGAAACTGGTAAGCAGCAGAACTAGCAATTAGTCTGAATCCGTGTGACTTGAGGGAAAAAAACTCAGTTCGTTCCTGTTCTTTTTCTTCTTCTACTTCTTCTTCCTTTTCTTCTTCCTTCTCTACTGCATGTCGGCCTTTAACGATTACTGCGTTGTTTGTGAAACGTTGATCAAAAGCTCTACCAGCAGCAGACTGTACTGCTCGTCGGCGTGCTGCCAGCAGGATCTGAACTCCAAACGACGCAAAAGCGCAGTGGAAGAGCTCGTGGCCACCCCGCAGCTTTGTCCGCTCGATCTCGACGCAGGTTGCGATTCTGAAGACGAAGAGCTTTCAGATCTCGACTATAAGGCCACCGTTCCAACCACAGTCAGCACCCCACGGTCTGGCCAAAAAGAACCCGCTTGGAACGGGTATTTTTCACTCGCTTCAGAACCATCATTGGACCACACCGCGGAAAACAACTATCGTCTATGGCTTAACGCTCAAGACGCTTAGCTTTGCACCCGTCATTCCGGTTTTCCCACACATTCGCATTTCATTATTTTCATATCCAGCTTTCTCTCGCTAGCATCACAGTGAACATCGTTTCCTCAAAGAACCGACGTTTGCTTATTCAACGATTCATCATGACAAAAATTTTAACGACCAACGCATTCCCAAGCATGCTTTGCAAATGAAGCACTGGGAACCAGATATACGTATATATACTAACATATGTGTATGACCCGGAAACGTTTCGGCACTTTGGCAACCTAGCCTGAAGCTCTGTAGCGATTTCCTTTGCATTAAACGAATGAATCCAAAATTATCATAAGATTGTAAAGATAAAAGTTCACAGTTGTTACAATGTGTATATAGACAGCTGCTGCTGGAAATCCGGTCTTACCTAATTTGAGTCAAACGCGTGGTGTTCAAATGGATCCTGATGTCCATGTTATCAGTATCCTCTTCAATGTTAGCAATGCGGTTCTGTTGCGCATCAATCTCTTCACCACTTGCGATGGCAAGCCTCTTCAAACGGCCACTGATCTGTCCCACCTTATCGAGATTCTTGTCAATCTCTAGTTCCATCTCATCATCTTCGGCGTCATTTTCAAATTGATAACGCTTTGATTTCTCTAAAATTGCCTGGTTCTGGTAACGCTGTTTTACACTGTCGTGTGGCTCCTGTCCTGAAGCGTTCATTGCACTTTCGATTCGATTCGTTGATTGCATCAAGCGTCCGTTTGTCTGTTTTTGAATGAGTTTGTCCTCGATTCTTTGCGTCCTTATGCGTTCCTCTGCCTCTCGCAGGCGACGCTTGGAATTGAAAGGATTGCTCATATGGACCGCCAAAATATTTCGATTGAGCTTTTTCAGTTCCGCAACTTTATCATCCGCGACTCTGTTTTGCATCCTCATCAAATCTAAATTTCTTTCGACATCGTTCAATTTCTCACTCTGATGACCCAGCATTCCAAGCGTGTTGGTTCCTGCCATCTCCGCTTCTTGCGCCATTTTAAGTGTATTTCTAGTGGAAGCCACTGAGCTTTGCTTTGTGAACCTGATCTGCTGTTTGATCTCATCAACTGCCTCATCTTCTTCTTGCTGTTGTCTCTGTTCGTTTTCTCTTTGCATTTCTTCGAAAGTCTGGAACCCGCGGTCACTGGAGCTATCTTGGGGATAGCTCTGTTGTACCATGGACTGCTGCTGCTGCGTTTGTTGCCGTTGATTCACATCGTTTCCATACCCTACATGCATAGGCCCGTTGAAATCATCCTCCTCTTCTTGGATGGTTGCATTCAAGTCGATTTCGTCGTCTTGAGGGCCCGAATCTTTACCTTCAGATTTCGATGGGTTTTCAAAATCGAAAGAGTCTTCTGTGGCTGCTTTGGCTATACGGTTGTCCGGTTGGGGATTCTGATCTCTTCTACTTTGAGATTGAGGATTACCGTAAGCCGAATTGGACACCTGAGACTGCTGTGATACTGTGTTATAGCTGTTGCCACCACTGGCTGAACCGTATGGATCGCCGGCTAATGAGCTGTATGGATTGCGGGAACCTCCTTGCCCAGCCGAGGAATTTTGATTCAACGGTGGCTGTTGGTAGGGATTTGTTGAACTCGATTGCTGTCGCCCATAAGCACTGACATTCGGCCTCTGTTGACCATACGGGTTAGAATTAGACTGTTGCTGTCCATAAGGATTCGAATTTGGCTGCTGCTGGCCGTAAGGATTAAAACTGGGTTGCTGTTGCCCATGAGGACTAGAATTAGAGGTTCGGGCATATGGGTCACTAGGTGGTTTTTCGTATGGATTATTCGGGGCGTAGCCCGAAGAACCTGTCGATGAATACGGGTTTGAATCCTGACGACGGTCCTGAACATTATTTCTAGCATACGGATCGAAATTGCTCTTATCAGGGGCCTGCAAATATGGGTCGCTTTTTGATTCAGTGTCCAACTCTGACTTGTTCAAATCCTCCAAATTGGCCTTGCTTTGGGCGCTATTTTCATAGCCAGGTGGTGCATAAAACCTGTCTTCCGCGTTGTCCTTTGCGAAATGCCCGTATGCTGCAAATTTCGTCTTCTTCGTTCTGTTCACATTCTTCGTGGGGATACCCAGTTCATTCAGTTGGTCACGGTTCATTTCAGGTGTATCCTCCTCGGGAGGCTTAATTTTGAAGAACTTTTTGATCCCCATATTGCTGAGCTATCTGTTGACGGATGCAACAATTCTTGGTGAGGTAAAAGTGCTCTTTATGGTTCTTGCAGCTTGCTTGAAAGTAACGTTCCGGATGGTATTACCGTAGTTTCGCTATTAATTATCTTGAATACGCTTATATACTGATCGTATAGTATGAGCGTATATGAAAGTCACATGGGAACACTACCGCTACCACAACCCGACATTCCCTGAAAAAATATGGTATTAAAGCAAACTTACATGCCCCTAAATGCATTCTTACCAGCCCTTCTACCCTGGGAGCGTGCCCTAGACCTTCCGCTATCTCTTTGTGGTGTATCTTCATCGCTACCGGTCCTGATATTCTTTTTATTATTCTTGTTGGAAGATGGACGTTTGGTAGGTACGTAGCTGAACTCAGCTTCTCCTTGATGGTTGCGACGAACACCAGCTGTATTTTGATCGCGTTGGCTCTCTTTCTGGCGCATTTCTTGCACTTTCGTGTCAAATGCTTCACCCTGCGCGTCGCTGGATACCATTCCTACACTCATTTGATTCATGAACTGAGCCTCAGTTGCACGCTCCCGTTCACGACGCTGGGCTGCTGCGATCTTCTTGGCGAGTGCCTTCTTTTCTTGCTCGCTCATTTCGTTAGAATTAGGTTTACGGTCGCTTTCACTGTCATCGTCGCCATCGTCATCTTTATCGTCATCCTCTTCCTCAGAATCAGAATACTGACCACGACCCTCCCGCAAAGCAATTCTTTCTTCGTCGGATTCCTCTGCAGCAGTGAGTGCTCTGATACGCTTCGCAGCACCTTCGTCAGTTTCTTTAGCAGATTTGACGGGGTTCAATTGTTTGTAATCGTAATCTTGTTCGTCCACTTGGAAATCTTCGTCTTCAAACATTTCTTTAAAACGATCATCCGTAAGAACATTTTCAGTGTCCTTGTCACCGCGTTTCTGAGACAATTTGTCCGCCAAGTCTTTGTTGAACTTAACCTGAGGCTTCTTGACAGCCCCAGATGTACGAATGCGCGACTCCCTTTCTTTCTCAATACGACGTCTGATTTCCCTTTCTCTTTCATCTTTGTATGAGTTGGGGTTTGCAATGAGCGCAACTTTATCGTAGAGTTCGTTGTTGATGAAAAACCCATGCATGTATGCCCTCAAGACCTTCGAACCCACCAAATGAGCCAGTCCCAATTTCTTGACGTCATCTCTCGTAATAAATCTGTAGTTCGAGTAGACGGAATCACTTGGTTTCTCTTCCAATTCCTCAGTAATAGAGTCCAAGAAGGAGCACCATTGCGGGGCAGGCCCTAAGTTGGGAATGTAGTAAGTATTCATCGCAATACCTTCATTTGCGGTGAAAAACATACCGGTACCAGGAATGTGCTCTATGTCATTGATATCCACACTTGGCTCCATTGAAGCATAAGCCTTCCCATCATTCTTGTTCCATATTTTAGCAATCCTTTTGTCACAAGTGAGTATATTATTGCTCCCGCCTTCTGCTCCTGTGTTCTCCAGCCATATGATCTTCTTGATTTCAAAACCATAGCCCTGATCCTTGACAATCGTGGGCTGCGAAGTCCGCAGATCGTACAAGTAAGAGTAACCGGTTGATGTACCACATGCAAAATTGAGACCATCGCTCCTGAAGCTAGTCGCTGTAACTTGAAAGGGAGATGTGTCAAAGCTATTTTCCAAGATCAGCTTTGCTACCCTGGACCGGGCGCGGGAGTCCCAGAATTCGACCACATTATCCTCCACACCAACTGCGAGCAGCCCATTCGTTTCATTCACCGATACATGATTTACACCCTCCGTGTCAAGTTTGAGAGGATTCAAAAACCTCCCCTGTTCCAAATTAAGTCTGTATAGTTCGTCTCCACTGGCACCCACGTACAGGTCACAGTTTGCTTTATTATACGCCAAACTCCGCCCAAACTTAGGTATTCTCGTGGTGTAATGAAGACCACCTTTGTTTTGAAACTGAATACTCCTGTCGTTTTGTAGATGAACGCTTTTTGTCCAGTCATCAGAAAGGATCAAAAAGTCAACGTTTTCGGCGTCCGTGTGTCTCTCAAACTTTAGCGATAGATTTGCAAAATCATACAGGTGGATCTGTGGTTTATATGTACCCGTGGCCATAGCGTATTGACCATCTGGTGTACACTTGATCTTGTTGGAAGCCTCACTGAATTCGAAATCCTGAACCAGCTCCACGCGGTTTTGAAACTCCAGGTCATGCTTGAGCGACCGCTTTCTCTTCTTCGCGATCCAGTCCGGCAGAGACCTTGAAACATTTGTACCAGAAACTTGATACACAGAATTATCACTCGCTGACGTCGATTTGAGAACCATTTGCAGCTTTAGTTCGGCAGTTCTATCAGACGTACAGAACCAGACGTCAACACGAAGATGAGCTGAGATGAGCTGATGAGATGAGATGAGCTTCAAAATTTTTCGAAATTAAGTTTTTCGCCAACCGGGCTCCCCATGAAAACGTCATTAATGGGAAATAGAAATTTGAAATTGCATACATCAAAAGCTTACGGACTTCCGTTGTAGCTGCTTACTACTGTTGAATATAGTTGAATCGGTCCACATGCACTGACTGTGCTCTGCTGTTGTTCGCGGCCCGGTTGTGACCACCTAGAATGTAATTTTTACCCGTGCTGACCGCGGGTCCAGTCTCTGGAGATGACAGAGGGCCCTGCGAAAAGCAGTTGGGGCTCCAAGAGTTCAAATTACTCAATGATCTTGGCGCGGTACCACTAAATGTGGTGCCGTGCTCATTTGCATTCGTTAATTGCTGTCGTCCGGTCGAGAAGGATGAGTGTAGATTAAAACCTTCGACCGCTGAGTTGGATGGTTGAAATATCTCCGCAGGCCTGGAGCTTGGGTGACTGTGCTCACCCTGTGGCATTGCATTTTCTCCTTCTGTGTTAACATGTTGAGGTCTGCTGGATGGAACGAATGAGTTTGCATGAGCATTGTATTTTGCAGTCTGGTAGTTTTTTCGGAACTCCGTGCTATCGCCTGTTTTGAAAAGTGGCGATGCTGATTCCATAGGCAGAGCCTGTGCACTGTCTCGTGGGAACATAATATTCAAAAAGCCAGATACGCTGAAACTTACAGCTGCCACAGGTAGTACTTCGGTCTTGAAAATTTCGGTCATAAACCGTCCATAAGTGTCTGTTCCGTCGTTCCACAATATGATATGATTGTAAAGCGCATCTAGGATGAGTTTTTTGGTGGGTGTGGAGCCTTGCAGTACGTTGAGAGCAGACTCGAAGAGTATATGACTCAGGACTTGCATAGACACCGCATGCATGTTCAAATCGATTAACGAAATACGGTTGGAGAATCCAATGAATTCATACAGCGATGCCCCATCGAGAGTCGAAACTAGAGCTTCGAAGCAATTCAAAGCATTCGGTGTCATTATTCTACTCTGAACCTCGGCCTCTTGCTCATCCATTAGGGTCCAGAAGTACACCCCCTCGTGAAGCTGCCGACTCAAAAGTAAAACAGAGGTGATTGCAACGAAAAACAGCTCAAAAATTTCAGATTTCGACTTGGTTCCCACAACTTGTGATAAATTGATATGCTTTTCTTGGCTTATGCCTCTAAAATCGAGGGACAGATCAATACCTTCGCGACCGTAAAACATCAGCAATTTCCGGTTGATGAACACAGCATGATTTAAGGATTCCAGAATCGAGAGTATTATATCAGAGAACTTACTCATCTGAAGTGGTAACTCTGAGTCTCTTTTGTCAAAGCCAAACGATGCCCTGGAGATTGGAGGTATGTCAGGAACAACTTGGTCGAAAAATCTGGGAAGCTCGTATGGCGATTGCCTCAAGGCCCAATTTCTTTTGTCGGAACTAAATTGAGGAGCACTGAACATAAGATTCCCCGTATCAACAAGAAACCGAGCAAGGATATATTGCAGAATGTTCGCGAGTCCAAAAAGACTCAAAGTGCTTCCCATTGTACCCAGCTCCATATGCAAAGTCTCTATCTGTCCATTCTCGCAAAGATTGCGGGTTTGACGCAGTGCGCAGTTTAGAAGAAACGTTAAATGAGGCTCCTCTAAAAAGTTGAGATCCGGGTGGTCCACTATTTCCATGAAGACAGATAAGGTGAACACATTGCTGTTCTCTACTTTCATGAAACACTCATTGCCAATGGCCTGTGATAAAATTTTATGGCTAAATTCAGCAAAAGAGTTCGAGACATAATTGCGGCATTGGATCGCACGTCGTGCGACTCTGAGCAGGAAAAAATTGAGGGATGTGGTTTTGCGATCTTTAAGCTCGTGCCAACGCAGCACGTCGTGTTCTCTTGAGGCAATAATGAAATCCAGTTTATGTTCCTGGGTAGTCGCGAGCAGTAAGTTTTGACTTAAAACACAACTGTACAAATCTGGCAATGTTTCGTATGACCATAGAGGCACCCACACGGTTCTGAGGACAGAACCGAGCGCCATATTCAATGAACGAAGTATTGATGTTTTGGGATGCTCGAAAAGGTTCAGTTTTGCCACAACTGAGTACACGCCAGGCTTATAGTCTGGTGCTAAATTCACCGTGCCGCACAATTCACGCAAAAGCGACCCCAAAGTGTGACTTTCAGCTATTGAACATGCGAATTGATGTGCTAGCGACTTCAGATCTTTGTGCACTGCACACCCGGCAAAAGCAGCTGCTAGTAAGTCCGCACATATGTCCCTGTGGTCTTGCTGGCTCACAAGCAGCTCGAGCAGGGCTGTGAGTGGATCCACACTGCTGTCCTCGTCACTTGTGACATGTTGATCATTGTTGAGCGCCAGAACTCCATTGACAAAACGCTCAATCAATTCCCATTCGTCACCCTTACTGACGCGACAACACCCCAATTTGAAGACGCCATAGTCGACTGACTTCAGTGTGGGCACTAACGGGCCGGTTTTTGCGGGTTTCTTTTTGGCTTCCATCTCGGCGGCTAACTACTGAACACACTACTTCTAGTACTATACAAATGTCCTATATGTTAGATATGTAAGAAGCTATGTACACTAAATGTCCTTGTTATATATTCCAAGTTCAATGGCTAGATCTGAGGAAATACCTGATGAGCTAGGGGTTTTTATATGAAACAGGGAGACATTACTTGTTGTTTGAAAAGTGACACATCACTGAGGGTTAGGATGACTTTATATACAGCCCTTAGAAATTAATTGGTCTGAGGACGCGTACGATTGCGTATCAAGTGACGTGAAAGTGATTCGCGTCAGTTACGGCCTGAAACAAAACCGGTTTCTTCACATCTCAGACCAAGGGAGCATTCTCGAGTGAGCCAGGGGCCATGAACGGTCGCAGCTGTGCTGGATGCATGTGTTTTAGTATTTTGGTGTGTAACGTGGCAATTTAGACTTCGACGGTCTTGAGGAATTTCTACTGTAACAAGGAACTCATGGTGTTCAGAGGAGCCAAAGTTGATTAGAGGAGTGAAAACCGGTTTGAAGCGATTGTCTAATAATCAAATGCCTAAAAAAATGCTAAAACATGCCATTATTGGTCTTTATGGGATTTTTCTGTCATCTTTACTAGATTTTGTCTGACGATTGGCACAGATAACACTATAGATAGCTGTTGAGAACATCGTTGGATGCTTATGGCTATATGTTACTAACGCACGCATCACTCTGACACCAACACTAAACGGTCACAGCTCTCTCATGTGATCTCTCCGTCGCTGAGGGATGTCGTTCGTGAGCATAATCAATTTTGAACGCCGATCAGCGTTCAAGTGGCATGAAATGGCGCTACTACTCAAATTAAAGCGCATTCAAGGGTGACTCTAAGTTATCACCGAAAGCAGTATCCAGTTTCGATTCGTTTTTGTTGCCAGGTTCAATTTTCCGGCCTGTCTTTCCAATTTATTCGATCAGGTTTCTGTCCAAAGAAAAGAGTTCTCACCGCTTTCCAGCAAGTATTGTCAAGCGGACAGTGCTTACTTCTGTTAGGAGAATATCGTGCAAGCTTCGCTTTCGTGAATCACTTTGTCACGGCGGGTCCTCATTCGAAAAGGATTTCTTGCAACGTTCTAGGGGAAACTTATCCTGCGTACCCTTAAATCTCAGTGGTGCTATATAAAGGCGCCGATATCGCAACAAAACAGCGGAGAAAATCAAATTGACCAAACTAAGGTCGAAATTGGCAGATCCAAGACCAGCTCCCACTACGGTTTGCTTTTTATCTCAAGACTTTTTTTTTAAGCGGAGAAACACTCGTCATGGGCAAAGCGTTGATAATTGTGGACGTGCAGCACGATTTTCTTCCTCCAAAGGGTTCATTAGCGGTGTCTACGGGTGATGAAGTGGTGTCCCCCATTGTGGAATTGATGCAGGATGAACGATGGTGCGTGGTTGTAGCCACACAGGACTGGCATCCCGAGAATCACGTGTCGTTCGCTCGCAACCATGATCTGCCGGATTTCAGCCCATTTGACTACACAGCGCCCTCGAATTCAAGCAAGACGCAGCGGGCTACATTATGGCCCGTACATTGTGTGCAGGACTCATGGGGCGCCCAACTGGCCCCAGAGCTTGCTCAGGCACTGGACGGTCTTCAATGCGACCATCATGTGGTGCAAAAAGGAACTCTGAGCGACCGCGAATATTACTCTGCATTCAACGATATTTGGAACGATCACCACACAGGTTTGGACGCTTTGTTACAGAAACACGGCGTCAACGACGTGTTCGTTGTGGGGCTTGCCCTCGACTACTGCGTCAAAAGCACTGCCATTTCAGCAGCCCAATTGGGCTACCGGACCACCATTCTTAAGGACTTCACCCGTGCCATTGCCTCGGATGACCGTTCTATGTGCAATCTCAAACAGGAGCTCGTTCAAAACGATATTTCACTGAAATGATAGTTCGGATGCTAAAGACAATTCCAAAGAAAAGAAGCCTCTCCACCTGCTTATCCAACGTTGTGATGGGTCTGAAACTCTGGTGCTTTCTACGTGCCAAGCTCTTTTTTTTTTGTTCGCTAATTCTTGTCAAACATACTCCATATGTTCAAAAATTCTTTCTACTTTTTCGTGATTTCGCGATTGATCCATACATAGCCTCAACAAAGAAAAGCGAAATATAGCAACAAAGCCCGCGAATCTGGACCGTCGTAATTAAATGAAGAGCGGTTCGGAATAGGCTCGTAATAAATGTCCCTCACCATTGGGGCTAATGGTGTTGCTCACTGTTTTATGTATGCTAGAAGGGTTCTTATTTTATAGTTTGACATGCTCTGATGAAATTATATTAGATTTTGAATAAAATCAGAGTATGCTAAAGACGAGCAACTCTTAACTTCAAAAGACTGAGAGAATAAAGAGCCTGGCAAGGAAAGGAAGCCATGGCCAAATTCACCAAGCGCGGGAAAGTCGTGATAGCATGTGCTGTGTTTCTGTATGTGCTGGTTTCAAGCCAGATCAGCAGCTGGAGATTGAGTTCTGACTTTTATACTGGGTTTAAAACGCTACTTCCGACTACGTCCAATACCAAAGACATCAACCTACGGGAGTATCGACCGGAAAACCTGCGACAGGAGTCAGTTGCTAGTTTGAGATCGCAGCTGACGCTGCAGTTCCCGTATGATGCGTCACAACCGATGCCGCAAAGGGTGTGGCAGACTTGGCGAACAGCATTGGACTCGCCCAAATTGTCACCGGAATTTCGCAAGTATAGCGGTCTCTGGAACGAAGCAGCTACGGAGCAGCAATTGGGTGAGTATGCCCTGATACCAGATAGCCACATGCCTGCGCTCCTTCAAAACCTATATGGTGCAGTCCCGCAGGTCATTCAGGCGTTCGAATCCCTTCCGCTTCCAATTCTCAAAGCTGACTTTTTCCGATACCTGATTCTCTACGCACGCGGTGGTATCTATTCGGATATGGATACGTTCCCGCTGAAACCACTGGACACATGGCCCTCGATCGCATTAAACAATAAACCTCATGCACGGTTGCCTATCCAGTATAGAGGACTGAAGCCAGAACGCATTGGTTCGGCTCCTGAACCGGGTTTCGTAGCCGGAATAGAAGCCGATCCTGACAGGCTTGATTGGAATGATTGGTACGCGCGTAGAATTCAATTCTGCCAGTGGACCATTCAGTCGAAGCCAGGTCATCCTCTTTTGAGAGAGTTAATCATAAACATTACTGCTACCACGCTTGCTAGCACTAATGTTAATAGCAAAGTTCCGGCCCCAGCGTTCATCATTGATGAAGATCATAAAAGTGACTATTTGGTGAATTGCCGCGATAAAAGAAGGTTTGATGATAAATTTCCAGCAAATCAGAAAAAAACATCCAAAAACGCTGATATGACTGATACCATGAACTGGACAGGGCCTGGTATTTTCACAGACGCTATTTTCAACTACATCAACAACCTTGTCCAAACTAATACGGACATATCCATCATCAACAATAACTTGGGGACAGACCGCCAAGGCGGCTCTAAGACACAACAATTTTACCGGAAAATCACTCAAGGCCTCGAGTCTAGTGCTACTTTTGTCAAGGAGTTTTTCACTTTGATCGAGGAACCGGTTATGATCGATGACGTTATGATTTTACCCATCACCAGCTTCTCACCAGGTGTTGGTCAAATGGGTGCCAAGATGGATGACGACGAAATGGCGTTTGTTAAGCATATGTTCGAGGGTTCGTGGAAAACCGATGGATCTTCTAAAATAAGCCCTCCGCCACAGCAGGAAGCTGCCGATGATGCTTGATCGTTTCGGTAGCGTTTACCCGCATGCTTACAGAGAAGTTCAATATCGTGCTGTCCAGCTTTACATATATATATAATTACACATCGCATCTTGAAAAAAGAGGCTCTCGCTAAAGAATAACACAGTCTTTCTTTTTCTTGCGTTTGATATCGAGTTTTTTGGTCTTACCCTGTGATGAGAGCTTCGCATTAGAGGGCCGATCAATAGCGGTATGAGCCTTCGCTAGTGGTCCCTGTTGACCCTGCTGCAGCCCGAGAGGGCTGTTAGGTCCCGAACCCGATGTGAGGCCTGTTTCGCGGCGCGACATACGACCTGCGGAGCCGGGACCTGCGTTAGTTTGCACCTCCATCTCATTTCGGATGATTTGTCTGACCACGTCGACGAACACTTCGTCTACGTTGCTCCTTAGTAGCGCACTTGTCTCGTAAAACGGCACTTTCCCCCACTTACTGCTCATTTCCACCCCTTCTTCCACCGAGATTACCCTTTCACCTTCGAGATCCGCTTTGTTGCCCACCAAAACCATTGGTACTTTCGTTGAATCCTTTATACGCAAAACCTGTTCTCGTAGGTCTATCAATTCCTCCAGTGATTGCCGGTCTGTTACCGAGTAAACCAATAAAAACCCAAGTCCCGACTTGATGTACAGTTCTCGCATTGCTGTGAATTGGGCCACCCCAGCTGTGTCTAAAATTTCGAGATCGAAAACCTTTTTGTCGATCTCCATCGACTTACGATATGAGTCTTCAATTGTGGGATCATAGGCATCCAGGTATACTCCTTGCACAAACTGCACTGTTAGACATGATTTACCTACACCACCAGCTCCCAAAACAACCAGCTTGTAGTCCCTCATTATCGACTTGTTTTGGAAATTCTTCGACAATTCTTCGAGATACTAACCGTTCAATGTTTCTACCTGATAATGGGTTATTTTTCAATAATTATTATAGCCTTACGGACAACAACATATTGAAAAGTTCCAGTTATATATAAGGAATTCGCTTTGAAAGGGCAATGAAACAGGATAGATTACAGGATTACTGATAACCATCTTTCCGCTGTATCATGCGCGCTTTCTTTTTCAACCCAAGGTCTCTGCTGTATCGCTCGATAGGCAGGTTTCACTCAACTGCGGCTAATAACGATGTTTCGTTCTCGATGTTAAGCTTGAAAATCGGATGGGCATCGCAGGTACGAGAACACCCAAACTCTGATAAAATGTATATCTCTAAGATCCAATTGTCTCAAGACGGTGATGAAGACGGCAAAGAGCCTGTTTTCAAGCAGGTTTGTAGCGGTCTGAGAGAGTATGCTACCGCTGACGAGCTGCAAGGTCGATTGCTGCTGGTTGTGGACAACATGAAGAAATGCAAGTTACGAGGCGAGGTAAGCGAGGCCATGGTCTTGTGTGGCGATAGTAATGATGCGAGCGGTAGTAGCGTAGTAGAGACGTGTGTTCCGGCGCTTTTCGATCGTCGATTGATCGGAAAACCGGTCTTTTTGAAAAATAGTGCACAAAGCGAGCCTAGTACGCGTAAAATCAAGCCCAACGAGTGGGTAATACTCAGTGAGAGGCTCAGTGTTGGATCACAAGGCGAAGTGGTATACAAGGACCCACACACAAACCAAAAGACTCCTCTATGTGTGGAAAACGGCGAATCCACCTCAGTGCCGATCGTGGTCAATTATGTACCTCCGGGGACTTCAATTCGTTGATTGCAGGGATTTATAAACGATCAAAACAACTCTTTTTGCCCTGCGAAAGGCTGAACAACCCCTGGCGGATCGTACTTCCACGTGATCCATCTCATCGCTTGGCTTCCCGTGTGTGGTGTCCGAAAATTTCAAACTATTTTACCAGACTTTACCCACTCATAGGGAGCGAGAGAACGAAAGAACGGGCAGAACTATCAAGTGAGTTTTGACTGCACGCCGCTCTTCGAAACGACATCGATGATTCACCAAATGGCACCATGGGTGCCTCAATTCACTCAATCGCTGAAAAACCATTCCCAGTCGTTCACGCCGTTTTTTTTTGCGACTGTTGATCCTTTGACCAACAAACCCAAATGCCGAACCGTGATCTTCCGGGACTTCCTGTTCCACGACAAACGTAGCAATGTGCTAACGTTCACGACGGATCTCCGTGGTGACAAAGTGAAAGAGATCCTAGCTGCCAACTCAGATACAGCGCCATTCGAAGCATGTTTCTATTTTCCGGGCACTTGGGAGCAGTACCGTTTTAGTGGGAGGTGTTTTGTTGTATCACACCAGAATTTGCCTCCGATTTCTGCCAAGTACAACCAGCTCGATTCCGGGTTCATTGAGTACCCGATTTTATCGCCCAGCATTTACGGAGGTGCACAGATACTGTACGAACACGACCAAGAATACGAAGAAAGCAACAAGCGTAATGCGGAATCCAACACTGATTCGGAGCCAGAAGCATCGTCTTCTGGGGACACAAGTGGCCATCATGAGCCCCAGCATCCCGTACTGTCCCGCAGCTCTACACGCAGCTCAGGAGTTGCGGGAGTGAACAGCCATGTTCTGGGACCTCAAGACTACGCTCCACCCTTGAACAAAGAATGGGAACTGGAGCTACGTCGCCAATGGCGGGATCTGTCACGTTCCACGAAAGCGCAGTTTCGGAAACCCGATCCAGGTACTCCGGTAACGTCCGAAACCAGCAAACAACTCGATAAGATCCAGCGGGGTGTAGACGGGGCCAAGGAGGATGCCGGTTTTGATAATTTCGGCATTATTTGCTTGTGCATCGAGGAAGTCGACTTTCTAAATTTAAAAGACGGACGCGGCGGCGAAAGAATGAAATTTCACCGCAATATCCATTCAGAAACAGGCTCCGAAACCTGGAATGAGGCTGAAGTTTGCCCATAAAGATTTGCCAAATCACATTTCATTGCCAGGATAACACTACACATGAATAAGCACACGTATAAGATGGTATCACTTTGTCTTCCATTCCAACACCCAGACATTCCACCAAGTCACGTCTATATCATGTGGCTATAAATCTCGGCTTCAGCTCCCCTTTACGAGTCAGGTGCATGTGTTTTTCTTCCAGTGTGGAAAAATCAAGGTCCAAGATTCAATATAGTGAGAGTTCCCGCGCGGAAAAGATAAGGTGCAACAACTCCAAGTCTAGAAGTATAAGAAGAGAGCATTTACATTGCAACCAGTCAGACTCTTGATCCCACTTTTTTAATTCGAATCACTGAACTCAAAACAAGTTGTTTGCTTTCACATAGGAATCATCAAGTTTCGCCAGAACTCATCGATCGCCCTTTAAATAAAAGGCCAAACGGAAAAAAAAAGAACATAATGTCTGTTGCTTCTCAATACTACCCTAACGAACCAACTGTGCCAGTTGTGCAAACATCTGCTATTCCAGGGCCAGAATCCGTCAAAGGATTGGAGGCCCTAGGGAAGGTTTTTGATGCCAGACCAGCTTACTTTCTAGCCGACTACGAAAAGTCTCTGGGCAACTACATTGTGGATGCTGACGGGAACAGCTATCTAGACCTGTATGCTCAGATCGCGTCGATCGCGCTCGGTTACAACAACCCTAAGTTGATTGAGGCTGCGAAATCGCCAGAAATGATTCGTGCCCTTGTGGATCGTCCAGCTTTGGGTAATTTCCCCTCCCGTGACCTTGAGCCCATCTTGAAAAAGATCTTGAAGTTTGCCCCCAAGGGCCAGGACAAGGTCTGGTCAGGTCTGTCTGGTGCGGACGCCAACGAACTTGCATTCAAGGCTGCTTTCATGTACTACCGTTCCAAGGAAAGAGGTTACCACAAGGAGTTCTCCACTGAGGAAAATACCTCTGTCATGAGAAACGCTGAGCCCGGCTCTCCACACTTGGCAGTCTTGTCCTTCAAGAAAGCTTTCCACGGTAGACTATTCGCTTCTGGATCTGTCACGTGCTCGAAGCCTATTCACAAGCTTGATTTCCCAGCTTTTGAGTGGCCACATGCTGAATACCCTCATTATCAGTACCCATTGGCCGAGAACGAGGCCGCCAACCGCGCCGAGGACGACCGTTGCTTGAAGATTGTTGAGGACCTTATCAAGTCGTGGTCCATCCCAGTCGCTGCGTTGATCATCGAGCCCATTCAATCCGAAGGTGGTGACAACCACGCCTCTAAGTACTTCTTGCAGGCTTTGAGAGACCTCACTTCGAAACTCGGTGTAGTGTACATCATCGATGAAGTCCAGACCGGTGTAGGAGCCACCGGTAAGGCCTGGTGCCACGAATGGGCCGACATCCAGCCTCCAGTGGATCTAGTCACTTTTTCCAAGAAATTTCAAAGTGCTGGCTACTTCTTTCACGACACATTGTTCGTGCCAAATAAGCCATACAGACAGTTCAACACCTGGTGTGGAGAGCCTGCCCGTATGATCATTGCCGGTGCCATCGCACAGGAGGTTCAGGAGAAAAACCTTTTGGAGCAGTGCTCCCGTGTCGGGGACTATCTTTTTGCTAAGTTGGAGGCCTTGCGTTCTAAATACCCACAAAAATTCCAGAGGTTGAGAGGACAATCCAGAGGTACTTTCATCGCCTGGGACTTGCCTACCGGTGCCGAAAGAGACGCTCTTCTAAAGAGCTTAAAGCTCAATGGTTGCAACGTTGGTGGATGCGCCGAACTATCGGTCAGACTAAGACCCACCTTAACGTTTGAAGAAAAGCATGCTGACATTTTCATCGAGGCTTTGGCCAAGTCGGTATCCGAGCTATGATCTCATTTAGAGCGAGAAAACCGTTATTGACCCTGCTGTCAAACCAAAAACGCCTTGTAAATTATTTAGTCACATTTTCGTTAATTTAATCGTTTCTCTAACATGATATTAAGTCTTACTAGGAAGAGCGAACGAGGGTGTAACACAGCTGACAAAAAACAAATACTGAGAACATTACCGTCACTACTCTACGCTAACTCTTGACCTCGTTATTTGAGAGTTTTCAGCTCCTCTTCTGTTTATCATGGTTTTTATCACTATGAACGAACATCGATTCAAGATCCATTCCTCACATATATATATTTATGTATATCATCTATCTTGAAAGGAGGTTCGATCAAGTGTTAAAATCATCGATCCACAGTGACAATTGACCGAAGATGAGCTCCAATTCGGCTACCCAAGTCGAGGAATGGCTCACTGTTGGACGTTTGGATGCATCGTTAGCACTTTTAACCACCAAAAACCACCATGTTATTGAATTTCCAACGATGCTGTTACCAGACAACATCCGCGCAGGAACTATTGTTAAAATACAAGTTTCTGAAGATCGGGAACTGCAGCAGCAAGAATTCCAGCGATTTGAGTCGCTGCAAGACGAAATTCTAGAGAAATATGGTACTCACAGACCTCAAAATCCGGTGCTGAAAAGCATCAATGTCACACAAACAAGCGGAGTCCTAGGATGGGACCCGTTAGAGCTGGGATCCGCCCAACTGAAATCGCTAGTGCTGTATAAAGATGGCGTGCGGTCTTTGTTGATACCCAACCCTTACAAAACAACAGCCACGAAGATTTCGGGACTTTCTGTAGATAGCGAGTACAGTTTCCAGCTAAAACTGAGCACCACCTCGGGTGATCTGTGGTCGGACAAAATTGTGCTTCATACACATAAGATGACCGATATGTCTGGTATTACGGCTTGTTTGGGCTCTCTCGACGCTGTACAAAATGTCACGAAAGCTCACATTGAGGCCAGTCTCAAGAATATCGGTGCCAAACCGCTGCAATCTCGAGTCACTCTCGACACTACTCATTTTATCTCTAATGAACAAGACGGTGACGATGCCGAGCTGAAAAAGGCACAACAAAGCAATATACCGATTGTAAGACCTGAATGGGTGAGAGCTTGTGAGTTGGAACGAAGAATTGTTGGTGTTCGTGGTTTCTATCTGGATGCAGATCCTATTAATACTGAAGGATATAAGTTCCTGAAAGTGCCCTCTGATGTATCTGAGCATCTCCAAGCGGAGAAGCCTACGGTGTCAGCTCACAGTCGTGACAGCGAGCCGCCACAAACCGCAGTGTCTGCGGATTCAGCAGCGGTTTCCACCGCTTCACTTAAAAGTGTTCCAGGTGGTATAGCTGCTACACCAATTCAGTCTCAAGAGACTGGAGGTTTACAGGAAGCGGCTACGTCCACTTCAGAAAAGAAACCTTCTGAGGAAGGTGCAGAGGACATCGAGGAAGATAAAGCTGGAGACACAGTTAGGAGTGACCAGGAGGGAGAAACTTTCAAATCCGAAAAGGCGTCAAAGAATTCCGATGAAAAAGGCGCAGAATCAAATGGACTGGAGGAGAAAATCAATGGTCACAACGTCGATGAGAACAACGAAGAAGCCACTGTGAAATCTCAAGATCAGATTAGGGATGAACTAGTATCTGAGGTCAAAGATGAAGATGCCCGGATCGAAAAGAATGACGAGATCAAGATTGAAAACGGTGGTGAGACCAAGAAGGAGAACGAAGACAGAACTGTCAATCCAACTGACGATCAAGCAGATACTGAAGCCAATCGTGAGTTTAATGGTGAAAGCGAAACTGAGTTTTCATCACAACTTCCTGCGGAACCTGCATCACAGATCATTGATAACTCCGCCGAAATAAATACGGGTGTCAAGCCAGACATCAATATTGACAATTCTATCCAAGAAGATCTTCCTGAGAGTCTTGAGGCAACGGAGCAGACACAACTTCCTGAGGAAAACGAACTTCAGAATAAGACTACTACAGAAGCCGAAGCTCCATTAGAGCCGGCTGCAGTCGAGGACAACGTCGTTACTGAGACGTCTGACTTGGTGGAGAACCCAGCTTTTGTTGAAATATCCACTGATAATGACGAGAAACTTACTGACGGAATAACAGGGAAGGTCGAACCTGTGACGAATGAAAGCATATCCGTAGCTCCTCTGACTGGTGTAAACTCCTCGTCAATGCCAAATGAAAGTGCAGAGTCGTCCGCGGAGCTGGATCAAAACACTGGCGGAGAAGACGCTGAGGCTGAAAACACTCACAACGTGGCTTCTAGCGCCGCTACTGGTGCGCAGGCAACAGGCAAGAAGAAAAAGAACAAGAAAAACAAGAATAAGGGCAAAAAATAGTTTGTGCATGGCATCGAGGAGGGTCATTGAACAAAAGTGCTTCTTTAGAAAATATAAAGGGGCTGTCTTACGCTTGCAAGAAATTTTTCATTGATACACTCCGTTTTTTCGGATTCCTTTTTCCATTTTCTCGTTTGGCGTATGTTGCGCTCTGTATAACTATTACTCTACGGTCCTCTATGTAAGTATTTTCACATTTTGATATTTTCCTTAGCTGCCTGCGCTTATTCGCCGAAGAGCCTGCGGACCCTTTTCAAAATGGAGTCCTTTTCAGGGTTGTAGGGATGTTCCTTGGATGGGATCTCCAAAACCGCAGGAAAAGCAGCCGTGAAACCGTCCACCTGGCCTCTAATTTTCTCTGCCACATGCTGATTGATGAGCAGGATTGCAATGTCGTCTCTTTCTTGAGTGAAATCATCGAATGCTTTTAAAATCTCTTCTCTGGTGGTTTTCCCCTCTTGGTACATGAAGAAGTTCTTTTCCTGACTGGAGGGCGAAATCTGGCCTACCCCAGCCAGCAACATTCCAGTGCAAGTATCTTCATCGCCGATCACAGCGATCAAAGAGCGTTTGTCGGACATCAATGGATCCTAACCGTGTTGGTGCCCTTCTTGTAAAAGAGTTTAGAATCGTCGGACCTGAACTGAACTTTCGTTAATATATATGATGGAAATGATTTAGAGTGTGTCGTGAATAGAGATATGAGTTTTATCCTGACGTTTCAAAACAAGACGTTAAGCTACCGCACTAAGGTCTCTCTCTTAGCTTAAAAAGGTTTAATACACAGTCTACACACGTTTTGGTGTTTTTCGTACGCGTTCGTTCCTTGCTTTATACTTATCATTTTATCCAAAAGTTGTGCGTTCTATTATTATATATGTCTTCGAAGACATCTCAATGTGTATGTGATAATTAAAAGATCGATCGAGTTAGTCGCCATTGAAGGATACTTTACTCGAACATAAGCCTTTGATTTCTGCTTCATATAAGATTCTAAGTACTTTTAGATAGCATTGTTGTTTGTAGTTTAGTTTTCATAGCACTTTCATAGATGTGGCGATTCCCTACGCTTCGTTTGCCAGCAGTTCGAGCTCATACGTTCTCAACGTTCAGCGCCGTTCTCTCTGGTCACAACAAATGGTCCACGATCAAACACGACAAAGCCAAGAACGACGCTGAGCGAAATAAGCTGTTCAACAAGTTTGCCAACCAGATAGCATTGGCGGTGAAGCTAGGCGGTGGGTCGACAGACCCTTCGCTCAATGTGCGTCTGGCAGCGGCAATCGAGTCAGCCAACAAGAACAACGTCACGAAGCGGGTGGTGGAAAACGCGATTCGTAAAGGTTCTGGCGCGACCGGTAAAGACGGAGCACGTTCTGAAGCATGTACATACGAAGGCATGGGACCCGGTGGTGTTGCTTTTGTCGTGGAGGCGCTCACAGACAACAAGAATCGAACCATTGGGCTGGTCAGAAGTACGTTCACCAAAGTTGGTGGCAGCATGACGCCAACGCTGTATTTCTTCGATCGCAAAGGCAGCGTTTTGGTGCAACCTCCGGCGAATTTGGTAGATTTCGACTCTGTGATGGAAAAAGTGCTGGAGTTGGAGGCAGTGGAAGATCTGGAGGATGTGAAGCGTGAAGAGCCTTGCTACGAATCTTTGAAACCAGACTACGGATCCACGATCTACGAGGTGAGTTTTGACCCGGCGCAAACCAACCAGGTGGCTTCAAGGTTGAAAGAGAGCGGGTTTTACGTCCACGATGTCAACATAGGCTATGTGGCTAAAAACGATATGATGGTAGACGCTTCTGATGATGAGATCCAAGCTAAGCTTGTCAAATTTATGGAACAGCTTGATGAAATCGAGGATGTGACCGGATTTTACTACAATCTGAAAAAAAACTAAAGGCTGAACTTTTCAGTTCTGCATAAGTTTTGGGGGGACCTTCTACTAACGATATTTGAGCTCTTCCCACCCTCGTGTCTGCTGACATGATTCTTCGGTAGATAACGAATTTTCTATCTTCGGACAAGTCCGGGGTCCTAATCTGAACCGATTGGCTCTAAATCATGATTAAATCTAAGCACCTGCCCATCGCCGATAAACGCAGATTTCCCCAAGCGGTCTCCAACACCGAGGTTAATACTGCTATCTTGAGGTTGCGTGGACAAAAGTGTGGTAATGGTCTCTTAGCTCTCACCTTCGTTGTCTTTTTTTGACAATGGTGATTGACATGGTTCTTCTGGACTATATAAGGACTGGGATGGAAAAGAATAAAACGGTCTTGAAAGGAGATGAGTTCAATCTCATCAGCCAGATTTAACTTGGGACGCAAGGCCACGAATAAAGCCCAAGAAAAATTAAGTCGAACTCTCGATACTTGACGTACTCGCGCACTTTGTTTTTGACGAATACATCCAGAGTATTGAGTCATTCATAGCTTTGGCCGTTATCAGATAGCTCAACGTGACAGAACCTGAAGCTTATCGTAAAGTTTAAAAGCGGCACGCTTAGAAAGAAAAAAGAGAAGCATCAGACGTTTTGTTTCTTGAAGACTTCTAAAGTGAGCAAACATACAGTATGGAATCTGAACCTGTTTCCCTCAATGCGCCAGCGACTGAAAGCTGGGCGAACCGATTGAAACTCGGTGGCCGCAAAGCTGTCCACAAGTTTACCACGAAGGAGGGCCTATTAGGTGATTATGACTATGCGTTCTTGTTCACGCCATCATATCCGTTTAGAGAGTGGTTGAACCGCAAGCGAGGCGTCGAGCCTGTGGAGCGGGACCAACCGTTTTTTTCGGTGTACTCCGAAATGCCAATAGTATTGGGACTGCTACTTGGGCTCCAGCATTCTTTAGCAATGCTGGCTGGTGTCATCACTCCTCCAATCATCATAGCCTCAGTAGCCAATTTTCCTCTCAAAATACAGCAATACTTGGTGTCGGCATCGCTCATCGTTTCAGCGATCATGTCAAGCATCCAGATCACCAGATTTCACATCCCTAAGACACCATACTACATTGGCTCGGGCCTGCTTTCTGTGGCTGGTACTTCTTTTGCAACAATCACAATTGTCGAAAAGGGTTTTCCCGTTATGTATAAGTCCGGGTTTTGTCCCATGGGCGACGACGGTAAGCCTGGACCATGCTACGCGGGCTATGGTGCACTTCTTGGTACAGCGGCCTGTTGTGCTCTACTCGAAATGGCCATGTCATTCACTCCACCTAAGATTTTGCATAAAATTTTCCCGAAGATTGTCACTGGTCCAGTGGTTCTGTGCATTGCTGTTAGTCTGATTCAAAGTGGTTTCAACGATTGGGTCGGAGGCTCGGGATGTGTGGGGGCTATTTGTCCCGCGGAAGGTGCTCCTATGGCAGGAGAATGGGGGAGTGCCCGATTCGTCGGTCTTGGATTTTTGGTCTTTTCTACTATTGTTTGTTGCGAAAAATGGGGATCACCCATCATGAGGTCTTGTGCAGTTATTGTTGGACTGATCGTGGGCTGTATAGTCGCTGCTGCATGTGGCTACTTCGACCCCACGTCCATAAAGAGTGCTCCTGCAGCCACTTTCATATGGGTCCATACATTCCCGCTAAAGGTCTACGGCCCTATTGTCCTACCGATGCTTGTAATGTATATCGTTTTGGCACAGGAGTGTATTGGTGATGTCACTGCGACTTGTGATGTTTCTCGTATGGAAGTCGAGGGTGAAATGTATGAATCCAGGATTCAAGGGGCTGTGTTGAGCGATGGATTTAGCGGTGTGTTATCGGCTTTATTTACTCTACCTCCCATGTCCACTTTCGCCCAGAACAATGGTGTTATTTCCTTGACTAAGTGCGCAAACAGACAAGTCGGATACTGGTGCTGTTTCTTCCTTTTATTGATGGGCATTTTCGCAAAGTTTGGTGCCGCGCTGGTATCAATTCCTAAACCAGTCTTGGGCGGCATGACCACTTTTCTTTTCACAAGTGTTGCCGTTTCAGGTCTCAAGATCATATCTACCATTCCATTCACGAGGCGTGATAGATTTGTGCTAACAGGAACTCTACTATTCGGTTTCGGAGCTATATTAGTTCCCAATTGGTTTGAGACATTCTTTCACTATGAGGGAAGCAATGAGGCTCTACGAGGATTCCTAAATGCTATCATACTGATCATGGAATCCGGATTCGCGGCCGCTGGTATTGCGGGCATAATTTTGAATCTGATTATTCCACAGCAACTAGACGAAGACCTGATGGATGACATTGAGATCCAACAGGATAATTTAGCAACCTTGGAAGGTCGCTTAAGTCCTTTCGATGGACCAGGAATGAGTGGCAAAGCAAAAGAGGCCTTTTCAAGGGAGAACAACCCAGCCAAAACTGATAATAACAGTTTTGAGATGAACGATAAGAATAAAATCGTCGTCAATGCTGGAGAATCGTCTACCTCGGACTAAGTAGTGGTGGGCATAATTAGATATTCTTAGCTATGGGAACCAGAGCATCAATGATAGGTATATAGTGTATTTTGGAATCTTGAAAGCTTTAATCAATGGTTACGACGGGGCTTCTCTGACAGATGTGACAGAGAAATTCAAGTGAAATCTGCTATATGAGCGTATTGCTGTAATCGTTTGCATCCAACCGATTTATTGAAATGACAGAATATGTATGTAGTATTGTTTACGCAACGGAAGCTTGCAGCAAGTCACTATCTCCCTTTTGCTGATGTGCCAGCGCAAAAGGAAGCAGCGTGGTAACGCATAAAAAGGTGTTAGACTTCGCACGTTGCTGCTCTTAAATAAATGATAGTTGACACCTTTATTCCTTGGTCTCTTCCAGAACCTGCTTTAGACCAGATCTGTCTGGATTGGTTCTTCCAACTCTCAAACTGGTGTCGTATCTAAACTTTTTGTAGGTGAACCAAGTGGCGGAACTGATAGCCACACCCATCGCCACGAATAGAGGGGTCAATTCAACGGGGATTCCGATACCCGGTTTTTGTTTTTGCTGCAAATTCAAGGAAGTTAGTATACAATTCACTAAGAAAAAAGTCGTCTAAAGTCACCAATTTCAGCTCTATTTCAATGCTGAAAAATGGTCACATACGGCTGCATTTAGTAGGAATTTGGTGGCTCTCATTTTATGTTTGAGTCGATGCTTTCAATGGTTTTTTAGCTCCGGTAAAGTCTGAATTGAAACCAGCGATCTGCTGTTCAAGTTCGGGACTGGCCTAATTTAACATTTTTCACTAGTATGAATATCGGTTTCGTGCGAAGTGTTTTGGATATGATATTTTATCAGGATGTCATTGGTTCAAAGAAACTCAACTCGATGAGCATGGCTCGACTACATTCTACCAACGATGTAGCTGGCCAGATTCTAGACGATATGAGCTTTCTATGATTCAATCTATTAGTTATCTATTGTTACAGTCATTTTGTCTATAGAGACGGTTTTTAGGCATCTGTCATTAATTCGCGAATAGCTTCGTAGACAACCCAACTGACCGCAGTAGAGGGAACGACTTTGAATAAATTAGCGGTCAGCCCTTTGTAATAGCCTTTGAACCCTTCGGTCCGTCCTATGGTTCGAAGAGCATCGAGAATGCCCGTGTAACGATACCCCAACGCATTTTGGTTCATGGCGAGAACCTGGAAACGTCGTCTTAACAGATCGAACGGGTACGTGATAGTCTGGGCAACACCTCCACTTACAGCACCAATTGACAACTTGTAAATTGTGGCCCAAGTTGGATCAACTCCGGTCGGGATAAGCTCACGAAGCTGTTCGTAAACGGTGAAATTTAAACTAACGTATGGCACCACGCCAATGCTAGTGGGCCAAAATCCACGGTATAAACCTGCAATTCCACCTTCTTGCGTGTAAGTGGTGACCAGAAGTCTCCAAACGCCAGGTGGTCGAACGATGGTGGTCTTGGCGGTAGCTGCAGACTGGAGGTTTTTCAAGTTGGCTGTTTGAATTGATAAACGAGTGCGTACCAAATCCAGCGGATATGTAGCCAGGACGCTGCAAAAACCACACGCAGCACCGCTGGTCAGTCTTTGCCATCCGTACAGCTGTAGTGGACCGTCTTGAGGGAATTCTCTGAGTTTGAACCACTGCCGCTTGCAAAACTCGTACACCACAAACTGCACCGCGCTGTAAGGAAAGATCCGAATGCAATTGAGTCCATTTCCACGCAGCAGCCCGGGTATTCCTTCTTCGGTATGGATTTGTTTGACCGCACCAAAAATGCCCTGGTTATATGCCTGGGTAGAGCTCTGCACCTGCAATAAGATCTTGACTCTTTCAAACGGCGAAACCACCGTTCTTGACACAGCCCCTGCAGCACCTCCGGCCCAAAAGGCCGTACTAGACTCACTAAACAAAAAGCTACGCCAACGACTGACCTCTAACGTGCTCATCGACGTTTGTATCAGAGTGCTGCTATATAGTGCTGTTGTAGTAGCCGAAAAAAAAAAAACCTCTAACAAGGCGGTAACAGTAGCGGTCTTTTTGGCACAAGTTGGTAATTTTTACTGTGATCTCAAAACAGCCTTGGTTGAGACTTTTCAGTGCAATGCACTGACAGAGACCTGTAGGTTTAAGCAAGTGCTTGTTTTCCACATTTTCCAGCTATGATGTGAGCCAATATCCTACACAGTGGTGAAAAATTGAAGATCTAGAAAAGTAAAAAGAATGAGAGCTACGGGATTCGAACCCGCGCATCCGAAGATATCAGAGAATCTGACTTATTATGAAGTTAAGCCTAAATCTGACGCCTTAACCACTCGGCCAAACTCTCGTATTGTTGAGAGGGACTTAGATTGCGAAGTACTATAGCAGTGGGTAGCATCAGCAAGGAGAATGGGAAGTTGATGGTTCAGGTAACGACTGGGACCGGTGAGAGACAGGTGTTGGAGAAGCAACGTGGTGGGATGGCACTTCTCAAGATTTCTTGCTTGCCTGAGGACGGTTTTTTTGGATATCTATCATCTTGCATCATGACTGTGGTTCACCAGACTTAGAAGTACGGTTGCAGAATGTGATGATTCTAGAATAACATTCGTGAGAGGCTAGCGAACTTTCAAACAATCTCAAGTAAACGCCAAAGATTTTCCGAAACGAGTTTCAACCAAAGTGCGCTGCATATACAAACCTAAAGTCACTGTCATTGGGTATTTTTGATCACGTGATCCTAGGTTCGGCCCGGAATAAAAGTAACCAACCTTATTACGATTCCGCTTGCTGATGAGTATGGAACGTTCATATACATACATACATACATACATACATACATACATACATACATACATACATACATACCTTGTTCGAGGCCCTTCCCTCCCTCCTTCCCCCCTGGCCGCTGCTTACGCTCGACGGTGCGTTCGAGAGCGACAAGACGAGCGTGTCCGTACCAAATGATGACGCACGACGGAGTATGCTACGGTACATTACTGATCGATCGCTCGTGCATAAGGAAGACGATCCACGACGATCTGCGGAGAAGTGCTACAACGATAAGAAAGACAAAGAAAGCTCAAGCGGGCGTGTAGAAACACAAAAGATCAAACAAAAAAAATCACAAAAGTACATGCAATAATATTCGGAACAATTACGATCGGGCCAGCCAGCCACTCAGACACCCAGACACCCGCTACACCCCTGCACCCCCGCCTTTGTCGTGAGTCTTCTTGTGTCGTATCAAGTTACTCTTGACATTGAACCGTTTACCACACGAATCAACGTCGCACACCCATGGTCGACGGCCGGTGTGAATCAGGGCGTGCGTGGTCAGAGCACTGGGCCGCGTAAACGTCTTCCCGCACAGATGACACTCGTTTATCGTGGCACTGGGCGTTCTTGGTAGAGGCGAATGACTATGGCTATGGTCGTGGTGGTGGTTTTGGTGCTGGTTTTGGTGCTGGCTATGCATTGGCAACTGCTGTGTTGGTGGTGTCGAGAACGGCGTTGGTTTTCTGACGGCCGACACGTACCGCTGCGGTGTACGGATGGGCCCGGACGGGAAAAACGAGCGGTCATTTTGTACGGAATGGACGTCCTGCACCAAAAAGGGCACCGAAGCCACCACAGAAGAAGATCTGGTATTATCGTTTTCGTTTCCAGCTCCAGCTCCAGTTCCAGTTCCAATTCCGAGATTACCGGTGACGCTGCTGGGTGGGCTCAACGACTGTCGCAGTGGACGGATCTCGGGCTTCTTGGTATTGCGGAGAATCTCAGACAGCGAACGTGCGCCCGTTGGTCGAACGTCTTGTTCACTAACGCACATCCATTCGTTCGCTGCTGGAAGGCCTCCAACTCTCTCGTTGCACGTCTTGTAGGTCAAAATTGTGCCAGTCGTCGTGTCTGCCAAAAAATATTTATATATATGTGTGTATGTTTGTGTGGTGAGACCTCGTTCTGCTCAGACTCCCACAATGCAAACAGGATCTACCTGTGCATACAGTGCGTGTGGTACTAGTTGTCGATCTGCACTGTCGGATCCAATCGTGTCCCACACCATATATATATATATATATATATATATATATATATCTATACAAATATACACATAATTGTATCTCACATACGTATATACATACATACTGTGTCCGTCTCGAGATAAATCACCGCGCATACACATACATACATATATAGATCTGCATATGTAGCCACATCTATAAATATAGACGCACGTTAACTCAGCGGTCGATCTCGGGCTCTCATCCTCACTGGTCTCATATGCATCGAACCTGAAGAATTGTCGTAATCGCTCCTCCGCTCTCGCAAAAGGTCCCCTTCCTCCACGCTTGCTGCACTACTCATTTATCGGATGTTGGCGTCCAGCCTTTTTTTTTCCACGCATTTTCCTTGGCAGGTTATTGCAGTTGTTATCGCTACCGTTTAAACTTGCGTCGATCGACCCGTTTCTCGAGAGGCTCGCCGGCCAGGGACGGTACGGTGATGGGGATCGTCGTTGTGTCTTGTTGTTGTTGTTGGCCAAGGACGGGTTGGTAAAACTCTTCACAGATATCCGTGCACGCCAGATCAGGTTGGTCCCGCTCTTGGTAACTTTCCCGGTTGTGGTTTTTTTTTTTTCGCTCACTCACACTCTTCCTATCTCGAGGAAGAGCCCGCTAAAAAGAAAGGAAAGAGGCGCCTCGAGGCCTCTTTCTCGACCGTCCGCGTGCTTTCGCAGAATGGGATCCACTCAGTAGATTCCTAGATCTGCAAAAGGCTCGATATGAAAGAACCGTTTTTCTTCTTGTTCTTGTTGGTTCTTGCTGTTTAGAGGAAGCGGAGGATGTAGCAAAAAAAAAAAATAGTTAAACAGAACACGTCGTATTGTCTGCTTGGTCTGCACATTGTCCTACATTAGGTCAAGAATCTAGGGCTAATACGACTGTTCACTAGGGCTACTCCGTTTGTTTTTTGGTTGGACCCAATTTACAGAAGAACAATGTACGGTTATGTAAAAAACATCGGGGAATATAGGAGTTGCAACTACACAGATCGAAAGACGTTGAGGGATCGTCAGCGCTATGTGAATGACTCAGAATGGAAGAGCAGTTGTCGCAAACAGAAGACGACTCGATTTTCAGGGACGCCCCGAGTTAAACTGCGGTTTTGTTTGAAAACTAGTGAATTTGGTAAATGCTGACGACATCGGTGGAAAAATAAATTGACCGAGGGCTCGTGATCTGTTCGATCACGTGATACCTTTTTTCAAACTCTTTATATAGTTTCTTTCTTGGGTTGGGCCGCAATTTGTAGGACTGTTTCGTTGTTGTCAGAGTCATTCAGCGGGTTTTGCTAGCTCTTTTGGATTGAAAGCGAGTATTTGTCAATCAAAAGTTGAATGGGCACATTTGTAACTACGCTACAAGCGGGAAAAAAGACATGACATTATGTACGTATATTCGAACTTTCAAATTTCTACGCCAGTCATCAGCTTACTTGACCAATATGAAACTATTCACCAAGAGAATGTTCCAAAGGTTGCATCGCCGCTGTATGAACACTTGTTCGGGAAAAATCATATACACACACATGTCACTTGACACGCGTGTGACACTCAATGGCACGTGATCTCTCTCTCCCGCTTAGGCTTTCAGTTTTTACCTTACGCTATGCTACAAACGATTATACACATCCACCAGTCTCCCCGTGTCTTGTCCCGTCTAATCCCATATAATGCAGTATCCCACTAAGAGTAGGTTTCGATCAGAGTGTCACGCAAGTTGCCCGAGATCGAGTCTGGCTGGGCGTCTTGCAGACGGAAAATGCTTTCGATAACGCTGAGTTCCGGGGCAGTGGTGTCTAGACCAGCTACGGCCAGGTAGTCGTTCACCACCATACCGGCACCCACCACAGAAGAACCGCGGTTCACAGTACCGGCCACTAGAGGCACTTGTAGCAACGACGACAATTCTTCTTGGTCCTGTACGGTCGTCTGTGGGTGCACGAGACCACCCTGGTTGCTGAGAGCACAGTAGGATCCCACCAACACGTTACCAGAGATGGTTTGACGGAAGACTTCCACGCCCAATACATCGGCGATCAGTTCTTCGGTTTCACGGTCGATATCGGGATGCACCAGGGCCACATAGTCGTTGCAGCAAATCACATTTCCCAACGCTGACAAGCGCTCTTCAACCCTCTGGATCTTTACGCTGTCTGGCAAACTGTTTCTGAGATGATGTAGTTCCTGGTCGGTGGTCTGAGTGGGTACCAGCAGACCTCTACGGTTGCCCGCACACATTCTGCCCACAATACGGCATCCGGCAATGGTAGTGTGCACGATAGGAATGGCATCACCCAACTCAGCTTCGAAAGCAGAGTAGAAGTTCTCGGATCCACCCACGGTGACCAAACAGTACGAGTTTGTTAATTTCGAAAAAACACCCACCTCGTTGGAATTCTCAAATTGCGTTCTACTAGCCATTGTTTTATGGGTTCAAAGTTCTGTCTGTTGTTGAAAAAAATGTGGTTCAAACTAGCAAACACTGGTTGCTGAATAGAACTGAAAGGTTGATGTAACAAAACAGGGTTACAGTGTCCAGTTGATCTCAGTTTTAAACCTCTGAAGTACTTCTTCTTGCGATGGCGATGAGCCTAAAGAGTTGGATGCTCTAGAAAATTTTTTAGAACTACTGCTGCTGAAATAATCACGTGTTCGTCTCGGATGACGAGTAGACCAACGACAGAGCCAAACAGCGATCAAGTATCGTTAAATGAGTTTCCCAGTGTATGACACTCTCGATTCAGTCTGTCACAGCTTGTCCTCTAAGCTGAGAACCGTTCTTGTGTTCGCAAAGTCCAGGATTTTCAGCCGATTGACGTGAATTTTCCATCGTCAATATTCCAGTTGTTTGACGCTAGCAAGACTGAGCATGTTCAATACAGCGATTTCGTCACTGTCGCTGGTGTTCTTTACCTCGTAGGTCATACCAAGCGGCCCGCGGTCGCAATCGGCGCATATCAGGTACTTTTGTAATTTGTGCAGTTGATACGTTTTGTTGCGGAAAGTGAATTGCAGCTCGTCAGCAGTCTTTGCAGTAGAAATGTTTACCAAACCGTCAGGGACCGCACGGGAAACTCCAATGTTGTCAAAGTCCCAAATGTCTTCGAAGACCGAGAAAAGTCCGTCAAATGACGCTTCGCTCGAGGGAAGCATCAACTTAAGATCGCTGCATATTTCAGGACACACCGTTGCGCTCCGGCTTTTATCAAAGTCAACAATGGCACAATTGCACTCTGGGAATGGACATCTCAATTTCACCATGCTCGATGCAATCGATACTTATGGTTCGCTCGGTCGTTCGTTCGTTCATTTCTTTGTTTTCCTGTCATAGCTCATTTTTCCGAGATTTAATGAACTTTGGTGAAAAAGTGTCATAGGGCACGTAAGCGTCAATTTTACGCATACCAGTTCGTTGAGTTCGGGTGTTCTGAAGTGCTCCAGTCTTGAGTCGCTTAAATAGCGGTCACTCTCTTTGCAGATTTGAGCAATAGGGAGAACTGTTCGTTGAATTTCAACTCCGGCTGAAATTCATATAAATCTCGAAACTGACACTTGCAAGCGACTCACGAATTTGATGGCTTTTGAAACTTCGCAAGATCGGTACTTCAGGAATCATTTTATGGGTCTGTTAAGTTGTATGCCCTGGTGCCTTCTTGTCATCTGGTCTAGCTGTTATTTGCTACCACAGCGACGGATCGTGAAAACATGAGCGTCAGCTTTGTGTCAGTAAAATAATGACAGAATTTTAATACCCATAAAACTGGCTTGTAAACTTCGTTTGCAGCTTATGGATGTGTGTCTGGAGAGCACGATTGGGGGCATCATGAGTGTGGGGGGCGATGTGGATCGCGAATATAGTAGCATTTCCGCTGGCATGCAGCAGATATCACTACGTCAAATAAACCTGAACCATGCGCATCATGCCAGGAACTTGCAGCCGCAAGCAAGAAAACCTAAAATTAATGGGAAAGAACCTCATTCTTCTGGCATTTTCGCGGACGCGCATTCCCATCTGGCTCTGCTGAAAAACGAAAATTATCATCTGAAGATGGAATTGACACAGCAACAACAAGAGGTTGACCAACTCCTGAAGCGGCTGAACAATGCAGATCAAGACCCAGCTGAAGATCGGTTTTATCGGGGATTTATCGCAGACTCTGAAACCCCGGTTTTAAAGTACCCCGTTGAGGTCAACAACGAAAATGCTTCGCCTTCAAGATCAGAACGATGTTCGGTCTCCGATTACGACCTAATGACGCACTTCTCAGGCTCGCCTTACAGAGGGGAGCCTGTGAATTCCGAACAGGACATCACCTCGCGTCCCGATTCGTCCATGACGCACATCCGTCGTAATGGGAAGTTCTTCAAGAATTCCGTGATACCATTTCTGCACAAAACCCTTGATACTTTCCAACATAGCGAGGTTTTCCGCGAAGATGCAAAGTGTTTGCAGGGCAAACTTGAGGCTTTCAAAAATCATACGTCGACAGATAAAGAATTGAGAGTGCAGTTGATGGTTCATCTTCTAGACGGCATAAACCACTTGCAACAACAATGTGTGGCGTTGCTGAATCGCGAGCTCGAAAACAAACGAGTTTCTCGTAAGCTCGATTACTTATTTGCAGCTTTGTCAGATCCAGAACATCGTGAGCTTGTCGGCGAGGAAAGTGGTGATAGGTTAAAAGCGGAATTGCTGGATGTGATGCTAGATATCCTAGCTCCTGATAATGAGAAAACCCACCCACGGAATGAGAAGTCGTGCGTGGATCAATCTAGCAAGAAAGAGTACCCACGTAAAAAGGAGCCTGTGACAAACTCGTCAGCGGCCAAAAAGGTTATCAAAGGCCAAGTTGACATTGTGCCATCTATGCCACCGGTACCAAAGCTTTCAAAAATGAGGAGCTACGGCGGATCATACATTTGCGAGTCATCGAAAAAAAGGGACCCACACCAGAAGTTGTCGTCGCCGTCTTCCTCTTCGTCCTGTAATTTATTGCAGCGGTCGCATAGGAAACCTAAATTACAGGAAAGACCTCACGATATGCATAGAGGGCACACAATCGAAAATGAAGTCCGCACTAAATCTAGCAATTGGGAATTCCTGCCAATTGGGTACGATGAAAGCATGCTATCGAAGGAAACCCCCAGCCGTCGTTCGGCATTCAACGTCAAGCGCGACGAAATTTTACAGAGAACACCGCTTGCAATGACGTTCAAAGACGACGGTGAGGCAGAAGGAGATATGGACCCGTTGCAAGCATATTTCACTGAATTCTCGGGCGACACATTGGACCAGGATGAATCAACAGCGGATTGTCATCCACTGAAAACATAGCGAACCAACCGAAAAAAAACCAGCACCTCATCACAGCATTGAAACAGCTTGGCATCACCAGAGCACAAAAATGTCCCGCTCACCGCTAAGTTGCTGTTTCGATTTTCAAGACTGTCAGTCGCATTTATGTAGAAATACCTAATGGAGAATTGACTTTTCCAAGCCGCTGAAGCGCTCATAGATAGCCTGTAACTCAATTATCTTACATGATCACAAGCAGAGCGCTATTTCAAGTGCAGAATTCCGCATTCACCTTGGTATGTCTGAGGCTGGCCCTTATATTTTGAAAAACGTCTGTAACGTGCGAAAAAAGTTCCAATAAATTAAAGATGAAGTACCGAACTCATTCTCGAGAAGCGATCTGGCACACGATCAGCTTGATTGGCACGCTAATGTCGCTTATTTTCAACTGAAATGACTGAAACGACTTCAATTGCTACACATCATAACGACATTGATTCCAAGCAGTCTCCCGCGATCAAGAGTACAGCTCCTGCCATGACACAGCAGGAAATTGTTCAACAGGAAATGGGTTCACCGGCGGGAGACTCGGATCTGATAAGTGAAAGTGATCTTGGACCTTCCCAAATAGAACATCATGAATCTCAACAGCCAAAGGAAAGTGATGGTGGTATCAAAAGTAAGCGCCAGCAGCAGAAAGAACAAGAAAAGCTCGAGAAAGTACGCAAGAAAGAACAAGACAAACGGGATCGTGAGCTAAAGCGCGAGCAAGAAAGACAAGAGAAGGAGAATAAGAAACAGGAGGAGAAACAGAGGAAAGAAACTGAAAGGAAAGAGCGAGAATTGAAAAAAGTTCAGGAGAAGCGTAATAGAGAATTGAAAAAAGAGCAGGAGAAGCAGGAGCGCGAACAACGCAAAGAAATAGAAAAGCGCAAAAAAATGGAGGAGAAAATCAAACGCGAAGAGGACAAGCGGCTCAAGGAGGAGACGATTGATAGAAGTCAGACCAAGATCGGTAGCTTTTTCAAGAAATTCAGCTCTTCAAGAAATGTACTGGACACGAAGACCGATTACCAAAAATGCTTTTTACCATTCTACGTTAAAGACGGCTTTGTAATGGGACCAAATTTTGCACTTACTTCGAGTGTCCTACAGTCCTCTAAATCTGCGATAGACGCCCAGTTGAACCTCGGCGATTCTCCGGACGACAATAAAGCATGGCTTCTATCTCAGGCGCCTTTGAGACGCGAATACTATGAACATACGGCCGTGGAGTTGGTCCAATTGATGACTAGTAAATCCAAGAGCAACCAAGAACTGGATGAGAGACTGCGACGAATCCCACAGAGATTTATAAAATTTTACGAAAACGTGAGACCACCTTACATTGGCACGTATTCCAACTTCTTGAAACTGCCTCGCGACAACCCATTTGATTTCGAACAGACCGGATTCAATTACGACTACGATTCTGACTGGGACTGGGTCAACGAAGAGGAAGAAGGCGGCGATGTGGAAGATTTGGAGGACGGGGAAGATGAAGACGAAGATGATGATGTGGATGATGGTACGGAGGACGAATTTGATGGGTTTCTGGACCGCGAAACCTCGCAGCTTCCAAAAGACGGTAAGAAATTCCTGGGTCCCTTGATCCCGATCGTGAAAATGCGCTCTCAAAAACCCCAGATGGATTCTGAGGATCAGCTTTACTTCCAGATGGTAAGTGTCCAGCATCTCATACCTGAAGAGCCAATTCCAATAAACGTCAACACCATGCCGCAAACGGCGGGAGGTTCCAAGAAAAGGCCACTGGATGCCAAGGGCCAGAGTGACGTGCAATCTCCCATTGTTCCGTCCCCCAGTGTCAACAACAGTCCTGCATCGTCGAGTCAGACTTCGCCGGTTCGTGTGAAGAAACCAAAATCGATAATTTCTGACCCACAAGCACTTCTCAAGATTTTTGCTGAGGTTCACGAAAGCACCTACTCGTTAGGAACAATCACAGAGATCTTGCAAAGACAGCTGCTCAACCATAGTAAAGCAGCCATTCGGGACACTATCAAAGAGCACACTACTAGGCCTTCAGTAAAGGCAGGAAGTTCGCGAAAGTGGCTGGTGAAAGATCCCGTGTTATGGGAATCTCTAAAGGAAAAGTAGCCAGTTTCAACGAATCTTATGCTTGTAGCTTACTACTAGCAAGCTGGATCTTTCTTCCTTTTAGCTGTCATCGCTCGAGGACGACAGTAAATTAGCGTGTTACCCGGCTTCAGAAATTCACTACTAGATCTGAAATTACCATACCAAATATCATACATGCATAAACTGGTGGAACTATGGTAAAGTCAAGAAACTTTCAAGCAAGCAGTCTCTCGGATGTCTGATAATCGCAGTTCGCCAGTACGGGATGCTGGGTCATCACCAATGGCGGCACCACCTTCGTCTTTCGGTGGATCGTCCCCGCCGCTGTTTTACAATCCATCTTCGTCATCCCAACCTGACACATACGAAAGCCAGCAGAGACAGCAAACAGTGGGATCTTCGCCATTTCGCAACACTGGTGCTAATTCAGGTCGTTTGGGAGTATCTTCTGATACTTTTGGATCGCAGAGAGGGTCTCAAAGACGTGGAGGACCTAGCTCAGGCCGTTTTGCAGATCCTTCGAGCGATATTGATGGGCTTTCTTCTTCGCTTTCAGGTCGTAACACCCAGCGTTCCTCTCAGCGGAGAAGTGATTTACATGCATCGGACCTTTCCTCACCACGAAGAATTGTAGATTTGGATTCACATCTTGGACCAAACTCGTTATCTTCAGATCCGGCTTCCGAAGCTTCAGAGCCGCTGCGAATCATTTGGGGCACTAACGTGAGTATACAGGAATGCGCTACGAATTTTCGTAACTTTCTGATGTCTTTCAAATATAAATTCCGTAAAACGCTGGACGAAAATGAGGATTTTATCGACGACGCAGAGGATGAGGAACTGTACTATGTCAAGCGTCTGAACCAAATGCGAGAAATGGGGTCATTGAATTTGAACCTGGACGCAAGAAACTTGCTAAGTTTCAAACCCACGGAAAAGCTATATTATCAATTGTTGAGCTATCCCCAAGAAATCGTATCCATTATGGATCAAACAATTAAGGATTGCATGGTATCTATAGTGGTCGACAATAACTTGGACTCGAGTCTGGATGAAGTGGAATCGAAGTTCTATAAAGTTAGACCTTTCAACATTGATAGCAGAAAGGGCATGCGGGAACTAAACCCCAACGACATCGATAAGCTGATAAGCGTGAAGGGCTTGGTCCTCAGATCTACACCCATCATTCCGGACATGAAAGTGGCATTCTTCAAGTGTAACATATGTGATCATACAGTCGTCGTTGAGATCGATCGAGGGGTGATTCAAGAGCCCGCCAGGTGTCCCCGTGTGGCGTGTAACCAACCGAACTCTATGTCGCTCGTTCACAACCGGTGCTCTTTTGCTGACAAGCAGGTGATCAAATTACAAGAAACGCCTGACACGGTACCTGACGGTCAAACTCCTCATTCGGTCTCTTTATGTGTGTATGACGAATTGGTTGACTCCTGCCGCGCGGGTGACAGAGTGGAGGTTACAGGCATTTTCCGTTCCATCCCAATTAGAGCAAATTCAAGACAGCGGGCTTTGAAATCTTTGTACAAAACATATCTTGACGTTTTACATGTTAAGAAGGTCACTCGAGACAGAATGGGCGCCGACACATCTACGGTGGAACAAGAACTTTTACAAAATGAGCTCAACAATTCCGATATGAGAGAAGTACCACAAGTAACAGATGATCAGATCCGCCGAATTCATGCAGTAGCCACAAGGGACGACCTATATGAGGTCCTGGCTCGTTCCATTGCACCAAGCATATACGAATTGGATGATGTTAAAAAAGGAATCTTGCTGCAATTATTCGGAGGTACTAACAAGACCTTTACTAAAGGTGGTAGATACAGAGGTGATATCAACGTTTTACTATGTGGTGACCCTTCGACTGCAAAATCCCAACTTTTGCAATATGTTCACAAAATTGCTCCTCGTGGTATTTACACATCAGGAAAGGGATCTTCCGCGGTCGGCCTGACTGCATACATAACCAGGGATGTCGACACAAAGCAGCTGGTGTTAGAAAGTGGTGCTTTGGTCTTGTCGGACGGCGGTATTTGTTGTATTGATGAATTCGATAAGATGAGTGACTCAACCAGGTCGGTTTTGCACGAAGTGATGGAGCAACAGACGATTTCGATAGCAAAAGCTGGTATTATAACAACGCTGAACGCACGTACCTCGATTTTGGCCAGTGCTAATCCAATCTCTTCCCGCTACAATCCCAATCTACCGGTTACGGAGAACATCGACTTACCACCACCTCTACTTTCAAGATTCGATCTCGTTTATCTGGTTTTGGACAAAGTTGACGAAGCAACTGACCGAGAACTAGCAACGCATTTGACAAACCTGTACCTAGAAGACGCACCAAGTCATGAAAATAAAGACGATGTGTTTCCCGTTGAGTTTTTGACCATGTACCTCAACTATGCCAAACAGAAATATGCCCCAGTAATTACTGAGGAGGCCAAAACGGAGCTAGTACGAGCATATGTTACCATGCGGAAGATGGGTGATGATTCGAGATCTGACGAAAAGCGGATCACTGCAACGACAAGACAGCTCGAGAGTATGATCAGATTATCAGAGGCCCATGCAAAGATGCGGCTATCGCAGTTTGTAGAGCTTCAGGACGTTCAAGAGTCGGTAAGGTTAATCAAATCTGCTATAAAGGACTATGCCACCGATCCCAAGACGGGAAAAATCGATATGAATCTCGTACAGACCGGAAAATCCGTTGTACAGCGTAAGATGCAAGAAGACTTGGCGCGCGAAATGATAGCCATTTTAACAGACCGTCCTAACAATACCATATCCTACAACGAGTTGGTACGTAGTGTGAACGAACAGTCCCAGGATAAAGTGGAAGCTGTGGATATTTCGGATGCGTTGGTGCGACTACAGCAAGAGGATAAGGTTGTGGTCTTGGGCGAAGGTGTAAGACGGTCGATTCGTCTCAATGGGAGAATTTGAGTACAACTCGTGGAAGCGTAATCTCATAATTAATTTGTAGATAACCAAATAAAGGTTTCACCAACACATACACACTATCAAAATCCGACGAAGAACACCTTGTTCTGTGTTTCCTAAACAACAGCTTCATGCTTTGTTCATAGATGTTGCGATGTTGAGAATTAGATTGAGACCCGTTTGCTTACTAGCGTTAAGAAGCGAATCTAAAGTCGCTAAAGAACACCCTTCAGATACAAATTTCCCAACATCGCTAGAGTGATTTGGTATCGTCGTTAAACAATGTGATGAATCCAGCGCGATCGTTCGGCACAAGACTTTTGAACCGCAAAATGAAGCTCAAATCGGTGTGCAAACCCTCTGACACAAAAAAGGAATCAAGAGGTTCTAAGAGCTGTGGAACGACGCCCTTGTAACCTACAAGGGGCTCAATGAAGAAGTTTCTTGAACGGCAACTCGTTGAAGATCTTCTTTCATATTCCAGACCTAGGTTGTTTAGCCGCCGAGCTTCTCCAGCTTTTTGTATGGTGGATTTTCAAAAATCATGTGACTATCACGTTTTCTTAAAATTTGGCAAGAGTCATGTGCATCTCGCGTGACCTTTTAAATCTCCGATATGATTGGTTCAAAGTATCACTGCTTAATGAAAATTTTAAACTAAACCAACTAAAGAGAGTTAAGTCTACTCCATCGCCATCTCATCACGACTAGGGGCATCATTCATTTCGGATCATCTTTTTGAATCGTCGACACAGCGTTTTGAAACTTTGGCCCCATTTCGAATCTCAACAAAAATGCTAGCAAGAATCCAGAATGCCGCTAACGGCGTTGTGTCCAAGGCCCAAGCTTACACCACGAAGTCAATCTACTACTCTAAAGTCGTGGGAGAACTGTCGAAGCAGGTTTACCTAAAGGAGAAACTACAACCACCATCCGTTGGCGATTTCCAAACTGTCTACACAAGCCTGTATAAGCAGGCATTGAGTCTTGCTTTGAAGCCTAAACAGTCTTTGAGTTTGTTCAAGAACGTTCAAAAAGACGATTTGATCAAGTACGGTGCCTACGGCGTTCAATTAGCTGGTCTGTACTCACTGGGTGAGGTCATTGGCAGAAGAAAGGTGGTGGGATACAGTAACTATGCCGCTCACCACTGAAGCAATGAAAGCAAACCAAAACGAGGAAAGTAAAGAAAGGGAAGGAATGGAATGGGAAGCAAGACAACATTCGAAAAACATGGCAAATCTATCTTTTCTACCTGCATCAGGGATAAAGATGCGAGCGTCCAATCTTCTCTTCTTACATTGATCTTCTTTATCACTGCATAATAATATATTCTACAATATTTTTGGTTCCATTTTTGCATAATGTGTGCAATTGTATCAAAATAGGAATTCCATCGCTTTTCTGAAGAAGGTTTCCAACTCTATATTGCCAGAAACATCTAAACTCTATACTTTACACAACGCGTCGAAACGACCAGGACACATACTATATTCTAATCGAAAGTCATCTCTCAAACGTCGTTTTCGCTATGAACTTCCTCTACTGCTTTTCGTCTTTTTGATGCTTCAACCATCTCCTCACGCTGCCGCCTCTTTTGCTTTACCAGTTTGGGAACTGTGCTGATTTGTTGTCTATCGGCAGAGGACTTGCCCTTTTTCAAAGCTTCCTTCTCTCTTTTGGTCATCTTGGAAAAGTCATCCATCCATTCTGCGACTTCAGATCCGCTTTGTTTCATAACGTTGATGATAGGTTTCACTGCCAAGTTGTCTTGCTTGGTATAAAAGGTGACTGCGGTACCATCGCGTCCATTTCTACCGGTTCTACCGATTCTATGCACGTAAGCCTGTGCCGTTCGGGGAACGTCATAATTGATAACAAGATTAACACCCTTGAAATCTACACCTCTGGCCAAGACATCAGTACATATCAAGCACCAGATCTCACCGGTTCTAAATCTTTGAATGATCTTGTCCCTCTGAATTTGCGTTCTTTCGGCATGAATAACATCCACGTTGAGATTGTCGTACAGCAGTTCATGGAATAAGGCCTTGGCTCTGGTAATAGACTCCAAAAAGATTATGACTGGAGGTTTAAACCCTCCCTCTTGGATCATTTGTCTTATCGCTACCAACTTACCTTCTTCGTTACCACAGAATACCAGCTTTTGTTCGATGCTCGAGTTTGCTGCTTCCTTATGGCCAATGATGATTCTCACCGGATCTAGCATGATAGTATGAGCAATTTGCTCCAATCCCGAAGGCATCGTTGCAGAGACCATCGACTTGCGGAGCTGTGGATCGCGACAAGATGCCAAAATGCTATCGGCTTGCTCCACAAATGTCTGGTCGAACAGTTTGTCTGCTTCATCAAAGATGATATGTTTGACAGAAGAGAGGTCCAGTGCTCCTTGCTTGACAACGTCTATCAGACGTAGTGGGGTAGAAATTATGATGTCGTATTTTTTATCGCTCACTATTTTGTTCTTCAGTTTGGCACTTAGAGATTTACTGAGCAAGGCGACGGAAAGTGGTCTTTTCTTGTCCATAAAAATCTTGTTGCTGAGCTTGGTGCTTTCCAAAAAAATTTGGTTCGCCAACTCTTTTGTTGGCGAAATGATCAATCCCTTGAGACCCTCCGTTTTGCGGGATGCAATCACCTGTTGCAATAGCGGCAGAACAAAAGACAAAGTCTTACCAGACCCTGTTGGCGCACAAGCCAAAATGTCCCTACCGTCCAATGCTATCGGTATACCCTCGCACTGGATGGGAGTGGGCTCTGTAAAATGGGCATCCAAAAGATTTGATATGAGACGCTTGTCAAACTTATAACGTGCTACCAGGTCTTCAAACGAACCGATCGGCAGCGGTACGTCGTCACCAGAGACTTTACCCATGTACGTTTTTCTGAGCTCAGCAGCATCTTCCGCGGTAGAAATCTTGGTAGAGCCCACCTCGAACTTCAAGCGCGCATCCGACACTTCTCTCCTCTTCACTGAATCCTCATCATTAGTATCCTGCTCACCATCGGCTTCAATCTTATGCACAATTCTCTTGTTGCGGAAAAAATCCAATTCCTTCGTGAGTTGCCGTTCTGAGTCCGGTTTTTTTGTGCTTCCTGCCCTTACCACCCGATCCTGATCCACCGGAGTCTTGCTGAAATCTGCAGAGCCACCAGAACGCCCAGCTTTTCTCACACTAGCGCCTCTTGTTAAAACTTGAAAGATATCCATTATGTGCTAGATTGAGTCCAAAAAAAGTCTCTAGAAAAGCCCTCAAAATCGTTGAACCAAAACAAAAGTCGCTCTTTGACGTTCTATAGACAAATCAAGCGCGTTCTGGGCCTCTGGATAATCTAACTTCCAAAACTTACCTAGCTTTCAAGAAGCTCATCTCATCTCATCTCATCGCTCTTCTTAAATAGATTGACATCGCGATCTTTTCTGCACCTCGTTCAAAGTGCTCTGTAAACTCATAAAATTTTCCAAAATCTCAAAAATATTGGAAATTATCCAAAAATCGTTGTCGAGACTAAACGTTTAAACGGTGAGTTCCGGCCTTTTGTAATCGCCACTACGGACTCTTCGCGTTTCTTATAGTTGTATATCAGACATTGGGTTGTTGTGGACGAAAAAATGCCGTTTTTTGGTTGTAATTTGGGCTACTTGAGGACCAATATAGGTCGTAGAAGCATAACGTATTTGCACAGCGGAAGTCGAGTCCGTGGGCTGAAAAGGGATCCCAGTGAGTATTTGAGACTTCCTGGCGGACTTCTATACACAGAAATTGAACCCTCGACGTATCACGATACCATACGGTCGCGGTTGAATCTTCAAAACCATGATGTGACGCTCTCGGATGACGTCATTGTGCAGTGTCTCACCCACAAATCGTTTGCACACGGTGGCAAACCATACAACGAGAAACTGGCATTGTTGGGAGCCCATTATCTCAAGTATCTAACCTCAGTCTTTTCGTTGAAACTCCCGGCTCCATTATCACCAGTGGCAGCTGAAAAGATCCAAAAACCCATCAATGGGTTGAATTTCACGAACTTGGGTTCCCAGGGCTCGAAATTACTCATTTCCAAGAATACCACCGCAGAATTCATCCGGAAAAGACAATTGGATTCATTTGTTTTTTGGAAGAAAAGAGACCCTCTTCAGAACGCGGCTTACAACGGCGAGTCTGCAGTTTACGCTAGTGTTCTGAATGCATTGTTGGGAGGCATGTTGTTAACGAACGGAGCTGAAAAGACCAACCGATACATACAAAACGAGTTTTTAGACTCGTCCAAAGAAGCATCACTTGTGCGCGTCGCGTCCAGCCACGACGTATGAAGCCCTTGTTATCTCGAATAGTGTGGACCAGTGATATGTGAATTCACCACATGCTTGCACCAGTGCTCTCCCACTCAAACGAGATAGCGGTGATGATAGACAGGGAGGGTTATTTGCATTACGAAAAACAATACTGAAACTGATAAATTGGCGTGGAACTACCATCCTGTACATAGAGAAGTTCTGAAAAGTCTTTAGTGTAAGTCTCATGATTTTCGATACTCGCAATTCTGCATTTTGGGCATAATAACGTGTATCACTTGACTCGTTCTTTTTCTGATTCAATTTGTGTCGATTCGCTTATGTTACAAGTACTATGTCAATTCTATATGTTTCCTTTATGAGTTCATCAGTGTTTAAGCTGTGAGTTGAGATACTCTATCTCTTCCTTTAGACTGGCTTCTTCCACCGTCTTAACGAGTTCCTTGGTGCATTTGGCAACGTCAAACGCTATGCCCGCCAGTCGCTGTTTGAAATGCTTGCTAGCATATTCGTCATCACCTTCATCAAAGTTGATTGTTCCGTCTTCATTCAAGTGACATAAAGAAGTCATTCTTCTCTTACAGTCCTTCAAACTTTGTACAACCCAATTGCCATGCTCCTTTAACGCAGCGTTACGTGATTGGGCCATTGATACATTCGTAGCCTCCACCATCTGCGCTATTACTTGGTTTATTGCTGAAGAATCTTTGCAAAGTTCACCCTTCAATGCCTGTGGCTGTTTAATTGAAGTAAGCAACGATTGGATCGTGCTAATCACTTCAATAGTGCGATGCTCCAGATACAAGAGCAGTTCCGATAAAGTGTTATCGGGGTTCTCAATGTCAAAAGCGTCAATGTCAAAATCGTCTTCGTCTCCAGACTCCCTGCCACCCTCGGCAACTTCTTCGGAAGCCCTTGAACTAGCGGCAGCAGGAGCTGTAGATCCTGTTCGTGATCCTGATGGATTCCAGCCATCGTGGTCCTCCTGTTTGACGAGGATGTGCTCACTTTCCAGCGACGCGTCCTCTGTTTTTATTTTGTTTGTGCTCGGCGTAAGTGAGATACTTTGATCCGATGGTTTTAGGCTTGGGTCCTCGTTCATCTTTTTCAGGTCATTCGTGTCCCATCGAGCGGGAAAGCGTTGGTAGGTGTCTTGCTCAACAGTACTTGGAGGAGCTGCCGAAATAGGATCCGAATACCCCTCAGGCACATTGACTTCTGACTTATCATCGTTTCCAGGAGCTCCATTTGCAAATTTTTGTAGGTGTTCTGAGACCTGTGTTCCTTTTGCAGGTAGACAATCATCAGGAATATTACGTTTCACGTCCGCAATCCGGCTACCAGAATGTACTTCCTTCCCAGTGGTTTCTCCGTTAGACGTATCTGACGAATCAGACACAAATGAAAGCTTATTTGTGGATTGAGTGGAGGGTGTCAACTTAAAACCTTCATCGCCTTTAGTTGTATATCTCTCCGCATGCTCTTCATCAGTCTCTGGTTGGATGGCGGGACCGTTGTCCACAGATGGCCCCAGGTCAGTTGATTTAACTGGAGTGTTAACGGTCTTGGTATCCTGCCCTGTAACGTTGCGTGCTTGTGGACTAGCTTTTGATGGGGAGTTTAATGGAATGGAGTATTCTTCGGCGTTTTCACCCTCCAAAAAATCCTTGGGCTTTTGGCTCTTCAGCAAGTTTTGTTTGAGCTGATACGTTAGATCTTCATCACTCGTCAAATTGCTATCGTCGTTGTTCCGCTCATTCTCATCGGTTGAACCTTCGTCAGTTGAAGCTTCAAAAATCTTTTCCGCTGCGCTGTTACCTGGTTCGGCACGAATCCTATCAGACTGGCTCAGGCTTGACATCGCGCTTGCCGATGTAAGTTTGGCAACCTTTACCGTTGAATTATCGGTATTAGTCAATTTCTTTCCCTGACTGAAAACATTGAGTGACGGCGATATTGGGGAAGATACAGTATCTGTCCAACGAGTAGAAGCGGAAGATGCTGCTACGTATTTCTGACTCTGACTAGTGTCTTTAGCCGCTGCTGGTGAACTCGTTACCTCTTGTTTGCTGGCTGGTGATCCAGAACGCGCCTTAGGAAATTGTACGGTTTCGGGCGAATTATTAGCAGTAGAGCTTGTGTTCACAATTGAACCGAACAATGAGCTCGATGGTTTCCTACTCGTGTGTCTGCCTTTTGAAGGTTGCGCGTTGTTAACCACTTTCTGAGTGATTTTCAAAGGTTTGACCGGAGACATGTTCCCTGGGTTATTTGACACTCCTTGTAAGCTCTCGCGGGGATCTTGAAAGTTGGCATCCTCAAATTCCGACCAATCTTGAGCATTGGGAGTTTGCGGAACAATGTGGTTATTTTGATCAAGTGAGAAATTGTCCTTGTGCACATCGGCTACCTTGACTATATCAACCATCTGGCAAAGAGCAAAAGTAACATCAGACACTGCGCTGTTGACAGTCACAAGGGGAAGTATCTCATGAAAAGACGCAAAGAAACGAACCGCAGTGATAGCATGCGAAAGTGCACCTTTCAAAACTAAAATATGCTCCTGACTACCGCGATTATCAACAGTCTCGATCACTTTTTGCACAGTGTCAACAATTTGAGACAAAACATTGAAAATCTGATGCCCAAATCCAGTATCTTGCCGATTCCGGTTTATAATATGAAACATATTTTCGATGTGTGATATGAATGCTGTAAGAAGGCTTGATGGAATCAGCCCCTCAGGCGACAAATATTTCTTTGGTAAGTTTTGAACCTTGTCTAAGGCCTCAGACCTGAAACTTTCGTTTGAGACCTCTTCAGGTGTCGCATTGTCTCTGGCATTTGCTGGTTTTTCGTCATAACTGTGTTTTTTTAGCTTGAGCTCCATTTCTGCAAGATCTTGTTTGAGGTTTTCATTCTCAATTGATAGAGAATTGACCTGTTTTGTAATATTCAGGAACTCATCATGGTGAGTTCTGTCTACCGACCTGCTAGTCTGATCGCCTTGAGTTTGTGCCGTTTTGAGCTTTTGGAGCTCATCTTCAGAATCGATCAAGTTCTTCGAAAGCACTTCTAACTGTTCCTTCAAGTCTGAGTTTTGATTCTCCTGCGTTCGTAACTCATTTTCAAGGTGTTTTTTGGCAGCCGACAGTTGTGAGTTATTCAATTCCAGTTCAGTGATTTTCTCGTCCATTTTCGTGCCTTCTGCAATGAGAACCTGAATCTCTCGCTGAGAGTTCTCGTTTTCCAATGAGATTCTTTTTATTGAGCCTAAATGCTTTAGCTGAGTTTGAAGTCCACTTGAAGCACTACCCAATTCAGAACGCTCACGAGTATCAAATGGAGAGTTGATCGACATTGTAGGTGAAGAAGTATTTTGGCGTTTTCCTGCATTTTCTGGAGAACTTTGCTCATCAAAACCATTGCTTGAATTAGGTCCGGGGGCAAATTTGAGATGTGACCCCCGGGGCAAGGAATCAAAAATTGAAGGGGAGTCCCGTTTGCTTAGGTCGCTGTCTTCCATCTTCTCAGTGACAATAGAACTCGAAAATCTGTCAGAAAACCTTAATCCTTCTTCGCTAGCCTCGCCAGCGATTGAAGGACTTTGTACGGATTGCGAAAGTCTATTCGTTAAACTTAGACCCTTCGTTTCCTCAAAAGAAGCATCTTCGTCTACTTGTCCGTTCGTATGCTCTCTTGAGCTCCTGTGGTTTGAACCCGAAAGGGCATGATTTTGCCCCTGGGTTTTGCCAGCCCCGAATTGAGGAGAATTCTGGGAGCCGTTCTCGAAATCTGAATTATCCGAGTCTTGCAAAAGTTGCGATCTTTGTGCAAAGTCTGTCACATTGTTTTCAATGCCTGAGGTTCTGTCCTGGTGGCGCGATTCTGGCACGCTATGAATATCCCTATCTTGGAAAATATCCTGGCTACTTGTTCCACGTGCTGATCGGCTCTCTTTTCCGCCATCATGGTGATCCTCCTCCTCATCGGAGCTCCACTCGATGGAAGCTTTTTTGGGTATCACTTGAGATTGTTGAATAGAAGTACTGGGTACTACACTAGAGGAATGTGTACTACCATCTTGAATTGATGATTTCTTGGGGGTTGACATGTCCTCATGCTGACTATTATCGTTGCTATCTGCGTCCAATGGCAAATTGCGAGAGACTGAGTTCCGGGGATCAGTGTGCACTACAGATTGCGAAGAGACATTGGGATCGACGACTTCTCCTTCATCTGGTCTGAAATGATTTTTTTGAGGCGAAACTCGCGGCGAAATCTGTGGCGAGACTGGAGTTTGAGGCTCTGAAAGTATGTGATAGTCTCGTCTTTGGATTTCGTATAGTATGTCGTCCACCAAATCGTTGAAACGGGATTCTGATAAATTGGCCAATTTTTGACGAGCCTGATTCCGCTTAACGTGAAAGTTATCCTTTGGTAACAAATGATCGGGCTGTGTCTGATTTTCGTCTATACGGCGCTGAAGCTCGTCGTGAACATCTGTGCTTAGTTCGAAAAATTGTGACGAATAAAGCTTCAGCAATTTGGATCTCGCCTTCTGTGCTCGAGCAGAACTCGATCGATCAAGTTTTCCACCTGTTACCGTAGAAAAATCTCGCAATTCTCGATAATACTGATGTACTAGCCGTCTCTGCTCAGCGCTCAGGTCTGTCTTATTGGTTGCCATAATTTTTCGCTGAAAAATTGAGCTGTGAACACCTAAACAACTGTCAGGGTAGAGTTCAGAATCCACCTAATCGAATTCTATAGGCGTCGTTATAGATCTACCCTGTGAAAGACCCCAAGGTTGGTGTTTGTTGTGATGTAAAGATCCCACGTTCATAAATAGGACAACCAGTGAGTTGATTTATGACGCGTAAAGCCTCGAGAAATTTTAAAGATATTCGTCGATAGTGATCTCTTTAAAAGTGCTAAAGGGAAGGAAAGCAGCCTTTATTCCCAGCTTGCTGGAATGATACAAGAGGGAAGTCGGGAAACGTGTTGGTTGTCAGGCGTTTGATGCAAATCGTAGAACGTATGTCGGAGTTTACTCGAAGAGAAGATTTTATAAATATGTATCGTGCAAATTAAAATCATATCTGTATCACGTGATCCTCGAGCCATCGTCAAAGACTTCACCTTTTGTAAAGAGATGGACGCTCAGAACTCTTAAACTATTCACTCCATGAAAAGAACCCTGATTCACCACCTTTCAATCATCATGAAGTGGATTATGACTCCTACTCTGATGTGAGAACATAACAGTTTACAAAAAGATAAAACACATGGGGCGAGCCGGGAATCGAACCCGGGACCTCCCGCACCCTAAGCGGAAATCATACCTCTAGACCACACGCCCATGATTTATTAGTGTGCCTGAATCTAGCTCATACTATACTAACACTCTTGTCACAATTTACCTATGTCGTGTTCTACTATCACGAACTACAAGAATCTATAAAAGGTCTTTGATCCTGTTGAATACGTCGTTCTTAGTCCTATATCTCGCTTGGTCTCCTTCTGTCTATGTTATATTACTTTGCCCGTTCCTAAGGCCCTCTTTTATATGGTACTCTTGGTTCATTGTGAGGTTCATTATGAACCTCTGTTATTGGTTTCTTGTTGAGGTTCCGCTCCGCACGTAGATTGTTAAATCCTCATCTCGACCTCTCCGTACCTAGGTTAGGTTCATCTTGTGGTTACTTCGGTTTCGGTCGGTCCTTTCTTCATTCGTCTTTAGTCATTCCATGACAACCTAGAGCGTATTTTTGTCGTCCACTTGAAAACTGAAGACGCTTTCCAGACAAAAGCTGAAACTTGTACAGCGTTTGGGTTCTGTATGTACGTTAAGAGAAAATCGTGTTTCCGACCATATTTTACTTGTAGACAGCGTCAACAGCGATATTTGAACCATCTTGTCACAGATCTTAATTGAGAAGATCAAAAAATAATATTTGCGAATTCTGTGGATCGAACACAGGACCTCCAGATTTCTAAGTGACCGAAGTTATCTTCAGTCTGGCGCTCTCCCAACTGAGCTAAATCCGCTAATTCTGAATGGTAGAAAATATGGTATCAGTATATTCAAAGAAATAGTCCGATGCCACAGGTGATTGATACATAGCTGTAGCTCCTACTGGGAAAACCGGTATTACATTCGATAGTCAGGATAGTCAAGTTCTTCACCTATTCATTTTCTCTATACGCTAATCCAACTTTCTCGACTTGTTTGATTTGAGTTTAGGTCAAGAAGCTCTGTGCATTTAACCAACGTCTAGAACACGCAATGTGATGGAATAAAAACAAAACATTAAATATTGTTATTATTGAGAAGACAACGCCCGTGGGTTCTCACTGTCTCTACGTGAACTTGTGTGCGACCGGAACGAAACGATCAAATACCAATTTCTGATTTTCATCTTTCGAGACCGACGGTGGCCTGTACATGCGCAATGCCAAGCTGCTCATTACGACACTAACGGAAGATGCAGCCATCGCCGCACTCGCCCATACGGGCGACAGTCTGGTATTGTTGTAAGGATATATGACGCCTGCTGCAATAGGAATCCCGATCATGTTGTATATTAAAGCCCATGCAAAGTTGAACCGGACCCTTTGAAACACTTTACGAGATAAATGTAGCAACGTCAAGAGCGAACACAAGGTGTGCGTTCCTGAAAGTAACGCAAAGTCGCAAGCGCTCATGGCAAGGTCACTGCCGCTAGCTAATGCAACACCAACATCGGCTGCAGCTAATGCAGGACCGTCATTGATCCCATCTCCAACAAATGCCACTACAGGTGACTTTTTACGTACGAGATAGGTCTTCTTGATCCATGTAACCTTCTCTGCTTTTGCTTCGGGAAGAACTTCAGCTACAACATTATCAATCCCTAATTCCTTGGCAATGGCGGACGCCGTCATTTTGTTGTCCCCAGAAATCATCCAACACTCGATTCCCTCCTTTCGCAATTCTTTGATCACTCCCTTGGCTTCCGGTCTAATCTGGTCTCTCACAGCTAAAAGCATTACGGGAAAGAAAGCACTGCTTTTAAAAAAAGTGTTCGATTTTATGGCCAAAATAATAACACTTTTCCCCGCAGATTTCCAATCAGCCAGCATCTTCACCTGAGAAGAACTCAAATGGCAGTTGTTCTCGGCCATAAAAATTTCGTTCCCTAGAATTGCACTTTCTGGTAATACCGACTGTTTCATACTCGATATAGCATCCGTCCCATTAATGAAGTCTCCCTTGAGCCCTTTACCCGCAATTTCCTCCACCGAAGAGATCAGTTCGTGTCCCATAAGGGCCTCGAACTCTTGGTCAAGGAAGCTTTTAACGCCCATTGCAATAGGATGCTTTGAGACAAGCTCTAAATCTCTTGCAGCTTGAACAGCTATTCTTTTCATGGACGGATTGCTATGAAAAGAGTAGTTTGTCACTTTTGGTGCGCCTCCAATAGTCAGAGTTCCCGTCTTATCGAAACATACCACAGAAACTCGGGAGCCTTCCTGGAAAGCAGCCCCACCACCTCTTGCCAAGATACCATGTTTGGCAGCAAGCCCACCACCCACAAATAAGGCTGTAGGAGCTGCTAATCCAATTCCACACGGGCAAGCAATGACAAAAACAGATATCGCGAACTCTAGGGACCATACTGTCCAACCACCGACGTCAATATCCAGGTAGCTTTGAGGTAGTTGGCCACTGAAGCCCAGAGAAATCCATATAATCCATGTGATGATAGCAATGGACACGATCACCGGAACAAAGAAAGCCGTTAAAGAATCTGCGAGTTTTTCAACCGGCGCTTTTTTCAACTGTCCGTCGCGTACTGAACTTACAATTTGGTTAAGCAGAGACTCTCCGTCTAAGGCACAAATTCTGCCGATGATTGCTTGGGCCCCAACATTGACAGTTCCAGCAAATATCTGCTCACCCATTTTATGCTCTATTGGTATTGATTCACCAGTGAGAGCGCTTTCATCAAAGCTTGTCGTTCCTTGAGCAACGATGCAGTCCATCGGTGGTGATTCACCTGAAGCCACTCTGATGTAGTCTCCGATTTCGAGGTACTGAATGTTAGCTGTTCTATCATTGACAAACCTTCCGTCTTTTAGATGATCGACTAAGGTCGCATCATTTTGCTTCAGCAAATTAAGATCATTCACAGCTTGAGCCGTCCTATTTTTCGAGTACGTTTCGAGGAGTCTGCCCACAAGAAGAAAAAATGTTAGGAAGACTACCGCATCAAAATAAGTCGTGGTGTAGCCCGCGCTGCCTTTTTTTTTTGCATTTGTCGAAGAAAGCGCAAGCATGGCAATACTGGCAAAATAAGCAACACTAGTTCCCAATGACACGAGGAGATTCATGCTTCCAAACTTGAACACTCGTCTTTTCCAATCCTCCTTATGTTTCCAAAGCGCTCTTACCTCTAAAATAGCCTTCCTATGGAACACGTCGTCGACGAAAAAATAGACAGGTGTGCTCAAAAAAAACAGCACCCACGTCATTCTCGATGTATTACCGGCCCACATGGACTCTTCCACCCACATTCTAAACATACTGTCTTTCGGAAGGAGCGATGGTCCTAATACTCCAAAGATAAAGGTGGGTATGGCGAAAATAAAAGCGGCAAGTAATCTGACAGCTATCTTGTACGTGTCGCGTATCGCCATTTCACTCAATTGCTCCTCGAAAGTCCTCTCTTTGACAATAGATACCTTTATGTTTGAATCATTGCCACTGGATAGCTTTTCCAATATTCTCTCTATAATGCTTCTTACGGTGACGCCTTTCTCAACATTCGGTGTGTAACTGAATTTCACGGTAGGAGATTCTAGGGACAAGGGCTTTTCTATAACAAGATCCGCGCTTTCAAAATGGGATAGTAAATCATTGACATTTGCTGGGCACTGCGGGCAAAACATTCCGTCGACTCGTAAACTTAGAATTCTGGTCAATTTTCTAGCAGAAGCATGATCCACGCTCTCTGGTTTGCCAAGTGGCTGAAAGCCGAAACCAGAATCTTCAATGGTTTCCTGAAGTTCTCGCAACACGTTATTTTCGACTGAGCTCAAAATGAAGGTAGCAGATTTCGAAAGAACATTCACCGCTACCTCTTCCACGTAAGGTAACTGCTCGGCAGTGCATGTGATGGCTGATGCACATGCAGCGCAAGTGATACCATCAATGGCTGCAGAAAGCTTGAAACGGCGCTCACTAGTGAGAGGCAGTATTTCTAGTAGCTGAGCAGTATAACCGGCCTCATCAACACTATCAATAACCACTTGGACGAGCTGTTTGCTTTTAGTGATGACAGTGGCAGTATTGTGGACCGTATTGATCGCTACCTTAGCTTCAAAGTCTTGCGTGTTCAGAACTTTCGTGATAGCCGACTTCACAATTCCAGCGCAGTTTGAACAAGTCATGCCACCGATGGCGAAAATTGCTTTGTATTGCGCACCAACTTTGCTGTTCGTCTTGTCGTCTAGTTCGTATTGCTCATCGTTGGGCTTCTTTCCCGCGGTATAGCACTCTTTACAGTATCTAGCATGTTTTCTTCGTCTCTTAAACTTGGTGAGCCGAAAACTGCCTAGTTTCGACAAATAACCCCCCTGGTGCAGCGACCGTGACTCAACACGGTGAAAATTATCCACTACCGTATCGTTCGACTCGACCCGGATTTCACGTACGTCGAAACCAGCATGTTCGATATCTTTTTTGATTACGTTGGGGACTTCAGATACAAAAGAAGATTCAACGTTTCTTTCTGGGTCCTTCTTGGCACCCTTTTCGCTCAAACTTAAGGATACAAGTCCACTTTTCATATCAAACGAGAGAGACCGTACCACACCCAGCTTTTTAGGTTTGAAAGGATTGATATCTAGGCCCTTTGGATTGCCATTTCGGTTTCCAGGACTATCAACGGATACACCGTCCCAGTCAAAACGACGAGACACAACTTGGCGGATTAGCTGCTCGCAGCTATGGCAGTGCAGGTTATTCAAATAGATAGTTAGCTCCATGACATCTTTCGTCAGACTTGTGAATAATCTGGTAGTGCTAGATTATCTCTGGCGCTTTAAAATATAGGATCTGCGACATTTCTGCTGGCTTTAGTTTCCCAAAGTGATCTTTATGGTTGGTTTCCCCAGAGGGAAAAAAGATAAATTAAGAATACGCTGTCACATCACATGAACTGACGAGGATGAGATGAGAAAACAGGCAGAGACTCAAGTTGAGAAAATGTACTGACTAAAAATTGTTGGTCTCTACACAAAACTAAATGGAGGGCCTTACGTAGTAGCATTATTTTGAGTAGTTCGTTTCTTAGCGGAGAAAGCCTTTCTTTTTGGTTTGCGCAGGTGAGTTGGCAGATTGATTGACTAAGGACATTTCCAATTGGTGTTTCTTATCTTCTAAAGCCTTGAGCTGCTTGGTGAGCTTGTCTTTCATCTCCTTATGTCTGTTGAAAAGTTCGGCCTCTGATTTTTGCAGCTTTTTCTCCTTTTCATTAACCTTCTGTTGGAACACAGCCTTCATTTCGGCCTCTAGCTTTGCCAGCTTGGCTTCGTGCAGCTGCTTCTCTTCCTTTTGCTTGAGCTCAGGGTCGTATTCTTTGAACACCGAATTGTCTTGCTTGATGTTTAAGAAACCTAATTTTTCGGACCGGTATCTCTCGTACAGCACATTCTCGGTCTTTCGACGCAATTCCATTAGATAGACTTTGATGAGTAGATCACGCAGATGCACAAAGTCAGAATGTGCTGCATTGTCCACCTCAATGACACCCCAAGGGTAAGCACGGCCCCTTACTTGCCTGCCGTCTGCAGTGGAAACTTGAGTCGTCGAACCAACAATGGCGTATGGCATCTGGGAATGGAGCTGCAATGAGCGTGCAGCCGTCTCTTTGTCGTCAAGCACGTATTGAGGAGGCTCAAACAATTCGATTCCTTCGTTTTCAAGCTGGCCACGGATGGTAGCTTTGAATTCTTCGATCTCTTCATCTGTGAGGATGTCCGACTTGGCGATCACTGGGATGAGGTTACATTTCTGGTGAACAGCTTTGCAAAACTCGAGATCCAGGGCTTTAAGAGAATGGTTTGTGGGCTCTATGAAATACAGACACGCGTGAACTCGGTTGTCTTCGATGGAGTTGCGGTCAACTCGGTTTTCGGCATCCAAATATTGATCGAAACGGTGGTCAATTTCGCGCACAATTGGTACCCACGCATCTGCATTGTTGATACCGTCACCAAAACCAGGAGCATCGATCACATTGAGGGTCAATGCGACACCATTTTCCTCGATTGTGGTGGTGTGAGTCTCGATCTTCACCTCCACTTTTGTAGGGTCGCGGGCCTGGCCCGCCTCCTGCTGCTGCTGCTGCTGCGTGCCAAGCTCCTCCCGTGGTTGCTGGCTAGGATCGATATCTGCACCGGCCATGCGGTCGCCTGCGTTTCCGAGCTTCAAAGCAGCCAGATCCGCTGTAGCGGCTGCTGAAAGGTCGTAAAGGGGCTTGTTGAAAAGAGTGTTGATCAAAGTCGATTTTCCCAACCCCTTTTGACCCACACACAGCAAGTTCAGACTGAACCCGCGTCTGATCGATTTTCTATGCCATTGTTTGGGCAAATTCGCAAAGCCGACGTATCCGCTCACCCTGTGATGCAAAACCTTGATCCCCGTTTGTTGCGGTAGCTGCTGGCCTGTCTGTTGCTGGTTGGCATCCTGTTCCGATTCAACTTCGGTCTCTAATTCTGCCGTGGGTTTGCCTTCTGATGCATCTGGAATAGCGTGTGTTTCCTCAATTGTAGGCGAATTTTCCAATTTTACGCCACCATTGGCCACCCCACTTGTGGTGCCTGCCAAGGACGTACTTCTAAAGTCTTCTACCGACGTTTCTGCTTGCATTTCGCGCACTTGTTGGCTCTTGATGTTCTTTACAAAAGAGTGTAGATTCGTGTTGATCTCTTCGAGAATTTCAAAATTGGCCCCATTTTCCAAAACGTCGCTACGAACGAAACATCTCGCGTCAGTTTTCTAAAAATTAATAGTAGTGGTCTGTATATATTGTATAAAGAACAGTATAGATGAGATGAGCTAGAGATCTCTCTATAAGTCAAGACGAGAAGAACGCCGTTAACGTCGTTACGAATCGTTCTAATTGCTGTTGGCGAAAATGTCGGGTAAGGAAGAAATTAGGAGCCTTTTGGCCGAAGCGGCGAAATTCTATGCTGCTAAAGACTACGAAACATCGACAAATTTATATTCGGAGGTCAATGCGATACATGACGCGTTGACGGGCGAGAACAATGCAGATTATTTGTATCTGTACGGAAAATCGCTGTACCAGCTGGCGCTGAGCCAATCAGAAGTGTTTGGTGGTGATGGAGAAGAACAAGAGGGAATCGAAGGCGATGACGCTGGATCCGATGGGGAAGAAAAAAACGAGGCAAGTGGACATTTGTACCAGTTCGATGAAACAGTAGCAGAGGAAGAAGAAGAAGACGTACGGGGGGATGATAACGGTGAAAAGGAGCAGAAGGAGGAACACAATAAAGAAGAAGAAGAAGAAGAAGAAGAAGAAGAAGAAGAAGAAGAAGAACAACAACAACAACAACAGCAGGATGAGCCAAATGACGAAGTCCAGAGTTCAGATTTCGAGAACGCATGGGAAGTGCTAGAATTGGCGCGCTCAATCTACGAGAAAACGCAGTCGCAAGACCAGGAAGTATTGGAGAAACTTTCTGAGACCTACAGCATTCTCGGGGAGATCTCTTTGGAGACGGAAAACTTCGGCCAGGCCACACAGGATCTCACAAGGTGTCTGGAGCTTCGTAACCAAGCGTACGGTGCCGAGGACCCGACAAACCGGTTGGTCATCGAATCTCACTACAAGTTGTTTTTGGCGCTGGAGCTTGACCCATCGCAAAGCGTGGAAGCTCAGGAACAGCTGGAAAAAGCCATACAGTTGCTAGAAGCGCGAATCAAAGCCGGAAAAGCAGAAAAGGACGATCAAGGGCTGCTGGAGGAGTTGAAACTGAAACTCAAAGAGCTCAAGACCTCACAACAAGCGCTAGACGTCCTAAACAAGGCAAGTGTGGCCCAAATCAAAGAGGCACTCATGGGTGGTGGTGACCTCAGTCTAAACAAACCTGCCTCCATAAACGATCTGACCTCAATGGTGAAAAAACGGAAACCCAAGCCGCAACCGAGTGTGGAACAAGATCCGAAGCTTAAAAAACAGAAGAAATAGAGACATCAAGGTGAATATCGTTAGAATTCTGGCGAACGTGAACTCTACTCTTCAAATCATTCCACACGGATGGAATTTTGGCAACGGTACTAATAATGTCAAATTTTTGATATAATAATCCTTATAGGAAAAGGGCGAACAATTCTACCGATATTTTGCAACACTTGTTCAGTAACTCTAGTGTCTATTCCGCATCAATGGCAGCTACCCAAGGCATTCCACGGCATTTTCAGATTTCCAAGCTTATCAGCCTTGCTCAAACTTCGCAGTTTGCGTGGTTTGGTGGTCATCTTGTTGTCTTAACATGCGCTCTACTGTATTTGCTGACTTTCCGGGGTGGAGCTTCCAGCCTACACAACACACTTTACCGAGTGCTTTATTTGGGGGTTATTGAGTCGTTCGGCATCATTGTGTACCAACAGCATTTCAAGCATCGGGCCCAAACTACTAGTGGCTCAGGACCAGCCCCTACTATTACACAGCTTTTGCTGCGCGACGACAACTCGTTATACGTGGCAATTGCTGTGATGTGGTTTTTGACACCCAGACTTTCCGTGACGATGATCCCGTATGTGGTTTTCTCGTTTTTCCATTTCCTCACGTACTTGAAGTCTGTGCTTCTGCCACAGGTTTTCGAAATTGGACCTGACTCCAGACTGACAGTTTTGATTGACAATTTTATCCGCCAAAACAACGATCGCTCGATGGTGTGGTCGAGTTTCAGCGAGCTGGTGTGTGTTGCAATTGTGTTGGTGCGTGCACTGTTGTGGTACCCCAGATCGTGGATTGTGGCTGTCGTGTACTGCCTGTTCATCAAGATCCGGTACGAGACGTCGCCTTACACTCGCAGCGGCGTCAAGAGATGGGAGGTGCGTCTGGACGGGTTGTTGAGCCACCCTAGCGTGCCCGTGGCTGTGAAGAACGCGTATGTGCATTTCAAGAACAACGTGCGCCAACTACGAAACTACAATCTTTCAGGTACCCCTGCCAAGTCCATGTAGTGATTTTGGGCGTATCTAAGGGGCCCGAATGTTAGTCTAGCTTACTGTATATCTTGTACACGATTGTCAGAAAATGATTATTAGAGAGAAAGAGAGAGAGAGAGAGAGAGAGAGAGAGAGAGAGAGAGAGAGAGAGAGAGGGAGACGGAGACATAATTACGGTCAACGTAGTGGTGTGAAATCTGATTCTGGCACTGATAGTCGTGGTAGTCGTAGTAGCAGTAGTCACGTGCCACTACGTACATAACGACCCAACATCGATCCAATTTTTCACCACCAAAATATTTCAAGAAGAGCAAGCCTTTCCCGCCACCCAGCTGAGCTCCTCACATCCACCGTTATCCTACTCACTTCACCCAAACTCCTACACACATGAAATCCTACACTTACAGAGAAATGAAAAAAACAGCCCACCATCACTACCCACGGCTCCGCAAAATACCTCACGTGACTTACGTCATTATATTTTTTTAAATTCTTCCAGCAAGATCCATCGATTTCTCGAATCTTACTACCTCGTGGAACGTTCGAGAAATTCCCAGAACCTTAGAAATACGGCTAAACGCCTATTATAGAGATCAGGGAAAAAGTCAGCTCGAGTAACTATATAAAGAGAATGATTTGGACCAATTGACTTGTAATCTCTCACTCTAGATAACTTATTCTAACTTATTTTTTAATTCTCCAGGAAAGCATTATTGGAATAGCTCATTGATACCATAAGTTATTGAATTCGAACTTAAAGTTTCACTCAATCACTTCAATCGAGCCGCATCAGTAAACTAGCCGTTATAGAAAACACATCACAACACATATCACAACACAATGTCTAAAGCTGTTGGTATTGATTTGGGTACCACTTACTCGTGTGTCGCCCACTTTTCTAACGACCGTGTGGAAATCTTGGCTAACGACCAAGGTAACAGAACCACCCCATCTTTCGTGGCCTTCACTGACTCCGAAAGATTGATCGGTGACGCCGCTAAGAACCAGGCTGCCATGAACCCAGCCAACACCGTTTTCGACGCCAAGCGTTTGATCGGTAGAAACTTCTCCGACGCTGAGGTCCAGGGTGACGCCAAGCACTTCCCTTTCAAGGTTGTGGACGTTGGTGGAAAGCCCCAGATCCAGGTCGAGTTCAAGGGCGAAACCAAGGTTTTCACCCCAGAAGAAATCTCTTCGATGATCTTGACCAAGATGAAGGAAACCTCCGAGAGCTACTTGGGCTGCAAGGTCAACGACGCCGTCGTGACCGTGCCAGCCTACTTCAACGACTCCCAGAGACAGGCTACCAAGGACGCCGGTACCATTGCCGGTTTGAACGTTCTACGTATCATTAACGAACCAACCGCCGCCGCTATTGCCTACGGTTTGGACAAGAAGGACGAGGGTGAAAAGAACGTTTTGATCTTCGATCTTGGTGGTGGTACTTTCGATGTCTCCCTATTGTCCATCGAAGACGGTATCTTTGAAGTCAAGGCCACCGCTGGTGACACTCACTTGGGTGGTGAAGATTTCGACAACAGATTGGTTAACCACTTTGTTCAAGAATTCAAGCGTAAGAACAAGAAGGACTTGACCTCTAACCAAAGAGCCTTGAGAAGACTAAGAACTGCTTGCGAAAGAGCCAAGAGAACTTTGTCATCTTCTGCTCAAACCTCGATCGAAATCGACTCTTTGTTTGAAGGTATTGACATGTACACATCCATCACCAGAGCCAGATTCGAAGAATTGTGTGCTGACTTGTTCAGATCCACTATCGACCCTGTCGAGAAGGTGTTGAGAGACGCCAAGTTGGACAAATCTCAAGTCCACGAAATCGTTTTGGTCGGTGGTTCCACCAGAATTCCAAAGGTCCAGAAGTTGGTCTCTGACTACTTCAACGGTAAAGAACCAAACAGATCCATCAACCCAGATGAGGCCGTTGCTTACGGTGCCGCCGTCCAAGCCGCCATCTTGACTGGTGACCAATCTTCCAAGACTCAAGACCTATTGTTGTTGGATGTTGCCCCATTGTCCTTGGGTATTGAGACCGCTGGTGGTGTCATGACCAAATTGATCCCAAGAAACTCCACCATCCCAACCAAGAAGTCTGAGACTTTCTCCACTTACGCTGACAACCAGCCAGGTGTGTTGATTCAGGTCTTTGAAGGTGAAAGAGCCAAGACGAAGGACAACAACTTGTTGGGTAAGTTCGACTTGAGCGGTATTCCACCAGCCCCAAGAGGTGTTCCACAAATCGAAGTCACTTTTGATGTCGATGCTAACGGTATCTTGAATGTCTCTGCTGTCGAAAAGGGTACTGGTAAGTCTGAAAAGATTACCATCAACAACGACAAGGGTAGATTGTCTAAGGAAGACATTGAGAGAATGGTTTCCGAGGCTGAAAAGTTCAAGGAAGAAGATGAGAAGGAAGCTGCCAGAATTGGTGCTAAGAACCAACTGGAATCCATGGCTTTCTCTTTGAAGAACAGCATCTCCGAAGCTGGTGACAAGCTTGAAGAAGCCGACAAGGAAACTTTGAACAAGAAGTGCGAAGAAGTCATCTCTTGGTTGGACAGCAACACTACTGCTACCGCTGACGAATACAACGACCAATTGAAGGAATTGCAAGAAGTCTCTAACCCTATCATGACCAAGTTGTACCAGCAAGGCGGTGCCCCAGGTGCCGGTGCTGCTCCAGGCGGTTTCCCAGGTGGATCTGCTCCAGCTCCAGAAGCCGACGGTCCAACTGTTGAAGAAGTTGACTAAGTTCAATGTTTTCAATGAGAAGCCCAACCATCTAATGACGTTCTGTATAGTAATATATATATAAGCGATAAATTTTGCTGAAATTCGTATCTTAAGGTTTAGGAGGTAATTTATCCTAGACCTGATGTTGAATCTTGGGACTGTAAGCTACAGCTGAGAAAAACAATCAACAACCGTTAAAAAATGAATGATGTCTCTTAGTTGCTTTGAGCCTGAGGGTAAATTTCTGATTCATTGATCACTTGCCAGAGCTCGACGATTCTTGACTTTTCAACTTTCAAAAAATGGGGCGAGCTGGGAATTGAACCCAGGGCCTCTCGCATGCTTGTGGTTATAGTAGTTCAAGTTAAACTCGAACTTCGCCCAAAGCGAGAATCATACCACTAGACCACACGCCCGTATTGATGATTTTCAATTCGCTAAGATTGAATCCACCAGAGGAGCACAATCACGCCTCGAGTGTTTTAAGTGAAAACTGATGGACTGTCACTCAGGAGAAGTATCAAAGAAGGAGCGCCCACAATATATGAAATTGTACATTAGTCTTTGCTTTAACTGAAGCATCACTCAAGGTGACTTGTTTTTCAGGATAGAGTCTAGTTATGATGGGATAGCTCACCAGAAGGCCAGCCTCTCTGAGCGATCGATGATTTGACTGACAGGTAATGAATTGGTCCTCTCCACACTACGTGCAATCGAGAAAAATCTTGTGGTCTGAATGATAGCTGTATTAAACCACAAATCAGTAATCTATGGTTGTCACCGTTACCAATTGAATTTACGGAGTTCGGAAAAGGGAAACGTCGTTCTCAAAAAAATTCGAGCTTCAAATCGAGTGGTATCTACTCATACGCTCAGGGAATCGCGCAACTTATCTGCGTGCCGCCTGTTTACTTCGAATACAAATACACTATATAGTCAAATATGATTGCTGCACTGTACTGCTAGCCTACAGGAGAGATGACTAGTTAAACTGCCACGCCAAACATGAGCCGAAGTAAACTAAGGGACCCTAAATAAAACTCTGAATACTGGCAACTTGGCTTCCCGGTTAAGCTGGGCGAGGAAATCGTAATTCTCCCAAGATGCACATGTTAGGGAAGCAGGGATCAGACCAACGGATGCTCCTTATAAAGAATACCATTTGCCACTTTAGTATAGTGGTTAGTACACATCGTTGTGGCCGATGAAACCCTGGTTCGATTCTAGGAAGTGGCATACTTTTTTGCAAGCATGGAAGTCAAAATATACTGTGCGGAACGAACATAAAAATAAGTAGTCTACGTTGCGACTGATTTTAGCGCTGGTTGTGCATCTGTTCGAGCTCGAAAACTGTGTTTCGTTTGTACTACAAAAATAAAAGGGGCGAGCTGGGAATTGAACCCAGGGCCTCTCACATGCATGCGTTGTTAATCAAGGTGTACCCCCAATTTCGCCCAAAGCGAGAATCATACCACTAGACCACACGCCCTAATTTAATCTCTGACGCCAACCAGTCTGAGGTATATCGTTTTCGGGAGGCATCTGAATGCTGTGGTTGCAACAGAGCCCCGGCGATGAACATTTTAGGCCAGTAACGGGTGTCTGGACCGACCTCTTAAAATACTAGTTGCAAAGCTCAGCGCAGCTTGTGAAGATAACAACTTGGTGCTTTCAAAGCAAGCAAAAAATAAGCCCTGTAGGGGGCTCGAACCCCTAACCTTATGATTAAGAGTCATACGCGCTACCGATTGCGCCAACAAGGCTTATATATCGATTAAAAAAGAATTGGAACGTATAGTACCACTGAAAAGACCACATGATACAATCAACTAACAGTACTCGCTAATATTCAACCGGGTCAAAGCAGGAAAACATTGAAACTGTTGTGAATATGTATAAGTGTCAAATTAGATACTGTTGAGATACTTCTGATACAGTTCCCATGTAGTGCCGGTTTCAGGATCACGTACGTATACGTATTTCACGCCGTATTTTTCCACGTCTCGATTTCTCGTTTCGTCATCGAAAAGACATGCTGTGTAGTCTCTTATATCTGCCTTTTTGCCAAAAATGTCTTTGATTCCGTCGCGGATGTGTATAACCTTACTCTTCTCACCCCATTGTAAGGAGTCGAACAAAGTGATTAACGGTACGATCTGACCTTCGTATTCCACTTTGAAGCCCTTCAGAAGATCGCGAGCGATCTCTGGGGCCCATGTTCTCGAGGCTGAGACTATCTTGACATCGTGGCTTTTCAAATCGGCCAAAATACGTGGAACATCTTTATAGAATGATACCTCATAGCCGCAAGAATCGATGAGTGTGCGAACTTCGCCGTTTTTGCTGGCTAAAGGCTTAAATGGTGGACTCAAATGTGTATCACAAAAACATGGCCAGACTGTGTAGTCCAAGTCGAAAGCTGCCACTTGCGGGTATGTCATCTTGCGCGTTGAGTCTAGTGAAGTCGGTGAGTTCATCCTGCAATAGTGCCACTGCTATATGCATATTATATAGCTATATATATAGTCCTATTGAGTTGAGGTCATATGACCTCGAGAGTGCTTCGAGATATTGGTAATGGCAAGCTGTACTAAAGGGCACAAATTGACGGCATATGACTAGATTTCATAGAACAGTGATCATTTTCAAGGAGATGCGATAAAAGTGAGAGCCAAGTTTTTCAAAGTGAAGCCAAGCAAGCGTGCTGGCGTTTACAGTATGAATAGCTCCATCTTTCCTGGGAATACTATAACAGGTCTCTTGGCCCAGTTGGTTAAGGCACCGTGCTAATAACGCGGGGATCAGCGGTTCGATCCCGCTAGAGACCATTTTTTTACAATTTTACATAACCACGCTAGTAAAGTGGGTTACTAGACGTAGTAAAATTTCAAAGCGTAAAGGTGAATAAATATCGTGACATTCGTTACGTACGTAATGTAGTGATGCGGGATCACTTCAATTAGTCCCAAGACTCAACTTTCATCGTACCCTTCTCGGCTAGATTTATATGGAATTTATGGGCGTTCTTCAACATGTGAGGCTCGTGCATGCATTTATTCTTGCGAGCATAAAATTCGGACCTTTCCAAATAATCTATCAGAATAGGTTTGTATTCTGGGTGAGCACAGTGTTGTATTATTTCGCGAGCCCTTTCTGTTGGCGACAAACCTCTGAGATCAGCCAAACCTTGATCTGTGACTACCACATCCAAGTCGTGCTCCGTCTGATCAACATGAGACACCATGGGCACAATGGTAGAAATCCCTGTAGGGTCGGTCTTGGATGGTCTGGCAGATGGGGTATGCATTATCGAAAGCTTTGCGTTTCTGAGGAAATCTGCAGAACCGCCTAAACCGTTCAACATGCGTGACCCAGAAACATTGGTCGAATTTGCATGCGCGTAGATGTCCACCTCCACGGGGGTATTCATGGCAATGACACCGAGTCGACGAATCATCTCTGGGTTGTTGGAAACGACTTGAGATCTGAGACATAGTTTTTGTGAAAACTCGTCCCAATTATTGAAAAATCTCTCAAAACCTGGCTCAGTGAGACGAATACTGGTTGCAGTGGCATACTCCAAGGATCCATTTTCGAAAAGGTCCAAAAACGAGTCTTGGAGAACCTCTGTCCAGACCGTCAAATTGTGGAAAGATGCAGACGACAGTCCCTCAATAACCGCATTGGCGATATTACCAATACCAGATTGCAAAGGATGCAAATTTTTGGGCAAACGGCCAACCGCGACTTCGTGTTCCAAAAATTCGATCAAATGCGATGCAATGGCTCTAGAGGCTTCATCAGCCGGGTGGTTTAATGGCACTTTGTCATGTTGAGTGGATTCTACGATGGCCACCACTTTAGAAGGATCGACTGGGATGGAATCGACACCGCACCGGTGATCTACTGAGAGATATGGGTAAGGTGGTCTATGCGGAGGGTTGATGGGCATATCGATGTCGTGGATGCCTTCAAACGAGTGGGTTGCAGTGTTGACTTCGACAATGACTTTATCGGCGACCGAGACGAACTCCGGAGAAGCACCCACGGATGGTCCTGGGACGATAGAGCCGTCCTCCTTGATGGCAGTGGCCTCAATGATGGCGTAGTCCAAAATGGGCGACCCGATTGGCTTGTTGCGGGAGTAAAAGCCGTAGGTGAGATCCTGAGGGAACATCGACAAGTGTTTGTCGAAAAATTGGATGCGGCCCTGGTTGATGGCGGAAGCGATGGGTTTTCCGACCTGGTGAGGCGACCGACGGGCGATCATGTCGAGTTCTGCCCAGCGGGACTCTTCAGGCCCTGCACTGGCACCCACAAACAGGTCGAACCGCAGCTTGCCCTGCAGCTGGTTGCGTTCGACGTGGTCTGCGAGTGCTTGGGGCACCACTTTGGGTGCCCCAACGCCGGTGAAGCCGGACCAGCCCAGACTTTGGCCGGATCGGAATAGTGGTATGAGTTCTGTTGCGGACTTGACGCGGTCCAAATACGGTGCGAACCGCACGCGTTGTTTGAGTAGGGACGACATGGTTGTTGGAGATGCTATTAAGCGGTATGACGTGCAATTGGCCTAAGTATTATCTCGGGGTCTAGTTTGGTTTAATTTGGTTTGGTCTTTGTCCAAATGTCCATTTACGAGTTTTTAGCCGCCGATAACACAAAAACACACAAAAACACACACAAGGAGCACTTTCTACGAACACAACAAACTTCGCGAGTACCTCTACGAGTACTATGTGATTTCCAGATCCCAGATCCAAAAACGGAAACTAGAAGAGAAGCAATGAATAACTTGAGTAAAGTATGGAGTAAAGTAACCAAGCGCGTTTAATTGTTCGCTTGTGGTTGCCTCTCTCTTTTTTTCGCTTCTGATGCGGATATATGGGCGCCCCTAAATCCTTGTTTTTCCCCACTTTTAGTCTCCAATAGTTCTAGTGTCGTCCTATATATATACCTGAGAGATGTTATACCGGTCGTTGGGCCGTACGACCAGCGTGACCATCTGCTGGACAGGCCATTTTGTGTGACCACAAAGAGGAAGTCCGAGATCGGTCATTTTGAGCCGTTGCCATTGGCTGTGGATGGGACTAAAGGTATCACGAGACCGGAGAAAAAAAAGCGCGGATAAAGGGGAGGAGGCACGGAGTTTACGTGGAAGGGTGTGTGGGTGTAAGGTGAGGTTAACGCCGAGATCCTTAAGGACGCCGTGCGTGAACTGAAGTGTGTCAAGCTACATAGACAAAAAGTAGACCAGACACAGAGACAGAGACGAGTAGAGGTGTTCAACCTCGGCGGTAACATAAAGACAGCTTATGGCCTCCTTCCTTTGAGTGTACAGGTATTTAATAGTACTCCAAGTGCTTTACACTGTTGAATGTCGTTATCAAAATGAAACACCCTAACAAGGTGAACGCCGGGTACCTTGTCATCCTCACACGATTGCTTGCGAGTATCATCATAGTATAGTCATTATTGACTTACTCCCTGTTGAGTCGGGATTCGTTAACCGTACCGGTGGGAAAACAACTTCAATAATAAGACACTATGATGTTTAGTACGTACATAGTGATATAACACACACGGTAAGATGTTGATAATGTTCAAACGCGTCAACCTGGGAATGAGACTTCTGTGGAGGGATTGTTCGGATCCCAAGAGTGACAGTGGTTCTGCCTCTGACTATTCCCACAATTGCCCAACGTGACGATCGTATTTCCGCGACTCGTTTTTCTACCCGTGAACGTCTTGACACGCCTTGTCACATGCCCCTGTTTACCACCTTACACAGTTTTTACCACCCCTCCTCTTCATTGACTTTTATCAGCGCCGTGGCGCAGTGGAAGCGCGCAGGGCTCATAACCCTGATGTCCTCGGATCGAAACCGAGCGGCGCTAGTATTTTTTTTTTTGGCTCCCCTCTCTAATTGATCAATTTCAGGATCCTTCTCATCTGTATTGACTTTTCCATCGGGAAAGTTTAAGCATCCACGATGAGCCAACAAAACCCCGTTCACGGGCCTGAGCTTTTAGAATAAAAGAATACACACGTCCTTTCACCCTCGTAACATTATTAATACATGGACTCGTCGGGATTCTCTGGGTTTTACACGTCTCAAGGACTGGTAGACGAGTTTAAGATGTTACAGGATAACTTGCCCATCACACTTCGAGAAAAAGGTACAAGTTCCTACAGCGATGGTGAACACGATACCGACAACGATACTGATAACGAACGTTTCGGTACTGTGCAAATCGTCAATAGTAATGGGAAACAGCCGTTGCAACAACCCATAGATGTGACGTTGCCGGATTCCAAGAGTCGAGATGCAGCTGTGGTGTTGAAAAATATCGATATTCTAAAGGCGATTTTCGATACTCTGAGTGGCAAAGATAAACTAGCCAAGATTTTGAAATACGTGCTGGATCTGCTGACCCTGTTTGTGGGCCGGAGTCGCACCATTATCACCACATGGGACCCGCAAGTGCTCCGACACTATTCGAAAGTGCTTTCGCAGCTGAACTTGCGTCTGGCACCCAAACACCCGATCACAATAGTCAAGATCCTCACGGTCGCATGTCTGCAGAACTTCGAGTCCCGTGCTTCGCTCATAAGTACAAGTCTTAGTCTCTTTCGCCAAATTCTGAGATTTGGTGGCACACCTTTCCGGGTTGCGTCTATGGGCCAAAAGATCGGCTCTACCGTGCAACAAATCACAACCGCCAAGGAACTGAGCTTGTCACAGTCCAGAAGATCAACTAGTAGTATAGCCGTGGCCGTCATCAACAAAGTTTGGGTTAACGAAAGCTCGCTTACCGATTTCCTTGATTTATACTACGGTATCATGGACGAACTGGCATTGCTTCACAAATTTAAGGTTTGGAACCATGCAGCGTTCTTTCGGTGGGTGTCCAAACACGAGGCTTTATCGTGGTACTACGATATCATGCTGGGACTCAAGAAAAATTGGGTCTCGCTTCGAGATCTGAACCGCACGCAGCTCGAGCTCGAGATTCAGATCCAAGTCAAAGAACGCGCCCTCGAGCTTTCCACCAGACTGCACGACAGAGCCGCTTCGCCTATAAAACAACAGCTGCTGCAAGACTTGCACGCCTCGAGTACCGGTAACGCACCCACACTTGAACGGATTCAAGAGTTGGAACGGCAACGTAAAACCATCATTCTAGATCTTGTCAGGCTTACATTTGATTTTCTTGCGGATACAACAGACGTCTTCAACCTCAAGACGCCGCCTGGCACCTACGCTGCATTATCTCTAGTGTCGGGTCTCACAGGTTTTGCCAAGCTGTGGGGAAACGCTAAGAAAGAATTGTCTTATACTGCCTAATTTGCATAATCTTTATATAGGTGTAGGAGCTCCTCTTCAAGACTTCAACTCGAGCCTTTGTTTGAGTTCTTCTAACTATTCCTCATATTTTAAAGTTTTTGGGTAACTGTTTGACATTAAATCTAATACCAGGACATTTAACCTCGGTGATTACACTGCAAATCTTATTCGTGGTGCTTCGATCTCCTCCAATAAGCTGGAACATGACAAAACCCAAAGTTTTGATACCATACAAATCGTTCATAGATCTTGCGAGAGAGCTTGAAGATTGGGCTCGGCTAAAGACTTGCATCGATTTTGTGGAGTACAAGTTGACTACAAAGGATGATTTTAAAGAATTTCTGAGGAACTCCGACTTCGCGTGCTTGTGGGTTACAGACGAATTTGGTGCTTATTGGGATAGTCCTACTTCTTTTTTCGATGACTTCCCCAAGACTTTAAAGTTGATCGTTGTACCATGGGTAGGAACGGACTTTTTGGACGTTTCGAGACTTAAAAACGAGAAAAGTATCACAGTCTGTAACATTGGGCCTAATGCCGCCAATAGCGTTGCTGAAATTGCTCTACATTTAACATTGAGTTGTTTCAGAATGACTTCTTTCTTCGAACACTGTTTCCGGTTTGTGCATCAGGGCCAATGTTCACAATGCTTCAAATACATTGGAGGCAGCAAACATGACACCTGTGAATCACAAGCACCATGTGCTAATGGAAAAGCGTCGTACTCGTTTCCTGAACCTCTGAACAGCGAAAAAGGGGGATCGGCAAAGTTTACGATTGCGGGGAAAAGTGTCAATTCTCCTGCAGGGAAGACTGCACTGATCCTGGGATTCGGATACATTGGTCAGACCATTGGAAAAAAACTGTACGGCGGATTAGATATGAATATTCGGTATTACAAGCGTTCTGGTCGTGTTTCTCGTGAGATTTTGGGATATCCTGCGGAGTATTGTGAGTCTTTGAAGGATCCGAAAACATGGCAGGCTGTAGATGTCATTGTACTGGCACTTCCAGGTGACGCTTCAACAGATAACTTGGTGAATCACGAAACATTAAAACTATGCAAAGATGGCGTGAGAATAGTGAACGTTGGTCGCGGTTCGTGTATCGACGAAGATGCTTTATTGAGCGGTCTAGAATCTGGAAAAGTGGGAAGCGCTGGGCTTGACGTCTACAAAAATGAAGGGCAAAGGGTAGCTTCTGGCTTTTTCAACCGCTGGGACGTAACTTTACTTCCACACATTGGTAGTGCCATTTCAGAGCTGATTACAACACAAACAGCTGTGACATTGCGTAACATAGAGGATGTGCTAGTTAATGGTGGGACCGGATTGTACCCCGTAGGATGAATGACATTCAGACCCGCTACAGCTAAGGAACTGCAGACAAGCAAAAGTATGTAAGGGGATGCTCAGCCCTCTGTAAAAAGTTTTTTTATTCTAGAATCGTTACAAATAGAAGCTACAGCATCGACGTTGGTGAACGCGGTTACCCACGAGTGCTTTCATTGTCCTGGATCCCCATAAAAGTATAGCCTCGCGGTGCTGGTGCGATACATGGCTTCATTTTTCTATTATATTTACACTACTTTGATGTTGTTCTTTTTTTTTTGGAAGGCGCGGCAGTCCTTTCATTCCGACGCATGTCCCTAAATTCGTTACCACTCCGTCTCGCCCTGTGCCTTTTGAAAGGCATAGTCCTTAAAATTGATGGTCGCCAGCCCATCTTTCAAGTTACACTTCCACTTGTTTTTGACCCTAAGCACTTTTTCATACAGACACAGCACAATGTTCTCGTCTTGACCGTCATCGTCACCAGACGAGTTAAGATAGTCGTCCTCTGAGTCGTCCAAATCCGAATTTATATCATCAGTTTCCAGCAGAGCACTTTTTTTCGCCTGTTTGGCCTGCAATTTCAGTTGCTCTGCAATCTGGCCATCGGGGTCACCCATGGTGAGTTCAATCTCCTCTTTCGGCTGATCGTCTTCCTCTTTGGTTTGTGGATCTTGTTGAGCATGCTGTTCAAGCTGTTTCTGCTGTGGTTGTTGCTGCGGTTGTTGCTCTTGCTGTTGTTGCTGCTGCTGCTGCTGCTGCGGTTGTTGCGAATCTGAGCTAGTTTTGTCGTCCCCTGGTGAAGTGAAATCTGGCATTGTCAGACCGTGTGATTCTATCAAGCTGGGTGCTATGTGCGAATTGTGCAGCTGCGAATTGAGTGTTGCGTCCTCATCTTCTGGATCCCACATAAACTTTGCCACACGACTATCCGAAAGCTTATTTTGCCATACCAATCTTAAATCTTGCAGCGTTTGTTCGTCGATGCCCGCACTTTCAAAATCTTCTCTTACTTCGTTGATCACACTCTCCACGATCGTCTCATAAGCTCTGGCTCCTTCCAGGTTGGACATGGTGTTGTGATATCGGGGCGATGAGTGTACTTTTTAGCCCTGGACTATATAAATGGATAGAACTTGAGATGAGTTCCAAATTTTTCAAACAGTAATGTTCACTTATGAAGAATACTTAACAAAAACTATAAGACAATGGTTAAAAGACAGTAATGAGACTCTGAGAAGACGATTTGAGCCTATCTGACGGTGTTGAAGAGACTGCTCTTTTTTGGGGGAGCATTCTCATGTAGGTTTCATTATAAAAATGTGTAATGGGACCGTTATTCTTGAACGGTCTTCGATGAACAAGCATTCCGTTCGACATCTGTAGATAAAACAACACTCCAAGGGAACCAAAAGAGAGCACAACAGCTTTATCGATGATGTCAAGGTAAAGTTATTGTGTATTTTGGAGTTTTAGAGTTTGCTTGGAGCTTTTCCTCTCACATCCACGAGTTTGTCACTGTAGTTCGGAAAAACGTTCACAATGAAGTAGAGTTCGTACCGAGGTGTCCTCGACTGTAGTTGAAAGTAGTGGAAAACCTCTTTTCTCCAACTCTAGAGCTCTATTCTTTTTTTTATTAAGAACTATCTACTAGTCCATGAATATACACCGCAAAAGTACGAGAGGTACTTGAACACATAGAGGAAGAAGCGCGAACGAAGTTGTTTCGAATGGCAGTATGCTTCACTTACTGTTCTCATTACTGGCCAGAACTGACAATGCGAACAAGCTTCTTGATCGTCGCGAATTGATGAATTTGGCTTCTGGGGCTGCTTTCGAAATGGAAAAAAAGCCCCAAAATTCTTTTCATAGTGTCAAAAGCATTAGGAAGCGCTCTTTAACGCCTTAGTCGCTCCAAACCGCTTCATTTCTTACATCTTCTTCGATTTACCACTATCTAGTATATTAAACTCATTAATCAAGTTCCTTACGTGTCTCTCTTAAGATCACAACGCGTTCCATTACCTACAAAGACCCGGTTTAGCGCGATGGAGAGCGCTCAAACAAAAAGCTTCAGTACTCCATTGAAACAAGTGAAACCAGAAGATCGACAGTTCGGTTCTGTTCCGTACATCAACAGGAATATACCACTTCAACGCCAAGATTCCTTCCATGACGACGCCAAACACAATAATTCAAAGCGGGACAAGGAAAATGATAATATCGAGACGGAATCGCCTTGGAAAAAACCCCGTGCTGTGAGAACGGACGGCTCGCGTGAGGATCTTGATTCTTCGCCTGAACTCATAGCATTAATGGATCACAATGCCGAACCACCAAGCGCCCTTGATGTCAGAGAGGAACAGGTACCTGGTATGATTTCTACTGCAGTCAGAAATATTTCAAATAGTGATCTTTTGGACCATGAGAACGGTAACCAAACCTCGATGCTACGAAATCTTCTGTCACCGGCGAGACACCTTTCGCCAGAAAAGCGTCCGCTCACACCAATTGATCACGACGGCTGCGACGATAACGGACATCCTGATACAGGTCTTTCGAATCTAGGTAGTTTGACGCCATTAAAAGGCTTCGTTGAGAAGACTGAAGATGGCCTGATACAAGCGCTACAAAGTCAGTTTCGTCAAGAGCTCAACAAATATGAACACCATTTACAAGCCAAAAACAAACGGAGTGACGAGTATCGCGAAGAAATCATCAAAAGTCTCGAAAAAGTCAAAGAGTTAGACGAACAACTGGATGAGAAAAGTCTAGCGTTTTCGGTTCTTTGGAGCGAGCACCAAGTCCTCAAGACCGCACAAGCCACAAGAGAAGCGGAATGGAAAAGCCAAAGTGAAGATTTCGAAAGATTATCTGGCGACAATAGCAGACTAGAGGAACGAGTCTCCAAGTTGAAGTCGAAGCTATCGGAATTGCGCAATGAAATCAAAATGCTGCACCAAAACTCGCAAATACTACAGGAGAAGTTCCAACTTCAAGTTCAAGACAACGATGGACTGAGAAAACAGTTAGAGATACGTTCTGAGTTTGAAAACAAGCTTCAAAATAGGGTGGAAGACTTACAAAGGGAAAGAGATGAGTTCAGAGCTGGAAAAGACCACCAAGAGATCGAGGTGACGACTTTGAAAAATGAAGTCGCCGAATATGAGTATAAAACCCAAGCATTGAGACGTGAAATTGCTGACTTCGAGAGCGAGCTCCAAGATAAGGAGGCTGTCTGTAAGAATCTCCAAAACACAATGAACATTAAGCAGCTGTCGACAACAGAACTTGAAAACCGGGTTGGGAGGCTTGTGGAAGAAAGAGATTGGTTTGAAAAGGCATTGGATAGTAGGCATGACGATGACAAGGCTCTGGAACAAGGAAATCTTTTGATAGACGATTTGACGGAGAAGCTCGAGGCGGCAAAAGATGAAGCGCGTGCGTTTCACGAGCGTGAAAAAGAACTCGAACAACGTCAGCAGGAACTGGAGAAGAAACTGGCACAAGGCAAGACGCAACTCGATGAAGTCACTGATCAGGTGGCTATCCGTTCTGCCGAGCTAGAAGAGTTGCAACACGACAACGCCGAATTGCTACAGACCAAAGTCCACTTAGAAGAATTTGTCAAAATTCGAGATGCCGCTGTTGAAGAATGGAAATCCAAATTCGACAACAAGAGCGCCGAAAACAATAGATTGGCTGTTGAACTAGAAAGTGTCCAGTTTCGGAACGGGAATCTGGAATCAGAGCATCTGGTGGAACTCGAACAGCTGCATCAGCAAATGACATCGTTGCAGGACTCGTTGCGTGTGAGCTCGGAGCAGATTAAGCGGTTGGAAACTGAAAGAGAAGCCTTGCAGAGCCAGATAGATAACGACACCGGACATGTTGTAGCGGATGATGCAAGAGAGTCGCCAGCAACGGTTGAGCTGCGAAATCAGATCCAAAGTTTACAGCAGCAACTGCGTGAAAAGGATTCAGACACCAACAAACGCCTACTGCTCCTTGCAGAAGATCTATACATCCAGTACTCATCCAAGCATGAGCAGAAGGTGAAGATGCTCAAGAAGGGCTACGAATCCAAGTATCAAGACAAAATTGGAAGACTCAATTTGGAAAACACCGGTCTTCACGATGAACTCACCAGGCTCAACACTACACTCAAAGCGGAAAGAGACGACAAAGAACGTCTTGTCCAGATGCTCAAGAAATGATCAGAAAAAGATGGCAAGTCATTACTTTTATACTATAGTTTGATTTCGCGTTACAATACACGACAGATTAATATGATTTAACTCAATTGATCTTCTTATTAGAAACTTCAACGATTGAAACAAGAATATAAGCCAAAAAGACAGCTTGTAAGAAGCCTTGTGTGGCCCTCTTGCAAACATTTGAAGCCCATTAGCTGTTGGGTATCATCTGGAAAATTTTAGGTCTTATCTGAGCTTCAGGAACTGGAATTTGAACAAAAGGCATCATTTCAGAAGTATCGCGCGAAGAGCGAACCAAGTCAAAAAAACGGTAATCGAGAAACAGGCATCTGAATTAGTATGGGGTCCGGAGAAAACGCAGCGAACTCTTCCGCCACCTTAGAGCTTCTTTCAAGGTACGACAACCATGTTTTTGAACGAGACGAAACTTTAGCGGAAGTTGAAAGGGAGGACTGGACTGCACGATCTTCAGGCAATTTAGGCGCTCCAGGTGGGCCCAGTTACGATGAGCTTCTCAAAGAAAATGTAAAATTGAGGTTGCAACTGCAAGAACACGAAACAGAGGTTGTAAGTTTAAGAAAACTCGTTGAAGTGCTAAAGTCAGACCGCAGCGCACAGGTGGACTCTGTTCGACAGCAATTGATAGTAGAGGAAGAAGGAAAAGAAGATAAAAAAGATTCAGAGCCGGTTCTACCACCACGATCTGCCGATAGAAAGCGGAATGCTAAAAATTTGAGTCTCAACTCCGTAAGTGATCCCACAATACCCGATCTCAAATTTCGCAGCCTTCTTTCTCCGGCAGATGTCGGCCTCAACAGGAGTGTGCCTTATAATCACACTACGCCGACATTACGGGAACCCGGCGATAATGAGCACGTTTTGTCGCCAACAGAACTTGATCGCATCCGAAGGTCTAGCTCTTCATATTCAAACTTCGGAGCAGCTAGTCCTGCCACCTCGGTCGCTTATACAACATCCAGGATATCGCCGTCGAAGAGTAACAAAAACTTCACAGCAAAAGAGGAAGAGTCGACGAATACTGTTTCGAACAAGAGCGGATCTTCACACCAAAGCGTCAAAGTCGCTACCGCGTCCATACATGAATCTTTCAATTCTCCGTTGAGGCAAGTCTCAAATAGCAGCGGCAACCAACATTCAACGGAGAACTCAGCACGAAAAGAGTATCCAAAGAGTCCAGTCCCAAATCTTCTTGCAACGGAGGCCAATGCCGGTGAGTTCTCTCCTTCCTCAAAACGCAATCTCAACAATTTTGCGGACATGCTGGATTCTACTTTCGAAAGCCAGAGCATCTCTTCCCCTCAAAGGGTACAAGCTAGTCAGCAACATGGCACACGTGCACTGGGCTCACCAGTAGCTTTAAACAAACCAGCCGCCTCACCGAAACCAGGCCCATCATCAACCAGTTTCATAAGATATCAAAACGCGTCGACCGAAGAACGTTCTCAGATCAGCACTGTATTCTCCTCGACTGCGTCGTACAATATCTCTGGCCAAGACCAACAATCACCAAGGTCTTACAGCACCAAAAGTTATCCATATGGAGAGAGCGACGGCATCACAGACACGATTCAAACAAGTCAAGTCACAACAACTTCATCCGTCCCCGATTCCCAGAGTATGGTCTCGGATATCCCGTTGTTTCTGCAGCCAAATGAACTCAATAGTATCCGAATTGAAATTCTGAGTACTCTTCATCGGGATCAAGACAGATCTAATGATGATAACTCCATTCTGTTTAGTGTCATCGACAAAAAGTCCGCAAAGGAAATGTTCAGATTTGCCAAAACTATAGATCGCATCTATGAGTTAGACGTTTACCTCAAATGCCATATGGACACAATCATGCTTCCGCCGCTACCCGAAAAGCAGTATTTTGATTCAGGTTCCCCAGTCAAAATAGATTACAGGAGAGAGAAACTGAATGATTATTTCAGCTGCCTCTACAATTCTACAAATCTCTCTCCGCTCATAGCGCTCAAGATGGCAAAATTCATAAGTACCGACACCGTGATAAATTCGTTCATTGGCGGGTATACAAAAGAAGGTGTTCTTCTTATGCGTAAAAGCAAGGCGTTGGGAACCCCCAATACATGGCGTCTCACGTATGGCGTCCTGAATAATGGTACTTTATCGCTTCTAGATCACGGCCAAGTTACAGAGAATGTCAAACTGCAAAATGCGGCAATTGAACTCCAGGCGAACCTGCCAGATGATAGATATGGTACCAGGAATGGATTCATTGTAACCGTGCCTAAAAAAAGTGGTCTGTCAAGTGGAACCAAGTACTATTTTTGTTGCGAAAGCCCGAAAGAGAGAGAGTCGTGGGTCTCGACTATTACTGAATTTGTGGAGTCCTCGGTTATGTCCAATAGTTCCTACTACGCTAAATCGGAAACCTCAAGCATGCTAGATCATACCTCCGTCGGGGATGCGGTCAGTGACTCAGCGCCTAGCTATATTGGCCCTATGGTCAATCTTCAGCCCACAAAAGTTTCAACTGCCACCAATGCGGACACGACACCCACAGAAGATGAACGAGAATCCAAAAGAAGTCGAATGAGAAGTTTTTTCCCTTTCAAGAAGGTAAATCCCTCTCAGACACCCGATTCTGATCTAGCCACAGAAGGCGGTCAAACAATATCGGCACCCGGACTGGATGAACTTACAATCGCAAAAACACTCCAGTCTATGAATCTAGCTTCAGAAGTATTAACGGACAAGGTCTTTGGCTCAGATTTGAATCATTGTTTGTCGCTGAGTTCTCAACTATATCAGGGCAGGTTTAGAATACCCAGCGTAGTGTATCGATGCTTGGAATATTTGTATCGCAACCGTGGTTTAGACGAAGAGGGTATTTTCAGAATAAGTGGTTCAACTGTGCTTATCAAGTCGTTACAGGAGCAATTTGACAGAGAATACGACGTTGACCTCTGTAACTTTAACGAAAAGGTGGTGACAGAGGAAAATCAAAACTCCTACAGCACTGGGCTTGTTGATGTTAATACCGTCACCGGCTTACTAAAGCTTTATCTGCGGCAGATGCCTCACTCGATTTTCGGTGATATGATGTTTTCCGCTTTTAAAAATGTCATAGAAGCTAGCGAGAGTAGTCCGAGTCAGATAGCACTGGAATTTCGCCGATTATTGAATTTGCAGGAAATGCCGTTTGAAAATGTGTCGCTGATGTATGTGTTGTTCGAATTGTTGGTAAAGATCAACCAAAAATCATCTATAAACAAGATGAATTTGCGAAACTTGTGCATAGTATTCTCGCCTACTTTGAACATACCCGTAAATGTTATCCAACCATTTGTGGTTGACTTCAGTTGCATTTTTGAGAATGAAGAACCCGTCAGCGATTCATTGCGGGAGCAACTGACACTCAGTTTACCTCACATGTAATATTAGTAAGTGATAAATAGGCTCTCTGTCTACTCTAATGTGTTATGAACTTTATCCGCGCCCTTGTAACAACGAGAGGTCGACAATGCTGTCCACGCAGTCAATACGTGACGGTTGAATTAGTTCGTGAGTCTTTTCCTCAAAATATTTTCGAGGAAAGCCTCTCCAGCTTTGTACGAAGACCTCACCAAAGGTCCTGATGCACAGTACAAAAATCCCAACTCCAGGGCCTTGTTTTTCCAGTACTCGAATTTTTCCGGGTTGACGTATTCGACAACTTTCATGTGTCTCTTAGTGGGCCTCATGTACTGGCCGAATGTTACGATATCACAGCCAATGGCACGCAAATCCTTTAACGTTTGCAGGACTTGATCGTCGGTTTCACCCAGTCCAAGCATCAAAGAAGTCTTGGTGATGAGTGTAGGGACGGTTTTCTTAGCGTGATTAAGAACACTCAAGGATTGGGCGTACGTGGCTCTTCTGTCTCTCACGTGTGGGGTCAGTTCTTGAACGGTTTCCATATTGTGTGCGTAAACATCAAGGCCACTTTGCGCCATGACTTCAACCATATTGAGGTCGCCTCTGAAATCCCCTGATAGAGTTTCCACCAAAGTGTTTGGGGCTTTCTGCTTGATTTTCCGAACAGTTTCAGCCAGATGGTGCGACCCACCGTCCGAAAGATCGTCTCTGTCAACAGTGGTGAGTACCACGTAGCCCAAACCCCAACGAGACACAGCTTCAGCTGTATTCTCAGGTTCCATTGGGTCCGGCTTAGTAGGTGTTCTATTTGTCTTGACTGAGCAGAACCTGCAGCCACGTGTGCAAGTGTCACCTAGAAGCATAATAGTAGCCGTAGCCTTAGACTTGTCAGCTCCTCCCCAGCACTCACCAATGTTGGGACATTTGGCTTCTTCGCAAACCGTGCTCAGTTTCAGTTCTCTAACGTCTTTTTTCAGTTTATGGAAATTTGAACCTTTGGGAATTGGCACTTTGAGCCATTTAGGCAACCGTTTGGCTTCTTCTACGTTATCCCTTGCTTGTTGTAAAGGGTCTAAAACCGTTTGTGCAGCTTTACCGTTGACAAAATCCTCAAAAGAAGGGCCCTTGTTGAGGGTATCTGAAAATGTGGTTGATCTGCGTCTTTTAGGCTGCGATGGTGACGCAGTAGCGGCTTTAGTGTTTGAGATGGCTCTTCTCGATAGATGAATCCAGCATCTTTTCTGAGAAAGCATGATATCGAATGGGGAATTGAGAATGGAGACTGTAGATGTAGCGATGAGCTTGTAAGCCGGGATGGGACTGAAAAAAAATGGACCGATTTCAGCCGTTTAAAAAGGTTCAAAAGGCTAGGGATTCGCTAAGTCAGAAGATCCGGCGTTTTCAGGCCCCAGGATATGAAATATGTGGCGAAGAGGGCAGCTTTGAACCTACAGAACGACTAGAAGATTAAGATATATCTATTCGTAAATGTGTGTGAACCCGCCCGATGAGATTTTGATTTTGATTTTGACGTTGAAATTCGACATTCGTTAACTATGACGTTGACCCGGGTCCGATCGCGAGTCCAAAAAAACACCCGCCAGAGTCTATTGCGTCTGAAGTGATCTAGCGACTCGGGTGCTGTGTAGCACGTGACACGATTTCAATGTTCAACCTAACTGGAATCGTTGTTGATATAGTTACTTCGCTGCGAAACAAACTACACATACATCCAATCAGTGTTGACACAGTCCACCACTCTGATTTCTTGAGAATCATCAAAAGCTGTGCAAGCATGGGAAGAGTACGCAACGTTTCAGTACTCGTTAGACTCACCATATCAATACCGTTTTTTTCATGAAAAGGGTACCGGGCTCGAGGCCCATCGCAGTGGAAGCTCAACTGCGAATAATGCAAAACGAAGCGATCCAGAAATATTAGAGAGCCAAGGACCCATCTGCCAGAACTGGCAGAAGCCCACAAGAACGAACAAGCCGAGTAGTTTTCACAAGAACGAACAAGCCGAGTAATTTTCACATAAGTGCCATTTTTCAAAGCGGCAAATCCTAGTGTCGTCAATTGATGCTATGGTCTGCCTCACTGGTGACAGCTAATACCGTGGTCGTATCTAATGATAAACATATCGAGTGAGGGAGGAACCCGCTCTAGAGGTTAGAGCGAGCGGTATCTCAAAAAAAAGGATTTGTGGAAGTCAATTCGAAGCCCGCTCCATTGTACCATACTTTTAAGGCTGAAGGCCAACCTCCTGCTATGTGCTTGTTTCGAGATTTTTTGGCGGTTAAAGCTAATGGCGAAACGTGATTTCTTCGTCCCGTTCCTCGATGCAACTCCTCTGTAACAAGTCACGTGCAAACCCCTTTGTTTGAAAAACTCCGTCTTACATGCGGACCATTGCAGCGATAACGTGACCAAATATCTCAATTTTCTCGTACAAAGGTACCTGTGGGTGCTTTTCCCGGGCCTAAGACGGACGTCATGTTGCATTTATAAGAAGCAGAAAAATGCTTAGCAAGATGCTGCTTACTCCGGTGTTCCAAGGGCGCCATCGCGGTGCGCTGCCAAGCTCGAGATGTTGATTTTTCACCTTTCTCACCATTGACATTGCCCTTGATGCGTAAGCGCCATTGGTTAGCGCCATTGGTAAGCGCCATTGGTAAGCGCACAAGTTAGAGTTGACGTGGCCAAAGATTTGAAATCCTTGTTAGACCACGATGCCCTCGAGGCTAGTGGCTCCAGCGTATAAGTGAACCAGCTCCGATGCTCTTGGTCAAAGAACAACTTGTTATCTTGATGGAGAGATGAATTACTAGCAGCGCATCGGCTTCCTACACATCTATCAACCAACTCAGCTTCCTTACAATGGGCTATAAAGACGCCTTCCGCAATACGTTCTTGGTCGACGTGTTGGAATATGCAGGGCTGGTCAAGCTCGACGCCAACTTCCTGCAACAAGAGCGACCCGCAGCGGGCCCCACGTCTTCTGAGACGTCAGACCAAAAAGAGGAGATCACCGTGGAACGCGACCTGGAGAAGGCCGGGGAAAACGCTGATTCAAGGTCGAACTCCGCGGAAGAGGACCAAATTGACCCCTTCCTGGTCGACTGGAACGGTGACTCGGACCCGGAACACCCGCTCAACTGGAGCAACCGTAAAAATGGGTTTATCGTGGCCCAGATGGTGCTGCTGACAACCACCACATACATGGGCGCTTCCATCTACACGCCTGGACAAGAACAGATCCAGAAGGACTTCCACGTAGGACATGTGGTTGGTACTTTGAACTTGTCGTTATACGTGTTAGGGTACGGTCTGGGCCCTATTATATTCTCACCGCTCTCAGAAGTTGTTACCATTGGACGCCAGCCGCTATACATCATCACATTGTTCCTGTTCATGCTTTTCCAAATAGCGTCAGCTACTGTGCGCAACATGGGCGGTCTGGCCGTGATCCGTTTCATTGCCGGTGTTGTGTGCTCACCTTCTCTTGCCACCGGAGGTGCTACCATGGGTGACATTATCAGCCCCGAAATCGTACCCATATTTATCGGCCTTTGGGCCATGGGCGCCTTTGTGGCGCCTGTAATTGCCCCCGTATTGGGAGCCGCCATGGTCGTCGCCAAGAACTGGCGTTGGGTGTTCTGGTTACTCACTTTCATCAGCGCGTTCACATTAGTGCTGCTAACGGCATTTTTCCCCGAGACGCAGCACAACAATATCCTGCATAGACGCGCCAAGCGGTTACGTAAGCAAACCGGAGATAGTCGCTATTACACCCGACAGGAACGCATAGACGCACAAGTGGAGATCGGTGCGTTTTTGAAAGAACTGCTTGTGCGGCCGTTTCTGGTTATGGTAAAGGAACCGGCTGTGCTTGCCTTTGACATATACATCGCGCTGTGCTACGGCAGTTTCTACCTGTTCTTCGAGGCTTTCCCCATTGTGTTCATCGGGATCTACAAATTCACGCTGGTGGAACTAGGACTCGCATATATGGGGTTCAGTGTAGGGTGCGTCTTGGCGTACGCGCTACTGCTGGTGTATCTCTTCAAGTACATCGGTCCCAAGTTCAAAAACGGCACTTTCAGGCCGGAGGACTTTCTGCCGCTGGCCATGCTCGTTTGTTGGTGTTTACCGCTCGCGCTGTTCCTGTTTGGATGGACCGCCCGGGTGCACTGGATTCTGCCCATGATTGCAGAGGTGTTTTTCGTGGTGGCCGTTTTCAACCTTTTCCAGGCCGCATTTGCGTACCTGGCTGTCAGTTACCCTCGATATGTTGCCTCGGTTTTTGCCAGTAACGGTTTCTGTCGTTCTGTCTTTGCTTCTGCGTTCCCATTGTTTGGCCAAGCCATGTACAACAACTTGGGCAGCGAAAAATACCCGGTTGGGTGGGGGTCCTCTTTAGTAGGATTCTTTTGCGTAGGATTAGCTGCGATCCCCTTTTATCTTTACAAGTATGGACCCACACTACGTGGTAAATCCGAATACGCCAATTAGGTAGAAATTGGAGAATGAAGGCCTCGTGAAAGAAATCGGCGGTCGAAGTCCCTATGGTGATAGAATTTGGTGGTCGAAGTCCCTCTGGTGATGGAATTTGGAGAGTGAAGCCCTTTCCGCGATAGAAAGTGGATAATGAAGCCCTTCTGCTAAAACACACGCTTTTGGAAAGCACAGCGAAGAAAGAAAAGGCCTGTGAGGACTGTCGTGAGTGTTCATTCTGCTTGGCGGCCAAAGCCACGGCGTCTATTCAGCAGTCCCCGATATTAAACAACAAGCAGAAGCACAGACATCTAAAGTAGTGTCAGTTTAGATGCAAGAAATTAGCATTGCATCCGGAAAGTACCTGATTATCGCTACTGCGTGATCCATCATACTTTCCGTTTTGATTTATAGAAATATCCGTAAGAAATCCAAAACATAACGCAAGGAATCCAAAACGTAATGTGTGGATTGTACAGGTTCAGAGAGAGAATAAACGCAAGAATCCTGCTGATATACAAATGATGGGACATTGACTATATCCATATAGAACTATAATCCATTTTCAAGATCTCCCTGGACTGGGGACGAATCACGAACCCGGGCGCGAATCCGGTTCAATTAATTTAGTCAGTATCTCAAAGTAAACTTGTTTATCTAAAATTATAAAGATCTACGCGTCCTATAGTTCTCTCCTCCTCCCCACGTCTTAGGGCCGCAGCTTGAGTTGTTTTGAGCAGCAACACGCAAAAAACCGTTATGCAAATCACAGAAGAATAATGAAAATATAGAAAGCCATCGAATAACGCAAGCCGGTAGATCTACTAAGTACGTTGAAGAGCTCTGAACATTGTCATCTAACAGCTTTCGCGGCAAAGACACTTGAAGGCTCGAGGTTTCCATCGCGTATACAGTGACGGATTCGTGGCCAAAAAAGTCTGATTCGCCGGATCTGTCCCGTCCTGAGATTCCCGGATCTATAACACTATACATGTATCATTCGCGCGGCTAACCAGCGTCATACAAGGTGCGTGGAAAGCGCATTAACAAGGCTACGCTACGCTACGCCATAAAAGCTAACTTGTGTGTCTCTAAATTGTTTTCCCATCGCACAAACTTACAACCCCTGGCTGTCACCACCGTCCTTTCGTTTCTCTTTCATTTTCTTAGCTTAAAAATGCATGTTCATTAGCACTATTGAATAGATAAAATATATTAAATCATTATTTGTATCGTTGTCGTAACAGGTTTGACTAGCCAATAAGGCTAGCACAGTGCGTGCGAATCTATTTATTCGTCTCTCAAGCCGACAAACTCACCGTTCTCGACAATAGCAACTTGGTGCAAGTAGCGATCGTTCAACGAAACTTCTCCGTTCATAATACCGTTGAAACTGCACTGGCCGCCGAATTTGTTCAATGGGGTCACCTCGATGACCTTGTGTTGCCAAGGAGAGATGATGATAGCTTTGTTACCGGCTTGAATGGCGTGAGATGTGTTACTGGCTGCTTTACCCATTTTGAGATGTGTTTGTTGGTTGATTTATGATTGTTTAGTGGGAATGGAAAGAGAAGAGAGAGCTACCGATTGATTTCAAGGCTACAGAAATCTGTCGATGATTTATATACTATGTGTTTTCCATCAGGTCTCCGACATGCTTTGCGATTCTCTCTGTTTGCATTGGCGTCACAGTCGCTTTTTGCATTTGATGAAGTAAGAAGAGCAAAGAGAAAAGAGCTTCTTATTACGATAGAAAATGAAAGAAATGCAAGAAAAAATGTAGAAGCGGTAGAGACAGAAAATAAGCGGACCCTGAGTGGATTTTGCAAACCATTTACAACGTCATTGTGCAAGCCGATTTTGAGCGGTTGACAGAGTGAAATCCGGAAGCTAAACAGACTGGTCGCTATATACGGAGTAGTGTGCAGCGACCTCTTGCGGCGACGCAAGTAGAACTTGTTGCTAATTAGCGTCGGCCTGATACTTCTTATTGAACCAAACGTCACTACTTTCCAGTACCGTTTCAGTAAAATGGCACTCACACCGGCCTCTCCTTTCAACAAATCGATGTTGATAATGATCACTTTGCACGTACAATAGGCAGACTATTGAAAAAAAAGGTACTTTGCGCGTCTCAGCCCTGTTTGCGTAAAAATGACCACCCTCCTGATCCTTGATTCTCTCGATTGAAGAGGGAATCTAACCGGTGACGAGTTACTTGACTAGATTCTGTAGTTGAGCGTAAACTGACTGGTCAAATCTGCGAGTACATCGAATTACCTAATCACGAGTACCTTGAACAAAACAGAATCAGAGATTCCAAAAAAAAAAAATATTATTATAACATTGAGAACAATACCCGACTATTTAATATTCACCGTAAAACCTGTGTGTGTCACCTCCTCTAACACTTTTCGCACTTACATTCCTCTTTGGAACCGCACTTGCACTCGGTACCACAACCACAAGTGGTTGTGCTGCATGCCTTCTTGGAGCAACAAGCGCCGCATTGGCCCTTGGCACAAGTGCACTGGTTTTTGCTGCATTGGCAGTTACTTTCACAGCCAAAGTTCACTAGTTCGGAAAACATTTGTAGATAAAATGTGGTGTTGTCAAAGATATGATTTGAGAATATCTGATCGTTGATGAGCAGATAAAGTTGTAGTTGTAATGGTAGTGTCTGAGCTGCCAGTTCTGATGTTGTATGGCTGATGAGGGTCCCTTATATATGGCGAAAATTTGTGTTTCTTTTCGTTTCCAGAAAATATCCGTCGGCATAAGGGATGGTCACGTGCACGGGGGTGCGGTGTTAAGGCTGGAATGCGTCATTAAGGCTGAACAATGCAACAGAGACGAATCCGTAGGGTCAGCAAATAGAAAGATGAGACCCTTTAGCTGAACAATAATGTCTTTAACAAGACGGCCCCTGCCCCACGCTGCAATGCCAGGATGTGTCATCACATACAGCACAATTCGCGAGTAGATTCCAGAGCCTTGGAGAATCAGTGGAGTTCGTTAGTTTTTTCTCCTCATTTCTTCTGAGTTTGATTTAGGCCTACCATTTGGTGTTACCGCTACGAGTAGTGTGTCCCTTGGCTGTGGAAATATGCGAGACCATCGATATGTCGCTGTCGTCGAAATTCATCAAACGTGAAGTACGACTGTTGCGCAGATGTCGTGTGGTTGATCCAGACGGGATCTTGTAAGCGTTCGTACTAGATGACGACAGTGGCCTGCGAGCGTCACTGGCAGACCCAGTTGAACTTGAAGAGCCAGAGGAAGAGCCACCGGAGGAGCCTCCAGAAGCCGTTACTCCATTACTGCGCGCGGCAGATCTTGTTTGCGGACGCGAACTGCTTGACGGCGGTGGTGCCGGTGGCTCAATGTCAAGACTCTCCAAGTGTCGCGAGATATCGTCGATGGTAATGTCCTCCACGGTGCGGTTGAACGTCTTGTTGAGTTCCTCGTCGTATTCGTAGTCATCGTCTTCGTCGTCATCGTCCCCGCTGCCTAGTTCCTGCTCCACAAACGGCACATCCTTAGCACGTATCGCTTCCGGGACACTAGAGACTTGCCCTTTGCTGACATACCGTTTATCGTCTGGCGTTGGAGTTTCACTGCGAGGAAGAGAGACAGGAGTGTCTATCACGGTAGCAGGATGCACCACAGGAGTCGTAGCCTTTCTTGATCTGGTCACTCGTTTCCCAGTATCCACATTGGTTTCAGCCGCCTCGGTCTGGAACAAAATTTCTTCAAACTCGGGGATCATCGCGCGACCCAGTTTGATCACTTCTTCCGCCCAGATCCGTATCACATCGCGTGCACGTTTGCTCTTGTAAGGTTTCCATGCCGGTTTGCACCCACGTACGATCTCCTTAATCACCTGCGAAGAGCCCCATTCATTAATCCAATTTTGGTTTTGGAGTCCAATCAAATGCGAAAACACTCCAGAGGCAATGGCACCATCCGAGTACCCTCCTTCCATTACAGACAGAACTTTACCGTGGGTATGCATTTGAGCAAGTTTCAGCGCATCTTTAGTAAACATATTGTAGAAAAATGTCGGCACGTTCACACCATGTCTTTGCATGGAAGCCTGCTCAAACTCCGAAGCATCAAATCCGGCACTTACAACCACCAAGCCTTTGAAGGGTTTCCCCAAAGCTTTCATGGTGTGCTTTGCTGTTCTGAAATACTCGTCAGCCTTGGCGAAAATTGTTCTGTATTTGGTTTGGTATAGTTTGGTAAAGGCCTCATCAGAATCATAACGCTGTAAATGAACATTCCAGATGTTCAAGTCGTGTGCATCCATGATGCAGGTGGAAGCGTTCCTGATGTTTTCCTTAGTCGCGTATCCAAGCTCTGAGGGGAAGGAATTAATGTCATGCAGCGAGAAGTACCCGACTTTGGGGTATTCTGCAAATTTCTTGCCGAATTCATTGTATTCATCATCACCAGCCTCAGCATATTCATCAGGCTTGAATCCTGCTCTTTTCCAACAGATGTCCTGTGTTCCATCACCATGGTGTAGATCGAAATCCAACACAACGGCATGCGTGACGCCGTAGGTATCTGCTGCATACTCGATAGCGATATGAGCATTATTCAATAAACAAAAGCCTGATGGTGTGGTCGCATGAGAGTGGTGCCCCGGGGGTCGTAGGGCCACGAATGCACGGTTGCTGGTTTCCTCGACCGAGCGTCCTTTGAAAATGGAGTCTACGCCAACTTCGAGTGCTCCAATTGAACCCTGTAATGCCGCGATGGTTTGACGCGATAAATAGATATCACCCACATTCCAGGACTCTGGAACCTCCACTTCACCCCGATCCAAAGCCTTTTGAGAGTTTTGACACAATCGCAGCAGTTCTTCAGGCCAATCTTTGCCGTGAACTTTGAGGACATGATCTGCCAGTAACGAAGTTTGCCGAGTGTGCGACGATTTTAGTGTGAAAAGAGCTGGATACATGGTGATAGCGGCCGCTACACCCATAGAGCATGCCAGCAGTCGTTCTGGCCGCTCCACGATGGTTTTACGGTATTGTTTCGATACCCAATGTCTGGGAAATTGATGTTGCAAAGATAATGGCGACAAAACCACCACCGCTTTAGCAGATTCCGGGATTTGCGATGCGCCGTGAGCTGCAGAAGCCACATTAGGGTTGTTTTCCACAAAACTCTGGAACTGAGCCTCAAATTTACGGAGCGGATCTTCTGCGGTTTTTGACATATTTCTTCTTCCAAAATCCGATCTGTTATGAAAAGTCCCCACTAGTTTGCTGGCTCAATTTTGGTCCTAAGATGCTCAAAATAAGAAACTTTAGAATCAGAAAAACACCAGAAATGTTGCTGCTTTGCGATCGAACAAAAATTTCGTGGTAACAAGTGTGAAAACCTTGCTTTTACGGTGTTCAATCCGGTATTTCGTTCGGCATTCAAATAACAACCTTGAAAATATGCAATTTATTCTCTCTCCTGTCATGAAAACAAAACAAAGATCCAATTTTAGAGAGGAAGAGAGGAAGAAAGGGTGTGAAGCCAGCTCGTCTATCGTGATGTTAGCAACTCCGTCGCAGCGACTCCTCGAAAGTTCTAAACAGGCTGAAGACGATACCATGATTTGAGGAGTAGAGAAAGCCGAGGAGTATTGAAACGACTGCGATAACAAGGATTCTTTTAGAGCAGCCTTCTCCTCGGCTCCCTGGGTATTTTGACGCTTCTTCTACCATTCAAGTAAAAAAGGCGAATCAAAACCTGGTTGTTGTTGCCGTCACATCCAGTGTGTTACTGTGTAATATTTCTTTGTATACCGACGCGGGTTATGCTTCTATGGCTCCCTCCCCCCTTCCCTTTTTGTCTGAGACAAGTGCTTATGGAAACTGTCATGTCAATACCGTTGTTTACGTGTAGTAGTCACTTTAAACTCTGAAAACACACATTTAGATGAAATCCACTACCTGCAATTAGACTGGCCACATCTGGTTCCTCCCGAAACAAGCACTTTTCATACCTCTGTGACCTCTTGGTTGCGTTTTGTTCTGGGAAAAGTTCAAGTTTTGTTAATCGTTTTTATTAAATACTAATGTTAGCGACGGCGGCTAAAAAGCACACACACACACACAGAAAAATCAAAAAAAAAACTTGAAAAATCGGTCAAAACTGGTATCAAAATGATCGCCGAAAAGCGTAGAGACCAATACTGTGAACAGTTTGTTACGTTCTTTGAGGTTTCAACAGCTTTATAGCTTTCAATACCAAATGCCATCACGTGACCTTTAAAACCCTGGCAAAATAATTTACGAAATTATTCATTCTATCAACATCCGTTTGAACACGGTACTATAAAAGTTAAGGAACTCTTCATCATTTCCTGCTTAAAACACGAAACCAACGGTAAGTGTCACGAAGTGCTCTTCCAGAGTTTGAGTACTGATTATTTGTCACACTAAGCCTGCCATTGATACCCCTTAAGCCATGTTTCCAGGCGCAGGACGACACACGTACACCAATCAAGAACAACAAAACCAAAACCGGCCATCAAGACCCAACGGCCCACCACCAGGGTTCGATGGTCAGCAGCAACAATACCAGCAGTACAATAGACCCGGAGTGCCACCTCCCAACATGCAGGGTGGTGGTTCTTTCGAGGGCGGACAGGGCTTCCAGAGGCCTTCACAGCCTCCTCCACCCAACTCACAACAGTATCGAAACGATGTTCAAGCTAACCATGCACAACCTAGTTTCGTGGATGGCCCCAGTCAATACCAGCAGCCCCAAAATTTGATGGCTCCGCCACAAAACGCTCAGGTTGCTGGTAGTGGGTCTAATAACGAATTTTCGTACCAGTACTCGCAATGTAACGGGAGACGTAAAGCTCTACTTATCGGAATCAATTACTTTGGCTCCCAAAACGAGCTTCGCGGATGCATTAACGATGTTCACAACATGCACAACTTTTTAACCTCCCGTTACGGCTACCGTCCAGAAGATATTGTCGTGCTCACTGATGATCAACAGAACATGGAAAGCATACCTCTCAAGCAGAACATTTTGCGGGCTATGCAGTGGCTGGTGAATGGAGCACAGCCCAATGACGCACTTTTCATTCATTACTCCGGTCACGGTGGTCAAACTAAGGATTTGGACGGCGACGAAGAAGATGGAATGGACGACGTCATCTATCCCGTTGACTTTCAGTCACAGGGACACATAGTGGATGACGAAATGCACGACATCATGGTCAGACCTTTACCTCCAGGTGTGCGGCTCACTGCCCTCTTTGATTCATGCCATTCGGGTACCGTTTTGGACCTTCCTTACACTTACTCTACCAAAGGTGTGATCAAGGAGCCCAACTTGTGGAAAGATGTGGGACAAGATGGGTTGCAAGCTGCCATGGCGTATGCTAGCGGTAATACCGGTAACATGGTGCGCTCCTTGGGCTCTATGTTCAAAAGTGCAACCAGGAAGGCTACCGGTAACTCGAACCGAGACAATGTTATACAAAACAAGTTCTCTCCTGCCGATGTCATCATGGTCAGCGGATCTAAAGACAATCAAACATCTGCTGATGCGGTGGAAAATGGACAGGCCACTGGTGCTATGTCTCATGCTTTTGTCAAAGTACTAAGCATGCAGCCGCAACAAACTTACCTCAGCTTGTTGCAAAACATGAGAGCCGAATTAAGCGGTAAATACAGCCAGAAACCTCAGCTCTCAAGTTCCCATCCTATTGATGTCAACTTACAATTGCTTCTCTGAGTATTCGATCATTGACAGACATTCGGATATATATATATATATTTTTTTTTGAAGGTAGTAGTAAACACTCGGGATGCTAGTATATACAAGACACAAGATGGTAACAAAGTTTTGTGACTTTTCTTTATCAAATCATTAATTCTCTTCCTTGAGTTCCTCTTGTTCTTTGGCTCTCTTTTGCTCAAGTTCGGCCTTAACGGCTTCTTCCTTCTTATCGTAATCCAAGTTGAGTTTCTCCAACTGGGCTTCGGCTTCTTTGATGTTCTTTTCAGTTTGAGCTTCTTGTCTGGAAGTAAAGTCTTCGTATTTGGCGTTTAGCTGCTCAATGGCCTTTGGCACTTCTTCCTTGTTCAATGGAACAGTGACATCCAATTCGGCCAAAGTAGCGATCAAAGTTGGCTCCAAAGAGAACTTGCCGTTAGAAGAAGAAGAGTTGGAGGAGTTTTGTTTTTTCTTGTTCTTCTTGGACTTGCTGCCGCTACCGCTGAAAAAGTCAGCTTTTTCCTCCTTGACGATAGGCTCCAGATCATCAGCTTCCACCTTTCTAGCCACTGACTGAGCGTTAGCAGAAGAATCGGCTGGAACTTCAAGGGTGCGCTTAGCGGGCTTAACGTAGGTTGGGTCCAAGACGCACAACACGTTTTCGATGGCACCGATCTCATACGTGAACGCTGGAAGACGAGCGTGCAGTAATTTCTCCTGTAGCTTACCGGCGGCTGCGTCTTTCTCTTCTAGCAGCTTGGACAATTTCTGGTCCTCTTCACGCTTCAAACGTTCTTTGTCGAGTTTCTGCTTGAATGACTTGAACTCGTTGTCAAAGTCCGCGCGAATCTGGGTGATTTGAGAGTACACTTCGTCACGCTTCTTGTACAGAGCGGAACGTTTGGTGAACAAGGCTTGGCGCTTGTCATAGACGGTTTGATTTTTGGACTGAATCTCGTTTAACTTCGACTGCGTGGCCTCGAACTTGTTGGACACTTCCTTAGGGTTCAGTTCGTTGAGTTCCTGCTTTAAAGCAGCGATCGAGGCTCTGTCGTTTTCCATGGACTTACGCACGGGCTCAATGGCCTGCAAGTCACGCTGTAGCTTGTTAAGAGATTGAAGTTCTTTGATCATCAATTTTTCTTCCACCAACGAAAGCTCCCCTGACGAGATTTCCGAGTCAATGGTGCGTTTGCGGGCAGCGATATCTTCTGTCGATTGGAACTGAGCTTTACCGCCGGTTCTGGTGGCAATTTGATCCTTTTTACGCTTCAATTCGTTGTCCAAATTTTTGATCTGATCGTGAATCGTTTGTCTGCGGGATTTGAGATCGCTTTGCGTCTTGATGAAGCTACGCAACTCGTTTTGGAGTCCCTGTTTCTGGTCCACAGCACTTCCGCCTACCTGTTGCCCATCGATCTGCTTTCTGATCGCTTGAACCTCAGTGTCGATCTTCTTCAATTGGGCTTTCAAAACGTCCAATTTCTTGTCTCTGGCGCCCACATCGGGTCTCTTGATGTTGCTGGATCTCTTAACAGGCCCGTCGCTCGACATTTTGACTAGGTAGATGCTCACCAAACGCTGGTTATAGTTGTCAATGGCTTGAACAGACAGGAGGCGACGATTCTTCCACCTTGATCAAAAGGCTTGGTTATATATATACATAAATCTCACTGACGTGTTGAGAAAAGGCAAAGTACCGGGTAACCAAAACCATGTGACAAAATCGTTAGAAAACGAGTCACGTGGAACTCGAGAGTTTTCACCATTGTGAAAAGCGTGCTACACAAAGGCTATGATAAGACCAGGGGGAAGGTGATTGGCAATGGAGATTGGTCACCTTCATGTCTCTCTCCTTTCCTTCTCTACAGACGTCAGATTAGATGTATTTTAGAAAACTAGAGATCACGTGAGGGACTACTAGAATACCTATAATGAATCACAGACTAGTGGTCAGCTTTGGTGCCTGTTCAGCGGTCTACATATCCATCGGATATATCAAGACAGACGCCTGCCGAGGGAAATACCCCACGGCAAATCACTCTTTTCTTCTAGACTCGTAGTTGTAATTAACATGGCACCTAATATATTTAGTGTGGGGATCGGTGACTATTAGTTTTTTTGAGTTTTGTAATCTGTGTATCTTTGGTTCGAATGATTCGACGCTAAACCTCCAAAGCGTACGACAACCCACTCGATACAACCTAAAATATAGTTCAAAGGTATGAAATGCTGTCCCCTGTACTTCAAAGCATTGAAATAAATGTCTCACGTGACCGGGGATCTGATTACATAAGCTTGAGAGGGACAACTGAATTGTTTGTAATGCTCATAAGGTTGAATGATCTCCAGTTCTAAGAGACGTTATCTCAATGTCCTGCTTGGATGACACCCTTGCCAAATACACCCCAGTTTTTAAAATAGCTTGCATATATATCATAAACTCTTCTGAGTATGTAGCGTCAGATTGATTACAAAATGATCATATAGGCCACGTGATATACTGATGACAGAACAGACCACATGATTAAGAAAACTCCGGAAAACCACAAACTAACTGGTTCTAAAACGACCGTGAAACCCGATAGCGCCGAATAATATCACACACTCTCTCTCGCCATTTGAATTTCACACCAAGTAGATTTTTCACATCCACTAATTACGGAAGATAAATATTTCAGAATCATACGAGAAGGCATAAAAACCTTTCCAAATACCGAATTCGAGTCCGTGTAGTATCAATAGTAACCATCCTATCCCAAACTCCCCCCGGGATCATTCGCCATTAGCCGTCTTAGTAGAATTTCCATCACAAGCAACGAAAGCTTCGTCACGTGACCCGAAACTCTAAATTATTTTTCCACTGAAATAGCCATAATGGATTATATATCTTTTTCATCAAGAGACCTGCAATGAATACTATTGTATATCTTGTTAGCCAACGGTCCGACTCAGCTTAAAGAATCGATTCTAATTCCAAAAAAGCCATATTTAAAAGCCAAAGATGAGCGATTACGCCAATTTGGTAAAGAGCTTAGACTCTCACGATATTTTAACGGAATTTCCAGAAGTTATCCCGCTACAAAAACGACCAAATACGGCCTCCAGCGCGAGCAGTGGGAACGAGAAAGGTGACCTAGTGTTTGACGGACATGATGAAGAGCAAATCCGTCTCATGAACGAAAACTGCATAGTTCTGGACTGGAATGACACTGCAGTTGGTGCAGGCACCAAAAAACTATGCCATCTCATGAGCAACATCGACCAAGGTCTGCTTCACCGTGCTTTTTCAGTTTTCCTATTCGACGTTAACGGCAAACTACTGTTGCAGCAACGTGCTTCTGAAAAAATTACTTTCCCAGATTTGTGGACCAATACATGCTGTTCACATCCATTGTGCGTGGACGATGAACTCGGGCTTGAGGGCTCCTTGGAGGCCAAAGTCGATGGTGCTCGCACCGCTGCTGTTCGAAAACTCGAACACGAGCTAGGTATACCTTCCGATGAAACCCGCAGCAAGTCAGAATTCCACTTTTTGAACAGAATACACTACAAGGCACCAAGCAACGGCCCATGGGGTGAGCATGAAATCGATTACATTTTCTTTTGCAAAGTGCAGCCGGGCCAATCCTTGACTGTCAATCCAAGCCCAAACGAGGTGCGCGATGTCAAGTGGGTCACTGCCGATGAGCTCAAAGCTTTGTTCCAGGACTCTAGTAACAAATTCACGCCTTGGTTCAAGCTCATTTGTGAAAGTTATCTGTTCCAATGGTGGGACCAGCTTAACGATTTGTCTGGCGTTGTGAACGATCCCCAGATCCATAGATTGCTGTGATACTGATATCACTTTCTGATAAAACGCTTAGTAACATGTGGACGATGCCCCAGTCTCTTGTTCGCGGTAAAAATTTGTCCGCATAAGACAAACCAACTATAGAAAGTGTCTCTCGCGAGACCTAAATCAAAAGTTCCATCAATTTTGTATCTTAACTATTTACAATGCCTTAAAATTTAATTGAGAAGATTGTTGAGCAGAATCGCCGTTGCAACACTCACGTTCAGAGAGTCCACAGTGGACGTTCCTTGTAATTCACGGCCTTGAGGAATTTCGACCAAAAAATCGCTTCTCATCTCTAAGTTGGTACGTACACCAACTCCCTCGTTGCCTACCACAAGCATGACCGGAAACTCCTGCAACATTCCCCGCAAATCACCGGAAGACAAAGTTTTATTCTCACTAAACTTATTGTTTTTGGTCGTGCCACTTGCTACGAAAGTCCAACCACCCTCAGTCTGGGATTTTGTGATGAAATCCAATGGCTTATCAACCGAGTAGATAGGTAAAAGTTCGGTGGCTCCGCTGCTAGTTTTTGAGACTGCAGGTGATAACGGTGCACAATTTCTGCGTGATAATACCATGAAGTCAGCACCCAAAAAATATGCGCTCCTAATTATGGCGCCCATGTTGTGTGGGTCCACAACTTCGTCAAGGTACACGCCCAGGGGAAATTGCTTCCCCTCTTTGACGATAAATTTCTGTTGTCGTTCTTGAGCTTGATCGAAAAATAGCTCTTGGTAAGAAAATGACTGGGTTTCCACCGTGCTTGGTCCTAGCTCTCTAATTTCCGGTAGTTGCAGCGCCTTAGTTTCCAGAACAATGTTATTGTGGACCGCATAATTTGTCAAAAGATTGAGACGATGTTTGTCAACAGTTTCTAGTGCTATGTCTGCATTTTTCGCCATTTGTTGTACCTCTGAAGGCAGCACACCGTAATACAAAATTCTTGAAAAGTACTCTCTTTTGTTTGCTCGCAGTGCCGAGACCACGCTATTAGTTCCGTACACGTATTCCATCAATGGATTTGGCCGAAGACCAGACATAACAGTGCGGTTATTAAATTTGGCGCGATGACCTTGGGACTGCGACCGAGATTCTGCTTTGCTTTTCTCGAATGATCGTTGGGCTGCATCTCTTTTCGATTCTCTCGCATGAACATGTGCATATTTTCTTCTAAACCAACTGTCCTTTTCCTCTCCTGCTTTCTCCCAAGCTTTTATTCTACGCTCTCTTGGTAGATTTCTATCAATTTTAGTTGGTTTGGTGCTGTGATGCAGTTCGTTCGGTATCTTTACAGCCGCTTTCACTACTCGAGAGGCATATCGCCTAGCAACAAGCTGAGAGCCTAAATGTAGCATAACAGTAGCGGTTTCGAATGGTTCTTGACGACTTGTCCAGTTTTCCGATGCGATGAGGTAGATGTGACGAAATTAAAGATCTAGAAAATTTCAGCCTATATAGTAAACTTAACAAGTAATCTACCAACACTTTATCGAAAACCATCAGTCTTAGAGTCATAATGAGCCACGTTATCAACCAAACCAGACCGGAGCGTCGCAGCTTTGTGTCCAGAATCACAAATGAGACTAAAATTCAAATCGCACTGTCTTTGAATGGTGGTCATGTTGAAATCGAAAAATCGATTCTAGGTGCCAAAAAAACTGAAGATGTAGCATCTCAAGCCACTAGCTCACAGGTTATCGATGTTCAGACAGGTGTTGGCTTTTTGGACCATATGATTCATGCTCTTGCCAAACACTCGGGCTGGTCACTAATAGTTGAATGCATAGGCGATTTGCACATTGATGACCACCACACAACGGAAGATTGCGGTATAGCTCTTGGACAGGCTTTCAAAGAAGCTGTAGGTGCCGTGAGAGGTGTCAAAAGGTTTGGAACAGGATTTGCACCTTTGGACGAAGCGCTCTCCAGAGCTGTCGTGGATTTGTCGAACAGACCTTATGCAGTGATCGATCTAGGTCTAAAGAGAGAAAAGATCGGTGACCTTTCCGCGGAAATGATTCCTCACTTCCTTGAAAGTTTCGCCGAGGCTGCCAGAATAACGTTGCATGTGGACTGTCTGAGAGGATTTAACGATCACCATCGCAGTGAAAGTGCGTTCAAGGCACTTGCGGTGGCCATCAGAGAGTGTTTGTCGAGCAATGGGACGAACGACGTGCCATCTACCAAAGGTGTGCTAATGTAAATTGCATCATGAATCTCGCCAGAATAGAATGAATGCACACGTTTTTTCGAACTCCAAAGTCGTCTATTTACAGAGATTATTTATAAAGTACATCGTTTCGTTTTTTTTTAATGCTGGGCGGCGCCCAAATGATACAGCGCCGAACTTTATTTCAACTTTTTGTTTTTACCGTTGTCGAAATTGGTTAAAATATTCAGCAGTTCCTGTGCATGTCTTGTTGAATCCTCGGCGCTGACACTACGAGATGGTGTCCTTTTAGGAGGTCTTTGTTGGTATCCTCTGCTGTTCATTTGTATTTTGGCCCTAGAGCTTATTCCTCCAACAGCAGATGCCCTTAGCACTACTTTACCGTTATCCTGTACAGCGGCGTGACTGACGGCAAATGGAACTTGAACCTGACGCACGAAATCACCCATTCTGTAATCCATTTGAGATGTCGAAACAGAAGAAGAGCCAGCATTTGCAACAAAACCACCAATGGCAGCGAGTCTATCGTTTCCTTCGGCATTCAAAAATCTACCTGGGACAATTGTCTTCTGTATGACTCCATTGGGGGAGTTTCTGAGCCTTCCATGTAGGTTATAAGTGAGACCTCCAGTTCCCACAGTCTTCCGAAGTGAACTTGAATCTAAATTGACTCCATAATCAGTTGTTTCGTTCAAAAATTCCATGGCACTTCCAGTCATGTCTTTGATAGAAAAAGACTTGTTTTGAAGGGCTTCTGGATCATGTTTTAGTAGCCACTGCTTAAAAGTGTTCCGGAGAGTTTTCATCTGAGAGACTTTTTTCTGCACCTCAGCCTTGGGGGTAGATGCATCGACATTTAGCAAAGAGCTGAGTGGTACAAGCTGATTTCCAGAAGCTGTGGAAGCTTCAAAAAGTGGATTTGCTTTGCCGGGATTATATTTAGGTGCCACTCCCAATTCTTGGAATCTAATCCGATTCCATTGGGATCCACCATTGGCTTCAAAAGTCGCAAGACGCTCTAGAGTGTCTAGGTCGTTGAATACAATGTACTTGGTTTTGGTTTTTGAAGGTAAAGCACCCTTTAGACCCCATTCTTGACGATACAAGGTAGAAGGTCGTGTTTCGATAATCTGGTGAGTGGGTGCGTATTTTGGAGCGTTCGAAGTTAGAGCGCTGCCAGACTTGGGAACCTGTGCAATACGCGAATTGCGCAGCAGATGCGACAAGTTAGAGGACATTGTAGGGACGTCGAAACACACACACGCGATGGGTTTTGATCGTCCCTCGTTGATCGTGTTGGAACATCTTCAAATTTTTAGATCTATGGAACCGAGGTGGTCGCTATGTACGATAAGAGTTTTACCATCAAGTTTAGTAAGAGAACGAACGGGGAAGCGGCCTTCACCACATCCAAAAAATGGACTTTAGAGATGGAGATAAACATGGTTGTTTGTTCGATACAAAGAAAGCAAACAAACACCATGGGATGTTTATAAAACGGGGTTTCATATTTGGGGTGTGGTCACGTGACCATGAGCTTTTATGCTGTCCGAAGATGTGAAAGTTTGTTCAAAAAGTCCTTTGAGATGCTTGGTTCATTTGCGGCGAGATAGTATCTTCTGCAGTGCACAGACTGAGTCCCTGAAGTTAAATGCCCTCGGTAGTTGTCGGATGGTTTAACGACTTGATTTGGTTCATCATGTGCCATTGATTATTCTGTAATATACCTGGCCGTAATTATAAGAAGAGTACCACACAACTACATACCAGTACGAAAATAAAGTAAGCCTCAATGTAAGGGAAAATTGATATCATGCATACCTGTTGTTTCTCACACCTGCACACCACCCTATACCTATCTAGCCAGCCAGCTGTTTGGAGACGACACACACGTACTTAGTGATGTGTCAAGTTTAATTCGATTTATATCCTTATGTCTTATTAACAATCGGTACAAGAGTGGCCAGTAGTTGTGATTATGTTTTGGGATCTGATTGCATTTGGTGATTTGAAGATCTAGAGAGTTGAAACAAACCTCAAACCAATAACATTGTATGAACAGTGAGGGTGAAGAAGGTAGGGGTTTTTTCCCCCTCCATTTTGGAAAATCACGTGACTCAAAAATTAATCACAAACTCTAACAACGACAATTTTCATACACAACGATACCCGGTACACTGATCTTTCCCTTTGATCAACCTGAAACTGTGTATCCCTTCAAATATAACGAGCCCAGTTGAATTTCATCTATATTATCTTGTACAATCAATTGTATCTACTAGCTTTGTTACCCGCCCAAACCCACAAATCACAGTTCACGAATTAATTAATTTTTTCAAAAAAAAAAATTTTTCCTTTTCATTTTTTCATGAGTATATAAACAGATGAAGATTTGAATCGGAAGACCAATGACAATAGAAACAAGACCACCACATATTTCAAATAGGTCATAACCATAATAACAGGACACATCTAAGTTTATTATCATCAAGATGTCTGATCTAGCTAACAAAATGGAAAATTTGTCAGTTGGCGATTCCGACGGTAACAAGAGCTCTTACGTACCGCCACACATGCGCGGGAAAAGAGGCGGCGGTCGTGGAGGAGCCAGTTTCGCCAACAACGACAGAGAAGGTGGATCCAGCTCGTATTTCAGCGGCGGCAGAGGCCAGGGCAACGGTAGAAACGGCGGTGGCTCGTTTTTCGGGGGCAGAAACGGCGGTAGCGGCGGTTTTGGCGGCGGCAGAGGCAACATCCGCGGCGTGGGTCGCTGGACCGCTGGAAAACACGTTCCATCCGCTGTTGACGAGGGCTTGGAATTGCAGCTTTTCGGAACCGCAGACGACTCCAACTTCCAGTCTTCAGGTATTAACTTTGACCACTACGACGATATCCCCGTCGAAGCTTCCGGTAACGACGTTCCTGAACCAATCTCGGAATTCACCTCTCCTCCTCTAGACCCATTGTTGTTGGAAAACATCATCAAGGCCCGTTTCACAAAGCCAACTCCTGTGCAGAAATATTCGGTTCCTATCATTGCTGCTAAGCGTGATCTGATGGCTTGTGCCCAAACCGGTTCCGGTAAAACCGGTGGATTTTTGTTCCCCGTGCTTTCCGAATCTTTTGCCAACGGACCAGCTGCCGTTCCTGAACAGATGGCCAACTCTTACATCAAGAAGGCTTTCCCAACTGCTGTTGTTTTGGCACCAACCAGAGAATTGGCCACTCAAATTTACGACGAGGCCAAGAAATTCACCTACCGTTCGTGGGTTAGACCATGTGTCGTGTACGGTGGTGCCGACATTGGTAGTCAAATCAAAGAACTAAACCGTGGCTGCGATTTGCTTGTTGCCACTCCAGGTCGTTTGTCCGACTTGCTAGAGCGTGGTAGAATCTCTCTTTGCAACATCAAATATTTGGTTCTTGACGAAGCCGACAGAATGTTGGATATGGGTTTCGAACCTCAAATCAGACACATCGTTGATGGCTGTGACATGCCTTCTGCCGAAAACAGACAAACACTCATGTTCTCCGCCACATTCCCTATGGACATTCAACATTTGGCCCGTGATTTCTTGAAGGATTACGTGTTCTTGTCTGTTGGTAGAGTTGGTTCTACCTCTGAAAACATTACTCAACATGTTCTTTACGTCGAGGACATGGACAAGAAATCCGCGTTGTTGGATCTTCTAGCCGCTTCTGATGATGGTTTGACTCTAATCTTTGTTGAAACCAAGAGAATGGCAGATGCTCTGACCGATTTCTTGATCATGCAAGACTTGAGAGCTACTGCTATTCACGGTGACCGTTCTCAAGTAGAACGTGAACGTGCTTTGGCCGCATTCAGATCCGGAAGAGCCAGTCTATTGGTTGCTACTGCCGTTGCTGCCAGAGGTTTGGATATTCCAAACGTTACCCACGTTATCAACTACGATTTACCAAACGATATTGATGACTATGTCCACAGAATTGGTAGAACTGGTCGTGCTGGTAACACTGGTGTTGCCACTGCTTTCTTCAACAGAGGTAACAAGAATGTCGTCAAAGAAATGATCGAATTGCTCACTGAAGCCAAGCAAGAAGTCCCAAGCTTCTTGGAACAGCTTTCTAGAGAAAGCTACGGTTCTAGAGGCGGCAAAAGCGGTGGCTTTTCTAGCAACCGCAGCAGTAGTACTAGAGATTACCGTCGTATGGGCGGCGGAGCTCCTGGTGGCTCTCCTTCGTACGGAGGAGGAAGAGGCGGCAGTGCTGCTGGTGGCGCTAGAGGCGGCTCGTCATGGGGTTCATCCTGGGGTGGTTCCGGCAACGGCAACTCCTGGGGTAACAACAGCAGCAGCAACTCTTCCGCTAGTAACTCCTGGTGGTAATCCCATCAGGTTTTGAATCTTGAGAGGTGCGCTCAAGTTTGCAAGGCATATTTTTTTCTCTTTTTCGGCACCAATTTTTTTTCACCCCAATGATTCACACGTTTAATGTTTTATCCTGACTATTTGGTGTTCCACCGGAGTCGTTTTATTCCGGTTTTTTTTGTTTTTGTTGCATTTTCCATTCAACAGGGATATTATACAATTGTACATTATGAAGTTTGTTTGCCATGATAAACAAACCGCGAGTCCACACAAGTTTTGGGGACTACTCGAAGTTTTACTAAAAGTTTGCGGTCTCCAGATATGGAATTTTTTTGCATGGTTCATCTCGTTGCCTTCAATGTTGAGCATTGAAGTGCTCGCTCATCGATCGATTTGTATTATGATCCACACTCTTTTTCATATCCTGTTTCAAACCTGCGTTTCGATGCTTTTCAATTCTACTGGTTACTATTTGCAATTCTCGCTAATATTTGCATCGAAATTCTTGTTTGATTATGTCAAATCTGGCGGTCGGTTGAGATACCGATTAGCCCGAATAGTGGTTTGATATTTTTTTGTTGTCATATGAAGGAAGAGAAGGACGGGGAATTGTAGATGGTACAGTTGTATAGTAGTTGACATTTAATTGATATAACATTAAATAGATCAAGGCGATACTTTGAAGTAAAATTACTAGTTATGTTAGTCAGTTGTTAAGACGAACGTATTTGTCAAGCAACTCATTCAGTTAATTCTTCACAGCTGAATGAAAAGAAAAGATAATTTTAACGTCGCATTCGGGAACAGAAAGCATCAAGTTTTCATTTACCAAGTCTTGATTCTAAATCAATGCGTTAGAGAATTCAGAGAACCTTTCAAAGAGAAACCCTAGTTGACACATGGAGGAGTCGCTGATTAACAGAACCGAACAAATTTGGCTTGGAAAGTATCCTACCACAAATCGGCCTGTGTGGCGCAGTGGTAGCGCAGCAGATTGCAAATCTGTTTGTCCTTAGTTCGAACCTGAGCGCAGGCTGATTAATTTTTTTGATTATTTTTGTTCTAGATGAGTCGCGTACGTAGAAGACCCATATTTTAACAACTTCAGGGTCTTTTACTCTGACATTCCATCCCTAACTATATCATTAACTTTATTTTTTCTTGAGTTTCCTCTTAGCATAGTCTATAACTTGTGCATTGCCCTCTTGAGAAACGAAAAACCTTCTCTTCTTATCATCTTTCCAAAGCAGCACCCCTATGTCGTTGGAATAATCACAAAGTAGACTATACTCTTGACTGTTGTCAAAGTCCGTAAAAAGATAACCATCGTAGTTGATAATACGGTCAAGCTCAAGTTGCCACAACTTAACTTGATCCACCACTGTTGGCGGAAGAATTTGCAGGCCCTCTTTGCAGTTGGGATCGAGTTCTAACTTCTTGTCAAGCGTCTGCTCTGCAAGCCTTCTCATTTGCGGATGCGCATGTGTCTCCATATATGCAATGATTTGGTCTGCAGTGATACCATTGAGTAGCGCTCTTCTGATAGATTCTCTTGTGATTTGGCCGGTGACCATATTGGAAAACCTCGCCTTGAGATGCACAAACAAACTTAGAATAGCGATTTGCAAGGGCGAATTCGAGTATGAATATATTTTGAAGTTGGTTTCCAAGACAACAGCTCCATCTGGAATGTTTCTTGCCGCTATTCCAACTTGTGTCCCATCTTGTTCTCTACCATCGCTTGCTGCGGTCGTATCATCTGCCTTCGAATTGCTACTTGTACCTTGACTCAAAACTGTGTTCATCGCGCTTGAAGCAGATCTGATACTCATACTATCCGAAGTCAGCATGGCGGCAAGCCGAGTGGGATAAAATTTGGAGGTATTTGAAGCCTTTTGAAATACCAGACCGTAGTCACGCATGTCTTGTAACATAATCTTTTGAGTATCACTTAAATGCGAATCGCTGTAAGCTTTACCCAATTCGAGTGCCCCTAACATGAAGATAAAATTCAAAACGTCTACAGGGTCCATTTGCAACGTTTCGGCAAGTCGGAGATATTGCAATAAAAGAGTCCAAATTTGGGCATTAGCGTCTTGTAGCAAAAACTGGAAGCCTTCATTTGTGATCTGCAGTTCTCCAGTATTATTTTCCTCCATGAGTTTGCTGTGCTGTAGTAAAGAAAGCACATTTCTGGAAGGCGTTTGTGTGAGTGGAGTGCCCACCATGAAATGCAGAATTGATTCCCATTTGTTTGCAGCATACTGGTCAAGCATTTCCGGCAAAACGACCTCATGCTCATTCTCCACCACATTTCCAAATGAGTTATTGACTTCCCCACCTGTAAGAGCATTGCGGAAACTAGACCGAAATATAGAATTGAGGTTGATCATGAAAGGCTGTTCAGATCGACCCTCGATCAACAAATGCAGAGATTTCATGGATTTGATAGCTTCGTTGAGTTGAAATTTTCCATTGCTCTGGACCCACCTATCAAGGTCTCGCAACGATACATCATTTTCATTGAAAACCATCGACATAATGAAGAATTTGGCCAACTTCGGCAGCAGCCTGTAAATGGCTAAACATGTAGCTGGTGATGTGTAAAGTCGGGACTGAACTTGAGGTGGCAAGTCCTCAAGATACTCATTGACCGTTGCCTTAAATGGCGCACTAGACATTGTTAAAAGCAGCAGGTCAATGGCTCGGTGAGGTGTGTCTGATCTTTCAATCGAATCCATATACACCTTACGGCTATAATGGAGCCAATTTCAATCAGAAGCTGCAAAATTGTAACACACGTGATGGGTTTTGTGCGGCGATGAGCTAGCAAGTTAGAACGGGAGAGCGGAGTGTCAGCGAAAGAAAGGTGATTGTGCTTGTTAACAAGGACCAGCGACAACATGGAGTTGATTGGGACGTTGTAGAAGTAGATTTGGCTGCCAAAAACCACCGATCTTACGAAGTTAGAGTCGTTAAGAACTTGACACAATTATGGTGAGAGAAGTGAGATCAATTAGTGCCCCGAAATAGCATTCAAACTGCTCACAAAATTTGTACTTTACCGTGGTTTTTCGCCATCAAAATAAAATCGTTAAAGGAAGTGCTCTTTGCTATTTTGTTGGCAGACAAAGCTTCTAGTTCAGATTTATTCTATCATCGGAAATATACAGGCTTCTAGTAGCTGAAGCTGTTCCCAATATGTTTTATTGTTTGAGAAATCGGTGCCAAAATGATCGAGCTGCCACAAGGATATGGAAACTCGTAAAAAACAACCAGATGCCCAAGTTTCCACCAACTTAAACCTCAAAAGCTGTTACAATTGAAAGTTGATTTCGGTCAGCGCCAAGTGCAGCAACGCATTATGACATTTCGACGTCACCGGTGCGTTCCTTCAATGTTATGGTTAGACAGATGGTGCAAGAACTTTAATTAATTTCAAAGTGCTCGAGAACAGACGTCAGCGCGAACAGTCAAACCATCAAATAACCCAAAGCGTTGGCAACAAGCTGATCGCTTTATGATCAAGCAGCTGCCGCTCAATGGCTGAGTGTATGAAGCTCAATTTTTCATGCCTTTGATGATTTTTAATGACTGTAATGACTGTAACGACTGTAACGACTGTAATCATTAATTCTCAGTAAACTCCGAGAATGATATCGATACCAATACGGATAGGCACAATCCGATACCAAGCGGTCCACTGCTACCCCGGAAAGCTCTATAGGCCCTAGTACCCCTCACTTCAAAAATGATTAGTGTGTATCGTGGTTCAGAGATATGCTTATAGACCGCAAATATGGATTCGAGGATATCAATTTCTAGCCCTGTCTGTTATACAAAGAACTAATGGGTCTCACTAAGCCACCCGGGACCAATTGAAGACACGCTTTTGACGCAATTGAGAGCCCCAAAGAGACTAAAAAACCGCGTATCAAAGCTTACACCAAGAGTTACTACAACATAGGCCACATCTACGTTGAAGCCCGACAGAAATCGTCACAAACCCGATTTTTTTGGACAAGTCAAGAGCTCTTATTACAACCTGAAGCTATCGTACAACATTCCTTCCCAGTTTTTCATCAACAGCTGAGATGTCCTACTCGACAAAAAAAACGGTACCAAACCGGTGTCTTTGAATGCGCATTTAATGGCAGTTTCATTCAACTACTTATACTAAATGGCAACAAAGGCTTCTTGGTCGATCTCCTGTTCGTTGTTGTCCAAAGTTTCCGTAACCTGTTGAAGTTGATCTTAAAAAAATTTTCGAGATGAGTATGATGATGACATTCAATTTAAGCTCATCGCCAACAAGTAGCTGACAACTGAGGTTTCCAAAGGTCCTTCAAACGCTCAAAATCAGTCGGTGAGGATGTCTGCAGCGGCAACGGCCATGCCACATGCAGCTTTGGAGAAAGATTCCGCTTTCGAGTCTCTTCTAAAACCTGTCTACAAGGGTAAAAAGCTTACTGATGAGATCAACACTGCAGAAGACAAATGGAACCTTCTGCCGGCTTTTTTGAAAGTGAAGGGGCTGGTCAAACAGCATTTGGACTCGTTCAACTACTTTGTGGATGTTGACCTGAAAAAGATTATCAAGGCAAACGAATTGATTCTCAGCGATGTGGATCCGGAATTTTACCTGAAATATGTGGATATCAGAGTGGGCCACAAGTCTAGTTCGTCAACTAAGGACTACATTGTTCCTCCTCACGAGTGTAGACTAAGAGACATGACGTATTCGGCTCCTGTGTATGTGGACATTGAGTATACCAGAGGAAGAAACATCATCATGCATAGAGACGTGGAAATAGGCAAAATGCCAATTATGCTGCGCTCTAACAAATGTATCCTAAATGGCGCATCCGAAAGTCAAATGGCCAAGGTCAACGAGTGTCCCCTCGATCCTGGTGGCTATTTCATCGTCAATGGTACAGAAAAGGTGATTTTGATTCAGGAACAATTGTCGAAGAATCGTATCATTGTGGAAGCAGACGAAAAAAAGGGTATTGTACAGGCCTCTGTTACATCGTCCACACACGAAAGAAAATCTAAAACATACGTCATCACCAAAAATGAAAAGATCTACTTGAAGCACAATTCGATCGCAGAAGAAGTGCCCATTGTACTTGTGCTTAAAGCTTGTGGCATTGTGTCTGACCTCGAAATCATGCAACTCGTCTGTGGTAACGACAGTAGCTACCAAGATATCTTTGCCATCAACCTGGAAGAGGTGGCAAAAATGAAGATCTACACACAGCAGCAGGCGCTCGAGTACATCGGCTCTAAAGTCAAGACAGTCAGACGTCAAAAGTTGACTACGCTACAGGAGGGTATTGAGGCCATTGCAACTACTGTGATTGCACATTTGACGGTCGAGGCCCTGGATTTTAGAGAAAAAGCTCTATATATCGCAGTCATGACGAGAAGGGTAGTAATGGCATTGCATAATCCCAAGATGATCGATGATAGAGATTACGTGGGTAATAAGAGACTGGAACTGGCCGGACAGCTAATGTCTCTACTTTTTGAGGATTTGTTCAAGAAATTTAACAACGACTTCAAGGCTAATATCGACAAAGTTCTTAAGAAACCAAACAGGGCTATGGAATATGATGCACTTCTCTCCATCAATGTTCACTCTAATAATATCACAACTGGTTTAAACAGAGCCATCTCCACGGGTAACTGGTCTTTGAAAAGATTTAAAATGGAAAGGGCTGGTGTCACACACGTCCTCAGTAGACTTTCTTACATTTCTGCGCTTGGGATGATGACAAGAATTTCTTCACAATTTGAAAAATCGCGTAAGGTGTCAGGGCCAAGAGCCTTACAGCCATCTCAATTTGGTATGTTGTGTACTTCTGATACTCCGGAAGGTGAGGCCTGTGGTTTGGTGAAAAACCTCGCCCTCATGACACATATTACAACTGACGACGAAGAGGAACCCATCAAAAATCTCTGCTATTTGCTTGGTGTGGAAGATATCACTGTAGTTGACAGTGATACTCTACACCTCAACTACTGCGTTTATTTAAATGGTACCATTGTTGGTATCATACGTTTTCCAACAAAATTCGTATCTCGCTTCAGAAGCTTGAGGAGAGGAGGAAGGCTTTCCGATTTTGTGTCCATTTACACTAACTCCCATCAAAAGGCAGTACACATTGCCACAGATGGTGGAAGAGTGTGTCGCCCATTGATTATAGTCTCTGATGGAAATTCGCGTGTGCAAGCAGAGCACTTGGCAAAATTGCTGGACGGAAAGCTACAGTTTGATGATTTTCTCAGACTTGGACTGGTTGAGTATCTCGATGTAAACGAAGAAAACGACTCCTTCATTGCACTATATGAGAAAGATATCGAGCCTAGAATAACTCATTTGGAAATTGAGCCTTTCACCGTTTTAGGTGCCGTTGCTGGTTTAATTCCATACCCTCACCATAACCAGTCACCTCGTAATACTTACCAATGTGCTATGGGTAAGCAAGCCATCGGTGCAATTGCTTACAACCAGTTTAAACGAATCGATACTTTGCTGTACCTCATGATATATCCACAACAGCCTATGGTAAAGACTAAAACAATCGAACTCATCGACTATGACAAAATTCCTGCTGGTCAAAATGCCACTGTAGCGGTCATGTCTTATTCGGGTTATGATATTGAGGATGCTTTGGTTCTTAACAAGGCTTCTATTGATAGAGGCTTCGGGCGGTGTGAAACAAGAAGAAAACTCACCACTGTGCTAAAGAGGTACCCAAACCACACCCAAGATATGGTTGGTGGTATGAGAGTTGACGAAAATGGTGAGCCGATTTGGCAGCATAAGGCTCTTGGCCCCGATGGTCTCGGTGAGGTAGGCATGAAGGTGGAGAGCGGTCAGATCTATGTTAATAAATCTGTGCCCACAAACGCCTCTGATAGTGTTTTGAATCAAACACAGGCTCAGTATAGAGAGACACCAGTGGTGTACAGAGCCCCCGAACCATCTCATATCGACCAGGTGATGATGTCTGTTTCTGAAAATGATCAAGCCTTGATCAAAGTCCTTCTACGACAAAACAGGAGACCTGAATTGGGTGACAAATTCTCTTCTAGACACGGACAAAAAGGTGTCTGTGGTATCATTATTAACCAAGAAGACCTACCGTTCAATGACCAAGGTGTGGTACCGGACATTATTATGAATCCTCATGGTTTCCCCTCTCGTATGACTGTTGGAAAAATGAAAGAGTTGGTTTCCGGTAAGGCTGGAGTTTTAAATGGGTCTCTGGAATACGGTACGTGTTTTGGTGGCTCCAAGCTTGAGGACATGACAGGAATCCTAGTACAAAACGGCTTCAACTATTCAGGAAAAGATATGCTGTACTCTGGTATTACAGGAGAGTGTTTGCAAGCGTACATTTTCTTTGGTCCTATTTACTATCAAAAACTGAAGCATATGGTCCTGGATAAGATGCATGCTAGAGCCCGAGGTCCGAGAGCGGTCCTCACTCGTCAACCTACGGAAGGTAGATCTAGAGATGGTGGTCTTAGACTGGGTGAGATGGAAAGGGATTGTGTTATTGCATACGGTGCATCCCAACTGCTTCTAGAAAGACTAATGATAAGTTCAGATGCGTTTGAAGTCGATGTTTGTAATCATTGTGGTCTGATGGGCTACAGTGGATGGTGCACCACATGCAAAAGTGCCGAGCATATCATCAAGATGACTATTCCTTATGCCGCCAAGCTATTATTCCAAGAGCTTCTGTCGATGAACATCGCGCCTCGCTTGAAACTCGAAGACGTTTTTGAGCAATAGGAGTAGAAAAGCGTACGCGCTCATTTCTCTAATGTAAATCATATCATATGTAAGTAGCTATAGGAAGTCATATTGCATTTTTTAGGAAGACGAAGGGAGCAACTTCGCTGGGAATATTTCCTTAGGTCTAGCTTTCAAAGATCATATCGAAATTGACTTTAAGACGGCTAGCAAGATTTTTCATTGTAAATTCCGTTACAGAACTCGCTCGTACTTTGAAATCTAGTTTTTCCATTTCTGTCTGCCGAGCTTTATCCGCTTCCTCTTTCCTGTCATATATTTGACGTTTTAGTTCTTCTTGGTCGAGAGCAGACATCATTTTGAATTCCTCTGACTCCAATACATCCTCTACTTCGTTTTCCAGCTGATCACCAAACTGATACTCAAGCTTGCGTTTCTCGGCTTCTACTTCTTTCTTTACAAGCTCTTCATAGCCGCCCATCTTGTTTATCTTGAGAAGGGTTGAGTTCAGCAGATACGCCATTCCAGCCTGGCAAATAGACCTCCACTTGTCAATTAAACGCTCTATCTCTTGCTCTTTAGAATAAGTATTAAGAATTTTGATAGCGCTCTCTAGTGTAAGGTTTTCCTTTTTTAGCTGGCGTATCCTGTCCGTTGTTTGTCTCCCTTCTGCTACATATTTACTACGTTTACCTTCTATACCACTACTTATACGTGCATAACTCTTGTGAAGGGTTGCTGGGCTTCTGAATTTCTTCGTTTGTACCTTGGATTGGCTTGCAGAGAAGGCCATTTAGTGTGTTTGGGCGAATATTGTGGTGTGTAAAGGACTAAATTTGATTTTTAGCCGCCAGGGTTCATATAGTCAAGTTTTTGAAAACATGTTGACGCTGACAAAAGGTTTTAGGAGATAGGCGCTGTAAAAAGACGAAAACAGATGCTACTGGTCTGAGTTTGGCTGGTTTACTCGGAAGCTGTGCATCAGCCGTAGACATTTAGTATTATACACTAGGTGGTTCCCTTCCGCATAAATAATATATACGTACCTACGTGAAAAATCCTAGTTGAGAATTATTGAGGATTTTACGCGCTTGGAACAAATCTTATTCGTCGGACATTTCGACATCATCATCCTCTTCGTCAGAAGCGGCTTGATGTTCTTTCTCCTGCTCGTCTTCTTCCTCCAAACTTTCTCTGAGGATCTTGGCCTTTTCTTCTCTTACTTCGCGTTGCACTTGAACGTAAGAACCCAGAGGTGTCTTGTTCCAAGGCACATCGTTGAGGAAACGTTCGACCTCGCTTCTGTTCGTGGGGCCAAAATCGATTTCTGATCTCTTATTAAGAATGTAGTCCGAATTTTGCTTAATCTTCTCAAGAACGTTACTGACCTGTTTGTTGAACTTGCTGTTTTTGGACGCTTTGATGTAACGACGTAGGCCGATATAGGCAGGGGTCGTTAGCTCCGGGAACGAAACGCTTTTGCAATACAGGACAAAGTACTCGCATACTAACTCGACAAACTGTTCTCCTAGACCATCTTGGAAGACCTTTGTTCCCAAGTAGCCTTGGTTACACTTGATGTTGTGATCAAAGTCAAACGCAGGCAGGGTGGATTTCTTTTTAGGCGCCTTGGAAAAAGCTGTTGAGGATAGGATCTCACCAAGAAGTGGGTAGATTGGGATGAAAACCCCAGTGTTCTGCGAGAGTCTGATGAGAGATCTGATCAAGTAGAATCTCAATGGGAAGAACTGAGCGGTTGGAATCAGCCTGATCACACCGATGGTGACCTGAACTAGCGGGTAGATTAGCTGTCTCAAATACGACTCTTTGCCATTTTCCTTTTCAGAATTGCATTGAGCACAGAGGACTCTTGACCAAAAGTCAAGTGAGTGACAGAATTGCCAGTTGTAGACGACCTTGTAAGCATCTGCAGGATTCGTCCTGGCAGACTTCTTAGTGGAGGCGGTTATACTGTTTCTCAAGTGCACAGCTAGTTGTCTCACGTATTCAAATCCGACCTGGTAACCAAGGACCTCGTCAATGCCGAACAATTCTGCAGACGAGTTTTTCTGGAAATTGATCAATGGCATGGTACGAATGTTAGTCTTACGGCAACTTTTGATGAAAGAAGAATAAGTGGTTTTCAGAACCGTATCCAGTAACGATTTCTTAAACTCTCTGGAAGCGTTGTTTAAGAATGCGAAAGCTGCCACCTGCGTTTCCAAGTCTCGGGTTGTAGCGCCTAGCTCGACAATGACCTTGATGATTTCCTTGACGACTCTTCTGTGCGACAAAAAGTAGGGCAAGATCTGGTTGAGAGAATGCAGGACCAACACGGCTGATTCCGTGTTTGTGATGTCGTGGAGCATGGTTAGCATAGACCCTGCGTGAGACTTGAACACAGTAGCGATCTTATTCACGCTGCCGTTGTTCGGTAGGGTTCTGGAGCCCCTGACGATCTTGTAAGGGTGTGCTTTCACGATTGCAGCCGGCATGTACTGCAACGCGACAAACATGAGTTCCTGGAACGCTTTGGCGTCGATGACGGCAAACTTGTAGCTGTCAACCAGCTCTTCCTTGTTGGCGTTGACAGCGGCTTTGAAAGCCGAAACGATGTTTCTGATAAGCTTGACACTGACGGATGCAGCCGAGAGCTCTTTTTTCCATTTTTTGACCATTTTGAGATCCACTTCGACGGTCTGCGACGAGTCTTTGTTCGTTTTTCCCACTTCAAGTTCGGGTTCTTCTTCAGCTTCATCATCTTCCTCGTCCTCCTCGCCGCCGTCGCTTATACCGTCCAGCGGATTGGTGCCTTGGAACTCCAGCAATGCCTTGTCATTTTCCTGCAAATACTTATGGAACTCCGGATCCTTTTCAGCCAGATTAGCCATGTTTTCTACCATACCTTCTTCGTCCTCACTGGACGACGCCTCGTCTTCGTCTTCCTCTTTGGACTGTTTTTCGCCATTTCCACGTTTGCTCTGTTGGCTGGCCTTGGGCACCTCGAATCCTCCTGCGAAAAAGTCCTCCACGCTCATGTCCTTGAACACTTCTTCCTTCGACGACTTCAGCAGTTGCTGGTCCTGCTTCGTAAGTGCCGCATCTTCTTTTTCCTGAGCGGTCTTGTTACCTCTGCGACCTTTGGTTTTCTCGGCATGTTGCTTCTGTTTCTTTCGGTGATCCAAAGTATGCTTCAAGTGTTTGGTCTGAAACTTCTTCGTGGCCTTCGATACTTTACCCATTGTTCACCCTTCTTAAGTTTATATCTTTAGTGTCACAGCAAGCTCAAAAACCTTCAAGAACTCTTCTTGACTAGCTTCTTGTATCTGTTTCTTGTTCGAGCTTTTGGATTAAGCTCATCGCATCTCATCTCATCGCCTTGAATTTTTCATATTTTTCACCTGAAAAATTTTCGATAGGGCTATGGGCGGTTGAAGATCGATTTTAAGCTGGAAAATAGTGAATATTGAATTTTGTATATGGGAAATTGATGAACATATAAAAAGGATGAGCTCGAAGACGTTAAAAGACCGGGACTTTCAAGAGTTTTGAGCACTAAAGCAAGTGGAATTATGCTAACCTTAGCGGTTACAACGTAGCGCTTGGTGTATATAGATATAGTTTTAGCTTATTGACTTACAGAGTCGAAAAACCGTTCTTTAGCAGTCGCTTTCTCAACTTGAGCCAGCCAAACCAACATGTACTGGCAATTTGGTGAAAAAACGGTCAGAAACTGGGTCTTGGTCGTGAAAAGGTTCAAATCGTGTAACGCGTGCGGAATTCGGTTGCAGAGCCAAAACCCGGCCAAAATTGGGTACTACACGGCACCCAAAACACCGCTACGATCAGCCCAGACCGCTCATCAGCGAGATTTGAAGGAATTAAAATATCTGCTTTTTAGCCAGGCTATCCCGGGTCTGCGGCAACAACAGCAGCCAGCGGAGCACAAGAAAATCCCATTAGTCTGCAAACGGTGCAGCGATGCTTTGTATCACAACAGCTACGATTCCCACGGGTTCCGGCGTTTTTCCGCTCGGGAAGTGGACCAATTTGTGCCACGGGATGCCAATGTGTTCCATGTAGTGTCCCTTGCCCAATTCCCATTCCATTTTGACCCCAGTTTGTTCGCCCAAAAAAATAACGGCATCAACTGTACCACTTTGCTGCTATCCAAGGGCGACCTCATCACCCCAGATAAAGGCTTTTTGCAGCGCAAAGCGCCCGTTTTTTTCGCAGATTTTCTGCGTATCAAACTGGCTCAAGCTGCAACCAAAGTCGTGGCTTTCTCAGCAACCCAAAAATGGAACGTTCAAAGCGTCTATTCCGTGCTTCGACAAAACTCGTATTTGCTTGGTAGCCCCAACTCCGGGAAATCGACTTTAATAAACGCACTTTTAAACAGATACGGAGGACGCAAGGAAGATGACATTGCTGGCGTCGAGGGCAAGACCGTTAATACGCAAGGCGCTGGTGTATCGCATCTCCCGAATATGACTCGCAATTTGCAAGCATACTCTATTGGCGACAAGACTGTGAACGATCTACCAGGGTTCAGCTCAGACACGCAAAATGTATCTCTAGATGCTATCATCGAACCCAAAGTTTTGGAAAGAATTCGGAAAACGCATCTTTTTACGAAATCAAAACTGGTCAAACAATCCTACGCATCGCTTAAGGGCAGCGTTCATGGCCGCTGCTATACCGTGAGTGGCTTGTTTTATCTAGTCCCGCCTGCCGGTACGATCAACCAAGTTGTCAACTTTATTCCGGGCAACGAAAAACAATATCATAACGTTGACAAAGCACTATCAGTAGCATCTCGCGAGCTTAAATCTGACACTGGTGCCGCTAAGCAGTATGTTGGTGTCACCGAAGATTTGGCTTCCAAGGGAAACTTTGTTCGTCACATTTTACCACCATTTCAGGGAACCGTAGAGGTGGTGCTCAAGGACATTGGTCATTTTCAATTGAAATCAACTGGAAGGTACGAGTTTAAAGGCCTGTACGAAATTTGGGTACCGAAAGCAATTGATGTTTGCATTCGCGAACCTTTAGAACGCTTAATTGAAAACGGATACGAGACGCATCTTCAGTCGAGGGGCAAAATATCATCCTTCCCACAGAAACGTCCTGTTTTCAGCTCGACTTATCCCTTGGAGGTCGAAGAGAGTGCAGCGTTGTCGCGATTACGAGATCTGTACTTGGAACGGACTAAAAATGATATTATGAACAGACGTTACCTAAGTGAAGATCCAGAACAAGTTGTAGCCCACCTTCGATCTGAGCCACCAAATTTGTATTGGTATTACAATTGGTGATGATCTACTGGTGCTACAGGTGATAATGAACCATTGGTAGCTAAAGGTTGTTGACCTAATGCCACATTTTAAATTACAATTGAGCGCTCACGAAATTCACTCTCACCTGCCGATAATGTCTGCATGAATTTATCCAGTATTCGGATTCATCAACCACATACCAAGGGCTTCCATCACAAACCGTCTCGGCTTCTCTCCCACCATCCGGTTTCTACAAATACGTTTTCTTATAGGATTTTAGTGCGATAGGGTGTGTCTCAAACCACTAATGGACAAGACAAGACTACGTAAATATATGAATTTGGAAGAAATTTGAACACTTATCTAGCTATTTGCAGTCACCAGAGGTACTCTATAACTTGAATTGTATATCGGTATTCCAACATCAAGTTTCCGGTACTTCGATATAACTTAGATACTTGACGAATACATTTGACAATTTGAACAAGCTGACAAGAAATAAGGACAAGACAGCAATGGGCAACTCAGAGGTCTTGAAATGCCAAAACTGCCAAATTCCTTTGGAATTGGATAGCTCTCTGATGGATTTGAGTCTCGCCCAAAGAAATCTATTAGTGAGTGCATCAACTCAACCCATCATGCCAGCTGTGCAGATCCCAGCTGCTCGGCTGAAAAGACTCGAAAGTGTAAGAAAAGCGGGTGACATAAACTTCCAACAGTCAGTTCTAAATAATCAGGAATCATACGTTTTCCTGAATGGGGACTCTAGTCAACTTCAAACTACTACTCGCCTGGATGGGGACTCAGGAGATGAAGACGAGGATGACCTCACTTCTAAGACTTTAAGCTCCAGAATTAGTACGCTGACCAATATATTCAACATCTTGTCTTCCAAGACTAACATTGAATATCCTGTGTGTCAGGATTGTTGTGACCTTCTTGTTCAGAAGCTCAAGAACGAGTACGAGGACGCTTTGAAAGAACGAGACACGTATGCTGAGTTTCTGGCAAGGCTCAATCGACAACGGGAACTAGACCATGACATGGGCCACGCTCCTGGTCAAACTTCGTTTGAAGACGAACGGAAGGCAGCTGAAAGGGAGGACGAACAACTATTACAGAAACTAAAGAAACTGGAAGACACGGAGGCCGAGCTTGATGTTCGCATTGAAAAACTAGAACAAGAGCTGGCCCTGAAAAAGGAGCGTGAAGCTGAAGATCTGAGGCGTAGGAACAGTCGGGATTTGGAGAAACTGCAGTTCTCCAAAGAGTTACAATCGTTGAAAAATCAGTACGAATATACATTGAACAGCCTAGACAGGCTGCGAAAGACCAACGTTTTCAACGAAACGTTCAGAATATCACACGACGGCCCCTTTGGAACCATAAACGGACTCCGACTGGGAGGGCTCGACGACACCCCTGTACCATGTCAGGAAACGAACGCAGCCTTTGGCCAATTGATTCTTCTACTAGCCACCATGTGCGCTCGTCTGAAGTTTAAACCAGCGGGTTATATCTTGCGACCCATGGGGTCATACTCCAGAATCGAGCAATTTGACCCTGCTACGCAAGAATGGAACAGCTGCGAAGCCTTTAACAGTGGTGGATTCAAACTGGGCAAATTTTTCCATAAGGAGACCAGTTTCGACCGAGCTATGGTCTCAATCATGGATGTAATTTCCCAGATCACCGCGAATCTGTCGCTAGGACGGCAGGTAGACTCCGAAGAAATAGAATTGCCCTACACTATGCATGGCGATAAAATCAATGGCATGGCTATAAAGTTATATGGCAACAAGCCAGGCGCAGAATGGACCACAGCTTGTAAGTTTCTTCTAACTAATGCGAAGTGGTTGCTAGCATTTTCTTCCGTTTGACTGAGGGTTAGCAAATTGGTCAAGCTGGAAGGATAAAGGGTGGCAGGAGTCTAGCAAGTACCAAGTTCCACATCTATTTTGATCAGGCATGGCTTGAAGCAATCATTGATTATGACATGAACATCTCATCGGCATGTTCTTCGAAGTGTCGTCGAATATGAGTTCCCATGCCAATGTCTTCAAGCTTAAACTTACCCATCGTTGGTATAAAGACAAACTAAAAGACAACTAAACCAAATCCTGCTTTTCTTCCCAGCCAAAGGTCATTCTGATTTACTTTTGGGAGCGTCTGTCAAGTCTATCAGATGACTGCAAAGACGTTACTCGACGAACGAGCGAGAAGCTCAGAAGTTCTCGATGGTGACAAATTAGTTGCATCCCTCAGAAACCTTTCCAAAGGCCTGTCGTTACCGGACTCGACGAATTTTGATGCAATAGCACTCAAGATAATAACAAATCTCCCGCCAAGCGTACGACGCTCAGAATTTATTCAGTTCACCGGCGAGATCTTAGTAGCACTGACGACGACTCATCCCGATTTTGCACTGCTCGCTGCGCGATGGGAGCTGTTTAACCTTCACAAACGTATGAAAAATATCACATTTACAGAGAATTTAAGGGCTATCAGAGAATTCAGAGCGGTAGGAAATGGACCCCCAGCTGCTAAAAGGCGAAAAACTGAGACCAAACGGCCGATTGTGAAAAAAGTTATTTCGGACAGCTTTTACAAACTGGCATTGAAATATCGGGATGTTCTCGATAAAGCTATTGTTCCTAAGAGAGATTTTGACTTCTCGTACTTTGGCTGGAAGACGCTGGCCAAATCGTATTTGATCAAGCACGATAACGATGAGATTCATGAAACACCACAATTTTTATTTATGAGAGTAGCGTTGGCCATCCGTGGTCCCCAGGGTGATTTGGACGGTGTCCTTAAGACATATGACTTGATGTCACGCAAATACTTCATTCATGCATCACCGACCCTTTTTAACGCTGGTACGGTGAACCAGTACCTGTCATCCTGTTTTCTAGTGGGCATGATGGAGGATTCAATCGATGGTATTTATCGCACGCTTCATAAAACTGCTATGATCTCGAAAGGCGCTGGAGGAATTGGGATTCATGTATCGAATATCAGAGGAACGGGCTCTTACATATCAGGGTCCAACGGGACGTCAAATGGACTTGTACCGATGTTGAGGGTTTTCAACAATACTGCAAGATATGTTGACCAGGGTGGAAATAAACGCCCAGGTGCTTTTTGCATCTACTTAGAGCCATGGCATTCGGACGTTTTCGATTTCTTACAACTTCGCAAAAACCATGGCAAAGAGGAATTAAGGGCGCGCGATCTATTCTGCGCCCTATGGATTCCAGATATCTTCATGAAACGTGTCCAGGACAATGCCTCTTGGTCTTTATTTTCGCCAGATGAAGTTCCTGGATTACAGGACTGTTATGGTGAAGAGTTTGAAAGGATGTACGAAAGCTACGAGGCCACTTTAACTCCCAAAAAAGTGGTACAAGCACAGAAGCTTTGGAGCGAAATCTTACAAAGCCAAGTTGAGACTGGTGGTCCTTTCATGCTCTACAAAGACTCGTGCAATACAAAGTCAAATCAAAAAAACCTGGGGACAATTAAATCATCCAATTTGTGCTGTGAAATCATTCAGTACAGTTCGCCAAAGGAAACTGCCGTGTGCAACTTAGCCTCAGTGGCGCTGCCGTCTTTTGTAAATAAGAAAGGCGTTGCAGTAAAATTTGACTTTAGAAAACTACACGATGTGGTCAAGGTTATAACTAAAAACCTGGACTCGGTGATCGATATCTGTGATTATCCTGTGGATGACGCTGAATTAAGTAACAGAAAAAATCGACCTCTTGCGATTGGGGTCCAAGGACTGGCTGACGTGTTTTTCATGATGCGTTTACCATACGACTCTCAGAACGCGCGTATTTTGAATCGGCAGATTTTCGAAACGATGTATCACGCTGCTGTTGAGATGTCAATTGAATTAGCTGAGAAGAAAGGTCGCTATCCGAGCTTCGAAGGGTCACCCATATCGCAGGGGCTTTTTCAATTTGACTTGTGGGGTTTGAATGAGAAAAACTACGATTTTCTGTACACTGACTGGGAAGATTTGAAGAATCGCGTTAAAAGACATGGTATAAGAAACTCGCTCTTGATAGGCCCGATGCCTACTGCCTCCACGTCTCAAATTTTAGGATTTGTGGAGTCCTTCGAGCCAGTAACTTCTAATATTTATAACAGAAGGGTACTGAGTGGTGAGTTCACCCTTGTGAATAAGTACATGGTGGAGGACTTTTGTCACCTTGGAATATGGGATCAAAAATTAAAGAATAGAATCATTGCTGATGATGGTTCCATTCAAAGCATAGAGGGTGTTCCTCAGGAAATGAAAGACCTTTATCGAACCGTTTGGGAGTTGCCACAGCGTGCTTTGATAGATTTGTCCGCTGATCGGGGGCCCTTCGTGGATCAGTCACAAAGCTTGAATCTTTACTTGAAAGAACCTACAATGGGTAAGCTTACCAGCATGCACTTTTACGCTTGGAAAAAGGGCCTCAAGACCGGAATGTATTATTTACGTACCCAAGCAGCGTCTGGGGCTATCAAATTTTCCATTAGCGATGAAACCACTCTGCATGGTGCAGTTGACATTTCAGGGGGTCTGGCAACGGAAAAGGTAGCTATTGGAGCACACTATCCTGATGTGTGTGATTCCAGGGTGGCGTTTGGAGCTCCCGGTCCGGATTTGCTGGAACAAGCACAGGATGATTCAAATGACACGAGGGAAAGCTTTGCGGGTCGAAGCGACAAATTTGGAATTCATGATTCCACGCCAATCACCTGTCTTCTTGGCAAAGCAGCGGAGAATTGTGAAAGCTGCTCTGGGTAAGGATAGAGATGGGAATCGAAGGGAATGAAGCAGAAACTTGTAAATATGACAAACATTCCTGTACATAAAACATCTGTCACTTGTAAGCGGTGCGGTGCTGAGAAGTCGTTTATATACTCGACAGTTTTTTTTTGTACTTCGAGTTTGAGAGGAAGTTGGTATGGTTCATTATTGAAGAGAGATGTTAGTTCAGTAAATCAGATAAGCCATAGCCGATGTTTCAGACCTTACAGTCGAAATAAAACTCGCTGTATCTGTTCTTTCATATGAGGGTCAGAAGGCTGCTAAAGCTGTAGAAACCAGCCTAACTTTGAGGACTCTTTACAGAAACAGTGAGATGATGATTCTACCGACTACATATTGTACCACGCTGAAAGCTCACGACAGTTGTTCTCCAAACCAACATAAAGATCGCGCTTGTAATTCAAAACACACAAGACACGCAAGACGGAAAGACTTTCAATCATCGTCATATCTCTTCCTTAAAGACTACCTTGTATCCTAAATCTTGTATCGCTCTTCCCATCGTCATTGGTAAATTGGACGATGAACTTCGCTCTTTAAAGACAGAAAAGACACTACAATCTGGAAACTCAGCTTGTCCAACTCCTATCGAGTTGTATTCCCAACTGGATACCGACCCAATGGTTGTCAATGGCAAAACAAGCCTTATCTCGGTGATTCTCTAATCATCATCGTCAACCCCGGGGTCAATCAACTTCACGTGGAGCCTCGCCTCTGTCATCAGTTTATAAAAGGCTGAAGGTTCAAAAGGAAACCCTTACAACTTAACTTCAGTCTCCTTCAATCAGTATACTCTCGAGTGTGTCCCAAAAGTGTATCCATGAGAATACCTCTAGAGTTACTGCCCTTCAGCAGTCTTTCATCGTTAGACTTGTTCGGGTCGCTATTTGATTTTACAAGTTCATCGCCGTCATGTCCTTCGGGCTTGCCGTTGACATGCTCAAACCATACTGCTATCGTAGATACCTGTTGCTTTGAGCATCCGGGTGGAATAATGCTGCAGACTCAGTTTTGGGATTACACTCCACCACGAGGCATGGATTCTGGTCCCTGGAACGACGATCTCGAGAAGCATTTGGGACCAAACACTTCTTTCACGAACCATGGGCTGTGGCCAGATAACTGTGATGGTGGCTATCAACAATTTTGCGACAGTTCCAGACAGATAGACGATGTATACCACCTACTGGAATCTGACCAGTTCAATCGCGGGGACGGACTGGAAATCCGGGGTAAAGACCTGTTAGAAGATATGGATAAGTTCTGGAAAAGTAACACCGGAGACGATGAGTCTTTGTGGATTCACGAATTCAACAAACATGCAACTTGTATCAAGACGATAAGGCCCGAATGTTACGCTAGGTGGGATCGCTCTAGTGTTACCAGAAATGTAGAAGATTACGACAAAACAGCGGTCTACGACTATTACAGAATTGCTATGAAGCTGTATCAGAGTCTGGATACTTTCAAAGCTCTTGAAAAGCACAACATTGTCCCCTCGACGACTAAGAGCTATACTCGCGAGGAAATCAGCCAAGCTTTGAGCTCTGCGTTCCAGGATAAGAAAGTTTTCTTCAAATGCGACCGCAGCAGAAGTCTAAATGAAATTTGGTATTACCATTTGCTCAAAGGGAGTTTGTTAAGTGAGGACTTCAGAGCCATTGACGCTCTAGGTGCCACTTCAAACTGTCCTGCGGATGGTATAATGTTCTATCCCAAAGGATACCGGCCCGGGAATGGACGGAAGCCAGGGAATCCCGGAAATGGAAAACCTGGCATCAGAGGTATTATTCGCATCAGTGGCTTTTCTGGTATGATTATCAGAAATGGTCATTGGATGTCCTCTGGTACACCAGCAAATTTTAATCTTATTGAGGCGCCCTTTGGTAACTACTACCTCAAATCTAGAACTGGATATTGCGGCCCTGACGACCGTCACGATGGTGCATTGATCTGCAACAAAGGCTTGGGGAATGCGGCGCAGTTCGAATACGACAGTCAAAAAGGATATCTGGGATTTTCTGGTAGTTTTGACTGGCACGCTGACGAATATCCAAGAAGACGTCAACAGTCACTCGTCTACGCCGGTCGTTCTGAGGATTCGAAATACCCGTTCAAACTAAAATTCGTTAAAACTCACTAAATATACAACTCCGGATGTGGTTGCCATTTTTTTTTATCCCATTCGCAAACAAGAACGAGCTCTACTGTGCACACGCACACACCAAACCAAAATATAAGAAAAAAGACTGAAAACCCAACCACCAACCATTAAAAGTTTTGAAAGCGTTATAACATTTAATTTAACCTGACCATGAATTCGAATCCTGGGCCATTTGTATAAGCCTCGTAGTACTATCTTCGTAATTGGATATTTGTCTTTTTGCGGCCATATCCATGGATTGCGGATTGAGTAATGCTCGTGTATTGTCGTGATCTTGGAATTCCACTGGTGCAGGAATTTTTGTACGTAGTGGACGGACCACGGGTTCATACGAGTCACGAACGGTTGATTGAGTCTCGAGTTCTGCTTCTAGCTTTGCCACGGTGCGCTCCAAATAGTAAACTCGATCATGTAACGCAGCGTTTCGTTGTCCTTGACTTTCAAAATCTCGTTGCATTTGGTTAATTTGACGTTGTTGATCGTACAACATGGATCGCATAGTATCTATTTCATTGTAAGCTTTCGATTGTCCAATTTTTTGGAACGTTTTATAGGAGGATGGAGTGGCGCCAGCGGGCATTATTTCAGGATCTGATTTTAATCCTTCTCGCAGTTGTAGCCTTAAATGATCATCATTATTCAGTCGTCCATCTTTGCGAGAAAAATCAGTGACAGGTGTTGGATTTTGCAATTGTCTAGTTCGCATTGAAGTCGGACTAGTTATAAGCAGCTCCTGTAGGTTTTTCTTGGATGCAAGGTATTCTCGTCTAATATTTCGCAGCGTGTCGTCCGTTTCTGGATCGCTGAAGAAACCTTTCCCCGGTTGCCGACTCATGAGGGGGAGGGGAGTCAATTGAATTGAATTGAATGTTTGGCAGGGAGATCTATCCTAAAGAATTGCGTGATGTGCGGTGCGAGTGGTTGTAGTTATCGTTGTTTTGTGATGAACTTGACGATTTGGTGTATTTTCGCGACTAATTAAAGTACATACACGGTAGTTATGGTTATAATTATTATAAGAGTGTATAGAAAATAAGAACTAGAGGCTTTGAAAGCAGCTTAGGATTTGATTCAGACAGATGATAGAATTCAGTGAGTTTTTTTGAGTTAAAAGACACCTCTACTGATGCCGTAGCATCTTGGAAAGTATATGTTTCACTTGACTAAAAATTGACGACAACAAATATTTGGAAAATGGCATTTAAACAGCCTAATCTGGTTCATAAGTGGCCAGAGATTTGGAGACAGCCCTGAATTCAATCACAATGTATTCGGGCAAAACAGGTTGGAATGGGAACTGTTGAAAGGCGAGATTTAAAATACGGCAGATCACGCGACCAGGTGACAGATGACAGGGCAACGAGAATGTGATAAAAAGTTCACTGCCAGAAGACAAAAGGACAGACGTGGTCCGGGGAGTGGTATGGTTATCGTGCATTATCAGATACTAGTGGAATGATTATGAGCTACATCACTGACGAATATTTATGGGTGCCAGCGTTCCGCTGGTATTTGAAGCTCTGGTGGCAGCGACACAATTTTGGGCAAATTCGAGAAGTATATCAAAAGAGATCTACTGCCAAATGGAGGTCATAAGCATCTTGGGGAAAATGCAGTGAGTATTTGAACAGGTTCGTCTTTATGTGCCAACGTCAACCCGTGTGGTGGCTGACGTCAGATTAGCCAAACGATCAGAGCGAGTCCCCGAGATGACAGCGACAAGAGTTGGCATAAATCACCAAGAGACATAAATTGCTGGTCATCTAGCCAACGTCAATACACTGAATTATACCACTAGTACCGGGAATCACCAAAGTCATGGAACAGTTGTCACGCGACTCCCATCCGGTGACCACTTCTGTACTCTCGCAGCGAGGACAAATATCAATTGATGAAACCCCCCAATCTTGTGATCAAAACCAGCGTGGTTCACATACTATCAGCCTCGTTACGTCGCTCACTTTTCTCGATTTCGTGTTCAATCGGTCCCGACACAGCTTGACGACACACCCGTCCAAAATGTCCTAATTTTTGTCAAAGTCCAGAACATCTAAAATAGAAGATCGTCTTTAACAAAGATATTCCGAAATCACTTATTCTCATCTTTTGAAAAAGTTGGCCAACGCGAAGGTCTGTTTAAGTCCCAAACTTGACCTCTTGCCGACGATAAAAGTCTATGAATCCTAATCACAGCTACTACCACTAAGTCAGATAGCCTTGAAAGTAGACAAGGAACAGTGCACTTTTTTCCGCATCTAAATAAGTGTTCTGGGAGCAGAGTTAGAGACAAAGTGCAAACGCGACAAAAAAATTCAGGTAATTGAAAGATTTCCAAGTTTTTAAGTCCCAATTTTTGAGCAGTTTGTGCCAGTCCAGAATATTTGAGTATTTGTGTCCTTTTCATCGTTGAACCCTTGACATAAAAGGTTCAAAAATAGTGTAACAAGAGTTGTTCTTAAGTACAGTCTTTGCACTCGCAATATCATTTATCAATCAGGAAAACTCGCTGTAATTGCGAATTTTTTTGGTGCCCTGTGAGCTTCCCGCCACGAGCACGTATTTTCGGAAGCCTCCCCTTCAGGTAATGCAAAGAACAGGTTCGACCACGCAAGTGGGATTTTCGTCTCCAGAACACGCCTGCACGATAACCAATACAGGATCCATGGATTTGACATCAGGACCGCACCATTTACCTCAGCTGCAAGCCTGCAATGCTATAGCAGAAACCCGTAGTCTGGAGTCACCCCTTTTCCTCGATCTGTCACAATGTGGCATCCAGCTGCCGCTGCCAAACTACACACGAGTTCACCTCAAATTTCCTTCCACACTCGTGCGACGGCCAAATTTCCCATTTGCTCAACTTGCTCAAACTTTAGACCACGATACCCAGCAACTACTTTCAGCGGAGGTCGACTCACACTCCACTTTTGTGTTTTACGATGAAGGAAGTACTTTACAAAACTGCTCTACGAAAACAGCGAATATTTTGAACAAAGTGGTACCACATTTGTCGAAAGTGAAGGGACAGAGTCAGTCTTCCAAAATAAAGCTCTTTTTTTTACAAGGTGGCAAAACAAGCTTGCAACAGAAACCACCAAGCTTTCAGCAAGTACCCGTTACTAGACCTTCTCTTTTGACTAATGTCAGATCTTCTTCTAGCATAAAAAAGGGCGCACTTAAAAAAGGCCCCAAACCCAATAAGCATAACATGAATCTGAGAATCACGATTCCAAACCGCGATGCACGGATCGATAACTCCAACCACATGTTCATACAGTCATTCAAGAAAGACTCCATTCAATATTCCCCCGACAGTCTCAAAAAATACTTTAATTTCCACATGCCTGACTTGATAGAATCACAAGATGAGATCCTGCCGACTTGGTTGAAGAGGTTCTCTGATAATGGTGATAAGAATCTTTTAACCATTTTGAAATCATTCGAATGTCTCGAAAGACTTGAAGTCAAGAGGCTGGAACGCTGTTTGCAATCCTCGAAACAAGATCCTAATAATACGGAGAATGGGAACGCGCGCGGATTGGGATCTCAACCTACAGCTGTTCTTAATGCTGGTGATTCTTTGGCAAGACCAACGCCCACAAAGCTTTACTCTTTTCGTGAAATGCAAAAGAAATACAAACCGAACCGGCAAGATTACGATTCAGATAACGACGGATATCATCAGGATCAAGATATGAAGTTAAAGATGGACATAAACGAAGAATTGCATGATGGAGAGAACCAAGAAATACTCACGAAATTAATGAAAATAAAGGCAAGTGAAAAACTGAAAGTTTCTGATCTTGCTCTAAATGATGCTGGCGTTTCACTTACCAAGGGCAAGCATGCTGACAGACACGACGATGACGACGAAGAAATTGCAGAAACACCAATGGATAACTATCTACTCACGCGCGGAATACAATCCTATACCAAAAACAGGTACTCAAACATTTTGCCATATGAGCACTCACGGGTCAAACTAGAGCCTTCCCCCATATGGCCTGAGCAGAAAAGCGGTTCATCTTCGTCTTTCGTTACCCCTGTGTCAAGCCCCCCGCTGTCAAACAAGACGATTCGCAAAAGACGCAACTCTTATTTCTCACAAGAGTACGCTAAATCCGAAAGGCCCTATGATCACTTAAATGAACAAGAAGTTGAGAATGTGAGGCCGCCACTGCGTCCTGCTTCGTCGTCATTTGACTCCAAGCGAAATATGCATAAAACAAAATCGGCCTCGGAAAACGATCAGTTCAACGATTATTTCAACGCCAACTACCTGAAGATTCCTCAAATCAATCCAGATTTCAATTATATCGCCACACAAGCTCCTTTACCCTCTACTTTAGATGACTTTTGGAAAGTCGTTGTCAGTAACGGCATTAAAGTCATTTTATCTTTGAATTCGGATGATGAACTAAGCATGCGTAAGTGGGACATTTACTGGAATTCTAGTGCTCTCGAAAAGTTTGATGTCAGTGTTAGTGATACTTATGAAAATGTTTGTGGCGTCAAAGGCTGCATTCTACGAGTGATAGAAGTCAAGCGATTGATTTCTCCTAAAGAAAAAAACCATTCTCATAGTACAGAAACCAACAAGGAAGACGTGGCCAAATTGAAACAAAACGGGAAATCTTGGGGGACTGTTCATACAGTCTGTCAACTTCAATACACGCGGTGGCTAGACTCTTGTGGTATTGTGTTGGGGGACGTCTTGAAACTTCATCGGATTAAAAACCTTCTTTTGAACAGCCCCAAGGCTTTCGTTGAAAACATTCGAGATGGACAAATGTACGAAAACATCATGAAAACGAAGGAGTTGCCTTCCGAGAAAGCGAACACGTTAGGATCGATGACTACTAGTGTGAGCTCGCCTTTATTGGTTCATTGCTCTGCGGGTTGTGGAAGAACTGGTGTCTTCATCACACTAGACTACTTATTCAATGTGTTGGAGCATCCGACTGATGGCTCCAACAGAATCGACGTTTGGAATTCGCCACACGATCTCATATTTATTATCGTCAACGAATTGAGGAAGCAAAGAATATCAATGGTTCAAAATTTAACACAGTACATTACGTGTTACGAAGCGATTTTGAAATACTTCGAGTTGCGCAAGATTGCAGGCAGCTCGAATCGTGTTCATTTAATAGACTAGCTAGAGATTGAATGATTTTCGTTTTTTTAGTACTAATAGAACATGCGCGGTCGCCAGTGATTTGATGCATTCTACTACGTCGCACGTTGCACATGCAAGAAGGCACATTACTTTTGTGAAGGCAAAGATAAGAAAACATTCAAATTCTCAAGAGTAGCACCGTCGACAGATGCGAGAAGCTCTGGAAATTGCGGTCCAAGCTTCGTTTCCAAAAACTGCACGATCTGTGTTATGTTTTCCTTTAGGCTCACATTGTGGGCGGGATCTCTCTCCCTGGTAAGCCGAACAAAGCGCAGCTGCTCACAAGTCGGAGGATATTCTGATTCATTGTCGTCGGTGACAGGGATGTTGTCCTTCAAATGGAACTTTTCGCAATCTCCTCCAGCGGTTTCGTTGATCTCTTCTAGAAACTCTACCCAAATGGATGCCATGCTCGGAAATTCTGCCAATACTGGCAGTGCTGACGAGCGCAACATAGATGAAATACCGAGTGTGTGAATCTTTCTCACCTTAGGATCGTAAAAATCTTTGAAACAAAGAATCCATATAGTCATGAACTTACTCACGACGTCTTCAAATGACATTTCTCTGTTGATGGCTTTTCTTTGATCCAAAGGAAGGTATGAATTTTCTGAGGAGTTTGGAAGTTGATAGTAGAATGCTTCCAGAATCTGTAGTATAGATTGTGGGTTGATGAAGGCAACTCTTGCAATTATTTGAAGCAGCTGCCCAGCTTGAAAACTGGATATCGGCTCTTCCTTAAATAAAGCATCGAATATTGCATCAAAAACACGAGTTCCTAACAGATAGTCCAGCAAAGAATTCATGTCTTCCTGATTTGTAGCAAGTACTAAAATATCAAGTATTGATAATAGTAAATCAAACGAATCATCTCGAAGTTTCAGCAAATACTTCGACAAATGTGAAATAGCAAAGGACAACGATTCAAATTGTCTGAAGTGCCCAGTCCTGAATAACAAGGAATAACTCCTAACAATCTCTAACAGGGTGGGCAGTATCTCGGTCTGATTTTGGATAGCACCATGCAAAAGTGGTATCAGCGAGGAGAATACACTCTCTGCTTCAACATCTGATGGACAGTTTTGTAAAAGGCTCTGCCATAGTTCGAATCCATCCTCATATAACAGTGAGTAATGCGGGGAGCTGGGATTGCAAGCAGCTTGGGTGATAGGCAATGCGGTTTCCCAAGTGGCGGGGGAGTTTTGACTCAAAGAATCTACACAATGGCGTAGAAGCCTCAGGAGGGCGTTCGTCAATATAGACTCACTAGGCTCCTTTATCGATATTTCCCACAGAGCTGGGACAACATGCAATATCTCTACCAGCTGTGTCGTGCTGATCAGAGGTTTAGTTTGAATGATGACATCACTCAGTGTATTCAAAACATACAGACGAGTTTCGGTCAATGATACAGAAGGTAAAAGCCTTTTCAATAGAACCGAGACAGTATCTTCCAAGTAAGGCTGGAACGATCTCTTGTCAAAATTCCAATCGTCTACCATCGTCCTTAAAGTCTGAACAGCGGTTAGTTGAATGACTCTGTCATTCTCCTGATTTATTAGCTGGAGTAGCAGTTTGTAGCACAATTGTTTACTTTCTTCGGAGCATTTAACAGTGCACCATTCATTGATAACAAGCGCAACTCTTCTTTTTAGAATTTTAGAAGATTCTTGGGACGCTTTGGGGTTTGCTGCCTCTGGAATGAAAACGTCAACCAAAAGCCGATCGAAATCAACAGAGTCGCTAATTGAGGCAGCGCTTAGTTGGAAGCTTGCAAAAATGCTATCCTTACTCAGAAGGTCTTCCATTCCAAAACCCAAACTTGACACATCAGTTTGTATTTTATTGAGCAAATAAGGAACTAGCACTTCTGAGAAAGTGTCTATCAGATCCTGAAAGAAATTTTCGGCGCAAGGCCTTATTTGATGTTCATAGCTCGTTGCCAACTGCTCATTCATCCATTCTTCGGGGTCTAGAGACCAACTTTCAAGTTCTGAAAGCCGCAATTTAATGTACCAGCCCATAAGAAGATCCACCCACCGTTGAACCAGCTGCTCGTTCAAAAAGTCAGTCGAAATTCGTTTAATGGCTGCATCAACTTCGGCCTTATCATTTTTCGCCTTGATGGTGACAGCGCCTTTTTTATGAATAAAGTTGATGAGCTTTTTCAAGAGCAGAAAGCCACGGATCGCTATCTGTTCCCAAAAATCTCCGTTCAGATCTGCATTTTCGTTGTATACATCTGGTGCCCTATCGATCAATAGCTTGGTAAAAGTCATTAGAATCTGCAAGGAGCATGGCAAGAGAATGAAATTCGACGGAGAAGCACACATAATATTGTAGTAGAGCTTGCCGTAGCATCTCACATACTTTTCGAAAAGGTCGAATTTCTTATAATTATCGTAATGGGATAAGAGCAGTTCAAAGTGTGCGATGGATATTTGCAAAAATTCACGGACAGGCTCATTTCTATGAGGTGATTCGTAACCTTCTGCAATCAGACGTCTCAGCACTTTCAATGCTAGGTATGAAACTTGGATCTGTGCGAGGCTATCTTCATCAATGCTGCCTGACTTGGCCCATTCGTTGAATGCTTTGAGATAGGTCCGGACCACAAGCGGAAAAATTAAAGGGGCCTTACTTTGCATTGCAGGTCGACACCTTCCAATTCTTGCAGTGGCCATGATTTTGACTACTTGATTGGTGATCAACAAGAGATTGTATACTTTAATGTTATCTTGCCAAATAGCATCATTTCCAAGTATACGTTCTAGTTGCTCAAACAAATTTGGCCAGTCAACCGGAAAATCTAAGCGTGCAATGCGAGCCGTGGCTTGTGCATTTTGTATACAAAGCTGATTATTATTTTCGTCAATTAGATCGAAAACGCGGCTTCTGATAGACTCCTTTTCATCTTTAGCTATTGCGTTCACTCTGGTGGAACGCCAGTACTTTTCAACACCGTTCTTAAACTGAATAATCGCTAGCCATCTGATGTTCAAGGGACACGATAGATCCAGATATATCGATTGCAACAAATAATGGAATCCTTTCTGGGTCTCCCAGGTCTTAAGCTGAACTTCTGCAGCTCTCTGGACTTGTGATCCGGCATGCCGAGCATCACTAGCTTGCTCTAAAACTTGTACCAGACTCAACTCATCTAAGCTACGAGGTCCAGTTTGCATGGTAAATTGTAACCTTACGAATTAATGGAGCCCGAATCAAATAACAATCGAGAGACTGCTGTATTGAGTGAATGAGTGGACCCACTTTAGATCAAAGCTCAAGTTCAATTGGCTACGTTACGTATCGGAGTCTGAACTACCGTTCGGACCATCTGGTATAACTAGTCCCCTGCCACCATAAAATTTGAAGGTCACAGGAGACGGTTGTGCGTCAGTAAAATCAAAAGTTAGCTCGGTCCGTTTGACCAAGCTAGTTCTATCAGGAAGTCCATCTGTGAGCCTCGTTATCGCCTGCCCAAGCTCGTTCTGTATAACCAAGTTGTTCTTTCACTTTCCGGACGGTCTCAGGGTCCCCCATGTTCTTGCCTAAATTATCTGAAATCTTAATCGCAGGGTTTCCGTTAACCTCTAATAGCTTGATAACAATGTTGAGAGGTTCGCTCTTTTGAGATGGGTTTTTAACGCTGTTAAAATCGTTTGTAAAATTGGTACCAATTCCAAAAGTAGCTTTAAGGCCATACTTGTGAGCCATCGCCGCCAACTCGATCGCCCTTTCAGGATTCAGAGAGTCCGAATAACAAATTACTTTCGAAAACGGAGGGTATTTCAACTCTTTCGTGTAGTGATCCGCAATTTTTTTGGTGTACTCTTCTGGATCCCCGGAATCTTGCCTGACACCAACATAGTAATCAGAATATGGAGGCTTCAATGATTTCAGAAAGTTGTCGGTCCCAAAAGTGTCGGTTAAAGCAAGGCCAGCATTCTCACCTCCAAAAGTGTTTACCCAGTAGTCCATCGCGTCTTTATTGGCATTGACGAAATCCATGGTCAAGGACGCAATACCCATCATCCATTCGTGGGCGACAGTACCGATCGGCTTGACACCATATTTTTTTGCGAAGAAAACGTTGGAGGTTCCGGCAAAACATTTACGGCCACTTTCGTCGCTTTCGCAAACAGCCTGCATAATCCCAGTCATCACCAGGTCATGCGTTTTTCTAGATCTTCTCCTTCTGCTGCCAAATTCGCTGAAATTGATACCATGTCTAATGAGTTCGAGAGTCTTTTGGCGAGCTCTTTCCGTTTGGTTGTCGTACTTCCAATCGGTATCGACAAACTTGAAATAAGCTTCCGAAATGAGTGCCAAAAGCGGAATTTCGTAAAGGATCGTATCCTTCCAAAGACCACGAACCTGCAACCTTAAATGAAATTTACCTTCATTTTCTGCAGGCTCAGTGGATATTTGGATCTGCTCATTGGGACGCAACAAGACCTGTCCACTGGACAGGTATTCTAAATAGTCTTCAGGTAAAAATGGGATTGCCTCCCTCAAATAGCTGATTTCGTCCTCCGTGAATCTCAAATCGCCCAGATGCTCAATTTCACATTGAAGCCACGAAATGGCTTCTTTGTTGAACGTCATTTGTGGCGATCTATTCGTGTACTTATATACAGTCTCTACATCTGGGAAGTTTCGCACCACGGCAGCATGCATAGTTAACTTATACATGTCCGTGTCAAGCAAGGACCCAATGGCAGCCATAGGCATTTTGGTGGCGGTATGAAAGTGAGAAGTTGACCTTTAGGAAGTTGGATTAGGCAGATATCCTAAGGATTCAATGTCCGGTTTTCTTGACTAGTATCAATTTAAATATCACTTCATACTTTGCCGTCTCTGACATGTCTAGATAAGATGTGAACTCGCTTAACGGGACTCGACGCCTCCAAGCCTATCAAAGATGATTTTATAAACAGTATGAACAGTATCCTGTTTACTCTATGAAATAGCTTTTAATACTCTATCAAAAAGGGTGTCCATTTGCACATTTCCCAAATTCTCGAACATGCTGGTGAAGCTGTTCATATTCAGAAGTTTCTGCGACTTTTCGCCGTTGATGAAATCGAGAGTGGCATCCTCTTCTTCTGCGTCTTCCTCGTGGCCACTGTTACCGTTCACCGCATTTTCATTACTGTTGGTTAATTTTTTCAACTCGAGTTCGAATCTGTTAGAGTCCAAGGGATCCATCACAGCATCCTTGTCCACCTCTTCGAACATTTCTGCGCTTGTCGTTGTACTGACCACTCCGAGTCTATTTTTGATGTCCAAAAATATGAAGTCCGTGTCGTGGTTCCACCTAATACACGAAATGTAGTCGCTATGTTGAAAAGAGCCAAGTTTTTGAGTTAGATCTGCGTTGAAAATAATAACCCGAGAACTATAATCGGAAGCGAGCATCTTACTGGTCTCCTTATTTTGTTGGTTGAGAACGAGAGCCACACGGCCATTCTTCTCGTCACAAGTCATCAGTCTTCCAAGATGACCATTTTTGTAAACCCCGTTGACATATGGGAAAAGGTCGAAAGTAACTTCTATCCGACCTCGAAGTAGATTGACCGAGTTTAAAGTGGTTTGAGTCGCAACTATTAAATTAGAATCATTCACCAGCATTATTGATTGGACTGAAGAGTCCATAGTGAATTCGTTGAATGCGTCTTCGGAGTGCTTTTTGAACTTATCGAAATTATTGAAATCCAGAACGGTGACTTTGTCGTCAAATGCATGAAATATCAGACTTCCATCGAGGGACCAAGCCAGCTCGACAGAATTACTGAAATGATTGTTGTTAGGCGGGGCAAATTTGGATAGTTGCCAATTCGAGTCGCTTTCGCTGAAGGACCAATACTTGATACCGCCATTGTTGTCTGCCGTTAAACATCCATGAGACCCGTTGATGGATCTTGGGGCCACCAAAATGCTTGTAACGGGCGCATTTGCACCATGAGGCCCGATAACTTTCGTAATTAAGGTCCAGTCACCCTTTTCAGACAACTTCCAGAATTTAAGAACATGCTGCATGTCATTTGATGATAGTAAATTATCTGGAGAAAACTCAACCTCATATGAAATCATCCAGGTTCCATCTTTAGTAAATTTGACATTTGAAATACATGGCTCTTTCAGGTTTAATTCAGCCCTTACTTTACCCATCGCATTGTTAATGCCGGATGATAGATACTGATATGAAACCTGCTCGTTCCTGTAGAAATCGTAGGCTTGAATCGCCGAGGTATGAGGAAAGTACAAATGCTTGGTACTGGGCTGAATTTCCAATATGGAACTGTAGTCCTGTCTCTTCCGCTTTAATTTCCTTTGCTGTTTTTTGGACGCTTTGACCAAATCTGTTGATGCAGTAGAAGATTTGGAAGAAACGGCAGACACTGGGGAGATTACGTCCTTAATAGCCGTTTGAAAGACACAGAGAGGCCCGCTGACGGAAACTCTAGAATTCAGATCGGTCGCATTGAGTATCAGCAGCTGATAGTCGGTGCTCATTTGGTTCTCAGTGATATGTAGACCCAGGCTATAAAACTTCTCGTTGACAAGTTCGCAATCTACAACAACACCATTCAATCGGGGTAGAAACTGCTGTAGATTTGTGGATAGCTGCCAAAAGCTAAGCACCTTTTCCCAACCACCGGAAAGCAGGTATGATCCATCTGAAGTAAAGCACAAGGAAAGCACGGAATCGATGTGCCACTTGAGCAAGCGAGACGACCGGTCCTGGAGATTGACAACATTGATCACACCAGAGGCAAACCCAACGGCCAGTTGCGAACATTCATTGTCCAAAGCCATGACTGTTGCAAAATGGGAGTTTGACGAGGCTGTGGAAGAGTTGGACGTCGAGGGAAGCGGTAGCTTAATGTCATTTTCAGGAACATCCGAGAAAACCGACCACACATGTACTTCCTTTTTGCTGCTTTGATCTTTCTTCAGTATGGATAAATATTGACTATTGGAAGACCATGCAGACAGCAGAACATGATCGATTTTCCGGCGTTCGATCAGCTTCTGTTCGGCACGATTATACTCGTATAGTCTGTATGTGTACGCCGCAGACGATTCCTGGACAGAAGTTAAAACCCTGAGGGCGCCTTCTTGAACCGTTTCGAATACTTTAATGACACGCTCATCCTGTGCGAAATCGTTTCCAAGCTCCACCACTTTTGCTTCTTCCGCAAGCCGTCCCTTGTAGTTGACCACTATGACGGTACCCAAGCTGGAAAAAACGCTGATCTCAAATTCCTCGGTCCCTGTATCACTTTCAGCCTGTTTCGTGACGTCTCCCAGCGCAAGATGGCTCACATGAGCGGATCTTGGACCGAGAAACGCATCTGCCAATTGCTTGTTGTTCGCATATTTCAAAGTTTTGACGCACTGCCGAGTTTCTAACGAATAAATTTTCAGCTGGTTATTAAACGGAACGATTATGCCGCTCTGGTTGTGTGTTAGCAGTGTCACAGTCTTTGAACTGCACGATCTGTTGCTTGCCCGCGGAAACACCACTTTCCCACCAGAAACAACGCCCAGTTTGTATTTTTCATGGTGTACTGACTGTACCATTTTTTCTCAAGCTCTATCAGTGGTCTTTCAATGGCCCAGTACCTTCTTTCCACGCCGCTGAAATATCCAGAAGGCTCAAGTTCACTAGCTCATCGCATGCAATAACCAAAAATTTTTCAAAATATTCAAAAGGCCATATCACTCTGTACTAAACAAAAATTTAGACATCTCTAAAAGATCAAAAAACTTTCGAGAGAGATGAGCTTCAACTTTTGAGTTTTGGAGAAGGAAACGAAAGCTCTTGTACTATCCTGGAGGTATCTGCTGTTGATCGTGGACAGTATCGAGGGCGATGATTGTTCCAGTGAGATGTTTTTCCTGCGGGAAGGTTGTTGGTGACAAATGGGAAGCTTATTTGAACATGTTGCAAGAAGACGAGCTGGACGAAGGAACTGCGCTTTCAAGACTTGGTCTGAAGAGATACTGCTGCAGACGTATGATTCTGACGCATGTGGACTTGATCGAAAAGTTCCTGAGATACAATCCGCTTGAAAAACGCGATTAGGGCGGAAAATCCCATCGATGAAGTGAAAGAAATCCTGCGTCGCAGAGCGTACCATACCATCTGTCAAACAAATGGATAGGTCAAACAGACGCCAAAATCTGTATAGTAACCATGTAAAACGAAAATAAAGGGAATAAAGAGAAAAGAAAAGAATTGAGTTTGAAATGAATTGAAACGAAATGGAAAATGGCACTGCCGCAGGGCTTGTCAAACAGTTGGTAGTATAACTTGTCCTTATCATCATTATTTTATGAACTTTTCGATTCTCGCCAATATTCGTATTTACAGAATTTGTGTTGAGTAGACTAGGACAGTCCCCTCGCATAATGGGTAACTCAAGATTTCGCATTTTTGTAGCTTCTCTTGTACATCAGAATAGAATCTATGCGCTCTAGAGCAAGTTCCAAAAGATCTTTCCGTTTCTGCAGGTCGATATGACGAGCAATGCGGGGGTCCTCTTTAGCAAATAGCTCTACCTGTTCGTCAGAGAGTCCCGAGAGCTTTCTATCCAGCTCGATCGGAAAATTGTAGAAGAAATCACTGAGCAACTCGACGTTCAAAAACAAGACCGCAGTTGAAGTCAGTTTGTCACTGACGGCATTCAAAAACACTTCTGGACATAAGTCCTTATCAGCGGTGGAATGGCATTTGTTTTTCAGAATCTTCAACCTGAAATTCAGGAGGTGAGATCTCTTCTCCAAAAATTCAGCTTCTCGACCACGCTCCAGTAACAACCCGGAAAAACCTAAGGTCTCCTGATTTCCAACATCCTGCTTCAAGTAAGTCATAACTTGAGATAGTTTACGCCCCCCTACCATATTTTTGATGGCCTGCAATCTCTCACTGCATTGTCTCATCTCTTCCCTAATCAAGTTCGTAGCGTGCTCATGCGCCACTGCCCAGTCACGCTCCTCCAAGTCAATTTCATACTTGAAAGGTTTGATACAGTTCTCGACTTGATCTGCCGTGGAGTAGTACTTCGTGTTCAGTACGTTCACTGCCGTGTTGTTCACCAACTCCTTGATCAAATCGTGATTTTTCAGTTGTGTCAGGTCTAAAACGTTTTCTAGCTCCTTCAAGATTGCATTGGTGACCAGCGACGTCGAGATTCTTCCAACACCAATTTTTGTGAGACTTCCGGAAGAAAGTTCTAATTTTTTATGCCAGTACAGTGCCGAAGACTCATCTTTTTCAGTTTTCTTAGCAGTCAGCTCCTGTAAGTTGTCGTCTTTCCAATACCGTGTTGCAAGAAGGTCAAGTACACGCTGATCTAAGTCGGCTTTCAGAATAGACTTTAGCTCGTATCTGTTAAACTTTTCTTGTAGTTCCTTGATCGAAAGTTTCAGAACGTCAACGTTACTTAAAAGGTATGATTTAGGAGTGAGCTGGCGGTCATTGAACTCCACTTTGAACAAGTATGACGTATCATCAAGCTCTTGATGGATCAATCTTGATGTAGGTTCGAGCGCTTCAGACATAGATATCTCCAAAATGCTTATGAGCTTTTCCCTAAGCTTCTTGGTTGAGACTTGACAGTTAGTGAAAGTACTTCTATTTTGCCTGAAATAATCCCTTTCAAACGAACGTGTTTGTTCGACCACGGTCTCTTTAGGGTCTTTTCGAGTAAAAAGACCCTGTTTCGAACCAGTATCAAAAAATTTGGCGGTGGTACTAGGGGCCCTTGTAATGACACCGACGTAGCCCATTTTCAGTGGGTACTTTTTACTATTAAGAACCTCACGAGCCCGAGCGGGATCCACCAAGTCTAGCTTTGTAATGACTCCGATGGTTCTTGTTCCCTTAGGATCCGCAATTTTACTAGCCCTTAATGCACTGCTGTTCGCTAAATCAACATCGGCTGCGGAGATTGCCAATATAATGTTTGGTTCTGCTAGGTATTTGTCACATAACTGGCGGATCTTGGATTTTAGCTCCAAGGGCTGATCTGCGGCTTCCACTTGAATGTAGCCTGGTAGATCGACTAAAGACAAATCTGGAACCCGCGAAGATTTGATAGTTAGTTGGATGGGATCAGCGGAAACTGCTTCCGTAGAAGGAACGGCCATGTTCAATTCCATAAGGATGCGCTTCACCTCATTAAAATCCTTGATATTATAGGCACGAAGGGAAGGAAAATCTGCTGTAGTCTCATTTGAACCTGCAGTGTTGACCAGCGTCAGTTCGATCGGTCTTCTTGTAACCATGTTGGAACCTTTGGGCAGAAACTCCTTCCCTACAATAGATTCAAGAACTGAAGATTTCCCAGACGACTGTGAGCCTACCACCACAATGGACGGTAATGTTAGGTTGGCTGAAGATGAATCTACCTTGTTGAGGATGGCCCGTATTTCGATCATCTGTTTGGTCAAGTTCAAGATATCGTTTTCGGTGTTATCATCAGCTTCTTCTTCTTCTTCGTCCTCGTCTTCCTCATCTCCCCTTTCCTGTGCACTGAACTGTTCTTTGCCCAAGGACGCCAGTAGTGCTGCTGCTGCCGCGGCGTCGCGATCACTATCTCCACCTTCTTCACCGTCAGAACCACCTCGCCCACCAAAAGCATCGCCCAATCTGTTTTTCATACCCTGTGCAAAGTCCTTGAGCTGTGAAAGTTTCTCATGAGAAAAATTGGTTGCTTCTTCGACCTTGTACGCAACATAAGAGCTCACAGCAGCAGCTCCACCACCTATATATGCAGGTATTTTTACGGTTCTGGCGAGAAGCTTGGGGAAAAATGATGCAAACCGGCGGTGTGTGAGATGTTGAATAAGTTCTCGCGACACATAAGTGGGTGTAGACGGTCTCACAAAAGAGTGGTAGTATGACGTGGGATGGACTCTTCTGAGAGGCCCGTTGTGGAAGCTTCGAAGCACCAAAGCTCTCAAAAAAGCTCGCGAAGCTGGAACAGCTTTATCCGATGCTCGCAACATCGTCTATGGCCACTATAAACAACGTTATGATGTGAAACTGGATGCCCTTGCTGTCACGAAGGATGTTTGGACTCGAGCTCATCATCATCATCATCATCATCATCATGAATGGTCCTTCCGTTATGTTAAATGACCCTTTGATATGTCACTGTGTACGTCTGTGTCATCGATGTCAGAATAAAACCTTGTCAGTCAATCTTGTCAATTAGATCCCAAGCTTCACGGCAAAATTTAGGACGATAAACATATCGAATTCATTCTATATTTAATATTAATCACCGCAAGCTTCTTTGAGATTTTTTCCATTTCGACCAGATGTCACTATCGTCCTCTCCAGTGTTGATCAAGTTTCGAACCACGCATATAAATGTGAGTCGCGGCAGCAATACGAATTTCAATCACAACTCAATGTGTTTCATCAGAGCCCTGATATGACTTGTTCAGCTCTAAAAAAATAGTGTCCGCCATAAAGCTCATTTAATGTTGATTACAAGCTTATATGTCATTAATTTACTGACGTTGCAACTATAGGCATCATGAACACCGAAACGATCCGGGTTTTTTCAGTGAAAGCCAAAATCAAACAACAGATTGTGTATCTATAGTAGAATTTCGCGGTATCTTATCCGATGTTCCAAATGTATACTCAAATCGTGGTTGAGTATCGGACGCCAAATATTTTGGTGATCTGAGAAAAGTATATATTATCAAGGGGGGACCCCAATAAACAAAACTATTCAGACATCTTCATCAACAAACAACCAAAATACCAAAGATTGAGAGATCAAAGAGTTCAAGATGCCTACCAAAGTTACCAGCAGGGCAGCAAAAAACAGCAAAAGTTCACCAATGGAAAAAGCCAAGTCAAAAGATGTTAAAAAGACACCAGCGAAAAGCACAAACAATAAGGTTTCTAAGCCTGTGGGAAAGTCCAAGAGCCCGCTCCCCACTTACAAAGGTACGTTGGTGGTGAAAATAGTGTTCTGAAGAAATGTTTGAGTATTTGTTACTAACGTAAATTTCGTTCAGAGATGATCATCGAAGGGATTGCGTCTTTAGGAGACCGTAATGGATCTAGTCGGCAGGCTTTGAAAAAACATATTTCAGGGAAATACACGTTGGGTGAAGGGTTCGAAAATCACTTCAATTTGGCAGTGAGACGCGGTATCGAATCTGGTGAATTCTCACAACCAAAGGGGCCCTCCGGGCCCTTAAAAGTCGTGAAGAAGCCTGCTCACCCCAAAACTGAAAACACGTCTGAACCCAAAAGTCGTGGTGCAGCTAAAACCAACGAAACAGAAGGCGCAAAGCGCGGAAAGGATTCTGCGTCCAAAAAGGTGAAAGAAGAAGAAGCTCCCAAACCAAAGGAAAGAAGAAGAAGTTCTGCTTCCTCCAAGTCAGCTTCTACCAGCAAAATGAGCAAAAAATCTTCGATGCAGTCCAAGAAACCTGTTTCCAAAATCTCTTCAAAACCCATAGCCAAGCCTGTTGCCAAACCTGTAAAGTCTACCGCACGCAAAGTAGCGGTTGCTTAGGCTCAAAAACGTGTCAAAAGTCTGCGAGACAAACCAACTATTACTCGCAGCGTCGTGTTTCTCGGGCGTGCCCCTAAGCTGCTCAATCGTTTTGTCTGTTGGGCTCACCGAAAAAAGGCTGGATTTCTCGTTTGATGATGTCTTTTCTTATGGTTTGCGTGCAACACAGGTCCCAACATGTTGTATCTTTATGTAGATTTATACGCTAGCACCGCAGGATGGTTGCGATAATTTTGAAATCGGCTTGATGTTGGTTATCGAGCGTATACACTGCCATTTTTTCAATATCGGAATATCAACGCCTATGAAGGTTCCCGGATATTTTCTACTGACCATCAGTCTCCTAAACTAACATTTGGGACGTAATTCAAAGATCAGAACTTCTAACCCAAAGCGATTTGACTCAAAACTAACAGTTACGAGGAAATTGTCTTTGTTGAGAAGTAATTAGGGAGATGAGGTATCGACAAAGGCACGACACAAGCACGCTATGATAGCCGTCGTGCAGGAGGCGTAGAAAAGAAGCGTAGAAATACTCCTCAAACGCAAAGCTTTCACATCATTCAAAAACACTCGTCAAATACTTTAGTTCATTCATTAACCAAGATGCCTGTAGTTTGTCACTGTTACCTAGATTTAAAAAATAGTACCAAGGCGGAACGTTACAGTCGAGACTGCAACAAGGTCTTGTCAACTAATAGATGAGATTCAGATTCAAGGGGCTGAGGTTAGGATCTTTACATCGTCAAGTACTTGGCAAGCTCACCTTTTTTACGTCAAGCTGGATGAGATGGGATAATATTAAAATTAAAGATTCTTGCCCTAACCTAGGGCTAAATCTTCGAATGGAAAGAACAGAAGTTCAAAAACTCAAAGGACCGGTCTATAGAGACGATCAAAAATGCCAGGGGCATCTTCAGCAGATGAGTTTGAAGACCAAAGCTTAAGTGGAAAGAAACCAGGCCGTTTACACACGGAACTGCCGTTTAGGACGCAATTGAACATCGATTCCATCACTTTACTGGAAAACGTATCTACTCAACTTTTGAAGCTGCTCAAGACCAGCAATATAGAGGTTTTGATGCAATTAACGGTTCCAAATAATGCAGATGTAGTTGAAGCGGAGGTCTTTGACACTCTATTCGAATTGTTTGTGCAAGTGAAAAAGGTGTATTCTGAGCTGCCTTTGCTGCGTGTCAGTGATGTGGCTCCTGGCTTGTGGCTTGCGGACGAGCAATGCCCTTACGTTTTGAAATCGAAAGAAAGTTTGATCCTAGCTGCCATTCGAAAGGCTAACGTCGCAACCTATCTTCTTTCAATTATGGGCAGGTTACAATACGGATTTTCGTTCTTGGACGACAACTTCATCGAAATTTTTGCACCCGAAGGACGAGAGCTGCCGTCTGAGGTAGATCGAGTACTGGCCACCTCACTGGGCAGGCTTTTGAAGCCGCAAGCGGTTTTATATCTAAATCTGAAGACACAGGCATACATCTCAGCGATGGATCCCTGGAAAGAATGCAGTGCCGAGGAGCTGGCTCGTACAAAGCAGGAGATACTGGATCAAATATTCCCTGCGAACATGAAAGCGTTTTTGTTGACGAAAAAGCGATTGCGTACCAATCGGCTTAGTCCCTCCGAGGAGGACTTTATGACAAGATGTTCGCACAGAAGAGAAAAGCTAGCAGCGCATGCATCAATCGAGGAGCTGGCCCGCGAATATGACTGGATGGATTTTTTCAGAGAGATGTTTTTTTACGTTCAGCGGAATCTCACTATGCTGGTCTGGGGACGAAAAAACAATGATAATCTTGATTGCCTCGATGATTCTGAATCTGGGGCAACTGATACGAATGCACGCCCCTTGGCATCTAACCCACTCCCACAGTCTGTGGATAGTCCTGTGGGGGCTTCCTCCAGAAGCAGGACGCCTCCAACGCTCACGAAAGAGAGAAGAGTAGACTCTAGGCATAAACAAAAAAGACTTTGGACCAAACAAGAGGAAGCCGCACTGGTCGAGGCACTCAAATTCAATGGACCAGCGTGGTCAAAGATTCTTGAACTACACGGAGCGGGCGGAAGTCTTTCTGAAGCCTTGAAAAGGCGAACTCAAGTGCAACTAAAAGACAAAGCTCGCAACTGGAAAATGTATTTCCTGAAAGGTGGTCAACCAGTTCCCGATTATCTGACAAAAGTGACTGGTGATTTAGAAAGAGATGAAAGATCTCGGTTGAGATTTAGAAAACGTGCTGTTAAGCCGTCGTCAGCCACTTTGAATAGCGACACTTCAGTGAGCCCGCATAGCGAGAAGGAACTTCGACAAATTGCTACAGTAGGCGTACTACAGACAGAGCCATCAAGGCCATTAGACAAACTTGAGACTCCAAATCCAACGCAAACCAATTTCAATGGCATGGCTAGTCCAGAGGTATAAAAAACAAGAAAGTAACTAGGCAGTAAAGGTGGTGATTCCAAAGTAAAACTAACAATCGATTGTGTATCGATAATAGTTGAGAGGATCGTAAGGTCAAAGCCGATGAGATAGGTGCTCCAGGACCCGAGTTCCTTTGCGAGTCACTATAAAGGTAAACTGACATTAAGAGGGCAAATCACCGGTAGTCATCGATGTCAGAGAGGTAAGGTGTCAGATTGCATCTCAACATTTTGAGGTTTGGTCCATCACGGCTAACGGAGCAGGGTGTGAGTCCAAGCAAGGGAGAGGGATACCTGCGATGCCATGGAACTGCTTGGTTGCCGATGACAGGTCTCTCCCGTAATAATTTAGGCATTCGCTAAGCTTTCTCGACAGGGAACAAAACGGTTAGGTTATACCAACTTTCGACAGAGATCGGTTACCTTTGTGAGACGAGGGTTCGCATACTGCGTTTTGATCTGTTACGAAAGAAGAATGGTGGCAGAAGACTGGCATAGATACGAAATGTCGCCTTATGACAAGCACTCTTCACAACAAGCTACAGACATCGAAAATGTGATCCAAGAACAAATAGCTCTGGCCAGGAGTGATACAAAACAGCTTTATGGACTGATTGACCGTGTCAAAACCAAGGTCAGGGACGCAGATCTGGTACAAATGTCCAAGGGGACACGATCGCTTCAAAACGGAGGTGTGAATCTAGCTACTCATCTGACGCTCAATGGACATAACAACAAAATATCGGACTTTGCGTGGTCTTTGGATTCACGCAGCATCCTCAGTGCAAGTCAGGATGGCTTCATGATAATATGGGATGCCTATTCTGGGTTTAAGAAAAATGCGATACCGTTGGATTCACAATGGGTTCTCACCTGTGCGATGAGTCCAACAGGAAACCTTGTTGCGAGTGCTGGATTGACCAACAACTGTACAATATACCGAGTATCGCAGGAAAATCGGACTCAGCAACAAATTGTATCGATCTTCAAGGGACACACCTGTTACGTTTCTCAGGTGGAGTTCTTGAATAGTAATAGTGTCATAACGGCAAGTGGTGATATGACTTGTGCATTGTGGGATATCCCCAAGGCTAAGAGAATTACAGAATTTTCGAACCATCTTGGAGATGTATTGGCGTTGGCCCTTCCGCCGGGACCTTCGAGTCGCGAAAACAGCGTCTTCGCCAGCGGAGGGTCCGACGGTTATGCTTACATTTGGGATACCAGAACGCGAAGTTCTGTGCAGAGCTTTTTCGTGAGCGAAAGCGACGTTAGCACCATGAAATTCTTTAACAACGGAGAAGCAATTGTCACAGGCGCTGACGATGGTGTTGCTCGCATGTTCGACTTGCGAAGCGATTGTTTAGTGGCAAAATATTCGTTGACTCACGGTCTGCACCAACAGACCTACTCTCCAACGCAGCAAAACGGCCCAGCGCATATGGACTACGCAATTTCACCCACCACCAATGCCTCTTTTAACCGTGCTGCCCAGAGTTCCAATTCCACATATCTCAATAACCAAGGTCTCGTTTCGTTGGATTTCAGCGGATCCGGCCGATTGATGCATGCCTGTTACACGGATTACGGGTGCGTCGTATGGGACACTCTTAAAGCAGAAATAGTTGGGAAACTTGAGGGCCATTCAAGCCGGATATCAGGTGTGAAAACCAGTCCTGACGGATTGGCCGTGTGTACTGGATCCTGGGATGCAACCTTGAAACTTTGGTCGCCTGAGTTCATGTAAAATGATATAAGGAAACATCATCGCGCGGTAGACTCCCGAAAACGGTCCCTATTGATATTCATCGATGAAATGTATTACTTCTTTCAACAAATTCTCCGGAAGCTGATGCAGATTGAAAACGAACTGATCTGCAAGGTCTAGTTTTTCTATCTGTCTGATGACTCCAGGATGATGCAATATCAGATTCACCACATCCGTAACTAGTTCTTCGTCGCCTGCAACCAGCTTTTTTATGCAATTGTCCAAATCGGCCGTTAAAGTCACCGCTAACCCATTAGTTCCTGGGACAGATGGTACGATTCCACTTGTCTTCAAAACTTCACGAAGACCAGGTACGTGAATGGGCACTTTGATCCGGATGTCACTGTGATAGCTGCTTTCCTCGAATGAAAGATCGTGCAAAACTTCGACTTTTCCGCATCCGTGCAGAAAGGTACACTGAATAGGGTATGAAAACTCACCCCATCCATGCTGCTTCAAAGTGAACGGTGGTTCTGTCATGGTCAATATTGGTTGTGGAAATGTAGGATGCAGTCGGTATGTACACTTTTCAAAGATATTAGCAGGTAGTTCTTGGCCATGGGGTCCCAAGATCCATAGGTTAACTTCCCATACTCTTGTTGGTAGTTCAGCTGATGTGCTTTGTTGGTTCAAGATCCATTGTCTGGTCTTAATGCGTAATATTCGCTCAACATAAGGCTGAGAGTTAGTTAGCAACTGAGATCTCATTGAAGTGTAACAACCACTAATCCCCATCAACATACTAGTTCCATTGGAAACAATGACGGACTGAGCTTTTGACTGGCTTTGAGGCACTCTTTAAAACTGTACAAGAGCGCTTTCAGTAAACGCTCTACAGATCAAGCTCAATATTTCGTATACTATGCAGTCTTCAACTTTCCAACCGAGCCTAAGGGTGGCATTCCAGTACTCAAGTAAAGTCATCAAGGACAACTTTGTATATTTCACGTTATGGCAAGGACTAGCGCTTTTGGATACAGTATAATTCTTGTTTATGGCTCTCTATGAGTGATGTTGCAGTGGAATTCTAAGTTGATCTATGGTTACTATACACATCTTGCATTTTCGCTCAAAAACGAAATGGTAGAAGAGCCCTTTTTCACCACTACTCGGTATTCTTCTTAACGTACTCCCACAGACTCTTCAACAGGCCCTCGGGCAAGCTGTAAAGGTCAATTATGAATTCACCTTCTTCTATGTTATTGGTAATGTTCATGTCTGAAGTTCTGTTGTCCGTTACCATCTGAACAACACCAACTAGATCGTCCTCATTCAGTTTGGTGAGACCAAATGCTAGCTTTTCCAGATCCACATTGCCCTTCAGGGCGCTTCCACTTCCGGTTTTGGCCTTCTTGCTTTTAGACTCCGCCGCAGCTGCTGCTGCAGCTTTTCGTTTTTCTCCCCCACCAACTGCGACGTTGGAAACTGGAGTTCCAGCTGCAGAAACGGCAGTTTCGTCCACTGGCCCACTTTTCATCAATTCAGCCTTGAGTATGGGTTTATTGATGGGCACTTGAATGACATGGTCCACCTCGTAAACATCTTTCATGAAATGCAAATCGTGCGTCAGCTTTCTTTCCCCGCCCTTTTCCAGCAGATGACCACTGATTAGAAGTTCAAAACCACCCCATCCTTGTTCTTCGATTTTGAAAGGTGTTTCTGTGAAGGTTCGAGTTGGATTGGGAAATGTAGGATGTAGATGGTACACAACTTTGTCGAAAATAGTGGCCGGCACTTCATTCCCTTGCTCATCTAATAGAAAGATCTCGATGCTCCATTTTCTCATCGGAAAGTTCTCCACTGGTGGCGGAACATCGGGCAGAATGGCCTGCTGAGTCTTGATTCTTACAGTACGTTTTACCGACTATTTTGAGCCCACCAGGTTAGTAAAATGATCAGAAAAAGTTGTTTTTTAAGCGCTCTTCGAGCCTCTAATTCTGGCACATACAGCCACCATTGCAAAGACGCTTCCTTGGGCCTATGAGATGCAATTCGAAGTTGATTTTAACTGTCATCGGTGTAATCTCTCTTTCGTTATTATTAGTTGTATTAGCGGCCAAGATGTACATTTCGTGATTCGTGACAGATTTCTGTGAAGCCGTTATATCTAAAGAATCGTTAAGGTTTACAAGATCAGTGAGGTTCAGTTACTGGCTGAACTGTTTGAATTCTATAGTTTTATTTTTTGGCCTATCCTAGCCTCACACTTGAGATTTGGAGTGACGTTTTAGCCTTGAACGGTGAAAACAAATTTATGAGAGCACCAACGCCCAATCGTATCGGAAGCGATGATAAGCCTTATGACAAGGTGCGGGTATTTGTTTCCGTAAACGTTATGTTTGTTGATGCCATGTGAATATTTACAGGAGAATCAACGCACAAAACTTCACAACACTCATACTTCAAAAAACATTTTTGTATTGAGAGGCAATGCTCGCACGGATGACTGATGCGGTAGCTTTCCATTGGCTTGGTACAGTTTTCCAATCGACTTTGCCAAAAACATCTTTCAACTGTAGTGCTGGCTCCTTCTGGAATAGTTCCTGTAGTAGTTTCAGGACGTGAAGGTCGACCTCAGCTCTTGACGCAACAGGCAGCTGGCCCAGGTATCCTTGAATGACCTCAGACTCTCTTTTCTCCCGCTCGATCAATTCTGGTCTGTTGTTTTGCTCGAACTGCTTTATGGATTCTGTTCTCTGGGCAATGAGTTTGGTGTACAATTCGTGGAGGGTAAACTCATCGAGCGCTTTTCCCTTACTGTCAATTTCCTTGTTCTTGATCCCAGAGAGAAGACCGCGAATTGTGGTCTTTTTAAAATCATCTTTCGCCAACATGGCTTTTTTGAGATCGGTTTTCAGAATCTTGAGGGATTCATCGTAAGCTTGAGAATTGACACATCTCACAGCTATAATTTTGTGTGGGAGTAGCAAAGACTTGGCATTTCTAATCAAAACTGGACTCTTGAGCATCCTGATAGTTCGCCGTAAAGATCCTCGAGCCGTGAGGTCTCATTCATCTTCTTCATCAATAGCCAAATTAGACCAATATTTCATAGTAATTGAGAACACCGATAGTGGTCACATGGTGATAACTATGGCTGAACTTACAATGACAGCTCAACTCGACTCAGTTTAGCTCAGTTTGGCTATTTTTGCAGTCATTCTAGAGAAGAATTTGGTATTGTATTGAGCCATCAGAGTTTTTTCCGTCCGCTTCCCAGATGGTAAGGTGGCTCTCTACAGTTATTTCTCGCTCTCCTTCTCTAAAAATTCAGTCCATAAAGAGACAAAGTTTTGAGTTCTCGAGCCACTGCTCGTAGATCTAATGCCATTGGCCGAAAGGATTAGACCTGCCTGCTGCTTTTTGTCATCGTCCCAGTTCAAAAAACTGGAGATGAGTTCCAAAACTTCGAATTTCTTGGGATCGGCTCGAGGAATCGCCACAAATGAGATCAAGAGGTTGGAAATGAGCTCTTTATCAACGCTCTCTGAGTCGTTACTTCTCTTCAGCAAAGCCAGAGCTTTAGTTAGATGTTCATTCAGTATGATAGCTTCGTGGCGTAGTTTTCCGATCTGTAGCGCCTTTTCTTTGCATTCCTGCTGTAAGGCTTCCTTTTGTGAAACATCGGCCGCCATCGTATCAACCGCAGACTTCGAGCTTTCTAGTATTTCTTGTGTCTCTTTGAGCGACGACTGCGTGCCTTCCAGCTTATTGGTGAGCTCTTCAATCAACTTATCCTTCGTGGCGTCCTTCTTGAGATATTCAGCTTGTCCTTCTTCGAGTTGCACTTTCAAACTGGTGAGCTCTTTCTCGATTTTGGATTTTGCGGACTCTGTCTTTTGCAACCGCTGAACAGTGTCTTCGAGTTCTTCTTTGGTTGAGCCTGCGTCCTGCTTAAAATTGCTCAAGACAAGTTCCAATTCCTGTACTTTGTTAGCTAACTGTCCCTGTTTATTTTCGTGTTCTCTTTTAAGTCGTTTAATGTCTTCTTTAAGGAGCACGTTCGCGTTTTCAGCTTCGGAGCAATTGCGTGTTAATTTCTCATTCTCTTCATCAAGTCCCGAAAGTTCCTGGTTCAAAGTGCCTGTTAAATTACGAAGCTCTTCACTTTGTCGTTGTGCCGAATCCAGCTTATCCTTTAGACTAAGGTTTTGCGATTCATATTCTCGCAGCTGATCTTGACATGATTCGAGCTCCTCCTGTGATTCTCGCATTTTGCTGAAAACCGCCTTCATCGACGATAACCGATCCAATAGTGAGTCGTATTGATGTTCAAAACGGTCTCTCTCTTCTTGAACCTGTGCTAGCTTGGCGCTCAAATCTTCGTCTTCATTTTTGGTTTCCGGCTGCAATTGAGCTTTTAGCTTCAACTCAGCAACTTCCGCTTGCAATCGAGCAATTTCCTCATTCAATTCTTTGTTTCCGTCCGTATTTAGAGGAGTAGAGGCACTTTCAAAAGTGTCTTTGATATTAGCACTCAGGCCGTCCTGCATTGCATTTGAGTCTGCAATAGGCTCATTTTCGGTAGGCTGCGGCTCCAAAGACTTGTTGGTCGTGCCAGCAGTTTTGTTCGCCTTTTTCTTACTCTTTGCCATGGTATTTTGTGGTAAATATGCCGATCCTTTGGCTAGATAGGTGATCTTCGTGTTGTTGATGGAACTTTTCAATTCTGCACGTACTAATTTCAATTTACATCTACGGCGTCACTGTAAGAAACCTGGAAGGAACAGCTTCACATTAGCACAAAGGGAGACCAAAGAACGGTCAAATAGTCTCTCTATGTCCACATAAAACGCCAAATAATAGAGGATATAAACATTGACATTTTTGCAGCCGCTTTTCTCGACTTTTAGTAAGTCAAACTCATATCCCACACCAAAATGGAGTTTAATTGGTTTTTAAAGGCAAAAAGGATAGTCATCGTATGGGAAAAGTTTCAGATGCAAATATCAGCACTAAGGCGCTGTGTAGTGACTTCAAGCTTGTATGGGACTCTAATGGACTGTGCAGCTCTGTATCTATGCATACTTCAAAAAAAAGATAATTTCCTGACGTTCGAGTAGTATTACCGGTTGTTGCTCTTGAGATAGACAGAAAACGGACAAAACTTCGAATAGAAGCAGGTTTTGACTTACATCCACAAGTATCAAGCATACGAGAATCAACAACTATGTTTTGTCATTACCACTCATAGGCGAGCATTGAATTCAAATATAAGACGGAGATCGACTTTACCAACCAAATCTTGGATCAATGATCACTTCGCCGGTCACAACTGCACCTCCTCGATCTCATAAATACACCATATCCTATGCCAAAGCTTTATCGCGTTCTCTGTTAGGCTCTGCACGTCGCGAAATTCCAGAAGTGACATGCAGACAAGCTGTGACACGTGACCATTTTCTTACCAGTCTAATAAATATCAAATTTGGACCATAAGAGCCATCTCTGGAAGTGAGAAGGGCATCAAGAGTAGTTCAACTACTTTACAAGATTCTCACCCATTGAAGTCCTCAATGGTTAACATCGATACGTTTTTCAAGAAAGGAGCATCGAAAGAACCATCTGGCTCAAAAAAAAATGCTTCAACTACCCTTAACGAGTCGCAATCATCAAAAAACAAAGTGACGGATACTATTAATTTGGATTCCGATGAGGACTTCGATCAATTTGATTCCCAAGCTACCAGTTTGCCTAAACATGAAGACTCAATTGCGATTATAGATGAAGAGCCTGTTCCCAAAAGAAAGGCTCCAGTTGTGGCTAAATCTGCAGCACCACCTAAAAGAAGTGGACAATTTGGCAGTGCCGCTTCATCACCGCAGAAAAAATCCAAAATTGCCAAAAAAGAGGCACTTACCAGCACACTTTCACTAGAAGCCCTTTTGGCCAAGATCCCATCTGTGGATTTGGACGCAGTTCATGTAAAAGAAAATGTGAAATTTGATTTTAGAGCAAGCGAGCAAAGTGGAGCTACTTCTGGAATTACAGCCGACGTGGACTTCCCTGAGGGTGCACCCAACTGTTTACTGGGACTCACCATTGTGTTCACGGGACAATTACCGACCTTGGAACGGGGAGATGCCGAGGCTATTGCAAAACGATACGGTGCCAGAGTCACAAAATCCATTTCCAGCAAGACTTCTTTGGTAGTACTTGGAGAAGAGGCTGGACCCAAAAAGCTAGAAAAGATTAAGGAATTACACATCAAGGCCATCGATGAGGACGGTTTCAAGCAGCTCGTTTCTGGAATGCCAGAAGAGGGCGGTGACAACTCCGCTGCAGAAAAGGCTCGTCAGAAGCTCAAACTGCAGGAAGAAGCCGCTCAAAGAGAAGCCGAAGAAATGGAAAAACGCGAGCAGGAGCAAAAAGAAAAACTGATAAAACGCCAAAAAGAACGTGGAGTTACTGCTCCAGACTCTAGGCCCGTCACCAGAGAAGAAGATAAGCTTTGGACGGTGAAATACGCCCCTACATCGCTGAATCACATTTGTGGGAACAAGACAAGCGTTAACAAGCTGAGGACGTGGCTCAGCAACTGGGCGTCCTGTAAAAAAAATGATTTCAAACAGCCCGGAAGAGACGGTTCTGGTGTTTTCAGAGCTGCGATGTTATATGGTCCCCCCGGCATAGGCAAAACTACTGCCGCTCATTTGGTTGCCAAGGAGCTGGGATATGACGTCTTGGAGAGGAATGCATCAGACGTGCGGTCAAAGTCGTTATTGAACGCGGGTGTTAAAAACGCTTTGGATAATACGTCAATTGTTGGAACACTCAAATCTAGACATGGCGGCGATGCTAACCAAAAAAACTTTGTCATTATTATGGATGAGGTAGATGGTATGAGCGGAGGTGATCGAGGAGGAGTGGGTCAAATGGCGCTATTCTGTCGCAAGACCTCGATGCCCATGATTCTGATCTGCAATGAGAGAAATTCACCGAAGATGAGACCGTTTGACCGAGTTTGTCTGGACGTACAGTTTAGAAGACCAGATGTCAATAGCATTAAGGCCAGATTAATGACCATTGCGGTAAGAGAAAAGTTTCAGCTAGATCCTAACACTATAGAAAAACTTGTTGAAGCCACAAGAGGAGACATCAGGCAAGTGATAAATCTCCTCTCCACAATATCCACCACTACAAAGAAAATCGGCCATGAAAACGTTCAAGCCATCGCACAAGCTTGGGAAAAGAACATTGCTTTGAAACCATTTGATATTACGCACAAATTGTTTGATGGACGCATATTCTCAGACATTGGCTCGCGAACGTTCCCTTTGTACAAAAAAATGGAACTGTATTTTGATGATTTTGACTTCACTCCCTTAATGATACAGGAGAATTATTTGAACACCAGACCTTCCATGCTTAATGCTGGGCAAACACACTTAGCCGCCGTCGCCGACGCTGCTGAAAGTCTTTCGCAAGGCGACTTGGTTGAAAGAAAGATACGAAGCAGCGAACAATTGTGGAGTTTACTGCCGTTTCACGCCATCATGTCTGCAGTTCTTCCAGCATCAAAGGTAGCAGGTCAGATGGCTGGTAGAATTAATTTTACTTCTTGGTTGGGTCAAAATTCCAAGGCTGGGAAGTACTACCGTCTGTTACAGGAGTTGCAGTATCATACAAGGCTGAGCACTTCTACTGATAAACTGGGTCTGAGGATGGATTACATGCCCACCTTGAAGCGTAGAATGTTAGACCCTCTACTATCTGATGGAAGCGACGCCATTCCGGACGTGATTCAAATCATGGACAACTATTACTTATCGAAGGAGGACTGGGACTCGATCATGGAATTCTTGATCGGTAATGATAAGACTGAGTCTCTGATCAAGAAGATTCCTACTGCAGTTAAAAGTGGGTTCACCAGAAAATATAACGCGATGGTCCACCCTGTTGCTATCTACAAAACAGGATCTACTATAGCGGTCGGTGGAAGATCCAAGGAGTCGCCTGATTTTGAAGATGTAGTTGATGCTGACGATGAAGTCCCCCCAGCAGACGATGAAGATGACACAAAGGAGGACAATGACTTCAAGAAGGACAAACTTATCAAACAGGGCAAGCCCAAAGCTTCCAAGAAGAGGGCAGCGCCAGCGTCGAAAAAGGCGCCCGCTAAAAAACGCAAAAGTTGATCTATCAAATATTACAGTGTTATGTTCTTCAGGCTTGATACTTCTATAATTTCAACCATATGTGCGAAGCATAGACCACTCGATCCCTCAGAACGTTTTCAGATCATCAAACTGACCTGCAAAAGCATTTTTGATCCAATGAAATAGCTTTTCGTAGATAATTGTTCCTGCGTTGTGATATACGATCGAATGATCTGAATCTGGAAACAGGTTGAAGTCGTAGTTTTTTGCATTGGCAAGGTTCAATTTGTCCAACAAATCCATCGTGTTTTTGAGATGTACATTATCGTCAGCACTCCCATGCATTAAGAGAACTCTCTTGACTTTTGCAATACTTGCCACGTCTTTAACCATGGCGTTTTCATTATAACTTTCTTGGTTATTCTCAAATGATCCCATGTATCGTTCTGTGTATATCGAATTGTAATATTTCCAATTTGTCACAGGCGCAACGGCCACGCCGTACTTGAACGTCTCTCCGCCGTCCAATTCCAATGTCTTTAGCGTAACGAAACCGCCATAGGACCAGCCCCATATGGCGACCCTCTCGGGATCTACAAAGTCAGCATTCAGGTCAATATACTTTTTTACCGTACTGAGCACATCCCTAGGTTCCCAGTGACCCAAATTGTGTTTTGCCCAGCTTCTGTACTTCCAGCCACGTCCTCCTGTACCTCTTGGTTCTATCCTGAGCACAATGGCCCCCTCACTTGATGATAAACTTTCCTCCAAGGATATTGTAAAACTTGAGTCAACGGTGTGGGATCCAGGACCACCGTATACATGAACCAATAAGGGATGCTTTCTTGTGGATTTCATCTCCGCTGGGGTTGACTCCATGTAATCGACATCAATGCCATCATCGATTGTTAATGTCTTATGACGCTTGATAGGCATGTCGAACTTATCCAGTGCCGCACGCATTTCTGAGTTGCTAGTGAGTTGGGTTATCGCCCTTGACTGGTCGTTCTGAAGCAGCAAAATGCGATCTCCAGCATCGGACATGGGTAATTCTGGACCGCGGTAATGCTTTATTCCAAATCTACAGCTTTGACTTAGTTCGAACTCGTAAAAAGAATTCTTCTCGTTAGGATCTTGCAGGGTTTGAATGTCCCCAGTTTGCTTCTCGTTGATGCTAACAGAGTATAGGTGCTGAGAAAACCGATTTTGTAAATTGGCATGGAAAAAGACGACATCGGCGTCGTAATCATATCCAACAATACCCTTCCCAGTGATTTCCCAACTGCCTGACGTCAGTTGGCGACCCGCGTTACTGAAGACATCAGGAAAATAGAAAAGGTGAGGGAAGCCCTGATCATCGACTTCAATATCAACATATCCTATGTCCTGTCTTTTCTCTGACCCTTTAGTTGGAACTAATTGAACATCATGGCCCTTTTCAACCCATCCTCCAAATGCTGTGGTATCAATGTCCCGAACCTTGGATACCATATTGGTATCCAGATTGTGTATTTTCATAGACATGACCTCAGAATTACGGTCCGAGTCTTTGAACATGAAAATAGTGGAATTCAGCCATTGGGCGTGGTAAAGAATTCGATTTTCGTCGGGTTGGGTGATAGCATGTAGAGCTCCTGTCATCACATTATAGGAAAAAAGAGTAAAAGCAGGATTAGGGGTCCCTGGTTTGGGATAGTGAATCATTTTAACACCGTCGTATGCTTCTTCATTAATATAGTTGGGTAAAGACTCTTTTAAGACTTTAGAGTCATCGAATCGTGCCCAGACCAGTTTCGAATCGTCGTGGGCCCACCATACCGCGCAGTCCGTGGCTAGTACTTCCTCTTCGTAAACCCAATCTGTTTTCCCATTAAGTACCTGAGCTGACCCGCCAGAACTTAGTTGTCTCACCGTTTTGCTGATCACATTTTGGATGTACAGATTACCATCGTGCACGAAATAAATGAAATTCCCCGATGGCGAAAGCCGTGCGTAAGATAGCTTTGTAGGTTCTGCGTCATCTGGGAACGGCGTGATTGGCGTGATTATGCTTTTGGCAATATCTTTGAGCCAAAAGTAGGCATTCGAAGAGTGACGATATTCTTTTTCCATGTTAGACGACATTATTGCAAAGTCGAGCCGATGAGATACAACAAAGCTGGTCACATCGTACCGATTATCCTTATACTCAAAATCCTTACGGCCCAGATCCTGGTAAAACTTTCCATCAGCAAGTTTTCTTGCCACGTACTTAGGAATTCCATTTTTGTCGTCTACCGTCAGATAAAGCCCTCCATCATTCTCCTGGGCGTGAACCAAGGCTCCTGATTTTATAAACTTGAAAGGCATGTCGCTGTAAGAAAATTCTCCATTCAAAACATTGGTGATGTTAAAAGATCTCTCCTTAGGCTGCCCAACATGCGGAGTACGCTGGCGATCCAAAGGAAAAGACACACCGTTTTGCAATCGCCACACAGAAAAACCTACCAATACCCATGACGCTACAATGGCGAATGCTAATAGTAAAAGCCTTCTGTAATTTGATTTCGAGTTCGGGAATCGTAGTACTGGCTGATTTTCTTCATCTTCATTTATACCGTCCATAGACTGCAAACCTGTACTTTGAGGTTGCAGTTCGAAGTCCTGATCTGGCATGAGATGAAAGCTTGAATTGGCCTTGAGTAGATACAGCGACGGGTGCCGCTTTTTGTATGTGGACATCGATGGGTCGTCGGAGTAGACGTGTGCCATTGAAGTTTGAATAGGGAAATGTTCCCAGCAGAAAACCACGTGAAACTGCACGAGCCATGATTGAGGTTGAGCAAGAGGTGGCCACTATGATATTTTGAGGTATGTTATGGTATTTTATGTGGAATTCGAGGTTGAGGATCTCATTACAATAATTTTATCTCGGCAGTTACGGTAGTGTAAGGCTTTGGAGTTGAGTAGGCTTGCAATTTGAAAACCTTAAAAGCTGGGACTGCCGCAGCTAGAATGAAATATCCAGGAACAATGAATTCTAAACTTGAATTCGAATGACTCGGCAATTGCTTCTGGTCGTTGATTCGACTTATCCGTTGTTCATAAAGAGAGACATTATTCTTATGTTATCCATCTTTTTAACATGGCTAATTAACTGACACCGGTGACAGAATAAAAGAGAGTGATTTTTTGGCAGAAAGAATAAAGAATATGATCAACTCACAAATTACAGACGTACCCAAGGGTTGAATTTATATTTTTAGTGAATCTTAGACTTGTTAGAACTCGTTCATTCAATTGTAAAAGTTCATTTATACTCAACTTCTCTAGATTTCAGTGGAAATAAGTCGCTATCCATGCGACACAATCGTATATAATGCTCCGCGTTCTGGTCGTTTTACTGTCACTTCCAATGGTCAATGCGCAGGGCGTATTCGACAGTATCCAGATGACATTTTCTAATGTATGTCATTGCATCTTCAAGTTCACGATTTTCTTAAAAGAATCTACTTGCAACTATTTAATATCAAGCCGGTCAAAGGCGAAAATCGTGCGACAAGAGCAGCAGCTAGGCCATTTACTGGGCCAAAGCGGCAATCTTGGCAGCAACACGTTCCTTTCTCTGTTCTCTGGTCAACTTGGTCTGTCTGTACTTCTTGGACTCGGCAGCGTATTGTTCCTTGGTGAACTTCTTCTCAGTTGGCTTGAAAGATGGGTCCTCACGGATTTTCTCGTGGGCTTCCATGTAAAGGTCCTCGATGCTGTCAGCGTCGATGTCGTCGGCCAAGTAACCCTTGAACAACTCTCTGAAACGCTCTTCATCATCGTCAGCCAATTCCTCCATGTATTGGGAAACGTGGCCACCGAAGATGTAGGTTCTTAGCATGTCGGCGTCAACCTCCTCGGCTTCAAAGTCCCAGCCTGGGAATCTGCTCTCGGAGTGAGGAATGTACAAACCACCGTCAGAAGCACCCTTCAAAGCACCGAAAACACGGGCACCAGTGGTGGTTCTCTGCAAACCGATGTCTAGGAAAACCTTGAATGGACGAGGACCGTCTTCGACAGCCTCGGTCAATTGGTACTCACCCTCGACCTCTTCGACACCTGGGTAGGTCTCGTCTAGACCAAGCTTTTGTAGCACTCTTCTGGCAATCAACAAACCGGTGGCGTAAGCAGCAGACCAGTTGGTTAGACCGTGAGTGATACCGTAGCGAGGTAGCTCATGAGAGTAGGCAGCAGCCAACACAATGTCACCAGTGATGGTGGAAGACACAATCTGGCAGATGATGTCCTTGTTGGTGAAACGGACCACAAGTCTGTACTTAGGAGAGCTGTACTTAGCCTTGTGCTGGGCTACTAGACGCTTACGCTGGTAGTAGTCAGTCTTACCTTCTCTTCTTCTTCTGAAGGGAGTTTGGAAACGGGAGTGGTAAGCGGAGCTCTTGACGTCTTTGAGGAAACTCATGGTGCTAGATCGGTGGTTTTCGAAGCCAAAGAAGATACCAAATAACGGATGTGATGTGAGCGATGGCCTTGTCAAATGGTTAAGAAGAGATTGGAAAGACTAGGTCCATTGGCGATGCGTTGGGCGTGTGTCGTTGCACGATCTGAAACTTTTTCAGAATTCCAAATTTTGAGTCGTTTCGTATCCTGTGATTGCGTCGTAAAACACCGGGTTTTTTTTTTCAAAAAGTATAAAGAGAGTTTAAATACTTGTTTGGTGTCTGGATGTTAAGATTAAGCAGTCACGATCGAACCGCAGATTCGATGACAGAAGTAATGCCCTGGGACTAGCGATGGATGCGGTTGATAGGGCTAGCGATAGGTGACAGTAATTATTGTGGTATGGATGATTATTTTGAGGTGGTGCAGTGTATGCGTTTGGGTTAATTTCAATATCACTGTTGATGACTGAGTTTCATCTACAAAGGCTAGCCAGTGAGTAAAAGAACAGAGATTCAAAGGGCAAATACTAGTTTAAATTCAAGTGCACGATGATTTTGATTGGCTAACATTATCATGATTAAATTGGATATAAGTAGAAATCCAGGTGGGTGCAGCACATCCTAACTGCGTGGGACTTGTTTGAATGCCAGTTCTATTGCCCAAACATTAAATTTAAAAAAGTCGTTTAATAGTATTATCTTCTGGCGAAGACATATTAAGACAGCGGACTCTACTCAATAATAATAGTGCCTTCTTAGTCGAGTGCACCAGTTACTACTCTTCTTGGCATACCAAGTCGTTCGGGCCTAGTCCGTATCACTTTGTACCTAGCTGACACGCGCAGAGATCACTTCGTACTTTAGTGGCACTGGAAACAAAATATCATTTTACCGATACACGTAGACTTCGAGTCAGGTATGTTCCTTCATCACCAAAATGAGCGTCCAATGACTAGCCAAAATCGACTATCAGTCTTCTGTACAACCACGCCCTTCAAGAAATGAGCTGGAACCAGAAATAAACAAGACGAACTGAAAAACAACAATATTGATAAAACAGAAGAAGCTCGTACTAAACCTTTCTTCATTTTCTCAATTGCTTTGAAACGCTGTTGGAAGTTCTGGTCGAAACCGTCACAGCTCACCTACTCTAATTTTTGCCATGCCTTCCCGGTCGCTTCATGAGGCCGCAGTGGTACCAAAAATTTCCTTGAAATCAACACATAATCGATCCTAAGCCCTTGAGCTTATCCAAATCATTCTGAAGCAGCAAAACGCCTCAATCGTAGACCTTTCTTCTCTTTCAAGCTCATCAAAGCCTACTTCTACCATCTTTATCTAATTTAATGAGATGGGTCGTGTACGAAATGATAAACATTTAAGATCAACTACTTAAACTAAGCCCATCTCTGCCTCCTCTACAGATCGGTAACTTGCTTCTACAACTCAACAATATAGTGACCCTCTAGACGAGTAACCAGTGGAACTTTTTGTGCAATTGTAGCTCGACAGTTGTTTGTTCGAAAACATAGTAGTTCTACAACACCATCTAGCTGATGATGACAGATTCTTCGGTGCCCAAGACCCAAATCTTGGTCACTGATATCCCACATCAAGAATTCTCGGATGGGTGGCCACAACAATTGCAAAAACAGCTTTTTGAAGACAAATTCCCAGAATTGAAATGTCGCTGCCAGTATTACACTCCCCTGGCCTTTTTGAACCGTGTAGTGCTTATCTTCGATGAGGAACAAGCTACGTTAACGATTTACGATTATTTGCTGCAAGAGCTTGGAACCAAAAAACCGATCAAGGTTTACCTTACAGAATCTTTGTTGACCAGGCCTCGTTCCAAGTCACACGATTCGAGTACCACGGATGAAGTGGATTTCCAAACCTTCAAAAGACCACAGTTGTCCCTCGACACTCAGAACACTACCGGCTCTTCCTCTTCGCTTTCTCCCGACAAAGCCGCAACACATATACCTACGCCAATGAAGTTTCCCGAAGATGGGAAAATCCATTATTATCAGGAACCTTTGCCCAAACCGGAACATAAAGAGGAGGAGAGTAAAGATCAACACGGCACCAAGCTACTGTATCCGTCCCGTATTTCTCCCACACCCACTAATACAGGTCAAAGTCCGGAAAGCGCACTGTCAACTCCTGCAAGTCCATCCATTACGCTCAACGAATTCAAAACCTAGCAATTAGGTTAACTGAAAGATTTCGTCCTTTCAAAATGCATGTGCATTGGGGTTTCGCTCCAAAAGAAAAAGGTATAAAATTGCTTATTTACAGATTGTGAATTCAAAGCCTCACTGAGGCTGAGACTGGGGTTGATCTCTAGCGTCCATCACCTCCGGGCTTGCACTTTCACTCACGGCACCGCCGTTGGCATAATGCGCCCGGAAAAAGGTGTAATGCAATACAATGTCATCGATGTTCCGCATTCGTGGATCCTTCGCAAAATCAGGATCGATGAAGAAAAACACAGGCATATCGATTTCTTCGCCTGCGGCTAGTCTTTGTTCTTCGAAGCAAAAACACTGGATCTTGTTGAAATAAGGCGAAGCATCTCCCGGCGTGATACTGTATGTCGCCATTCCAATGATATCTTTGTCACTGGTGTTTTTGGCCCTGTAAAAGGCTAAAGCCGTCTCTCCCGGTAATACACGGACCTCTCTTTGCTCCGGTGTGAATTTCCAGGGCAAGATTTGCGACACTTCACTGGTGAATGAGACTCTTATTCTTTTCTCGCTTTCCACAGGTATCAATTTGTCGTCTGTGAATTTCCGTTTATCAGTGATCGGTATTCCACCCCATCCGGTCCTAGCACAAATGGCTCTATAAAGCGGAACAGCTGCATATGCAAGTCCCAAGAACACCACTGCAATGCTGGTAAAATAATACGCCGCCGTCCGATCTTTAAAACGTCTATCCTGCTGAAATTTCATCGTACGAAGCTGCTGAATCTCTCGTTGCGTGAGCTTTGAAAGGTCTAATTGATTTTTCGTAGCATATTGTCTCGTGTTTCTCAAACTCCTTGAAGCGGCTCTAAATAGTACGCTGTGTAGCATAGCTAGCAATACAATAAGCTCAATGGACAGAGGGAAAGTTTCGATCTCATTGATGGTAGCCTTAGGTGAAGATCAATGATAGACTATCATTCGGTTAGTTGTTTCGTAGAGAATTACCCAATTTAATACCTGAAAAATGGAGTCACGTGAAATCTAAAGTTAGTGGTATTTCAAGTTCTCGAGCGATGGTGATAGGATCAACGTATACTGGAATGGGTTTCAGATTCAGTATTTTAGGAGCTCGAGCTTTAGTGATTCAATTAAGACTCGGAAATTATTCTCCAATTATAGCAAAAAAATTCGAAAAATCGACTGTGGAAAATTGAAGAGACTCGGAAACTCTCAGAAAATGCGAGCGCTGGTAGTAATTATCTCACGCCATATTCAGCGAGCTCTCCTTCCATGATTCCATGCCTATTGTTCTTACCCGTTTCGTCTTTCAAAAACGAAGATGCAGTTTCTTGGTCGAGCACGTGATATAATTTATCACGTACTCGTTTTAAGTACTCGCCATTGTTTAGTCCAATGACTAGCTCATCGCATCAACATAGGTTGAATCCACATCTTTCAGCCTGAAGTCCGTTGTAGTCATTTTGACGTCTTACAAGCTCACAATGAGTGATGCAGTCCAGGTTAAACGCAAGAAGGTAGCCAGGGCATGCGTTTACTGTAGACGTTCGCATATGATATGCGATGAGCAAAGGCCGTGTACACGATGCATTCGAAGAAATATCGCACATCTTTGTTGTGACGAACTGCCGCGTGGTGAGACTGAGGGAGAAGCAGACATTGAGAAAACGAGTAATCGGCCCTCAAATACCAGTGGGAACAGTTCCGTCGGTGCAGTAGGTGGGATTTTGGCCAGACAGCCAACGTTTGCTTCTGAACATGTAGGATCGGAGTTTTCATCGCTCAGTGAGTTTCTGCATATGCTAGAGGAGCCCCTGTCTTTTGACGCACAACCGTCAAGCGTTTGGACCCAAATTGAGCGGCCATCTGGGAACCCCGTCCAGGAACAAACCTCTGACCAGCCTACGTTGAAGGAAAACTTCTTCTTTACTGCAGCAGACCCGTCTCAGGAAATGACGCCTGAGGATAGACTCAAATCGGTAATCAATGCCAAATTGGAAGCAGGCCTTTTGCGGCCGTATAACTATGCGCGAGGATACGCTCGTTTGCAGACGTACATGGATAAGCACATGAATCCAACCTGCAAGCAGCGTATCTTAAAGCCCTTATCAATCATTAGACCCGAGTTCAGGGCGATCGCACGATCTTTGAAGGACGTAGACATGACCTTGGTCGAAGAAAGCTTCGAGCGAATGCTGCTCTCATATGATAGAGTGTTCACATCCATGAGCATGCCTGCTTGTTTATGGAGAAGAACAGGTGAAATATATCGTGGTAACAAGGAGTTTGCCTCGCTGGTAGGGTGCAAAGTGGACGATTTGCGTGATGGCAAGCTGGCAATATACGAGGTTATGACCGAAGACAGCACGGTTTCTTTTTGGGAAAAATACGGGTCCATAGCCTTTGACAAAAATCAAAAGGCTATTTTGACCCATTGTGACTTATGCAAACCGGATAATTCAGAAGCCCCAACACCCTGCTGCTTTAGTTTCACCATCCGAAGAGACCGTTATAATATTCCTGTTTGCATAGTAGGCAATTTTATCCCCAGGTGACCGGTGACAAGGCTCACTACGATTGATGCCCACTGTTTTCCCTCATGTGTTCGTCCCAAGTCTCGACTTTCAAGATACGACAGTTTTTCGCCACAAGTTTACCCACATGTGTTCCAGGTCCAATGTGCAAAGCTTCCGTAAAATCCAGCTGGTTCACCGTTTCACAGCACCTGACAAAATCGACGACGTTGCAACTGCTTTTAGCAAAGCTTTCGAGTGCCTCTGTGACCGTCTGCACGCGTTTACCGTTGAAGTTGGAGATCACTTCGTGGTTGAGCATTTTTTGGCTGGCCACGCCTTGTTCCCTCAACATCTGCCACATAAAGTTAAGCAGCGGTTCTTCAATTGATGCTAATACCCGTCTGTTGTGGAACGGGATGCCAAAAGGGTTTTCCAGCTGTGTGATTTTACAACGGCCACTGATTGCCTGGCGCAACAACGACTCCCAACGCTCAAAATCTGTTCCCGTACCGGTAACGACACACTGCTGGGCAGTGTTGATGTTTGCGAGCGCCAAACTACTTTCTTCTGGGAGGCAGTTGCGAATTTCTCGAGCCAAGTCGCGCGCTCTGGGGACTGAAACCGCCCACATACCGTATTTGGAGGCTCCTGCAGCATGCAGCATGAGTTTGTTACGATAAGTGGCGATCTTCATGCTTTGGTGCAGGGTGAAGAGCTCATTACCAGCGCCCAGACATGACAGCTCGCCCAAAGAGTGGCCCAAGAAAATAATGCTAGAACAAGGTTCTTTATTGACAATCTTCGTGTCCTCCAAAAACGAGTGGTACAGCAGATACGAACAGGCTGCAATTGATGCTGGATCTGTAGGCTTTCGCTCTATCTGTGCTGCCACTTTGCTCACTTCTGTCCATCCTCCACACCTATCAAAGCTAATTACTTGGCTACGTTGTGCTAGATACTTACTTAAAACATTGCCCAGCACGGGGCTTCCTTGGCCTGGAAAAGTTACTAGCCTTTTCATGGTTCTGTTTAAAACGATAGCTCATCGGCTGCCAAACTAGTTAAGTTGATTATATTGACAAGTATTTGACCGTTATTTAGTTCACTGACGATCATATGACTGGTGACAGTGGTGTCAAAAAGAAGGTTGAATCAGTGTTTATACAATTGTGGGTTGAAAAGAGGGGAATTTAGACATCGATAATGGCAGGAGCAGATGCAGCTGATTATATGCAGCAAAAACGTTGTTCCTTTGTCTTTCGCAATCGGACAAGGAATATCGCATTAATGTTCAGAGAGGTGGTGAGTAACTGGTGTTCTTGAAGGTATAAATCCATTTTGTTTGAAGCACAGAGGTAGAAGAGGGATCATAAGCTCATTCTTCTGGATGTAAATGTTCATTCGCGACATTTATGGAAAGAATGTCAGTTATGCGGAACAAATGGTGAGATAATAGTATATAGTGATCCAACATTTCAGTGTTGGCACCATGAAGTGATGTGTGCAGAGAGAAGTTGTAGTGTGTACAATATTTCATGTCTGAGACAATACTAGTTGATGCGGCATGATATCCCAGCAGCCGGTTTGCCCGATTTTGCCCTGAGCTGGACCAATACGCACCCTTTGTCCAATAACGTGAGATACCTTGTGATATTCCCGTTGGCTGCCTAAGAACGTCACATTGCCGCTTTCGAGAAGAACGCACAGCTCTTCGTTCTTATGCGAGTATTTCACGTCCTTTATGCGTTCAGCGAACCAAATGTCATTGAAATATACCACTTCGTCGCGTAATGGAGTGAAAAATGTCATAACGGCACAAGCAGCCAATATGTCGTGACACTCTCCCACCATAACAACAAGATCACGGCTAATTACGAGAGTCTTATGATATTTTAAACTGCTCGAGGGGTTTCGCAGTATATCGGCTGAAAGCCATGTTCCATCGTTTTGTCTCGTTTTGACTTTGAAGTCCCCGTTACGTTTTAGTGCCACTAGAATATCTGGCCTCGCATCCAAAGATTCAAACTTTTCCTCTGAATGTTCCACCACGCCCATGGGGCTTAGCGTGTCGTGATCCAATGAAAACAACTGAAGATGTGTGTCAAAAGAAATCCAAAATGAGCTCTCGCTCACAGGAACAAGCTGAACATTTTCTGGAATCGGACCCTCAAATCGATGAGTGCTAGCATCCCGAGTAATAAGCTTTCCTGGCAATGGTACAACTTGTAACAACTTTAGCAACCAGTGGCCTGAGTCAGTACTTCCAGCAATTAACACATTGATAGGACCGGCGTTGGACTTCAATTCAATGGTCTCGATGATTGTTGAAAAAGCCTCCAGACATTGAGAGTCGAGTAACATCAGCCTTCCATTTTCCAATTTAAGGGATTCGAGAGTCTTTCGGGACCAATTGACTATCAGCATCCGGTTGATGCGGTCTAAATGCAGAAATTTCTTGTGCTTAATCCTGGCGTTTTTCACTGGTAGGTGCAAACGCGTATAGGTGAGAGAGCTGCGAAATAGCACTTCAAGCCCGTCTGAGAAAAGTACAAACAGAAGTTTTCCGCTTATTCTCGCGTCTATCATCGTAGCATGTTTTTTGTGAAATCCTAGTGAAATTTCCACGAAACTCATGTCTGTTAGTTTCAGTAGGTACATTCTGCGGGGAGAGAATAATACACATTCGCTCTTACTAACGAAACGAATCTCCCATGGAAAGCCAAACTCTGATTCTACATTCAGCTTGTCTAATCTCAACTTAGCTGGCATACAGTCGTCGGTGCGCCACCGATAAACTCCCCCGTTCAAATCACTTAGAACCGATTCAGCTCCATATGTACTGCCATAGTGAACCTGAACTTCATTCACCTCTTTAAATGCATTCTCTAGAGAATCAAGGTCATCCCAATACACCTGATAAACAGTTTCGCCGCTCACAACACGAATTGACTCTAAACCATGTTCATCATTAGCGAACATCACCGCTGTGATTTTCGAATGACTGTCCTTGAAAGGAATCTTGAGCTCATGGTACATTTCGAATCGAGTGTCGTTCACATCTTTAATGAACAACATATTACCGCTATCAGAGTTCCACACAATCAATCTCTCCCTATCGCAAACTGCTCCATTAGCAGAAAAGTTAAACTGATACGAATGCCAATCATTGCTTTCGAATCCGTCGACACTTAAAACATGGGATGTTACTTGGACGATATTATGATCTGTGAAATGAACTGCAATGGTACAATTCAGGTCATCCCTCAACAAGTCATCCAGCTCAGTTAGTTTATGGGTGCTGTAATCAGCAGTCCATTCGATCAATAGCAAACTAGATTTGCCAGTGCGAGTCTCGTTTAAGATCAAATGCTGAAAGCCTCCTTTAGATACGTCTCCAAACAATTGCCGCTGCCATTTTTCTGGCAGATCCAAACAGTCTATCACATTCAAAGTTGAAACTGCTTTAAATGATCTGGTTGAATAGAGCACTGAACAAGTTTGTACAGGTTCTTTAGGAGAAATCAAAGACAGGGTAGATTGTGACAACAAGCACGGTCGGTCTTGTTGATCTAACTGGGTTTGTAAGCGTGGAACATATGCTATAGATTGTGCTGGTTGATGCCCTGCGCTGATGATTTTGCTACTCCGAATATTTTGAGAAGAGCTGATCTTGAAGTCTTTGTCCAGTTCATCTATGTTACGCAGATCGAGACATATATCAGTCAACTGGCCGTAGGCTGAAATCGTAACAGTATAACAGTCGTCAGAAGTGGAACTGTTATCGAGCAGAAATGCATTATCGAGACCTTTTACCCTGGTCAGAGCCAAGAAAGTCACCGGACCGTCTTCTTCACTCAAACAACAGCAAAGGGCGCCATTCGAGGTGGCGATGACCGAGCAATGGACTGCGTCTTGAAGATCTTCTTTAAAGCTTCTTATTCTAGAGAGTAAAATGGGATCATCAAAACATTTAGTAACACGGCTGCCAAACATGGATCGCTTGAACGATTCAAACGTAAGCTCGCCTGACAATATTTGGTTAGCGCTGACAAGTTTGATGTCGGTGTTGGTAAACGCTAAGCAGCGTGAATCATCCAGAGAGACGATGTTTGAAATTGGCTCACCATCAAGCAAAGTCAACGTGTGGACCTCTTTGCGTTCTTGGTCGGGACTTCCCCATTGGGTCAAGCACAAAATGACTTCTTTCCGCCGCTTGAGGGCTGTGAAAAGCATAAAATGATCTTTTCGATCACCGCTACTAAGAAAAGCAGTAGCGGAAATGGCTGTGTCCATCAAATGCCAATTACTCACCAGCTCAAAATGGTATGCGTCAATAAACTTGTAGAATTTGAGCGTTGTGTCAGTGGTTATCACAAATTGGCTGGATGATGACAGCATGCATATTCCACAAGGTACGCCGTCAATTTTTTTCAACTCCCACCACTGTAGGACCACTGGGTTTAATTTAGCATCGAAAGCTACGGAGTATATCAAGCCCTCGGATGATAGTATAATCGCTACGTCGTCTGTTTTTTCCAAACTGCTGTATCTAATTTTGCAATCAATAATATCGAAAGGACATGGAAACACTTGTTCTTTGAAATCACTTTTCAACGTCCCTCGGCTCGCAATGAGCCTTGTGCGTACAGTTGCCGCAGACTTAACTTGACCTTTTTTTTCGATATGCGTGTCTTCTACGAAATAATCGTCACCAGCCAGGAGCTCCAAATCCGAGTCATCGAGCGTCTCTGGGTCGTCTTGAGCTGTTTTTTCCGTCAACGCTTTTCCTAATTCATCCCGAAGTGATTCCAGCGGAGCAAAGCTCTTTGGTTGAATGTCCTGTACCATCGACAGGTCCGAAAACTTGTGTATGTCGCGAACGACCCTAATATCTTCGCAACAAATGGGAACTTGGCAGGGTATTGTAAGTTTCTCTTTAAACCATTGTCTTTCACCAGTTCTGAGCTTCACCTCGCGCTGATCCGACAGATCAAACCACCATTCATTGTCGATTTCCTCAATTGAAATACCTTCGAAATCGGTGAATTTCTCAAATGCCATCAGACATTTGCTGAGACGCCAAAATGTTCCGATTTACTGGTTCAGTTTCAATCATTCCATGAGTTGAGTTGAGTTGAGTTGAGTTTTTGAACATGAGTTCATTAGATGAAGACTATTGTATTACGCCCAAGTCACGTGACGATAAAAACTCCGGAAGATTTCGAAGAGTCTCAGCACGGGAGGTTTGCTACATGCATGTGAATAGCATAGTATTTAGTATTTTTTATGTATACCACAAGCGATCTTATCGAAATGACTTGCTCTAGTCCCCGTTGTTTGTTTGGAAGTATAATATGTGGATTTTATAGAAATCTATGTTAGCGTATTAAATGAGATAAAGCACGCGATAGTTTGATCACCTGAATATCACGTGACCGATGGATTATATAATCATTTAATCAATAATTTCAACGATTAAAGGCATCTAGCGCATATCAAGCTTGTAAAGGTCATCGCTTTCAATTCATCGCACAATAAAGGACCATCGATCGATTTCCAAGCATGAGTAGGAATGTAGACAAGGCTAACTCAGTACTGGTGCGGTTCCAGGAACTTGAAGCGGAAAAATGGGGTGGTTACAAAGACTATTCGCGATATAAAAGACCGGCTCGAATTACGTCGATCAAGAATAGTAAAGAGGCCCAACAATGGCGTCGTCAAGTTGTCCAAGACATCAACTCTAGAGTGACTAGAATGCACGATCCATCATTGAATGAATTTCAGCTCAGAGAGTTGAACGATGAGCTGAACGATCTTTTTTCGGAAAAAAATCGTTGGGACCGTCATATCCATAAAACTTTGAAGGGACCCGATTTCTCTCACGACAAGGCATTCAAATTCACGGGCAAAGTTTATAAAGGCCGGCGTTATTTTGGACGGGCCCTTGAGCTGCCGGAAGTAAAAGAATTGGCTCAGGCTGATCTTGAACGTCTTGCAAAGCTCCAGACCAGTCGCCAGCGACAGGCAGCTCTGCAAAATAAAATGAAAGTGTGGGAAAAAACTCTGGGTCCGGACTATTATGGCGTTCTTCCGGACGAAAACATACATTTCAAGCGTCCTTTAACCGTGGACAGCCGGAATGTCACCGAACTTTTGACGTTAGAGCCCTCAGATCAAACACCTCTCAGGGAGTATGAAGATGAATGGACGGTAGCTTACAGGTCCGAATTAGGGAGCGAAGATGGATTCGGGAAGCCACAAGTAATTATCCCGGAGATGAATTACGTTCCAGATCAGACAGAATTGGAAAAGTGGTTGGTGCAAAGACGGAAAATGCAGCTACAAAAACAACTGGGACTATAGAGCCGGTTTCCATAGTCCGTGGTACTTATGGCGTAGGGATAACAAACTATAAATAATCTTACATACGCTGATAATGTCACACGCAGCCTGCGGGTCTAATTTCATGGCGTCCCATGAGTCGGAGAACGGAAAAGTTGATTCATCCCACGTTTAGTAAGTAGTCTGGACATACGCCGCTCTCCTCCATGACTTTCCTTTTCTTTACTTTCACTGCTGGAGGAAGCGGAATTACCATCATGAGCTGACTTTGGTGATTTTTGCATGAAATGGGGAAGTCCCCAGCTTCCTCTACTGTTACTTCTGTTATGCTGAGATTTTGGTGTTTGGAGCTTTTCAATAGCCGCGGAGTCTATGGGAGAAGAACTGTTCCAGATAGTGTTAAACTGACCCGTACTGAAAAGACTGTCTTTTGTCATTTCTTCTTTCATTGGTATGGATAATGGTGAAGTGCGCATCACAGGATCATTGTTATATCCGGAACCGAACGAAACCACATCATCTCTCTGGACCCTTGGGGTCTGCACGAAACCCGATAGGTCGTCTTCGCGGGACATGGAAAGGGGCTCGAAGGAGTCATTGCTAACTACCCGCATATGACCATTATTCTGCGAATCAGAGACAGAGCGGGGAGACAAAAGCGGCAAGCGAGCTGGTTGCATTCCATATGAATCTGTCCCATTACGAGTTAATACATTAGGAGCACTTTGGCGACTCCAATAATCGTCCAGTTGATCTGTTGTGTAAAGTTTCGAGGTACTTACATTTGTTGCTTGATAGTCGGCCTCTGAAATCATATTTTGGAGCCCGCTCAATAAATGATGTGAATGGTCATAGTCAAAATGGTGCTCCTCCGGAGCTAAGCCCGTCTGGTGTCCATTCTGATGATGCATATTCCAGTTTGAGTAAGATAAACCATTGTCTGGCACTGGTGAAGTATGCCTGATTGGAACAGAGGTGTACGGAGTTGGGCCCTGTTCTGTGTCAACAGAAGCGTAAGTGCTTGGATCGTGCAAATTCAGATGAGGTGTACTTGCACGACCAGTGTCTTGTTGACTCAAAACATAGGGTTGGGCTGCAAGATTGGCCATTAAGTCTCTGTTCCTCATGCTGATATCTGTCCAAAGAGACTCCATCAAGTCACTGCGTTTTTTTAAGCGGAGTTTTCTGCTTCTCCAATCCGTATCCAAATCAATATCTCTTTGTACTTCCTCTTTTACAAGTGCTGCTACTACCGAATTTTCACCAAGTGAATTCAAAAATTCATACCCGGCATTGTTCAAAACACCGGTTTTCTCGTTGATGCAATCGTTAATTTTTTTGAAAATGCTGTTCATGCTGGATGTGTTCGAGCCAGTTTCAAGAGGGCTATTTTTTTTAGTCGCTATGGAGGTTCCAGATGTCGCCGCAGAGGTGTTTTGACTGGAATCCAAAGATCGTTTCACGGAGCTGAGTTTCTTATTCTCTTCCTCCTGGTTTGATACCTGGGAATGCAGTTGTCTTACCTGCTGTGAAACTTCATCGATTCTCTCAAGAAGTGATTTTTTCTCGTCATTGAATTTAGAGATAAGAATGTCTTGTCTGAGCTCTTTTTTCTTCTCTTGATCCCACTTGATCATATCGTTTTTCATTTTCTGTATTTTGTTGGAGCTTTGATCAATATTCTTGTCCAACTTGCCGCGCTTGAGATCGTAAAGTAGCTTAGAGTTTTCCAAAGACTTGATGCTTGATTTGAGACTTTTTCTCAAGTCGATTTCGTGGGCCCACTGCGCTTTGAGATTATCCAGCTCCAATTTCAGCTGCTCTCTACTTTCGTGGAAATCTTGTAATATGGAAGATTCCTGCTGTAACACGTCATGTAAATCTTCCTGAGCACAGACTAAGATATATTTCAAGTCCGTGATGGAGAAATCGTCCAAATCTTGTAGAGATGTAAGACTGGCGTAGGATGTTGGTGATTCGGTAGACACAGCCACGTGGCTTTTCCTCCATTTGGCGTCCACTGGAAAGTTGGGCGCCAGTGTTGGTTTCGTATCCAAATCGTCCAGACTGGTCTGACTGGAACGTTTTCCAGCACTGGATGATTTGGTCATGACATAAATCGAGGGGACTTTGTTTATAAAGCCATCTTTGTTGACGCACACGAAATCAAACTGATACTGTGTCTGTGGTGAGAGACCACGAAGTAAGCAGCATGTGTAGAGCGAAGTTGCAATATTTGGGATAGTGCCGATTTTTACTTTGTCCAAATACAGCACATAGCACGATATTGACGAGCTCGTCTTTTCCTGGGCGTTGGTTGGCTCGTTTTCCCACCGAACTGTAATGGTGTCCTCTGTGATGTCGTCGATTGACACTCTTGTCGTTTGTGGAACTTGAAGTCCCAGCGTCAACACGATGCGCCAAACCGGGATCCCCAGGAACAGCACCAACCTGTGGGCGAGCCATATGATCGCAGCCGCGGTAAAGATGGCATATGGAAGCATCACACTGCTGAGCAGGAGCACTGGGAGAGCGTTTACAAGCTTTTTAAGTTGGTTTAGATCAGCGTTGTCGCTATAAATTTTGGCAGTAATGGCTATGAGAGCTTTTTTCATAGTAATTGAAAACATACGCTTACGTCAGCTGGCCAGCTCAGCGTGATTATCACGTGAATAGCAGGTGATCACTTGAGCCTTTAAGACTAAGACTTACGAGCGAGGGTTGGTTTACTAAGACCGCAGCCTCTGACACAAATCTCATGTTTCTAGTCCACTGCCGGGCTAGATAGATGTCTCGGGTTCCACCTCTCAGTGCCACATCTAGTTCTACAACGCCAGCAACTGAAAAAAAAATTGTGTAATCATTAATTTAACATACACACCTAAACCGTCAGCGACATGAAATGTCTACTCCGGTGACAAATAATAAAATCAAAACACCGCCCATTTCATTATATTCGCATACAAAATGGCACACACTATCCTATTTTTGGGGGCTGCAGCGCATCGGCTACTGCCCCAGTACCACCGGACACATCAGCTGGTGTATCATCTGGCTTGGAAATGGGCTCTAGCACGCTGTCACTACTGCCGTTTTCGGTAAGCTCCAGCACGCTGTCACTGATGCCATTTCCAGTAGGCTTCACAACGCCATCACCTTGTTGGTGTAAGGTCGAAATAGTGGGCACTTGGTTTCCCGAGTATCGCTGTAGACGCCGTGGGATCACAGCCTCTGAGTTGTTCAGCTGTTCTCGAGCCTGTTCAAACAGATTCGACATTTTCGCTATGTACAGATATATACCGTTAGGAGTATAACACGCGCAAGCCAAGTTAATTCCGCCGTCGGGGTTTTTTTCCTCTTGTCGTTTCTCTAGTCGGATTTTCCGGTCCCGGCCCGAGAAAAAACAATCAATAAATAAAAAAAATTTGAAACAAAGGGAAAAAAAAGAAAAAAATAAAAAAGGGGGGCACAAGCAGTCCCGCACGTGAAAGTCAGGTGACAATCTACTTTCCAAGGGCGGGTAACAGTCTCGTGACTATTCTTTGTAAGATACAAGCCGGTGGTCACTATACTATAGCGCAGGCTGATAGTGCGGCGGACCTCGTTTATATACTTATACATAAACGTTTTTTTTAAGTGGTGACGAAAATTGCGATCACGGGAAAATGGGCGTAACGCCCCCAGTGGGAGCGCAGACACCGTTTGTAGTAGTACTGGAGAGTTTTTATCTATGGGTGACGATAAATATGGCCGAGACTAAGCTAGCCATAGTAGAGAGTGTGGACACACACACACATGATAGGTAACGAGTTGATATGTACGGGGTTGAGTTTAGACGTCACTGGCCAAAAAATGAACGGAAAAAGTCTTCTCGCATGGTGGCGCTGTGTGTGTGTGTGTGTGTGTGTGTGTGTGTGTGTCTGGTTGAATGAGATGGTGGTTTTTCGAGGCTGTCACGTGATCCGTTTCTGTTCGGATCATTTGAGAACGACGTTGTCGCCTCTGAGCTTGAGATACTCCTGGTCGATGCCCGGAGCCATAGGCTTGATAACAAGACTGTAAACTTCACTGTTACAGAAACGTAGGCCGTTTCCAGGCGATTTGTAGTTGGCTTTGAGACCCGTGATATCGCAGTATTTCTTGGCAGGATACACGCTGGGTGGAGCCTCGACGTTGAAATACGTCAGCAAAGTCTTCTCGTTCGGGTTTTTCGTGAGTCTTTTCCATTCGTCGGTCAACAGCTGGCGCGTAGCTTTGTGCCGTCTGTGGGGCTTTTTCCAAGTCGAGCGTTTCAGGCTCAGGTTTTGGCCCTGAAGGGAATTTTCAGCCGCCACGGTCCTGAGAAAGTCGACCTTGGCGTTGTTCATCGATGGGTGTCTTCCAACAGGAGTTGGTTTCTGGATGAAAGAGAGCTGATCAGTGTGTAGAGCTAAGAGATGAGATTAATGAAGCACTGTAATATAAAGCACGTGATACAAGCTGAAGGTCAATACCGTTATCAGACTGGCACCTCTCAACTATATGGTTTTATAGTGTAGTGGTTATCACTTTCGGTTTTGATCCGAACAACCCCGGTTCGAATCCGGGTAAGACCTTTTTTTGTTTTTTGGAGGTGACGTGGCACGTGTGCAAGCGAGCCACCCAGCTTGTTTCCAATTTGTTTCCAGTTACCGTATGTTTCCAGAACCACTCTTTACAACCGGAACAGCGATCACCACTTTCCAATCGGTGGCTAGGCCGTACTAAATGAGCTAAAGCGTCAGGTCACGGTTTCTGGCCCGGGTCAAGATTTTTATTTCCTAAATTGGTCTGTGAAAGACTCGGGATAGAGACGCAATAGCTAATGGGAAAAGTCAACTATTTAGTGCATATATAAAGACAAGATAAGTTCGAGGTGGCTTTCACAACTCCCATTGCTTCCCTCACCCTCCTCAACTCCACCTTCCCCTAGTCCCCAATCATCATACAAAACCCTTCCTCGCACCATGGCTCAACTTATCTTACGCCTATAACACGAATGCGGGTTTTGTTCCATACCAAAATCCCATACAATGTGGGTGTCTGGAAATTCACTTAACGTATGAAACGATGAACAGCGAGTCACTATTGACGAATTCAAAGTTTTTTCAACCGAAAGTGGTGGGCGTTCGCAGCTTCGCCGTCAACTCAACAGTTTCGCACTAGTCTCTTCCTTCTTCTCACACCCTTTGTCACCGTCTTCCCGGCCTCGTTAAGATGTCTTTTTCCCAATGTTTTTTCTGTACTAGCGCCTCTCTTTTAGAGCCTTGGATTACGTCAGCACGACGGAAGCTGGAAAAAAAAAAAAGTTTCGACTCATACTTACAGTACATGGTGGAAAACCGTAGTAAAGCGTAGCTAGGCAAGATGAGTGAAGAAGGGCTTGCCTAGCTGACAAAAAAAATTGAAACTCGTTCTGGTAAGCCGGTCGAGTATAAATATAAAAAGGCCGCAGTCGTAGTCATCTTGTGCTCTTCCCAAACGGGCTTTTGAAGAATTAAGTTGTTTGTTGTAAAAGGTCTTGATCCAGCACCATCAATTAATTATTACTCTTCCAGTGCTTTTCTGGCCAAGAGATACCCGTATTCAAACTACCCATAACTCAACTCGTTCATGACCGTTTCAGCAGCAATGAGTGAACTGCCAGAACCTTACGTCTCTGCCGCAAACGATTTCCGTTCAGACACCTTCACCACTCCTACACCGGAAATGATGCAAGCCGGATTACAGGCGTCGATTGGTGATGCCGTGTACAACGAGGACGTGGACACGATTGCATTGGAACGCCGCGTGGCCCAGCTGGCCGGCAAAGAAGCCGGTTTGTTCTGTGTGTCTGGAACGCTTTCCAACCAGATTGCATTGCGGTGCCATCTCTTCCAGCCACCTTACTCGATCCTCTGCGACTACAGGGCCCACGTCTACACGCACGAGGCTGCAGGACTTGCCATCTTGTCCCAGGCGATGGTGGTACCGGTGATTCCCTCCAACGGTAACTACATGACGCTTGAAGACATAAAGCGTCACTACATCCCAGAAGACGGTGACATCCACGGTGCTCCTACCAAAGTGCTGTCGCTCGAGAACACTTTGCACGGAATCGTGTATCCGCTCGAAGAGCTCGTTCGTATCAAGGTATGGGCCATGGAAAACGACATCAAGCTACACTGCGACGGTGCCCGTATCTGGAACGCGGTTGCCGAGACCAACGTGCCCTTGAAACAGTTTGGAGAGATTTTCGATTCCATTTCCATCTGTTTGTCCAAGTCGCTCGGAGCGCCCATGGGTTCCGTTTTGGTGGGAAATTTCAAATTCATCAAAAAGTGCAATCATTTCAGAAAACAGCAAGGTGGTGGTATCAGACAATCTGGTATGATGTGTCGGATGGCCTCGGTCGCCGTGGAGGGCAACTGGAAAGAAAAATTACAGCGTTCGCACCGCATGGCGCACGAATTGGCCGCTTTTTGTCATGCCAACAACATTCCTTTGGAGTCTCCAGCAGACACTAACTTTGTTTTCTTGAACTTGCAAAAGGCGAAAATGAACCCTGACATTCTAGTTAAAAAGGGTCTGAAGTACCATGTCAAGCTCATGGGCGGTAGAGTCTCAATGCACTACCAGATTTCGGACGACTCTTTGGAGAGAGTCAAATTGGCGGTTCTGGAGGCGTTCCAACACGCCCAGAAACACCCATTTGACTCGGAGGGTCCTACCAAGATCTACCGCAGCGAATCCACCGAAGTTGACATCGATGGCAACGCTATCGGCGAGATTCAGACTTACAAGTACTAAACTTGTTCATTAGGTCACACACACCTAACAAATCATGATAAAGAAATTCACGGGCATAGTTGAATAAGGTTGATTTTGATTTTTAAACGTTAATTTTGGGAGTTTCTTCATTCGGGGAAGAAACGCGGTTTTTTTTTTTTGGCGAAATATACTTTTGGGAGCTTCTTTGCATTCTCTTTTGGCATCTTCTCTAGACAGTGACGGATGGTGCACTGTCTGGAACTTTTTTGAGGACTAGTGGCCGGACTGCTACCAATAGAAAACCGCTTTCCAAGTCGATTGGGGAGTTTCGAAAATTAATTCAAATGGCATAAGTTATCTGACCGTTTGAGGACCAACAGCGTGTTTTACAGAACGAATAGCGAGATATGGGTTATCAACTCCAGTCTCATCGAGCAATTCCTCCACGGAGTAACGCTGCCCTAAAGGAGGGACAAAAGTGGCCAGAACAACCCAAAAAAAATTGACAACGTCTACGTTGTTGGGTTTTTGCGAGGTTTCTGGTCGACGAAGACGTTTGGTCTTTTTGGAGCTTACAATCAAGCACAGAATGACGGTGCTTCATGATATATCTTCGAGCATCGGTTGTCCATGCCACCGTCTTTTCTGTGACGACAGTGTTTTTTTTAATACTGTCGAAATGACAGTTTTTTTAACACTTATACTTACATACTCGAAAGTATCAAATACATACATAGGCTTTCCTGGAATTAATGTCACAGGTAAGATTAATAGACTATTTGCACATATGTGTCCTTTTGAGCTTCTTCTCACCCGTGCCACTTGATCACCCTACGTCGTACCAAATCCTATCGTCATATGGTCAATTTCTGTCGTAAAAGATCGCCATTGTTTGATTCACATCACACCACACCATTGCACATGCACCTAACAGGACACCTCAGTTGTTATTTAGAGCGTTACTATTTAAGATAAACGATAGATAGTTTTAAGGTTGAAGCATCATCAATTTCGGATGCTTATGTACAATTAGCAGTCCATGGCCTCAAGACGAAGGTTATACACTCTTCTCATCTGTATTGGACTTATAGCAGTACTAAGGTTATTCTCGAACACTGGGACAACAGACATGGCTTCTAAACTTTCACATCCAGTCGTGATCATTGGATCTGGTCTTGCTGGACTCAGTACCGCTAACCAGCTAGTCCTTAAGCACAAAATTCCAATTGTGCTTTTGGATAAGGCTTCATCTTTGGGCGGAAATTCAATCAAAGCCTCCAGTGGTATAAATGGTGCTTTGACCAATACGCAGATGACGTTGAAAGTCGAAGACTCTTCAACTGCATTCTACCAAGATACTGTAAATTCCGCGAAAAAGGCCGGAGTTCGAACCCTGATGTCCAAGTTAGCCAGGGACTCTAGTTCTGCCATCTCGTGGCTTCAACAAGAATACGACCTTAAATTGGATTTGCTAGCACAGCTGGGCGGTCACTCTGCCCCCAGAACCCACAGATCATCGGGCAAATTGCCTCCCGGGTTCGAAATCGTTCAGACGCTCTCAAACAAGCTGAAAAGCATTTCTGAGGCCGACCCTCAGTTGGTTCAAATCCGCTTGAACAGCAAGGTGTTCGACGTGGAGATTGTGGACCGGAAAGTAAAGTCTGTTGAGTATTACGATGAAAATGGTAAAGCGCAACGGGTTCTGACCGAAAATGTCGTCTTTTGCTCAGGAGGATTTGGGTTTTCCAAAGAAATGCTGGATAAATATGCACCAGCGCTGAGATCCTTACCTACAACAAATGGTGCTCAAACAACAGGTGATGGTCAACAATTGATAGAAAAACTGGGCGGCAAGCTGATCGACATGTCTGAGGTGCAGGTTCATCCCACAGGCTTTGTAGATCCGTCGGACCCACACAGCAACTGGAAGTTTCTTGCTGCTGAAGCTTTGAGGGGTCTTGGAGGTATTCTTTTAAATCCGTTGACTGGACGTCGGTTTGTCAACGAGCTGGACACCAGAGATGTTGTCACAGACGCCATCCAGGCCCAGTGTCCGCAAGATGAAAACAGGGCTTTCATAGTCATGAGCCAAGACGTATATGCGAACTACAAGAACAACATGGATTTCTACATTTTCAAAAAACTGATCCAGAAAACGACGGTAGGCGAATTGGCAGACTCTCTTCCCGTCAGCGTGGCTGAACTGGCTTCAGAACTACAAACCTACAGCTCTGAATCTCCCGACACTTTCAAACGTACTTCCAGAATCAACAGTTTTGGCACTACAGTTGATGGCAGCACTGCAATCTATGTTGGCCAGGTGACTCCAGTCGTCCATTTCACTATGGGCGGGGCTAAGATTGACGAAACTTCGCGCATTCTGGACAAAGCCGACAAATTCGTGGCCGACGGTCTTTACGCTGCGGGCGAAGTTTCCGGTGGAGTTCACGGTGCGAACAGGTTAGGAGGATCGAGTTTGCTAGAATGTGTCGTATTTGGACGGACGGCAGCGGATTCGATTGCGGCAAAACTTTAAAAGAAAGAGGCCTTTGACGAAAAAAGGAGGGAATGGGATGGGAATTTTGCGATTGTATTGAATGACTCAGCAGTGAGACGTCAACTCGCTAGTAGCATCGTTCTCATCGTGGATTGTCGATCAACCGTTTTCTGAGAGTACTTTTGTACTCATGGTATGGTGTCATCTGCAGTAAGATATATATATATATATATTAATATATAAAAGTGAAGTACTACATGATTCAACAAGAGCGTTTAAGAGAGCTCGTCATGTACCACCATGGAATCCAACCCGTGCTTTATTTCGCTAATTGATCACAATGATCGACCACTGCTCATTCACGTAGCCAAGTCTGAAAATCAAGACATCGATAGTGTCTTCAAGTTTAACACTTTTTCTAACATATCCTTGGATTACTTTGGAAGCGATCTTTATGAGTGGATGAACACCAGTCAGAAAGGTCGCGACATAAAAGACCTATTTCAGCTTGAAGGCGTAAGTGTCTACGGGAAATTGATAAAACAAACCAGTTTGAAAATCGTGGTTGGGTTCTGGAGTAAAACTGACCATAGTGATGAGACGCTCGAAAATGTGTTTAACGACATTTCAAGACTGTACATAAGATGCAAGTTCAATCCATTTTCGAACAGCGACGAAGACCTGATAGAACAATTACAAAAAAAATTCGACGAAAGATTTTGATATCATTTGCGCCATGGGACTCACTACCAGTAGCATCCTAGAACTTGAAGACTTCCTTCACCCAATGGGCCACAACCAACTTGCCTTCTTCGAAATTCTCGTCCTTATGGCGGACAATCGCGCATGCGTGAGTACTAACCGTGTTGCGAATATAAACAGGAAATTTGCGCCAGGCGATCCTGTTCAGAGACTCGATTATGCGAACCTGGGCAGGCGCTAAATCTAAATGCAAGTTTTCCAGCGACGGTAAGTCTTCAGTGCCTCCCGTTGCTTGCGAACGTCTAGCCTCGATTTCTTCAATGGAGTGTAATGCCAGCTCTTTAAGTGTGGTTCTCACGACCCGATCGTTGTCCTCCGTATCTGTGACATTTTCAGGATCCAATTCATCCATCACTGCAGAAAGAGTGTTCTTTCTCTCGATTGCACTGAAAATACTTTCGATGAATGTGTCGGTTTGGTCATTCAGGGATTGTTGGAGTTGCAACTCATATTCGTTGGGACTCTCGGATGACGTTACAATTATGTCATCTAGCTCAGGTTCTTCTGAATTTACATCGAAGACATCGTCGATAAAATGATGGGAATACCCTTTCATGAATTTTGCTGCCCTTGTGGTAGACTTGATGGTCTCCATTGTCCCCGATAGAATGAACCAAATTACCCAGATCGGAGCTATCAATAGCAAATTGAATAGTACGGCAAACCAACGCCCCAGTTTGGCCGACCAGTAAGTGAAGAAGAAATATTTTCGGGGGTCGACTTTGACATTATCCTTCTTCTGCCGCCGTAGTGTAGTATCTTCGACCTTTTCGTTGAAATCCTCAATGCGAGTGATTCTGATAGATCTCGACGGATCGATAACCGTTGGAGCGTAATTAGCTACGTAGCTAAAGCGATGATCGCCATTTTTCTCGTCCACTTCGAAAAAGGGATCGTTTCTAGAAATACCCGCCGTCCACCAGGCAGTTCTTTTGTCGTTGATGACATTTGCATACAACGCAGTGTTTTTGAATTCCTGCAAGGCTTTATAAAAGACCGAATTTTCCAAACTCATTAACAATATCAAGGGGGTCCCATTGGTAAACCTACCTTTGTCCTTCAAGAACATCTGCTTGCCCGTGTTGCCCAAAACCAACGGTACAATCGCGTTAAAGAGCTTAACAGCTATATTATTCCCTGGCGCATATACTCCGACATGGGGCGTACAAAAAGTGGTGAAATTAACAAGTTCGATGTCCTGTTTCTTGAAAACCTGATTCTTGTACAAAACGCCTAAAGCGTACCGGGCTATCAGTCCACCCAGCGAGTAACCACAGACTGAAAACTGGGTGACCGTGCCCAATTCTCGGATTTGGGTTTCTACTTCACCTGCTACTCGGACGCCACAGACGTCGATTCCATCGTACGTTTTGTAACCTTCACTCAAATGCGTTGTGTATACAACAAGTTCTTCGTTTCGCGCACCAGATTTCTGAGCCTGTCGAGCTTTGAACTCCGCTTCCAGTGCGGTTCGTATATAATCAAAGTGAGATCTGTTTCCCCACAACCCGTGAATTAGAACCACCAGATGGATTGGTCTAGGGTTCTCACCAATACCGAGCGAGTCTTGCATTGCCAAAATGAAGTTTACAACAAGATGGTTTACGTCTATATTTCTGGAGAAGATCTAGGAGGTGTATGTACATTGTTATCCTTCTCGAAGGTGACAATCGTGCCGTACCGCATAGGAGCATGTGATGTGGTAGAGGTGATAAGGTACGAGCGCAGACACATTTAAAATGGCCCAGGTAATAGTTCGAGATGTCGGCCACTGCAACCTCTCTACATCATAAGTACCAGTTACACGCCTTTTGTTAGCTGGGAGTGATGGCTTCAATCTGGACCTGGCCTGATCCTATTAACCAATGAATGAAAAAAAGACCTATAAATTAAGGTATGATTTGAAAAACTTACTACCTTTCACTGATCAGCGCAAGTGGTTTAGTGGTAAAATCCAACGTTGCCATCGTTGGGCCCCCGGTTCGATTCCGGGCTTGCGCATCTTTTTTTGAAAATTAATAATTATTTATTTCAATAATTCATTATTCCATATGTGCAGGAATAGACAAATCCCTAACGGTTTTGACAGAGTATTTCGCAGGACACTCGATTCTTGAAGCACAATTGGATGTAGAATGACTGCTTATATGTAGCTTGAATTTCAGTGCACACAACCTCTTTGTTTGACGTTTGTGTCTCTACTTCAGTCCATGAGTCTCTTGTTAATAAGTTGCTGTAGAGACTTCACATTGGAAAGAAGTGAGATTTGCCTTGAGGGTGCTCTTCTGGTATCTTCGATGACTTCACTCTGATTGTTGAAGCCAAAGATAGGAACATTGTAACATCTGTTCAATTCTGACGCCCGTTCTGACGTGTGAAGTGCGCAGTTCAACTAAGAGATCAAGATTCTACTTTGACTGACACTTTCTACAAGAAACTCGAATCTGATAGACATCACAGCTCCGACCAGGGGTCCATAGAGTCTCGTGAACGATGTATAGAGGAAGAAATAGACCCAGAGGCAAAGCTACGGAAGACAACCAAGTTAGAGGGCCTAACTCTGCGTTAACGCAATTTCTGAAAGAACAGGGTATTAATGCTGAAAGCATCAGACAGAAATGGTTGAAGAGTCGTAAAACGGAGGAGGAACAACCGTCAGACGGTGTCAAAAGCGAAAGTCAGGAACCCACCAGTGTTCCGAAAAATACTACACGCGGTAGACGTCGTCCGCTGGGTAGTAGCTCAGACGACGACGATGACGATTACGATGACGATGATGGTGATGACGATGAGGATGGTTTGGAACTTGACGACCAAAGCGTGGGTGAAAGTGACGATGAAGGAAAAGAAGACAGCGAAACCACTCGTTTTGAAGAAAGCAAATCTACGACTCCGCGTCTTGATGGTAACAGTCGATTAAAGCGGTACGGTATAGACGATGAGGACAGCGATGAAGCAGAGTACGACGATAACAAGAGCTCAAGAACCGTTTCGGAAACTCCTGTACTTGAAATAACCCAAGAACAAGCCGAGCAAAAGCTAAAGAGAAGCCGACAGCAACTGCAACAGAGAAGAAGGAAGAAGAAAAGAGCTGCAGAGCTCTTGGATCGGAAAACGAGACGTATCTCAACTCTGCAAGATACTTGCATTGCCCAAATTAGCTCCAACATCTTGAAAGTGCAGAGAAATGCTAACGCCGGTGATGAGAGCATTTCCACCAAAATCCGTGATACTCTGGGTGGGTTGTCAACGCAGAACATGAACAAACTTGCTAGAACTTTGTCGAAGAACCGGGCGCTTGACGATCATACGCTCCAATTGTTCTTAAGGACGAATCTTCACACACTCAGTTTTCATGACTGTTCCAAGTTGTCGTACGAGGGATACAAACAGCTTGCAATTTTTGCACCCCAACTGTCAGAGCTTTCTCTACAAATGTGCGGTCAACTAAATAATGAAGCACTTCTCTATATCAGTGAAAAGCTTCCCAAACTAACGTCCTTGGACCTTGACGGCCCATTTCTAATCAATGAGGCTACGTGGGATGGTTTCTTTGCGCGAATGAAAGGAAGATTAAGTGCATTTCATGTCTCAAATACCCACCGTTTTACTAATAGCTCACTTGAAAGTCTTTTGAGAAACTGTGGAGATAGTCTTGTATCTTTGAAGTTGTCGAGACTCGATGATGTTTCCGATTACAGCATTATATCAAAATATCTCAAGCACGAGAACTTAGAGCGGCTGGCGCTAGAGTACCCAAATAAGGAAGAGTATATTACAGATGATGTGGTGTCCGCGATATTGGCAGGAGCCGGACGAAATTTGAAGCATCTGGACTTGAATGGGTGCACCGCTCTCACAGACACCACAATTTTAAATTTGAAAGATGCTTTTGCTCAAAATGAGGACAACATAAGCATTCTCGAATCTCTTGAACTGGAAGAGCTCGATCAGATTTCCACAGATGCTGTGGTGCTTCTCTTTAGCCAAATCCAGATGCCTGAGCTCAAGTTTTGTAGTCTCAAGCGTTGTCTCCAACTTGAAGATATGGCGCTCACAGAATTGTTCTTAAACAAAGCGGCACAGACACTGGTTAGTCTCGTCCTCAATTCTCTGAAAGAATTGAATGGCGAATGTTTTGAGGCAATGTCTTGCCCAAAGCTGGAAAGGCTTGATATCGGGTTTATGGGATGCGCGAACGACAAACTTGTCAAGAAGCTTGGTGAACAAAATCCGAAACTGGAGATATTAGAGGTGTTTGGAGATAACTTGGTCACGGGAAAAGCTCATATAAGATCAGGACTCACCGTTATCGGACGTCAAAGCGATACATTGTAATCATTAGGCTTTACCGCTATCCTGAATGCAGGAAGTCGGTGTTGAAAAAATCCTTGTACACTGCAACTTTGTTTACCTTTTCTAAGTTTTTGAAAGTCGGGAGAGAAGGTGGTGTGTTCGCAAACCTCTTTGTATGGCTATCCATTATCGAGTTCGACACAATTGGCTTTTCGAGGTACAGCCCTGGGTGCCCATTATCTTTTTTGTCCTTTTTGACTTTTTCAATGCCCTTAGAAGTGTCTCGTTTCACCCATAGAGGGTCGTTCACCTTGAAGTCGAGATCGAGGAGAGGATCAATACCGATAGTGTATCTTCCATCGTACACTTCCTGCTCATAGTCACGTAATTTGACATTAGTCATAAAAAAGGACTTGAAGTCGCTCACAACATCGTTTATCATAAGCACGGGAATCTGTATTTCATTCCCTAGCCTGTTCACAAAGCTTTCGAGGCCATTCAAATCCACAGTGTTTTTCAAAATTTTATAGTATAATAGCCAAAAGGATGTCGAAGATTTTAGTTGTGGTAGTTTCTCGAACTCGGAAAGAAAAGCTCTGGTCTGGGCCGTGTCATCTAAATTGAAGAAGTTGACCTTAAGTAGACTTATTACTAACACAGGAAGTGTATTTTCATTCAAAAGGTTTTGAAGCCTACTATCTCCATTTTTCGATTTGCGGATGTATGCTCGCACATTTTTTTCCAGATAGCCTGCGAATGCTCTTTGCTGCTTCAAGATTTCTTGATCTGCTACAGATAAGCTTGATCCAAATTCGATTTGCTTCACAACATTTAAGAAGTCCATGAGAAATGAGCCATCATGCGGATATTTTCGCGAGAATTCTGCGAGGGTGAGAAAATAGGTGTCTAAAGCTTTATCCTTGTGAACCCTCAGAGATGACTTTAAAAAGACCAAGTATCTTTGTCGCAGCTTTCTTTGGCTCGCTGGAACTACGCCGATACCTCTTTGAAATATTTCCAAAGTGGCATCAAAATCATCAAGACTCTCTACCCAGGAAGTGTACCTCAGCCAGAAATGCTCGTAGTACTGGCAAGGAATCAGGCACCGCTCGAAAATGGATATGGTCAACTTCGGAGAAACTGTTTTTGATTCAACAGCAAAAGAAACATAGTTCTCCCAGTTGTCTAACTCATTTTGAGGCAGTGGTCCTAGATTGAAGTAGCCTTGCGATATTTGAGACTCGAATTTCCAAACACTGTTCACCAGACTTTGGGTATTTGCGAAAATCACATTGATCTCCTCTTCAGAATCAACGGGTAATTCGTTATTCTCTGCATTGTCGTGCGCGAAGGTCTTATAAGCGGTATAATACTTTGAATATTGATGCAGCGGAATACGACTTACCGTCTTGTAAATAGCGACCAAATTGTCCAGTCTCTGTTGACTTCTTTCGAATTCGATAAAGCGGTCCCAAAATACGTGTGAAAGGAACTGGTAGCCTACCAAATCCTTTGCAATCTGGAAATTGATACGTATTTTATCCACTTCATGCGAGTTATTCGCGATGAGCACATTGAGGTAGTCACACCAGAGCTCCAGTGAATGAGGGAAAGCATCTACCGCTCGAGAAAGTACATCTAGTGAGCTTTTCAATCCCTGAAGCTGGTATTGCACCGCCGTGAATCTTTTCCAGTAGCCAAAAAGCAGCGGATATCTTGCGAGTGCATTCTCGAACACTTTTTGGATGCTATTCTTGATAGTTTGGTTAGGACTTGTGTACTTCAAAACAAGCTGCTCTGTAGACTTTATCAGTGCATCCACAGAGCCGATGTGTTCCCAGTCAACATGCTTGACGATGTTGACCCATTCATCGTTATCTTTCAGGAATCCAACGTCTAGATTTCTTAGCACATTGGAGCACTCCTCTTCCGTCCTTGAGCTCATAGATGCAATGGCTGTCTGAGGCTCTGAACGCTGGCTTCAAATGCAGGGGCTCTTGTCGATGAGATGAGATGAGATGATGCTACTACATACTATACACACTGAAGGCTAGTATCAACCAATTATCATCAGTCACGTGCCAAGTCAAAGCTTAAAGCGATGTCACGGAACTTTTCCACTAGACTCGCTAGCTGGAGTATCAATGTATCAATAAAGTGCTCGTTTTCGCCTTCTCGAGTTGAACAATTCTTGTTTGGAGATTTCGAAGCAACTGGAAACTTGTATCTGATGCCCTTCGTGTGAGTGTACCTTACGAAAGTTACAGGAAACAATCTAGCCACGGAGGTAAGTAAACAAAAAGACTTCGGTTTTGTATCAAAAGTAAATACGCCGAACTCTCTAGATCATTCCTGTCAAAGTAAGGATTGTTGGAAGTTTAGCCGGAGGAAATCAATTTCCGCTGAAATTCAATAAATAGTATAAAAGCAGTAAACATCGGGTAGCTGAGCAACGTGTGATTTATGCTTGTTAAGATTCAACTCTCTAAACGGGGTTCAAATATTTATAGAAATGATCTCGCTGCGTCTTTTGTTAGCGTCAGAGCTGATATTAATTATCTGTCATCGTGCCATAAAAGTACAAAGTGATATCTACAGTCAAAAACGTCAAATGTTAAGACATCAAAAGATACAGAAGTAGCCCACGTTGGTCTTACTGAGGTCGCGCCTAATCAGGTCAAAATGCATTCCCATTAGACTGATGTCACAACAATTTACTTTTTCACTGGTGATTCCGATCAGACCTAACCGGAAAATTAGCTCACTTGCAACTGGCCTAATCTTTTCCGTTGGCTATTCGGCAGTCATCTGAATATTCAGTCACATTTCCAGCCTAATCAGGAGCCATGACAAGTCCTTAAGAAACCACCAGTCAGCCTTTGCAATATCTTCGGGGTTTCCCGAGATTTTGGTAACAGTGCATATGAGATAATTAATTAATGATGGTAAAATACAACCTTCAAATGTGATTACTTCGAAAAACGAATCGGATAAATCTCACGGAAAGAGCCAACCACATAGCGGTGTTTTCCACTCAAGCGAATGTCAATACGACCTGTGAATCTTGATGAATTCGCAGAAACGTCTTTCGAAGATATCGAAGCGACTGTGAGTCCAGTTAATTGGCCCAGATCGAATACAACAAGACAGATTTCACCAGCTTCGTCCCCGTTGAAAGCTCAAGGTGGACCTCCTTCGACGGCAAGCTCCGAAAGTACTACTTTTTCCAAGAACCAAAAAAGGTACTCTACGCATACAGAGAGTGATGAAGACGGAAGTGCCTTTTTGGACGATTTTGAAGAGTTTCGAGGTAAGAAAAGAGATGATGATTTAGTGAAACGGCATTTTATACAAAATTATGACAGCGACACAATTAAGCATGGACCAGGTATTGTTGAGGGCGACAACGGCTACGATAATGACGAAGATGAACTTGCCACACTTACTCAGAGATTTGCTAAACACATGCAACCCAGCAGCACCAATGGCAGAAATCTGAGCGGAATTTCAAGACCGAGAAAACAAGTTGGCTCATCGTTTCACAAACAACCACAGTCAATGCTCAATCTGCGCGGACATTCGAGGGATCGCAAGCCGTCGAACGGTCGACCCTACGAACTCGCAAACAGCAGGTCTGCATCGAATTTGAGGGTGGCTAGCCGACTCAACCCAAGCACAGTGCAATACAAAAAATCTATGCCTGCGCTGTCGAGATACGATATCATACGCGAGGAAAATGAGCGGGACGACTATGACGAGGCGTTCGAAGACGACTTGAAGTTCGAAAAAAGTCTCTTACAGCCCCAATTTTTGTCGGATGATGACGACAAATCGCCTCTAAACTTATCACCTTCGCAATACACTGTAACCGCAGATGATTCTTTGCTCACACCTCAGTTGCATAAAAGGCATTTCGAATGGGTTAAACCTAGCCAATTAGGAATGTTCAGAGAGCCCGCAAAGTCTTCCAAGCCTAAGAAGAGACTCTCCGCAAGCAGACGACTAAAGACCATTAAGCAGGAAATTGACCACAACACGCCCATGAAAAAGGGTCGCATGGTTTATAATCCAGAAACGCTGACTTGGGAAGGAAACGAGCAGGCCTTGTCAAAATTTCGTGACGTTGACACCTTTGACAAGAAAGCTATTGTCATTAAAGAGAAGCCTGAGCTTCAACCGCCCGACGAGGGTGGTAAACGTTCTAAATTTAAACAACACGGTAAAGTTGTTGGTCGAATGATGTTCGATCAGGAGAATCTATGCTGGGTCAGAGTCGACGGTAACGAAAAGAACCCTTTTAAGGAAATTCCGGAGTTTTTTCCGCGCACTAGCAATGTGAACGTTCCTGGTACAGGTATGAATGGTGTATCTTCCAAACGATCCCAGAGTCATTTTGCCCCAACCCGGGAAAGTGGACGTTTTGCATCTACCGCGACTACGCGATTTCATTCCTTGGGCACAAATCCGTCTTTGCACGATTCCACGTTCAGCGTGGATTCCAAGACACTGGAAAGGTTTTATCATGAGGAGAACCGGTGGAGTAAAAAAGTCGGGGGATGGTTCATTCTCCGAGATGTCGAATCGGAGGAATATGACGCCGACGAAGGTCTGCCGGATTCCAAGGGCAACGATTACATGTATGAGATAAGAAACATGGTGATAAGCTCTGCAAGGAATTGAGATAATATCTTGGATAAAGTTGTAACGGTAATGTAAAATTAAGTTAGTGTCGGTATAATAAAGTAATGGCTAGGGCAGCAGTGAATTTTGACGACAAATGCAAGATGCTAAAATGGACTATGTTGCTCTATTGACGAACTAGAGGCCATTTGAAAGAAGTAATACAAGCATTCAGGCTCCACGCGACGACATATGGGTTCAAGACGTACTTTATAGTTGTTAAGAGAAACCCGGCTCAAGATGTAAGAAACCCGTGAAATATAAATACCGCGAATTGTGCTACTCATGGGTTTTGAAAGACGCCTAACTGCCTGTCACAACTGCGAAACACAACTAACCTGATCGAAACACTTATATACACGGGAAGGATCCAGCAAACGTATCGCAGTCGAATATTTTGAAACTGTTGTTGTTGCGGTGTCTACGCTACGACCTCGAGAAAGGGTCCTTTTTTTTAGTTTTTTTTCTCCCTAGTCACTACAGATCCCAATTACAGCCATTGAGCACTTTCGATGCTCGGTCGAACTTCGTTCAGGCTTCGTTTCACCATGTTTATAGACGTTTCACGTTGAAACTACCGGTTATTGTCTCGAACATTTCGTGGTTTCTCACGCATTGTCTTTTATATATATGTTTTGGTTTGCTGACGTAAGCGATCTGTGAAAAAGTTCGAGATTTCTAACAGTTATAGAATAAATAGATGTGGTATTTAACATAAAACAGGCTCGATGAGGTGAGTTGTGAGCCAAGAGAAATACAGTCAAGTGGAGGAAGAAAAGAGGTGTTAAAGCAGCAGATAGAATCAGCTCTTATAAAATATCAGACATTTTGGTTTGGACTTTTACATCACGTCACGTCCTTAGCGTTTCTGGCACTCAATCATGTTCCGTAATGACTGGCAACTGTCAATGAATTCGAAGACGTTCGATGCGCTGGATTGTTCGTTGTTTCGCAACTTCAAAGCAATGACGATTCTTAACTATGCCTTTTTCGTGCTGTTCTTGACAGGGTTGAAGATCGCGCTGTTTGTTTCGGACGTTTACACCTGCATCAAGCTCTTGGCGTTCAATACGTGGTCTAATAACATCATTCAGCCGTACATCCCATTTCGAATCAGCAAATGGCTGTTCAGCGGATGCATTTTGGCGTCCGTGGTGCTGATCTTGTGGGAAGTGGCCAACGGGATCCGGATCTATCGTACCCGTAACATCTCGCTCACGTACGTCAACAACTTTTCGCGAAGCGCGTACTCGCTCAGTCAATACAACAAGTTTTGCGTGTACAACCGGATCGCCCCGCAAGGAGCGTTCCAGAAAGTGGCGTTTTACACCTTCTTTGAACTTAAGGACTGTGTGCGGCTGCTGGTCACCGATACGCCACGCCAGGTCATCAACGGGCTCACATTGTGGTCGGTTTTGGTGTCACGTACACACGACAATTTGGGCCAACTCGAGAACATCAGTGGTCTTTTGGCCAAGATAAAGACCATAGCGCAAACGAACCGCGAAGAAGCGGTCCTGCTGTCGTTCATGCTGTTTTCGTTCGTGATTTGGGCGTTTTTCATGACCAAATTTGTGACCGCTTGTATCTGCTCCATTTATGTGTACTACAGACTTCTCAAGGACAGGAAACGCGGTCTCAAAGAATTCGTGTGTGTCACAGTGAGCGAACATGTCAATCACCTTGTCGAAAAGTATAGAGAAAAACGTTTTGGAGAGGCAGGTGCCTTGGACGACACCGCATATAGAATGGACGAAAACAAGTTCACATTTAATGCTTCTACCACAGATTTGTTGCCCAAACCGACCCTGGACGACGATTTAGAAGCAGGTCAGCAAACGAGACGGCCTTCTCCATATGTGTCTCCCTTTGAAGGCTCAAAAACAGGTTTGACGTTCCGAAGTGATACTTTCATAGATTCTGACACTTCTGGTGAGCTCCAGCAGCTACCCAACAAATCTAGCGAGTTTTTTGGAAACACGCGCCCAGACTTGGAGAATTCAAGCGTATTGACGAGAAATACATCGACCCCACAACCGTTCATCACAGATTCTGCCGCGCCTCTGCTTCAAGAATTGCAAGACGCAAAAGAGATTCACCGCGAGCCAAAATCGGGTAGAATTCCTCCTCCCGACGAAAGCGATCCAGTACAAGCACTTTCGCCGATTGTCAACCTTGACAATGCGAATGTGAGGGCTGGTGCTTACAATACGGTTTCAAAATATTCAAAAGTGAGCACACCAGAGAGAGCATATTTTGGTGAGCCAGAAAACACGTTTCCGGAGCGAAATGCGAGTTTGTTGGACAGACGAGGCCGAATTAAAGATGAGGATTACGGATACTATACAAAAACAGGCGAGTGAGACGGGTGCGGGTGCGATTGATAATGACAGGTTTATAAGTACGGTATAAGAAAAGGAAAATTGTAACATTTGAATAGAGGAGAAGGGCTAGCCAGAGGCTTGAGAGGGTACGTGGGGAAGTCTTACAAGTTTGTACCGAGACGATTTGAATGACAGAGAGTTTGGCTAGTCCACTGGTGAGTTGGTTTTAGTCCGCGATCATGACCAAAAAAATGTCAGTATTAACTACAAAACGGGCTACAAGTTTTGAGTTGTGAAAGATGGTTTTGAGAGTCCGTACAAGTGTTAAAAGATGTATCTACAGCTTCCAGGCTCGATTTCCTCGTATCTAGAGTTATTCTCGAGATTAATATGTCGTAGCACACTAAAGTGGAAGGTGAAATACAAATAGAGAGACAGAGAGGGAGAGAAAAATGCAGAGAGGTACACCGCATAAACACAAACTGGAACGTTATGTTGCATCATGTAGAAGGACGTCTATAACTAAGAAGCTATTACCCAGATCTCCATTGCTTGAGTGATCGATCACGTGACTTTGTGTGTCAGATCTCACATCCGCATTTCCCCCATTGTTCAAATGCTTCTTTCCACCAGATCTTGAAGCCCACAAAATCCAACCTGCAATGACGTTGTTTTCTCTTGCCCATCGATTGAGCTCCAGGTACTACCTTAAACGCTTGCACCCTCGCTCTCACGTATATAGTGATCTACATTATTTCTCTATACCAACAACCAATAACACACGTCAAGTGAGTAGTACAACATAACAGTAGCACAGACCAGAATCTTACTCCGTCCGTCTATCCTCTACGCTATCCCACATTCTTCTATACTGATCCCTCTCATAACTCATTGTTGTTCGTCCTCATATCACGCGACCCAAGCGCAACAACTCCTCAACTCACTTACAACGACCCAGCCAAAATTTCCCGATCCAGCCGTTTTAGATTACAAAACCCAAAAATTAAAAAAAAAATTACGACTATATAAGAACCAATGATTTTTGCCACTTTTCCTCTCTAATGTAATTTGTCACCCTTTTTTGGACAGGATCGACAAGACAGAGCAGCGTATCTTACTATAGATCCATTACTCTATCTAACCAATTACTACACAAGAAAGCGCGAAGCGATGTCTGCTCCTACAGGTGACATTGGATTGATCGGTTTGGCCGTTATGGGTCAAAACTTGATCCTAAACGCTGCAGACCACGGATACACCGTGGTTGCTTACAACAGAACCGTGGCGAAAGTTGACCATTTCATGGACAACGAGGCCAAGGGCAAGTCAATCATCGGCGCCCACTCGATCCAGGAGCTCGTGGACAACTTGAAAAGACCTCGTCGTATCATCCTGCTGGTCAAGGCCGGTGCCGCTGTAGACGCGTTCATTCAGCAATTATTGCCATACTTGGAAAAAGGTGATATCATCATCGACGGCGGTAACTCGCATTTCCCAGATTCCAACCGTCGTTTCGAAGAGCTAAAGGAACAAGGCATCTACTTTGTGGGTTCTGGTGTTTCCGGTGGTGAAGAAGGTGCCCGTTACGGACCTTCTTTGATGCCCGGTGGTGCCGAAGAGGCGTGGCCACACATCAAAGAGATTTTCCAAGCGATCTCGGCCAAATCCGACGGCGAACCATGCTGTGACTGGGTGGGACCTGCCGGTTCCGGTCACTACGTCAAGATGGTGCACAACGGTATCGAGTACGGTGACATGCAGCTGATCACCGAAGCTTACGACATCATGAAGCGTGTTGGTCATTTCACCGACAAGGAGATTGGTGACGTTTTTGAAAAATGGAACACCGGTGTGTTGGACTCGTTCTTGATCGAAATCACCCGTGATATCTTGAAGTACGACGACAAGGACGGTACCCCACTAGTCGAAAAGATTATGGACTCTGCCGGCCAAAAGGGTACCGGTAAATGGACCGCCATCAATGCTTTGGATCTTGGTATGCCAGTTACCTTGATTGGTGAAGCTGTTTTTGCCCGTTGTTTGTCCTCTCTAAAGTCTGAAAGAATCAGAGCCGCCGGCATTCTACCTGGCCCAGAGGTGGCCAAGGACACCGTCAAGGACAAGCAACAGTTCATCGATGATCTTGAGCAAGCCCTTTACGCCTCCAAGATTATCTCCTACGCTCAAGGTTTCATGTTGATTCGTGAAGCCGGTAAGACCTACAACTGGAAGCTCAACAACCCAGCCATTGCCTTGATGTGGAGAGGTGGTTGTATCATCAGATCTGTTTTCTTGGCCGAAATTACCAAGGCTTACAGAGACGACCCTGAATTGGAAAACTTGTTGTTCAACAAGTTTTTCACCGACGCTATCACCAAGGCCCAATCAGGATGGAGAAAGACCATTGCTTTGGCCTCTACCCAAGGTATCCCAACCCCAGCCTTCTCCACCGCCTTGTCCTTCTACGATGGTTACAGATCTGAGAGATTGCCAGCCAACTTGCTACAAGCTCAGCGTGATTACTTCGGTGCCCACACTTTCAGAATCTTGCCTGAACATGCCTCCAAGGAGTTCCCAGAAGGTTCCGACATCCACGTCAACTGGACTGGTAGAGGTGGTAACATCTCTGCCTCTACTTACCAGGCTTAAGTGCGTTTTGTGGGTTTTGTAGATTCACCACGGACAATCGCTTATACATGATAATGAATGAATATTGTGCGGTACTTGGGTTCTAATGGCACAATACACCGAGGGACACAATCCTTTCCCGTGATCTCGAAACTAGACATATAAGCCAATATAAGCTGTACCAAATTTACAATTTTTAGTCTCCAGATTAGTCCCCCAGGGCCATTAATTGGTAGCAGTGAATACCCCATGACTTCCACCTCTAGGATCCAGTTAAGTCGACTGTTGTTAACATCTGGCATAATGGTTTCTTCATCGTTTTACTGAATGTTCAGTTTCGAACACAACACATTAATTTTCTTGAAAGTGTCAGCGTCAGTCACAAAATATTCCAATAATGATGGTGACCGTATTGCAACTTCAAGTGCAGTCGTCCGTTTCACCACAACCACACCTCCATTAGGATCTTATCAATCGAGAACATCAGGTATATATCATGGGTGATTATCACAGGGAGCAAGACCAATTGTACTCCAAGCAGTCATACGACAGACCCGAATTGCTAGAACCGCATCATGAGCGATACGACGGTGCAAAACGTCCCTTTTATCGTGAAAGGGTTATTGCGCCAGAACCACCCAAGTTTTTTGATCGAGTAAAGTCAAAACTTAACCTTTTCCGTGGTTCCGATAATACAGATGACAGTTCTATGGATCAAGGTTCGACCATGACCCGCCAAAGTCAGTTGTGGAATGCTATAAAGCGGAAACCTATCCAACTGATCGTTGAAGACAACGATGATAGGGTGCACTTCAATGACGGCAATCTACCTGCTCCGATTTTGGAAAGTGCGAACACATTTCTCACAGACAACAATCAAAATTATGGGCGTAATGTTAATTCTCCAAAGCGGAAAGACGTCAATTCCAGCGTACCATTGAGTGGATCGCCTTTCGCAGCCACTGGTATCAGCGATTTCATTGGTTTCGAAAACGATATTGTTGTCACGAAACCGGCGTCTCCGTGGGACAAAATTGCCGCTAAATCGTCCTTAAAGGGTTCAACAACGCTTCATACTATTCAAAAGCGCTTGTTGCAAGTCTCAGCGAGGAAGTCAGAAGTTTCCAAAAGCTACCAAAAACTCCTAAAAGAGTTGAACGAGTGGTGGGAAGACACTATTGAAGCAGAAGAAAACATGGATCTGGTTGTAGATTTACAAAAACTGTTCCACGAAGATCTGATGTTCGAGCAAAGGCTATCTAACAAGCTCAAAGAGATATCAAAGGCCCTCGAATTCACCAAAATGCGAGAAGAAGAGATGCTCCATGAGCGCAAAGAATTGCAACACATCATCAGGAAGTATGGTCAGACGCGGGCTAAGAAAGGCAATAACAGTGAAGAAGCTCATTTTTTGAAAGAGAAGGTTATCACAAGACAGAATTCGTTGTCGACCATAACATCCCACTACCAACAGTCTTTGTGCACCACGGCTCGAGAGCTTTTTGTCAATGCAAGCGTTGAATACTTCGAGACGGCATCAGATGTGAAAGAAGCCAGTAAGAGTTTCTTCCAAAATTCGGTAGAGTATTTGCGAACAATTCAAGCGGGAAATATAGAACAGCATATCGAAGATCTAAGAAGAAAGCGTGCTGATAAGCATTGGTCAAAGCTTACACCACAGGAAAGAGATGATCCTAACAGGCTTGTGGAGATCATGAGCGGCATGTACAACGGTCAAGATTCCTTGATGAGATGTGTCAACAAGAAAGTACCGCTGAAGGCCGCTCCTAAAATGTCCAACATTTCCGAAAAGGAAAACATGGCCCAAAAAGAAGACCAAGGAGAGCTCAAATTGGAATTTAGAACCGGTTTGGAAGAATCTCTATCCCAATTTCCCAGTGAAAGTAATAATAAGTCCGTTGCAGAAGAAAGCTTTGCCAAAATGTCGGATTACGCAAAAATTAGAGAGAAAAGAAGTATCCAGGGCACATCACTCGGCTCTAATCGGACACTAAGATGCGAGGGTTTCACGCAAAACTACCCTGATAAAAATCTCTCACGTCTTCCTTATCCTGATACATCAGATACTCTCCGAGCCCATATCGAAAATATGAAAACTGGGCTCAAAGCTAGGAAAGGAACGGTTGACATGGAGCTTTCAAATTTTGATGACGAGGGCATGATCATAGAACTTGCTCAAGGTAAAAATGATCTTCCCAGGGATGTCTACGAACCTGAACAAGAATTGAACCGCAACAGATGGATAGAATCTCCCAGAGTATAGCTGTTGCTAAGAACACCACAATACCGCGTTGTCGGTGAATCATTAATTCGTTTTACTTGTCATATTTACAGTAAAAAATTCGTACTTTTGGAACACTTTAGGGTAATGCTGCTGGAATTGTAACTAAGTGCTGAACAGAAGCTTGCAAACTTCGTAAGTTGATATCATAATGGCACAACTAGGTGCGACTTTTATGAGTCTTGGTAAGAGACCTGTGTACAATGCGACAATACCTTCATTTTTTCGTATCTCGTCTAGATACCTGAACATGTTTTTTGAAGGATGCGAGGAATTCAAATTGTTCATGGAAAAACGGATTTGCATCCGAGTTTTACCCACGTCGAACGGATGGGTCAAAATCGCGGCTATGGTACCACTAATACTTCCTCCAATGAAACTGTCGATGAAGTGATTCCAGTGATTATTCGAAGAGACAGTATTCATGTAGTTTACCGATCTCTTTCTGTAAAATTCGTAGCTACCCCAGTAAATAGCGCTAAAGGGAACGTCCCGCCAAAGCGTTATTTCTAAACCTTTGAACAAAGCTTTATATCCAATTTTTGAAAACTCCAGTCGAGACTCTTTAATCAAATCTTTAATCATCATGGCCGCTGTGCTATTGGAATTCGACCTTGGAATGCTTTGAAGACGTGTTCGTATTAGTTCCAAAGGTGCCACAACGGTGGCGGCCAAAACTCGAGCCGCAGCACCGCAAATAAGTGGATTCAACACTGGATACGTATCTTGCAGCTGCGTCTTATCTCGCAGAGTTTCGTACCCAATGAAATATACCATATTGGCCGGTGCAGCCATCAATAAGGTGATCGATATGCCTCTCCAAAGACTAGTTATGCCTTCCATTTTTGCTATTTTCCCAAACGCATCCCAGGTGCTATTGTATTTTACTGGTCCCGTCTTGCAACTCACATCTTGAAAGCAAGAATCTTGCCAGAAAAGACCCTTTCCAGGCCCCATTTTAGCCAGAGGAGTCCCCTCCGTATCGCAGACGCAATCATACAACATCTGTTGTTGCTGAAGTCGTATTCTTACCACATCCATTGGTGTTAATATCAGTGATGTTAGCAGTGAACCCGCAACAGCGCTCAGCAACCTTTCCCGTAGACCAATTGCGGTTTTCTTTTCATTACTCATGATAATTAAATCCACCTATCTCACCAGTAGGCTTGCTACAAATGGAATAAAGCCTCTAGACTTGATGGCTTGGAACAATCGATTGTAAATTCCAGCTTAAAGGTGCATCTCTAATAGTTCCAGTCAGTAACGTCATTTAAAAATTTAAAGATTGAGGTGTCAGGAAAGAAAAAAGTGACATTACAGTGACAGCGACGTTAAGTCGATTCGACCAACGATCATCGAACAACGGACAATCACGATTTCGAACGGACATCCAGTCATTGACAAATAATGGCAAGTTTTGAACTTATTCTAAACAATGATTTGAGGATCTTGGCCGATGCTGTTCGTGAATTTAATTTCTGGAAATGTTTCGAAATTCGATCCTAACGTCGTTTTCCGGCCAAATTCAGAGGTATTTCTGGAGTTAGATCATAAAGCTTTCGAACTAGAGTGTCCAGCCGCTTGGATTGTAAGTGGAGGATCTCATCGGCAGTGTTGAAGGAGATTTTCGTCATGATGGGGTCGTCGTGCTGATCTGAAGTTGCGAAATCAAATTCCTGCTCCTCCCAGTCCAGGTCAAATTCCACACCGTAGCAGTCCGACTGCCAATGCCCACTGGATGCGACAAAAGTGGGCACATTTTCAATCCATTTGCTTACCTTCTCTTGGTGGGGCATGTTGGTGGCAGAACGTGGGTTGAAGTAGGACGGAAAAGTCTGGAAGCTGAACTGTTCAAAGTCATCGAATATATGATTCATTTCCGTATTACATGTGTCTAGCGGTTTGGTCGCTTGCGAGACTGGTGTTGGTGCGCCAAAAGTATTGCCTGAGTTGAGCTGGTTGAAATTGTTCGCATAGTTCATCAGAGTATATTGAGCGCTAGCACCAGGAGCAGGCTGACCGTAGCTCCTGTTGTTCGTGTAAGAAGAATTCCGCTGCGCCACGTTGCTGTCAAAATGAGAGCTCGACAACATTCCCTGGGTCTTATCAGGACTCTCCAATCTGGAATAGCTTGGCTCCGAAGCGTCAAAACGTTTAGATTTCTTGATCTTGAAACTCTCTCCTCTCTTCGGAGATCTTTCCAATATGGGTTTACCAGCTAAAGTACCGGAAGACTGTTCAATGTTCATGATACTGCCGTTGGCAACCAGCACTCTTGCACCTTTATGATACGATCTTTGAGGTTTCATTGCTGCCAAAGTTCTTACGGAAAAATTACAAGCCACTGGCACCTTGACTCAATAGACGATGCCAAGAAGGTGCCAATCGTACTATTTCTTCAACTCAACCACAATGTTCTTGCTAAAACCAAGAAACATTGTACTGACAGAAAAACGTCGCATGAGTTTCCGGAAAAATTTGAGCATAATAGAAAGAGGAAAAGGACACCATGACAGGAAAAGCTACTGTGTTTTTACTTGGTCTTCAGCTTTTTCGATTTTATTTTTCCACTGGCCTCTTTTATCCGTTTCCCCAACTTTAGATCCTTACCAGCTTTGATGTATTCCGTGGGGAAAAAACTTGTCAAAGTCCTTTCTAAACCAACTTTCTTTCGATTGTTCATCTCTCTTATCAACGGAACCATCACTTCATCCGTCTTCTCTTTGGGCCATCCAATAGTGGATTTGAAGAATTCCCGAAGTCTGTCCAGGTCGGGCACGCCCCAGGTGAATTTCGTCGAATCACGGTCTACCTCTGGACGCAGGTAAGCTTCTCTTACCAGGTCGCTAGGAAATTCAGACCCAAGAACTACCTCATTAGTAGCGAGCTTCTTACGCAGTTTTTTTTCAAATGCCGATTCTTTTCCCTGAAGCTGCTTGTCGAATTGGGCTCCATTATACCAATCCCGGAAGTTCATCAAACTTCCAAACTCTGCCAACACTTCCATGGCAGATACGGGCCCTATTGTTTTGACACCTGTAGTGTAATCACTCCCAAGAAGCAGGGCCAACTCGATGAATTTTTCCCTGTCCAAACCAAGCTCCTTGACGATCAAGTCGCCGTAATAGTACTCCACATAATTCTTTTCTTGGAACATGTTCTTATAGACCTTGTCGCCCCCGAATAAAAATATATCACTGTCATCCGTGATAATACCATCAACAAGTTTCAGCATGAGTAGCTCAGCACACTGAGCTTCGGCCTCCATCGGTGCTGTCAAATAAGGAATCCCAAATCGTGTGAGTAGCTCTTGTACTTCCGCTACCATAGCAGCTGTAACTTCATCAGAGTCCCTCTTGTCTCTCATTTGTTGTCCTTCCAACTCGTCATCAATAAAAGTAGCGCCGGCACTTGTCGGATTCAGAGCACTTTTGAAGGTATTGTAATCTTGCTCCTCTTCCCTGAGCTGATGAACAAGAGCATCTTCCTCCCCTTCCGAAAAATCGTAATCTACAACAGGAGCAGGTTTCGTGCGTTCAGCTGCCTTTTCGACATTGTCGGGGCTAGGCCAAGGGCTAGGTGACTGTACAAGTTTGTTATCAGGTGGTGGAATTTCTTCAAGTTCATCGTTGTCTGGCACCTCATCACCCTCTCTTGTTGCCGATAAAATTTCGGCCGCTTGTGGCCCAGTAAAAAGAAAACCTCTCTCTTTATCCACTGTGCTATCGTTGTTTTGATCGCTCGTCAAGAAAGAAGTTCCTAAATGGGGATTGAACTGCGAAGGGCCAGATGACTTGAACCACTCAGGCGTTGGCAATTTAGGCTTTTCCGGAAGACTGCCAGACTCTGATTCTAGCTCTTCAACATCGTCGATTGATTTTTCTTCTTTCTCATCTGATTGAGCTTGTGCAGTTGTCTCGACAGGCTTATACAGCACGGTGTTTGGCGTTTCCTCTTGTAATGGATTCGATTTCGATTCAACAGATCCTCTCTTTTCTTCTTGCCGCCTCAATTGGATTTGAGAACCGCCTGCATTGCTGGATTGGACACGATCAAGATCTTCGAGGTCTTCATCTAATAACTCTGATTCGGGCATTTGGTATCTAGCACCCTTCCCAGACCTCTTCACATTTTCCATGAGCTGAAGGTCTTTCTCTAGGTCTGCGTACTCATCGTCACTCTTCTCATCATAATCATGACTTTTGATGTCGTTTATAGCACCATATTGATCACCCTGCCCAACGTCAAACCCTACTGCTTCATCGGGAACGTGTACTAAATTCTTAGCCTTCTTAGCTGGCTCTGATTCAGCATGTCTTTTATCCAAAAACGATTGCCCTCCTCCGAATTGCAAACTTGTACCCATTGCAGGAAGTAAAGAGGCCTTTACGGAATAATCGACCTCTTCTTTTTTCCCGGTCTCTTTGAGCTCTATGTCCTCCCAATCCACCCCGTTATCATCCTCGTCATCTTCATCATCATTGTGGCTGCTATGAGCAGCTGTTACTTGAGGCTTCTCGTCTAGCGTAATTGCTTTGCTAATCTCAGAACCGTCGTTGCCTGTCAAACTGAGCGCCCATCCGTTTTCGGTACGGATCAGCTGGTATTCTTTACCATGTTGTCCTGCCACTCGCGAATTGGGTCCATAGTCAGGCTTCGATGCACCGCCATCATTTGTGTTAGTGGCAGTCATCAATTTTTGAGTGAAGAAGTTTCGCCTTTTCACCATATCTATCTGAAATTTTGAGAAATCCATGCTGTCCGGGAAAAGATTCTCTAGCTGTTCCTTCGAGTAACCCAATCTCAGTCTGGATTTGAGTCTCAAGGCCGACAAAATCATGTACTGAGTCGACTTCGGCAATTCGTCGAACTCTTTGGAGGCAGGATTTATCGAGTCAAGGTCTACACCGTCTAATTCGTCAATGTTTTCCATGATGGTTTTGAAATCGTCTGCGTTGATTCTGGTATCGCTGGAATCGTATTTGAATCCAGGTATTCGAGGTAGATCGTATTCGTCGTTAAGTTTGTGCACATGCGGTTGAGGCGTGGATGAGAGAGTTCCCATGTTCCCATTGCTTTGCATCTGACGTGCCAGAAGCTTTTTGGCTGTAGTGGCAGCATTCTCCCTACGACCTTGACGTCTCTCTTTACGTTGCTGAATTGTTCGTTTCTTCAAAGCTGGTGCTCCTCCATCAAAGACAAAGACTGGTTTGATTCCAAAATACAGCAGTTTACAGATACGTCTGAAAAATCCAACAACATGGGAGTAGCGCATAGCATTTCCTTCTTTATCTCTCACAGCTTTGAGAAATTGATATATCCAAATTGAAGCATCAACTGCCAGCCGTTTGTTCTTCAACGAATCCAATCGCACGGGTTTGGCGGTAGGCCCCAAAATGTCCCAAAGAGCATGAACACCCATTTGTGAATGAGCTAACTAAAATCAGATGGCTATCCGCAGGTCGGAGATGCTTGTTGCTGGCGAGATGCTGGTTAACTTGAACTTTAGATATATATTGAATGTCTGATGGGGAAAAAGTGATAACGGGTACCGGTGGTGTCAGAGAATGTCAGTGTAATCGAGCTACGAGAAAATAATGGTAGCTCGAGTACAGAAGCATTTGGTGTCTTGTGAAAATTACAGAGACCTTTTAAGCCGTGTTGGTATTTTGACCCTTCCTATGTATACCAATTTCCAAAAAAATATGTTCCGACTGGGGGTCGAACCCAGGACCTTAACCGTGTGAAGGTTACGTGATAACCACTACACTATCGGAACGCTTACTGACAGAGAAATGGTAAGGTTCAACATAACCCAATCCAAAGGCATATGATCTCAGCGATTACCTCTGCCATGTCTAAACGGTTACAATGACGAATGAGACAGTTGTTTAACGTTTACTTATGGTTCTCTATTTGCCCTCTACAGCGTTAAGAATAATTTTAACCTGCGCGCAACAACCTGGCCTTTTAAAATCCTCTGTTCCGTGCATTGAAGGTCCCGTCTTTATTATGATGATGCAGGTCCACGACATCTCATCATTGGCACAACACGCTGTCTTCGTCATTGCTAAGCTGTCCTTTTAGGTTGTCCACTTGACCCGTTGTACTCATGATATCTGGATGTCTTGTTTGTTACGCCTTATTCATAACATGAAAACTGCGATTTCTGAGTGATTGATACATGGTAAGAACAAAGCCGAATGATGAAGTGTGTCTGCTCTAGAGACGGAAATACACGATACAGCGGAAGTTTGCATCGACCTACAGGCCATGAATTTCTTGTACATCCATTTTTCTTATCCAGTTCATTTTACTTACTAGCGCTTTGAACTTTACAGTTTGTACGATATAGTAGCTGCCGTGAGGGTTGAGCGCCATTCTTTTAATTTAGTACAGAAACTGGTCTCTGCACCGCTTCAATAGTAGAGGTAGTCTGACCGTGCATCAAAACACTCGTAGACGTTTATCGTTGAGCTGTGTGAGCTGGTAGCAGCCAGCATCATCTCATGCGGATGGAATGCCATCGTAGAAACGAAAGAATTGGGCAGTCTCGAACTACTCATTCCGGTGGTTAGCGTGTTAGCCATGCCACCCGCGTGTGTCTGTGAATTCTTGAAAGTAGAAAGCAGATCACCCGCTGTGGTCCAGATTTTTACTTGCTTAGTTCCGGTGGCTATGACTGGTGCGTGCTCGTGGACCTGCATTGAGGTCATCGTAGTTACCCGCGATACAGATGAGCCTGTGTTCTCGCCTTCGTCCTTAAACCGATCAATTGTATGAGAGCTTCTTAAGTCCCAAAGTTCGATAAGACCTCTATCTGTGCCACTAACCAGTTCTCTGTAACCGCCTCTTTGCAAATGAACGTTGTTTATACCAGCTTTCGAATGGCCTTCGTCCGATCTCCACAAGTGCACCATCGAATCTCTTGGATCGGCACGGCGATCGTACGCCCTCAGTGACCCATCTAAGAACCCTGCTACAAATATGTTTCCAGAGAGCTGATCAGAAGTGATGGATGTTATGAGGGAGGAGGACTTTGCAGGAATATCAACTTCAACAGTTTCTGTTAGTGCATCCCAAACACGTACAATTTTGGCATCCCCGGTTACTAGCAGGGATCCTCTACTTTGTTGCCACTCAGTCAACAAGCCTGTGGATCTTGGTGTCAAAAGCAAGTCAGTGAGACCTCTCCACGACGTCACCAGCTCCAGTTCGTCTAGGCTGTGGAATTTGCTATATATCTTGACAATTCCATCAGAAGAACCTGAGAGCAACAATGGTATGTCATCTTCGTTCAGATACTTGATGTCTGTGATCTTAGTCCCGAAGGGGTTGCCATTTGAGAAAGTCGCCAGTCTAGAGCCCTCGGTCCAGTCAAAGACTGAAATATTATCTCTGTCGTCAGCAGATACTATGTAGTTCTCAAATTGACTGAACTTCAAAATTTTGGGCTGAGACTTGTTTTCCAACGACGTCGAAAGGTTGGACCAATCCCCATACAATGACAACTTTTTTTGAGCTTGAGTCCTTTGAATGATCGTCTCATTTCTATTTTTTCGCCACAGTCGAGAGGTATATTCAACACTACCAGGCTCATCAGCCTCTTGCTTTTTCATCTGAGGCTCTTGAAAATATTCCCGGGAGTAATTTAAGAAGGAACTTGTGAGCGGAATTTCGAGGCGACTTCTCGGTTTTCGCACTCTTTGCGTCATAGCCACAGGGGCTGTCCCATGTGGCACACTCAACATGTTTGAACCTTTCAGCCTTTCAAAAGTTCTCCTAGCCGGGGTTTCAGCTGCGTTGTGATTTGTGTTGCTTTCCCATCCTAAAGATTTAAAGAGACCACTTAAAGATGTTATTCTTTTTGTCTTGCTCTTTTCAGAACTCTGTAATTCATGACTATCTTGCGGCTTGTCCTTCACAGAGAGGCTCGTTGGCCTCTTAGCAACAGGTAGCGTCGACACCATCGCGGTGGCAGTATTCGAGGCAGCTAGACCTCCTCCTGTATGATCCATTAGATATAGCTCCATCAAAGCAACGACCTCACCCAACTGCTCATTGTCGCTTAGTTTGACAAGAACATAGTCTACGACCTCTTGAGCGAGATGCTTGTTTTCCGCATACGGATCTTCGGCCAATATCAGAAGGGATTTCCAAATCGTATAAAAGATGGATCCATGAGCGACAGACTGCTTGCTGTCTAGGCCACAGCCCTCCCATGTCGGTTCCAACTGTGCTATTTCGTCACATATCTCTTGGAAGGCAATAACAAGGAAGAAACTAATGTAGCGATGAGCTAGATGGGAAAGACATATAATCAATTCCTTTCGCACGAGAGGGGACCCATCGTTCACTAGCCCTAAAGCACCAATGGTCATTTTGATTTCCTCTTGCTTGAGCCGCCTTGAATCCATATTTCTCAACTGAGTAAGAAATTCTTGGATCTGAAGCAGCTGGCGTTCTACCTGTGCGTGCTGTCTCTGCATCTGGCCGGAAGATTGTAATGACTGTAGTTGGGCTTGCAACTGTTGGCTTTGCTGCTGCATTTCGTTTTGAAGCTGCAAAGCGAGTTCAGGCTCATCTTTTTCGGAAAGAAACATGTTGATTGCCAAAAGTGCAGCACACCTAACCTCTGGTATCGGGTCTTTCAAAGACGTGTATATTTTCTCCAAAAATCCGCAGGTCAGGCAGATGTATTTGTTTACAGGATTTTTATAGTACAGTTGGCCGGTTAGAAGAATACACCATTGTCGTAATAATGGTACATCAGATGTTTCAACGTAAAGGCATAACTTATTGACGAGCTCCAGAGAAAATGTACATTTTTGTCCCAAGGGGAAGTCTCGCAAAAAGGAAGAAAGAACGAATATTGCCATTGCCTTTTGTTCATCAGTAGTATTATTTGCTAATGCCGCAGAGCCGTTCACAGTCCCGTTTTGCAATGATTGATACATTTGGTACCGTTGAGTTCCTAAACTTGCATTGACATTCATTGTCAAACCACCACCACCACCACCACCACCACTGGCAGCGCGCTGGAGTTGAGGTGCGGGTCCAGCCGCAGTCGTTCCCCACTCCGGAACTAGCATTTTAACAAAATACAAATAACCCTTTTCTTTGATGAGTTCCGACTGTGTGTTTTTGTAATCGATTGACATGATACGCGCCCAAATGAAAACGAGAATTGGTCTAAGTTCGGGAGCAGGACTTTGCAAGAGTTTCAAAACGTACGGAAAAATACCAATGGATAATGACAAGTATACCGCCCAGGGACCAAGATCTAAAAATCGAGATAAGAGGACCAAAGCCCTGACGCGATGAACTTGAGAAAGCAAGACTTGTAACACAATAGGGAGTTGTTCAGGTGGGTTTCTAGTGTTTGACCCATACTTCAGCCAGAGCTCGAATGCGGTGAGGTTTTGCTCAAAAAAATCCGTAAACTGCTGTTGCTGTAGTTGAAGCTGAGAACCTGTTAGGTGCTGTTGCTGAGCTAAGTGTTGCGAAACCTGAGTTGCACTAGGTAGATGATGATTCACCAGTGACATTGTACTGAGCGTGCCAGCGTTTGCTTTCGAGATTATATTATCCTCACTCCCATTGATGTGCTGATTTTGTAACACAGTCTGCACCTCAAGCTCTGTGGAGCTTTGGGGCACGGCTTGGATATCATTTGCAAGCTTGCTTAGCACCTCGTCGATGGCCAGATCCCAAGACTTCCACATCGGATGATCGGCTATGGAATCAGGAAGCTCAGGATCAGACACGGGGTGACAGTTAAACCAAGGCATGATCCTCTTTGCCAATAAAAAATTCCTGAAAAGTGCTGCTACCATAAGATCGTGCCTGAAGAGCCTTTTGAAAAGCGGCCGCGGAAGTGAGGTCCACGCTATTGTATCAGTTATAGCTGTGAATATCCAATTGAGTTCACCTAGCGGTGTTCTTCTATCAGAGAGTTTACCAGGAATCGTTACGTTAGGCTTTGCCGCTGGTTTCGACCCATTTCGCAACGTTCTATCATCATTATTTTGAAAAAGAGCCGCATACTTCGAATCTCGTAGAGGAGAGTTCATAAGAAAAATATCAACACTTATCTCAATTGGACAGGTGAGGCAGCAGGTAAACAAATCCGCAGGAAGCTCGGGTTTCATTGGCAGTAACTCATTTGCTCTACAGGAAGCCAGCTGTATACATTCCGCATAGGCTTGGGTTGGTGAAGGTGCAGCGGTGTCGTGGTTACCTTCCTCATCATCTTTTATTCTCTTTTGCACAAAGTTTTGAAAGTTTGTTACAATGTTTCCAGCGCTGTTGCAATCGTATACATAAATGCAAGGAGCGCCAAGCCAGGTTTGAAGATCATACAATGAGACTGGAATGTACTGAGTGTAGCCTCGATTGAACACCCACATTTCACCTGATGCAGTAGGTTGAGGTACACCATGACCGTTATAATGGAACAGAATGCGCTCATCTTTAGAAGCGCGCCGCAGTGAATTACAGAAACGTTTCACATCTTCAACGCACGGATCGAGAGATTGTTTGTAGCGCGTTCTGAGCGAAAGCGTTTCGTATTGTGTCTGCAAATTTTTTCCTATCTGTTCAATGGCCTTTTTGGAATCCTGGAAGTTCAGAGGGTCGACCCAGGATTCAAGTCGGGCACATGGGTGCGTTTTAGCGATATCCGGAGGGTCCACTCCGAGATTTAGACACAACAACAATGCGGCAGAGACGGTTTTTTGACGCTCCTTTAGAATTTTCCAGTCTTTAATTGGCTGATAATACCGTTCTAGGTCCTTTTTCTTCTCCTCTCGCGACACTGGGTTTCCGTTGGTCCTGTGTCTTTTGTCATCAAAGTAAAAAAGGAAATCATTTTCCAGAGACTCGAGAAGCTGCTCAGAAGAGTACTGGTCTCCAAACCCGTGTCTTGTTTCTGTATTCAGTCTTTGCAGCGGTTGAGGTCCATATGTGATGGGCATCCTATAAGATGTTAAAAGTTTGCTTGTTAGTTTGTTGGAAAACTAGCCTCCAAATTTCCGGTTTTTCTTGACCGATATGCTAACAGTAGCTATTCGTCAAAACGAATGCTTTCTAGAACCCGAAAACAGCCAAAATGCGCTAGTTTTTAGTGAGTTTTTACTCTAGTTTCACGCCCTTTTGAAATTTCATTGTTCTTATATGATCAATAATCTATCATTATTATCGAGTGCCAACCGTGGACGACGACGAAACCGAGAAATCTCGCTCCGATTTGTTTAGAACCATATCTGCGATGCTACTGAAGACACCAGAGAAGCTCATGATCACATTTGCGTATTCGAATGATTGTGTGGTAAATTGAAGTTCCTGGCAAAGTTCATTTATTGTGAGTTTCGCTATATAAATTCCCCGATACAAGAACGACCCTCTTATTGCAGGAATGTACCCGCTTTCGGTATGATCTAGCAGAATTAATCAAATTAATTCGAATTTGGGTTTCTTTATGGGGTGCCTACGTGCTGAAAGTTTTATCTTGCCATATGTGTGATTTTGAGAAAAATGCGAGACTACAAAGCGATTCGAAAAGCGATATGCATTCTCTCGTATAAGCGTCTGATGATGGAATCTTCTTGCAGATGTATTAGAGTCAACAGCACTTAGAATAGGTGTATGTTCTGCGATGTGAGAATGTTAAAATGACACTTCGTTATTATGCCCATGTCACTTTTTACAGTTTTGGCACCGCGACAGCGCGTGGTTATGTCAATGCGACGCCCAAAGACATCAGTAATTTGTTTTTTTTTTTCAGACACCAGCGATATTGTTGATACAAGGTGCGGGACTCGAAGTGAGTTCATAGAGTTTCTAGATACGTTAATTATTCCATATCTTTGGTATTGTCTTCCATTGTGATTTAATTAATATAGCTGATATGGCTTCATTCCATGATTAGAAACTTGAGCAGACGCAAGGAAGCGTAGACTGGAGAGACCTTATCTCTCGCTATAGATCTCGAGTCATTGGAGGATAATTGTAAATGAAGAGTTTTCAAGTAAATTGGGGTGAAATTTGTTGAGGCTCGACTACGTCAGCAGTGTTCGAGTTTTTAAACTGCTTCGTTTGTGTCGGAACCTCTGTCTGTCTAGCGTCAGGTCCATGACGAAGTGATCACGTCCACGTGACAGATGACAGCGTCAGAATTAACAAGATGCCCAAGGAATCTAGAACAAGTACTGATCTAACGGAAAGGACGTCGATTGAACCAAGTGATAACACTTGCACTTAGTCGAGTGCACCCAGATCAGCCCATTTATACTATTTGCACCGGAATGCTTGAAAGTTCTCATATTCGTCAGCGACGGAACATCTCAGAGAACTTGTATAAGAAGGGACGTTTTGTCTACCCTGCAAGCTCATTCAATTTACTCTAAGTAAATCACGGAGAGATAAATCTAACTCAATAAACAATAGTTTACACCTTACAATAATGGACAAGATCACCCAAGATATGGAAGGTTTGTCGTGCAACGACATTCCAGAGACAGAGTCCAACACGAGTATAAACAGTTTGCTCAGTCATGATTTGCTCTAAGCGAATCCTTACGGTTTGCGGATCTATCTATCTCTCCGTGACTCTCTTGGTTATAAGTTTGGTACATTCGATTTGACCAAACCACGGATTTTTAAACGATCTTTTGGAGCAACAAAAGCAAACAGTCATTAGTAAAGACTGATTAGTAGAAGTCCTGGATTGCTTGCAAGTTCCGCATAGTGTTGACGTATTGTTGCTTCATATCTTTACGGTTGGTACATTTCACCTTAGCGCTAAATATGTCATTTTAGCCTAATATGTCATTTCCTGATTACGCGATTTGGCACTATCCCATATAGTTTACCAATCCCAACACAAATACCGATTTTTGAACTACTATAGAAGCGATAGCATTAGAATGGATGTTAGTGATCGTTGCCAATGGCTCCAAGGACGCTGGAGGATTATTAACTTGTATGTCTTAAAGTTTGTACGCTGTTCTGTTCAGTTCTGTCGCTGTCGTTCAATCACGTGCATATGATCACCTTGTAAGAGTTCTGACGCTCGACTTAGAAGAGTATGGGACAACACGGAAAGTCGACTAAAAGCTCTTCCCGCATCACAATTCACCTCAAAATTTATCCTAACAATGAGGAATATAGCTCATTATGCTCAAACTGTACGTAGAAGGTACTGTTACTAGGAGCAAGTGAACGATTCAAAGTTCCGTATAGAAAGATCTAATAACAGGGCTATTTGGTTGGCATTGCAGCGACAACTTTTAGGAAGCGATGAGCTACAAGATAGATGCAAATAACAATCACAGAAGATGGCCAGCACCTCTCATAACCCCGCCATTCTACTTCGAAGAGTTCTTTCTCTTAGAGAAAACTCACCTTTTGTTCTGGTGATCGACTCTATTGGGAGATCAGGACAGTGCGCCTTGGAAGAGGTAGCCCACGAAGCTGAAGGGTCCACAACTATCATCTACGTGTCTTTCGAAACTTTGCAGAAACCTAGATACGCCACCCATTTTGTGGATGGCTGCAAATCTTCATCACGGCTGCTGACGACAATTCAGTCATTTTTACCGTCTCCAGAACAATCCAAATTATCAGCCGGCAGCAAGTATTTAGTGGTGATAGATAGCATAAATTCGATTTCGAGTGGTAGCTTGGTGCAATTTGTTACGCAGCTAGCGTCACCATCAGTCACCTTGCTAGCTGTATTCCATAAAGATGTTCCAGAGTATCGTTCTGTGGAACTTGAGAACTATCCAAGCTCATTATATCTTCTGAAGTTCATGGCCTCGTCAATTATGGAAGTACGACCATTTACAATCGATTCGGCTGCTGAACAGGATCTAGATTCTGGGCTGCAAAAATTGGATATTCCCACAGGGCTCAACGACTCGGTCTATAAGCTTGTCTTGACCAATCGTCGGAAGTCTGGTAGGGCGTTAACATATGCATTCAAATGTGACGCTGAGACACACTCATTTACCCCAATACAAAACATTGATTCAACTGTCGATCCTGAAGACTCTGAAGCATTTGAAGGTCTAACAACTTTCAACTTGGGTACTTCCAACAAGCAGAAAGTTGCAAAAGAGCAGGTTGCATTGCCCTTCCTAGAGGCTCAGACTTTTAACACAGGTGGTGCGATTGTGTATGAATTCGAAAAAGATGACGACTACGACGAAGAGGACCCATATGAGGATCCGTTCTAAGCCAGTCGACTCTATATAAAATACTTTTAGAATTTAGTTCTGGTCATTATAGAACGCCCGAGGTTAATAGGAATGAAATAATGCGGTCCTCTAAAGAACCTCTTGTTTGTAAGTCAAAAAAAAAAAAAAACATCGTGTGCAAAAGGTTTCGAATGATGCGCTTTGTTCGACCCAAAAATGACCAGTAATCAAGCGAACTGCTGGTTTTTGATTGAGGTGTTATATCGCAAGAACGAAACCTATCAATCACCATTCAGTTCCGTGAAAAATCTGAATTTAGTAAAACAACTTCTTATTTCTGACCTCTGGCATGCCGGCCGGAAATGCCAATAGCTCCGGGCGCAACAGATTAACTAAAGCGGACCCTAGTGAATTTTGCGACCAGTGCCGTGACTGTGATCATCTTGACCACGATAGGAACACTAGAGAACAAACGCAAATGGAAAAGAGAGCGCTTATCAAACAATCTTGAGTTTCTTCGAGGAAATTCGCGATAGTCTGTTTTTAGCACTTCTTGCAATTACAGGTCTCCTTCTTGGAGGCAACGGTGATATACGGTCGAGTCAAGTCTTTGTGTGCCCTATTGTCTTTTCTTCTCTTGGTTGGTTTTATTTCCGTTCGTCTTTAAGCGCGCAAGGTATTCAATTAGTTGAGCCTTGATGCTGCGCTTAGCGGCAGCCTTTCGGTCCGCTTCCTCAACGGTAACTAGCTTTTTAACCATAAGGTTGAATAAAGTTCCAAATGCAAGGCCCATAACCGTGGATGTAAGAATAATCACGTTGTAAGGCATACTGAAATCTGGTGTCGACAACGACAACAGAAGAGTGGCCGTTCTCATTTCACTCCGGATTGGCCTCAAAACGGTGATCAATGCTGATTCAATTTCGAAACCGTGGTTAGCATCTGGTGGATACTCAGCGTACTTCAATAGCGCCTTGCTAAATTGGTACGATAGCGCCACAGTGGTATGGGCGGGTATGCTGATATTGAATTCCAAATGCGTTGGCCGTTGTCTGTCAATAGCGGGAAGGTAGAATGTACTTTTTATCACATCACCAATCTCCAGTCCATCTTCACTCTCTATTTCCAGAGAGGATAGATATAATCTCATGTACCAAGGAAGAGACTCGAAGTATATGGCATCCACGGTTACATTATTAGGGTTTCTGAAAACCGCACGAAGGCCTCCTCCGTCCTGACCATATCCGGTGAGGGATCTACTCACGAACAATGGTACGTCGTCACTCTTAACCACATGGGCGGTATCGTCAGACTGGAAATGCAAGTCATGGAGCTCGTTATCTCTTATAGCGAAACAGTTATCATCCGTCGAAAATAAAGAATCCCCAATATCAAGGTAAACCGTCCAGCTATCGCTGACCTGAGCACAAACTTTCGATGGATTCTCTGATATTAAATTTGATCCAACAACTTTCTTGCCGAAAAGTTCGGATAGCCTAAATTTGATGTGCTTGCTTTGTGGCAGAGGAAAACATTCCCAGGCATTATGTGGTTTGCTCTCGTCACATTGCAGCTCGGCGTCACCCAATGGTTTAGGAATTGGGTTTTCAGCACGCGCTAGAGAGTTTTGAACGTTGAACACCATCTCAATGTTTGCGTCCATATGGTACTGGCATGTGTCCCCGTCGCAAACAGTTTCAACGTCCATTGACAAGCTGTGCCAGTTAGAATCAAAGACCTTGTGACCATCTAACAGCGACGAAATGCCGCTTCTTCCTCTTGTTGGTAAAAGCTTGAGAAATGGTGTTAGATTTTCGGTGCAGATAGGTTCATTAGCTAAAGCAGCACGAAGTAAATATGCTTTTTTCGAGGTATCGAAAATTGGTATGGGCTGCTGATCCGACGATTGGAAAGAATGAACAGGATACGTCGTTTTTTCCATATTGATGAAATTGATAGATGAGCAAAATAATCCGCTTAGTGAGTTCGTGAGCATGATCCAGTTTTCGAAAGCCTCGTCGCGACTTGCAGCCTCTATTACAGCCCAAAGTTCGACTCCGCTACCGCCAGATTTTGTTCCGTTGTGTGGAAGCTGACCCCACGACTCGGCGTCCCATCGCCCGTGCGTAAATCGCAAATGGAGTTCTCTTGTTTGACTGTATTCCAAAATTGGGCTGAGAGACTTGGGGAAGACCGTATAATGACGGTAAGCGTCGTGTGAAACTTCCGATTTCCCCACCGTCAAATTATTGGACTGCATCTGGAATGCAAACGAAGCCAGCATGAAATTTCTAGGAAGAGGCTTCAGAGTCAGTTCCTCATCAAAAGGATATCTAACGATGCTGTTATTTTCGAACAAGACGATTCCAGCATTTTCTATCTCACTGGAAGTTCTTGCATTAACGTTTTCTTCGATGCTAGAGGTGTTCAGCTGCTCCATTTCAATGTTTTCCTGCGAAGAGGCTGACGTCCCAAATATGGAGCAGGTCTGATCACCACTGCCTGCTGATTCTGTTTCATCGGGAATGATTAGTTCATCGTCTATGGAATTCCCGCCTACCCCAAAAGCAAAAGCAGCAAAAGCCCAAACACAGAGCGATTCGAACCTCATTTCATAAGCTCGAGCTTTTTAGCCACTTAAACAGAAGAGACGAGATCGTTAGAAGCGCGCTCTTCGTGTTGTTCCGTGTTCTCTTTGAAATTCTTATATATCGATCTAGCTAAATTCTTATAAAGTGTTGATAGCACTACTGACGAAGGGCTAAAAGACTTGTTAGAATTGGGAACTTTAAAGGTCAATTAAAGATGGTGAACCTTTTCACTCTTAAAAGTGGCGCTTACTCCTCAACAAATACACTCTACAATAATGTCTGGAGTCAAGTTCGTTGGTGGAGGTAAGAGTGACTCTAAGAGAAATTTAACAGCAGCATATTCAATCCCGAAACAAGTGCAACAAGAGCTGGAAATTGGCGCTGAGGAAGACCATCTCAAAGATCGACTTGTTGCAAAGACCGCATATGCACGAGAATCAGACTATCAACGGCAGAGATTTGACTTGAAGCTGGAACAAGACGCTGTGTCAAAAAGACCTCTTGAAGATGTCGATTCAGTAGCGGGAAAAGACGAGGGCTCCAAGAAGGCAAAAGTGTCCAGATGGGACGTAGCTTCGATCAAATCTGGTGACAATGAAATCTCGAAATTAGATCAAGGAACAATGGTGGTTCCAAAGAAATCCAGATGGGACCTGGAAGCGGGATATCAGATGCCTAAATCGTCGTCAAAAGCTGCAACCGATGAGCTATCACGAGAGTTGGTAACAGAAGTGCCGGGGGTCGGAGATCTGCAGTTTTTCAAACCCTCGGATAAAGCGCATTTTGGAGAGCTATTACTACAAAAACCCGAACTAAGTGAGGAGGAAGATAAAGACCGCCAATTTCTGCGTATTCTCCTGAGAATCAAGAATGCAAAACCACAAGTCAGGAAAACTGCAATGCGAGCTCTGAGAGATCGAGCCGCTCACTTTGGCGCTCCACGTATATTCAACAGAGTTCTGCCAATTCTTATGGACAGATCTTTGGAAGACCAGGAACGTCATTTGATGATCAAGGTGGTCGATCGTATAATGACTCAATTGGGAGACCTCGTCAAACCTTACACGCATCGTATTATAACGGTGATAGCGCCTACCCTCATAGATGAGGATCAGGTTACTCGAGAAATAGGCAGAGAAATCATTTCTCGTTTGGCGCAAGCCGTGGGTCTCTTCGAAATTATAACCACTGTTCGTTCTGACATCGACCATCAGGATGAATATGTGAGAAATATCACTTCCAGAGTATTAGCGTTGGTCGCAAAATCATTAGGTGTGTCCAATCTTGTTCCCTTTCTGCGGGCCGTTTGCCGCTCTAAAAAGTCCTGGCGTGCACGTCACACGGGAATGAAAACAATACAGCAAATAGGCGTCATCATGGGCATAGGTATTTTGCCCTACCTACAATCGCTAGTAGAATGCATATCGGAAAGCTTGAGCGATGAACAGTTGCAGGTGCGCATTGCCACTGCTCAATGCATTGCTTCTTTAGCTCAAAGTACACATCCCTATGGGATCGACACTTTCAATGTTGTTTTGGAGCCTCTATGGAGAGGTATCAAAACTCACAGAGGCAAATCTTTGGCGTCGTTTTTACGAGCATTGGCTTACCTGATTGCTCTAATGGACGAAGAATATGCTGGATACTACACGCAAGAAATGATGCGAATAGTACGAAGAGAGTTCCAATCTCCAGATGATGAAATGAAAAAAGCAGTTTTACTGGTTCTACAAAAATGCTGTGCGGCAGGTGGATTAACTTTCAAGCAGGTGAAGGAAGAAATAATGCCAGATTTCTTCCGGTCTTTTTGGAGCCGACGCACAGCTTTGGATCGTCAGATTAGCAGACTTGTAGTCTACACTACCATTGTGCTATCAGAAAGGAGCGGAACTGCGTACTCGATAAGCAAATTGTTAGACCCTTTACGAGATGAGTCAGAGCCTCTAAGGGTTATGGCAGTCCGAACCATTGGCCGCATTATGAAGCAGTATGGTTCTCAAGATATTGATCAGAGATTAGAGACCAGACTTATTGATGGTCTGCTCATTGCATTCCAGGAGCAATCAAACGAAGATCGCGCTATTCTACAAGGATTTGGTGCTGTCATAGAATGTTTGGACGTCAGAATGCAACCGTATCTGCCACCATTAGTGAGTACCGTCCTTGAGCACTTGAAGCACAAATCGCCTGTCGTTCGACAGCATGCAGCAGAACTGTGTGCTATGATGGTACAAGCTATATATCATTGCGGAGAACTTAGCATGCTGAACAAGCTAAACATCATCCTGTATGAATCACTGGGCGAGGTTTATCCCGAGGTTTTAGGTGCAATCATTGGTGCCATGAGCCAAATTGTTGGTTGTATCGATTTCGAAAAGCTGCAACCGCCACCAAACCAAATTCTTCCGAACTTGACCCCAATACTTCGAAATCGCCATAGAAGGGTGCAACTCAACTGTATTGTTTTCGTTGGAAGAATCGCCGAAAAGGGTCCTGAAAGTGTTCCTCCAAAGGAATGGATGCGAATCTGTTTTGAGCTCCTGGAAATGCTGAAGAGCCCAACAAAGTCAATCAGGAGAGCTGCTAATGCCTCGTTTGGTGCTATCGCCAAAACTATAGGACCTCAGGATGTTCTTGTTGCACTACTGAATAATTTGAAGGTCCAGGAGCGGCAACTTCGGGTCTGTACCGCCGTGGCAATTGGAATCGTAGCGGAGACGTGTGGACCGATTACAGTGATTCCTGCTATCATGAACGAGTATAAAACGCCAGAAACGAATGTACAAAACGGTGTTCTTAAAGCTCTGACATTCATGTTCGAGTACATTGGGGACATGTCAAAGAATTTCATATATGCTACTGTGCCTTTACTACAAGATGCCTTGACAGACCGAGACCTCGTTCATCGTCAGACTGCAGCCACTGTAATAAGACACCTTGCTCTAAATTGTATGGGAAAAGGTTATGAAGACGCCTTTTTGCACCTATGGAACCTTCTGGTACCAAATGTTTTTGAGACATCACCTCATGTCATAGTTCGGATCGTCGAAGGAATTGAGGCTTTGAGATTTGCACTAGGGCCAGGGATTGCTTTGAATTACGTATGGGCGGGACTATTCCATCCTGCTAAAAACGTACGCAAAGCGTTCTGGAACCTCTATAACAACACCTATGTTCAGTGTCCGGACTCCATGGTTGCTTATTATCCTTCATTCGATGAGGGATCTGGCCAGAAAGTAGAAGAACTGGACATTGTGATTTGAGCATATCGATGCTGGCAATTAAATACAAGGTATATATCAGCGGTTAAACACCATACAAATTACGATCAGAACAACTGTTTTTGCGCTAAACTAGTATTTCGAGAGCTATTTATTCTAAATTTTCGTCTTCTGAGTCCTCTTCACTAGTCTCATCGTCTGAATACTCTTCCTCCGAAGTGCTAGCATCCGAAGTTTCTCCTTCGCTTGACGTTTCATCCTCTTCGATCACTACTCTACGAACCGGCTTGGATGCCCTTGTCGGAACCTCCGAAAAAAAATCGTCCAAGGTTTGGAGCTGATATTTTTTGCCCACAGACGAGGTGAAAACGCGAGATGGCGTGTTAGGCATCTTCTCCGAGTCGCCGCTTCTACTTTGAGCTGATTCACGATAATCGCCAGCATTAGAAAATGAGGCAGAAGAGAAACTCTTTTGGAACTTACTGTAATCTTTAAGGTCTGCTGGTTTCCGTAGTTCTGAGCTTTTATCGGTTTGGTCACTATTCCAACTTGATGGGTTGAGATAATCCTCCATGTCATGATCAAGACCTAGGCGTGCCATGCTCCCAATTTCAAAGGTGACCGGAGCATCAAAGGTCATACAACGAATCGATGGTGGTTTAGGCGCCTGAAGTAGCAGAGATGCGACTTCAAACTTTTGTTTCTCAAAGAGCGATGAAAACATTCTAGCACAATCTCTGATATCAAAATCTTCGTCAAACTTGGCTAAATAAAAAGCGGTTTGTGCCAGCTTGTGTATCCTCGAATTTTCAAGGTCGTAAACAGCATCAGAAGCACCATCCTTTGCCTTGGAGTATTCCACGTCGCAAGATAGAATTTTCGCTGCAAGTAGAACTATCTGAATTCGGGTTTCCTTTGGTTCCGAAGAAAAGCCCGGTAACAGTATCCTCAGTACATCAGGACATATTGCAAAATTAATTGTAGCAAATTCTCCGAAAAGCCAAACGATACCAGCCTTTGCCGACCCTGATAAAAAGCTTCCACTTCGCAGTGTTTCGAACAAATGTACCATTGTTCCTAGATGTTTGGAGGGATACTCCTGAATCAAGAATCTAATAACTCCAACATATGATTCCAAAGATGTAGACGCGTTTGATTTTGCAATTTGGCTCAACAGCCATTTACTGATATGCATCGACAAGCGCTGAGATACCGTGCCACAGACAGCAAGAGAATTGAGCGCCTCCTGAACAATTTCAGGGCGCTGATCAGTTGAGATATAAAACTTGAGTTCTTGTGCAATTTGTTTGACATTGTTGTTATCGATTAGCGTTGCGATGATTTTGAGCTTGTAAATCGCGGCGCAAGCATCATCGCTGGGAAAGAGGAAGAACTTTTTCAAAAGAGGGGAGAATGTTGTAGGGTCAACAGCACAATACATCAAAATACACTGCAGAATGATGCCGTGATCACTGTAGAAAGATGGTGAACTTACTAGTCTTGCTAAAACTCCGGTAGCTCGTGAATTCTTGAAGGTCACAGGAGGGGTAAGCTCGAAAAGAGCCTTACTTATGGAAACGACAACAGCGGGATTAGGAGAGTGCAGCATGTTATCAATTGTTTGTAAAAAAAGCTCCAGGTCGGAGTCGAATACAACATCATAAGTCGCAAAAGGTACTGCATTGAAAGCGTCAGGAAGAGCTGAAATTTGAGAAGGATTACTCAAATCTTTTAGCACAGGCTTTTGCACAAATGTTTTGCAATACAATGTAAGCAAGTCGATCAGGTAGACCTGTGAGTACTGTGTCAGCTGTGGCAGGATTTCACAATAGCGGCGAAAATGGCCGTGGAGAAATTCCAATGAATCAGGAAATGCCTCCTTTAGTAACACAACCGCAGAAGAAATGACGGTTACGTCTGAATCTGCAAGTAGGTCTTTCAACAATGGAGTTACATCTTCCACAACATGCTCGCGTTGTTCACGGTATATTTTGAGGAGGGCAAAGCAGACGGCACAGCGAACTTCCGGGGCACTGTCGGTAATGGCCTTTTTCACGGAATGTAAAACAATTGGGTATAAAGACGGAATCTTGATGTCAGAGAGCATCTTGAGCGCCAGCGCACGAGACTGCGAATCTGAATCCGCTAACGATTTCTGAATAGAATTGACCGCCAGAAGAGCCAGATTGGGCTGTTTTGCCGCGTACCTTAATAAGTAGATTGACACAAGCCTCTTGACTTTGATGTCCGTTGACAATCCGACGTTCTTAACCACATCTGCGAAATACGTTTCCAGATTGACGGTTGAATCGTCCGAAGCCAGCAGCGAAGCTACTTTTTTCATCCCATCGCGTACTTCTCGATCATTGCGCGAGTTTAACAATGAACGGAGTCCCTCTGGGGTTATATTCTGCGAATACCGATGGTAAGAGGTCTCTCCGAACCGCGAACTTGCTACAGCTGCTGCTTCAAGGGTCAATTCGCGCGCTGATTCCAAAGCAGAAGTGATGCGCGTGATAGAATCGACCATAAAGGAATCGGTGGCTGTATGGAGCTTGGTCAGGTCCACGAACTAATTGCCCTTAGGCATTACAACACTGGCGAAGGTTGAATTGAATCGAGTTCATCATTAGTACATAGTGAATTCGTTATATCGTCATACGAAGATCGAATTTAAAGAATTGGCAAAAAATTAAAAAAGCCCTGTAGGGGGCTCGAACCCCTAACCTTATGATTAAGAGTCATACGCGCTACCGATTGCGCCAACAAGGCTCTTATGAAGATTTCAGATGATAAGCAATACTATACAGACCCTAAAATATCATGTTATCTTATCTACTCGTTCAACATGTATTTTGAAGCCCCAGAGGGTTCTTCTGGCGACACAGTCTTGATCTGAGGATTTGACTGTCAGGCATCTAAGTTCAGGGAAACGTTGGGGTTTTAATGTTGGTCGAGCTCCAATAGCCATTGTCTCCTGCATACCCGGCGGCTGATAGCTGGGTGGATCTCTAACTGACAAGACATCAAATGGACGACATCATTTCAACACGGCAAATAGTCCACAAGTACCTTTGAACTAAACAATCACGTATATATTGAGACTGATGCGCAGATTTTAATGGAGAAAGCGCTTTTCCGTGTGTGGCCTATATGTAGAAACTTCTGTATTTTCGTACCTTAAAATCTCTTTCCTATAGAGAAATACATCATATTTACCAACATTTTGAATATATCTTTTTAATGTTGTTCTATTTTGAACTTGTCTTCCTGTTCCATCGAGTTTCTGCCAAGTTTACGTATTCTACAAAAAAATCGCCTGACGTTACACAGCTGCAAAAACCTAACTTCTAATCAGTGCAGTCATTGCGAATGCCCTTAATATCTGAGATTAGTCCTTCTTTCTCTTCGTGGAGTTCAAATACCATGTTCATAGTAGTCTGTCACTTGTTTTATAAATGACAGCATCTCCCATATACGGTATGGTTGGGTAATGTTAAAGCTCAGAAACTCTTAAAGGCGGTAAAAAAGTATCAAAGATTACTGTTAAAGGCTCCACAAGAACTCTGCATAGTGAGAAGAATACTTAGCGTACTGCTTGAGTGCTGTCAAACGTATTCAGTTTCGCGACCGCTACCCAATACTCCAGTCGTTCTTCGAGTCGATATATTCTTCGAACCATAACTGCAGTTCAAGACGAAGGCATTCTCATCCCTCCCTTCCTTACAATTCAGAGTGCCAGGCTAGCTCTCAAATTCATCGGCAGCTCGATGAAAATGCTTTCCTTTGCCGACGAAGAAACTGGACTTACCGAGATGCAGCGACAAGTCTCAGAAATTGTTCAACATGGGATCATTGACCCAAATTTTAAGTTCGAAGATTCAGATTTCGAACTTTTGTCTACGCTGCGATATGATCCCGGATTCACTCTTACCACGACTGCCACTCATAAACAAACTGAAACAGCCGGGAACTGGCCGGATCTCGGAAACTTTGATCCATTATTGTCAGCAGCCGATCATGAAAACTTGCCGCATGACGAATCATCAATTTTCCAGCTTTTTCGCGAAGCACAGAGAGATAATCGTCCAATTTCACCTCCACCAGAGCCTCTCGACGAGGATCCTGCTAATATCCCAGAATCAGACCTAATGAACACCTTTTACAATCGGTTCTTGCTTCTAGGGGAACAATTTCAACGTCTTACTTTAACGCTGAACTACTTCAAATGGGATTTTGAAATTCCGTTCGCTCTGTTAATCGAAAAACTGATCATGGCGTTGCCTTGTCCTGTAACTGCTTCTACAAACTTACACACCCGTATGCAGAGCTTGTACAATGACCGCAAATGCTACAAGATGAGAATTTTAGTATCCCACACGGGGAAAATGCGTATTGAGGCTCATGAGATACCGTCAAATCCTTTCCATTACTCTTCATCTACCCAGTATTTTCTCAACACTATTCTAGGCGGTCTAATAGATTCAGCTAATCAGGAACCATGGGACATATTTATCGACACTCAAGCGTTAACAGCATCTCCCTTCACGACATTCAAGACAACAAGAAGAGATCATTACAACGAGGCCAGGTCTCGAATGGAAGAGCTGCGGTCAACCATAACAAATCCCAGAGTAAAGTCAGAAATTCTATTATACAATAGTGCATTTGAGCTGATGGAGGGATCCATCACCAATATTGCGGTGCTACAAGACAAACCTGAAGGCTCCGGTACTTTCTATCAAACGCCATACCTCTCAACAGGATGTCTCTGTGGTGTTATGAGGTACTACCTGCTCAGCAAAAAGCTCATAAATGAGGGACAGACTGATGTCCGCGATTTGCGGGTAGGTGATACATTACTACTGTTCAATGGAGTGATGGGTTGCGTGAAAGGCATTTTAAGAAACTCTTTGCAGTAGGCTATCGAATGTAACAGAAAAAGCCTGAGAACCGTCGATTATCCTATCATGCTCCTCTTTCTGCCCCTCAATCTGACTTCCTCGAACCTTTTCAAAACCTCACGTAACCGATTCTCGCCCTTTTTACTTTGTTCGTGATAAACTGCCTTATATCCTCGCATTAACCACTCATTGTAAGTGACGGCGTAGCGCGAATGTGTGCTGTCCACAGCTCTCTCCAATACATACAAATCAACGCCCTTGTCCTCCACAAATGTTGTTGCCGATCCTAGCCCAAAATCAATCAAGTAAGGTTCCCAGACTCCATCACTCTGCTGTAGAACAACGTTAGATGTTGTTAGATCTCCATGACAATATTCGTTCCAATGCAAAAGTCCAATCTGACGGCCCACTTTTTCCAACACAGTCTCGACGCATTTATTGTGTGGATCTGAGGCGCTCATCCACAGGAAGTTTTTAAGGCTGCTGAAACCGTTTCCGTTTGGCAGCTCTTCGCCTAAAAACTCAATCCATATGCATCCATTATACACGTCACATGCGATGAGCTTGGGTACATTAAGACCGGGAAGTTGTGAAAGTTTGGCCAAGATCCTGGACTCGCTCAGCGTCCGGTGTTTAGTTAGAGCTTTATCAATTGAAGGATGTCTGTACTTTTTTGGAGGCCTGTACTTTAAGATGTATTTGTTCGACGTTTCTGAGCTCTCCTGCTTCGGTTCATATGGATGAACTGAAGTGGTGAAAACAACAGCCTCTGCACCCTGAGAAATCGGTTCAATAGGAATGTTTGGAGTCAGATAAATAGAGACCGCCTCTAATATTTGACCTGACATCTTTGCAGGCTTACCGGTTGGGTTCAAATGTGTTAAAGAAAGTGTGATCTATACTACTCTGCTCACTTGATATAATGGTCTCTCGAATGCCACCTCATTGCGAACGGCTCATCTTAAGATTCAGGCATCAAGAGATTCGATCAGAACAGAGAAACATCAAGCATCTCTCGCTACTAGCTACGTGTGCATGCACTCGTTGTTACAAAATTTAGAGTTCATTCGCGCTTATTTATTTGATGTCATTGGTTAGCTTATTTTTGTTGGCCACCATACATGCCTCTCCATTCGTCGATTTTTTTCTCGTCAATACGCTTGAAGAGGTATTCAGCCTTGTTGATATTGTGTCCCCCATGTATGCTGAGGTTGAAAGTGCTGTCAATGCGTAGAGGTGGGGCATTCAAAATCCTGTAAATAGTTTCGGCACTCTCAGGCATGAATGGGTAGATGACAGACGCAACGGCGTAAATGAGGTTGAGACCAACACCAACAACAGCATCGGACTTGTCTGGGAAGTCTGAAAATAGAGTGTTGTCTAGTTTATTCTCTTGCAAAAATAAATTACCACGGGCACTGAGTGCCATTGCCAACTCAAGACCACGTCTTTCGTGAGTTCTTTCCATTTCGCTGATGTAGCTGGTCAAAGTTGCATCCACATCCTTCTTTAACGATTCGAAATCATTCAAATGGCTGATGGAATATTCGGGCACAACACCGTTGTATTTGGCATTGGCGAACTTGACTAATCTGTTCACGAAGTTTCCTAGGTTGGCAAGCAGTTCACCATTGTTTCTAGCGACAAAATCGTTCCACGAGAAGTGGGAATCGCTGGACTCAGGTCTCACGGACGCTAAGTAGTACCTCCACACACTAGGAGAAACACCCGTCTCTTTGGCATTATTTCCGAACACACCAACGCCTCTACTCTTGGAGAATTTTCCTCCTTCGTACTGTAGGTATTCAGTTGTACTCAAGTGGTGCAACATGGTCCAGTTTTCTTCAGTACCGAGCTGAGAACCTGGGAAGATAACGGTATGGAAAGGAACATTGTCTTTACCCATGAACTGATACAAGTCTACATTTTCAGGGTTTTTCCACCATTCTTCCCATTTCTTGGTGTAGTTAGCAGTGATTGACACATAGCCAATAGGAGCGTCAAACCACACGTATAAAACCTTGTCTTTGTACTTCTCTAGCGGAACCTGGGTACCCCACACAAGGTCTCTTGTGATACAGCGGGGTTGTAGGCCCTCTCTGAGCCAGGAGTTGGTGATGGTTTTTGAGTTCTTACTCCAGTCGCCCTCCCTGGATGATTTTTCCACCCATGCTTTGATCTTAGATTCCAATTTATCCAAAGAGATGAATACATGGTCTGAGAATCGCGGAATTGGTTTACTACCATCCAGCTTACAACGAGGGTCGATCAATTCGAATGGATCTAGTAAGGCACCACATTTATCACATTGATCACCGCGAGCGTCCTCGTAACCACACTTTGGACAAGTACCTTCCACAAATCTATCAGCCAGGAAGGATTTATGAACCTCGCAGTACAGTTGTTTCATTGTTTGCTCTTCCAAATAGCCGTTCTTGTTTAAATCATTGAAAATTCCTTGGGCAATCGTGGTTTGCTGATCGGTAGTGGTTCTTCCAAAGTGGTGAAACCCAATCTGAAACCAATCGTAGACGTCTTTGTGAATTTTGTGGTATTTGTCACAAAGTTCCTGCGGAGTACATTTTTCTTCAAGTGCCTTAGTCTCAGTGGCTGTTCCATATTCATCTGTACCGCACACGAACAAAGTGTTGTAATTTCTGGCCTCACAGTAGCGGGCATAGATATCAGCAGAAAGCACACTACCAACGATGTTCCCTAGATGAGGAACATTGTTCACATATGGAAGTGCAGAAGTGATGAGGATGTTACGCTCGCCTTCTTTGGGCAATATTTCGGCACCATGTTTCTTGACCGCAAAATTGGTATCAACTTTCACAGCACCGGTGTGTTTGGCGTTAGATGATTCTCTTGGAGCTGAAGACTTCGCAATCGCAATTGCAGCTGAGACAGCTTCGGGTAAAGCTTTTAGATGAGCCTCCACCAAGGCGGGACTCAAGGCATAAGCGTTGGCAAAAGTGATCAATTTGGTAGCACCAAGTGGCTCAGTAAAATCTAACAAGTAGTTTTCCAAGGCTTTGTTCACAGTTTCGTCGATATGTTCCTTATGAGCATTAGGATGGTACAGCAAAGCTTCGAGCGACGAAACGGCAAAATGCGATTCTGGAGACTCAAGACCTTTAAAGTCGGCTAGAACGTATCTCAAAATAGCGTTGGCGTTGAACAAACTGAACTCAGATCCCGCAACCGTTAGTCTTAGCTCATTGGACTCTGTATCGATGGTTAACTTGGAGTTGGCATCAGCTAAATTCTGGGCAAGAGCGATCTTCAAATTATTCGCCAATTTTAAACCACTGTTTGATTTCTTGGATCTATCAAATGACAAGGTCAAAGACATCGTTTTGACTTTCCTAGCTCGTTTTCTTTTTCGGCAATGAGTGAGATGAGGAAATGGTTCGATGAGGGCATCTCGAATTTTTTTCGTTGATAATATACAAAGTGTCAGCGTCAGAGCATAATAGACATTATGACTAAGTTTGAAGAAGACAGTTTACCAAGAAATAAGGGCTATTTAATCAAGAAAGCATGATAATTTCGAGGTTTCCGGTGGCACCTAACGACAGGTTTGAAAGCACTTTCGAGAGCCACTTTTGGTTTTGACCCACTTCGTTTACGTCTGTAATGTAAGCTCGAAAGCAGAACTTTTGGGCTTATTCGGTCCGAGCGTAATGGAGGATTAAAGTGTATCATATGGCTCAGTAGTGTTGCATTCTTATTTTCGTAGACTTTGGTGCTATCTTTGATGATGAGAAGACGTTTTCAGAGAGTGTATCTAATTTCGACGGTTAAAAGTCTAACGATAGAGGATCACTTTCAGGTGGTGATGAAGCTGGAATTGTTCGAATATGTTGAGTAGAAGAAGAAGAAATCTTTGTTGGATACATAGGAGTCTCGAGAAGGGTCTTTGCTCTAGACATGGATATAGGTCCCTAAAGTCACTTCGTACTACAGTGTCGTTGGTTTTTGTCCGCTGTTCCCAGCTAAATCGCACAAAGAGGTTGGTCTGCGTTCTAAGATCTCCTCGATTATCCATTTTGTTTAGAATTTTTATCTAGTATCATTTATTGTACACATGAGTAAGCGCCACTGATTGGCGTCTCAATTCCTGACCTTACGCTTCTTAGCAGGAGGTGCCTTTCCAGATGCTCCAATAGTGATATTTACCTTTGGTGGAACTGGGAAGCCGTAAGACTTTGCCACCTTTGCTAGGTCCAGCTTGTCAATCTGGTAAACGGTCTTAAGACCATGGGATGCATATGCTTGCAAGTATGACCTGTAACCATCCTTGGCAATTTGGTGCAGATGGTAGTTGGATCTGATCAACTTTTCGAGCTGCGACTGAACATTGGCAATCTTGCTGGTAGGAAACTCGAATTCGTTTAGTGGAACCTTGGCCGCTTTCAAATAGCGCAGGAACCCGAGTTCGTTGGGAGTTAAGAACATCAATGATTTACCCTTACCCTTAGAGCCCCTTGCCGTTCTACCAACTCTGTGAATGTAGTCTCTTGGGTCATCAGGTGGGTCAAACTGGATAATCCAATCGACGGAAGGTATATCAAGGCCTCTGGCCGCAACGTCTGTACAGACAAGAGTGCCTCGATCAGCGTTGCAGAACTCAAAAAATGTGTTGGTCCGCTTCTGCTGCTTTTGCTTTCCATGTAATTCAAGAACGGGCAGGTCGATGTAATTTAGTAACTCAGCGTAATACTTGACAGAATTGCATGAAGACAAAAAGACAATGATCTTCTTCTTCTGGTTGCGCTTGAGGAAGGAAAACAACAGCAGAAAACGCTTGTCACTTTCGCAGACCACATAACCTTGTTCCAAACCATCTGCTGTGGATGTCTCTTTTTCTGAATCAACGTTGATAAATAGCGGACCGGGCCTTAGCGAGATACGGGCCAGATCTTCCACTTTGGTTGTTTGTGTGGCAGAAAAGAGCATGGTTTGACGGTCTTGGTTGGGAAGAATTTTGACAATTTGACGCATTTCATCTTCAAACCCAATTTCCAGAATACGGTCCGCTTCGTCGATAATCAAAGCGCGCAAATTCGTGAATACAAATCCGTGTGTGTTTTGTAGATGGTCCAGAAGTCTGCCCGGTGTGGCGATAAGCAAGTTAACACCTTTAGCGAGTTTATCGGCTTCCTGACGACGATTGGCACCACCGATGACGATACCGAAAGTTTGGGAGTGAAATTCCAAGAGCTGCTTGGCAACACCAAAGATTTGCAAGGCCAGTTCACGGGTGGGGGTGATGACAATCACACCAGTACCGTTACGAGGCTTGAATTTGAGTGAATGCAGCATTTCAATAGCAGGCAGCAAAAATGCCAAAGTTTTACCTGAACCTGTTTTGGCTGCGCCCAGCACATCGCGACCAGCCAATAGCGGAGGGATCGTGCGGGATTGCACCTGTGTCATCTTAGTAAATCCGAGCTTCTCAACAGCCTTCATTGTAGCGGGAGACAGATTGAGCTCACTGAATTTCTCCTTGTACTGAGCTGCTACTTTTGAGTCATCATTGGAGCTAGGTTCCTCAGCGCTGATGTGTGGCTGCTCATCAGATTCGTCTCTAGTGTGCTTTTTCGAGCGAGACGCAGCTGCCGCTTCCGAAGCCATAATATTTATAGCAGGACGAAGAGCTGGAGTTATTGGCTCAAAGAGTTCAAGAAAGAAGCTTTTCAAACTACTTTCCGGTACAGACTTAGTTTCGTCACTAGGGCGCGATGAGCTAGCTCGATGCGATGAGCTGAAAGTTTTTCATATACACTGTTTCTATTATGCTGGTGGAAAATTTCATCTTTTGTCGTTTATAGTGCTTGAGGAAATGCCCGCTTGTGTGACGCAGGTCAGATGATTCAACTTCATAGCGGAGATAAATGGTTGCGATAGTTCGATAGGTTCCTACAGTTTCTCAGCTTGGTCAAAACTTGTTACAGCTACTGAGGAAAATAGTCTAAATAATCTCTAGAACAAAACGACCGTTGTAGGAAAGTCCATTCACGTGACTTCAAAACTATAAAGACGTCAGTAAAAATAATAATGATCTGCCATCAACTGTTTACAGTATTTACAGAGGAACTCGAAGTAATTCTCGAAGCCCATGACCGTGTTGTAGTAAGAAAGGTACCAAATATCAACAATTTCTACTCTATGGCGCGTAATTTCACGTCATCCTGGCGCTCTGAGATTGAAAAAATCTTACCCAGATCCGTTCCACGATCTTCATACATCGTTTAGGCTTCTATTCCATGAAAAGAGCAGTCATAGAAATAAGTAAGCTTAAACCATCGCTACGTGTAAGATACCGACTCGACAAGCGTTTCGACTGTTTAAAACAGTCCAATTCACTCCCATTACACCCAATCTTGACTCGAAAATCAATATCTCGTAGAAAAAACCATTTCCAGTCGTTCTCTTGACAATGCAACTTGCAGTTTTGGCCCCAAAAACAAACCAAGAATTTGTATAAGTAGCTGAAGCTTATATCAACTCGAGACTATCACAAACAGCTTCGTTTGCGCTTCCTTTGCTTTGGGAGCTTTCGTTTTCGTCTTCCTGTCACCGCAATGCAATAATATTCTATATATATATATATATATATATATATAAATGGACGGTAGATAAAAACAAGTCAAAACTTGGAACATCTTGGACCTTTTGAAACTCTATTCTCGTTGTTGAACTCAACATCTTTGCCACTGGAAGCTTCATGCTAGAACTTCACGACGATTGGGATACCCAGGCTTTGTATCAAGATGAAGTAAATAACTGCAACTCTTGCAAAGAGGAAAGCCCAGTAAAAGGTTCCGGAATATTATGTGGCCCAAATCTGCGTTTGGTCGGCGTCAACTATGGCAAGAACCTGTATAGGGCTAGTATGCTGCTAGTGTGTCGTGACATTGAATGCCCAAAAGTCACTTTCATTCGTGGAGCCAGCGAAGCTGAGAAAATCAGCGCTGACGATTTGCGTCGCGGAGAATTGCCAAGCACTCTTTTCTACGTTGACAATGGAATTGATTTCTTTAGGTATACCATCGAATTCCCTATGGAGTCTTATGAGCAGTTGGTAAAATACTCCATTAATGACGAGCACAAGCCGCATTATCGGTTCTTTGTGCCATCCAGAAACAACAATTTCAACGTTATGTCATACTCGTGCAATGGGTTTTCGTTGAACGTCGATACCACGCCGTTTCAGGGCTCAATGTGGTTCGATGTTCTAAACAAACATGCCAAGGCACATTACCACGTCATGCTAGGAGGTGGAGACCAGATATATTCGGACGGTATAAACGTTTTTTGCGAGGGTTTCAAGAATTGGCTACACGAGAAGAATGCGGTAAAAAAGTTCAGAGCGCACTTGACGTCAGAGCTTCGTGCCGAGATCGACGAATTTTATTTGAAGGAATATTTGGAATGGTACGGGTACGGTCACTGGAAGGGAAGCACGCCAAAATCGCAGACAACTCAGAAATGTTTCCCCATTGCCATGGCCACAATCCCTTCTATCAACATTTGGGATGACCACGATATTATTGATGGATTTGGGTCTTATTCGGACTCTTTCCAGTCAAACGAAGTTTTTAGTGGAGTGGGTAAAGCCGCCTACAAATACTACATCCTTTTTCAACAGCATGTGTCCATCGAAGAAAAGGAAGCCTACTTACAAGATGAATCTTGGCTGCTTGGTGCCATGGACGGTGCCTACATTGGTGAGAAATCCCATTCGATATTCACTAGGTTGGGTCCCACGAATGCTCTTCTGGGCTTAGACTGCCGTACCGAAAGAAAGCTGAAGCAAATTGTCTCTTGGGATACCTACGATCTAGTGTTCAAAAGATTAGAAAAAGAAATCCCCAAGGGCAAGATTGATCATCTGATGGTAATGCTCGGGGTTCCCATTGCATACCCTAGAATGGTTTGGCTTGAGCTCATTTTTTCATCAAGGGCCTTGGTGCCTCTTAAATACCTTGCGAAGAAGGGCTTCATTGCTCCAGGTCTTGTAAATTCTTTCAATGGTGACATAGAATTGTTAGACGATCTGAATGACCATTGGTGCGCACGCCATCATAAAAAGGAAAGAAATTATCTCGTTGCAAGGTTGCAAGACTTTGGCGCAAAACATGGGGTCCGTATAACGATCTTGTCGGGAGACGTGCATCTTGCCTGTGTGGGCCGATTCCGTTCCAAATTGCACTCTCACCATGTAACCAGTGGGAAAGAAAACGAAGTCAAGAAAGTTTTAAACGAGCCAGAAAAGGATGTGAGATTGATGTTCAATATCGTTTCGAGTGCAATTGTCAACACTCCGCCTCCTAACCCAATGGCAAAACTTCTCCAAAAAAGGTCAGGAATTCATCATTTTGATCGCGCCACTGATGAGGACGTCGTGCCTTTGTTTAAGACTGACGCGGATGGCACAAACAGGACAAACTTTTCGTTCATGAATCGCAGAAACTGGTCCGATTTGCTTCCCATTGAGAACGTTTTGGAAAGCGAGTACTTGCGAAAACTTTACAAAGTCTCCGTTGGCGATTACTGCTATTCGGGCTTGGTGACAAAAGATGGCTTGAAAACAAAAGGCGATGTCGAGCACGGCGGTAACAAGAAACAAGACGTCACCTACCCTGTTACAGCCAAAGGACTTATTGCGTCGATTCACGCCGAGAAGGACACCACGAATAAAGATTCACAAACGGAAGCTTACGCTGTGATAATTCCAGAATTACAGAACGTGCAGGATAACGTCTCGCACGAGGGTATCAAGCATGTCAGTTCTAGAACTTAGATTTAAGCATGATGAAAGACACCTGAGGATAGAAAAGAAAAGACTGTGAATTCTGAGACAAGCTAGTCGAAGGCACACCGTATGTATGGACCGCGCTCGTCTTGCAACGGCTAGAAAGATCCTTTCCACAAGGTATGAAGTGGAAAGAGGTTGTCTCAAAGAAAACAACCTAAAAGTACCAGTAATTGAATAGTAATGAATAATTATCGAGTTTCATACTCAATCAAATGTAGAATCAAGACTAATAGGCTTCACTGGTAGGTATATCAAAACAACTCTAGAAAAAGCTAAGTGCTTCGACTGTTTGTGAACAACAGAAAAATGGCCTCCAACGAAACCTGATGTCCTTTGCAAAAGTACCAAACACAGCTTACCCGATTTTTCTTGAACTTTTTTGAGTTAAGATTACAACCGGCGTTCAGGTCGACCACAACTACTCTACCAAGATTCTTGATGTCTACGGTTCATGCTATATACAAGCGATCGGGCCTTCAAAGCCCTTGATTGTTATCGCAACACTATCTATACAATTAGTCTAGCCCAGGATTCTCTGTTTCGCTGTAGTAGATGAGCACCCCTCTCACGAACTGCTGTGGAACCGACCACACACAAGAATTTTGACCTTTGCTTCTTCACTTTCTGACCAAACATTAGCTGAGAAATCCATTTCTGACCTTGCGATCCTCAGATTCCACCTCTCTGATTGAGTAACCCAGTCCAAATGACTTAAAATTCACCATTTTGACGTAATTTGATTGAACAATGGCATAAATTAAGGTATCTGGTGATAAAAAGGCCATCTGGGGAAACGACATAAAAAGGATTCGAAACATCAACTTCAATAAAGTAGGTTCTTTGACCTTTTACAAACATTTTTCGTGACAAATAAGTCCATTTGGTACTCAAGAAGTCTGGGCAATAAAGAGATACTACATTCTGACAGTTTCAGCAAGCTAGACCTCAACCGTTTTAACAGTTTTGAAGGCCGTACAGACTTCCATCTACAACAACAAACAAACAAAGAATATCGATGAGTTCAGAAGAGGCGTGGCCTCAAAGACGTGGAAACTTGGATTTTGAAGAAGCTATACGTTGCAAATACGTTACGAAAAACAATCAGCTTGGTGATGGGTGTTTCAGCGTGGTCAAAGAATGCATGAACATACACACGCGGGATCTTTTCGCCATGAAGTTGATCAGTAAAAAAACGGTGCAGGGGAAATTGTGGCTCATTCAGCGTGAAGTATCATTGCTAAAAGACATGAGTACACGGATCCGAGAGCTGGAACTCTCGGGAGCCCAAAATCATGACACTTTTGAAGGACATCACCATGTTCTGCAACTGTTTGACTATTTTGAGACTGCACAACACATCGTGCTGGTAACTCAGTTGTGTGACCATGGTGACTTGTACGAAAACATTATAGAGGCAGGGTCGTTGCACCTTGCACGTCAGGCCAGGCCCTATACGGCATGCTTGTTGAGCGCCATACATTTCCTGCACGAAAACGGGGTAGTTCATCGCGACGTGAAGGCTGAAAATGTTATATTTCGCCGCAGAGTTACTGAACTTAGCGAGTTTGCAAGGAGAGGATCAGACTACGATCCCACGGCACACGATCTGGTCCTAGCGGATTTCGGCCTTGCGACCAAACTTAACAGCTCTGAAGACGAACTGCGTGAGTGTGTAGGGACTATTTCGTATCTGGCACCGGAAGTAATGAAATGCCAGGGTATCTCAAGACTTCCTCCAGCAGAACAAAAGAAAATTGCCCCTTATGATCAATCGATCGATGTTTGGGCCCTTGGTGTACTTGCATACTTTATGATGACGGGCTACATGCCTTTTGATTGTGATACTGATGCAGAAACGCGGAAATGCATCTTAGAAGGTGATTATTATGTGGAAGATGGGTTGCGTGACGAGCACGATGCCGACAATTCACTCTTTTGGAACTTCATCCATCTATGCTTCAACGTAAACGCTTCTGAAAGGCCATCCGCTCATGATTTGAGGAAACATCCTTTTGTGCGCGCGTTTTTCGAAGATAGTGACCCTTCGGAACCGTTTGGCAACCGAATCAGGCTTCAGAAAAGCGTTTCGTCTTCTTCATTGCACAAATTACAAACCCCATCACGGTCCGTTAGTTCGACAAGTATTTCGCATCTTGGATCATCCGAATCGAGAGCAACAATCAAGCGCAATGCGTCTCGCGACGAGGAGTTGAATAAGATCCGTGAAACTTTGAAAAAAACGTTGTCGATGGCATCATTGAGGCCTGCACAACCAGTGCGCAACGCGAACAAAGACAACTCCACGTTCATGCTTGCGCCTGTGCCTCCCACAGGGTCGTTAATGAATGGCTGCTTGTCACTGACGCCTGAAAGCAAGTCTAATTTTAACACGCCTCCAAGCTTATCTCGTACGGCGTCTTCAAACAACATTTCACCGCCTGCATCGGCCAGTACGGCGCTGACAGGCATGGATTCGAGCTCTTCACGCAAGCGTGCAGGAGCCCGATTTGACATGTAGAATACGTTATGGTTTCGTTAAATTGTATTAAAAAAGACGCCTGCGTGTGCCAAAAGTACCAAATATACACAAGTTTATCATTGCATCAGTTGCGACGGCCCAACAAGTTTAAGAATTCCTCACGCGTCTTGTGAGCACCTCTGAAACAGCCCAGCATGCACGACGTGACTGTAGACGACCCGGTTTTCTGAACTCCGCGCGATACCATGCACATGTGTTGTGCCTCCATGACTACTGCTACACCACGAGGTTTTAGAATCTCGCTCAATGCCATGGCAATTTGCTTTGTGAGTCTTTCTTGTACCTGCAACCGCCGTGCGTACATCTCAGCCAAACGTGCTAGCTTGCTGAGTCCCAAAACCTTCTTGTTTGGGATGTATCCAATATGCACTTTCCCAAAAAACGGCACCAAGTGATGCTCGCACAGCGAGTACACCTCGATATCCCTCACGATCACCATCTCGTCGTGGTCTTCTTCAAAAACTGCATTTTTGATCACATCATCTATGATGTTGTGCTGATAGCCTTGTGTGAAATATAGCATTGCCTTGGCATATCTTTGCGGAGTGTCCAGGAGGCCTTCGCGAGTCACATCTTCCCCCAACTCTGCCAAAATGACCTTCATCGCAGCAGCGATTCGGTCTGTACGATCCTGCGTGTCCTTTTCTGTCTCTTCGGCGCGGGATCTTGACCCAGGTGTAGGCCACGACAGTCCATCGGCTTCCACAGGAGGATTTAACGTATACGGCGACGCCGGCCGCGTGTTGAGTGGCGTGCCTTGTCTTTCCACAAAATGTGCAAGCTGTTTGTTATCCATTGAGCGGTACTAATGCGTGTGAGGGGCCAATGACGCTGTTTTGGGATGAGTAAAAGTGTGTAAATCGTAACCTTGAACTATCCATTTCGATGCCTAAGAGATGCCTAAAATTTTATTTTTCAGTACCTTTTGAAAAATGATCATGACCGCTACACCACGGAGGGTACGAAAGTGGGTGCTACTCGGGTTCGAATCGTTGGCGAGTCATTTAATATTATTTTCGATCACTCGAAATCAAAAGACCCTCCCTGTGCCATGGCACACACTACAAATCTCTTTGTCCAGCAGGAATCGCACTCTTCCTTTGCCTCTACACTGTCCACACATCATACCTCCAATCCTGGGGTCTCCAGGCTGCAAAACAAGCGGTGAACCGGACATCAATGGCGGCGGTGCAAAGTGTTGCAGAACTGGACCGTATGGACGATAAGAGTGGTAAGAAGAGGGATATGCCGAATAATACTGCACTTGGACATTGGAATTGGGAGCGCTATGTGCAAAACGGCCCCAGCACCGTCTGCAGGGATGCCCTGATTTCACTTTGTATCCAGTGTTACCGCATTTGCTGCAGTAGAAGCCTCGTGGATAGGTCCAAGGTAAGGCCGACGATGACACTGGACGTGAAGGTGTGGGGGGAGGACGCAACGGAGCAGAGGTTGGACGTTGAGGGGCAGTGGAAGGGAATTGGGGCGCAAAAGCAGGACGTTGAGGCGTTGCAGGAGGAAACTCAGAGCTACTGCTGCTGCTGATGGCCTCCTCGTAGGACGGAAGCTGTTCGTCGTTGTTCTTGGGAGCCATCCTGCTGCTCAGTTGTTATTTTGGTTAGCTGGTGGTTGATGTGAATAAGGTGCAAGCCAAAACCGAATTTTAGACTTAGGGTGGTGTGATAACGGCGTGCTTAGCGTGCGATGGGTGGGAGTTGTAATGTGGTGTCTGGCGGGATCTCGAGGCTTGAGAAGAGAAGGGAACGCGTCCTTCTTTGATGCTGGAGAGCGGTGTCAGTTGAAATTGATGTTTCTGACACTTTAGGGACAGTTTTTTTCAGTTAGGGAGGCTGAAATGTTTGCTTGAAAGCTGGTCAAATGTGTCGTTTTTTTTGGAGCTGACTTGGTGATCCGAGCGATTAGCAGCTCGCTCTTAGTAGAAAGTTAGCTACAGTTGGTAACACCTCTGCTTGCATCACCCTTTCTTCAAAATTAATCTTTTTATGACTTTCGAGCTGGATGCTTTAGGTTCCATGTTTTGGGCAATGAATTAAAGACGCTTATCAAAACCCTTCAATCTTGACCATGGATGCCTCGCTTTTAAATCTTAAATGGTGTTCCAGTCGGTAAAGCAGTTCAGAACCCTAGTGTGGTCTACCACCACTTCAAAATGATGGTCTTTCTCGCATACTTCGCTATCGAGTTTATTGCTGATACAGCAGGCCTCTAAAAGGCATTATTCCACTAGCGTATTTTATATTATAGCATCGACTCACTCACAAACGTGAAATTTGCCTGGTACCCCGCGTTCAATGCTGTGTGGCTTGCGGGAAATGTAGTCCCAACAGATGCTTCTGGTTATCTTTCGAAATCACCTATTAGCTTATTTAGCGGTATTTGAAGTCGATGGATTTTTACCCTGGGCTTCTTAATCGCCGATCTTCTCACCCAAGGGTCTCTACGAATTGAAAATAACTACCTCCCAGCGTGCAACAATTAAGTGACACTCTCGATCGTTCACTGTCACAGTGCTAATTGATAGTCACACTGAAATCATCACTACAATTCAAAAAGAATTATACACCTTAAAAACAGATTCTTTGCATGGCATTCACCATTCCTTGTCGTTATAAGAATAGCTCTTCATTAATAGATAAACGTTTGTCCTAGCCTGCAGAAGCATCGCTCTTTTAAAGATCTAAAATCCAGGGTTTCTTTTTACCCTAAAGCTCCCGAGTTCTGAGTCGTCTTAGAAGCGTTGCCAAACTGCTTCGCTAGGTCGATACCCGCCATTCTTTGTCTAGTTGTCCACCTCTTTCATCGGTTTGACGAAATGTACAATTCCCACCTATTCACCACTGTGTTTATATATATATATATAAATATACACAACTCATCGACAACTTATTAGAACAACTAAACATCAGTCGATAAAATCAAACACTATGTGGCTTTCAGAGGCTCAAAGTATGTTCAAAATGAAGTTTCTATCATTCTTTACAGCATACTAACTAGTCTTGTATCAGAGTTCGGCGTGGCTTTCACGTTTGGAGGCTGTTTATTTCTGGCATTTGGTGTAATCACTTTTTTCGACCGGGCGCTGTTAGCGCTTGGAAACATCCTGTTTTTAGTAGGGCTGCTGCTGATAATCGGCCCCCAGAAGACTTATACGTTCTTTTCAAGGCCGAACAAAAGACGTGGGTCTATTTTTTTCGTTGCAGGCGTATTGATGATCTTAGCGAAATGGACATTTCTTGGGTTCGTGATTGAGTGTGTGGGTATTGCAGGGCTTTTTGGCGATTTTTTCGGTGTTGTGGTTCAATTTCTAAGATCATTGCCCGTTATTGGACCTGTCCTGTGTCATCCGGCGGTCGCGCCGTGGGTCGATCGACTAGCTGGAGTGCGCGTTCTGCCCGTATAGAAAAAAAAAAAAATGTGATCCAAGGCAGGGGCCCGCAAAATTGACAATAGGGTCCTTTTTGTAAAGTAAACTGTCCCGGTATGGACTTATCTGTGTAAAGTAAGAATTGCATGTCTAACGTAGAGGTGCTCAAGATAGCCGACCTTACTGGAATTTAAAGCTGTGGTGAAAGAAATTACTACCTGGAAAAGATGTCCCAGAGTTCAGACAGCTCCAATGTTTGACGCGCGTTAAAGCTACAAAAACCTGTCTTTTGATACTTGCGCCATGCTCACCACTTTTGAGTGTCGGGCAAATTTAAAGTACTATTGATACATCAAGACAATGTAAAGAAACACAGTCACAGCCCGAATTTTTCATAAAAAGCGACCATATTCTTCAGAAATTAACACTCAACACGCTGAGATGATTTGCTGTATGAGTTTCCATGAGGCAGGGTGGTTCCTTGATGGTTTAATCGGTTCGTCACCTCGTACAACAGTACCTGGATTTAAGTTAAATCTTCAATTTCAATATATACATATATAATAAGTCAATCAAGACAGGAACTTGACGATTTTGAGTTTCAGGCGGATAGGAACGAGCCAGAGGTTTACATTCGAACGGCACAATTGGTACAATTGTCTTCGCGGTAGAATTTGGTTTGATAACCGCGAATAATTGAGTCTTGGACCCACTCTTAAGGTTGAAATACTCAAAAAAATGACTCGTCCTCTGCGATCCAGAAACTCCAGGACACGTAGCAATGAGCCGCAAGAACTTCAACAGGAGTTTACAGATTCCAATGGCATCATTCACACAACGTCTAGGAGTCTGAGGAAGGTGAATTATGCAGAAGTGGAAAATAACTATGACTTCATCAATGAAGGTGAAAATGACGCTAACGACAACGAGATTAACGATAAGGACGACGAGGAGGAGGAGGACATGCCAGTGACAAAACCTTATCGTGGAAGAAGGAGGACAAGTCTTCACCATGATGATCAGGAAACGGGGGAGTCATTCAAACCGGAAGAGTCATTGCAACAAAAGGATGTGTCTTCAGCTTTGGAGCCCACTAGGGAATTACGGACAAATAATGTCCATAATGAGGAGGAAGACGCCAGTTTTCACGAAGACGATGAGGAAGATGCAGAGGAAGACGATGTCGCTGACCCGTCAAATGACGACGAATATTTTTCAGAAGAATCTATCAAGAAAACTCGTCGAAGGGCAGACCGGAATTTCATTGTTAGCGATGAGGAAAGTGATGATGATGAAGAGGAAGGTCTTTCACGTATTGCCAGAAATCACCGTCGTGCTCCACGCTCTTCGTACCCTGTTGCTGAATCCCAGATCGACACTGATGAGGACGAAGGTCTGAGATCGGGAAGAAAGTTTAGAAGTTCGACCATACAAGCCCGACAAACTCGAGCACATGGCATTTCCCCACCGCGAAAGCTTCGGCGTAGAGGTAGACCAGCATTTATTGATGAAGACGATGGTTCAAGAGCCGAACGAGTGTCGCTGGCAGATGAACTCCGAGAGCTCAGAGATGATAGCCCAATAAGAGAAAAAAGGTCATTACGCGAGAGAACCAAGCCTGTAAACTACACCCTTCCGCCACCTTTACCTGAAAATTCTATTGACGAGTACAACAGAATCACAAACGAAAACAGTGCGTTATCATATCCTTCCCCGCGTGGCCGACGAAGGCAGATTACGGGTCAAAGCTTTGGCCCACTAAGAAGATTATTCCCCACAGGTGGGCCCTTTGGCGGTAATGACGTTACTGCAATTTTTGGAACCAATACCAATTTTTATGACACGAATGCCAATCCCAATCATGCGGGGAACAAGCTTCTTCTAGACTCTGACTCATCTGAAGACGAAATCATACCTCTAGGTGTAGCACCAACTAAAGCCGAGAAGACCAAGCCCAAGAAAAAGAAAACCGAAATAGCGGATCTTGATCCGCTGGGCGTCGACATGAACGTAAAGTTCGAAAATGTTGGAGGTTTGGATAATTATATTGATCAACTCAAGGAAATGGTTGCTTTGCCCTTGCTTTATCCAGAACTATATCAGAAATTTGCAATAACACCACCAAGGGGTGTTCTTTTCCATGGTCCTCCAGGTACTGGTAAAACATTGATGGCAAGAGCCTTGGCAGCCAGCTGCTCTACGGATCAGCAAAAGATTACATTCTTTATGAGAAAAGGAGCTGACATACTGTCCAAATGGGTTGGGGAAGCGGAAAGACAACTGAGATTACTTTTCGAAGAGGCAAAAAAGCAGCAACCCTCAATTATTTTTTTCGATGAAATCGATGGTCTTGCACCCGTTAGAAGCTCCAAGCAAGAGCAGATTCACGCGAGTATTGTTTCAACAATGCTTGCACTCATGGATGGTATGGATAACAGAGGGCAAGTCATCGTGATCGGAGCTACGAACAGGCCGGACGCTGTTGATCCTGCTCTTAGAAGACCTGGGCGTTTTGACAGAGAGTTCTATTTTCCCTTGCCCGATGTTGAGGCGCGTGCCAAAATTTTGGAAATTCACACGAAGAAGTGGGAACCCCCACTGCCTAAACATTTTATTGAGAAACTAGCTTCTTTAACAAAGGGTTATGGCGGTGCCGACCTTAGAGCTCTGTGCACTGAAGCCGCGCTTACAAGCATTCAAAGAAGCCTTCCTCAAATTTACCAATCTGATGCCAAATTGAATATTGATCTTGCCACGGTCGATGTTAAAGCAAGCGACTTTATGCTAGGTCTAGAAAAAATAGTGCCATCATCAGCTAGATCAACGAGCACATCTGCTCAACCATTGCCCGAAACGATAAGTCTTTTGCTCAACGAGCAATTGGACAAAATCAAGAGGAAAATACAACGTTTGATACCAACCAACCCGAACGCACCTCGCAAAGGTACTTCTTTGATTAAACACTACGCAGAGTATGAGGACGATTATTCCGACGAAGCAGAAGATGGATTTTCAAAAGCAGAGTTTTTAAGAACTGTGGAGAAGTCTCGAATCTGTAAACCGCGTCTTGTTGTTACAGGCCCAAGGGGAAATGGTCAGCAGTATATTGGAGCGGCTATCCTCCATTTCCTCGAAGATTTCAATATTCAGATGCTTGACGTTGGTACACTGATGGGTGACGCCACCAGAAGTCCTGAGGCAGCAATCGTTCAAGTGTTTACTGAGGCAAGGAAACGTCAACCTTCGGTACTCTACATTCCTAATATTGATATTTGGATTCAAACGGTTTCTGAAAATGCCGTACTAACTCTTGCAAGCTTGTTAGGGACGCTTGAAAATAGTGAAAGAGTGCTGCTTTTGGCGATAGCAAGTGGATTGAAGGATCAAGATTTTTCGGAAGGTATCCTCTCACCTCTAGATCTCGGTAAAGGTATCTTTGATGTAACAAGGCCTTCGGATATACAAAGGAGGCTTTATTTTGGCACGATTACCAAATTGCTGAGAATGAGGCCATCAAATTTTGCTTTGGGACGGAAAAGATCCAAGCCGTTGCCTAAACTTCCTATTGCTACAAAGGCCGCCACTGTGGAGATCCTTGATGAAAATGGACAGCCTTTGACGGAAGAGGCGAAACTTGTTTCAAATCTAAAGGCTCATCAAGCGCATGATATGAAGTTAAAGAACACTTTAAAGATCAAATTGTCTGGGTTAATGGATCTATTCAAGAATAGGTATAAAAGGTTCAGAAAACCACCGATTGACGATGCTGCACTCGTTCACTTATTCGAACCTACTGCGGGAATGCATGGGAACCCGGAGTATCAACAACCATATGTTAGAGTGGATAATATGATACTCGAGTGTGTGACAGGGAGAAAGTTTTTCAACATGGATTTGGATATAGTGGAGGAGAGGTTATGGAATGGGTATTACTCAGAGCCTCGTCAATTTTTGAAAGACATTGAGCTTATTTACCGCGACGCACACACGAGTGGCGACCGCGAACGAATAATAAAAGCATCTGAGATGTTTGTCAATGCCCAAATGGGGATTGAAGAGCTATCACAACCAGATTTTGTTCAAGAGTGTAAAGCTGCCAGACAGCGTGAGATCACACGACAAACATTATTTTTACAAAAGGAAGCTGAACAAAAAGCCCAAGAGGAAGCAGCCCTCAAAACTCAAGAAGAAGCAGCCCTCAAAGCTCAAGGGCAGGATCAACCTATGTCGGTTGAGTTTGAAGGTAATGATGAAGTCGGCATTGAAGATGCAGATGTTGACAACCTTCTTGGAGATAAGGACGTTTTAATTCCTGAAAAACAACAACTTAATGAAAATGGTGCGGGCAATGACATTTTGGGCGTCGGCTCTGGTGGTCAACTGCAATGTGAAGCTCGCTCTGGCTCTGGAAGCGTGAGCATAACAGAGACTAATGACACTAGCGTAAAAGGCCCTAAGATTGATATCAATTTGCAAATCGGTGCTAATAGAGCCACATACCAAAATAATAGTGCGCTCGATGTCACAAGAGTTCCTGATACCGTTGACAGCGGATCTATTCGGTCATCTTCTTCATCAGAGCAAGGCGGCGATGCGGAAGCTGTCGTTGAAGAACCAAAACCGGAATATGTATTTGACGAAGCCAGAGCTCAACAGCTTTTGGATAGACTGAAAGTTAAAACACAGAATTTCATTGTGGAGCAACTAGAGGAAAAATACGCGTCTGTTCTAGAAATCGTATGGGCCGAGAGGTATTCTTGGAACAAAAATGTTGCTCTTGATAGACTGGAGCAGCTCATCGACAACAGCGCGGTACATAAATGATTTATTTAGAGCAATTCTTTCACTGCATTGATAACTGTCTGATCATCACCGTATTGGCCTGTGATTTGGACACCAATGGGTTTGTCCAATTCTCCAGCTGGGACTGAAATGCTTGGAAGCCCAGCGAGGGACATTGGCGTCGTAAAAATATCATTAACGTAAGAGTTAATCGGACTTCGGGAGTCTCCTGTCTCGTAAGCATTTAAGGTTGTTGGTTCGCTAATCGCAGCCAATGAAAGGAGAATATCAACACCATTTTTGGCACCATTGGATCCTGTCAGAACATTTGGAAGTGCGAATATACTGTCAAACTCATCTATCATTTCTACTCGTAGTTTTTGTGCTTTGATGTAATGGTTATCGACGAATTCCGAGCACAGATTGTAGTTACCCAAAACGACTCTGGTCTTGACCTCGGACCCTAGATTTTCTCGTGTCGGAGCAAATAAGACATTATCAATGGAGTCTTTCGTATCATTTCTGAAACCATATCTTATACCGTCATATCTGGCCAAATTCGACGCTGCTTCAGCTGGAGCCAAAGTATAGTAGATTGGAAGAGAATGTTTAATGTCAGGTAGCGATACTGGGTAAAATTCATGCCCCTTGGCAATCAAACGCTCCACCACCGCGAGAAACCTTTTTACAGAACTTGAATGAACACCTTCAGGTGTAAACTCTCGCGGTATGCCTATTCTGAGTTTATTTTTGCGTTGTTGCGGAACTACAGACCGCAGTTTCGCCCGTGAGTCTTCATCAAGACAGGTTGGATCCTTTGAGTCGCTTTTGTCCAAGACTTTGAACACTTTGTCAATCACACCGATATTTTTCGACAAGATCCCGACAGTATCAAAACTTTGAGCATAAGCGATGACTCCATGTCTTGAAATTCTACCGTAAGATGGTTTGAATCCTAATACCGATGTATAGGATGCTGGAAGTCTGACCGAGCCTCCAGTATCTGTTCCTAAAGCGAAATCTGCGACGTCTGCTGCGACTGCAGCAGCAGATCCTGATGATGATCCTCCGGCGATCACATCTTTACCTGGAAATAATGGGTTTTTAGTTGGTCCAAAATGTGATTTCGTACCCCCAGAACCCATTCCAAACTCGTCAAGGTTGGTTTTTCCCACATTTACGGCTCCGGCTACTGCCAAAAGCTCTACCACCGTGGCATTGTAGGGGGACATATAATTGACCAACATCTTGGATGCACAGGTTGTTGGTAGATCCTTGGTGACAATATTGTCCTTGATCGCGCATAACAGGTTCTGAAGCGGTGCATCGCTGTTTTGCTTATCCAAATTGCCTCCTTTCAACTGTTCTTCCGCTGCTTGATTCAAACTAGTGAATACATTGAACTGTTGCTGAACTGCTGGTATTTGTTTTAGTCGAGTAAGTGCATTTTTCAAAGACATGATACTCCGGTAGACAGCATGAAGTCTGAAAGCTTGATGACCAAAGTTTTTCTGCTTTAAAAAATGAAATAGTAAGATGGTCTTTAAATTCTTCAATCTTGGTGAAGTTAAAGGTCTAAATCTGTCAAATATCAACTATATTGGTTGATGAGATGAACAGCTTCGAAAATATCAAAGCATTCCCATCTACTTGATGAATCTTATTCCAATTGAACTAGAAGATGAAGTGTTGGAGGATTTACAGCCCAACCTGAATCATGGGGATGTCGAGGTCTACGAATCCGTAGATTTGGATAGTCAAAGTGACTATAATGATGAGAGCTTGCAACATATGGATAAAGAGGAAGATGTTGTTTTGGATGGACTAGAATACCAGCATTCAAAGAACGTGTTTGGAGCAAACGTTGCAGAAAAAGAAAGGATCATATATGGGGGACATGGTGATGATAGCGAGAACGTAGGGACTCGATTGGCTCGAATTAGAAGGGAATTGGAGGAAATAAAGGTTCAGGAAGCCAACTTGGTCGACGAGAAACTGTGCGATACGGAAATTGTGATTTTAAAACGCATGGCAGATCAGTTGCATCAAAAGCTACAACTTCAGACGGAAGCTCTCAAACAACGTTTGCAAAAAGTTGACCATGTAGAAGCAGCAGACGAAAACTATGCTGCATTACCAAATATTTCGGTTGGTTTTGAAAACAGCCAACGCGTCATGCGTCTGGAAGCCCAAATGGCCAGATTGGAACATTTTGTTGGTGTAAGCGTTGATCGCGACGGGAAGTCGTTAACGACTATGTTGAATGAGGTGTACCGGGACATTACACTACTCAAAAACGACCCTGCCCATTTAACGACGTTCCAAAACAGACTTTCTGCAATAAGCGATGAGTATGAGCAGAAGCTCGTTGCCCGGAAAGCTTATAGTGATGCGGCATTACAGAAACAAATCCTGGAAAAAATGGAGTCCTCAGATCTCAAAACCAAGGGTGTTTACAACTCTTACAATGTGCTGAGAAAATACAAGGAAGCTCTACCGCATTTGGTCACACGCATGAAGACTTTAAACTCGCTTCATCTCGAAATCGGAGACACCGTTGGGACTGTAAAAACAATTGACAAATCCTTGAAGTGGGTATCAGACCAGACAGCCAAATGGCAACAAACCCTGGTACATATGGATACTAAGCTCACGGCTATGGAAGCTCAGGAAGCAAAAAACATGCAAGAAATTACAAACCGACTAGACCTTGCCGAAAAAAGGATCAATGAGCCAAATCAAAGAGGTTGAGCCTACTACGTTACTGCAAAGCACAGCGATTGTTGGCTTTCAGCTACAGTTCCCATAAGACCCTAGACGAATTCATTTTGTCAGCACTGTGAGGACTTGTCACCAATTTTTAGACAGCTAGACTCGAGCAAACACCGCCCAAGCTGCAACAAAACATGCCTAATCAAACCATCATAATAAGGGTACTATTGAAAGATAACACACCTAATTCTCAACGCCGGGAGCGTCAACGGAATAAACTAGGCATCAAGCAGCTTAGTACAGAATGATCCCAGTATATGGAATTCCATTTAAACACTACAATTGCCCAGACTCAATCACCCACATCACAGAGATGCATATAGAATAAGGCACTCTTCAGTTATGGCCACACAGTATTCAAACGACTCAGTTCGGTCCTATATGGACGCCATGAGCTGCATGGTCTCAGCTGCTCAAGATTTCAATTACGAATCGGGTATTGCAGTTCCACTAGAGATCGACAACGAGATCGATGATCATAGAAGCGACAATCGTGTGCAATTGACAACCCTTTCACAGGACCGGAATGAATGGGATGATATTTTTGATAGTTTTGGAGAGCTTTCGAAACAAAATGTGTTGAATGCCATCAAGGAAGTGACTTCCGAGAACAACACTTCTTTAAATATTCTAAAAGACCTACGTGATCATGTTGAAAATGGGCCAAACAACGTAGATGCAAGTACGCTGACGGAGACATTTTTGTCTTTATTGCAGAACGATGATATCGATATACTGCAAACGGAACTCTTTGATTTTTTGGGCGATGAAAACATCAGTTTGATATCGTTTCTGATAGAGAATAGGGAATCTTTGCTTTCAATACCATATGATGAGCACCTTGAATTTCTCGAAGGCTCCTCAAGTCAGGATAAGTTTTTGTCTGAGAAAGAGATTCGCGAAAGCGTTCTTAAGACAGCGCAGGACATAAAAAACTTACAACTAAATCCTCTACAAAAGCAACAGCAATACCCACATGTTTTTCGAAAGTCAGAGGCTGGATCCAGTTTCACGCTTTCGTTCACTGGCCAAAAATTCGCTCTGCCTGCAGGAACTACACGACAATCCTTTGCATCGCGGGAGGAAATTATAATCCCTTGCGCAGACAAGGGCTTTCAGAGGTCTCTGAAATTCAAGAACATCAGGATCAAGGATTTGGATAAATTCTGCACGTCCGTGTTCAACTACGAGTGCCTCAATGCCGTTCAAAGTTTGGTATATCCTGTTGCGTATGAAACAAACGAGAACATGCTTATTTGTGCCCCGACAGGTGCTGGTAAAACGGATGTAGCATTACTCACTATTTTGAACACAATAAAGCAATTTTCTGAAATAGACGAAGAGGGAAATATCGATATTGAGTACGATTCATTCAAGGTCGTTTACGTCGCCCCATTGAAGGCTTTGGCCGCAGAGATTGTTGAAAAATTCCGGAAGAAGTTGGCTGTCTTCGATGTCAAAGTGCGTGAACTTACGGGTGACATGCAACTTACCAAAGCAGAAATATTTGAGACTCAGATTATTGTCACAACACCAGAAAAATGGGATGTAGTTACGAGAAAGGCTAATGGAGATAACGATCTAGTCTCTAAAATTAAACTTTTAATCATTGACGAGGTGCATTTACTTCATGAAGATCGAGGTTCCGTGGTGGAGACTCTTGTTGCGCGTACATTGCGACAGGTTGAAAGATCTCAGTCCATGATTCGAATTCTTGGTTTGTCTGCCACTCTTCCTAATTTCGTTGATGTTGCAGACTTTTTGGGTGTCAACCGCCACGTAGGCATGTTTTACTTCGACCAGTCGTTCCGTCCTAAACCTCTAGAACAGCAGCTTCTGGGGGTTAGAGGAAAGGCCGGAAGCAAACAGGCCAGGGAAAATATTGATAATGCTGCATATGATAAACTAATCGAAATGATTGGTCGTGGTAATCAAGTCATGATATTTGTACATTCGAGAAAGGATACTGTCAGAAGCGCAAAGACTTTCATATCTATGGCGCAATCAAGACACGAGATTGATCTTTTTGCCGAAAACTCGACCATTAGGGACTCTTACTCAAGGGAAATGACGAATAACAAAGATAAAGATGTCAAAGAATTGTTTCAATCTGGATTTGGTATTCATCATGCCGGTATGTCACGGTCGGACCGTAATCTGTCAGAAAAATTGTTTAAAGACGGCGCGGTCAATGTGCTTGTTTGTACCGCTACTTTAGCTTGGGGTGTGAACTTGCCAGCAGACTGTGTGATTATCAAAGGAACGCAGGTATATGACTCTAAGAAGGGTGGATTTGTTGATTTAGGAATATCGGATGTTATTCAAATTTTTGGGCGTGCAGGTAGGCCTGGTTTCGGTTCTGAGCATGGTACTGGTATACTTTGCACGACTAGCGACAGTCTCGATGATTACGTCTCCCTTATCACTCAGCAGCACCCCATCGAATCGAAACTAAGCTCAAAGATTGTGGATAATTTGAACGCAGAGATTTCATTGGGTAGTGTGACCAACGTTGAAGAGGGTATCCAATGGCTTGGCTACACATACCTTTATGTTAGAATGAAAAAGAACCCTTTCAGCTATGGTATCAATTGGGACGAACTGAAGGAGGACCCACAGCTGTATGAACGTCGGAGAAAAATGGTTTTAACGGCAGCAAAAAGACTTCACACGTTGCAGATGATTGTTTTTGATGAGGTGTCGCTCAACTTTATACCGAAAGACTTGGGCCGTATTTCTTCAGACTTTTATCTATTGAACGAGTCGGTGGAAATATTCAACTCGTTATGCAACCCCAGTGCAACTGAAGCAGACGTCCTAACAATGATCAGTATGAGTAGTGAATTCGACAATATGAAGTTCAGGGAAGAAGAGGCTACTGAGCTTTCTCGTTTAAGGGAGTCCTCCAGCGAATGTCAAATTGGTGGTGACATTGAGTCATCACAGGGGAAGACCAACATTCTTTTGCAGTCTTACATTTCAGGATCTCGCATATTTGATACAGCACTTGCGTCTGACGCCAACTACGTCGCTCAGAACTCTATCAGAATTTGCAGAGCACTGTTTCTTGTAGGCATCAACAGACGCTGGGGTAATTTTTCGAAAGTGATGCTAGATATCTGTAAATCCATTGAAAAACGGATGTGGGCCTTCGACCATCCTTTATGTCAATTCGAATTGCCAGAACCTGTGACCCGGCGGCTGCGAGAAAAAAGGCCTTCAATGGATAGTTTATTGGACTTCGACTCGGAGGAGTTGGGAGATTTGGTGCACAATAAAAAAGTAGGCCATAGGCTTTTCAGCATAATAAAGCGCTTCCCGGTCATTGAAATTGAAGCAAGTATCTTTCCCATAACTGCCAACGTTATGAGGATACATGTTTCGTTACAGCCGTCATTCCAATGGGATGTCAAGATACATGGTAACGCTCAGTTCTTCTGGCTCTTTGTCGAGGAATCGGATAAATCGCACCTGTTGCACGTCGAAAAGCTTATTATAAACAAACGTCAACTGTCAAATCCTCATGAAATGGATTTTATGATTCCGTTATCAGATCCCTTACCCCCTCAAGTTGTGGCGCGGATTGTCTCCGATGTTTGGATCGGTAGCGAATCTTCGCAGATAATATCATTCCAACATTTAATCAGGCCACATAACGAGACTCTTCAGACGCAGTTACAGAAGCTCAGACCTTTACCTACATCAGCGCTCAAGAATGAAATTTTGGAGGACATCTATCCCTTCAAATATTTCAACCCCATGCAAACTATGACGTTTCATACGTTATACAATACGAACAACAGTGTTTTCGTGGGATCGCCGACCGGGTCTGGAAAAACCATAGTTGCCGAGCTTGCTATGTGGAATGCTTTCAGAACATTTCCTGGTAGCAAGGTGGTTTATATTGCTCCAATGAAGGCTCTGGTCAAGGAGCGTGTAACTGAATGGAAGAAAAAGGTGACCCCTGCTACAGGAGACAAGGTCGTCGAATTGACCGGGGACTCTCTTCCCGATCCAAAAGATGTAAGGGACGCCACTATCATCATTACCACTCCCGAAAAGTTTGACGGTATCTCTCGTAACTGGCAAACACGTAGGTTTGTTCAGGAAGTTTCTCTCATCATTATGGATGAAATTCATTTATTGGCCAGTGACCGTGGTCCAATATTAGAAATGATTGTCAGTCGTATGAACTATGTTGCTGCACAAACTAAAAAGCCTGTTAGACTCCTGGGAATGTCAACTGCTGTTTCAAATGCCTACGATATGGGCGGATGGCTTGGCGTGAAAGATGACGGATTGTACAATTTCTCGTCCAGTGTTCGACCAGTTCCGTTGAAGATGTACATTGATGGGTTCCCTGATAACCTTGCTTTCTGCCCGCTAATGAAAACTATGAACAAACCCGCCTTTATGGCGATCAAACAACACTCGCCTGAAAAGCCGGTCTTGATTTTCGTTGCATCGCGGAGACAAACTCGTTTGACGGCTTTGGATCTTATTCACCTTTGCGGCATGGAAAGTAACCCAAGGCGATTTTTAAAGATTCAAGACGAAGAGGAACTTCAATACTACCTATCTCAAGTATCCGATGAAACTCTAAAATTAGCCCTGCAATTCGGAATTGGTCTTCACCATGCAGGTCTGGTGGAAAAAGACCGGTTCATATCGCATCAACTATTCCAAAATAATAAAATTCAGGTACTTGTAGCCACGTCTACTTTGGCATGGGGTGTCAACTTACCTGCCCATCTGGTCATTATCAAGGGAACCGAGTTTTTTGATGCCAAAAAAGAAGGATACCGTGATATGGACCTCACCGATATCTTACAGATGATGGGAAGAGCTGGTAGACCCGCTTATGATACTTCCGGTACTGCTATCGTTTACACTAAGCAGTCCAAAAAAATGTTCTACAAGCATTTTTTGAACATAGGCTTTCCCGTTGAATCCTCGCTGCACAAGGTTTTGGATGATCACTTGGGGGCTGAAATTGCATCGGGCTCAATAAAAAATAAGCAAGAAGCGATAGAATTCTTGAGTTGGACGTTTTTCTTTAGAAGAGCACATCATAATCCGACTTACTATGGAATAACAGAAGACACATCTGCAACTGGTGTCAACAAACACCTGAGCAATCTTATTGACACAACGCTAGAAAACTTAGCGGAATCCAGCTGTGTTTCGATTAAGGGCGGCGATATCGAACCTTTGCCTTTCTTGAGCATATCGTCATACTATTATATTTCTCATAAAACCATTCGTGGGCTTTTGAAGCATATTCGAGATGATGCAACATTTCAAGATGTGCTTAAATGGCTCTCCATTGCGGTTGAATTTGATGAACTACCGGTCAGAAATGGTGAAATTATCATGAATGTGGAAATGTCGGCGCAGTCTCGATACACAATTGAAAGTACATTCCCTGCTGATGAAGAGCGGCCACTCTGGGATCCACACTTGAAGGCATTTTTGTTGTTACAAGCGTACTTTAGTCGTGTGGACTTGCCCATAGCTGACTATCATCAAGACCAGCTATCCGTACTAGATCAAGCATTGCGTATCCTCCAAGCGTATGCCGATGTTGCTGGGGAGTTGGGATATTACTCGACGGTCATGACTGTCATAAAGGTGATGCACTGTGTCAAACAGGGCTGCTGGTACGAGGATGATCCGATTAGCCTACTCCCTGGTTTGACTTTGAAGAGACTTTCTGGTTCTGAGTTTGGAGAAGGGGGGTATGAATTAGAGCGCACATCGTCAACGACTCTGGGAGAAATTGGGAAGTTGGGCTCCAAGAAACTTGAGCAATTGGCCAGAAAGTTCCATATTTCGGGTGATCACACAAAAGATTTTATCTATCAAGCAATGAGACTGCCAGCACTTACGGATATTCACGTCGAGCCTCAAAGTAACCCAGATAGTCTGGTTATCACCGCCAGACATGCTGGGTCCAAAGTAAACAAAAACTTCGAAGTGTACTGCGATAAGTTCCCGAAGACGCAGAAAGAATTATGGTTTGTCATTGGCTATCAAGGGAGGGAACTTTTAATGATCAAGAGGTGTCAGCCTAGAAAACAAAGCAACAGTGTCATCATTAGCTGCGATTTCGTCGTGGCCGAAGAACTGCAAGGACAAACGTTGAATTTCACCATAATCAATGATGCGCTTGACATTAGATATGAACTCAAGCATACGTTAGCTGCTTGATGATTATGAACTTTTAACTCTTTTCTCTACTAATAATATGCAGCTTTAATGTAATGTATGAGAAATTTGAAATTTTTACTAGGTTTCAAAGAAATCGTCTTCGTCGTCCTCCTCATCCTGTTTACCTGTTCCGAACTGAGGTTCACCGCTCTCTCCTGAGCCAGGCTTGTTGGTCTGCTGCAATTGTAAACCATTATCGTCTCTTCCAAGTTTTTGGCCCTTCAAGATATCAGGTAAAGATACCGGAAGGTCGCCAGAGTCCATGATAGCCTTGACAAGCTCAAGATAAAGCTTTCTGGTCGCTTCCGTTTTTTCCTGACTTTTTTCATTAACATCGGTCTCCTCATCTTCATCGCCATGTTCATTGTCGTCCGTGGGGTACAGAGCAATGTATTTTTCCGTCTTTGGGAAATTTACTACGTAGCATAATTCCACTGCTTTATCGCGAATCTCGTCTTTATCGTTATTCTTGACGGCCTGCTTATAACGCCTGAGGGCCTTTTTACGCTCGATAAAGCGAACCATATGATATTTTTTGGCATTGTTTTGAACTTTAACCCGCAATTCGGCGTTTTTGAGCTCAAATCGCAGTGCTTCCAAGCTTCTTTCCTTTTCGATTAAAACTGTGTCAGGTAGCACATCCTTCTTTTTCTGTAGCAGACGTTCGATGTCCCGGATCTTTTTCTTTATTTTGTTTGATCCAGAGCCCAGAATATGCCCCAATTGAACAGAGTTGCCAAGAGGCTTCTTGGAACTTCTGCGTTGTTTTCTGTTCATCATCACGGCTTGTTAAACCTCTTTTGTCTGACGATCTTAGTTGGTGATGCGATGCGCTAGCTTCATCGAGAGATGAGCATCGCTTGCATATATAATCTTGAAATTTTTCGACTCGCGGACGACAGGAATTGGACAAAATGACATTGTGGCGAATAACGATCGACACGACAACAGGCTGTTGGTGCTACTGTGAGGTACCTAGGTCTCACATGAAATATTCTTTTGATTTAGGCGTGAATTTTGATCATTCCATACTCTTTCAAGGCATCTTTTTCCCGTTCCAGACAAATTGTTGGTGTCTGGAAATATCATTGTTCAATAATAATAAAATCGCTTCAGTGCCATAAATTGTGCTGTCATCAATTAGAAGCAGCAGACTTGAGCTGATCTTAATCCTGATTCGTGTTGCTAACACCAGATTGGTGGGTAAGATCACCATTTGAGTTGTTTGAGGGGTCACGTGTGTTCTTTTTTTGCAACGCCAGGGCGTAGACAAGACTCAAAGGAATTAGTTCGGCCCGCTAGGATCCGTTGAAGTTCCGAATTTTGCGACTTCTTGGACGAGATATGATTCTGCTTGCTGTTTTGTAAGTTTAGTATCAAAGTGTACCACTCGCTTGTCATCTAACTTATTGTAATAGGGTATGGCGAGAATGGGCACTTGATGATGGTGTGGTTCCCTTCCATGAAAAGGTCAATTGCCCTGAGCTCGATTGTATTTTATTTGATGGCTCGCTTTGAAAACATCAAGATCTTGTTTTTGGACGAAAACACTAATCAAAAATAAAAATCAATGCCACACTCTTCGCGACAGTTGAAGACGACAGCAGGACGAAATTGAAATGCTTAGCCAGCACATACTCCATGACCATGGCACTGGACCGTGTCACCAACTTCCGCCCATCTTCAGCGGTCTATTCGAAAAAGATCCAGCTACTAAAATAAAACGTAAGTATAGCATAAAAAAAGTATAGTGAGTAATAAGGGTATCTGTTGGCCTCAAGTGGAGATTTATCTCAACCTCGACAAGGGTCTTGCTCAGTTTTTCTTACGTCCAAAAAGTCCGCGTTTTTTCTTCTTCTTTTCTCCTTCACCCCCGAGATTTGGCGCCGGCGCCGTGTACACCGCCTGTTCACCCATCAGGTAGGGCTGATGGGACGGATTTAGGCCTGATGGGTCGGCATTTCCGAATTGTGGGAATCCCGGTCTCACTTGAAACCCATACTGCTGCGTTTCAAGCCGCTGGCCCCAAGAAGGATCGCCGGAAATCGAATATTCAAACCCTCTGATGGTGTCCAAAGGTCTTTCGTCTCTGGAACGCGTTGGATTCGATATATCTGGCTGTTGAATTGCTTGTCCAAACACGTCTCGTGGATGATTATCTCCATGTTCTCCAGAATAATAAGACTGGCGGTTCGGATCATCTTGCGATGTATCAGCAGCCTGTTCAAATGGCTGAGCTTCCTGCACAGCCTCCAGGACCGGATCGTGGACCGAGCTAGCCCGGAACTTGAAATGGTCCTCTTTGGTGAGTTTCACATCGGGCGCATGCCCATGTTTTGTGGGTGATTCGTGGTGAGTTTTGCCAAAAATACCCATTTTGAGCCGCTTGAAAAGAGCTTATGTATCAAAAAATCCGTTCCCGGTTGTAGCGATGGTTGATATTAACGCTAAGTTATGAAGTTGGCGAATTACTTAAGGTCTTTTGAACTTAAGAGGGAAATCATGGAGGGAAGATGAATGTTTTCGAGAATGGTTGTTATGGGCTATATATTTCAGGTCATAGGTGGCTCGGCGTCGTCGAAGGTGAGAGAAACGTTTGGCCGGACATCTAGTTGATCTTCGAGGTAGATGTTTAGTTGATCATCTAGTCCTTGCGTTTCCAAGAGATTCGCAACACTCGACAGACAGAGGTTTCAAAAGATGGTGTGTGGTAATTATTTTGTCACCCAATACCTATAAGTAGACGTTATTACTGTGAAGTGATATGTCGCATGGTTGTTGTTTAGACTGGTGTTTTAATAGTTGATAATTTCAAGAGCATGGTCCTGTTCTTGAAAGCACGTTGTAGAAATGTTTCGGGAGACTGTACTAGTCTCGGGCTCTAGCGTCAAATGGTGCTAGAGTTTCTCGCGGTTTGGAGTCACTCTCGTGTCAAAGTGACAGTAACGACAGAATTGTCAAGTACACTGGAGTCTCTACAAGTCAGAGTCTGATATTCGTAATGGGTAATTTGAGCCAAGAAACGAGTGGGTAGGTGGGTGGCTATAGATGGGTAAAATTCGATCTTGAGTAACTCGCAGGTAACGCACGTAATGCATGATAGTTGCTGGAGAGAGTTTCTGTTTGAGTAGCCAGCAGAGCACGTAATGGGTTGCTTCTGTAAATTTTGAGATTTTTTGTCATTCTTTACACAGGACACAGTCGATTCATGCTGCAAAAACTAGCTGTAGACTCTAGCAGGAATTGTTGTTGGGAGCCTCTGTCTATCTAGCGTCATATTCACGTGACCCAACGACAGCGACAGAAATTGACAAAATAATCAGAGAACCAACTAAAACAAAAACTGATGTAAGTTGATTGGCACGATTTGCGTTGACATTATTAGCTATGCTGCAGCTTTCACAGACTTGGTAGCTCCCGGAAATTTTCAGACCCGTCAGGGACGTTTTATCCAGCCTTCAAGCTCCTCTAGTTTGTACCAAATACAGTAAGAAAGATAAATCTAAGCTCAACAGAGAGTCTTCCGCTTTATAGTGACAGAAACAATTACCGGTGTTTATTTTATGAGTCTTAGGATTTATAGTAGTGGAAACAATCAATGACATTTATTTTGCGACGACAAAACGAGTACAAACAATTATTTCTATCTTACGAGAATTATCAACCAGCCGAGGGGACGCTCTTCTTGATAAAAAAACACTCCAGAGACAAAATCATCGCAAACAGGGCGTCGGCCACCCGAGGGACTTGTGCCACAACGTTGTGGAAGGTGTTATTAAAAGTTTAAATCGTAAAATATTCAATTGGCACGCAAAAAGTCCCCATAAGCGTTCCATCTGTTGCCAGGTTTTTCTCAATGCCGTGATCCCAAGGATAAGCCTCCCCCGCCAGCGACCACATAACTTCACGTTTTGGGGGTTTAACCCGGGTCTCGAGAATAATTATTTTTCACGACCGTTATAATCATCAACAAGAACCCTTACCTAACACGAATTTAGGATTTTTTTTACACCATAACATATGAGATGCCCAATAAAGAAGAATTAACAGCACATTGCAATCTTTCATGCACTTTATTCGACAACCGATTCACCTGTAGACCAAACTGTAGAGTACTCTCCAAATCGCAGATACATTTCAGGAACTTGATAGATACTCAATTCCTATAAATAGATGATAATTAGTAGTCTATTAATAAAGGAGTTTGGTTGAACCCTGCACAATTTCATAGCGGAGGTTGTCGCAGTAAGCAAGCTTAACCACCACTCACGCTATCTTTCATGCTTCCAACAATAGTCATCCATACCAATGCTTTACAGGAAAACTCTAGGGTCCTTGCTAACTATAGCGTCAGTTTAGTAGATAATGATGGTGCAAGCCCATCGGTTCTTATACATGAGTAATAATTTCAAGCCATCATCGCCGAGGCTGTGCGTAGGGTTTTTCGGAGCTCTACTAAGCCTTTGCGTGCCCTGGGCTTAGAGGGACCCTGCAACCTTACAGCAGGCACGCTCGAGGAAATATCCGAGTCTTGTTTAGTAGTTATCGCAAATAGTCACCTTAGACCTCAACTAACGCTCTTGGCAGGCTTGTAGGAGGTCAAATGAGGCGTTCGGCGTTCAACTGTGCAGATAGCGAGAAAATGGCAACGGCCGAAATGAAAACACACTTGTTGATGGATGATGAGTGAAAAGTAAATAGTATAAGAAGATCGCACATAACCAGAGATGAGGGCTCTTGAACAGAAATCGCTATAGAAAATAAATCGTTTTTACAGTAGTGTTAGTCATACAGTATTGAGCACTCAGTCCACACCGATCAGTAATATGTCTTTGTTCACCGTTACGGCGACCGTTGCCTCCAAAACAACAGACTTGGTTTATGCATCATACAGCAGCACGACCACCCCGACTGGAGAGCCGGAAATATATCGAGTTTTTCCGTACTACACCTATAAGCCTAATTTGGGCGCAGGAGCACTCTTTGCAGCGCTTTTCGGCATCACGTTCGTGCTGCTATGTGTGCGGATCGGTTTGGGATGCAAGAACCGCAACCAAGTCGAGCGGCAGCTGGGATTGGCCGAGTTTGACAAGGAAGCAAGACAGGGCCCAATCGAAGCCGGTTTCACGCCAGCCACACCCTGCACTAATACAAGGCTAGTTACAAAATTCATTCCTTTGCTCATTGGGGTTCTCACGGAGTGCGGTGGGTACATCGCACGGATTGTGTCGAGAAGCGATCTTTTTGCACTAGGTCCGTACGTGGCCCAAACAGTGATGCTACTGGTGGCTGCAGCGTTTATGGCAGCAACCATCTACATGATCTTCGGCCGACTCATGATCTTGATGAACGCTACAAAAGTTTCGTTCGTGCCCATTCGGTTCAACACAGCCATTTTTGTTGGTGCCGACGTGTTGAGTATTCTTCTGCAGGGCGCCGGTGGTGGTATTCTTGGTACCTCTGACGACAAAAAGTTGGGTTCCGATATCGTCATCGGAGGCCTCGCTGTTCAGGTGTTCGCTTTCGGGCTTTTCGTCATCACCGAGCTCCGTTTCCTGTTTTTAGCTGACAAGGTTTCGCCCTTGACATCCCAAATATCAAGACAGTGGAGAATTTTGAATTATAACCTATTCGTGTGCAGTCTTTTGATCTTGGTTCGGTCAATCGTCCGACTTGTCGAGTTTGCTCAGGGTTGGGGCGGTTACCTTATGGACCACGAGTGGTGCATATACGTGTTTGATGCTGTACCCATGTTTTGGGTGAGTATACTTTTCTTCATCACTTTCAGCAAGGGAAACCTGTTCAGGGTCGAGTTTGAGTGCACCTCCATGCTTCAAAGCCGCAGAAGAACCGGAAGCATAGCATCGGCCTAAAATATGTACGAGCTCATGAGCAACCTGTCTGGTGAATATAGAAACAATGCAATTACAACTCCTACAAATCTTTAGTACTCTGCTCCTTTTGAACACCAGGAGAACCTTCCTTTTAATATGGATTTTAAAGTCTTATACAACAATGAACACTGAAATTTATCAATTTTCCTGAGTAACAATGTAGACAACCGCCTTTTTCACACTTTCGCAAGCACGTAAGAGTTCTTGGTCGCTCATCTTGGAACCGCAGCATACTTTCAAGCTAGGAATAATTGGCAACGTCTCGTGCTTGAGAACGAAGGTGTTCCGGCTTATCAAGACGTTAAACTCCTTCAATGAATAGTCAACGATCTCTTGAAGAAACTTTTCCTCCGTTTCGTAATAGTCAATGTGTTTGTCGGTCAGATACTTGCTATGCATGACGCTGATCTCTTTGTAAAAAGACTCCTCTGTGTAATTGAACTTTTTAATTCTTAAGTCCTCAGTTAGCCTTAAATGCAAAACACTTGAGTCATTGTCTGATGTAACTTCGACAATTTCTTTGAGGGTTTTGTCTTCGCGGAAGAAATGATGCATCCGATTTGACAACTGGCGCAGTCTTTGGACCGCCGAGTTATCCTTTTCCAAACGTCTTAGCACTTCCGACCCCACTGTGACCGTGAAAGATGGAAGCGAGGCAGAAAAAGTGTAAGCGTGTGATCCAATTCTTTGATGCAATGACATAACGGAATCGCCAAGAACAAACCCACCGGACGAGCCCAAAGCGGTAGCTAAAGATCCAATGGTGATATCAACCGAGCTTTGACGATCGAGGTTGAAATGCTCCGTGATACCACGTCCGGTAGACCCTAGAACACCCAGTGAGAATGTTTCGTCCACGAGAAGCCTGAACTTGTACTTATTTTTTAACTCCACAAGTTTGGGAAGTGGTGGGATATCACCTAAATTGTGGAACAAACCTTCGGTGACGATAAATTTTCTTGGCAAAGCAGGTAATTTGTCCTTGAGTTCTCGCTCTTGAAGTTGTTGCAATAGATCTTCCAAGGCATCCATATCGTTGTGGTCGTAGTAGTAAACTGTGGAGCGACTCAATTGCAGTGCGTTTTGTATCGAAACGCTACATCTGTCGTCTGCGACAATGACATCACCACGTTTGGTGAAAGCAGGGATAACGGAGGTAGCTATACAAAAATCTTGACCGTACAACACTGCATTTTCAGTGTTGAAAAACCGAGCCAAATCATATTCGAGGTGGGTGTGCACGTCCAAATTACCGTAAAACCCGGCTGGTCCACAAGCACCCACACCACATTTGTGAATAGAGTTCTTGGCGACTTGCAAAACGTCCGGTTCGGACGTAATTTGCAAGAAGTTGTTGGAGCAGCAGTTTAGGACATTCTCATACAGCTCGGCACCGTTGTTACGCGACAAGTCGATGTAAGTCTTCGAGCTGGACGTCAAAACCACAGGAATCTTTTCTGTGCGCCATTCAACTTTGGAACTACTCTGTGTCACTGGTTCAGGTTGCCATTCGTCCAGTAAAGCGTCGGTCTCTCTATCGGTAAGTTTTGGACCTGCTTGGAAGCCCTGTTTTCGAGGTTTCCGAAGAAAATACACGATACCATAAATAATCAGAAAAATCTCGACCATAGTCCGGTACGGATCGTGTTGGTGCGAACGTTTCACGTAATCGACCACATAATGACTTCCGGGAATTGCATTTACGAAGTTTTGACAATAATACCACACGTAGGACGACGTACGCAAAATGAAGTCCGGGACTACAATTGATGTCGGCAGAACCGCTGGTGGTTGCATTCTCGCTCAAAAAAACGGGCTAAAAAAAGTAACACAAGCGTAACAATTCCTTTGTCAGAGAATTTGAAGCTTGTACTCAATGCAGTTACGAAAGTCTAACCGACTGTAAGCCTGGTTCTTATGTTTCGTTGAACTCTAGTGGTTGATTATGACGATGATGAGGGCTGAGATTACTACTTTATATATATATAGGGCGACGGTAAAGGCCTAAGGAAAACTAAACATTCGAGGTCATGTGCGTATCGTGCAAAGCGATGGATTTCTTGGCAAATTGTACTTAAGATCATAAGTTTCTACGCGTATCCCAGAAGTGGTAGCTGTAGTAAGATGTATGTAACATTCTTGTTCATAGTCGTAGCTGAGATTACTGGATAGGTTGATTAAAAATGGTTATAATGCTAGCCCAAATTTCATTTTCGTACATAATGATATTTGTATTTCTTCGAGAGAGAAGGTAAGTCTCGAGCAAGGTGGGTTGAAAACCTTTCTGGTCAGTTCTTTAGCACCGTTGGACACCTTATTTGATGCGTTTGAGTGAACTTTAGATGATTTCAGAAATTTCACGGACTTGAATACGCACGCTTGGCGAAGAGAAAACGATAGAAAGAGCGTGCGAAGTTGCTCCAAGGAATATCCCAGATGTGTCTTAGCCTTCAATAATAGCAGTTGTATTTGTCTTGGCTGAATTTTCTGGCTTTTTGGCTGCCCTCTGTTTGTCGATAATTTATGAATTTCAAGCATTTTACTGCGCCGGTGTAAATATAATTGTCACTATACTATTGTGACTACAAGAAGTATCACAGATGTGTTTACTTAGGTTGTATCATTGTCTTTTGAGTATGGTAACCCTTCTGTCTAATTTCTAAGTCCGTCTTGACCGACACGCAACGGAACTTTTATTTCGGCCATCTCGCTCTCTAAGACGTTGGATCACTTCCTTTAACTTCAAATTGTCTCATCACACAAGTTTGATTCCAGTCCTCGAAGATGAAATGCGTTGGCAAGAGTAAAACTCCATCAATCATACTCAGAGACATCGTCTACTAGTTCCCTAAATATGCCTAGACCCGTGCTCAAACCCGCTAAGCCCTTGAGACTCTCGAGCTACCATAATCCAGTTACTCTACTTGCATCTCTACTACTGACTACTCCTCTACTATCTTCAAAGAAGTGGTCCATCCTTTTTCATAACCCTCTAAGTTCAAGTTTCCCTCGTCTTATCAACAACTCCCCTCCTTTATATAGTCGTTTCTTGGACCAAGGGGTAAAATTCCGCACCCCCTTATTTTTTTTATCAGGGAGACTATATAAGGCGAATGAGAATTTGGAGACATTGGCGGTTTCAACACCACTTCCAAGAAACCACGATACAAAAGGGTAAAGAGCGTGTTGTATAGTCGAAACTAAACTACTAGTAAACCGCTTCTTTCATCCAATAGTGTTTTTTTTCTGCCGCCACGTTAAGCTTCTTTTGCAAAGACCGTTGAGGAGTAACTCAACAGGTAGAAAAGTTCCCAGTTTCGATAATCAAAAAAATCAAATTTTAAGCGATGAAAGGATCTACACTAGTAGCGGGGGCCTTGGCCGCAACGTCGGTTCAAGCTGCTTCCTTACAGAATGTTTTCCAGGCCAATACGTTACTAGATAAAGCCATTAGCGCTTTGGGCTTGAATGAACAGCAGGTATTGGACTCGGTGCCCAAAAGTATTCAGAAAGTGTGGGGAGAAATGGGAATGTTGTTCCCCAAGGAAACCTCGGAATTGGAGTTCATCACAAAACCAAAATCCAAGATTAACTCAAAACCAGACTCTGAATGGGATTTTGTGGTTCAAAAGCACCCAGAGCACAAATTGCGTGTCAACAAAGTCAAGGACCCTAAAGTGCTCGGTATTGACCCAGATGTCAAACAGTATACGGGGTACCTCGATGTAGAGGAAGAAGACAAGCATTTCTTCTATTGGTTTTTCGAAAGTCGAAATGACCCCAAAAACGACCCCGTCATCTTGTGGCTAAACGGTGGACCTGGGTGTTCATCTTTGACCGGGCTTTTTTTTGAACTAGGTCCTTCGTCCATCGGCTCCGATATCAAGCCCATTTACAACCCTCATGCCTGGAACTCCAACGCCTCCGTGATTTTCCTTGACCAGCCCGTTAACGTTGGGTACTCCTACTCAGGATCCAGTGGGGTCTCTAACACCGTCGCTGCCGGAAAGGATGTGTACGCATTCCTTGACCTGTTCTTCAAGCAATTCCCTGAATATGCCTCTGGCCAAGACTTTCACATTGCTGGTGAATCTTACGCTGGTCACTACATTCCAGTGTTTGCAACGGAGATTCTGTCTCACCCTGTTCACGAAAGATCTTTCAACTTGACGTCTGTCTTGATTGGTAACGGTCTAACAGACCCTTTGACGCAGTACCCTTACTACGAGCCAATGGCCTGCGGTGAAGGTGGAGAACCCTCTGTACTTGAACCTGCAGAGTGTGAAGGTATGTTGGACACCTTACCTCGTTGTTTGAGTCTCATCGAAAGCTGTTACGAGTCTGAGTCTGTGTGGACCTGTGTCCCAGCTTCTATCTACTGTAACAACGCTCAAATGGGCCCATACCAAAAGACCGGTAAGAATGTCTACGACATTCGCAAGGAGTGCAATGGCGAGTTGTGTTACTCAGAATTGAAATACATGGATGAGTACTTAAATTTGGACGTTGTCAAACAGGCCGTCGGCGCCGAAGTTGACAACTTTGAATCTTGCAATTTTGACATCAACAGAAATTTCTTGCTCGCGGGAGACTGGATGAAACCCTACCATAAGGCTGTGACTAACCTCCTTAACCAAGGGCTACCAGTCTTGATCTACGCTGGTGACAAAGACTTTATCTGCAATTGGTTGGGTAATCAAGCCTGGTCGGATGCTCTTCCTTGGAAGCACGGCGAAAAGTTCCAGGACCAACCTATCAAGAACTGGATCTCCAGTACCACGGGAGAAAAGGCCGGTAAGGTGAAGAATTATGAAAACTTTACATTCCTAAGAGTTTACGGCGGTGGTCATATGGTTCCTTATGACCAACCTGAAAACGCACTTGCTTTGGTCAACGATTGGATCAAGGGATCATACAACTACGAATGAAAGGACTCAACGTATTCAAATAAGATCCTACCATTAGCTTGGACTTAAAATTTGCCAAACAAAAACATAAAAAAAAGACCAGTTCCCGGAAAGGTGGCAGAAGAAGTAAGCATTCCTGGAACGAATGTTGTTTATTGAGAAACCTTTTCGAAAAACTATATACGATAATAAAATTCAATGATATCTAGAAGCATAACTACTCCTACCGCAATACTGAGTACTTCGATACAGCGTTCAGAAAAAAGTTTCTTGTGAAGCCTGTTTGATGGTTTCGTTTTCGTGATCTCGTGGTTAAGTTCGAGACCTTGATCATATAAATCAAACAAAATCATTGAGATGCCCATCAATCATCGATCAAATAGACGCACAAACCTTGATCAAAAGTTCTTGAGTTTCATCACCGATCGATCCCACCAAACTTTTGAACAATGGCTAAGAGGACCCCACAAGTATTTAAACTTTTAGAATATGTTGGCATTGGCCTCATTCTTATAGCAGCTGTAGAACTCTTCAAGTACTCGACGAGAGTCAACTACGACTGGTTTCATTGCACTCCTGTCAAAGAAGCTGTCGGTGAAAATACCAGCGCTTTCAAAATTTTTGCCGTTGGTGGACCAAGCTGCGACAAGAGAGGGGAGTTCAAAACGATCATGAAAAAAATCACGAATGACTATGAGCCTAATGATAAACCGGTCTCCTTCTGCATCAAAGAAAACGAAGATGTTGCGTCTATTCACTACCCAATAGACACTCCAAAAGGTGCCCCAGGTTATGTGGCTTATGCTGCTTACGACGCGGAGGCGCACTTGATCAGCCAATTATGTGATGGTGCTACCCTAATGCATTTTTAACTGAACTAAACCCGTCTCTATGCTTTATGTCATCAGCATTCTAAATCTATATGTATGAAAGAAGCAAAACATTTCTTGCAGACTTACGTTTCCGCTATTCCTCATCTTTGACCTCCGCTGATCCTTCCGGAGGGCTTCCGGCAGAGCCATTAGTAGCAGGCGCTCCTCCCATTCCAGGCCCCGCAGAACCATTATACATGGGACATGTCTTTTTTGTCCTGATGTGTCCCACCATGCCACATGTAGCACACCTTCTGTTTGTGGATTTTGACTTGGACACTTTGCCGTCCGTGGTCTTTTCTTTTGCTAACTTGCGAGCTTGCCTTCTCTCTTGCGATTTTTGTAACTTGGCTAGCTGCTCTTCAAGAAGTTTCTTCTGTTTCAATTGTTTCTCTTCAGTGTTTTCTCCACTGACCAGATCGATATTGTCGTTCATCAATTCTTCTAGACCAAGATTGGCTTCAGCTTCCTGGCGTTTCTTTTCGTAAGCTTTAATGTATCCTTGAATCACTCTTGGATCTCTAATTACAACCGTTTGTCTCTGAATAATTCCATTTTCATCTCGCGTTTTCCGTACAATTCTTAGCACCTTATTGTCTGAACGATGCGACTTTACCTTTTTGTTTGTTTTGTTAACAACATCTGGGTTTTCTATCTCCTCGAAAGGATTCGAAATTTTTAAGCTTTTAGCTTGCGTGTACCATGTTTTACTGATTTCCTCCTCATATGCCTTTTGTTGTTGAGCGACATTATAGCTATGACCTCCAGCGATCTGCTGTTGAGACAGCTCTGATCCAGATCTTGTAAACCCTCCCTTCATGGAAGTTTTCAAAAACGAAAAGCCTTCTCCGCAACCAGTGGGATCACCGGCACCATGAATTTGGACCATAGCGCGCATTTGCGTCGCGTTCATGAAGTTTTTAGTGGCTGCCCATGGTATAAGATTTTCCTCTAGTTTGCTTAGCTTCTCATCAGTATTAAACTGCTCATTGTCTTCTTGAAATTGCTGACCATGATACATGGACTCTGTCAACGAAACATCCTCGGGGACAATCATTTTCTTGACACTCTCATTGTCTGGTAATGATTCAGCTTCCTTAAGTTTCCAAAAACCGTGATCATCTCCGTCTCTTTGATACTTCATGAATTCTTTTAGTCTTTGCCTATTTTGCATATCATTTTGATCTGGAAAATGCCTCGCCACTTGTTTGACTAACAGCCTATGCTCTGACGACTTGTTTAAGATCCGGTATACAACCATCCGAAGTCTGCTCTTTCCCATGGACGTAACCTTTCTAGAATTAGGACCCGGCACTTCGACGACAGGAAAAGTCTGGCCGACTGTAAACAGATGATTCATGTTTCTCAAATAGAAGCGGTTACCCATCCCATTGCCAGTGCTTCTGACAAGCAGAAAATCGGTACGGGACACATCGTGTTTAAAAACTGGTGCTCTGATCATGTTATTGTACAACGTCGGCACAACATTTCCAGGCTCAACAAAGCCAAAGTTCCAAAAGGGCGACTTATCCTGAACACCAAGAACGTGTGTTTCACCAACAGGTAATTTTGGTCTCGAAATATCTTTATCGTGGGTTTTACGGTAATAATTGATCAACTTGTTACCCATCCCAAATTTTGACAAGGCCATAGGAGTTTCTTCGGAATATTCCATCAGAAAAATTGGAGCACTATCTCCCAGAGTAAGGTCGTGGCTTCTTGAAAAAAGCTCTCGAACATCCTTGCCCTTATCCTTCTTTCTCTTGCGCACTTTGAGCTTGCTCAACACAATATTAGTTCCTGGACGAATCAGACTGCCAAAGTGCGGTCTGTGAAAGCTGCGGATCGTGTTCTTAGGCGGTACCACCTTGTAAAATGGAGATTGAAGTCTGAGAGCAGGTTGTGAGTGTTCGATCGTGAGGTTCGAAATCGTAGACCGAATCTTAGTTTGATAGTTTTCTTTCAGAATTTTGTATTTGTGATCATTAGAAATGTTGAATTTTTGCGTGAGGGTCTTTTCATTGAAAGCCAGTAGTGCTGTATTGGAATTAACGTCTTTTTTGCCGTGATGTTTGCTTGGTACAAAGAGCAGTTTCTCATCATTCATATCGAGACACAATTTGTTTTGATAGATTTTACCTTCGATAAGGTTTTCTTCATCCCAATTAGGACCACCTTGTGTCGCAGGAACACTGTGATCACGAAAAATTTGACTTGCCGATTCTTTGATCTCGGGCTTAATGTTTTCGGGTTCGGTGTCGGATTCGCCCACTATCTTCTCGTAGTTCCAATCATCGGCCATGATTAACAGCTCTTCCGGTATTTTGCCGTCACTTTTCCTGCCTTCTTGTCGCACCGTACTATCTCCATATATTTCATCTAGCGAAACGGTAACGAGACCCGATTTCTTTCGCTTAGACTGCTGGGTTATGACCTGCCAGTTTTTGCTTTTAGCGCGAAAAAGCCGACGCGAGTCCGGTTGCACTTCAAACTTGAGCTTGAGTGGCATGAACGGCCTTATGTGTCTATTTGAAAGGTAAAGTTCACGTTGCCATTGGTATTGAGCAAGCTGTCTCGGTACTATACTGAGTAGCTTGAGGTTTTTACCCCTTTGAAATTTTGGAAAATAATAAGTAAGCAGCTCTTTTTGTTCTCGTACCACTCTTTCCTGTTCTTCCCGCTTCTGTTTCTCTTCCAGCTCTACTTGATTCTCGTCGGCAAACCCACCAAAAACATGATGTTCAGTCTCTGGGTAAGGCCCACTGTGTTCGTCGATTCCCAAAAAGAGTGTGTTATTCTGATCGTGGTACCCATTATGGTTACCTCCGTCCAGAATAGCACCATGACCACCCATTAGTGTCATGTAATCGTCATTACTGTGTTCAGGATCATTACTATGGCTGGCTTGCGTTTCATCCGGTAATTCTTCATCTGCCAGTTCGTCTTCATCTTCAAAATCTACTGCATTCGGTAGATGCTCTGTTTGGCCCTCGTTGGGACCAATGTAGTTACCGATCTCCATCGATCCAAAATCCCCACTGAAAATGGCATCGTATGCATCATCTTCATTCGTGAGGTCGCCGTTTTTGGCCATCCGCTGTTTCTTGGAGAGTTTCCTACCTTCCATTATAGCCGGTCGGGATGTTCGTGGCCGAATCCAGTGCCACTAAGCTCACGCTACCCTTGACTTATGTCGGGTTCATCGTTGATGTTCAACATGGACGTCATTAACAATCAATCTACTTTCATTTCCGTGTATAGTGAGATAGCATCGAAACGTCTTGAACTAGGACGTGTTTAGGATCCATTAGGAGCTCAACGTCACACCTTAGTTCGGAATAGTGACCTCTATACAGTCTCATTTTGGGCTGTTTAATCGGTTAACAACTGACGTTTTATCTTGTTCTTTTACTCCACGTAATATTGCAGCTTTTTGGTTAGCATCAGCGTCAGTAAAATATTAATGTTTATAGTTGAAATATAACTGGGTGACGCTGGGGATCGTCAAAGGAAAGCTTTGAAGGCGAGTGTCATAGCTTTTCAGAGTTCGAGACAGCTATGTGAGCAATATTTCGACATTGCAGTAAACTGGATTGCAATTTACTGGATCTGAAAACAGCTGGTAAGAGAAAGCAGTCTTTGTAAAGTCTGGAGGTAGGAAAAATGCAGTTTAAAATGTCGCTCATATTGCGCACGTTATTTCTAATGCAGTTTTCCTTGTTTCTTTTTTGACACTGAGTGTAAGGTAAGCCGCCTCATGCAGTGCAAGGGCGGAATATACGCTGAAAAAATGGTTGATCCTATATTAGCGAGTCATAAGCGATACGCGTTGTGATCGCGTTCGACTCCTTAGCTATGTACTATCAATTCGGGTAGATGAAATAAAATTTGGCGATTATTCGGGTGGTCGAATGCTACTAATGCGAGCAATTCATATTCACATATATTTTCTAGCCATACAGCTTGGTCGAAGAGCGATGAATTTACATAGGTGAGGACTGAAACCTTTTATTCATCGAATTTACAGCAACATGAATTACCGCACACCTAAGGTAAAAACGCTCTCAACATCGCACCAGTTCATCCATCGTGGACTTGTTCTTCAGTCGCTGGACAGTTAAGTGCAAAGTGATCTGGTGTTGATATATTAAGATTGGACAATATACTCAACATGACACGAAAAAAGTTCAGCTGTGAGATTGAACCAATGATGAGCAAGAAGATGTTGGGTAACGCAAAATAATGTGTTCCCGATAGTGACACACAACTGAGTGTATTTTCAACTTAGTCAAACAGATAGTCCTTAAAGAATTGTCCAAGATAAATGTGTATCGCTTTCCACGAAATTGTCGATCCACGTAATAAAGCTTATAGATATCTTAAGGTGAGAAGAACGCAACTCATGTTTAAACATCTACTGCTAAACGACCTCAACGATACTCTGTCGCCTACATGGAAGCCAATGCTCTAATTTCCAGAGCCAATAATGCTAGCACATACAACTTTGGTAACAGCAACTGTAAATTTTGGAAATTCGACTGGCACACACCGGTGAAACCCAGGCCAAGCGGAAGTGCGCCCGCTGAAAAATCCGACGGGAACGATAATAACGACGAAGAGCTGTACAATTTCAAGTATAAAACATGGCTTGCAAGCGAAAATGCGGCTTGGGATGTTCTGAGTGCAAATCCCAACGAAACCATTGATCTCTCTTTGTTCGATAGAACACAACAAGTAGGGCAGACCACTAAACAAAGTAATCACAACAACAATGGACCGTCAATCAATGGCCAAAATACTGCTGATAACGGACTGTCTGCCGATGATATAAGAGGCGCTGTGGGTGGTCAGGAGTCGTTGCCCGGGTTTACCACGCAGGAAGAACCTGAGGATCGTGTGCGAGAACAGAGCGCAGTAGTTGGAAAAACTACAGAGATCAGTGACTCCCCAGCTCAAACGAACGCGAGTAATAGTGGCGAAGATATTCCAGAGAGTAAAATTGGCGAGGCTGACGGCGATATCAAGCTGGACTGAAGGCCTAAGGTTCATTTGCTGATATCTTAAACAAGAAATCAGGTGCAGTCCTACATTCAATACATCTGTTAATGCTCCCGGTTGTGCTACAGGATTCGTTCAACAATGTCTCAAAATTTTGAGAACTTTGCCGGCTAGGGCCCGTTACAGTAACCTCTCAACACTCGTTTTTTCCCAAGAGCCGATCTTCTTCTCATCTCTTCAGTTAACCCTGCGTATTCTCATGGGTTTTAACACCACTTAAAGCTGCACGGACCAGCTATGTAAATTTAACCTACCACCCAAAGTTGTAACGTCTATAAAAAATGACCATCAGAAAACATATGGAATCCCATCCTCCATTCGACCTCAATGGCTTTTCAACCGTATCTTCTCACGAAAAGTAATAGTTGTCGCAGAATGTAAATGATTGCGTGCATTCCAACCTCTATCAATCCGCTTAGTTGGCACGAAATAATGGATGATTCGATCGTGATCAGAAACTGCGAGCGTGCCTTATGCAGCATATCACAGAGCTGATCGTATATGCAGCAGCTTCACTTCAAAGCTATTTGCCGCTCATCCCGTTCCTAGTGTCTCGAGGTCACTTGCCACTTTTGCGCATTAACACAGATTTCCGACTTCTTATTTGAACCTGCTGTGAGCAATTGCAAACCCGATATCAAGTCACACCGTTTGATGATTCCGGCTGAATTACTGCTGACCAATAGTGGTCTTTTAAGCATCATCAAGTGGCAGTGGCCTGACCGCTAGTAACATTAATGCCTCTCTAGCCTGTACAACAGCTTCTTGAACTTCTTTTTCCCTTTTCTTCCTTTCCTCAACTCTATCATCCCTGTTCATCTTCTTGAGTTCGTCCATAATCTTGCTGTATGCTCTTGTATCTCCATTACCAGAGCAGACCAAAAAGACAGTGGAGGGTGGACTCTTACTATAAAGTTCTTGCAGCTTGGTGAAGAAATTGTCTCGGGCAGCTGAAACTTCCGAAATTCTAGCCTCAGATGTAGAAGGCACAGCATAACCTTTGGCAAACTCAATATCCCTTAACCTTCCCACGAATAAATTGAAATCGTTTAGATGCTCACCAATGTTCTCCAAAATGAGGTCATCATTTTGACATCTCACACTTGTTTCGGTAGTATTCCCTGTCCCGCCCAGTCCATTTGGTTTTGGTGCATAGTCGTTCAGACACATACTCCTTATGCCGTTTTTGCCTAGTCTGTGGAAAAGATTCTCAGTGTTGATACCTACTCCAAAACTCAGACCATTGACTATCTTAAGTTTAGTGAGCTCCATACAAGCTCGGGCATCTTCGAACGAATCGTGACCCAGTCCATCGCTATTCTGTATTTCTTGGCTCAAGTACTCAGAAGCTAGGTATTTCAGTGCCGGTCTAAAAGGTGGGCCGGCTTTATGTTCAAAGATTATCGCGGTATCTATAATTTTAGGGTGCCTCAACTTCAAAACGTTCAAATCAGATTGTAAAGAGTGACCGATTAGGATATCTGTGGCGCTAACTATCTTCAATATGTCACGCTGAACATCCTCAAGAGTCGTTGTCACGTCTCTCAGCTTTTCCTCAGTAATACCACTGTATTTGGTCAGATAGTCTGTGATTGTAGCATCTGGCTTCACTAAGGTGTCATAGATGAGGCGACAATCAAAATCAACGAGACTGACGCGAGTGAGAACAAGGCCATCGTCGGTCATGCACATTTCGCAATCCATCGAGAAAGTTCGAGATCCACCATGCTCAAATGCGTGTGTGTTTTTCCACGTGGGCTCCTGGTCTCTGTGTTCCACTGACAAAAGCTCTCTTTCTTCACTACTAAGACCATGAGTATCTAAATGAATCGGGTATTCACTCTCCAACAATTGATCAAGTCGAAGTTCTAAGTCATTCAGTGTTATCTTCTTGCTACTTAGCTCCTGCTTCTTTAGCTCCTTCTCTTTTTTTGTGAGCTTAACGTTCACGAAGGCATTATAAGCTGAGTAGACTGTATTGGCCGAACCTGGTGTTGTGACGGGCACACGTTGCATCTGACGTAAAAATTGTGGCTCGTGGGTAGAGTTAGATGCGTTTTCACCGTCGCCAGTAAGCTCCGTGTTGTTTTCGAAATCTTCTGGTAGCAGACCAGGCACGAAAAGGACTATTACTTTGTTTGTAGCGGAGCGATTGTCGACCGTCAGCCATTTTGGCGCATTATTAGTATCGTCAAAAAGATAGAGTATTAGATCTCGTATATCTCTGATCGACAGAGTTTTTTCGTAAGACTTCTGATGGATAGTGAGCTGCGTTGGCTGTGACGTTTTTTTCTTCTTTTTCGGAATTACCACCGAAGACGACAAAGAAGAAGAAACAACATTGCCATTGCTGCCCTTTACGTGAGCGAGGCTTGGACGTGTGATTCCGCTTGATCGTCTCCTTCTTTTTGATCCACTTTTTGGTCCAATCTGTGTGAGCTTTGGTTGTTCATTGTCTTCTTTATCTTCATCAACCGGCGAATCACTAGAGTTTCGACCAAGACCTTGGATGCTTTTCACGATCATTTCTCGTGATTTACCGTCTTCACATATACTCAGTCGAGCGACTTTAGATTGAAAAGACGTCTCATCTCTAAGCTGTTCCTGTGTCGCTGTGACTTCTTCTGTCGTTTTTCCCGCATGGTCTGGCATATCCGATTGATTAGCAGCAACGTCAGCGTCAGCTTTCGAACTTTTACTGGCCTGAAAACCCATCAAATATTTACTACCGTAATTGAGCGCAACCAATGCACACAACAAAGCTGTTTTCAGATCTCTTTCAATTTGGAATTCTCAAAAGGGTCTCAAGTTCTTTTTTTCACAAGATGGCGCTAAAAATGTTGGTTTTCCAGGACGCTAATCTTTATACGCAGGCCAAGGCAATAGTACTTGAAAGTATTGAAATACGGCTATTCTCAAAATTTCCAACGTTGATTCCTAAAAGTTTGAGTTGAGATCGAGTTAAAACAGTTCGTTTCTTGCCTTTTGTTCTCTTGAAGGGCTGGCTCGCTCTGGCGCAGATAGACTTGTGTGTTTTGAAAATTTGTGTGTACCGCGTGACATCGTCGAGCACGAATGGACCCTGAGATTCAAGAGCTATAGTAGATTCTTGGCAATGTGAAAGTGATGCAGCCGCTCTATACGATATAGGCACCTGTGGTCAGAGTTCCAAGGCCTCTTTGGCGCTTGGGATATCAATTGTAGATTCGTGACTTGCAACGGGGTCCAAAAGCGATGACTTCTGTTCTTGGTAAATTTGAGCCAACTTTTTCTGCACATCTATCTCTGGAATATCATGAGATGAAGAATCAGAGAGTTGATCAAATTCTGGGTCATCCCCTTTTTCAACTTCTTCTTTTCGTTCTTTTCGTTCTTTTTCTTGTTGTTCGTCGGACGCACCAGGAATAAGCCGTTCGAATTGACCTGCTATGAACGATTCGGCTTCGATCTGTGACACTGGAAAGCTCTCGCCCATGGTCTTGATTTTGGGCTCGGAGTCACAGCCTCGTGGCACAAACAGCCTGTTCATGTCGATGTAGTTTGGGGTCTGGCTTGACTCCTGGCCCAACACGACTCTGCATATTTCTATCAAAAGTTCCGGCGCACTGTCTTGTTCGACTGCCAGCAGTGAAGCACGTCTTAGAAGGGCCAATGATCTGAGCGACTGGTTCAGAAACTCCATTTTGAGCGAATTCCAATGCGGGGATCTCAGATCCAGTCCCACACAAATTTGGGACCGCATGAGCACGACGGTACAGAAGTCCAAATTCTCTAAATCTCGGCCCAATTTGTGTTGCAGCTGATCAAAGCTTTCGCGAAGGCCACGCAACCATGTTTTGTGAGAGCCTCGCTGCCAATCCAGCAAAAACCCCCACCGAACGTTAACGGTGTCGGGGCCCACAAATATCGACAACAGATCTACCGCGGTAGCAGTTAAAGGCGAGGCAACCGTGTAAACATGGATAGACAATGGGCGCCTCTCTTTTAAACCAAAATCCAAGACCTTATGGTAGTAACCGATTGCAGCCAAACTGGGTTTTTCGTCTTTTACTTGTAGCACTCCTACCAGAAAATCTTGCAAGATATTTTGGGTTTCGGCTGACAAAACAAGCGTCACTTGATCCGCATCTTCGCTGTGTGGCACCCGGTGTGCATCCAGCAGCTCATTCCAGGCGCTGAGACCCATAGCCTCTATCGAGTGACCTTAAACCTATGTTGGGTAGTTCGAACTCGAGGCTTTAAGGTTGTTAATTTTCAATTTCTTGATATATACAAGGCGTGTTATTAGGCAGAGAATGCTAACTCGAGCTTAAATGTTGGAACTGGAATCAGCCGGCGGGCTCCTTTCTATCAACCAAACACTACGACTGGAATGATTTCTACAGGACGATGGTCATTCGGTAGAATACTGTGAATTGGTTCGGCAGAATTTGTCCCAATTCTATACTTTCTATATTTATATCTACAGTGCTATTCATACTTAAAAGTCAGCGGAATTGTAAAGCCCAATGTCAAATTCAGCCTTAGCGTCGCTTTTGCAGCCAGCGTTCAACGCACGCATCCTCTCCAACTCTTGGAGATAGCCATCTTCGACTCCAGTAACGTAGTTCCCGGTGAAGACACCGACTTCGAATTTGGAAATGGTGTCAGTTTTGCAACAATCGATAAGATCCTCGAGAGATTGGTAGAATACTTTGTCGCAGCCCAACTCGACGCTGACCTCTTCAGTAGTTTTGTTGTATGCCACCAACTGCTTTGTGTCGGCTAAATCAATACCGTAGATATGGTTGTAGCGGATCGCTGGGGCCGCAGATGCAAAATACACCTTTGTAGCACCGGCTTCTTTGGCCATGTTGATAATTTCTTTGGACGTGGTTCCCCTGACTATGGAGTCATCGACCACCAGAACACGCTTGCCCTTGAACTCGGAATCCATGGCGTTTAGTTTCCGTCTCACTGACGAAACACGCTCTTTCTGATTAGGCATGATGAATGTTCTCCCCACATACCTGTTTTTGACAAAACCTTCGCGGTAAGGTACCTGAAGACGGTTGGCACATTCCAAAGCACAAGTACGAGCGGTGTCTGGAACCGAGACCACAACGTCGATGTCTTCGCGGCTCAACTCCTTTAGAATGCTGTCTGCAAGCTTGATACCCATCTCTAATCTTGTGTGGTAGACTGAGATACCATCGAGCACGCTATCTGGTCTGGCAAAATACACGTACTCAAAAAGATCTGGCCGGATGGAGTTCACAGGAACAACCTGTTTGAACTCAGGTGGGTTGCGCCCACAGTCTTTGGGGACGATAACAGCCTCGCCGGGCGCAACGTCGCGGAATTTTGTAAAGTTGTGGGCTTTCAACACAACACTTTCGGACGCCAACATGTAGTCCTTGGTGCCGTCTGGTCTGGTTCTTTCACCAAACAAAAGCGGCCTTATCCCGTTGGGGTCTCTAAATCCAATCATAGCGTAACCGGCCAGCATCCCGACACAGGCGTAGCCACCACGACATTGTCTGTACACGCCTTCCAATGCGTGAAAAATGTCGTCGTTGTTAACACGGTACTTGTTGTGTTTCTCGAGCTCAGCTGCAAACAAGTTCAGCAGTAGCTCAGAGTCGCTGTCGGTGTTGATGTGTCTATGTACATCTTCGTCCATGTAGCGTCTGAGAGAAAGCGTGTTGACCAAATTACCGTTGTGGCCCAGTAGAACACCGTAGGGACTGTTAACATAGAACGGCTGTGCCTCGGAGTTCGCACTCGATCCAGCCGTGGGGTATCTCATGTGTGCGATACCCATCGACCCTACTAGGCCTGCCATTCTCGATTCAGTGAACACATCTCTGGCCATGCCGTTACCTTTACATTGATAAAGACGGCCTCTGTCACCACAGGTGGCAATCCCAGCGGCGTCCTGACCTCTGTGCTGCAAAAACAGGCATCCATCGAGAAGTTCAGGAGCCACCGTATTGGTTTGATCTGCCAATGCTATACCTAACACACCACACATTTCTTGAAGGCTACAGGAACGCTAAAAAGACGCTTCAAAAATTTCCCAAACAAGTCTCGCCTGTCTGACGAAAGAAACTAGAATAGTTTGACGAGCTTTCAGAAGCTGGGAAAGTTATAAGGAACAAGAATAATACGCAGGTTGCCAACCTCCCATGAGTCTTAAGTTTCCACACTTCTATTTTATCTCATCGCAGCCGATGAGAAATTTATCTTTCAATATTTTTCAGCTTACGTAAATTGCCAGATTTCTAAATTACTATTAATTGGCGCCCTCATTTAAATTTCAATGCTGATTTTCTTCATCAGAGAAGTCAAATGAAAGAAGAGGACAAAGTGACAAGGTTGAAGCGGAAGCGCGACAGCGGTCGATAAAGAATGAAAGGCTAGGTTAATGTTGTGTTGAACAAGTTCATCGAGATTCTATGAGCGAGGCGCTTTTTGTTGTAGTAAACCGGGAAATTTTTGGTCACTTTTGGGGGTACCCAATAGAATTTAAGAGGACTGGAAAACGAAAAAATGAGTTAACTTGCTGTTATTTCAATGCAGACTTTGATGATATGTGTTGTCTAATAACAATGCGTAATTTTACAAGAGGACTTACCCTTGTTTATGTTTCGAGTTTTGATCTTCTGGATGAAAGTGCGTTCAAACTCGTCGAGGTCGAGAGAACAAGCGGGAAGTTCACCAAGAACAAAAATGAGACTTTAGAGTGAAGAATGAAACACCGTCAATACTGAATGTCGCTTACCGCTGGCTGCTCGTGAGATTTATGATTTTATTTTTACCGTGCTTGAGCAAAAGACTTCACTTCAATTGCGAGTTCAAAGATTCACGTCTAAAATCACAATCGTTCATTGCCTTTCGGCCAACTCCCGAATGTGGGCCCACGGAAACGCCAAAAATCATTTTTATTCTATGCGTTTGGCTACGTGAAGACTATTTACAAGGTGGTGATCTTACGTATTCATTGTCCTTCGGTCTCAGACCCCTTCTCTGCGAGCTCTCTTTCTCTTGACTCTTCCTCTAACAGCTCAAGGTCCTCTTGGATGTCCCAAAGCTCTCTGTAAAGAGAATTAGGTTGGGCGAGAAGCTCGGTGTGCTTGCCTTCCTCTTTGACACGACCCTGTTCAAGAACGACAATCTTATCAGCGTCAGCAATCGTTCGCAGACGGTGGGCAATATAGACGCTGGTCTTGGAACCTGATTTGAAGTGCTGTCTCACCGTCTTTAGCAGAGCCTGCTCTGTATGTGTGTCTAATGCGCTTGTAGCCTCGTCGAAAAACATCAGCGGGGCATCTTTCAAAAGAACTCTGGCGATTGCGAGTCTTTGTTTCTCTCCTCCACTAATCATCATTCCTCGTTCTCCAACTATGGTATCACGTCCATTCGGAAGGTTGTTTATCAGATTTTGTAATTGAGCCTTTTCAATTGCCAAGGCTATCTCTTCATCTGAGGCTGTAATTCTTCCAAACTTGACATTTTGCCAGATGCTCTCGTTGAACAAAGGCGTATCTTGCGGAACAACACCAATTGAGCGTCTGAGGGACTCTATGTCAATGTCCCTGACATTTTTCCCATCTACCAGCACACGCCCCTCGAGCACGTCATAAAATCTGAAAACAAGTCTCAAAATTGTCGATTTACCACTGCCTGAAGGTCCTACAATTGCGGTCTTCGACCCAGCAGGTATGGTGAAGCTGGTGTTTTTCAAGATCAGTCTCTGCGGATCGTAACCAAACGAAACGTTTTCAAACTTTATCTCAGCAGGCAACATTTCCGGCAGCATTAATGGTTTTTCTGCATTTTTAATGCTTATTTTGTTTCTTTGGAGGCGGAACAGAGATTCCATATCTATGAGAGATTGTTTCAACTCGCGGTAGACACTGCCTAGAAAGTTGAGAGGAACAGACAGCTGAAAGACCAATTGGTTAATTAAAACTAGATCTCCTACTGATAGAGACCCGTCAACTACACCTGTACAACCCATGTACATCATAGCGGTCAAGGCGGATGTGAAAATGAAATTTTGACCCGCGTTCAAAAATGCGAGCGACTGGGCAACCTTAATTTGGGAGTCCTTGTAATTGGTCAAAGACTGCATGTACCGTTTTGCGAGAAAATCCTCATTGTTGAAGTACTTGACAGCTTCAAAATTTATCAATGAATCAACAGCGATTGAAGCTCCTTTGTTATCGGCTTTGTTGGCCGATTTTCTAAATTCTGTTCGCCATGCAGTGGTTTTAAACGTGAAGATTGCATACAACATCATGGTAGTGAATGTCATTGCTGCAAAAGAGGCTCCAAATTGGTAAGTTAGAATCCCGCAAACAGCTCCAATTTCGACAGTTATTGGAATGATATGAAATACCATGGCGCTCAGAACGTAGGATATACCTTTGGTACCTCTGTCCATCGCCCTTGTAAGACCACCGGTCTGTCGACTTAAATGCCAACCCAGGTCCAATTTCATGAGATGTCGAAAGGTCTGGATAGAGACCTTGGTAATCGCGTTTTGAGCCACAGACGCAAATATCGCGTTTCGTAGCTCACCAAAAAGAACAGATCCGAATCTTGCAGCACCATAAGAAAAAATCAGAGTTCCAATGGCGACCGGTAAGACAGATGTAGCGTCGGTCCATTCTACATTCATGGAATCAACAATGTTTTTAAAGAAGAAAGGAACCTGCACATTGAGCAGCTTGGACCCTACCAGAAGCCCCAATGCAATCAAAACACGAATCCGGACTTTTTTCTCTCCACTGGGCCAAATATATTTGAACAAGTCCTTCAAGATCTTCAATTCGGATATTGTAGGTGTCTTGGAGTTGTCATTCTTGGCCTGCACTTTAGACTGTGATGCAGGTGAAGCCTCAAGGGCCCTTGTCTTCAAACTTTGCTGAAATGAGAGTGTTCTACAAGTTGAAAACCCTTTATTCTGAATCTGGGAGTAAATCAGACTCTTAGATTGCGGGAACAGTGGCCTTTTACAAGCTAGAGGCGCCAGCCGACGTGATATTGTATTTCCAACGCACGCATGATAAGAGTTCAAAAAAAATCGCTGAGACGGGTTGAACATCGTCGTTTCTCGGCGTACCGTTTGGTACTAGAAGAGTTACGACGCTTTCGATATGTTCTCGATCAAATTACACTTTACACACTTCCACAGTTGATGAATAAAGTACTAGAGAGAGACCTTAAATCAAGCAATAGACAATTTGAAAAAAAATCCGGAATCATGTGATTTGTACACTTTGGTGAATATGTGAATACGCGTGACATTCATGTGACCCCAATGCTCCAACTAAGGGCTCCACCCACACACCGCGTTTTAAAGAAATAAGATCAAATCTCTCTCTGACATTTTATGATGTGGATTCTATACTTTACAGAAGGGTTCAGACGCTGACATGTGTGTATGGGAAGAAACGCTATCTGCCGCCTGTTAGATGCTGTTGTGGACCAGTTGCTTTCTTTATTTCTTTCTTACTTTCTTTTTCACTGAAATACGATCATAGGTATGGTGCAACTGCATCATCGTCAAGCACGCTGAAAGGCTTGTCTTGGCCTACCACGGCTATCGACAGGTTTTTCGTGCTCAGCGACTCGTCTTTCAAGCACTGCCTGAGTGCCTCTACGGCAACAGCGATGAGCTGATCCGCTTCCTCGACCTCCAGATACTCGTTCAACGTTCTTTCCAAATACGTCTTCGCACCTTGGGAGCGGGCACCGATAGCAGCGCCGTAGAGCTCCAGGGTGTTGCCTGAGGGTTGAAATTCAAGCAAATGGGGTCCACTGTTGTCGTAGCCGGCCAACAACAGGCCAACACCGTAAGGTCTGCCGCCGTACGACTGTGTGTTTTTCTGGGCCTTGTCGCTGAGCAAATGGCCCGCTTTTTCCAGCGATAGTTTTCGGTTGTACACTAGGCTCGAGTAGTTGCACTGCTGTCTCAAGTAATTGCTCAACACCCGGCCATCAGGGGCCAGTCCGGCAAGAGAAAGTCCCAGATGCTCATCACATTTGATTATCTTCTTTTGGTACGACGAAAGCTCGTCAGCGTTCCTTTTCAAAGCCACCAGAACCGCATGTTTTTTTGATCTAACACCAACCGTCACACTACCCTGCTTGATAGCTTCCAAGGCGTATTCTACTTGGAAAAGTCTACCTGTTGGAGAAAAAGTTACAGAATCTCCGTCATAATTGTTTCTAAACATTTTTTCCACGTACAATTGTGACCTTAACGCTGTGATTTACGGTCTCTTTGATGCGTTGCCACAGATCTCAGTGAAAGGACTTGGCCTGTGTCTATAGAGTGGTTTAAGCTGACTGTTTCTTATAGAAAAGTCAATTAAAGGTTTGCCACCGTCGCGTGGAGAGTGATATACAGTCACGTGCGGTCGAAAGGTATATAAGTTCTTAAGCACAGAATAACAAAGACAAGATAGCTAGCTGTTGTGTCAAGGATTGATTACCAGTGGCGTGTTATCTTTTTAAAGACGAACGATCTTATGGATGGTGTTTCAGGACTTGTCGCGAAATATAACACGAGTCTTATAATCTGAAAATTTTTATTGTCCAAAAAATCCTGAAATGAGCGTGAAAAGAATGCTCGCAATATATTTAAGATGAGAGTAATTGAGTTTCCATACTGTCAACCAGATTCGAACAAAGAACTGCAAGAATATCTCGTTTTGAAGGTATGTGTCAAATTTCAATCACGTGCTTATTACACTGTCGTGTGTCGTTCTATCACGTGACTTCAGCACATTAAGACGTAACTCATCCAAAGGGTGTCTCCACACAAGCTCAATTGGATATCTAGTTACTGCTCTTGAGATTTACACTCCATATGCCTTTTTTCGCCCTCTACGCCTCTTCCACTTCTCTTTCATGTCACATCCTTCTCTTTCACTACCTAAGACATCAAGTTCCTGACAGTGTAATATATATAGTTTACCCAAGAAAAATGAAGGTAGTGCTAAAATAGTAACGTTTTTAGAATTGTTCTGCTGCAGCACTCTTCTTTGACTTGACTGGTCCTTTGAGCATCGATTGACGCAGTTCGGAGTCTTCACTAGTCTTGGATCTCGCGCCGCTTTGTTTTCACTTTGAAACTCGCACTCCCATCCCCTTTTGTTGTAGCTGTTCGCCATTTTAGAAACTGCAAAAACAGCGCTTCTTCAACGACTGTGCTTCTGAGCATCACCAAATAGCACTATTAGAAGGGGGAAATAATCTTATAGGATCTGTAAGTTCTGATTTCCTCATCGCTTCAAGAATTTGTGTGCGTATTCGTCGCTTTTTGCGCTTTGTCACGCAGCATTAAAGCGTTAGGAAAAGTGAAAACGGCTCACAATGATTAAACTATATTTCCTATCGGTGTTCTATTCGGCACTCAATCACATCCCGCCATTTGTATGGGCCGTTCTCCATGTGGTTGCAGACATAGTTCAGTTTTGGATGCGACGACTAATGAATTATTTTCGCCCAAAATCTAGAAACCTGTACCATGGAGCTATCACCGAACTTGAGCGCTGCGACACGTATCATGACTGGTATAATAGAGCTGCAGTAGTGGACGAAATAACGGGTGCAGACTTGTGGCGTCGCAATTTTTACTCTCAACGATACGATGTTAACTCCGTTCTCGAACAATATGCGGTATTGGATGAAGCTCTTGACGAGCAAGATGCTCACACCATCGTTCAACGGTTCAGCACTACTGGTCCCTCAATGCTGCGGAATTTCGCTGGTATCGTGGACAAAAGATTATTCACAAAATCCTTGATTGGAACGAAACTGTTGATAGAACAGTACCTAGACAAAGTGCTGGAATGCTTACAGTTCTTGTGTGAGACTCCGGTAGTTGCAAGGACCTCCTTCTTTCAAAGATGCAAGCTGTCTTTGGGAACAACAGCCTTCATATTGCAAGGTGGCTCGTTGTTTGGCTTGTTCCATTTGGGAGTCATCAGAGGCCTACTAGACCAGAAGTTGTTACCAAATATTATCAGCGGTAGCTCTATGGGAGCCTGCATTGGCAGTATGTGCTCTGTACTGACTAATGATGAGCTTTTTATGCTGCTCTCTGGTGATAATCTTCTTAATGCAATCAAGTCTGACCTCGAACTCTTGAAAAAATGTGGCTACGGTAACATCGATCAAGATATGAACCTCGGCTCCCTTTTGCAAAACGTTATTCACCGCGGTTACTCAAAGGATGTTTTCCTTTTCATTAACTTCGTGAACAAGGTTGTGATAAAAGATCTCACTTTCGAAGAAGCGTTTCAACGCACTGGTAAGATTCTCAATATTATCGTTCATCCAACCGATCGCAATAGGTGTCCAACACTATTGAATTATGTGACGACGCCCAACGTTCTCATCGCTTCGGCTAATGACTGTAGTCTAGGCTCTGAAGTTGTTTCGAGTGGTACCAAACTGTTGTGCAAGAACTTGAAAAATGAGATTGTCGACTACCTTCCAGACACAGGAGACAGACGCGTAGTGTTTTTGACGCCTCAAAATGCCAGTGAAACCGGGCTCGCTGAAAGTCCGTACACGAGGTTGACCGAACTCTTCAATGTGAACAATTTCATAGTATCACTGGCTCGTCCTTACCTCGCGCCTTTGGTTATGAATGACTTGAAGCATGAGATCAAAACGTCGAAATACTATTATTATAAACACTATCCGACCACCGATATGAGTAATTTCACACCTTTACAACTATCCAACATGAATGAAGTCGAACCTTTGGGTTTCAAATTCAGATACCACTTGGAACGAAAGCTCAAACACATTGCAACCATGGAGTTTCGTCATCGAGTTGATGTTCTTGATAACTTGGGAATACTGAGCCATTGGATTAAGAGGCTTGCCATCGATGAGAAGACACCGAGATCAGCTACCGAAATTACCATAGTACCAAATATGAAAAGTTTGTCCTTTAGCAGGGTTATCGAAGGACAGCTTGACAACATACCTTACTGGATCAAATGTGGAGAACAAAGCTGCTGGCCAGTTTTGGCATTAATAAAGACCCGCTGTGCGGTAGAATTTGGTCTTGATGAGATCATTAAAGCCAAAAGAAGTATTTGAGCGGTATTGCAAAAAGACCATTTTTCCCAATCAACGATAAAATAGCTTTGTAGTGTCTTTTTGAGTATGGAATAAATATTCGTTCTCCACCACATCAACAGGAAGGTGAGAAGTGGTTGCACCGCCTCGGCATATAGTCAATATTCCTGTGATGTCCTTTGCGCGTCCTGTGGCCAGTGGCTTGATTCCCAAGACTGCAATGCTTTTGAAGAAACATCCGGTATGGAAGCGGATTTGCTCCACTGTATCGCGGGGTACCTGTTCTGCCGCCTCGGTCCCAGGGTTATCGTACGACTCAGTATAGCTGACGACTACCAGTAGTGGCACGGCTCTAGCTAGAGGGTTGATAAAATCTAGATGGAGCTCGTCACTGCTGATATTCAATAGATGCATCAGCAACTCTGGCTGTTCGAGCACGAGCAAACCTGTCTGTGATTGTGCGGATAATAATTCTTGAACGATAGATTTCAGGACTTTACTAGCTGGCTTACCGTGATTTTTCAGTACGAAGTCCGTGAGATAGTCATTGATGCTGTAGTTGGAAGGATCGATTTTCAATTTCCCGAAGGCTGAGTGGTAGAATTCATCATTATGAATCCATGATGCGATGGTGACTGCTTTTCTAATTCTATTGGTGTCCTGCGATGTAGTTCTAGTTCTGGCGCGGTTCACAGCGCCGCTATGCGATTCATTCAGCGTGAGCGGTGCTCCGAAAACCAGCGTTTCAACCAACGCATTCACCAGCCATATAGGAGATGTTCCCAGCTTGTGCGTTATAAGAATGATCTGGTGGACATCCTTTTCGAAAAGGGACTCAGCAAGCACTGAATGATCACTGAAAAGTGTGAGCTCTTGTTTTTGAACGCTTGCCATGATCCCGCCTGAAGCTTGGAAGAAAAATGGAATCCTAGTGAATTCAATGGAGCGTAAATCAGACGATCCAGGGGACTAGCAGGACGGCTTCTGATAGTTGACAGCCACCTTCTACTATTGACTCTTCAAGCCAGTGCTATCGATTGAACATAGACAGCACTTGAATCTTATTTCTTTGAAAATGACCAATTTCGATGTCCCCGGTTCGAATCCCAAGAGACCTTTAATTCCTATTGTTAAATGGATTAATGAAAAATTTTGTCAAACTATTTAGCTAGCTCATCTCAGTCCATCGAAGTAAGCTTGAGTTCTTTCCCATACAACAAGACCTCTCCAACTGATTTAGATAAAATGATTACTCTACCAGCTTTGACCGGGGACATCAGCGTTTCCGTTAACTCCAAGGCTACGAAAACCGCCTCTGTGCGCCGTCCTGTGGAACCAGTGGGTCGTTACTTCATGCACCATGCCCAAAGGACTTTGAGAAATCACACCTGGTCAGAATTTGAACAAATCCAAGCCAGTCAGAACGTGCAGCGCGTCGAAGAATCTGTCGATCCTGATGAGGCTTTGCTAGACGAAGATCTTACCGACAAATCGTTGCTCGAGCACGACCCAAGAGACTGGAAAACCGCAGACTTGTACGCTGCGATGGGTCTTTCCAACCTCCGTTATAAGGCTACTGATGCCCAGATTGTGAAAGCACACAGAAAGCAAGTGTTGAAGCACCACCCTGACAAAAAGTCGGCTTCTGGTGGACTAGAACAGGACGGCTTTTTCAAAATCATCCAAAAGGCTTACGAAACTTTGACAGACTCCAACAAAAGAGCGCAATATGACTCGTGTGACTACAATGCGGACGTTGCTCCTCCAAAGAAGGGTGGTGAATACGACTTTTTTGAGGCCTGGAGCCCGGTTTTCGACTCTGAGGCCCGTTTCTCTAAGAAGCAACCTGTTCCTTCCCTAGGTGGACCAGATGCCACCAAAGAGGAAGTTGAAAAGTTCTACAACTTCTGGCACAGATTCGACTCCTGGAGAACTTTTGAGTTCGCCGATGAGGAAGTTCCAGATGACTCTTCCAACAGAGATCACAAGCGTTACATCGAGAGAAAAAACAAAGCTGCTAGAGACAAGAAGAAGACCGCAGACAACTCTCGTCTTGCTAAGCTGATCGAGAGAGTCACCAGTGAGGACCCTCGTATCAAGCAGTTTAAGGAGGCTGAAAAGAAGGAGAAGGAAAGAAAGAAATGGGAAAGAGAAGCGGGCTCTCGTGCTGAAGCCGAAGCTAAGGCTAAGGCTGAAGCTGAGGCCAAAGCTAAAGCCGAAGCTGACGCTGCTAACGCTGCCAATGCCAAGGTTGATAAAAAGAAGGCCAAGGAGGCCGCCAAGGCTGCCAAGAAGAAGAACAAGAGAGCTGTGCGTACCAGTGCTCAAGCTGCTGAATACTTTGGTGACGCTGACAAAGCTGCCACTATCGACGAGCAGGTTGGTCTCATTGTCGACTCCGTGGATGATGAGCAATTGGTTTATCTAGCTGAAAAGATCAAGGGTGATGCCAAGGCCGCTTTGGTCGAAGCTGCCAACTCGTTAGTCGAGGCTAAGAAGCTTCCTGCCTCTTTGTTGTCTTACTTTGTCTAGAGCTAGTATAAATATATCGTATTCAATAGAGTGATAAAAAACTATTCTCAGACAATGGAAGGCGCCGTTAGACGTATTTGAGAGGATTCAAAACACCTCGTTGGCTTTGCGGCGCATTGCGTAGTCGATGAGATATGCATAAACCCTCGTCCCGCCAGAATACATTTTTCAACGACGCATGCATGAGCGGTGGGTCAACTAAACCCGGGGAAGACCGAGCAGGTAGACTTTAAATCTTCAAATTGCAACAAATGGAAGGTTTCATTGACTGGACGCCATGGTCATAGGCGTGGTTGGAAGAAGTCTCTTGTCAAACGAGCTGGTGACCGCGTAAGACGGATGACACATTAGTACAAAGTGATAACCTTTAGGTTTTTCTTTAAGTGTCTGTGCGTCGCTGAAGAGCCTACTTATTGGACAACTTTTCATTTACGAAATATATTCAGCGTTCCCCACCGCTTCTCTCAACTGTTTGACAAATGGATGGTATTGACAAACCTGAAGTGTCAGGTTTTATCTCAAAAATGGTCACATGATCGTCTCCAGGTACTCGACAGGTACTCGCCATGTAATGGTAAGCTCCACCTCTTATGAAAAATACACTTACTATATAATTGATCGTCAGCAAGAGACCTCATTTACAACACAGGTGAGAATCCTTGGAATCTGCGACGGTATACTACTGTTCTAGGACATAAGCCAAGAAAGAACCACTATTAACTCAATTGAGTCATGTCTTTCAGAGCAAACTCAAATTTCGGTGGGATTCCGACAACACACCAAGGGTACAAGCATAATCGCAGCATGAGACCCAATGGGGTTGATTCAGCTGCGTTCAAGGAAAAGGCACTTCGTGAACTGGATAGGCTCTCTAATAAAGTTGACGACCTTACAGATCATCCGCTTGTTCAACGAGTGAAGCCCTACGTGCCTGCGTTGTCCCGTTTCTTCATCGTGGCCACATTTTACGAGGACTCGTTTCGTATCATCTCGCAATGGAGCGATCAGGTTTTCTTCTTGTGGAACTACAGACATTTGCCATACTTTTTTGTGGTGCTCTTTTTGTTGCTTGTAGTCATTTCCATGACAGTAGGGGCCACCATGCTCGTGCTGCGCAAAAGACTGTTCGTGGCCACAGGCACTCTGTGTGCATGCATTGTGCTCCAAGGACTCGTGTACGGTCTGTACGGTGCATCTTTCATTTTGAGAAACGTTAGCGTCATTGGCGGGCTGCTAATCGCTTTCAGCGACTCTATCGTACAGAGCAAGACGACATTTGGAATGCTTCCGGAATTGAACAACAAGGACGGGAAAACTAGGGGACTCATTCTTCTTGCCGGTAGGCTGCTGCTGGTCGTGTTGTTCATCACATTCACCTTCAGCAAGAACTGGTTCACAGTGCTCTTGACCATCATCGGTACCATTTGCATCTCTGTTGGTTTTAAGACCAAGCTGGCGTCTCTACTACTGGGATTGATCCTAACGTTTTACAATGTCACCGTTAACAACTACTGGTTCTACTATAGCAGCAAAAGAGACCTTTTAAAGTATGAATACTTTCAAAATTTGAGCATCATCGGAGGTCTTTTGCTCGTGGTCGCCACGGGAGCTGGTGAACTATCTCTAGATGAAAAGAAGAAAATCTACTAAGCGCTTGCTGTCGAAAAGAAAAAATGAAGACTAGTTAGCTCTAAAAAAAAAGCGAATCGGGTGTCTATGAATAGCACATCAACAGACACATTTAAATAGATCTTGGCTTTGCGGCCTTCCTCACCTATTTACATATTTAAACTCTGAGTCAATACTTCGCGCCGTTCCCGACTGAAAGCCATTACTTAAGACCACAATGTAAAAATGCAGGATTGTCCCTAATTCGGGCCGTAAACACTTCAAAAACTTAGGGAACCCAAACTAGCACCAAACGTACGAAGCCTGGTGCTATAATGGTTCTTGAATCTGGGTTCAGTAGTTCTGTCTAGATACTGAGGTGACACATGAATCACGTGCCCACCTTAAACTCTTACGTGCACGATGATCTCTCCTTTAACAAAGGCCCATATAAGTTTCTTAAGGGAAACCTTATAAGTAGAATTGCAACTAACTTACACTGTAAGTTGAACGTTTGGAATAAAGGACACAGTAGTGCTCGTAGTTTACGTTTTAGTTCAATCACTTAAGAGTATCAGATCATGGGAGGAATTTTGAAGAACCCTTTACCGGATCAGAATGGCAATTTCGAGGATTCCGAATCCATCTCGGACTTCAGAAAGCAAGTGTATAAGAACACGCAGTTGAATGCTCAACTGAACTCTGCAAGCAATAGCGGCAGAAATGATTTGCCACCATCACCGAGGAAGCACTCGATACCGAAAGATGTGCTGAGTATGAAACATGATAGGGACACACAGCAGCATAACGAAGAAGAAGAAAGGCTGAAATGGAACCAGCAAAACCTGGATGCCAATGACGTGGCCAAACTTCAATATCAGGATATTAGTATTGATGAGCCAAAGACGCCGTACCAGGGCGCTGTTGACCCCTCAGGCGAATACTACAGAGACGATGACGAAGATGATTTGGAAAGTTTGTCCCTTGGCGAGCCGATCGTGGCTCCAAAAGAGAACGAAGCAGAAGAAGAAGAAGAAGAAGAGACAGATTCGGGTGACGACCATGAACTCGATCCAAACTCTAAAGAGGCCCGCCACAAACGTTTTGAAGCTATGAGAAAACAACACTACAATCTGAAAGATGTTCTCAAAACGCAAAAAAATGGTGATTTGGATCTCGACGAAGATGAACAAGAATAGTGAAGCACGCGTTTGACGTGGTTTCGCCGTCAGCACCTCTCAATTCGATAACCCATTGAAACTACAAATCACGTGACTGATCTTTCGCTCTTTATACGAATACGTAGTCAGAAGATTTTTCTGCACCATGAGATGAGATGAGAGAACACACAGCGATGAGCAAGTGAGCAGTTTGACTGATAGCTACAGAAGTAACGCTTGAAAGGTTTGAAGCTACCTGTCTCGGTATGGTAGTGAAACGAGGTAACGATAAAGTTGGCCAGGTGTCTGTGGACGCTAAGAAAAAAGCCCGGATCGAAAAGCCTACGAACTCAAGGCAAATGCATAAGACGAAAAATAACGATGGAAAGCCAAGTATTAAGCGTCCAAAGAAAAGTCTCAAAATAACGTCGAAAAACGTCAACTATTCGCTATGCATTCCTGTGAGTATCATCGACAATTGTAAAAATTTGGAGCAAATCACACATGTAATTTACCAGGTTGCCAAAAGTGCAGTGCTGTTCAACGCCGGCGAAATTGTGATTTTGGACCTAGGTCGCGAAAAGAAGAAAGATACTAATCAGGGTACGTCGAAACACTTGTCCCCGGCATTGTTGATAGCGTCGCTTTTGCAATTCTTCGTTACTCCTCCGTATTTGGTGAAAACGGTGTTCAAGAAGGACTACCAACAGTGCTTGCAGATTGCGTCAGGACTGCCGCGAATCTCTGCATTGCCATTCATGCGGTATTCCAAAGATGACGAAGGACGCTATCGTGAAGGGCTGGCAGTCACAATGGATAAGCCGGGGCTCCGCAGCTCCAAGCTGGGCAGCAAGAAGAAGGCTTACGACCAAACCAAGTATATCAACGTGGGTAAAAGTGAAATGATTGAGCTTCGAGGTCAACTTGTTCCTGCCAATGTTCGGGTCACTGTAGATATCGTAGAACGCAAAGTCGTGTCGCCAACAGAAGCTTACGGTGATTTCGTGGGCGCCCAGGCCTCTTTTGGCTACCATGTGCGTGTTGCCCAAAATTTTGGTGACATTTTCACCAAAAGTGCATTTCCAGAAGGTTACACGCAGACCGTGTGGGTCAACAGTGGCGATTACTACTTCGATCCCGACACTTCGAAAAATGTCAAGCTAGGAGCTAAGATACCCCGCATTGAAAAAATATTAAAACCATCTGCTGAGGACATTGCCAGCGGAGAAGCCGAAAAGCCAGCAAATCTTATGGTCGTGTTTGGTAAGTGGGATCATTTATCGCAGAGTTTCAAGCAGTCTAGCGACATGTTTGAGCAGTGTGATGGCGCACACCAATTTTTCGATGGGCAATTGGAACTTCCCGGAGCGGTCCCTGAAGCCAACATACCCATTCACGACAGTTGCATGATTTCTTTGACACTTCTTTCAAATTTATGATGTGTTCAATAGAAGGATGCAGTGGATAGACATAAACACGAACTCCATGACCGCATGAGAGAAGTGGTCCAGATTTGGACCATATATGAGTCACAAGCACAACTCGAACACATCATAGAGAGTGCGAATATACGAATCTCTTACGTTTAGATAAAGAAAGAAGTTTGAAAGTGTTGGAAAAGGACAGTAGGCGGTAAAAGTAGCAGCCAATTGTGAAAACCATTGTATTCCCTGAACAAATGTCTGAGAATTCCTGAGACACAATTGAATTTTCTCACACTACTCGCTATACAAATACGAACTTGGCAAGAGCGGAATCTACGCACCGTCGTTATCTTATCCAGACTAATTCATCATAACTACAATGAACACACACACACACACACACACACACACACACCTCTGCCTGTTTTCTGACTTTCCGATCATTCATCACTGGCGTCCTTACATTTTCATGTCACTATTGTCTTGTCCGTCACACAAAACTAAACAAACATTTACAAACAACGAAGAGCGTCGCCAGGCCAGAAGTCCAAAAACAATTTGAGCTTTAAAAATTCGAGCCTGTAACCTTTGCTAGACCATTCACCATCGATGTCGAAAGCGGCGTCCCAGTGAAATACAAAGTGTAATTTATTCTACTAATGCGCAACCACTAAAAAACAGCAAGGCAATGCAAACGAAACTCTCGTAGCATCCTCAAAGAAAGGTCTCAAATTTGTTAAAGGCTTTGTTGACCAGTACGAGAGCCCAGTCTACCAATCAGGCCATCATCGAACACTTCTTTTGACAGGCTGGAACGCACGTGATCTAAAATATCACACTTCACGCATATTTACAATTCATATCAGTATATACGAATCTATAAACAAAATTTTTCCTGGGTCTGCTCGGATGTGATATATTTAGATCTATATAATAAGAACTTGTTCGAATCTCATCTAACTGTAAACCATCGAGTTAAGTAGAACATTATTACTCTACTCTACGAACAGCTCGATAAGATCAATCTAACGATCGGACCAGCTTGTTTTGCGATCAGATATTAATTGCTCGAGAATAATATCATTGACCACATTCGCTTAACGTCGATTTTGTTTTCTTTTATCACATTATCAACATGAAACTCGCTACAATCGGCTCTGTCGCCGCTGCCATTTCTTGTGCATCTGCCATCGGTGAATTAGGATTCAACATCGGTGTCAAGAACAACGATGGTACCTGCAAAAGCACTCAGGACTACGAAAATGACTTCAACACTTTGAAGGGCTACACTGACACTATCAAAGTGTACGCTGCCTCGGACTGCAACACATTGCAGAACTTAGGTCCAGCTGCGGAAAAAGCTGGGTTTGGCATCTTCGTGGGTGTATGGCCCAACGATGACGCCCACTACGCGGCTGAAAAGGAAGCTTTGCAGAATTACCTACCTTGGATCAAGACATCGACCGTACGTGGTATTTTGGTCGGATCTGAGGCCTTGTACCGTGGCGATCTAACCGCTTCGGAGCTTTCTGACAAGATCAACGATATCCGTAGTTTTGTTGCTAACATCAAGGACTCGCAAGGCCAATCGTACTCCGGAAACCCTGTTGGTACCGTTGACTCTTGGAACGTGCTTGTCGACGGTGCTAACGCGGAGGTTATCAAGTCTTCTGACATAATGATGGCTAACGCTTTCTCCTACTGGCAAGGCCAGACAATGCAGAATGCTTCTTACTCGTTCTTCGATGACATCATGCAAGCCATGCAAACCATTCAGACCACCAAGGGCACAGATATTCCATTCTGGGTCGGTGAAACTGGCTGGCCATCTGATGGTACCAACTTCGAACAGGCCTACCCTGGTGTTGACAACGCTCAACAATTCTGGAAGGAAGGTATTTGTGCCATGAGAGGCTGGGGCGTTAACGTTTTGGTTTTCGAGGCTTTTGACGAAGACTGGAAGCCTAACACTTCTGGAACTTCGGATGTTGAAAAGCACTGGGGTGTGTGGTCATCTGGCGATACTTTGAAGTATTCCTTGGATTGCGAGTTTTGAATACGCATCAAGATGAATGTGCGTTTTGAACAGATAAAGAAAAAATAACGATACCCATTCATGAACAAAACTGAACAGAGTCTATGGATGATCCTAGACATCTTTGCAAAAATTACATAACATCGAATAAGATATAAAACTAGTCAACCAAGAATTTATGGCAATTGTCAAAATAGAGTTTTGGGTATAGTTTCTGCTGCGTAGCATAGGTAAGGTGCTAGAAGATCTATACGTTTAAAACACACCGGTCTTAGAATATTGACACTTGGCGTTGTATCATAAATAGACGTAGCAGTTATTGTGAATGCCCTGCGAAGATGCAATTCGTACTTACTAATCGAACAATTGGCTATTTTATGAATTGGTTAGTCTGCGAATTGACTATTCTACGAATAAGCTATTACTTCTTTGTGGAACACCGTTCATGAAAGCAGGTAAGGCACAGACCTTGCTATATATTGTCTGGGCCGTTGTAACCGCCTCAAACTAACAGTCGAGCTTGAAGAAGCAGTCCTCAACGTTGTTCAATCATAAACTTACCAGCGATTGGATGTTTCAGATTTCGTCTGATGTTTTATTGAACAAGCTAAAATACAGTATATCATTTAAAGGGTTCCCTGACTACCAATGACTTTGCAGAACCCCTAGAGGGAAATAATTCATGAAAAACGCATAAAACCCTGCTTAACTTGGGGTCTGAACTCGTAATTGATAATTTAAAACGCGTGTGCGGTAACCATACGCCCATATTATGAGCTTTTCGTTTTAATTGGTGGCGCTTTGAGCTTCGCAATGCACTTTTTGTTCCATCAGCGGTAAAATTCACAGATATAGCGCAAAAACAGTTGATTATCAAGACTATCACTTCCTAAAGACTGTATACGATTATCCAAAGATGCCAAGTGTCCTTCCAAACACGAATTTCATGTTAGAAACCGATCTCAACCTAAACATTTCCGACACAAGAACCCCATTTTTGCCATCGGACAAGATTGTTTGAATCCAGAACTACGGAGAAACAAAGTACTTATCGCACTTCAAAGGCATGCAAACTAGAACCTCGAAGCATGTCACAGCGGGTAAGAGCAGATCGTTTAGATGCTACGCCACCCCAGCGGCTACCGCCTTCAAGTGTAGACATCCTCCACTCAGTCGATAATCTAGTTGTCAACTGCAGGAACGAGTAGGAGTCCTACTCCCCTTCCGAGTACAAAAGGACTCATGATTGTCTCACGTTCCACGACCACAGCGAATGAAAAAATTTTTTTCACTATTTGGTGTGTTTTTCAGCTACAATGAGATATTGAAGGTGAAGAAGAGAAACCTCTATCCCATCTCCATCGCTAAATCTGAGCTTTAGCTTGAGACAGGACATCCAATTGAAAAGGGCATATTCTTGTTTGTTATCACAAAGAATAACACTTAGATTAGCTGGATATCGTGCACCTTTAACCTGAAGTTGGAACTGCTCGACCATCATGTCCAGATTCTTTGCCAATACGTATGAATACGATAGCGGGTCTTCTTCGTCCGAGGAGGATCTTCTTTCGGCGTCCGAGGAAGAGCTTATGAGCTCCTCTTCTTCAGACAACGAAGACCTACAAGAATCTCAAGACGAAGAAGCTTCGGATGATTCGTTTTTCGATGAATCAGCTGCAGAGTCAGATGTGGATTCTGATGATTCAGATGGAAGACCATACGGTCCCGACTGGTTCAAGAAACCTGAATTCAGAAAAGGAGGCTCCACGGGTGCCAATCGGTTCCTCAAGAACGCCGATTACTCAGACTCAGAATCCGATGATGAAGGCAAGAAAGTGGTTAAATCGGCCAAGGACAAGCTACTGGATGAAATGCGTAGCGTCCATGACAAAATCGACGTGGCTGAAATGTCCCTAGATTTTGTTACCATTCTCAGCGAGCTCGACTCTACGACTAGACTTGTGACCAGGGCCCAGCAGCAGAACTACGGTATTCCCAACATCTTCATCCAGGTGCTCGCCCAGGTAGAGGACGTTGTCGCATCCACGTCGCAGCAAGACATCACTAATAAGGCTGTTGCTAAAGCTTATAACACCACTAAGCAGCGTGTTCGTAAAATAGCCCGCGATTACGAGGACATCATCGCCAAGTACCGTGAGTTCCCTGAGGCCTTCAGTACCGAGGCTACTGAAGATGGCGGTGCGGTGCAAGACAATTTTGCCGAGTCTTCATTTGCTTTGGCTGGAAAGAATGCTGCAGATCTATCTTCTGTCGCCAACGCGACTTCCGAATCCGACTTTTTCACAGCATTACGCATTGTCATGGACTCTCGAGGAAAGAAGGGTACTGATCATCAGGCACAGATCAAGACTTTGGAAGAGCTACTGGACATAACTAAAAGCCCATATGAAACCATTCTTGCATACTTGAATTTGATTTCTTTTAGATTCGACTCCTCGGCTTCTCTTTCCTACCAACCTATAGACCAATGGAAAGCATCTCGCCATGACATTGCCAAACTCTTTGACGTTTTAGAAACCAATATTGAGCAATACCACGTTTCTGAATTCGCTCCTAGAAATGATTTTGTTGAAGACGAACCTCAAACTAACGAACAAGGCATCAAAGAGATCTTAGGTTCCGTGTACTCTTTTGTCGATAGACTTGATGATGAGTTCAACAAGTCATTGTTGAACACTGACCCTCACTCTAGCGATTTCCTGGACCGTCTCAAAGAGGAACAAAGCGTTTACAACTTGATTTTAAGGTCTCAATTGTATGTGGAAGCCACCACAATTGCCCAACCCGATCTCCAGAAAAGGCTGGCCCGTATTCTAACAAGAAGACTTGATCACATTTACTACAGATCCAACAAGTTGGTTGCTATTACTGAACGTAAGGCATGGACGAGTTTGCGTGAAGGTGCTAAATCTCAAGTCACACCTTTTGAGGAGGAAATTAATGACGCATACGTTTTCAAACTAATCGATACATTGCATCAAATGTTGAGCAGCCAGAAAGATGGTTCTCAACGCAAGAGAGCTGCTCTATACAGAATCTATTTCTATGCTTTGAACAACCAGTTTGAAAAGGCCAAAGAAATGCTTCTTACATCCCATGTTCAATCTTCGATCAATTACTCTGACCCTCCATTACAGATTCTGTTCAACAGAGCTGTCGTTCAGCTGGGGCTTGCTGCATTCAAACTGTGCCTAATCGACGACTGTCATCAAATTTTGAACGAGGTTTCCACCAGCACGCATTTGAGAGACATTCTCGGTCAGCAAAGTCTACAAAGAGTTGCAAACAACAATGCCTTCAGCAATGGATCCATTCCTAGCGAGCAACTATGTTTGCCTTTCCATCAACATATAAACCTGGATTTGATTGACGTTGTTTTCATGACATGTTCGCTTCTCATTGAGGTACCTCATATGGCTGCTTTCTTTTCCGGAATCAAGGTTAAGAGAATTCCTTACTCCCAAAAGTCCATTCGTCGTGCCCTAGAGCACTACGACAAGTCTAGCTTCCAAGGTCCCCCAGAGACGCTGAGAGACCGTGTCTTGTACTCCGCAAAGGCCATGCAAAGAGGAGATTGGGAACAGTCTGTGTCGTTCTTGAAATCAATCCCAACCTGGTCTATGTTGCCTAACACCGAAGAAATGATTGCGAATCTATCGAAGAGGGTCCAAATTGAATCTTTAAGAACGTACATTTTCACGTACAAGAGGTTTTACTCCAAACTTTCCATTGAGAAGCTTTGTGAAATGTTTGGTTTGGATACCGAAACTGTTGTGGAGATTGTGACTGCAATCATCACCGATTTCGACTTGCATGCTAGTTTGGATGAAGGATCCAAGTTTGTTACGTTTGAAAAGGGCTATGAAATCACCAAATTGGAAGAAGTGGCTGTCAAGTTGGCCAAAGAAACCAAATACATGAGCGAACGTCTCAATGAAAAGAAATATGTTGGAAACTCTCGCAGACAGGAGTAAAATAGTAGCTGTTAATCTTGTATAATATATATTTTCGGGGCAAGCACTAGAAAGAAAGAACGCTGGTCTTAAATAGCACTAATAACTACATATTATCACCAATACTTTGTCTGACTCAAAAGTTGGATACGTTTGACAAAGTATGAGATTCTTGAGCGATATTTATTATTGGACCACAGAGCTATTTAGACCATTATTGAAACCCTATTAATATGTTTATTATGTGTGGGAATGAGTATGTAAAATTAGGGCTCTAGGCGCTGGAGCGTTCCCTTTTAACGGGACAGTATTTATACTTTGGATACACTTGGTGATGATGCTGTTTTTCGATTTGCGAAAATTCAACAAAACGTTGTTTGAAATCTTCTGGCTCTGTATTCCACATAAGTGTGATGATTTGAGCAACGTCTGTTTGGCTGTTGAATTTGGGGTCAACAAGTTTGAGCTCTGAATTAGGATTAAAGGTATCGACGGGTTCGTACATTGTGGCTTGAATTGCTTCTAACACAACGTCTCGGTCAATATCGACCGGTAAAGTGAAAGGTAGTTCAACATCCTGAACAACGCTGCCCACCACGGCCAGTAGCTGGGGTTCTGTGAGTTGTGGGTAATGACTGGATAGCACCTGGCACGTGTCTGTGACAACACTGCACACTTTTAGGATAGCGACCGCTTTCATAAGTGCGGAACGATACAACATGAAGCTGTTGAGCGGACGTTTCATTTTGCCCTCGATGAACTCGTAGTACTTGTTTTTGCGTCTGCGGTCTTCGCTTTCACGCAGTAGGAACATGTGCCGCAGCTGTAAAAGATCACAATCCCATTCCGATAACGTGGCATTTTCCGTTGAAGAGGCGGTGAAATCACTGTACCCGCTGCTGGTGCGCACTTCGACAGCCAGGAGCCCCGGTGTCAATGACGAATTTGGCTGCTGGTGACACGGCTCGTCGAAAACGGTGAGTCGCGGGAACTGTTTGACCTGGGCTGCGGTTCGTGGCTGGTTCTGGTCTAGCCACAGCGATTTGTTGGCGGCTTCCAGATCGCGTCGTTGCAGAGCCTGCAGTAACGGCGGCGATGAACTTGTAGTGGTAGTGGTGGTGTCGCCGATATCGTCGTACACGTGACCACTGGCCCGCTCGTGTTTCACGTGCTCGCGCGCCAGGATCGCCACTTTTTCCCGTACATAGTGCTGTGAGAACAGCGCGAGCACGTGATCGACGTCGGCACGTGCTTTGAGTTCTTTAACGCTGGTTGCGCCCTTTTTAAGGACAAACCGATCTGCAAGCACGCGATGCCGCTCGTTCGAAATGCGCGCGATCTGCAGCCAAGCGTTTTGATTTTCGAGACAATTCTTGGGTTGTCCGGATTGCATAGAAAGCTGAGCATGGGCCACATATTTGTACATGGGAGCAGCGGTGACCGCTGCACTCCAGGAGCGGGAGCGGCCGGCACCGGCTCCAGCAGCAGCGGCCGCTGCCGCTGCTGCTGATTTTGGTGCGAGGACAGCGGACCGACGACGGGCCGCGATTTTGGGACGTGTGGGCGGCGCGCCACTTATTGTGTGAAACGGACTATCCTTGTTGCTGTTGCTGTTGCTGTCGCTGTTGTCGATGGGTGAAATGTCATCGTTGTATGCGCAGACGCTGGCACTGGCACTGGTGTCACCGCTGACGATGGGTGTCTGGGTGCTGTACCGGAACTGCGGGGTGAGGTCGGTCATCATCAAGGACGACGCCGGCGACACGGTCGGATCCGAAGTCAGGTCCGGGAATGGCGGGAAATCGTCCCATGGCTCGCCGCCGCTGCCGCCGCCAATGCTGCTGGTTGGCTGCTGATGCTGCTGCCACAGAGAATCCCAGGCAGCGTTAGGATCCCAAGTGGGTTCGAAGGACCACGTGGATGATGCGTCACGGTCAAATTGTGCAGACATAGTGGTGTGTGGGTGTGTGGGGTGTGTGTGTAAGACTCTCTATTTACCTGGATGTCCACTTCAGCGTATGGATCTTTCTCTCTCTTTGGCTCTTTGGCTCTTTCGCCCTCTCTCTCTCTTCTCTCTCTGCTTTCGCCCGGCAATGACGCAAGAAACACAACCGGACCCGCCCCTAATTCTTCTTTTTTACCCCAACGTGTGTGTCCTCTTATATATCCCGGCTCTTGTCCAAGGTTTATGCCAAATAGTGGGTGGGATGCCGCATAATGGGGGGACGGGCGGACTTAGCAAAAACAAAGAATATGAAAAACAAAAAAAAAAACCCCCTCCGAGTCGGCGACGTGACACGGGCGGGAAGGAAAGAGAAGACCTCTTTTCTAACCGCACGGCCTGCGGCGACGTGTGAGCGTCCAGCGGCATTCGTCGGCGAACGTCGTAGCGGGTTTTTTTTTTTTTGTACCACGGGGTTTTCTTTTTCCCAATTTTTGTTTATGTTTTTTTTCTTCATAGTGTCTTGGGGTTTTTGGCCCCAGAAACGACCGCGTTGGGTTTCCGGAGACAGTTTCCCCACCCGTTGAGAACCCCGCAAATCCCCAAGGGAAACTGCTAGCGCTGTGCATAGCGATTTCGAGGAGCCGTGGACTCTAGGGGAAACGCCTTAACGGACAGTGACACAACGCTTGGGGTGAGAGTCGAAAGTGCATGCAAAACGGCGGGACGCAGAAATGGCAGCAGAGTGGCAAAGGAGATGGCCGTTTTGGGAACTGTCCGGTGGGAAGAGGAAGAGGGAGAGGGAGAGTGAGGGAGAGAGAGTGTGTGTGAGGGAGATCAAAGACCAGTAGGAAGAGGAGGAGAACTACTTTACGAAGGTTCAGGTGGTGGAGGGCAAAGACAAGAATAGATTTTGAAGTTGACGTCAGTTTGGAGAAGCTTTGCGCAGACTGAGGTGGAGGGTTCGTTTTGGTGTCATTCATAAAATGGCTGAGAGGAAATCACGTGATTTGAAAGATAAACTGGAGACGGCTTGTTATGTACAGTATGACTGACTACATTGAAACGAATCCAGACAGGACTGGGAACGGGTACGTGTACGCATACGTGTACGGATACGTGTACGGCAGGCATGCGAGCAAGTAGTTGTGATTAAGTAAGTAATCAAGAATGAAATTTGAGCAAGCAACGAGTAAATGAACTTGTACGGCACGAATATGTACACTATTTGGTTCAGGTAGACACACGACATTCCAATCTTTGTAAATGAGAGTTGAGCCTGATGACGTTTTGTAAAGGTCGTGCGTGTCGTGCGTGTCGTGCGTGTCGTGTATACTTCCGTAGTTTTGACTTTGCGCGTACTGAAACCAATGTTTGTGGGTGGACCAGTCGAGCACGTGACTGCTAAACATGAAGGGATAGGATAGTAGTTCTGGACATGGAACGTATAATTTTTGTCGAGGATCAGCTACGTCGGCAGTGTTCGAGCTGTTAAACTGTTTCGTGTCTAAACCTACTCGTGTTGAGACTCCGTCTCGTGTCTAAACCTACTCGTGTTGAGACTCCGTCTCTGGAGTGTCGTTGCACGATAAACGTCGCATATCTTGGGTGATTTTGTCCATTATTGTAAGGCGTAAACTATTGTTTTTATTGAGTTAGCGTTTTCTCTCCGTGATGTATTTAGCATAACTGGAATGATCTTGTCGGGTGGACTAAGCGTCCCTTCTTATACAAATTCTTGGAAATGTTCCGTCGCGGGGTGCAACTGATGAGAATAGTCTACTCTGGGAGAAATACGATCAACTTTAAGTGGTATCCCTTGTACCATCGACATCATTCTATTGAGGCTTGACTACGTCGGCAGTGTTCGAGTTGTTAATCTGCTTCGTTTGCTCAGTCATGATTTGCTCTAAGTGAATGGTTATAGATTATGGGCTCTATCTATCTCTCCGCGGCTCTCTTTAATATAAGTTTGGTACATTCTGTTTCACCGAACCACGGATATTTAAACGTTTTTTGGAGCAACAATAGCAAACAGTAGGTAAGTTCTGGAACTCAGCCATTAGTAAAGACTACTTAATAGATTTCCCGGATTGTTTGCAAAGTCTGCATAGCGTTGACGTATTGTTGCTTCATTGGTCCATTCACCTTGGCGCTTAATATGTCATTTTCTGATTACGCAATTGGCACTATCCCATATAGTTTACCAATCCCAACAATTTTGAGCACAACTTTGCATACCACTCTAGATAGAGTAAATTATCAAGGATTGGGACACGGAACATGGCTCTCCAGTATCTGAGCTTCCTTTACCAGGCCCGATTCAAAACAGCTGCGACACTAATAGCCAATATATCGATACAGTAAGTAATAAGAAAGTAAATTTAGACGACAGCGCTTCGTCGGAAAACATTGTTCCTGCTAATCAAGGCTGTTCTATGAACGCGAAAGTTTGGTTTGCGATGTGCACATCGAAGAGCATCACAGTGACTCCGTCCTGTAAGAGGTAGGGTCTAATAACTCAGGAGACGATGAACGAAGAAATTCAATTGGCGATGATTCACTGAATGTGCACATCGAAGAATACCTCAGTGACACCTTTCCGTAAGGGGGAGAATCTGTCAATGTTCCTTCCGAAGAAAATGCCAATCCTCAGCACGAGCACGCTCAGCAATGCAATTTTAGGCGGCCTTCTTCTTACACCTCACGGAAAATAACCGTGTGCCAAATTGATAACTTGAGGTATGCTCGTGCGTATCAAGACTCGACCCTTCAGTCCGAAAATTCCTATCACCATATTATATCTGAAAGTGACACTCACACTGACAGTAGCTGTCAATCAAAAGATGAAGGTGCCCAAGATGTGCGACAGGGAATAAATGAATCGAATGAAATTCATGTTTAGAAACAGGACTTCCATCAATTCCAATGAGAAGAGAAAAATCCATGTTTATATAATCCAAGAATAGTAGCACCTAATCAAATAATAGTTCTTAATGATACAACAAATACTATATTCAATGAATCCTTGCAAAATATCAAACGTAAGTGACGAGCCCAAATGAGAAGATTTCTGATAAGGCACTGGCCAAAAAATTTGAGAGCGGGCTCCAACATCTCCTTTCAGGATCTGGTTCACCGAACACGGTGGCAATGAACTTTACGCGCAATGCAAGTATGATCATTGCCATAAATTATTCAGCTTTAGCACAAACCCTACTTCCTCTAATTTGGTGAAGCACTTCAAAATGAACTTACCAACATGACGAACGTGGCTTCTGAAGCTCGAAAACCCTCCATCTTATGCGCAAGAAGTCCGCGATGAGTAAGGAGCTCACTCTTTCTACTGTTCAGTTCCGTCGAATCCCGAAATCATCCACCGTATAGAGACACCTGAAATGGGCGTCCCAACTTTCATCACCATTGGATTTTCTGGAGATTGGGTTTGCCTCGAAGGATAATGCAGAAGTAACAGGTGATAACACTCCAATGACAGAAACTATCTACTACCTCGAGACATTTATTGTTGGAGCCCAGTAAATTCCAGGACAACCCAAGGACGGACAGGTAAAGTCACACCGACCCATTCGACGATATTTTAACTTTCACTGGATCTGACTGTATTCCAACCAAGGAGAACATATATCAAGTTGGGACTCCAGTCGTTGACAGTGTTACAAATATCTTCCCTGGTTGGACTGGATCTGCTATTTCAAGCTGCTCTACTTTTTTGACACTATTCACTGGATTTAATAGTATTTTTACTCTGGAAACCATCTACTATGTTGAATTACCTACTTCGAGTTCACAGTCCACCGGAAGCAGGCCAACCGCTACGTTCGTCACCACTAAGCTCACTTTGTGGACCGATCGTCGAACGTGCACATTCTTTACCATAAAAACCCTGTCCACTAGCTCTGATGATATTTTGACCACAGAAACGCTGTTCTACGCTCAGGCACCAGATTTGCTGTTTTTTAGAAACTCTTCCATCGTGACGCCCACAAGATCCTCCAGTACTGAAATTTTATCTACCACTTCCACTTTAAGTGATGTTTCCTCTTTTGCGGCCATTTCATCATTATCCAGCTCCCAGGCCCAGTCTACGGCAAACGATATCTCTATTAATGCCCAAGACTCGACGATTACAAATATTAAGATCATCAAGACTTCAGGTTCAGACACGACTTCGTCAATTGCAAGCTCTAGTCACCAGAAACCACCCCTGCCCCCACCCCTTTCGAGTATGAGCCAGTCCTTGGTGTTCCCAGCCGTGTCAATTCCACCTTCTTTCATATAAAGTGTCTCATCCACAACCATGGTTCCAATTACGACCTCCGGAGACGACGTAGATTCATCAACCTAGAAGAGCATGTCAACGGGGTCGAAGTCCACTTTGTCTTCATCATTAAACGCATGCTCTGATTCAACGTCTGTTTTTAACCGCGCTCCCATCCAAAAATACAGTTGGTGCAGAGCACTAACCAACCAGTACAAGAAGCAGAACGTTGTCAAACTCTCCACATAGTTCTCGAACTCTGAAACCATCTACCAGTATGATTCGAGTCCGACAATGCTAATGTCCGCCTTAGTATCATCGACTCATTCTATTAGTGCTGCTCCAACTTCAATGGAAGGCTTTAGTGATTCCACATCTTCGACATCAATTTCAACACCTACAACACCACCAAGTCAAAACAGCTATCAAAAGCTACCACAGGCTAACATCGGCACTACCGAATACTTCTTATGGACCTAGCGACGCTATGGAAATTACTTCAACAATATCAAGCACTGGCAGCTGGTATTTGGTCACTTGGTCATCATTGAACGGCAATGAAACCAAGCTAAATGAAAGTGCTGGCAAGGAAAGTGTTACTGAGGCATTAGGCGCTTCACAAATAGAACCTAACTGCAGAGTATTTATTGACAACTATCATACGCGGACTGTATGAAACCTACGGTCCTATACTCATTGTGTTATGCTTCCATAAGAAAGACAAAGAACACTGGTACTGAAATGGCTCGATGCTATAGGATGCCAGAAATTTACCTCAATCAAACCAGATTAGCTAGCACTCTGGACAAAAGAGAATGAAAGAGGGGGACAAGCAAATGCTTCGGCGTGGCGCCAGAAATATTACCAAATATCGTTGATATCAAATAAATTGAAATGACAGAAAAAGTGAGACGATGTATCATCCTAGGGATTCCTACAGAAGCACTGATTATTAGTCCATATAAATTTTATCTGTCAGTTCACGAGAAAAGATTGAGACCCTCCGGAAGGACTCTGAAAACATCGAAAAAAAAATATACCTGAGGAAGTTAAAATCGAGACGGCTGCCTTCCATATTGGGTCTTAATTTTCCCTTCAGTTGTCGAAGCATCCGCCTTTCTTGACTTTGTTGCCCCACAAGTCAGCCAAAAAATAGAGGTAGTTGTCAACGTTTCTGACGGCAAAGGAGGAGTTGTCCTTAGCCAATGCTAAAGTCTCATTAAGTTCCTCAGTGAACTCAGAAATGAACTCGTTCTGGGTAATCGATGGAACGTGGAAATAACGATGCAGCATATCAATTCCGTAATATTTCTTTGGTCCGTACTGCGTAAGGTTACCTTTGGTGCACATAGCGCTGAGTGGCACACGAGCTTCGTAAAAGTAGTCACAAATCACTGTCTCGTATGGGTGGTCTTCACGATGGTGCCCTGCGTAGTAGTTTTGATATTTTTTGCAAAGACCATCAGCATCGTCGCAACGTAGAAGCAAAGACGTCTTTGACACATTGGCGATACCTTCCACAACGCCCATTACCTCGTATAGCTTTCCGTCTCCGAACCAACGCTTGTATACCTCTGACTCTACAACGCTGTCGTTGGAAGTTAGCACGCTCATTGCGTAGCTAGTTGCTTCGATCGTTTCATCGAAAGCCTTCGATAGGAACTCTACTTCAGTGCTGTTACAGCTAGATTGTATTCTTGGGAACTCAGCGTCAGCATAACGGCCAGTGGCAACTGTTGAGTAAGTTTTAGGTCCAGTTTTTGGAGCGACAGCTTCTCTTTGGGCCACAACTGCCAAAACCAACGCAGCGACTAAAGCGCCGATGCAAATGAAGGTCGTTCCGAAGAACAAACCACTGCGTTTTAAAGTCCTACTGTGTTTCTCGTCCATGATCATCTGTGGTTTCTTTCGTTGGAGGTCAAGGCTACATTCATGAATGAGTCCTTTCTGCTATTCTACCGTTATATATACTAGCATTATGCTGCAGAGATCTCGACAAATCGCGAGTCTTGAGAAGGCACCTTCAGGGTCCTCGAGCGTTTACCGCACCATTCGACTTCCAGGGTGCACACTTACGCGCACTGGCTACGGCGACAGTTTCTATGCCCGATGATATTCTTTCTGGAATCATGCAGGGTCCTCATGGGTGTAATGAAGAGGAAGGTAAATTTCACTTGCGGCTCCCGAGTATTGTTCGACCTTGTAGGTGATGAAAAAAAGGGCGAAGAGGTAACATACAAGGCTTTGTCTTTAACAATATTAGAACTAACCTAAGGGCACATTTTTCAAGATGGCGGATTTCTGGTGAAATTTTGACAGAGAAATTTTTGAAGATGAAAGGACAGATGCAGGTGCAATGAAGACATTTTTCTTGGAGCTGTGTGGTCAAAACCACTGCTAGGAGAGAGACGGGGTTAAGACCTTTGTGGGACAGTTCTGTCCATAGAATTCGGTTCCACTCGAATTCGAAGCTGATGACTTTGGTTATCACTATATACGAGTCGAGGGCATCGGGTCAAAGTAGCAGGACGAATCCGTCTCTTAAGGATGACACACGTCTAGAGTAGCTTGAGAATCTCTACAAAAGCTCCATTGTTGATTATTTGATCTAGAAGCACTGTCAAAATCCGCATTTTGAATCGAAGGTTTAATGACCTCATTCAAAGCTTAGAAACCGAATGAACATGGTTCAACGTCTCCTCAATTAGCGGCTTTAGCTCATCATGAGCCAGTGAGTCATCTCCAAGCAGTGAAGTTGAAAATATCTCGTAATTACAAGAGACAAGAAAACATCTTAGAGATATGTGAATACCAGTGTCCAACGGTCTTTGATACCAGCCTTGAGAAGATAATTTAGAATCTCTGAGATTGACTTCGATTTTCTCTGCCATGTCTGAGCTCTTTTAACTATTTACTGACGTCTCATACCGCATCTCAAAACAGGCTACTACTAATAAATGTCCAAATTTCGAGAATCCTGATCACATGTCTACCCAATTTCAAAAAAAGGCCGTATTACTAAGCAGCACGTGGCATTCTTCCGTAGAACCACACAACGACTAAAGAGGATCCGCGAAAACGTATAAAAAGGCCAACCATCGAGACAAACTGTCCCACAGGCATTCCCTTCGAGAGAAATCAAGACAACTGTAAATTTTCAACCAAGATGTCCAAGTCTTACTTTATCTCTGGTGGTAACCGTGGTATCGGACTCGCTCTCGTCAAACTGCTCAGCTCCGATACATCAAACACAGTAGTTGCCGGTACTCGTAATGTAGAAGGTGCTACTGATTTAAAAGAATGGGCTAACTTGCACTCAAACGTAAAGATCGTTGCCTTAGACGTTTCCCTTGCCGCCAGCAATGTAGAGGCTGCCAAGGAGACTGCTCGTATTTTGCCGGATGGTCTAGACGTGCTGATTGCCAATGCTGGTATCGCCAAGGCAACCGGAACTCTCCTGGAGAGCACTGACGACCTATTCTACGAACATTTCACTACTAACACCGTAGGCCCAATCAGACTTCTTCGTGCATTCAAGTCTTTGTTGGACATGAAGTCGACAAAACACTTTGCAGTTGTGTCTTCTATCGCAGGGTCTCTAGTAAGCAACATCAACATCTCGGTTTCCACGTCTTCGTACGGTTTGTCGAAAGCTGCACTCAACTTTGCGATTATCAATTTAAATAGAGAGTTGGGCCCAGAAGGCTACAAGGTCGTGGCTTTGCATCCAGGTCTGGTTAGCTCCGATATGGGCAGCAAGACTTTGGAAGATGAAGCCCTCAAGGACGTGCTTAAAGATTTGCTCAAGAAGTTCCCGCCCATCACGCCTGAAGAAGCTGCGAAAGCAATCAACAAGAACGTTTTGGAAAAGCTGCCCGAAGTTGCAGGCAGGTTTATTTCCCACGACGGTTCAGAGATCCCATGGTAATTCGGTCTCCGGATGCTGGATTCTTCAGACTTTGAAACACAAATTATGCCTATGTAGAGCCAAAAGTAGTGGCCACTGAAGTAGCGGGTCCATAGCGACCTTTACAACTTGCTAACCCGTATCAATCAACGTTTGCTCGAGTCAGTACTGTGTATGAGTATGAGGATAGCAACGGTCAATAACTCTAATGCCGGCCAATATTGAAAGAATTCTGCACCACGTAAGCATCGTTTCTGAAAATCATATCAAAATCACCTGTCTATCACTATCCGACCGGTAATCCTTAAGAAAGCCTTCCTAAATGATGATGCATATGCAAACAACGGTGACTGACATGACAATAGCATAGAAGGTATTAAGAAAAATGGAAACCTTCGAAATTGTAAGCGACGAAGACTAATAACCGTGTAAGGCAATATCGATAATTTCCGAGAACGGTGTAGACTGTGGCACTCTTCTAAATGAGGAAAGAAAAACTCACGGTTGTGGCGATGATACTTCTCGGTTCATATGCTTATTCTACAAAGTAGTCTAATTTCCGATTGCGAACTACAAAGTTCGTAGCTGTCCGCGAAACTCTTCGATGGTTTTGTAGCCCTTTTGAGTCATCACTTCTTTTAGCTCTTTTTCCAAACGCTCAAAAACTGAGATGCCCTCTTCGTACAGCGCTGTCCCAACCTGCAGCATGGTAGCGCCACAAAGCAAGTGCTCGAAGGCATCTTGGCCCGAGGCTATGCCGCCCGTCCCTATGACCTTAATGGTTGGATTCAAACGTGTGTAGAAAGCACGTACGTTCGCCAAAGCAGTAGGCTTGATGTAGTCACCTCCAATACCACCAAATCCGTTTTTGGGCTTGATAACGACGCTTTCTGACGCTGCATCTACATAAAGACCGTTGCCAACGCTGTTAACGCAATTGACATATGCTAACGGGAACTTGTTAAGAATATTGGCCACGATATCGAAATGAGCGAAGTCGAAATAGGGTGGAAGTTTGACCCCCAGAGGTTTTCTGAAAAATTCGAACACCTGTGTCAAGATTTGCTCCGTCATTTGAAAATCGTATCCGACTTGGGGTTTACCGGGTACGTTTGGACATGATAGATTGAGCTCGGTGACACCTTGGAAATCACTGCGCTGAATAATCTTCAGAATATTGATATTTTCGTCCCGGCTCATGCCTGCAACAGAAAAAAATGGTGCTTTCCCGTCGGAGTCGTTTTTCTGATAATCAACGACATAATCGAGATAGTATTGGAAGCCTTTATTCGGCAGTCCCATCGAATTGATACTTCCTAAAGCTGTGGCATAATATCGAGGCTCTGGGTTGCCAGCTCTTTCCAAAGTAGTAGCGCTCTTCGTGATGAAAGCACCTGCCTTAGACCTCTTCAGCTCATCTAGTTCGTTAACAGTTAAGCAATGCACGCCCGAAGCGTTCATGAATGGGTTTTCATACTTCTGACCCAAGAATTCGGTTTTTAAGACAGCTGTCATAGTCCCGAAAAATCCAAGTTGATTGGATAATACTGCATATTGAGCTATATGCGATCCTAAATGATCAAACGAGCAACAGTTTTGTTATATAGGTAAGGTAAGATTCTTTTTAGCTTCTCATTTTTCACATCGGATGACGTGCGTCTGGTGGTTAGTTATTCTACAAATCGTTTAAAGTGAATGGTATGATTTACCGGCAGAGCTCGAATCATGTGAGAAGGAATCAAAATGCAAGGGCCTACCGGTAACTGGCGATCAACGTCAGTTAACACGCATTCTTAAAGTTCGACACTTGTTTTTCCCGTGTTCTCCCGCATGTACTTTAGGTGTTTCTTTGAGGCCAGCAAGGTGACAGATTAATGGCTATAGTCGTGTATATATCATCATAAAGTAGGAATCTGAGCTAATGGTAGAGATGTGCGAGTTATATTTCGAGTTGTCGGAATCTTTTGCATTTCTGTGAGTGTCTGTAAGTCACGCAGAGTCTCGGTTTCGACCCTTCACATAATAGAATGCGTACTGTACCTTTACGTGCAGTACCATTCAGAAACGAGGACTGTGTCATGCTACTTACAAAAGTCGGTACTAGTCTTGTCTCTCTCGTTAATCTCTCTCAACACCTTACAAGGGTTGCCCACAGCGACCACTCCTTCTGGAATGTCTTTCACCACAACGCCTCCGGCAGCGATAACGGAGTTTTTGCCAATGGTGACACCCGGTAAGACGGTGACGCTCCCTCCAATCCACACGTTGTCTTCTATAGTTATGGGCAATGCAAATTCCAGACCGTCGATTCGTCTCTGTGCGTCCAGAGGGTGACCGGCCGTGTACAATCCAACGTTGGGGCCAAAGAAGACATTGTTACCAATACGAACATCGACAACATCTAAAATTGTAAGGTTGTGGTTACTGTACATGTTGTCCCCGATGTGTATGTTACTGCCATAGTCACAGTAAAATGGCTGCTCGATTAAAAAGCTTCCAGCGCAACTTCCGAAGAGACTTCTCATGAGATTTTCTCTGAGTTCTTCATTGTCTGGATGCACATTGTTGAACTCATGAATCCTCGACTTGGCTTTCTTTCTGCCCTGTACGTAAACTTCGTCGTTAGGGTTATAGAGCTTCCCCGGAATAATTCTTTCGGTTTGGCTCATGAATGCAAGGCGGCAGGCGATCGATGGTCAGAAATTAGTTTCCACGTCAAGATGTTTCAATCAGCTCTAGCGACCTCTCGAATACGCACTTCACGATTCACTTTAAATTGCCCCATTATCTCTTTTCAAGAAACAACGAAGATGAATCAATAAGTAAAAGCCCTTATGGAAAGAAGGTTGTCTGCGGGCTGAGAATGGGAGACAAGTGTCCTTTGGTATAACTTTTAAAGATGAATCTAACGGGCTTGGTCAAATTTTGTTCGAACTCTATCACTTTTGAAGTCTCGGAAGTGAAGAAAACGCCTTTCTTCAGTATTCCCGAGGTTTCCAGGAAACGTACAAGAGGGCATTGAGAATTTGTATTCAAAGGCTCCAATGTTGTCGTAAATCTCGTCAACTTCCTGCAAGTGATAGATTTCACGTAAGGTAAGGAGTCTAATACATTTTATCTTATTGAGATACTTACAGCTTTGGTTATTCTGAGAGTGTCATTGAACAATATCGACCTATACGGTGCAAAATAGTGGGAAAACGATCATATCCTGGTTTTCGTGGGTGTGAAAGGACGGAAATACACCAGTACTCATTATATGCGTGATAAGAGAGAGAGCAGTCGAGAATGAAAGTTTTTGCAATGATGTCCGCTGTATCTTTCGAATTGTGCTCTCTAAAAAAGTAGGTTCCCAGCCAAAGTGATCAGCTGTGACTGAACACTTTGCTTCTTTGAAAGTTGGGTCTTTTGTTCCTCGAGTCGCTCATGCAAAAAGAAGTGGCGGGGCCAACACCACTTCAAAATACCCTGAGCATGAATGAATTCCCATCGTATTGTTTTCAATTTACATTCATGTCCGACGCTTACGAACAAAATCGCAATTTGATCCGGCAGGTTACATAGGTTCGAGACTAAGCTGTGCGTTACTGATTTCGTGGCCAAGAGTGAGAGTGCAAGGTCGCGCGACTTGAGCGATTAGGAATCGCAGATGTGTAATCCGTTGGGCAACGGCCACTGGCCGTGGGATTGCAGATCAACTCGCGAGCGGTAGCGTGAGGCAATGTTGTGGCAGATTGATAAAGTGATCTTGTGCAGTAGAATGACGTCCTTATGGCGGGGCGAGGTGACGGGCAAAAATCGTTTAATGTCCGCTGTAAGCCTCAGACGAAATTTTTGGAGAACTTTAATGCGAAGCTCTTTTTATCAGCATTGTTGTATGTTCCTTTGGGCTTATAAACTGTCTGTGGGTGCACAGAACGTCGTCTTCCATTTGAAGAAACAGGGCGCTCTAGTTGTTTTCTGGGAGCCGATGGTGTGGATCCGACAATCTGACGCATTCGGAAACATTCTCCACAAGCTGCCGCCGAGTGCCAATATCTCATGGTGATAAGGCCGGTGTATGTGAACCTATTTCTCTCTTGATCCTGATGCTGTCGTAAGATCACGTGCCCGTACATGTTGGGCAATCAAGCCTGGCACGTATTACTCTTTTATTAACCTTTTAGACAGGTTATCAGACTACTCGACAACAACGGAAAGTACGCCTTCGCTACATATCAAGCCTAGCGTACCCTGCGAAAAGTTCAGGAGGTGTTACTGTGGGAACATTTGGAACTTTCATATCATGCGGTAACTTTTACCCCTGACGCCGTTATTAAGCTCGTGCATTCTTTCGACTCCAAGGTCTTCTCTCTAAGGGCTGCAGGCTATTGTTAAGTGGTCTAAAGGCCTTAAAAATTGCACACAACATCGCACTTACAAATTGCAACTACTGAGGGAGCTTTTCTAAGACCTCCATCGTCCCAACAAGGACTCAAAAACGGTCCCAGCCAAGGTCGAGGTCACGACTCGACATGTGGCTCACAAGGTACACACAGGACCAGCTCTGGCAAGAAAAGTAGCATGCAACCAGAGAAAGACCTTTAGGATGGCGTCGTTTGTATCCACTGGGATATTATGGTTGAGTTTCAACTCAATAAACACGGCTCTCAAAACGACAACTGAGCTTTCACTGCAGACTTTCACTGCAGACTTTCACTGCAGACTTTTATTGCAGATTTCTTGGGTCCTAACTCCACGCGGATTTTGAGTTCACTGTGGCAAACAATTGTCACCTCATTTTCGACCTCACAGAGCCTCTGGGCTTGGCCGTACGATGGAAGCCGTTTAGAGCCGTGACATTCAGTCGCTAAAATTTCAACTTTGTCTTTACACGAAGGGAAAGAGTTGTCACCAATTACCAACAGAATTCTCTTGTATCAACACGAATTGGCAAAGAAAGGCAGTAGTCCATTGACCTTGAAGTTTCGCTTCGGGGGAGTCAGCGGGAGGATTGAACAACTATGGCTCCATGAACTGAATTCAAGTTTATTCGTTTAGGACCACAACGTTGCACTATACTATGAATTACTTCATTTAAAACCACATCAGCCTAGCCTCTTGCGTTTTCGATTCCACCAGTTTTCGGTTTGATTCAAACCAATAATTTGATCTTCCTCGACGCACCACGATGTCGAAAAACGAAAATATTCTAGAGGTTAATGACCTCGCGACATCAAATGCCGGAGAGGTTATCGTGCCATCGCGCTTGGCGGATGCTACTTTACATTTCATGGAGCAGCATGACAGCGAAACTCCGCGAATTGAAGAAAATGAAGAAAAACGGCTGAAGAGGAAACTGTTTTTCTTCATTTACTGTTTAGTTTTCGCAATAAACCTACTCCTTTACATGGACAAGGCCATCCTTTCTTATGATGCTATCTTAGGATTTTTTGAGGACACGGGACTCACTCAAAACACGTACAACACAGTGAATACTTTATTTTACGTGGGTTATGCAGTGGGCCAGTTTCCGGGCCAATTCTTGGCTCAAAGATTACCACTTCGTTCACTTCTCACAATTTTATTGGCGACCTGGACTTGTATTGTTTTTCTGCATTGTACCGCCTACAATTTTTCAGGCGTTGCCGCGTTGAGATTTTTTTTGGGACTAACAGAAAGCATTGTGATGCCCATTTTGATAAACACAATGTCCATGTTTTTCGACTCAACGGAACGGGCAGCTGCGCAACCTTTTTTTTTCGTTACATGTATGGGAGCTCCTATTCCCACCGGTTTCATAGCATATGGGGTTCTTCACATAAAGAACGCGAACATCGAACTTTGGAGAATATTCACAATCATAATTGGAGGACTCACATTTATAATGACGATTGTCGTGGCGTTAATGTTTCCAAATAATCCTACAAGTGCGAAATTTTTCTCCGTGAAGGAGAGAGTTTGGGTTATTAGAAGAGTTCAATCGACAACTGGGTCATCAATTGAGCAAAAAGTCTTCAAAACGCATCAATTTAAAGAGGCGATACATGATTACATTACGTGGCTTTTTTTCTTGTTTTTTGTTCTGCAACAGTTGGCGAACAACTTACCTTACCAACAAAACCTGTTATTCGAGGGTATGGGAGGCGTTGATGCTCTTGGCTCAACTTTAGTGTCTGTCGCGGGAGCTGGTTTTTCGGCTGTTGCGGCGTTGATTGCTTCTTTGTCAATGCTTAAGTGGGCAAACATTTCAACCTTTACAGCTCTTTTCTGGAACCTTCCACCCTTGATCGGGTCTATCTCAGCAGTTTCCCTGCCCTGGCACAACAAAATAGGCATATTGGCCAATATATGCATGGCCGGCCAAGTTTTCGGTATACCATTCATTATTGCTCTCAGCTGGTCGAGTTCCAGCACATCGGGCTATACCAAAAGATTCACCAGGAGCTCCATAAGTTTACTGGGGTATGCAATTGGTAACATCATCTCACCACAAATTTGGAGAGAAAAAGATGCTCCTCGTTTCTTCCCTGCTTGGATCGTTCAAATTATTTTGTCGTTTGGTTTGGCCCCCTGTATACTGATCTTTATCTGGTGGAAACTAAGAGGAAGGAATCAACAAAGATTGCTATCCATGGATCAAACGCTCAAGAGATTATCTGAAAAGTACGAACTCTCAAATGATCGAACAGATGAATTCAAGAACGGAAGCAACGCCAATGTGGTTTCGAATCTAGCTGTATTAGATCTGACAGATCTCGAAAATGAAAGTTTTCTATATCCATTGTGAACGAAACAGTACCAGATCTGCGTTTTAAGTTATTAGACCGGAGTCTTATATTTTCAAGGAGGAGCCGACGAAAGTTGGTCAAAGTCACAAGCCCAATGAAAAAAGCGTCGTCAGAAGGTTCAATTATAGAGTTTTATGAAAGCTTCTGAATTATTACTGGCAACCTACATGAGTTCGTTTCCGGATGAAAAACAGGTAGGCTGCCCAATTTAACCAGTTTTTGGAACCTCTACTCGTAACTTCAAACCTTTCTAACAAGTTCGTGCCGAGCCCTAAATCGTTTTATTTTTCGTGTCTTCCAGGCTCTGGCACGGTCCAAAATCGGTAGACTAAATCTCCGGTGGTAAATTTAAGCATTCCATGCATAGCAATCGCTTGATACCTCCCACCGCAATATGATGACCTCGAAGACTGAATACTTTCACATCGTCAGAAGAGTGCAGATAGGTTTTCAAAGGGAAACCGAAGCTAGGATCTGTAGCCCAAAGTTTCAAGCAGTCGAAAATGCTCGCTTGACCTACGGTAGGGTTGCCTTTTCCCAGGTGCCACACAGTTTTCTAGATCAATAAGCAGTTTCATAGCGTCAGTGGAATTGGAAAATAAACGCTCTACGCAGGAGTTCAAATTTCATTGCAGATTCATTTGTATTTCGTCTAAAGTCCTGTGATGAGCAGCTTGGAATTATTTCCTTAAAGCGAAACCCTCAAAAGATCTATCTTACTTGCCTAGATTCCAGATGTGTTTTGAGCTCTTGAATTCAAGTCTCTCGGCATGGACAGCGTTGTGACTGTTAGCAGTGTTTTAACAGCCTGGACTATCTAGAGGCTAACAAACTTTGTGGATGAAGCTGCGACAACTATAAACTTAAAGCTCAGAATTGGTCTTCAAGTGGTCATCTAGAGCTTTATAAATGTAGTAAATATTCGATTGAGTGCAGTTTCCAACAAGTCGAAATAATCTCTATTTTGAAGGCAACAACTACACGAGGGGATGTTAGTTACAATACAGCGCTACGAGCTGAGGAGATGAACAAGTAGTACGGTGCAATATGTAATAGATGCAAGGTAAACTTAGGATTGTACGAATGAGGCAAAGAAACGCGATAACTAGTGATTCAGCTGTTCGCAGGAAAATGAAAGTTTGTCTGCGTTCGATATAACTCATTTGGCGGCTAGTGCAATGGTTTTACTCAGCATCATGTTGATAATTCGGATCACAAGCTACCCCAGAGTCGCTCTCAAAAGCCCTCCTTCACGTGTGTTATGTTGAAATCAAAATTTTAAAGATTTGTTGTAAGAACTGGTATTTCAGATACTTGCTAAAGTTGACCAGAAGGTAAATAAAATTGAAGAAAGCAATTCATGTGAGTTTGAGTGTTTCAAATAACAGAAAAAGGCACTGTTCTAATGGTCATAAACCTCATGAGAAAACAACAGACAACTAACGAACTAGATGATGGATACTGCCCAAGCCCATTTTCAGTCCATGAGCATATCCTGATGGGTACCATGAATCACGAGACGACTTCTTCTTGACTAGCAAACTCGAAAGTTTTGTTGGTCATTGCGACTGTCTAACACCAACGGTCACCGCCTGTGAGAGGATGGTTTCCCTTCACCGAACAAGCTGGTAAGTGATAATTGTCAGCGTCTTCGACATTAGCCACTTGCAAGGGTCTGGCCGATCGTAGCACCGCATTTCCAGACTTCCCGGGCCGCTTACTTTGAGAAGTTTTTTCTCTATGCAAGAACAGTTCTTCCTGGGCCTATCTTACCATTCACCAATGATTGGCCTTGCTAGGGACGATGATCTACGCTCTCGAGCTCCTTCACAGCCCACCGTTACATCGTCACCCCATTCATTTTACCATAAACATAGTCTGAGCGCAGAGGTCTATCGGTGGTAAATAGTGACAGCCGAGGTTCTGTTTAGGGTTGCAAGACAAATTATAGCTCGAGAAAGCCTGCATCTTGTTTGCAACGGAAATACATCTCTTAGGAAAGAAGTCACAAAAGCATCCTTTTGCGGCGTCTGCAGGCTAGGTGTGAGTTGTTTACCAAAGAACCTGGATTCACGAAGCTTCGAGGTCTCTGCCTGGGCTTCCTTGGAACAGGCACAACATGCTACGTCCACCAGAGCAAGCGACATTCTACTTACACGATTCGTACTGATGCGGGTCTGCATATGACATTCTACACGTGCTCGTTCCCACGAGAGTCTCAAACTCAGTGTAGCCCAAAACAGGCTTGGCTCGGTCTGTGTCTCATTTCTAAGCACCGAATTGCATTGCTGGTAGTGCTGGTGACCTGCCTACCTCAGTTACCGACGACTGATGGCAGATATCGCTACGGAACACAGTAATTCGAGATCATTGGCACGCGGGGGGAACCCTGTCTCGCAAAACCTCTCGGAGTTTGAGACAGGAGAAAATGCAAGTGCGGCATTTCGATCTTACTCCACAGATTTTTCCCTACACATTTCTGAAAACTTGCTCAGTAGGCGCCCGGCTTAAAGGAGGCTTATGTTCTTTACGGAGTTTCCTGCATGAGTTACAGACCGCAGGAGGATTGCCGATATTCTTTACGTTTACGACCTCAACTAACTACGCAGGTTTGATGGTTCTGCAGTGTGGGAATTATGCATGCTTACTTAAGATAGTGCTCGAGGAGAAGTTCATCCAGACACCCTCGGATGAAATACTTTCCAGAGATGGAGCTCTTCGAAGGAAAATCGCTGCAATTAGGATACCCAACTTTTTCTTAAGTGACATAGATAACAGCTCCGAAGCTACAGCTTGTTTATCGTAAATGTCGTAAGCTTCAAGAGTATTCTATGTGTTTCCATTTCCGGACAGTCGTTCGAGCGTCGATAAATTGGACCACGAATCATATCGTAAATTTCCGGTACTACCTAAGAAAAAAGAGTTGGAAACGGTGGTAGCGGTTAGAGGTAAACCCGTAAAGTCCTTTGCACTGCGAGAATCTATTGAGCGAAGGTTTGTATGCACCAGTGCCTAACTTTCAACAACTTCGAGTGCAGCATTGAAGATGAAAGAAGAGGCGTCTCATTTAGGAATCTGACACGTCGTATTGAAAGTCCTTAGCACAAACCGTGGGCGGTCGTTTGCGAGGTGTCACATCAGTTCCGTTTACACCATGAAGACTTTGCTTGATTACGTTTTGCAAACCTTTTCATTTTGAGTAGCACAAACAACGCTCATTGGTTTCGTGGCATCTGGACCCTCTTACTTGCCAAACTCGGGCTTTTACCTTACAAAACTCGGCGATTTTGCCGATCCATCCGCGTTCTGGCTAGTCGACCCTTCGGAAACCCTACTTCTTTTTGATCTATTGACCGTCATAACCTTTTGGGCTTTAATGATGTCGAAAATCCCACTCACCGTAAATCTGCGGTTATTTGCCTACGAGGATAAATGTATTCCATGTCGGTCGCAGTTCATGTCATCTTTCCTAAACTGCAATGTAAATCTTTGAAACTCATCGTTCTCGAACCAGCAAGGTCCGAGCTGTTCTTGGCCTGCGTACCACGGTTGTTGCATTAAAATTGTTGTGATGTTCATGCCATTGGATTCCGTATTCGTATCTGCATCAAGTAACCTGCTAATTTGCGGGCTACACGCAAGAGAGACTCTTGTCTAACTGCCACAAATTTTGAAGTGTTTATTTGCGGCTGCCTCCGAAAAGAGAAATGCAGACCAAGGCATTGCACTGCAACAGTTAGTGCAGTCACTGTGAGTGACGAAAGTAGCTTTATTTCCCGAATAGTTGTGTTCCTGCTTGGCGCGCAAATCGAAGTCCTCATCAGAGTCCGTGCGATTTTCCGTCTTTAGAATTAGTCGCGCAGAGATGGATAATCAGTACATGAAAAATTCTGTCAGGGAATGTTTATCTGGCTTCTCAACAAGAGGGCGCTTAAGATACGAGATGTAGCTCGAAAATGGCTGCGTGGAAGGCAAAAATTGTTAACTGCGTAGTGCACAGAACAGTTCTAGGACAAACAAGCTCCCTGAGGCGTGTCTAAGCGTTTTGATTTCCGGAGAATTGTATGGTTGCCACAACAAGAATTCCAGGTACGAATACGAAGAAAGTCCGTTGAGCCGCTGTGCGTCAGAGTAATTAGCCCACACAGTGTTAAATAAACTTGATGAACAGATATGCTAACTGCTGTTTCATGTATATATAAAAGCCTACGTGAACAGCAGAAGTATGCCTGGGAGAAGCCATTCAAACCTTCCTTCTAATTACAGACACCAATGCACTGGCCAAGCTTATTAGCCTTTCTGGCTCTACCTTTAGCAGGTAGTACTGCCCAAGTTAAACAGGGTGGTATCGGTGCCTGTGACCCTAAGCTCGAGCCTAGGCCCGGATTTGACATTGAGTTCTTCAGTCTTCCTATCACGGGAAATACCGTGGGTCAATGCTACGACTCTGCGTATAACACTCAAAACTACTTGCACGGAGGATATCGTACCCACTCATACGGTCAACAAGCGCAAACAAGTAATGTAACGGATCTCTCCTGGACCTTCAGCAAAGTAGGAGCGGCATGTGCCGTCACTCGCAGAAAAATGCCTGCTAATTACAAAATGGATCAGGCAATTACTGTCACCAATTTCTCCATGCTAGCTACCGGTTATTTCACAGCCCTGCAAACAGGAACCTACAAGTTCAATCTTCGTTATGTGGATGATACTGCGTGGGTCAACATAGGTGCCGGCAATGCTTACAACTGTTGCACGAAAGGAGCCTCTCAGGATAACCCTGGCCCATTCACATTACAAACGACTTGGCCTGACACATCGAGTAGTATCAGCGTCGACCTGATTGCAGGATACTCATACCCTCTTAGATTGTTCTTTGCACAAAGAAACGGTGACGGTGGACTGAAGTTCACTTTCACTGACCCTTCAGGTGTTGAGCACACGGATTGGACCTCATGGATTTTTAACTACGACGATGGTTCATCGTGCGACATCGAGCCCAAGCAAGAGACAACGATTTGGACCGGAAGCAAAACTCAAACGACTACAGTTGTTTCTGTTTACACCGATAGTCAGGGACAGAATACCACCAACAACGTAGTAGTCGTAAATTACCCCACCACTTACAACGCTTCTTCAACTTATAACACGCCATACTCTGGAAGTTCAACAACGACTTACTCCACAAAAAGGTATACCACTACCGGAACGGACGGATACCGTACAGTCGAGACGATCTATTATGTGCAGACTCCATCAAAGGTCGCTACCACATACACTACATGGACTGGTAAGTTCACTTCGACGTACTCAACCGGCAAGACCATTGTGACCGGATCCGACGGTATTCCAACCACCGAGACAATCTACTACGTGGAAACCCCACCAAAGTTCGCCACCACATACACTCCATGGACTGGATCTTACACTTCGACTTTCTCGACCGGTGAGACCACCTTCACTGGATCTGACGGTATTCCAACCACCGAGACGATCTACTTCGTGGAGACCCCATCAAAGTCTGCTACCACATTCACTCCATGGACTGGATCATTCACGTCGACGTACTCAACTGGCGAGACCACCGTGACGGGATCCGATGGTATTCCAACGACCGCGACGCTGTACTACGTGGAAACTCCTATACCGAATCCGAATAATGACAAACTCATAGAAGGCAGTAATCCCTGCTCCCCCGACTCGAATAGCGCCAGCTTGACAGGGTTTAGGGCCCGGTTTTTTCCATTTATCTACAAGAAGACGCCTACCTCAGTGCAATATATGGTGAATGGTTATAACAATACTCATAACCTATTACATGAAAGCTCCGGAATCACAAAGCCTAACTTCAAGTTCCAAAGTCAAGGACAGCAAGTTGGCAGTGTAACATACGGTTATGTTTATGACTACTACACTACCATAACGAACTTCACATTGGAGCTCACTGGTTATTTTTCGCCTCCAACCACAGGTATCTACAAATTCCAATTTCAGAACACTGACGACAGTGCTATTGCATTCATCGGTAACGCAGCCGCATTCCACTGTTGTGACGGCAATGACTATAACGCTACTGAGTCCGACATCACACTCAATGCTTACAATCAATGGTCTACAAAAAAACGTTCAGTAGCATACGGTAAATTGTACGCTGGGGTTTACTACCCTATTCGAGTTGTGTACTACAATATCGGGAATTACGGTGTTTTAGACTTCACTTGGACTGACCCTCAAGGAGTGGCTCATAGCGATTTTTCGAATGTTGTTAAATACTTCGATGATCAAGCACAGCAGTGTCCTTATAACTCGACTTCAAAGGCCTCCACCACATACACTCCATGGACTGGCTCTTTCACCNCTGTGTACACCCCATGGACAGGCTCTTTCACTTCGACCTTCTCGACCGGTGAGACCACCGTGACTGGATCCGACGGTATTCCAACTGGTAAGACGATCTACTACGTTGAGACCCCAGCTGGTAACAGCAGCTCGACTGTGTACACCCCATGGACTGGCTCTTTCACTTCGACCTACTCAACTGGCGAAACCACCGTGACTGGATCCGACGGTATTCCAACTGGTAAGACAATCTACTACGTTGAGACCCCAGCTGGTAACAGC